TTGATGGGGGGGCTATAATAGTAATACTATAGTAATTAACTCCGTACTATTGACTATTAATGATATAGCCTCATTAATTCATTAACTATCAAGTTTCCGACGTCAAGGATACTACTGTATAACTATCTTATCCTTGATCGCATGTCTACCCCGCCGTTATCATGTCATCATGCCATTTCCTTCCTATCGTGGCCCTGTTCGGTCGCAACCATGGTTCAACTCTCTCCACTTGAACTACCCCTCTCTCTGTCATCAGAGCAACCCCTCCTCTGAGAAGCTCTCCGATCGGCATCAACGTACCGTTACGCGGGATCGGATCGGTCCATCTTGCACATCACATTTTTATACATTTCGAATAGATCGTACATAGTCCAGCCAAAACCAAAAAAAGAGTATGTCGGGCCTTGCAGTCGCATTGGTGACAAGCCGAGTCGGAGACGGGAGCTAGTTGGGAATGAGACAGGGGGAGGGAGGAAAGGGAGGCAGCAATTTGCCAGGTTTGTGCCAGGTATTTCTGATAGACCAGTCGAGTGAAGGGTCAGTAGTCAGTCAGTTAGTCACAACTGTAACTTTTTAGACCACTCCCCTACGTCTTCGTTCATGATCCATCGACTAGTCATCTTTTCCTCGGGACCATCAGGCAAGGTCTCGATCGGCTCCGCCGTGATTCCTGTTCCCCGCCGCTAACGAGGTGCATGTGGTGGTGGGCGATCCCGCCCACCATTTAGTGATGGACCACCACCACATGCACCACCCCTCTTCCCGGCTAGACAGCCTGGAACTATCCCTCCTTTGTTACAATCAGACCTCGTCTCTGAGCTCTCAAGTGATATTGAATCCACAAAATAGAGGGGCTCGAATGTCAGGGATAGGCTGGACAAAGTCAACGCCACAGAGCTACCGTCGTCTCAGCTGGAACAATGTGGCTATGGAACCAGTGATGCCTCCGTGTCTCCCCCTGATTGACAGATCGGCCATCCCATGTCTCGCCCCGGGGAGTTACTATTGGGGGTACTCCGGCTTGGTACTTTTGACACAGCCAGTCCTAACGAGGCTTGAAGAGTCTCGTTAGTGGCCCCGCTATGTGGCGGTTCGACTGTGCCACGTCCTTGGCTTGGAGGCGTACAGAGTCAGCTATGTTCTAAGCAACGCATACGGAGTACGGAGACACACTGTAGATATTGTAGTATATCTATTCCTATACAGAGTGAACACCACTCATTCTCATCATGCGGTCGCGGACTTGACTCCTACGTTGTATGACCTTCACGTATATGGAGATGTGTCTCTTGTCGAGTGGGCTGATGATGTAGTGAAGTTATCATGTACTCCGCTGTCTTGTCCGTGTTACGTCGTGCCCCTCGAGACATCAGCTGCCGGACTGCAGGAGGATCTGCACCCAAGATGCGACTTGGGGCGCGAGTCGTGGGAATAACATCATCTGATAGAGACGCATCTCGGTTCTTTCTATTTCTGTATGGAGATACGTAGAAGGTTGACAGGATACATGACATTGTGAATACATTTTATGATCTATGAAGTCCAACTCAAACCTGTCATATCCACCATTATCTATCCATCTAACCTGAACTAATATCATCTCTCATTCTCTGCATCGGCAAACAAGCGATATGGTTCCCCCTCGGGGTCCACTTCATACAACTGCTTAACCAAAACCATGCGCGTGAGCTGGCACATACACCGCAAATTTTCAAAAAGAAGAACACCAGTCGCGACCCGGAGGATTCATGAATTCCCACCGTGGGGCCCTGCATCATTGGGAGCCCGACGATCCGCTCAGACGCGAAGGACCGCGACGCGGTTACTTGGTTACTTGGGAAACGCGTCTGGCGACGCCCCCTCCACTTCACTCGAGAGTGGGGGGAGGGACTGAGAAGAGAAAAATGAGAATGACCATGATTGGTCGCCTTGATGCGGCACAGAAATTGTCGATGAATCGGTGGTTGACCATTGAAAATTGATCGCATTTTTGTCTTTGATGGGACAAATGGATGGATACGGAGTAGAGAGGTACATATTTCGTACCTATCAACGATCAGATTGGCTTTTTCTGGCTTTTGAGATACCTCTCCCTGCCTGTGCAATGAGCGATATGCTTTTGAATTCTTCAGCAAAAGTACTCTACGATGCACACCTATCTCATTTCAAGGAGTACATACAATACTACCGTACTTTCTTTCTGAGCGCCCTTGTTAGCAAAATACCGGTTCCAACTTCCCCGAAACTCCCGCGGACAACGCGGATGATCATCAACGCCTTAGCAAGTTAGCAAAGCCTTGATCCTTGAGATGCGGTGAACCGGGGAGCTGGTGCGTTTCGCCAGAACGCCTAGCAAGCCCTAACTAATCCTCACCAACTTGTCGGGAAGACAACTGGATTGATTAGAATCTCTGCAAGGGGGCCTGATTCGACCCCGATGGAGACTTGGAGTATCTGTGCCCTCCATGATATTGCGGCCCACCCACCGCTTCCGCTTATGGGTGCGCCCTAAATCCCCGTCACCCCTAAATCCCCGTCACATTTTTACCATTCGATTTCAACTCCCTTTCCCAACCACCCAATATGCCTAAATACTCCAATTTTGACGAGGATCGCCTGCAGAAGGCCTGTAAAGCCGTTCTACACCAAAAAAAGCCGAATATCGCTAAAACTGCGCGTGAATTTAGCGTGTCTCGAACTACCCTTGCCGATCGCGTCAAGAAGGCCCGATCGCCCTTTTCTACCACTGAATCGCGCAAGAATGCGCTTACATCACATCAGGAGAAGGCTTTGACTGCTTGGATAGTCAAAATGTGCGATTGGAACCTACCGCCTACTGCAAAGCTTATAGAAGCGTGGGCAAATCAGGCCCTTACGCGCGCTGATGCGGGTCGGCAGCCGGTTGGCAAGAATTGGGCATACTACTTTATATCACGCCTTCCAAAGCACCTATCCCTCGCTCCAGTGAAGCAGAATCTAAAGGAATCAAAGCGCATTTAAGCCGAAGATGCAGGGGCTCTCTCTTTCTGGTATGATCAGCTTGCAACCCTGCTAAAGGATATCCCTGCAAGGCTAGTCTATAACTTCGATGAGTGTGGTTTCCAACCTGGCCAGGGCCAGTCTCGTAAGGTTATTAATGGTAGATTGCACTGCCCTGACCTTGCTGAAGCTGAGCGAGGCGAAACTATCACTGCACTCGAATGTATTGCTGCTGACGGCTGGCAAATGGATCCGCTATTTATCTTTAAAAGCGGCGGGGTCTTTATAGAGAGCTGGTTCTATAATAGTGAGGATTTACCTCTAAACACACTTACTGCTACCTCACCGAATGGCTGGATTTCTGATGAAATTGCTTCTGAATAGCTATATTATTTTATTTCAGCTACTGCTACACCCGACCGTCTAAAAAAGGGTGAAAAGCGCTTCCTACTCTTTGATAGCCACGGAGTATATCTTACCCTCGAATTCCTTGAGATATGCGAGTTAGCTGATATTATACTATTCGGCTTTATACCTCATTCAACACATCTCTGTCAGCCACTTAATAGTAAGCCATTTTTGAGCTATAAGCAGCAATTTCGGCTTATGAATAATAAGCTATCTTTCTGGGGTGGTCAGCTATGTGGTAAACCGGATTTTCTACGGGTAATTGGGCCTGTACGAGCGAAGGCATTTAACCAACGAATTATTCGGCAATCCTTCAAAGATCGTGGTATTTGGCCAGTCAACGGCCAAAATATAGTAGATAAACTAGCTAGCCAGCTAGAATTTACTCCTCTTCACGCACCTGATCTTCGCGCTCATGGAGAACCCCGAACTCCATCACCGGAGCCTACAAATTTACTATCATCAAGCGTGGAGAATACCCCTCCGAAGTCAATTGAAGCGCTAGAGAAGAATCAGAAGAAGATATCAAAGAAGGTGGCTACCTTTGACCCGAAGGTTCAGCGAGATATTGCAATGCTTCACAATCACCACAGGATAATCTACGAGCGGCTTATGATGGCGGAAGCGACTGTTTCGCGAATTAGGGCCGCTCAGGAGCCCTTGAGGCGCCCAATTACCAAGCGCCAGGTTAAACCGCTTAGCCAAACTGGTATACTAAGCGTTCGCGATGCGAATCGGTCAATCAAGACTAGAAAGGAGAAAGAGGCTGCTGCGGAGGAGAGGAAGCTTGCGAAGCAGTATAAGCAGGCTACTGGTTTGGATATGCCAAAGAGGCCCCAGGAGGATATTGATAGGTCTACCGAATCGGCTAGAGTAGCCCTGGAGCGAGGAGATCTTTTTTATTTAGGCTAGTTATCTAATTTGATGGTTTTTTTAGACGCATGGTAAAAATGTGACGGGGATTTAGGGGTGACGGGGATTTAGGGCGCACCCATAAGCGGAAGCGGTGGGTGGGCCGCAATATCATGGAGGGCACAGATATCTTTGGAAAGTTGGAAACTCTCTGGGACCTTTGGAAGCTCCAGGATTTCGATCCACTTTCCGATGCAGCGGACCGACCCCGTTTCCAACGTTCTCGACCCAAGCAGGAACAACACTACTGCACTCTACAGTAGTTAGTCACGACTAAATGAAGACTTCACTGAGCGGTGACTAGACCGCCTTGATAATGGTCCAAAGTACGGAAGTACTACTGTATACCGCCAGTCGCCCGTCTGTTCTTTTTGCTCTGCTCTGCTTCCTTGCGTCCCACAGGTTACGATGCTGGCCAGTTGATCCTCAAAGGAGACCATGATCCACGCTCCACCATTCCCAATCCCTTCAATCAAGGGCCTTGCCGCCTTTCAACCTCATTCCCATTCCCCACGGCTTACCTACTCACTCAATAGGAAGCATCCCGTGTCCAGCACCCAGGTCTCAGAAAACGGGTCCTTACCTTCCCAAGATCGGCGAAAGGGATCGCAGCTCACCCACTAGGCTCTCGCCCACCAGTTATCTTACTCCAGGTTAAGTAACTCCGTCACTCCATAACCAAGCTAGCCATCCAACCAGTTATGATTCGAACCAGTCTTACTCGCCAGTTCTCTCCCCCCAAACCCAAAACCAAAACCAACTCCACCCCGAAACCCACCACTGCAGTTGCTGGAATTTCGGGACCTGCTTCCCCGGCGCCGGCCCCTGAACTAATGTCCACCGGCCTGCCGGGCTGGCCTTGGCTGGGATCCAGTTCTAGCGCGCTCATTGTCCCGACAACTCCCTCGCGCAGCGCGACGGGGCCAGAGCCTAGCCTGGCAAACGGCAGTCACGGCAGTCTTATCCAGTGAGCCATGCTGCCACAGGGCCAGCCAGGGAGGGATGGGAACCCCGTTGGAACTCCGCCGAGGTAGCACGCCAGGTCGGTCTGGAATTTCATCTTGACGGGCTGAGCGGATGTCGGTGAGGACTTGATCACTACAGTACTTTACTATGCTCTACAGTGTCAATCGGAGGTTCGGAGTCTTCTTTTCGAGGTTTCCATTTCCAGATCAGGCCCTCGCAGACATGCGATGCTGCCCATCATCAGCTTCACCGCTACGACACATGACACGGCCAGGATGGATGCAGTGCGCCAGCACGACAGATCCTCCACTCTTGCCGTGGTGGCTTATTAGGTAACTTGTTCACGCCGGCATCTCGTGTGGGAATCCATAATTAGGCAGTGGGGGGACGAGTTGGGTTTTGAAGATTTTCGCCACCACATCTCGACCCCATTGTGCGCGCTATCGCTTCTGTGTTTCGCTAAAGATTGGGGCTGCCTGGAGTAGGGATCCTTGAACTTTGTTGCCGTGTCCATGATCGAGGCCTTTGATGGAGTTGGGCGTTACCCGTATTAAAGGGCTAACATCAGTGAATTCGAATCGTCAACTCACACCGTTTCTATGTGAAGTGTGCTTATTGGAGGTGGAGGAGCCCGTGGTTCATCCATGTTGGCAGGTTGGTTTGCGAACTGGAGTTATCTGTGCCGTCCCGAGACGAACGGTCTGGACTTTGGAGGTCGGCCGCAGCCGCCGCACTACCAAAATGGCCAAATGGATCTGGCACACCGATAGTTTCTGTAGATCTGTCATCATCCTGGCCTTCGTCCTTGCTCTCGATAAACTAGTTGAAGAGGTTTCGGATATTGTGCACGCCAGTTTGCCAAATATTGAATATTGAATATTGACGAAGTTGATATCTGATTACTAGCTCTATTTAGTTTCGCGATCCTTGGATCGTGGCGGAATGGGTCATCCGGGGAAAGGGGGCGGTCCATGGTTCCTTCCCGCGATATTCTCCCCTTGGTTCGCGCCGCTGCTACTGTACCTTTTGCATATTTGGTGAACATACTCCGTCCTGGACGAATTTTTATAGACGGTAGAGTTGCTCTCAGTGGTCGAATATTCTGCTGCTCTGATATCGAGGATTCATGGGTCTCCCAGATTCGAGCAGGGAATACCAGGAAGGCCGCCGGGACATACAGTTGGTCCAGTCCAGTCCACCTAAGCCCTGAGTCAGGTGAGTACATGCTTGTGCGATGTATACATGCTTGTACATCTTCCAACATCTCTGTCCGTGGCATTTACATCGAGCAGAGTTTTAGACTTAACACCTTTGGGACAATTCCCCTGGACCCTCGTTCCGGGAGATTGCCAGGGAGTCTGGACGGGGAGGGCCGATGCAGGGGATAGTTCTCTGCTGAGTACCTCGTACTACTGTAATCGCAGTTGCTGACCTCGATGGCTGCTGAGTGCAGCTCTTTGGTACAGCATACGGAGTACATCTGAAATCTGCAATCAATTATTGATCTCACCAGTGGGCAAGGAGGGTTCCATATTCATCAAAGCCTCGCGCCGGGGATGTCGTTCCGTCGAATTTTCTCGAAAGGTGGAACACGTCCCCTTAGTTCACTATCCCATCGATATACAATCTGGTAAAGGAACTCCGTGGTTAGCAATCAAGCTGGTTGGTTAAAAACTAGTAGTTCGATTGTTAGTTTGTTTCGAGAATGAATAATGAGACAAAATAATGGAGGGGCTCGGCCATTGTCAAATTGTCAACGGAGAACCCGGAAATCTTTCGTCCTCCGTAAGGTTCAACGTCTGACGCCCGTCGTCGAGGGCAACGAGGCTAAGCACGCGTTCTCGAATGGATTGCCGAGTTGGATAGATGGTGGGGTGGTCGTGGTGGGGGGCGTTAGAAGGAAGAGAAGGCAGCGAAGAAGGGGGTGTGGGTAGGTGTGGGTGGAGATGACTCCATTCGTATCGAACTTTTAGCTGGTTAGAGAACCACGTTCATTGACTTCAGACACGATGAGCTCATGAATATACAGTGTATTACTGGTTTTTGAAGGATTATCCCTCATGATTTCCCGTAGTGATGCAATAATAATCCCTCGTTAAGACCAGACCAGGAACGAAACGGAGAACCAACTTGCAAAAAAAGGGGGGAGGCTGGGTGATGATTAGGATGAGGTCCCGAGGTGCTGGATACGAAGCCCACAAGGCACCGCTGGATTGGTTCATTGGTGCAATTGGGCCCAACACTAAGCGGCAGGATTGTCTCCGCTGGGATTTCCATCCGGTTGGTTCCTGCATCGCCCATGCAAGGAACAGGAAGTTGGAACGGAACCATCAAGTGGCGAAATTTGACCTCGGCGGGTGATGATTTTCCGTGCCTGAATTGTCGCGGACTTCTACCAAGCAGTGAGCACAAGAGAGGTACATCAGGGTATGTATCTATGGAGTAGTCAGCATGTGTAGGAACCTTTTGCCGCGATGGTGAAGAGATGATGGAATGAAGCTTGATGAACATGTAGTGATCAGTGTAGTGTATTCACTGTGCAGTGCCGATTCTACTACTCTTGTCGGTCGCTGCAAATCAAGTAGGTGTACTACATTGTATATTCCCCTGATCTATGCATTAAGTACTCCATGTTGGATTCTTAAGGGTTGCTAGTAACGTCAATCTTTTGGCTCCTTCTGGGGACTGGAAAGCATTATTCGCTCCTACTAATCCTAATCGCTTATGCAATGGTTCTTAACTTGATTCGGGCTTGTAATTATTTCTGTGGTTGTGAGGTAGGTATAGACAGTAATGTAAGTGGTTGTCGGTTTAGATAATGCTGTCGTTGATGTTTGGTTCAACGTTGTGGATACATATATCTGGGATACCTCGATAAACCCCACAGATATCGATCACCCACAATGCGGTACCATGAAAAAAGACCTATCATTGTGCATCCATATTCGATAGAACTAACCAATTCTTGATCGTTGTTAAGCACGCAACTAATTACTACTTCAAGTCCGAGGTCTTCCCTGGGTTGGCCGAGAATACATTCGAAATCGATCAACATGCCGAGGAAGACGACACACCCATGAGTCGTCAGTAACATGTCGTACGAACATTGTAAACCAGAAAACAGGTAATTCCCCGTTCAAACGATGAATACAATATACATACATGAATACCGGATATTGAATCATTGAATCACGATAAACCGATAGTGCCGGACTAACGAACGTCTCTGACGTCCAAACGGCCCTAATATTCAGAAAATGGAGCCTCAAGTTTGAGCATCCACACCACAACAAAGCAAAACACCAGGGCCTAGAATGCACATCTGAGTCAAACCATGGCTCCATGAGAACCACCAGCCAAAGGAACTATCGTAATTCGCGGGGATTGAGTTCATCGGCATGGAGAACTATCGAGTCTGGCGCGTTCACATGTCCCTAACGGGTGCCGGGTCTAACCCCGCAGCCGGATTGAGGCGATCAACTCTGATCTGCAGGCATCATCGCTGTCGGTTCCAGAACAATAGCCGGATTTTTGGTACTAGTTTTGTCTTGTCGTAAGGCTCGAAGATGTACAGTATGCCTTACCAAGATACCAGACGGTGGTTTTCTTCTCCGTGGGCTCGTCGTGTGCTGCGTGGTCAGTTACTCCCCACGAGGGCAAACGGCCCGCTGCACGGGTGGGGATCGTTTCCTTTCTGTCGGGTTCAAGATGACCACTCGGTGTTGGTAGCCAACAGTCTTGCATAGATTAGAAGGGGAGCTGAAGAGGTGAAGTGTCTCACTTTGTCCATCTCTTCACCACCGATACATATTGAAACCCGTTAGTGAGAGCTGTAAAGTTAATGGCCCAACGTGCATGGAGTATGGGGGGGGGGTGCCTGAGACGAGGTATTTTTGTGTTGGATAGTATATACTAGTCAAAGTATGCCGGAGTTTGGAGGTATAAGGCGCGTCGTTTATGAACGACGTCGAATCATGACAAAGTATTTCAATCCCCAAGTAAACTCAAATTAGAAACGAATCTTCTAACCGCGTATGGATGGAGAGCCTGTCTGGCCCCAAAGTAACATGCCGACTCCACGCCAACATCAACGAACAATCCTGCAGTTTTTTTACCGTGACATGACCTAGTAATCCATTGTGTAACATGGATACAAATGCCCTTCTCGTCCAATGTGTGTCACCCCACAACTATGGATACGTTTCAATTCAATTGTTGTGGTTCCTTTTGAAGATACAGCTTCTCGAAGCACGGACTTGAGACACTAGTTACTTACTACTTCTCGCTGCGTCATAGTGACCAACCAAGCCAACTCATGGCCTGATTATCCCATCGCATCACTACTCACATCGCAGACCAGGATGTCAAGCACAAGCCCCTGTCTCCTGCATACGGCATATGGTCCGGCAAGCAAACCGGCCGAAGTTCTCCGATGCCTTCAGACCCAAAAATGCCTCTCTCCAGATTCAGCTCGGCAGAGGGCAAGGCACAAAAAGCTAACTTACTTTTCTCCAGACTGCCACGCGGACGACTGAGTTTCCTCTGCAGCCACCATTAACGGTGGGAGGGGACGTCAGCACGATCCCAAAGACGACTCGACCCCGAGCCTCGGGGTTGAGCGGACGCTATGCAAGCCACATGGAAATTTAATCACTGGTTCGACCTTCTAGAATCGTTCTGGAGCTGGGTTGGAGGGGCTTTTTCCCCTCCCTCTCTGCTGTGGTGGCTCGTGCAGGGCGAGAGAAAAAGAAAACTGACTCAAAATATTTGTCTTGGAGCTCTCTGGACAAGGAACGTGGTCGTGAGAATATTACCCGAGATTCTTCCAGACGACAGTAAGCTATGTTGTCTAGTCTGGTTGCATACTACTCCGAAGGAGCACAGGGGGAAGGTGATTAGAAGCTGGTACTGTAGTTGAAGGTCCGGAATTCACGCGCCACTGTAGCGCGCCAGTCTGTTCATCAATGTAAACTGCGACTGTAGCAGCATGCATGTCCCCCTTCGTTACTGTCCTCTCTGGTCTAACCGCGCGGAGTTGTACTCTGCCGGCATTCCCCTCCCCCGAACCGGTGGCGCCCGTTTCGATTTTGGCTTTTGGTGGCATCAATTCATTGGGAAATCCCTTGCCTCGTCCAGCTCCCAAAACCAGGATGCCCTAGTTTCTGGCTTGTGGAGCAGAGAAACAGAACACGAATAACGCCCCCAGAGCAAGGTTAGCATGAGATATCTTATTGGGCCGCGCGGGTGGACAGCGATATTCAAAGTTCACGCTCGCCGTGTCCACTCAAGTGTCAAATCAGCGTGAGCCGCAGCCGATCCACCGGGGCGCGCGCACTTTTCACGAAACGAAACCCGGCGTAAAAGCTTTCGGTCTGCATTTTGTCAGTAAATCATAATGGAATCCAATAAACCTTGGTTTGTTGCATATGTCTCGATGGAGGTATTGTTTTTTGGAGGGTATTGTTTGGGCGGATTTCCTAGTGGAACAGTCATAGCAAGCATTTGGGCATGTTCAATCTGACATCCCCCCTGCCCCTCCGAGGCGCGGGGGATTGTGACAGCAATGAGACGAGGAAGGTCGTCACACGGGGCATGTCAGATTGACCATGCCATACGTTCATCAAAACATAGGGCCGAGCTAGTAGTCAATCAACGGAAACCCCTGAATGGCTGTTGGAATTCAAAGCGCGAACGTGCCATGGTCGATCTAGAGGCTGTTCGATGGAGAGCTCCGCTATGCTATGGACCTGGGGGGGAGGGCTCAGATTGGCCAAGGCGCCAGTTAGAACGGAGAACCCAAGTCATCATGAGAAACTGCCGGGATAACCTGTCAGTATTGTTCTGTACAGATGTCAGTATCTTATGTAGTATGTACCACATGGCATAGCTGTTGCTCGGTCCCTATGGTGGTACCCGTCGGACGAATAACGAGGACTGGGATGTTCATTGGTCTGGTTATGCGGATATGGTGGAGGGGGAACAGCTTACAGCGGATGTGCATCACTTGGCTGGGGGTCTCTATCATGATCTGATAGTGATACCGAGTTCTCTGAACGAGAAAGGAAACAGGAATTATTCCAAGACACTACAGTATCCCGGGTGGACAAACAATAATATGACATCGACAAACTGTTGGACGAGATCAACAAGAACATACAGAGTCCATACTGTACTGTACAAAAATACGCAGTCTACTACAGTATTGAGGCGCTGTACAGCTTTAATACCGCGGTAGTAATCTATTCTGTAATATATCGTTGATCAATCGTTGACGGTAATATATATCGTAATGAACCGTAACATCTACCCGCAGTAGACCCAAGCAGACCAATTCCCAGCGTGTATTATCCGTCACAACCATACGCGGCCAGAATGGACTCGTCCACGGAGGATACGCCTTATCCGTCCCGCCTCCACCCTGATTGTCTCTCTCATCCTGTTCCCCCCCAAAGGAGAGTGAATATCCTCCCCCCCCAGTATACTCTCTTCCCTTTCTTCCCCTATAATGGCCATGTTTGACCTCATGGTATCTCTTTGATCACTGACGTTGTGGTTTCGTTGCATCGTTCCCTCGTCTGATCCTATCCAACCCCCGGGAAAAGTGGGTTACAAAATTACCCACCCGCCCCTCTCTCCTCAACCGTCAAATTCCCAAAAAGCCATGAGCCACGGGGGTTACTGAGAGAGAGTCCAAAGGTTCTTCCCCTCTTCACCAAACTCCCCTCCCCCCCTCGGTCACTTTCTCCCTTAAGGGTGTTTCTCTCTCGCTGCAGCCGCGAGTGACGCTCCTTAATGTTTGAGTTCCGCGCGGCAGATTTGGCTGTCGAGACGGGACCTGTATTAGCCTCCAAGGCCGGTGCTTTTGCGACCGCTTTCGAGTACACCGACGAACAGGCCACCACCCCCACCGCCGCCTCTCGCTATCGCGGCCGAGGAACCAGCATCTCTCACCATTCAGATCGGCTGAGTGCCTCCCCTATAAAACAGAAAATGGCTACGGGATATGCGGTCAGCCCCGAGCCGCCCGCGCTCTTTGTGCGGGCCATGTACGACTACGATGCCGACGACCACACGAGCTTGAGCTTTCGCCGCGGGGATATCATCCAGGTCCTTAACCAGTTGGAAACTGGGTGGTGGGATGGAGTCATTGATAATACCCGCGGTTGGTTTCCGAGTAACTACTGCACGATCATCACGGAGGCCGACGATTTCGGTGAGCACATGACGCACGTCCACGAAGATACGGAACTGAGCCCAGAATCCGGACTTGAGGATGAATACGGCAATGGACACGAGGAGGATGAGGAGCTGGACTCTGAAGGCAACCTGCGCGACTCGCAGCCTATTCTACCCATCGAGGGTATTCCCGCACCGAAAGAGCAGGAAGAGGCAGCGTTTTGGATCCCCCAGGCGACTCCCGATGGCCGCCTGTTCTATTTTAATACACTCACAGGATATTCGACTATGGAGCTACCATTTGAGAATCCGGCGACGAACGAGGTTGGCCCCCGGGACCGGACGAATTTCTTCGTGCCCGACCAGACTCGACCGCCTCCTGAGTTGATGGCCCGCGGGTTTGAGCGAGACGAGGATGAATACGATGGTTCAGCATCGGAGGCGGAAGGGGAGTCCTTGATGCTGGCTTCGCAAGACTCGATGTCCCGTCGTCGCCAGTCTTTCATGGACGGTGTGTCGCCTGCGACCTCCATGGATTCTCTCTACCCACCCGCTTCCAAAGAGCTGAAGCAACAATCATCGATGAAGAGCCAGGCAACCTTCAGCAGTGGGGCACCGACGAGTGCCAACACGTCTATTGCTGAAAGCTTTTCTCGACCTTCCATCTCCTCAGGTACCCCTCAACACTTTGTGGATGACGGCTTAACGGCTCCCGTGACATGGCCCCTGCTTGTCGACAACATGCGCTATGCTGTGGAGGCTTACCGTCAAGCCCTCTTCTCTCGCGACCGATCTGAATACGTGCGAAGGGCCGAAGACATTTCCGACCACCTGCGCATGCTTCTGGCTGCTGGATCTGATACGACGGATAACCATTCAGGCAACCCGTCTATCATCTCCACAAACAAGGCTCTGTACCCTTACTTCCGGGATATGATGTCTAAATTCTCCAAATTGGTCCTTTCGTCACATATTGCGGCTGCTGATTGGCCAGGTTCTGACTCGGTCAATAAATGTCTGCAGGAGGCAGATGGCGTCATGCAAGGAGTGTACGGCTATGTGGACGTCGCGCGACAGCAGCGTGGGGACACCATTACCCGTATCGTCCCTGGCTTCGTCAGTGGCAGCTCATGTGGTGGTAGCTGGCAGAATAACGGAGTTTCGCTCAATGCATCTGGCCCGACCTCGTTCCTGGTACCTGAGGGTGGTGACTCGCGTACCGAGCCTTCGGTCTCTCTCGACTCGGCTCTTTTGGACCACATTGATGTCCAGAGGAGGTCGTTCGTCGGAAGTATCCGTCGGTTGGAAGAAAAATTGGCCCTCAACCAAAAGATTGTCACTGCCCATGAACATGGCGAGATTTCGGACGCTATTTCGGCTGCCGCAATCAAGGTGGTTGAGCAGTTCCGTCCTTGGATTTCGACCATTGAGTCGATCAACCTTGTACCCCTGGGAACCAGCTTTCAGAACCCGCAACTGGTTGATTTCAGTCTGCAAAAGCAGCGCGTTTATGATGCCATTGGTGATTTCATCCTGAGCTGCCAGGCAGTCTCTGCCCCTCTGGCAGATGAGTGGGCGGAGCTGCGCGGCGATTCTCTTGATGACCGACTCACTGCTGTTCGCATGGTGGCCAAGCAACTAGAGAATTTCGTTTCTCAGATTGGCTTCTCGCTGTCTCTACTTCTTGAGCAGATTCCCGACGACCAGTCAGCCACACTGCGTAGCGAAAGTCGCCTGGATGAAGTGGATGAGTCTAAGGGGGCTCATGCCCGTAGTGAATCCCAAGCCAAGATCGCGAACGAGTCCATTGGCATTCCTTCCTCCTACGCTCTTGGTGGCGACAAGGTGCGCCGTAACATGGACAAGGCTCAGCGATTCTTCGGCCAGGCACCTCCTACTACTGTTACTCGTGAACCGCCCGTTCGGGAACCCGTCCGAGAGCCAGAAGAGACTCCTTGGTTCTTGAACATGGATCACGAAGGAGAGGTATTCTATGACACCAAGGCAGATATGCCAATTCTCAAGTGCGGAACACTGGCTGGCTTGGTTGAACATCTTACCCGTCACGACAAGCTTGATGCATCCTTCAACAACACTTTCCTCCTAACCTACCGCTCCTTTACTTCTGCATCTGAACTTTTCGAAATGCTCGTTCAACGCTTTAACATCCAGCCTCCCTTCGGATTGAACTCGGATGACATGCAAATGTGGATTGATCGGAAGCAGAAGCCAATCCGCTTCCGTGTGGTTAACATCCTCAAGAGTTGGTTCGACCATTTTTGGATGGAGTCTAATGATGAAGTGAACATGGATCTATTGCGACGTGTACACGCGTTCACTAAAGATTCTATTGCTACCACCAAGACTCCAGGAGCTCCTACTCTCCTCGCTGTTATTGAACAGCGACTTCGGGGTCAGGATATTTCCGTTAAGCGTCTCGTACCCACTCAGAACACCGCTGCGCCGCCACCAATCATCCCGAAGAACATGAAGAAGTTGAAGTTCCTCGATATTGATCCCACGGAGTTTGCTCGGCAGTTGACCATCATTGAGTCGCGCCTTTACTCCAAGATTCGGCCTACCGAGTGTCTGAACAAGACCTGGCAGAAGAAGGTTGGCCCCGATGAGCCGGAACCGGCCTCTAATGTCAAGGCTTTGATTCTGCACTCCAACCAGCTGACCAACTGGGTTGCGGAGATGATCCTGACCCAGGGTGATGTCAAGAAGCGTGTGGTGGTTATCAAGCACTTTGTTAACGTGGCTGATGTACGTGGCGTCCCTTCTGCCTACCCAATGAAATTTGCTAATCCTTGAAAACAGAAATGCCGCGCTCTCAACAATTACTCTACCCTCACCTCCATTATCTCGGCCCTTGGAACTGCCCCCATCCACCGTTTGGGTCGGACATGGGGCCAGGTTAGTGGTCGCACCTCTGCTATTCTGGAGCAGATGCGCCGCCTCATGGCGAGCACGAAGAACTTTGGCGAATACCGTGAGACTTTGCATCTTGCCAATCCTCCATGTATTCCATTCTTTGGTATGAATTTGTGACCGCAAATAGCGCCCCCATCTATTTGATTGGCCCCCACCTTTTCCCCTTGTCAGTGGGCCTCGAAGCTTACGCTTTTTAGGTGTCTACCTTACGGATTTGACTTTTATCGAGGATGGTATTCCCTCGCTTACCCCGTCGGAACTGATTAACTTCAACAAGCGTGCCAAGACCGCAGAGGTTATCCGAGATATCCAACAGTACCAGAACGTTCCGTATCTCCTTCAACCAGTTCCGGAACTCCAGGACTACATCCTCAGCAACCTGCAGGCCTCAGGTGATGTACACGACATGTACGACCGAAGTCTCGAGATCGAGCCTAGAGAACGAGAAGACGAAAAGATTGCAAGGTATGCCGAACAAGCCGCCAGAGACAAAAACTCTTTGCTTTTTGCAAGCACCGTTGCAATCCTGCGATGATCCTCTTTTAGCCTTGTTTGATTTTTTCTTTTCTTTTCCTTTTCTTTTCTTTTTCGGGCAAGGTGTCAAGCTCTTTTCGGCGATACCCAAATTTGACCTCATATTTGATGATTTTTGATTTTGTTTTTCTGGTTTGAACAAAGAAAAGAACACGCTTCAAAAGTTTGTGGAAGTTGAGACTAACCGGTTTTGATTTTTTACCCCGTAGATTGCTCTCTGAGTCTGGTTTCCTGTAAGCGTGTGGCGGAGACATCCCTGTCAAAGCTGCACCTGCGGGGGGCCGTCAACCCACCGAGGATCGTGGGCGTGGCCGTTCCAACGCCACAACGATATGCGCTCGAATCGCGCCAATGAAAGCTTGTGGCTGCATAGGGGTCGCCAGTACCAGCAATTGGTCTCACCATCCTGCGACTAGCAGGATTCGTGATGGCCCCCATTTTGGAGATGCCGGCCGTTGCGACCGTGCCCAAGACATCCTAGTCTGCGCACGAGCGCCTCATGATTTACCCTCATGGTTCGCCGGCACTTTAGCCGGACCTCTTCCGTGTTGCTTAAGCATCGGGATCATGCACCTCCTCCCCTCACTTTCAATCCTTTGCATGGAGCCCCGCGACCCTGTCGACCCTGTGGGGATACGACGGCGCTCATGAACGAATCATTCCAACTGCTCATCCGACTCCGTCACGGCAGTCGCCCTCTTGCATGCATGAACCCACGCTGCAAGCCCGATACCCTCGCTTCCTGCATTCGATATTCCTATTATTCTTTTCGACATAGGATTTTAGGGATCCGACTAGGGTTATTTTCTCCCTCCTTGACCAGCACGGATCCATCCGCCTCCTCACTTCCAGTCTGGTGCACAACCAGATTTACCATTTACCATGTACTTCACTGTCGCACATACCGGTCACAGTGTATATTTTTGACCGCTGTGTCGACACCGCCTCTTTACTTTTACCTTTCTCTTTTGTGATTACTTGGTTTCTACATATCCCTTGCTGTTTCCGCCGGAGTGAGGCGGCTGCTCTTTCTTCGGGGTTAATGTCTCCATGCCATTTCCTATAATGATATGTTACGACCTGTGGGTTGCGTTCATGTTGGATAAGCTTTTTCTTCCTCTGACTGTATCATTGCAGCAGGATGCTTGGTTTCCGTCTTGCTTTCTCTGTATCTATTTGTTTCAATAACCATCCGGTCTATACCCTGTCTTATCCGTGCTATTGGTGAATAGAATTTGATCTGTCTATACCTATCAGACTTTATCTTTGGATGCATGTTCCCCCTTGGATCGAATGTTGGGTCATTCCAAATACATAGTGCAGGGTTTATCCACTTAGTATGTGTTAAGCTCGTGATAGATCATTTTTCTTATATCATTTTCTTATCAGCAGGAATGCAGCCATGACAAATCTACGTCCGTCTATGCCAAGATAATAAGAAGCTTATTCTGCCAAGTGTCACAGACATCGATTCTAGTTCAATAAATGGGAAGTTCAATAGCGTAACAGTCGTAGCAATATCTATGCAATAAAGGTAGGTCTCCTTGCTGAATATCTCTAGCAGGTGAACTCTAAGATGCTGGAGTCGACTGATCCCCGATGTCCTGGAAGAGCTTCCTCTTGACCTCAGATGCCAGGAGTCCTTTTACCTCCTCCGATACAATGCGCTGTCCACCGCGTACAACCTTATCCAGCTGCTGATCCTTCGCTGTAGCCGAACCACCCCGCGGTCCACTATTCTCGATACCCCGCGCCGCTTTGCGCACCTTCTGGCTAAGATCCATAATCTGCTTGCTGCCGTAGTCCCGCGATGTGAAGAGTGGGCTCTGACTGAGCGTCGCGACCCAGTACTTGTTCCAAAGAAGAGACAAGATTTCAGTGTCGAGCGAGCTCTTGTAATGTGTGGTCTCAAGGGAATAGTACTGGTTTGCGTGTGCGCCAAAATCCTCCGCCTTGCCGAGCGGAATAGTCTGATACTCATCATCTTCATGGCCCTCCTTCGGCGGAGTAAAGTCCAACGGGAAAGTGCGGAATGCGCCAATCTCCACGCGGCCGGCGGAGATCGTGCGCTCCGGATCGATCACAACGGCCACAAACGGTCCCGTCATCTGTTGTGTCTGTTGCGTGGCTACGTCGATACCGGATAGCCAGCAGCCATACCCGGGATGACTGTGGTACCAACCCACGGCATTCTCCATCCGCCCGGCATCCCGACACGATTGCAGATACGACACCATGTATTCGTTCGCCTCGTCTTGAGCGTTCACGCGAGTCTCGGTTCCTTCGACGGGTAGCCGGAATGCGTCCGTCACGACGAATGTGTTTGGCAGGATGTAGCCTTGCATCAGGCCCATGACTTCTAGAGATCCGCCAGAGCGGGCGTGCATCACCATCTTCAATAGTGCTGTTGCGGAGATGCGGACCGATTTGAAGTAGTACGGGTCTGTGGCCCAGGGCCGTTCGGCGTTGAGGGACTTTTGTGTGGCTTCATCGTACTGATAGAGGGCATCGCGTTGGGGGTCGAATATGCTGATGGCGTTCTCGAGCTCTGGATTTCTCTTGGTGGTTAGTCTGGAAGCTCTAGCTGTCACTGTGATTGAGGAGGGAGAAGGAAGCTAACCCCAGGACTGCTGTGCAGCCTGCATTTTTGTAGACGGTGGCGAGAAGACAGAGAGGTGATGATTGGGAGAGAGAGTATGAAGTGAATAGAAACTTGAATGCGAGATTGTTGAAGCAACGATAAGGTTATCTTGGAGGGGAATCACGGACAGCTTGTCGACGCAGTGATGAAGCGTGGAGAGAAGCGGTGGGGCTATTGTGGGCAGAATCAGGGCGGTAAGATAGCTGAGTCAGCCGTTGCCCCTGGAAACGATCGGCCCCAAACAATCAGAGCGCGGGAGATTGAACCTGTTTGCGATCCAGCCCTGCTTTCTCCTCCCTTCCCCTCATAAACACCCCCAAGTCTTCCCACTCGAATCTCCATGCCTCTCAACTGACGAGTCCTATCACCCACCTTCGTTATTTTCTTTGTTTGGAGGCGTCTGTTGGAATTTCCGTGCCTTGGGCTGCCTGCTTGGATCCCTTCGGCGTCGCTGTCGCACTGTCGACAACTCTGTCGTTGGAGTGAATCACATTCCTTGATTGACGCTTTCAATATTGCTGTCGCCGAGCTTGGTCATTAGCAGTCATGGCTGTCGACACGAGCTACCTGACCACTCAGGTCAACAACATTGTCGAGCAGCTCCATGGCATCTTCGATCAGATTGGAGTTCCCACGCATGAGCGCGACTCGCGCGAATCAGAGGTAGGCTGGATGTGAGCCTGCCATTGTGTTTGTATATGAATACTAAACGCGATCATAGCTGTTCAATGCTCTGTCAGAAACACTAAACAACCATCTCAAGCTTGTTGACGAGTGAGTTTGCGCCTTTGTAAACAAACCATTACCCTTGCGACTAGAACTAACATCACATGTTACACAGAGAAAAAGATAAAATGACACAAGAAGCTCAGCGCCTTATTACGACGATTCAACAGATGGAGGCATCCCTGGGTGATGAGCGCGCTAATGGTCAGTACGAGCTCAATCGTGATGATCTGCGCGTCACCTACCCCCTCAACCGATGCATCGCATTTTTGCGCGAGAAGAACGAGGCGATGACCAAGCTGCACCGTGAGCGCTTTGAGCAGGTTAAGAGTGAGTTGCGAGATACGCGCCTATTGTTGTATATCAATAATGCTAATCGTCCGCAGAACTGGTTGACGCCCTTGAGTCCTACTCGTCCCACCTCGAGGCTTCATTCCTTACAATTGAACTGCCTCCCACCGCACCAGGCTCAGTAATCCCGCCAAGCTTCGATCTCTCGCCTGCATACGTGACAGCTCTCGACTCCGAATTCTCCCGAGTCTATGAAGAATACCACCGCCGCATTTCTTTCGTCCAGACAACCTCCGAGGAGATCATCAAGCACTGGGCCGAGCTTGGCACCCCTCAAGTGCAAACCGATTCCAATATTGTTAAACACTACCGCGAGTCTCCCGAGCAGCTTGGACTTCACGAGGCCGATCTGGCTAATCTGATGGCCAAGCGTGACAAATTGGTGGAGGAGAAGAAGGGACGCGAGCGCAAGATCAAGGAGCTCCGGGCTAACGTCGAAAGCCTCTGGGAGCGATTCGGAGTTGAGGAATCAGATCGCAAGGCTTTCCTTTCTGCCAACCGTGGCTGTGGCCTCCGCACTATCAACGAATTTGAAGAGGAGCTGGCTCGTCTCAATGAATTGAAGAGACAAAACATGCACTTATTTGTCGAAGATGCTCGTTGCCGTCTGCAGGAACTGTGGGACAGCTTGTACTTCTCGGAGGAGGAGATGCTCGACTTTACTCCTGCCTTCTCCGATGTTTGCAGTGATGCTTTGCTCGAGGCCCATGAGGCTGAGATCTCCCGCCTGGAGACACTCAAGGAGCAGCGCGCGCCGACCCTTGAATTGATCGAGAAGCACCGCAGCCTTCTGGCTGACCGCCAGGCTCTATCTGCATCCAGCCAAGATGCCTCCCGGCTCATGGGCCGTGGGAACAAGGGCGAGAAGCGTGACCCTGGCAAGCTTCTCCGTGAGGAGAAGATGCGCAAGAGAATTGCAAAGGAGCTGCCCAAGGTTGAAGCTGAATTGCGCAAAGAGCTTGAGCACTGGGAGGATGAGTTTGGTCGACCTTTCATGGTCTACGGTGACCGTTATCTCGATAGCTTGACTCCTACAGTCGCCAAGCCCCCTCCTCGCTCCAAGACCCCCTCTGCACCTCCATCCACTACCAAGTCTGCTGTCAGTGCTACTAAGCGCGATCCAATCTCTCGCCCTGGTAGCTCCATGCGTGGACCACCTCCACCTCGATCTGCCACCAAGACCCCGACAAGCAGTGGGCCTGTGAAGCACAACACTATCGGCTACTCTGGTGTTAGTCGCGCTGGAGCTAGGTCTCCTTCCAAGCTTCCTGCCCGGGCTCCCTTGAGCAATGTGCCGTATGGCAGTAGCTCTCCTGAGCGCCGTACCGGACCTGGCACTTATTCCTCCAGCACAGTCAACGGCAAGATGCCGCCTCCTCGCGGGCCTCCACCCAGAATGCGCGCATTGACCGTGGAGTCCAAGGAGCGTGGCAGCTATGCAATGGAGCCCCCGCGCTGTAACAGTGCTATGTCGACCGCTTTCGTCCGGCCTGTGAGCCCAGAGGACGTCTATGATGACCGCCAGCGGTCTTTCATGAGCGCCTCTGTCATGTCCAATCACCGGTCCACTGGGTTCTCTCAATCATCCCACTCGTCCCAGTCGTCCTTGAATTCTTCACTACAAGGATTCCCGCGCATCAACCCCTACCTGTCGCAAGCACCCCCTCCACCTGCTCTCCGTCAAACCTCCAACTCATCCACCGTCAACACTGCTACCTCCGGCTCGGAGAACTGGGAGACCTTCGACGATGCTTCTGGATCCGAGGCAGACGCTAGCGAGGTCTACTACTCCAAGCTGCGGGCAGCAGCACACGGCAAGCGATTTGCCCCCGAGGATGCTGTCGACTTGATGGGAAAGAAGTCCAAGGGTATTCGCAGCGTCAGTCCTGACGGTCCGCACCCCGGCCAGATGATCCGCGTCGCTGGTAGTGACACAGAATGGACTGACGATTACGAGACCTACTGATGAGATGTGTTCCACTTCCCCATACAAAAGGTGTTGATATCAGCTTCTTGTCCCCTGCCCTAGATACCCGACGCTTATCACACCCTTCGACACCCCTGGAGCTTGTTTCTTTCCTCCTGATTTCCTGGCGCCCCGGGCATACGAGCTGTGGTTACGCAATCGCTTGGCTTCCTGACGATCCCATGACTGGACTCTGTCTGTATGGCTCATGTTGACGATCCTTCTTTTCACGATTGAGCTCTCTCAGATTCCATCGGGCTGGTGTTTATTCCGCACGCAAACTCATACCCGATCTTCCCCCTCGCCGATTTTGAATTTTACCCTCCTGCCTTTCTGTGTTCAAAATTACGAGTTCTATCATGTCAATCTTGTTTATGCTCCTTTTCTTCTGTCGATGTTTATCACGTCCGCCGCCGGTGCTGTCCATGTCTACAGGCCGTGCATCGCGAGGGGTGTCTTTCTCTTGTCCGCTTACTGCGGATGGATTATGTCTCTCTAACTTGGCGGACGCGTTTGTTTAATCTTTCCTTTTTGTACGTTTCTCATGGGTTGGCATGGTGTTATTTACTTTTTTTTTATTGTCTGTGTTGTATGGTTTTTCTGCGGATCGGTGCTTATGGTCTTACTTATTCCCTCGTCTTGGTCTCCTAGGTCCCTGGAGTCAGACTTTTCTTTTTTGTCGTGCTGGATCTTGCCCGGCTCCTATGTTCATGTTCAAGTGTTATTTTCTAGCGCGTTACAGTGATTTTGTGTTTGTGTAGTTTTCTCTGATAATATTATTTTCTGATTCGAAATTTCATAAATTGATTTCATTTCCAAACTTGTCTAGTCGTAAGATGGAGGAGTGTGTTCTGAGATCACCATTATTTCGAGGTCTTCTCGAGGATAAACCTGACCAGTGCCTCTCGTCCATCCACTTTCATCGGGCCATCCGTATGCATCGCCCCAGAGACCTCTTTCATTGAAATGTCCAGCCCGAGGTCTTGACCTCTCCTCTCCAATTGTCCAGCCACATATGGAGGAATCACTTCGTCCTTCTCGGCAGACAAAATAAAAATCGGCGGTATTGATTGAGACGCATCCGAATTTTCATCTCGCCACTCACCCAGTCGCTCCAAATTTGTCGCATTGCACCAGGTATTCCACGAAAATGGCCATAGATATCGATATGGAAGCCATCGCTGAGGATACAAACTGATAAGCATGTCTTTGATACTGGAGGTTGGTGCCTCCATAATCACACCCGAGATTGGCGCCAGCTTTGCATCATTTGTGGATTGTTGGGTTTCGCGCTGCGTGAGATATGTAGGGAGCGCGGAGCATGCGACGGATGAGCCGAGGCTATGGCCCCAGAGAATGACTTGTAGATCGGTCTCTGGAGATGAATATGTTTCGGAAACCCATTTTAGAAATGCTTGGGCGTCGAGTTTAATTCCTGATTGTGTTGCTCGGCCGGATGATGTCCAGTAACCACGGTATGAGAGGGCGACTATAGTGAATCTGGTTTGGTGAGATGATGATGATGTTGATGATGTGGTCTTCGACATGGTCGAGATAGTCCTCAGGACTTGTGACAGGAGTGGTAATCGAAGAGGAGTTGAGCCTCCATTGCCTTGGAAGTAACATATCACCACTGATTTTGTCTTCTTCCCCGTGACGACTGGTTTCTGGCTGTCCTTGGTTGGGATATACCCTTCACAAACAGCCAATTTGGTCCCATCCAGGCTGTGAATTTGCTTTTCTTCCCAATGCACGGGCTTGCATTCAGCCTCGTATTCGGCGATTTTATCAGATCGCGAGAAAGGCGGTAGCCATGACAGGTATAGGAGCTTGTTTTGCATCACAATGATCCAGAAGCATTTCCATGTCCACAGGCCGAGAAGAAGCCCGACGAAGATGGCTGGCGGGTAGAGAATAGGTGGAATGGATTCGGTGAGGAAGGTGCGCAGCTGTTGGTTTGCTCTTAGCCGGAGCTCATTTTTATTATGGCACAGGCTTGGCCTCTTGCATGTATTGTGATGGATGTATTGTTGAGAAACTCCCAGTGGAAGACGTTGGGAGCATGTCTTGGTCTGTAAGTTGCCATGGCTATAGCGCCCGATGCGCGGCAATAATGATCTCCCCCGCATGCAGCATACGTAGGTATCTTTCACACACTCGGAATTTACGGTTGATATCGTTGAGATTGATATTTAGGACCAAGGGTTGCGCTGATTTGTAGCTGGAGAGATCTCAATTGCCTTTTTTTGATAACGGGATCAGGTCACATGACCATGACATGGTCCTCATATATTAGGTCCACCTCTGCCGGTTCAAATGGGTGCTATAATGGAGAACCAAACTTGCTATACCTGCATTCTTCAGGGTAATAAGTAAACGCTATGAGTAAAAAGAGAACCCGAGGGGAAGCCGAATCTGAAATCGAAATGCCGGAGCCGATCCTCGGTATCCCACGCCACATTGCCGAATCGGCATGACATTTACAAGGCAAAGAGGTTGGACTTTACTTTAAGAATTTGATGTGGGCTGAGCATGTTGTACAGCCTGGTCTTACTATAGTTTGGTCGTTCAACCTGCTCCAACCTTGAGTGAACTCAATGGTGTTGCCCCCACACATGGGGTGGATCCACGAGCACCCCACTGTTGATACTGTACATCAGATACATGATAGGATAGATGAATAGTGGCATAAAGACTGAAGATGTTCAATTCTAACGCGTTCGGTCTACTGTACTATCATGATCGTAGAAGGGAGATGTCCTCGTCTCATAAAAACGCAAAAAGCCACAAGGAAAATGCAAAAAACCCCAGACGCCCTTCTATGCCAGCAAAGCATGAATCTTAGTGTCCTCTTCCCCAATTTACTGGGCCGCGCACTGCGCTGGCTCCTCGTCATCTTCATCATCGACCCAGGCCGAGCCACCATGTGCGTCTCGAGCACCGAAGTCGTCCATGTTGCCGTTGGGGTCGTACGAAACCTCGTCAACGGTAGTGGCCTCAATAGCCGGGTCGGGCTTAGGAAGCAACTCCTGGAGCTTCGCGAGCACTTCAGGAGTGGGCTTCCACGACTCATCGGGGAACTTGACGTTCACAAGCAAGTAGAGATCACCCCGAGCGTCGCTGCGCTTTATCGGCATACCCTCACCGGGGACCTTGAGGACTTGTCCGGTGGACAGAACCTTGCCAGCCGGGTGAGTAATCTCAATACCACGTCCATCGAGATGCTTCAACACAACGCGGGAGAATCCGGTCAAGGCCTCGGCCAGGGTGATGTCAATAGCTGCTCGCAGATCGGAGCCAGCACGGTCGAAGACTTCGTGCTCCTCCTGGATCAATTTGAAAACAATATCGCCATTTTCGCGGTCTGGAATCTGGTCCGCCTCGCCTTCCAAGACAATCTTCTCTCCCTCGCTGGAAGCATTGTTAGCATCGCGTTGATGATCCAAAGGACTCCAGATGACTCACCGAGAGCCGGGGGTAATGTAAATCTCCAACATCTTCTTCTCCTCGGTTGTCCGCTTTCCCTTGCACTTCTTGCACTTGTCCTTGGGGCTGAAGAACGAACCCTGGCCGTTACAAACGGAGCAAGGCCGCGTCTGCTTGGTCAGGAACTGTCCCATCTGAGTGATCACCTCCTGAAGACCGTGGCCATCACAAGTGGAGCACTTCTTGGCCGTGGCCTTCTCCTTTCCACCCTTGCCCTTGCACAAGCTGCAAATGACGTTCTTGGTGCTAGCAAACTTGACGGTCTTGCCCTTGTATAGTTCCTCCAAGCTGACCTCATAGTCCTGCTCTTCGTCAGGGCTTCTCCGGGGTCGGCCGCCTCCAGGCATACCACCCATACCGGGCATGCCGCCCATCCCAGGCATACCACCCATACCTCCGCTGAACATCTCGGCGAACATCTCCTCAAAGCCCGCAGGCATGCCTCCCATGCCACCACCCATGCCAGGCTCACCGGCACCGTTAAAGGCGTTCATGCCATGTGTATCGTAGAGGTGGCGCTTGTCATCGTCGGAGAGAATTTCGTAAGCCTTCTGGACATTGATGAACTTGGCTTCGGCCGCGGGGCGCTCGTCTTCAGGGACTTTGTCGGGGTGGTTGGCAAGAGCAGCCTGTGATATTTTCTGTCAGTCTTCACCCTAAAACGATGGAAAGCGACACCCGGTTTACCTTCCGGTAGGCCTTGCGAATCTCGTCTGTGCTCGCGCCTCGGTGGATCTCTAGGACCTCTGTATTGGGAGTCAGACCCGATCAGTCTTGAATTCCCCCAGATCAGTATACAGAAGTGATGGCACATACCATAGAGGTCAACTTCGATTTCAGCCACTAGAGATTTTGTCAATAAGGAGTCCAACAAACACAAATGATTACAGGCGATAGGAAGACATACTGGTCGCGGTTTAGAACGAGTGAAGTAAACTTGGAATACGAGAAGGATGGCAAAAAATATGCGCCACTGGTTTTCAACCGAGAAACCAGGCCAAGCGCGATGTGAAAGGCGAGCGAGGTGAAGAAGGATGAGATGTTGATTCAGCGGAGTAGCCAACTGAAATTTTGTCGGGCAGTCGCGCGGAGCTGCCGAACCTCCGCAAAAAAATCCCCCCAGCCCGATCAAACGCTCCTCCAGTCACCCTCGCATCTTCAATTTTGATCCTTATGAGGAGCCTACGCAACGGGCTTTTTGCCCGGAGATCGTGGACCTGTACTCAATGCAGAGGCTTGTCTTCTTCCGCCGGCGCAAACGTTCGCAAACCGAAGAACAATCTTCCCGATGGCCCGGCGCGAACGCGCTTTGCGCCCTCTCCGACCGGTTATCTTCATTTAGGATCGCTACGGACTGCGCTGTTTAATTACCTACTCGCCAAGCGAACTGGAGGTCAATTCCTCTTGCGCATTGAAGATACGGATCAGGTCTGTCCGCCATTCTCTCATGGCGTGGGGAGCCACTGCTGATGTGCATAGAAACGTACGATTCCGGGAGCAGAGCAGCGACTCTACGATGACCTCAGGTGGGCTGGATTACATTGGGATGAAGGTAGGCTTAATGGGATTGAATGGGTGCAATGAAAAGGCTTGGGCAGAGGCTAATCAGGCGACCGCAGGTCCTGTCGTTGGTGGCCCATATGGACCATACAGACAAGTAGGTATCTACATCCGGTTTGAATCAAAGCATAGCTAACAAATGGCACTCATAGTCTGAGCGAACAGCCCTCTATCGAACCCACGCCGACGAACTAATCTCTAACGGCCATGCCTACCGATGCTTCTGCTCTTCCGAGCGCCTCGATTCATTCGCGCGTCACCGCAGCCAAGCCGGGCTCCCTTCCGGATACGATAGAAAATGCGCGGACATCTCCTCTGAAGAGTCCGAGGACAGAGCATCCAAGGGCGAGTTACACGTCGTCCGGTTGAAGGTCGAAGGATATCCCATGTTCCATGACTTGGTATATGGCAAAACGGGACAGAACAAGACGAACAGCAGCAAATTGGATTTGATTGATCGAGTTTATGATGATCCAATTCTATTGAAGTCCGATGGACACCCCACATATCACTTGGCCAACGTGGTGGATGACCACTGTATGAAGATTACTCACGTTATCCGGGGAACGGTAAGCGCTTTTTATACTCCTCCAATCGCTAGTGAGCCTTTACTAAGAGGTTTCAGGAATGGATGCCCTCCACGCCAATGCATGTGGCATTGTACAATGCTTTCAAGTGGACACCACCACAATTCGGCCATGTTCCCTTGCTCGTCGACAAGAGCGGGCAGAAACTCAGCAAGCGGAATGCAGACATTGATCTCTCCTCTTTCAAGGATCAGCAGGGAATCTTTGCTGCGACCTTGGTCAACTTTGCCGCGCTTTTGGGCTGGTCCCATTCCCAGAAATCCGATGTCTTCAGCTTGGAGGAGCTTGAGCAGATTGTATGTTCATCCAGCTAGCTGTCATGAACTGGATAGATGCTAACAAAATTCCTCTAGTTCAACCTCAAGATTACCCGTGGTAACACTGTCGTTGCATTTGAGAAACTCTGGTTCCTGCAGAAGGCACACGCGCAGCGATTCGCAGCAACTGGAGGCCTTCAATTCGATGAAATGGTGAACAGAGTGTGCACTGTCGTTGAAGATGGCTACTCTGTGGACAAGCTGTGAGTGCATCCCCGGAATCATCGCAGACCTTGGTATTCTAATTGAACGCTCCAGCTCTCCTATACTCCAGGGCCGCGCCCTGTCAGAGTATATCGCACCTCTCCTTCGGGCCGACGCCAAAACATATACCACTGCTGAAGAATTTACTCAGCGCAATTCTACGTTCTTCACTACACAACTTGCCCGAGCTCCATACACATCAACCTCCTCTACCTCGACAGAAGCACCTACAGTTCCAATGCAAGCGCTCCACACGGCAGCCGCGGCTCTTACTCTCGTACCGCCAGCTCACTGGACCATTGAAACCCACCGCGCAAACATCACCTCCTACGACGGCTCCGATACTGTCACAATCCCAGCTGAGACTGCGGATGCGATTAACCCTGACAAGATCTTCAAGAAAGAACTATACCATTACCTCCGCTGGGCATTGTCAGCTTCCGCGCCTGGCCCTGGTATCCCTGAGATCATGACTATTCTGGGACGGGAGGAAACGGTTCGTCGAATTCAGGATGCGAAGACTCTAACAAAGTCCCTTGTGCCGCAGACTGGAAGACGAGTCCCAAAGGGAGAGAAGAAGTTGCAAGAGGACCGGAGTTGGATGGGGACTCTTGCTCCTCAGACATGATTTAGAGGCAGTAGTGTTCAATAATTAGCGAGGAATTTGTACGATAGTCAAATGTTGTCATGCAACATGTTTACAGAACGAGAAGTTTATACAAATTCGGATTACTTCATCTTATCAGTTGTCCAATTCCCTGACCATAACTGAAAGTTCTCAAACTGAATACGGCGAACGATTTGCATCGAAAGAGGACCCTTCAATAGCTCGATGTAAGCGCCTCATCTTGCAAGTCTATATCTAAATCTACTGAATTCTATCCAAAAAAGCCGCAATCCTACGATACATCTCCACCGGATTAGAATACATAGGAAAATGCCCACTCCCCTCCACCATCGCCAACTCCACCCTCTCCTCCTCCTCCAAATGCCCCAAATACGACAACCCCCGATTCTCCTCCCCAAACATAAACATCTTCGGACAAGGCAGCCCCAAAAACTTCTCCATCAACTCTCCATAATCAGACAAATGCACCATAGACTCGAAAATCGGTCGTACAGCACCAGCTCTTACTCGCGCGCGCAGCGTGCTCGCGTATAAAGCACTACCATAAGATTTAGCTTTCCTTGTACGATCGATAAACTCGTCGAAAAAGGCCTCCGCATCATCAGTGGGGAAGGTAAAGATTTGTCGACTGAGGAAACAATCTTCCGGTGCGAGATTGCCCTTTATATCGATGAAGCTGAGGACTCGGTTTTGGTTTTCGTGGGCGAGGATGAGGGCTGTTAGGCCGCCCATTGAATGGCCTATAAGGTGGAAGGTGGTGATTTCGAAGTACTTCAGGACGGCTTCGGCTGTGGCGACTAGGAATGGGATATTGGTTGCGGAGAGGTTGTCGCTGGTTGAGTGGCCGCATCCCGGGGCGTCGAAGGCGATGAAGCCGTGTTTTTGGAGGGAGGGGTGAATTACTAGATCTGCTAGGTCTTCTTTGCAGGATCCGAAGCCGTGTAGGAATAGAATTGGTGGGTTGGAGTTGAGGGTGTGGATTGTAGATAGGTTGAGGTTGACACCCTTGACTTGAAGGGGGACTGTTGTGTAGGTGAGTGACATGGTAAATGAGTGTTGAAAAATGGCAATTGAATCGAGGGTTGCTTGTGGGAAGATATCTGTGTTGAAGGAAATATATATGCATTTAGAAGAAGTGTGTATGAAGAGATGAGATCGGGATCGGCCAACTCGTTCGGCACCTTGAAATTTTGCCGTCTCGGATCGGTGGGGCTTGGAGACCTTTTTTCATGTCCGATCCATGGATCAGAACTTGATGAATAATGCCTCGAGGTCAGGTACAAGTAATCAAAGAAAAAGACAAGTCTATGTGTGAAAGTGAAAGGAATATCCAGAGTAGCACCCAAATAATAGGTATTGGAATGGAAGTATGAGAGACGAAAGGAAGAAGTAAAAACCAAAGCAAAGCCGCCACTCCCCTTCTATGCATGCATGCTCAACCGAAAGTAAAAGAAAACCAGCAACAGTAATAATAAATCCAGAGAAAAGAACAAGAAGCCCCAATTTTACTTGTCCCACAGCCAGGGAACCCCCAGGAATGAAAAACAAACACGAATCGAACGCCTATATACGGCCCCGCTGTACATAGAGGGTATCTAAGAGTAAGACAAGAGGCCAGGAGGAAAGACACAGAGGGTGTGTTGGAGAAGTGCTTCACACGGGGTGATTAATAGATAAGGCGGGTGGCCGAGTGTTGAAGGCCAGAAGGGGGAGGGGAGGAGTGGGTGACCGAGGGTGAAAGGATGAGATGGAGAGAAGGAGGTGGTGGGTTAGGGTGGTGAGCAATATGCTATCACTTCCGGTTCATCAATTTCCGGCCGAAATTGCGGATGGTTCTCTTGTGACTAGATGATTGTTAGAGTGTTGTTTGTAATATTGAAATGGATAATCTCACCTGTCATCTTGTTCAGAGCCATTGGCACTGCCACTGCCAGCGATGACAGTAGTGACGGTGTGGCCCGAGGTCATGGGTCTGATGGGCGCATTGACAAAGCGGCGCGATTCCTATAGGATTAGTTAGCATGAGCATGTACGAGTGGTAAAATGATAGGGCAACACTAAACGCACCTCCCAACGAGAATCCACATCAACTTCATTAGCAGACTTAGAGTCGCTAATGGTATTATCATGGTTCTCCCGAGCATCCGAATTGAGAGACAGAGAACGAGCCAACGGCGAAGGATTCGACTGCATAGACTTTCGCGACGGCGACTCAGAATAATACTCACTATTCGAGTCAAAGCTCGCCAGACTGTTCGCTTGACTTCGATCGAAATTCGACAAGCTACCCGAATTAGGCAAGAGTTGAGACGAAGACGCAAGCTCTCGGAAGCGCTTTTGCTGCTGCTTGGATGGTCGGTGGTGCGAGAACTTGTTTCCCAGGATGGCGGGGGCATGCGAAATGAGCGCCTTGATGACATCCTTCTTCAGGCGCAGAGCTAGATCCAAGTTGGACCATGTCTTGTTGCTGTATTCCAGAACTGGCAGCCGGAAGACAAAGTCGTGAAGATCTTCGATGTTGTGCTCTCCTTTGCCCTTGTAGCTCATGCAGAGAACCACGTCGTGAACCTTGACCCGAGCCAGGGTCATGTAATTCGAGGCTCGGGACATCATTTGCGAGAGATCATCCGTGGGTTCCTTGGATTTACCGCGAGATCCCTTGCCAAGACCGAACTTCTTCTTTTCTTCGGTGCTTGTACTGTGGCTGGATAGGGATCTTTCGGTGGGCGCCTTCGCCAACATGCGTATGCTATCCACGGATCGTTTCTTCGCAAGGCTGCCTGCAAGACTACCTGTGGTTGCAGGACGGGGCAGTCCTTTACTAGGATCTGGCACACCAAGGCGAGCGGTGTTGCTTCTCGGAATGGGCGTCATTGCAAGGCCCTTGAGATGGGTGGAGCGACGACTGGACCTGCCCTCTTCGGAGAGCGATAAGGTTGGCTGGAGTCTCAATTCGATGGATCCGGGGCCCTTAGACACGATTGACAGGTCATCCATGGAGCCATTGTCATCATCGGTCCTCATCGACTGAGTCATGCTTGGGTTGTTCGAGTCGTCCTCGTCATCATCTTCGTCCTCGGATGCATCAAGCGGTTTCATGTTCTTGATCATAAAAGGCGAGAAACCGCCGTTCTCAAACGCACCGGAGCCCATATTCGGGAAGATGTACTCGAAGAGTCTTTGACCAAGCTCGCGCTCCAACTGTATCTTGAGAGGGAACAAAGATACTTCAAAGTTGTCGACAACGGGAATACCCGCCACTGCTTCCATCAAGTGCCATCTAACACGCAGCATGAAATCGTTCAGGGGCCGCGGTTGATCCAGATACGGAGCAATGATCTGAGGATAAATCGCATCCGGCAGAAGATTAAGTCCACTGAGTTGCTCGACAGCCACGATGTTGTGGTTGGAGCCATCGGTGTTGTCAGTGCGCTCGTACTGAGCATTCCTGAGTTGGAACTCGACGAGAGGAGCAGATGCCTCCTTCATTAAATGCCAGACCACTTCAGTAGCAGAGATACTCCAGCGCAAGACACCATCTGTCTTAGACGACATCGGATCAGCCCGTCTTTGAGCGGTGGTGATTGCCTTCATCATGAAGAACAACTCATCCTCACATTGAGACAGGTCGTGCTCAAGTGCCAAACGATCTTCCCAGCCCTGCTTATCCAAGTACTTAGCATTGATCTGAAAGTATTCTTTAATCTCCTCAAGTTGTCGGATGCGGGACTGTAGTTTGAACACAGCCTCGGGGGCGCCGCGGAGATCACTGAAGTCGGACGTGAGCATGATCTTCTCCAAGCGCTCATTGCGAACTTTCTCAAGTGGCTCGCTGTAAAGCATGAGATCCAACACAATGATGTACAAGGAATAGTACTCTGCAGAATCGCAGATCGCTCGGAAGTGAGGAAAGTCAACACTAATCTGGTCCATCCTGGTTTCGTCGCCTCCAGGGTGCGGGCCCGGGTGACCCTTCGCAACCTCCTCGTTATACTTCAACCGCAGGTTGTTGTACTTGTCATAGCGGAGGCTGGCAGAAGTCTTTTGAACGATGCGAGAGAATCCAAATGGATTTAGTTCAAAGTCAGACATCGCTTCCAGGGTCAACCAAGGTGGCCACGCAGATCCTGGCGCATTGCCGTACTTGTTACCAGCATAGAACTGCAAATTCGCCATGAGGTTCTTCTGCGTCGCGACGAAGAACTGGGCGCCGTCCATTTCGAGAGAGAAGCGGCGCTGGACCAAGCCGCTGACATCGTCGGAGACACGTTCCTTGTCCATGATTGAGACAACCTTAAGTTCCATGCCTTTCGCAGCCACCATCAAGACAGACTTGCGGTTCTTCTCGCTCATGAATTGGATCTGAGGAGCGATAAGTCGCAAGTAGTAGCTGTTCTGCGGAGTGAACTCTGGCGCAATGTTTTCACTGGAATTGTCGGAAGTTGAAGGCGACTGGTTCTGTGATTCGGATGGTTCAGTCTCTTCGACATTGACATATCGCTTCGCGTCATTAAGGAGCTGCTCGATGCGGTCTTCCACGTCCTCTTCATCATTGTCGCTGAGAGTGTGCGACTTTGACATTTTAGGCTGCTTCCGTTTGTTCTTGTTTTGCTCCTCCACAATGTCCAGAATGAACTTGACTGCACGTCGAGACATGTAGTAGACGAAGCCCCGTCGCTGACTCACTTGATGGCTGTAGCGCAGGATGATGTTGCGAAGTGAGTTGTTCCACTTCAACTGCACATTGTGAATCATGAAACGGTTGTTAAAGTCGCTAGAGAAATCATCGGCAGCGGACGAGTAGAGCCCATCAATGCCCGATGCCCGTCCATCGGTGGTTGAGTCTCCATCTAGACCAGCTCTGGATGAGGTTTCGCTCGCAGCCGCACTAAGACCTGACTTATTACGATTTGGAGTTCGTTCATCGCGTGCCAAATGTCTTTCGAGCCGGTCCAGGGTGGAGGTCAAGAATCGTCGGCGCCTAGCAAGGGACTCGGCCTGGCGGAGGAAGACCTCGTGTCGGGCCTTCAGACTTGGATCATTTTCGACATCCTTCATCAATTTGAGTTCTTGCTCTCCAATCGTACGTTCGTAATTCTGAATCTGAGCTTCAACCGTGGCAAGGCGATCCTTCGTCAACTCGATTTGGACACGGCGAGGATCGTTGGTCTCGGACATAACACAGTCATGAGTCGGTTCGTGGCCGAAAGTACTGTAACCGGTCTCCTCAGGTCCAAGGTTCTCGTGGTCTGTCTGTCGGAAGTAGGTAAAACGCGGGGTAAACGCAAGAGGCAAGATTTGTGTCCGGGGATTGGACTCTTGAGGAAGAATCCAGTCAGGCTCGACAAAGTCGTCCATATCAATCCAATCAAGATTGTGATCGGGAATTGTGAACTTGGAGAGATCAACTGAAGGCAATGGCTGTTGGAAAGATGAAATGATATCATCCTTAATTGATTCGAGATCCTCGGCATTCGTGCCTTCAATACTGGCAGAAACGGCTCGGAAATCAGCTGATTGCAAGTCGATCAGGGCTTGATTAATGCGCATCGCACTAGTCTTGGTCTGCTTGGAGCGACCTCTGGCCTGAGTCTTTATCTGCTCACGTCGCTGGTGGATGTCCAACTTCAAGGAATCAAGGCGGACCTTGAGACCCGTCGCAGTCACAACATTTTCGGCATAGTCTTCGCGGTCCTTATGTTTGTAGATATGCGCTAAAAACAACGGTGCAAGAAGAACCTTGTACTTGACTGTTGCCAGGTGCCGGTTGAATTTCTTGCTGGTCTTGGTGATTCCTGGGAACAGTGGACCCTGGCGAACGGGCAGAGACATCACACCGGAGAAGAGCGACCACCAGTTGAAGAAGTGGGTGAAGAAGCGAGGAGTCAAGTGAGTGGTGTTGTAACTTGAAGATGGCTGCACATCATCCACAGACCAGTTCCTGCTCTGAGGAGCAATGACCGAGACAGACAGGTGGATATGGTCACTGCGGAAGCCACGGAAAGCGTCATAGCCCGCACGCTCTGCAGGATCAACGAACTTGGGGTTCTTGAGAACAACATCGTAATGCGGCCTGAATTCGAAGGACCGCGAATCGGAGTCGACATCACGCTCAAAGACCAATCCAGTTGCCCACTTCACATCACCAGACAGTTTCATGACGACCTTCTTGAAATGAGCCGCATTCTTCTGCTCGCTGGATGCGGAGCTGCTGTCCATGTCTTCCGTAGTCGATTCGTTTGCCCATCGAGCCTCCGCGCTGTAATCTGGAATGGCTAGAACGTATTCACCACTGGTCACGCCCATGAACTCCATCGGGTCATCACTGCAATTGATTTCCCACTTGACATCTCTTCGCCAGCACATGACGAAGCCGCTTCCAAATCCAGTCACAACGTAAGGATCGCGAGAACCTTTGAGGCGCAAATGGACATCGCCATCTTCTTTCCAGAGCACCCTGATGCGAGAGTGGAAGCTGAGTCGAATCTTGTCCCAGAATCCGACTCTCTCTGAAAGGTCGATTTCGGGCTTGGTAAAGCCTTCGATGATTTTCATCATGTCTTGAATGACGGGCTGGTACGAGACTCCCCAAGAAATACTCGTAGGCATGCTAGTGTTGATCTCAATTACGGGTTCGGAATAAGTCTTCACGGGCGTGACAGACCGCCACACCTTGATGTGGAACGGATCGCTATGAGAGCCGTCGGAGAGATCGGTAGGCGGAACAAGTTCCACTTCTACCTGTCTGGCAGATTGATGATCGCGGAATTCTTCAGCAATAACAAAGTTCGTCCTCAAAGACCAGCTAGGCAGCCTGGGAGACTGTCCAGGTCGTAATGCTGGAATATGAAGGAGGTCAAGAGGATAATCACGCAAGTTGACACGCGCTTCTCCCATTTCCAGATTGAAGCTCATGGGGACAAGTAAGCCATACTTCATCTCCAGAGGCATTCCCTTACCAATTCGGTTGAGGAATGTGGGGAACTCGTCGATCGGGAACGTGGGTTTGTCGATAACAAGATTGACATCGCTGATCAGTGCTGACATCAGACCTGGCCTGTTTGGAATGGCCAGGATGGTCTCGGTCTCCTTTACATCATCTGGCGGCTCGTCTGCACCAGAAAACAGATTCCGAACTTCCTTAATAGAGGTACCTTGGAATTTGAGCGCGGCATCGATTTTCTCTTTCCAAACTTGAGCATTATGTTGTTGAAGCCGGTTCCAAGCAGCATCTGTAGAGATCTTGTACACTGACGACAAACAGGTGGCACCCTCGGTGTCATAACGGAACTTACGGCCCCGACCACGAGTTGATTCATCTTGCCTTGGCCGTGTATCTGCGCTCCGACTTCTCCGGGTATCCTGACTGGTCCGTTCACTGCGTAGCGTGCGGTGACTTGACTTAGCTCGTAATCTTGATGAGGCGCGTCGCTGGTCTGTTTCGCGAATCTTTTGAGCCTTCAGGAAGAACGCATCTTCACGAGCCAGTCTTTGACTCTGTTCGATCAGACCGGTTCGGTAGATGAGACCTAGTTTCCATTCGAAAGCGTCATCCTCAAGCTCAAAGAGAAGAGCTTTGCTGCGGAGTGATATCCTGGGCACCTTCTTCGGGCCCTCGGGCTCTCGAACAGACACAAATTCTTTGCATCGGTTCTTGAATCGATGATGGAGCTGTTTGAAAGCCTTGGAGGTGTTGATCAGATTATCGAAAATACGATGCATGACCATGTGGTGAGGAACGCCCAGTCGAATAAAGTCAGCCCACAGATCGATGGATCTCTCCTCGGTGAATCCCATGCCCGACTTCATTTTCATCTTGCGGAAATCAAGCCTGACATTGTTCATACTACCGATTCTTGCCCAGACTCCCTTGAGTTTGGGTGCCTCGGCGTGTACGCGGACAAGATTGGCCTTGATGTTGGGGGTGGAGAGACGTTGCGAGGTGCCCGCAAGCCCGTAGATCTGAACCATCATCGAAGGGTCGTTTGGTAGGTTCATCTTCAGCTGGAAGACTGTTGCCTTGACATCAAATGTGATGAGCTCATTCTTATGATGTGATGGCGATGTTGGAGGGGGTGGTAAGGAGATGCTGCCAGCACTCTTTAATTTGCCTGAGCTTGCTTCCGTATCTTTTCTTGGAAGAGGCGAGAGCACATTCTGAATCACGGAAATCGCAACACCTAGACAATAGAAGCGGTAAAGAGAGTATTGAAGGTAAATGCCCTTGAACATCGAGTTGACATGGAGAACAGGCCCCATTCGATCACTATGGGTGCTGAAAGCGATCTCAAATCTAGGCATGGAGAAGAAAGGTTCGGGCTCAAGATAATCATCCGATTCAATGACAAATCCATCGAAACCACGCGCATGGAAAGCCAATCGTCTGCCATCAGTCGCACCGCGCTGCGTGTTCCTTGGAGGTGATGTGGGAGTGAACCTGAATGGCGATTCGTCACCAATTGTGGAGTGACTAGAAGTACGGCGTCGAACGATACTGCCGACACTGTGCTCCGTTTTTTGAGCTTTGTATTCCGAGGTCCAGGATTGCAACTGCAACGAGACACCACGAGAGATATCAGAGACAGGGGTGTCAACTCCGGCAACTTCAACGCTAAAACCCGTAGCTTCGAATGTGAATTGGAGAAGCCAGGGCGGGAGCTTCCTCAGGAGGCTTGATTTTCGCTCATTGAATGGCATAGGAACACGTTTCTGCGGCTGCAAATGCGTGCGGAATTGCTCGAGGACTTCGCGGATTCCACGATTGACATCGCTGTTGATCATGTGAACAGAGCAGTCGTTCAGTGTGCCGGAAGCAATGACACACACTTCCGGACTTGCGTTCAAATGACACTTGAGTTCCAAACTCTCTGTCGTAAGCAAGTTATGTTTATCTCCGGCAGGGGTTTGGTAGTAGAATTTGTGAGACGCAACCCGATAAATGGAGGAAAGAGAATAGTGTGCGCCGCCTTCTGAAGAGTGAGATGATTCGACATCGAGTGAAATTGAGGAGATGGAGGAAATTAGGAGGTTGTAGTCGGCTGCATAGCCCGTGTCTTTTTCGATGGGCAGCACAAATCGAATAACGGGTTCGTGAACGGATAGCTTGATGCTTGCCTTTGGAAGCAATCGGGAGATCAAAGAGGAGTTATTCCGCTTTCTAACTCGGGGGGTGGATGCTCGCGTCTGCGCCAATTTCAAAAGCCGAGAGACGTGGTTTGGCTGCACATCAAGAGACGGCGATGTGATAACCAAGTTGGCGAATAGGACATTGGAGTTCCGCTCCTCGGGATTCGCATCTTCAAAAGCACTGACAGTTTTCGAGGGCAGAGTTGTCTTGATCGTTGTGGTGGCCATGGGAATGTAGAGAATGTTGTCGGTTTCACCCGAGTCGTCATCCAAACTGACTGATAGAGAAATGGCTGCGAGCAATGCTTGGTGGGCAACATCGTTCCGTTGGAAGTACATGCGATGCTCCGGGCTCTTCTGGTCCATGCGATGAAGATCAATTCCAAGTTCGTGTGATACCACGTTCAGGTACACAGGGTTCTGACCAGCAGACAGCGATTGAAGACCACGCGACAGCCGGAAGAAGCTCAAGGCGACCTGGATCTCCTGAATACCACGCAGAATTGAGCTGGCAAATTCCTTGGAGTCTGCAACCGTTTGAACTATCGAATCGTCTCGGCTGCCAGGCTTGTCCAGCTCCTCCACAAAGTCCGCGAAAGACATTTCGTCGTCGGTCTCGATTGGCGCGGATGACTTGGAGGCCTTCTGGGTCGACTTGATCCGCTGTACCATCATGTTGAGATCGTCATATGGAATATGCAGTCGCCCAATTTTGAGTGCAATTGATGCATCCCGGAGGCCGTCCAGATCTTTGTAAAGCAACCCATGGAGGTTCACACCAACATTATCCAAGATTTCGGTTGGCTCTCGACCGTCCACAGCGAGAAGAACATTCTGCACATTCATTATCCATTCAGCCGGGCGCTTTTCCCGAGACATATCCTTCTTGCGACGAAAGAGTTTCCCCCTTTCCACCATTTTACTTCGAGTGTCAACCGACAATGCGAGCGACCCGACTTGGATTTGACCAGCTTCCAGAAAATGAATTGTAGTGTTGACTGCAGTAAGGTCGACGAGGGCAAGCCAGTTGATCTGTCGATGCAGCCTCTTCAGGCGCTCCTTCATCCGAGTCAATGACCTCCATGTTTTACTGCGCGGGGTGGACGATTCGGGGGTAGCGGTTTCTGTGGAGGGGCTCCCTGTATTCTTCGGACTCGTCGGGTTCTTTGGACTCCCTGGCGCTGGCGATCCCAACAAGTCCCGTGAAGGAATAGGTTTCCCTTTGGACAAGGTCGCCGTATCCAACGTGATTTTGAGATCGGTCAGTCGAATGCTGACCCATGTTGGCTGCGCGAAGGACGGCGGGTGTAACGAGAAGCCAAGACCCCGGATTTCGATCTGTAGTCCCTCCCTCGGAGCGTATGCGATACGGCGGAGCGAAAAGTAGCCGATGCGTTGGATAGAGATTCCGGTCGCAATTCGAACGATCGCAAAGACGAAGAAGGACGATAGGTAGAGCAGCAGGAAGCCCACGAGGATCGAGGTTGGGTTAAAAAGGGTCATTGCGACGTGCGATCAGCAGGGGCTGATCTGTCGAGCAAAGACACGCAGCAGCACACAGTACATCGAGGGGATGGTCGTCGTGCTCAATTTGTCGTGGCGACTGCAGGTGAGCTCCCGGGTGCTGGGATCCTACCTCGACTTTCTTTGGGTCTGGCTGGATCTGGGTCTGGGGGACCCGCCAAATAAATGATGGTGGCACGATTGCCCCAGACAGGGCAGTCCAGCGGAGTTAGTAGGACGATGAGCACCAGACACCAAGTTGAATCTCCGCACGAAGCAAGCGGTGCACCAGAATCATGCTGGGGTAGGTGTCAGAGTGGTGGTGAGGTCGAGGTTCTCAAGGGTCGGTCCGTTTGGAGAAAGACAGATTCATGGTTCGGACGCGCCGGAGACCAATCCAGAATCCACTAAACTGGGAGCGGAACCGCTAATCTGCCAATCTGCCCATCTGCCATCCAACCGGGTCTTGGCCTCCGTCAGTTCTTTGACTTCTGGAAGTTCCCAGTTTGGTTACTGCAACTATGTGCTACATACTGACAAGGCTGTCAAAGCCTTGATTATATTGTCCCACCGGATTTTCCACCGAAAGTATGCACTACGGAGCACGGATACGAAGGACGAAACTCAACTTTGATTAAAGCATCTGTAACTAACCAGGGGGGATTTCCAAGTTCTGGAACCCCACTGTAGAAGTACTGACGCAGTCTCTGGGCTTATCACCCACATTATTACTCCCTGCTTCCCCTACCCATGACCGGAAACGTTGCGAATTACAACCTTGCATTTTTCTAGTTACAGACCCTCTTATTATTCCCCCTCTCTCAAGGTTGAAGGAGGGGCAGCACATGGATGTTTCTCCAGACTCGTGTGCTGAGGCTCCCATGATTTCTCTCTGCAGCAAAGCCTCGTGGGTCCTTTCCAATGCTGCGGTCGGTAGACCATGATTCGACCCCTAATTATGCACCGCGCCAAACACAGTAACTTGTTGACAAGGAAGTTTTAAGAATAATGCATTGTTCGACTTCTTGGTATCATACGTTTATAAAAGTAGCAATATTGTACAGAGATGGGCCTTTTTTCAATAGGCACGTGCTTGTACCTCAATAGGGAACCAGGATAGGGGGAAGTACGGAGTAGGTATGTCAGACAGGCGCGACTAATCTGACACGTAACTAGAAGCGTACTAGTCAACTGGATACATAGGGGAGAGGGAGACAAATGTCAGCGCAGACGATGCCTTGTCCGTGCGCCGCCATCCCCTACCTCCCGCCAATGACTGCACGCAACTGGTCGCGAGACAACGTCGTACCAGAACGACGGATACATGCATCACTTGCTGCTGTTGGTGTTGTTAGAGACAGATGCTGGTCGTGTCTTCTCTAGATCCTCAATCTTTTCGTCGAGGAGCGCAATCTCGGCCTCGATACTCAGTAGCTTCTCACTCAGCATTCCACGGTATTCCTCATCGGACAGATGTCGAAGTGGAATCCATTTGGACTCGGCCATTTGCTGTAATAATGGCTTGGATGGGTTCTGGGCCTTCTCCATTTGCCACTTATCCAAGTAGTTGAAGGCACTTTGCCCACCATAGCCGAGCAGGGAGAAAATAACGAGGCCAGGCACCAGTCGACCTCCTGATCCAAACAATATTAGAGACCATTGCTATACCAATCAGTCATGATGCGATGGCGGGGTTACATACCCATGACCCTGGTCACCACGCCGCCGGAGATACCACCGCAGAGGGCACTGACATATGCTCGCTCCTGCGGGGACGCATTATCTTGATAGTGGAGTGTGATGATATTGCTTCGCATCCCTACATCCCACGCAATGTTAGAGAGTAGGCCAGTAGCCGTCAGAGGTTGAGTCGGAACGTACACCAATAGGTTGAACCGCAAGCAAACCAATGGATACCGCAGGACAGCGAGTGCACCATGGGGTTTGGTGATCGAATGACACCCGCGGCTCCTCCATAAATCAATCCCGCGACGCCTGAATGATTCCAAGTAAGCAAGGTGTGTCGCCAGCCAATATTGCTGAGTATGGCCTCGGAATTCGAGGGAGAGAACACCCACCACTCAAGGCGCCCACTTTAGCCGCAGCCAACAGTGGGTTACCCAGCGAGTTGGCAGTTGGACTGCCTTGTCCACTCATCTTGTGAATAGTGCGAGAAAAGCATGAGCTTTTCCTGTATCGACCATTCAAGAAACGAAGATCCGATCCATCGCAGTCTCGATAGAAAGAGCCCGTGAGGTCACGTGTTGTTTGGTTATGTAATCGCACATGTTGCACCCTTTTTAGTCGACCTCATATCCCCTCTCTTTGTTATAATCTAATTAAATTGCTAGTTCTCATTGAAGCATGGTTTTTTGGATCGGCGTATTTATCGGCTTACGAGTGGAATATGTGGTATAGCCAATAGGTACGAAGTTGTGCTGTATTTCAGATTATGGAATGTCTGACCTGCGTCGAGTATATATTTCTACCGAACCCCTCCACATACCTCCCCGAACTAGGTACTAATAATGTGAACCTCTTAGCAGGGTGGAATTAGGTAGCCTTTCTAAAAAGAGCTACTTGAGACGACATATATCACCATAAAACTTGCAATACTAGGTTGTCATCCCGTATGTCATGTTCGAGGCTTCTATTCTTCTATGTACATCAGTGACATAAGGGTTTCTTGTTTCTCTTCTCAGAGGGTTTACTAGCCCGCTACAGTACTAACCTCACCTCCATCTTTCTATTCGCAGAACCAAGAAGAACGAATCTCAAAATTGGAGTTACACTTTTAGAATAAGTAAAATTTGCTCATTTCTAGTCTATTCAGCTTCTAAGAATCTTGTTCCAAGCTGAATTGCAAGCATGCAACAATCTAGACTATGAATGTGTTGAGGGTCTACTTAGCCTAAATGGGTTAGACTCGCTACAGAGAGAAGAGGGAATACAGAGAGCGATTTCCACCAACACGGTAAAATAACAGATAACTGAAGACGTGATCCATTGAGAGAAATGTAAAACACCAAATCTAAGTCTTTTCAATTCTCATAGTTTGCGACCTGACCGACTTCCAAAAATGCCACTCAAGTTTGTTGCGGGCAGCGGGGGATCCGATTGGGCTAGCGGCACCACTAAAAATTATCACGGATTAACTAACCCGGGCCACATCGTGCAGTCCCGATTGCCGACTTCCCCTCTACCAACTTTTCCACGGTGGAGTTTTCATCTGCACGCCTCGACCTTCGTGACATCCAACTCATTTATACTTTATTCAACTGACTCCTGGAATACCACCCGGGTGTCCTTTGAACTTTTTCTTCGCTTATCCCTCTCAACCGTTCCGTGTGTGAAGCGTGCACAATTTCGCAGGCGCGTTTCTTGACCTCTCGCAACCGCAATCATGGGTGAGTTTCACCCCCACTTCCGTGGCCAGGGATGGTCAGGTTGGCCGACGGTGATGAAGAGCCTCGTCCTGGCCGGCTCTGTGATTTGTGTTTTTGTGTTCGATCTTTGCTGACCATTTCCCCACTAGCGCCCGCTAAGGCCAAGGGCCAAAAGATGAGCATGGTGGAGTTCCTGGGAGTCGACAGTGAGTGACCGAGAAGACTTCCAAAAAGTTGTAGAGGGATCTGGATGTATGGCTGACCGAGTTTAGAGCCCTCCGGTGATTTCAGCTGGGCTGACGAGTCTGAGGAGGCTGGCATGGAGCAGCGTAAGTCAAACGATTACCTCGTTCCTAATTTTGCTGATCAAATTACTGACATCGTATATATAGCCAACGGTATGTTTCGCGCGACGATACGATACGACTTTCGCTTTGATATAACGGATCCGGCTGACCGAGATGAATAGTGCCTGCTGAGAGAAGGGAGCGCCCCTCCTATGGTATGGGCTATGGAAACGGTGGTTTCGGTATGGCACTCTCCACAATATCTACGATGGAGTATTATGGACGCGAGATCTGACAACATTGACATAGACCGTGAGGCCCGTGGTGGTGGTGGTTTCGAGAGCCGTGGATATGAGACCCGTGGCGGATACGCCGTTCGAGAGCCCCTCGACCTTCCCACTGAGCCCCCATTCACTGCTCACATCGGAAACCTGTCGTTCGAAGCGACTGCCGCCGACGTTACCGACCTCTTTGCCGACTGCGGTGTCACCAATGTCCGAATTGTGGAGGATAGACAGACTAACACCCCCAAGGGCTTTGGCTACATTGAGTTCGAGACCGTTGCTGGTCTGCAAAAGGCCCTTGACCTGTCTGGCACTAACCTGATGGGCCGCACTATCCGCACCAGCGTTGCCGACCCTCGTAAGTGCAAATTCCATCTCATTGCTTGCGCCTAACAGAGGAGATAACTGACGAACTTATAGCCAAGGAGGGTACCCGCGCTGACCCCCGCGAAATGGACTGGACCCGCCGTGGCCCTCTTCCCCCCGCCCCCTCCGAGCGCCGTGTGCCTGACCGTTCCAGCTTCGGCCGCAATATGGATGCTGCTTCTGACGCCGGGAGCGAGCGTGGTGGCCGCCGCAGCAACTTCGAGTCCGATGGAAAGTTCCGCGACTTTGGCAACTGGGAGCGCAAGGGCCCCCTTTCTCCCCCAGCTGGTGCTGGCTTCCGCGAAGGTGGCCGCCCCCGCAACAACGATGGCGCCGCCCCTGCCTGGGGTGAGGGACGTTCGCAGGATGGTTCCCGCCCTCCCCGCCCTGATCGCCCGGAGCGCACTCCTACCGCTGCCGACATGGACAACCAGTGGCGCACTAAGATGCGCCCCGATGCCGCCCCTAAGGAGCCCACCTCTCCCGTTGCTCCCGCCGCCCGCCCCAGACTGAACCTGCAGAAGCGCACTGTCTCCGAGGCCGTCTCTACACCAGCTGCCGACGCTGGTGATTCCAAGGCCAGCCCCTTCGGTGCCGCTCGCCCAATCGACACTGCTACCCGTGAGCGTGAAGTGGAGGAGCGCCGCCAGCTTGCTATCCGCCAGAAGAAGGAGAGCGACGACAAGGCCAAGGCCGAGAAGGCCGAGAAGGCCGAGAAGCAAAAGAAGGAGCCCAAGGTCGGCACGGATTCAAACAAGGATGCCATTGAGCCCCCCAAGGGTGGCGGCAACTTTGAGATCCTCCGGCGGGCCGGTGAGGACGAGACGAACACGAGCGCTGATAAGGAGACTGAGGAGACGGCAGTCCCGGCTGCTGCCGCTGAGGAGACCCCTAAGGAGGCCGCCACTAATGGTAGCTGGCGCACTGCCGAGGCTCCTGCTGCTGATAATGACGGATGGAGCACTGTTGATACGACCAAGAAGCGTGGTCGTCGTGGTGGTCGTTTCTGATTGATCTTTGGATACCCTCACGCAACCTCCGTCTTTTCCTCTCAACTATGGTTTGTTGATGCATACAGCGGACGAATGATAATTGTTATGGAAGCACCTGGACTGGGCGCAGATTTCTTTATGGTTTTTTTTCTTATGTGAGGAGAAATTTGACCTCGGTTTCTTAGGTTTCCATGACTAAACGTCATTTCATCTGCCTTTTGACGACGGTAGTTGTTCTGTCTTACCCCCCTGACCATCCTCAGTTCTTCCTTTCTTTGCCCTTTTCCCACCTGCTGTTCATGATCTTTCCCCATTTCTTCTCTTGTTTCTATCGGGGGCTAGCCTTCCCGATACACATCTAGTCCTCGCTCTGATGATTTTGGCAGTATGAAAAGTTTTCTCCCGCCGTTTTCCTTCTGTTTTTGAATGTCATGTCGCTGTTTCGCTATCTAGCTATTATTCCCATGCGTCTTGACTCGTGTGTGATTTCTGCCCATGACCATGACAGCCGATGCGAAATGAAGATTACCCTGATTTCCTTCCTTTTTCCTTGTTCTATGTGTCTCCAATCTATGATCGACCCTGAACGGGTCTTGCTATGTTCATGCCTTGTCCGCAGACTAGGGTATCGGCAGCATTCCAGGGCGTTGGGCGTGTGGAGTCATCAGAACTTTGGATGTCCCCGTTTATGAGCACGTCCCCTCGTCTCTCTAATTGTTTCCTAGTGGCGAGACTATGCGAATATGAAATGACTGAAATGAGAGACGAAGTCATTGCTATGAGCAACTTGTCCTGGCCTCAACGCTGTCGATGACCATGTCTGGATGTTCTGCTAGATGATTTTACCTTTTCGGTCTACTTCCCTCCTCCACTTTCCGCTTCAACTAGTTTCGTCACATGGATCTCCGTGCATCTCTTCTCTTCCCATTTGGTCACTTCATCTTGCCCGTGAGGGTCATGATGGAACTCATGTGTCATGTCTCGTGATTCTTGAATAGATTGAATGCAGTCTTCATTGACAGATTCCTCACTTATTTCGAGTATTGTCACAGTATCACTCTTGTTGGTATAGGGAGTGTACGAAGTGGAGCGAGAGAAGTACAGGGCAGGTTGTTTCGTGTTAATTGCTCCACAGGCTGAAGGACAAAAGTTGCAGTGGAAGGATTATGTTGAGACAATTTAGCCCCCTCGTAGATTATTGATATTCAGACAAGGGGTGGTGAGAACCATTGAACCTTCTAGTGATGCTCCCCGCATTATTGTGTACAGTATGGTCGAGGCCAGGGACTCAGGGATAGGTTAGGAAAAGGCCCTTCGTCTATAGATAGACTCGCCACTGTAAGGGCTTTAAATAGGCCACACTAGACCTAAGAGGGGAGTTATAGGCCCACGAGGAGCAGACAACAGTGCATAGACTCATGAACGGTGAGATGCTAGAAGAATATGATACTCGTTCTTTGATGCAAATATTTACAAATATACTTGACGTGTGCTCATTCAGCATTCACTTGACTTCGGTACTAAAGTCTATTACCGAGGACGGGGAAGTATGCTGCAGAGTAATGTCCGAGGCTGGAGGCTACGGAGGATAGGTGGGGAAAGGGAAAACCGTTTTGAGATCATGCGGATCAACGATAAGCGACTTGCCTAAAGTGAGGGAGCAGACCTTGAAAAAATACCAAGACGATAACAACTTATATTAGCCTTAGGACTCCGTATACTCCATATAAAAGATCTCTCAATAACTACGAAACAACCGTGGAAGGGTGAGACATAATCCCTAGCCCGTTCGTACCCTGGCGCGGCAAGAAACCCAGTGGCGCAGTGTGGAGTTAATGAAACCCCCTTCAAAGGACCAGCCCAGCATGGAAATGAGTCGTGTTTCATGAATTTTCTCCCTCATAACCTCATAAACCCCGGTCCGCTGGCCTTTGGAGTTACTCGTGAAGGACTCTCGTGGCTTTTTTCTAGTGAAGTACAGGTTGTGTACCTTAGTTCTTTCTTCCCGCCCAGACTTTCCCTCGTGCCAGACACTTGCACCGTGGAGATCTCGGGGTAAACAACCCCCCCCTCTCTCATGTTATCATGTCGACTACGACCACATCGACGTTCACGACTACCACACTTGTTGGAATCCCGTCTGCGATGAAGAATGTTCCGACCCTCGAGGAGAAACAGTGTCCGACCTGTGGAGCGAACGCAGACTCTCATGATGCCGTGGAGTCGCATCGTCGGATCCAGGAGTTGGAGGGGCAGGTCCAGGCCTTGACGGAGCGCGCGGCCGTGACTGGTGAGTGAGAAGATAATTCTGGAGCGTCTTTGCAGGTTGATCGCAAAGCGCATCGGCTCTGTTTGAATCCTGTTAAGAGTTCACCTCGAACAAATCCTACGTGGCTGTTTAGCCTGGCCATGTTTCGCTGACCGACTCTTTGCCCGTCTCACAGCCAACAAGATCGCCGACTACGAAGACGAACTGCGCCGTTTGCGCTCCGCACAACTCTCCCACGAAAGGTCGCAGAGTAACTCCTCTCGACCCTCATCTTCGTCTCATACCGCAAACACCCTGTCACCAAGCCAAGCCACCGATGCGACGTCGCAAGCTTCGCAACAAACCCATAGCCGCCTATCCACCTTGACATCTTTCCTCCCCTACCGTCGCGGCAGCGCTGCCACTCCTACAACCAGTACCTCTGCCCCTGCCGCTCCCCCCGATGACTCCAACGACCCTTATAACCCCGCTCCAGCACCAGGCATCCCCCGCTAGCAGCGACAACGCCTCCGAACTGCAGGATGCGTTGACCCGTGAACAGAGCTTGCGCAAGGCCGCCGAGTCGCAGCTGTCACAGGCGAGCACGGAGCTAGAAGAGCTGACCGTGCAACTGTTCAGTCAAGCGAATGAGATGGTCGCGCAGGAGCGCAAGGCGCGCGCAAAGCTGGAGGAACGGGTCGCGGTGCTGGAGCGCCGGGATGTCGAGAAGCGGAGTCGACTGGAGAGATTAGAGAAGGCGATGGCACGGGTCGAGAGGTTGAAGGCTCTCGTCAATGTATAGGTCTTCGCTGCTTGGCCGTGTCTTGTGTTTTGCTTTTGGTTTTTTGCGTTATGATTGGGACGATCTTGGGCTCTTATATCCCCCCTTGATGACGGACACGAAACTTGGGCGTCTGGTTTGGAGGGTTTGTTTTTCTTACCTTTTTATGATTCCATTAGCATCTTGGGGTTTGCGGGTTCTTTCTGGCGTACTAATGAATAATTGGGAGGGTCATGGGCATGTCTTTCGCGACTAATTGATGTGAGAATTGTAGCTGCGTAATCTTGAGATTGCAACTGATCATTTTCGAGTTCTTTGTCGAGAGAAGATGTGTCTTGAGGTTCGACTTGCATGACGTTGGCCTGAATTTGCGTAGATCACGTTTCTGCTGTGTAGTTCTTGCGTCATGCATGCTGTACGGCTCGAGGTATGAGGTATCGCATTTCGCATACCAAAGACACTGCCGTCAGAAACTCAAATTTGCAAGCATGAATAACTTCAGCCCACTAGCCCGAGGCTAGAGATACACAGCCAAGCCGAGAAATAATAGGCAAGCCGAACTCTCGGCCGCCGATCGGTCGGCTTGAGGTTGGACCTTCCCAGGCCTGTGAGGTGGAAATGTGGGAAACATGGGAACGAGATCTGGTGGGCTTAAGAACCCCACTCGGTCCCTGCATGCTCTAGGTTCTGCATGGACATCTGATAGTGTAAAAGACCTCTGATTCCTTCTACCTATCACTTTGTCACAATTCTCTCTCTATCTCTCTAGCTAATTCGGTACTTTGAAATATGGCAATCGGAGTGGCAATTATCGGGAGTGGTGAGTACCTTGGCTTCATCGTCCTTAGCTAGCATGACTCTATAGCACCTTTGGCTGACGTCGTCGATAGGCAATTTTGCCAAAGAGCAGCATTTGGTATGTCAATCCCTATTTTATGATACGAGGCCAATCTAATGTATGATGTAGCCTGCAGTTAAAGCTGCCACCGACCTGCAGCTCAAGGCCATCTACTCCCGGTCCTTGAAGTCGGCCCAGACTCTGGCGAACGGGACATCAGATGTTGACCTTTACTCGGACGACTCTGGTACTGGAAATTCCTATGATGATCTACTGGCACGTCCAGATATCGGCGCCTTACTCATTGGGTATGTCCTGCAACCATTGCATTAACTATCCCGATGATATCCGGAGTATGAACTGATTGAACAATAAGTCTCCCAATCCTGAATCAGCCCGAGTTTATCAAAAAGGCCCTCCTTGCAGGCAAACATGTCCTCTCAGAGAAGCCCATTGCCAAAGATGTGGCTACAGCCCGGGAGCTTCTGCATTGGTACCAGACCAGCATTGACTCTAGTAAGGTTATCTGGGCTGTGGGCGAGAACTTCCGGTATATGACCAAGTTCTTGTTCGCGGCCGAGAAGGTCCGCGAGATGGGCCGGGTCCGGCATTTCCGAGTCAATGTTCACAGTTTGGTGAAGCAGGATAACAAGTACTTCTGTAAGTGGCCTAAGCAGCCCTGGATGAAAGGCAAAGGAAGAGACAAGACAATATCTAACCCAACACTCCAGTGACATTCTGGCGTAAGATCCCAGAATACCAAGGAGGATTCCTCTTGGACGGTGGCGTGCATATGGTCGCTGGTCTCCGCTTGATCCTTGGGTCTACGGACCATATGATTGCGGTTTCGGCTCAGACGCAACAGTTGAAGGACTACCTACCGCCGGTTGATACTGCTGACGCGGTTGTTTCAACAGCTTCTGGTGCTACGGGTGTCATTTCCTTGTCATGGGGCTCGGATTTTAATGACAATGTCTTCGAGTTTGCTTGTGAGAAGGGCGTGGTGACGTTGTGCTTTGACAGTGTTACCGTGAATGGGGTGGAGCATCATATCGAGTTTGATGGCAAGGGTGTTGGTCCTGAAGTTGCGGAATTTGCGACATCTATTATCAAGGGTGGTTCTGTTGCAAAGAGACAGTCGCCAGAGGAAGCGTTGGCGGATCTGGAGGTGTTGGAGCAGATGTTGCAGAGTGGCGAGAAGAAGGGGGATCGAGTGATGCTTCGTTTCCAGATTTAGGCTCATTTTATGCTAAATAGATCAGAAAATTCTTGTCTCCAAAAACAATGTTATTTCAATCAAAAATTAAAAGTCGAGAGTACAATCATCCCGTCTATACTTCATAGCTGGACGGATGACATCCGAAAGAGGAAAGGCTTGGCAGGGCTTAACCCCCATCAACCCTATGGATGACATAAGCACCACCACTGTCGCTAAAGTCCCCCAAAGCGCACTAGTGTGGACCGCCCACTCGTCCGCGCCAGTGCGAAGTTTTCGAGATTGACTACGTTCCGAATCGACAACTCTACAACGCCCGGCGAGACCCTGCAACACCGCCAAAGTGAGCCTCTTTCTATCCTCTGTCATCCCATCCTGCTCCAACATACTGACGAATTTTTTTCTATCAAGATGGTCGCCGCAAAGAAGCATGTCCCCATCGTGAAGAAGCGTACGTTCCCGATCGCCCGACCGTATCCATTCTCCCAACCCCCCTCTTTTGGCCTGGATAGCAACGCCCTTCGACCGACCGGTACTTTGAGAAGATTGTTGAAATGAGGAAGAGGTGGAAAATCCTGGTTGATCGTGAAGTTTTCGAGATTTCTGGTGGTCTTATGAGGGATATCGAAATTCTCCCAACTCGGTCCAAGGGCATTGTTATCCGCACAGGCATTCGACTCAAATCGTCTTCTACGACCACGATGTCATATAATTGGATGGAACCCCGGAGCTAACGTTGCTCGCAATAGACACCAACCGCTTCTTCCGCCACCAGTCGGACCGCTTTATGCGTGTCGGTGCCTCGTGGCGCAAGCCCAAGGGTATTGATAACTGCGTCCGTCGCCGTTTCAAGGGTGTTATTCGCATGTACGATTCTTCCCATCACCTTTTCTAGATCCAGATCTGGATTGGATTTCTCGCATGTGAACTCGATGATTGACCGATCAATTCTAGGCCCAAGATCGGTTATGGCTCCAACAAGAAGACCCGCCACATGATGCCCTCCGGCCACAAGGCTTTCCTCGTCCACAACCCCAAGGACGTCGAGCTCCTCCTGATGCACAACCGCACCTACGCTGCCGAGTATGTCAACCTTGAAAGAAAGCAGTCGACTCGTCAACTGCAGATTTGATCTGAAAACGCATGAACATAAACTAATTGGTTTTTTCTTTTTTTTTAAAGGATCGCCCACGCCGTTTCCTCCCGCAAGCGCGTCGAGATCGTCGCCAAGGCCAAGGCTCTCGGTGTTAAGGTCACCAACGCCAAGGGCCGCGTCACCACCGAGGCTTAAATGGAATGAACCCCAAAAGTTCTGTTTCCCTTTTTTCCTTTTCGGTGGGTGGATACGCAGGAGCACGAGAGGGGTCGGGGGTTTTTGTACGGTCGTGATACTATCTTTTTTGACGATCACGAAATTCAAGAATTGTGCATGGCATATACCGTGTGCGGCTCGCGCTTGGTCTTAGTGCTGGGCGGATAGAGCAAGAGGAATATAATTTTTCTCTGAAATGACAAACAAAAATTGCAAAATCTTCTTCTTTCTTCGCATTTCGCATTTAGGTGCTTTTGTATGGTGTGCTTTGGATGGCGTATGGTGTATGAGATAGGAAGTGGAATGCGGGATACTCATGATATTCCTATGAGGGGAGGTATTTGGCATCAGATCATCTCGACAGAGTCTGGCCCAGATCATTACTACTCGATCTTCAATGGCACGATATGGACAATATTGGCATGTACGGCCTGCGTAGCTTTCCATTATTTTGTGATAGGATCCATTCGATCGACATCGTGACCAGATAAGCACCTAAAAACAACCTTTGGCTATGGGGTTGCCAAGTCCCATGCCGAACTATCACTTGGACTAAGCTCTTGATATGTGTTGCTAAATTCGCCTGCCTAAACTCTTTCCATGACGCCATGATTCTTTCTGAAGGATGTAGACCCCCCTAATTCCAAGCACCAGCCCCCCTTAAGATAATAATAAACCTTGGAAGTGGCATCAGAAGAGTTGACTGATCGTCCGACCCACCTGAATTGATTCTCGCCTGCTTTTTCCAGGGGCTCTTGTAGGCTCGTGGGATGTTTGCTAAAGATACACCACAGATGGATGCTCTGCACAACACAGCATCTAGGCCGGGCTTTCCGTTGCAATTGAGATTTTGGTGTCCCAAACCCTCCCCATGCCGATTGATCCCGTCCCGAGTGATATTTATTTCTTGCCGCTGATAACAACAAAAAAGAATAACCAGCAAACCAGAACCTGTCCAAATCCAGTTCCAGTTCCCAGTTCCACCATTATCATTACTGATCATTACTGACTTGGTCAATACGAGCAGTGCCACATGCAAAGGTCTGGCCAATGTCCAGTCTCAAACAAGCCAGGCCGCCCCAAAACAAGGGCTCCACCAACTGGGTCTGCTCAGCGCTTGAAAGTTGACACCATTCGCTCTGATTTAAAGGGACCTCCTGGAAGGAGCTGATCGGAGCGAGACATATCTTTTTATCATTTGTACAGTATTTGATTCTCCACTTCTGCCTGGGGCCATGGAGGATCGAGGGTCTAATACTCTCTTCATCATTCTCTCTCTTCCTCTTGCTCATCATCTCCTTCCCCTCCTCCGATCTCCTCCCGCCCACTCCCCGCACCTATGCTCGCCCTACCTGCCCGGTATGGGCGATGGGTACCGATTCTGGCCCCAATCACTCTCATCCTCCTCTTCCTGCACCTAAACAACAATCTGGGCACGCAAAAAGCACAAGTCATCCTCGAACCAGAGCTCCATCCAACACAAAACAACGAAACAGAGTCTATACCCAGTCCTGAAGAAACAAATACAGAAAAACCAACATCGGAATCATGCCGCCCACTTCCGGGCATCGAAAATGTACTAGTGATCATGAAAACGGGCATCACAGAAGCCCAAGACAAAGTCCCAGTGCATCTCCGCACAACACTACGCTGTATCCCAAACAAACTCATCGTATCCGATTTCGAAGAAGACATCGCCGGTATCCGCACCCACGACGTCTTCCGTAACACCAGCGAATCGCTCCTAACAAATTCCGACTTCGCATTATACAATCGAGCCCGTGCCGGCGGCCGTGACGCTCTCACCCAATCCGACTTTACAAAAGTTGCCAACAGTGCAGCAGGCATGTCCGACAACCCAGGCTGGAAACTGGATAAATGGAAATTCCTCCCCATGATCCAAGAAGCACGAGCCTATCGTCCCGATATGCAGTGGTACGTCTTCCTCGAGGCTGATACGTACACCATCTGGCCGAATTTACTCGCCTGGTTGGACCAGTTTGATTCGTCGGAGAAGTTGTATCTGGGCAATCAGATGCAGATTGGGGAGGTGATTTTCGCGCATGGCGGGTCGGGTTTTGTGCTTTCGCATGCGGCGCTGCATGCGGTGGCGGATTATCATGCTGGGCAGGTTGATCGGTGGAATTACTTGACGGAGACGCAGTGGGCGGGGGATTGTGTGCTGGGGATGGCGCTGGGACAGGTCGGGGTTGATTTGACTTGGTCCTGGCCGCATGTTACGAGTCAGTCGGTTTGGGAACAGGATGCGTTGGGTGAGGCATTTGGGAAGACACAGTGGTGTTATCCTGCTTTGACGTTTCACCATATGACACCCGCGGATATTGAGCTTTTTTATGAATTTGATCGGAGGTGGTTTGCAAATGTGAGTATCACTTCAGAGAGAATAATTCCTTCGAAGTCGTTATGTTGTGCTAACATCTGTCTCCACTTCTAGGAGAACAACACCATCCTCTTATACAGCGATATCTTCCGCAACTTCGTCCACCCCATGCTCACCGACCACCTCGACAACTGGAACAACTTTGCCAAAAACGAAGTCAAGCATGACCCCGAGATTCGACCATCCGAGTCCAAATCCATCAACGACTGTGCCGAACAATGTGCCCGAACGGCAGGCTGTCTCCAGTACCGCATGGACCCGGACGGTAAATGCTACACTTCCGAATGGGCCTTACGTGGCCTTCCAACCGATGGAATCGAGTCTGGAACAATGATGTGGCGTGTCGACGCTGCTGTACAAAAGAAGGGTCATTGTGAGATGCCTAGTTGGGTTTTGGAATAGTTGGTTTGAGGTTTTGTTTTGGGACTGTGTGTGTTTTTTTTTTTTTTTTTTTGGCGCTGCATTTAGATGCCTGGGATTTTTATTGGGTGTAGATAGATTATTGGGATTTGGGATGCATTGAGCGAAAATGGGTTTGCATGGAAACTGAATTTGTTAGAATGGAGTTTTGGGGTGTTTAATTTTGGGTTCCTATAATACATACTTCCAAGTGTTGGTCTATGAAGAAGTTCTTTTAGTGGCTCTCTACCGCCAATGCATACTATACTTCTGAGCAGATCACACTAGATGGTAGTCTCCCCCGCCGCTCTGAGTGGCTCACGGAGCGAATATTGCACTACTGATTGGCTACTTCCTATCTTTCTCAAAGCAAATGCTAGGACATCGTACTATCATGTTTCTTTTTTAACGTTATCTCACCCCTCTTATACTCTAGGTTATCGACTTGATCTGTCTTTGGGTTATGTAAATTTTTGTCTGTTATGCCATCTATTCTATATAGCTTAACCTTATCTAGGGGCTCAAGTCGCGTGGCTCAGGTGGCGGCAACCATGGCCGAGGGTACCCGCTTTTAGAGGGTTTGATAGCGGTTTGTTAGAGTTATGAATATCATCATATACTAGACTTTATGAGCTCAAGATGGAGCTACGACCATGAACCGGGTGAGCATAATGAAATAGAGAGGCATGTGTGCGTTTATATTAGTGGCAATTTATCATTTCTCGCGACCTAGTACCGTTTCCGTTATGGAATGATATCTTGGCTGGAACCAATGATCACTAGTCATTTGTACTTTATCAGACGAATGATCCAGTTATCCATCCATATTCAGGACAGCAATGTAGCAACGGCCAGTAATGAGCGGGCAGTGGCCGACGTCTAATGGTCTAGTAGTCTGCATGGGGCTGGATAACCGAGTTTCTTGGGACTGGACAGACCTCGTATAAATACCACGTGGAACGTGGGTGGGTGTAACAGTCCCCAAAGGATTCAAACAATAGCAACAGCGATAGAGACAGTTATGATAATTCTAGGCGAGATTCCAGCCAAGAGCATGAATGGTTTGGCTACATTTAGATGTGACATCTCACATCTCTATGCACCATGGCCAGCCCTAAGGCCGACTGTCTCAGTCTCAGGATGAACTTTTGTGGCTTGTCAGGCCAGTTGAGTGAGCCGAATCCTCCTGAGATAGAGAGACATGCTCCTCAATATAGATTGATTACCAAAGTCTTGAGGGTCATTACAGGGTTACACTGGATGAGTCAGTGATATCTCGGTTGGTCTTGTTGGGTGGGTGTAACACTGGCAGAGAGTGAACGGCTCATGGCTGAGGGGAGAGGCTGCGGGAAGGCTTAGGCCACCCACCATGTCCCATCCATTTCCTCTTAACAAACCAATCACAATCACGTCGCATCGTGTCTGGTTCAACCCCCGGACCCTCTTAATGGCCCCATCCAGATAAGCCATGGGAACCAACCGTAACCCCCGCACGCCGACCTCCACACAACCTGAGCAGTTGCCAGTTACGAGTTAGGGCCAATTCCACCTCGCCTCGGCCCCGGAACTCGCTGACAGGCTGACTACCAGAGAGAGTAACCATAGCAGCCACTGGCCAACACCTGAAGAAACCGTAGCAATACATATCACCATCACCACCAACTAGCGAAGCCGGCTACCCTGATGATCTGATCTCAAACCGGCCTAGTTGGTTTTGGGTTTTGCTCTGCTGATGCCCACTCTTCCCTGCTCGTTGATAAATAAAGGTCATCTTTCTCCTGGCCCTCCTAGGAATTCTCGGTTAAGACTTCTTGTCTGTCTCTTTAATCCACCACATTGACACCGAGTCTCCGTCCAGCCTCCCATTATGGCTGATACTACGACTACCCCCGGTCCGACTTCCGATAAAGGCCCTGAGGCTGCTCATACCGTCGATGAGCCGGTCGGGGATCTCCGGCTTCCCCGTGGATGGATGTACAAGTCGTGGGGGTCAGGGCGCTGGCGCACGCCCTGGTATGCGTCTCCGAGATTCCAGCTGGGGATGGTCGCGTTTGTGTGTTTCATGTGTCCCGGCATGTTCAATGCTCTCGGCGGCTTGGGAGGTGGTGGAAAAGCCGATGCGAGCTTGGCCGATCAAATGGTAATTATTTCTACACTTGTTTCTGGAAGAATGGAAGAAGGAAATCGGGCAAAAATGGAGACTGATCGTTTCTCGTGATGTAGAACCTCACTCTGTATAGTGTGTTCGCCGTGGTTGGTTTCTTCGCTGGCTCCATCGTCAATTGGGTCGGTATCCGACTATCGCTCTCCTTCGGTGGAATTGGATATTGCATCTACGCGATCAGTCTTCTCGTCTCGGTACACAAATATGTTCCAGGCTTCAACATCTTCGCCGGTGCCTTGCTGGGTGCCTGCGCGGGTATCCTGTGGTCGGCTCAGGGAGTGATCATGATGTCCTACCCACCCGAAAACCAAAAGGGCCGGTATTTCGCCTGGTTCTGGGGAATCTTCAACGTTGGCGCCTGTATGGGTAGTCTGGTACGTATAACGACTGTCACCAGTTATTATATCTCAATCTAATGGACAATTCCTAGATCTCTCTTGGCACCAACTTCAACGTCAAAACCGCCGCCACTGTCGCCGACGGAACATACATCGCTTTCATCGTCCTGATGTTCTTCGGCGCTTGCCTGGCTCTCCTGCTCTGCGACGCGAACAAGGTCATCCGCAGCGACGGATCCCGCATTGTCGTCATGAAAAACCCAACCTGGAAATCCGAGTTGTACGGACTCTGGGACACCCTCAAGCACGAACCTTACGTCGTCCTCCTTTTCCCCATGTTCTGGTCTTCCAACTGGTTCTACACATATCAGGGAAATGCAATTAACGTCGCCTACTTCAACACCCGCACTCGCGCCTTGAATTCCTTCCTCTACTGGTTCGCTCAAATCGTGGCTGCGAGTATCATCGGACCTCTCCTTGATTTAAGCTACTTCCGTCGGACAACCCGTGCCCGCGCCGCTTGGGCCATTCTCTTCGCCCTGACTATGGTTATTTGGGGCGGCGGCTGGGCCTGGCAGAAGCATTATACTCGCGAGTCTGTTGACCCCGAGACAACCGGCTTCGTGCACTGGGATTGGACGCATGATGGATACGTTGGACCCATGTTCTTGTACTTCTTCTACGGATTCTATGACGCTGTCTGGCAGGGTGTTATCTACTGGTTAGTATTTCCCTTACCCCACGCCAGCCCCCCCCATCCATCCCCAACCTTTCATCGTATCAAATCAACTTAATCTAACCCCTCTCATTTCAGGTACATGGGAGCCCTTTCCAACTCAGGCCGCAAGGGCGCCAACTTCGCCGGATTCTACAAGGGTATTCAATCCGCTGGTGCGGCCGTGGTCTGGAGTATGGACTTCCACAAAGCGTCCTTCGCGGCCGAGTTCGCCAGTAACTGGGGTTTGCTGGGAGGATCGCTGCTCTTTGCCGCGCCAGTTATCTGGCTCCGCATCAAGGATCACGTCGATATCGAGGATGATCTGCAGAATACTGACGAGACGGTCGAGGATGTACTTCCTGTTGGACACCCAGAGAAGTCTTAATTCCAGTAAGTTTGACTTTAGTTATAGTACCCATATGGTATTATTGTGATACGTTTTATAGCAATGGAGGATATTGTTTAATAGCTACGAGAATGAATATGGCAAAATATCATGTGAAGGAAATAGTTTATCAAGGATAATCGGATTGTCGATCAGTGCAGTTCAGATGTCAAAACACTTCCTTGGAGTCGTATTCGCGATTCATTCCTAGTAAGAACTCTGGGTATAGCCAAACAACGTTATATCCGCGAGACATTAAAGAATCCAGAAAGATCCCCCTAACAAATCTCCAACATGCCTTACTTATATCAGCTTACTCCTTCACTTCAACATGAACAGTAGCCGCCTTGCCCTCCGACTCCCGAGCTTGCTCCTTCATATCCGCAACAGCAATCTCACCAATATCAACCGCATCGTCGCCATCGAAGTACTTGGCGATTTCCTCCATGGGAGTATACCGGGTTTCAATCAAAAAGGTGTAGATAACGAACACCTCCGCTCCAAGGAAGACGCAGTAAACGATGTAGTACTTCCAGCCAATGGCATCGAGCGCAATCGCGTTAATGTACTGGTTGAAGAAGAGTGCGGCGGTGACGCAGAAGTTCAGCCAGGTGAAACCCTTGGCTCGGAGACCGTAGGGGAGAATTTCGGTGGTGTAGGTTGCCATCAGACCCGATCTGGGAGGAAACTTAATGTTAGTGGCTGTTGGTTGTAGAATTGGAAGATGCAGTGGCAAGTACTTACTTGATATCGTAGAATACTCCATAGAGAACGGTCAGAACCACGAAAATGTATCCAAGTGCCTGATTAGCCGCGATGGCGTACCGAGCTGACACGATAGTCCATGCATTGAAGACCACGAACGTGCCAACCGTCGAAACCATGTAGACCGGTCGTCGTCCCAACCTATCGATGAAGAAGGCCAGGGTGAAGTTGGTGATCAAGGCCTCGGACTTGATACCAGCGTTGATTCCAAGTTGCGTAGAGGCCTTGGTGATACCAACGCTGTCCATGACTTGCTTGAGATAGTAAGAGATCAAACCATTGCCACTCCATTGACTGAAGAGACCCAAAGCAGTGATCAGGCCGATTCGCTTGCGGTTGCCCTTGGTCTTCAAGAAGTCGACCCAGCGAGTTTGGTCAATCTCCTTGTCCAGATCGATGGCGGCTTTGATCTCGGCATACTCGAGATGCACAAATGCGTCATCCTGGTCTCCCTCGCCATGGTACTTGACGAGAATACGCATGGCTTCATCGTGTCTTCCCTTGCTCATGAGCCAACGAGGGCTTTCTGGCATGAGCCAGATACCACAGACGATGACAATGGTGCAAATGGCCTGCAACAGGCTGGGCAGACGCCATGACCAGTCGCTCTAACGGAAGAAAAGAATGTGAGTTGAGAAAAAGTAGATCCACGGTGGCTGCTTGGGATTAATACATACCTGAATCTTCAATGTGCCCAAAGTCACCCAGCTAGCAATGAACGCGCCAGAGTGATACGAAGCACCACTAAGCGTGACAAGAACAGCACGATCTTGCGGATGCGCAATCTCCGCAATCAAAAGCGGAGCACTGCCAAGAACAAGACAATCACCAAATCCAATAAGAAGACGAGCCGCGATGAACATGCCAAAGCCAGTAGCGCCAGACTGCAAACCAACAGCAAGCAACATAATAAGACATCCAACGAAACAACCCAGCCTACGGCCCCAGGCATCAATCATGTAAGGCACGACGAACAGACCGAGCAGGGAGCCAAGACTCATGGAGGCATTGAAGAGGCCGAGAAGCGAGCCGTGAGGGTGCCCGAAGTATTCCTGCCAGTAGGAAAGAGTTTGGAGACCGTTCATCATGGAACCGTCGAAACCGTTCGCGGTGTTGGTCATGATCAGGATAACGATATAGATGTACAGGGTCCGCATATTCTTCCTCTTCCACCAGGGCACGCGCTTAAACTCCTGGTGAGCGAACAGGAAGTGTCCCTTTGTCGGCTTAACCGGCAGGATCTTCTGGCTCGGCTTCGGGGGCCGGAATCGTAACGCCATGATTGCGGTAGCGTGCGCTGCACTGGATTTGATGAAGATGAGAAAGAATTAAAAGAGGTGTAACAAATTAATGAGTCCACTTCTCACTGCAGTCGGCGATGAAAGGCAGCTTAAATCAGGAAAAGATCCCCTCTTTATCACTCTCGAGGCAGGCATGAGCTTGGCAACCCTTGTCCTTACTCCAGATGGTGGCTTGATCGATTCTCGGCTGTATTGTCCCCCAACCGGGCTTGTCACGACAAGTTGCCACCGCATTTAGTGTTGACGAATAGCTTGAGCTGGCCAAGGGTTATATTTGCCTGTTCTGCATTTTACCGAAAAGATTGGCGTTTTCTTGGTATGCTCGTATCCTTGACACGCTATCTCTTGGGCTCATCATCCTTCATACCTCGGCGGTGCATACTCCAGACCCTGTAGGCTGTGGGGGACTGGGGGTGGAGACTTGGGGAGAATTAGGGTTAGCGGTAGACACTTGCGGGTGCCAGAGAGGGGCTGCCTAGCTAGACCTTTTTTGGTAAGAGGACGATTAACTTAACGTTAGTTTAAGTGGAGGTTGGAACTTACACTGATACCGCCGGCAAGTGGAGGGTCTAGCACTAGCCGATCCTGAGAGAGCGATCACGGAGTACTTGCTTTGATCTTAATCTCAGCCACTTTAATAGTTTATGTTACTGGGAGATGCATTCAAGTTACAAAGATGTCGATCTTGTAGCCAGGCATAGCATGTACTTAATATTAATTAAAGCTTTGATCGACACTGAGATGCAAATCCCCTCTTTTTAAGCGGCTTCTCTATCCGCAAACCCGTTGAAAATCAACAGTCTAACCGATTGCTCGCCGAGTAATTGCCAAGCGGAGCTATCCAAGTGGTTTCTTGGACTACTGTCTGTACTATCCCCTTCGGAGAAATTGTGGGGGAGAGCCTCTTTTGGACCTTTGAGCTCCAATTTAGCCTATATAGCGTGCTTGACATCCCTGCTTGGCAGCCTATCAACAGCCTAATTTCCCCCCTCATCTAGCTGCATGCAGCTAACAAAGCCATGTACTGACCTGTAAAAAGATACAGTTGGAAGCCAAATTCCCCTCCTGGCTTATCTTTCCTTATCAAATCATGACTCTACAGTGCAGCCCAACTCGGATAGTGGTCAGGTCTCGTCGTGTATTGGCTTGTTCCTGCGGGACTATCTCCCGGAACTTGCCTAAATTTCAACTGTACCCCTCTCATGCACGATTAAGCGATATTTGGCCAAGCATGGCGAGTCGGTGCTATGCGACTACTTAGCATTTGGGCTAATGGGGTGAATGCGTGCTGTAGAATATCTGGGAAAATGACACCAGTGAGAGTGTGTGGAACAGAAGGCGCTAGCTAATCCTGGCTAATAGCAAGCGGAGTATCTCAATTGGCATATTTAAGTATTTTACCCAAGGCGGGGTGAAGTGAAAGAACATAGATTATTCCTCTAACCTTCATTCTCTTCATTGCGTAAGCTAGTCATGTCGGATACAGTCAACCCCATCATATCAGGCTTCGCGCCCGATCCATCCGTGGTCTTGGTTGGCGACTGGTTTTATCTCGTCAACTCCAGTTTCCACGCTTTCCCCGGTCTACCTATCTACGCCTCTCAAGACCTGGTATCATGGAAGCAGATCGGTAAGTCTACCGATCGCTTAGTGGATGGGAGAGACAATTCGAGCTTCCGCTAACGTGCGAGCGCACAGGAAATGCAATCCACCGCCAATCCCAGCTCAGCCTCGCAAAGTCGCAGGCAAATCTCTACCCAGTCGATGATGGCAAGTTCCTGGTCGGCAGTGGAGGCCTATACGCGCCCACTATCCGTCATCACCAGGGCACATTCTATGTCGTCTGCACCAATGTCATCCGTGCAGAGGGGAAGAATAGAGATGCGACGGAGAATTTCATTGTTTCCACCGATGATATCTGGTCAGGCACATGGAGCGACCCAGTCTACTTTGAGTTCGAGGGAATCGACCCGAGTCTTTTGTTCGACGATGATGGAAAAGTCTACCTGCAAGGGTCGGGTGGAATAGGACCAGGCACCACTATCAATCTCTTCGAAATCGACCTAAAGACCGGTGCAAAGTTATCCGAGGAGAAAATTATCTGGAACGGCACTGGTGACATTTATCCCGAGGGGCCGCACTTGTATAAGGTCAAGGGCTGGTATTACTTGCTCATTGCGGAGGGTGGTACCCATGGTGGGCATATGGTGACGATGGCACGCTCTCAGAATGTCTTTGGCCCGTATGAATCGTGTCCAAGCAACCCCGTTCTCACGGCGCGTGGTACCAAGGAGTATGTCCATTATACCGGCCACTGCGAACTATTCCAGGACAAGGAGGGCCAATGGTGGGGAACCTGCCTTGGAGGCCGCCTGGAGGATCAAGGGCGATGCCCCATGGGTCGCGAGACCTTTTTGACTCGGGTCGACTGGGATGGCGAATGGCCCGTCTTCGATCAAGTGAAATTGAGCCCCCGCAACCTTTCAGCAACCCGTTCGAGCTCACACCTCACGGCAGAAGGTGGGCTGGACTACCTCTACATTCGAGACGCTATCATGAGCAATTATCGGATCGAGAATAACTATTCATCCCTGACATTGACAGCATCATCGGTCGGTTTGTCCCACCCGACAGACAGCCCGACCTTCATTGGCAAGCGGCAACGGAAATTATCCGGCAGCAGCTCTGTGGTCCTCGAAGGAATCGAAGAGTCCTGGAGCTCTGCAAAGATCCAGGCTGGTCTCGCCTGTTACAAGGAAGAGCACCGCTACTCAAGGATCTACTATGACGCTGCTCAGAAAGCGGTTGTCCTTGAACTGGTCAATGCTGGCCAGAAGATTGTTCGAACTGAGAAACACACCCTCGAGGAAGTCCCTCGCTCACTGCGTTTCCGGATAGAGTACACAGAGAAGCAGTATTCCCTGCTTTATTCAGTCCAGCCTCACGTTGAAAATGACTGGACGTCCCTGGGAACGGTTGATACTCTGGAGATGACTGATCCCGATTTCACCGGTCCGATTATTGGCGTCTATGCTGTTGGGCAGACGGAGGGCGTGCAAGTTCAGTTTGAGGGCTTAAGTGTCGAGTAAATGCTAGAATTGATAGAATTAACACTTTTTTTGTTTCGCACATTGGCGCCATGATGGTCTATTTAGTCTATTGAGGACGACCCAAGCACTTCTTAGTAGTAAAGTAGCCTTCAGGTAGACTGGTATGGCCTATACGCTGGAGAGGCACTAGACCATCAATCGAATTAAGTTGTTTTACCTCCTCATTAATTTTACAGTCAGCTGGGAATGGTTCAACTACAGGTGCAATTTTTTTGATGGAGCAAACAAAAGACTTGTATTCTGTAGTAGGCCCTAAAGGCACCGACTCTTAAGCGGGCATGTCATCTTCATGATTTGAACTTTGACACTTTCGGGCATTAAATCCCAGGGCCAAGAGCAACACAACTCAAAATTTCTAACTTTGCGCTTCAGTGGACGCTGGCTGAATATGAACGGGCACAGTAAAGTTATACTGTGCATCAGGCGTAGGGAGCGTCTCGATCACCGCTGGACTACCCTTCAATGTAAACTCGAAAGTCAAGTCCTCGGAGTTGTCCAATGCGATCTTATAACGCCCTGGGAAAATGACGAGACTTCCGTTCTCATCAGCTCGGGCCAGTGAGCCGAGGGTGAGAGGCAAGTCTGCCACTTGATCGCTTCCGCGGGCAATATTGTGCAGACGTACGTAAGACACCAGGGACTTATTTGGTCGTGGAGCCGGGCCTGCATCCTTGCTGGAAAGGAATAGCAAGCTGACGTAGTCAGAAGTCTCATGGCCGACATTTCTGACTTTCGCCTTGACAGTGGTAAAAGGTGTGTTGTCGTTGATATGACCGCCAGAACTTCTTTGGCATGAGGTAATGAGGTCCTGAATGTTGTATTCCCGGTTCAAAGTCTCTTCCCAGTCAAACTTGAATTTTGTGTAGTGAAGACCGTAGCCGAATGGGATCACTGGCTTTCCTGTGTACCATTTGTATGTTCGTCCGGGATATGAATCTTTAGGGCGAAGGTTGATATCGAAGATATTGACTTGGTCGGCATAGCTGGCGGGATACTGCGTGACTGGCAGTCTGCCAGCAGGTGATCTTTTGCCCACAAGGACATCAAGAAGAGCAGTGCCTCCGCTTTGACTAGGATATCCCGCCCAAAGCAGAGCTTGAATATCTTTGTTCTTCAGGATGGCGCTATCATCGACCTGGCCGCCACCGAATTGGACAACTACCATTGGTTTCGAGAGCTTGGACAAGCTCTTGATGAGATCGAGTTGATTTCCTGGCCAAGCGAGTGAAGTCCGATCAAGCGTTTCGGACTCGAGAGAATTGTCAATGCCACCAAGATAAACAATAAAATCAGACTTCTTTGCGGCTGCTAGTGCCGCCTCAAATCCAGTGGTATTCAAATTGTTGATTGCTGTACCCAGCGCATAATTCACTTTCCACCTGGGGTCGCTCTCAAATGCTTCCAATGGACTGATCAAGTATGGCGCATCACCAGAGTAATCGCCCTGCATCTGAGTCGTGGCGTTTGCGAATGGTCCAATCACGGCAACACTCTTGTATTTATGCGGAGAATCCAAAGGAAGAAGATCGTCATTTTTGAGAAGTGTCATACCCTCGACTGCAGCCTCATACGCGAGGGCCTCTGCCGCAGGGGTAGAAACGTCGGAGAAATCGAGATGGTCATACTTTCCGCCATCAAAGAAGCCGACCGTGAATAGTGCTGAATAGAGCCTTGCCAATGACTGGTCCATGACTTTCTCTGATGTCTGATTTGCTGCGAGAGATTCGTTGAGCTTCAGATAGGAGGAGCCGCATTCCAGATCCACACCGGCATTGAGAGCAATAGAGGCTGCTGCTTCTTCGGTGTCGGTAAAGTTGTGGTATTGCCAGATGTCTGTGACTGCACCGCAGTCAGACACCACGTAGTGATAGTCTGCATTGAAGTTCCAGTGCTTTCTGAGCACTTCATCAAGAAGGTATTCACTCGCACACGCTGGAATGCCAGAAACTGAATTGTACGAACACATGATGCTTCCCACATCCGTGTCACGCACGCAAGTCTTGAATGGGGCCAGGAAGTAGTCGCTCAAATCCTGCTGGGTAGGGTTGTAATTATTTCCATACCTGCCCGTCTCTAGGTCATAGACCGCGTAATGCTTGCATGTTGCAATGACTTGCTTGTTCTTGGGATCATCACCCTGAAGTCCTGGAACGAAATTGCGAATGTAATTCTGCGCAACGAAGGGATCCTCGCCGGGTGTTTCTTGTCCTCTTCCCCATCGAGGATCTCTGAATCCATTGATATTAGGAGCCCAGAAATCGAATCCTGAGAATCCATTGTTGCCAAATGCTCGTCCTTCTTTGCCAATGACTTCAGCTATTTTCCGAATCAAAGCGTCATCGAAGGAAGCCGCTGTCAGGATCGGTGCAGGGAAGCTTGTGGCATAGCTGAAATTGGCTGGTTTGGAAGTGAATTGTACGCCTGGTGCAGAGCCAACACCATGCGTTGCCTCACTCCACCACTCGTAGGAAGGCAAGCCGAGGCGGGCAGATCCGGCTGAAGCATCCACAAGATTGAGGATCTTTTCCTCCAGCGTCAGGGACTTGACAAGTGAGTTGACTCTCTCCGCAATGCTTAATGAAGTATCACAAACAGGGTGACTGCAGAGGGGCTGTGTTTGGCACGCTGGGACGAATTTAGTGTTCACTCCGCCCCCTTGTGGATTCGAGATCTTATACAAGGACATGCTAAATACAGGTCCAGGATATTAGCACCTTGTTCTCTTTTGAGTCTTGCATTTGACTTACACATAGCCTCCTCCACATGAGCTGGATGGTTCAGTTGCACATTTCGAGTTGCAGCTGCTGTCATTTGTCTTGGTCGCGAGGCTGAAATCGGGCGTACTCCCACAGAAACATTGCCTATTGGAGAGTCAGCTTGAGAATCAACGGTTGTATCAGTTAACAGACAGCTTGCTTACGTTCCAAACTCGATACCTCCATATGCAAAGCCTCTTTGACCGCACCAGTTGGCACAGTACTGGGGTGTCATACCAATGGTGCTAAGTTTCGCTGCCGTCAAAATAGTCACTTTAGGATCTAAGTAACACCCAACGTAGCTTTTTGAGGCGTTATAGGCTGCAGTCGATGCTGAATTGTCACCATTGCAGACAGATGATGCGTGGACGCCAGTTTGTACTGCCATTAGAGACAGTAGTACTGTTGCACCAGCGCGGAAGGGCTGAGATGGTGCCATGATGATTCCCTTCCAATTTCTGCACCGAAAAACACAAAAGGTTCGTGAGGTTCACCCAAGAAAAACCTATAGTAGAATACCTCACTCTCCAGGGCTATGATGAATAAGTCTAAGTGATTGCTGGATACTTAAATATGTGCTGCTGCATATTGAAATCCCTGCTTCAAGAATTTCGTCATTGATCCCTAGGCTAAATTACGGATTTCATAATTAGTCGGATATAATCCGACTCGAGGCCCGGGATGCTTCTTCTTGGCTCGTCTTGAAGATCTCCGGTGTGGAACGAGGGGCAGGTAACAATTCACTCAAAACGGGGCCATCGGTTGTCTTCCCACATACTCCGGTGACAGGCCCGGGACTATACGTTGACATAACACCAATGCCAGCACATAACACACCCGTACAGATTCCAATTGTCGAAGAATAAATATTAAAGTGCTTGATGGAAACTTCTAGATTCTTGTTTTATTGCAGAACTTAGTAACAAACCTGTAGTACGAATTTCAACTCGAATTGGAAAGCGGGGAATATCGCTAAGGGATGATGGCACCCTGGTCAAAGCGCTCAAAACGGAGAAGCAAGGAAAGAACAAGGTGAGCGCCTAGGATAACATGCACTACAGGCAGTGATTGACATGATTATTTGCCGAAGAAGACCCTGGGAAAGCTTCCCCGCAAAATCTGACAACCCTGGCGGCAATTGGACCCTTAGGAACCGGCGCGTCTGCGGGTATTTTCACGGTAGTTACTTCTCCGTTCTTTTCAAACCGAGACATGATTCAAGGTGGCGGAGATTGTCCGAAAGCTTCTAGAAGATCGTCCAAATCTTGTCTCAAACTGGTGCTAAATTGAAAAAGCCCGGGCCAGCAAGTGATCTTTACAGGTAAGCAGTAAGCAGTGAGCGGCATCTAGGTGCCGACGACACTGTACCCCAGCTTGTACCCCGCCTAAACTATGGAGATTACTGAATCATGAGAAGTCAACCGATTCCATTAGGCTAATAGAAGTAAACTTAAATGGCAAGATCGTCAATTGCGATCATGAGTTATGCATGCTCGCCTTTAGCCTGAATCTCCAGGTTACAACGCTTGTCTTAGAGCTAACGGCTAAACGTCTGTGCAGCTGAAGGATTAGGGCTTCAACGACGTTGAACCTTCTCAACACGGATATTTTCCTGGTTTAAACAGGAAGAGAACCTGGGGTCCCGGCATATAGATCAAGAACAATATATATACTGCGGCGAAGATTGGATGAGATGCTTGAAGCCCAAGAGGAAAGAGCCAAATTGAGATAACTGCAGTCTAGTAGCTTTCTCATTGATATACCCGATTCGGAAATATGCTCACCAAGCTTTTGCTCCTCGGCCTGGCCGGCCTCGGTTGTGTCGAATCGGTCAAGCCTCCCTTGAACCCACCACCAGCACCTCCCCCTCCTCCACAAAAACCACCATCACCATCACCACGGCCGTGGTCCACTTTTGCAGAGAATGTCATCTACCAGCCTGGCTCAAGTCACTCCGTTCTCTATCCCCGGCAAGTTGAGCTATCGGATGGAAGTCTCCTTGCGACAGCTTCGTTTGCGGGCGATAAGACTCCATACTTCCCCATATTTCAAAGTGCAGATGGTGGTGCTACCTGGTCCTGGATCTCCAACTTGACTGACCAGGTGAATGGATTGGGAATGTCAGCCCAGCCTGCGCTGGCAGAGTTGCCATTTGCTGTTGGCGATTTCCCTGCCGGCACGGTTTTGGCCAGTGGAAACAGCTGGGGAAGCAAGAGCACGAACATTGATATCTATGCCAGTAAAGACAAGGGCCATACTTGGAAATTTGTCAGCAATGTGGCGAGAGGTAGTGGGCCGGATACTACCAATGGAAATCCCTGCATTTGGGAGCCATTCATCGAGTGAGTTGTATTCCGCCCATGTTTATTTTTCGACACACGCTAAAAGGCAGAATTAAAGATTTTTCAACCACACTATCGGCGTGTTCTACTCCGATCAGCGTGATCCACTACATGGACAGAAGCTTGCTCACCAGGAATCGGCGGATTTGAAATCCTGGGGACCCGTGATAGATGATGTGTCTTATCTCAACTATACCGCTCGCCCTGGAATGACCATCATTTCCTACATTCCCCCTCTGGAGAAGTGGATTCTGGTTCACGAGTTCCCAGGAGGCGATAGCTGGTCTGGCGTAGGCTATCCGGTCTACTATCGAATGTCCGATAGTCCATTTGATTTCCGCTTTGCCTATGGTGTCCCCATCATGGTTAACGGGGTTCAGCCCAACGCATCTCCTTATGTGGTCTGGTCCCCATCCGGCGGTGATAATGGAACTATCATCGTTAGCGATGCTGATCACAGTGGTGTTTTCACCAATACAGCCGGCGGCCAGCCTGATCAGTGGGAGTTGCATGACACACCTCAGGCACCGGCATACAGCCGGAGCTTACATGTCTTTGAGAAGCATCCGGATCATTTGATGATACTCGGTGCAGGCGTGTTTGATGCAACGGTAAATCTGCCGCTTTACCTCAGCGTTGTGAGCGTAGAAGATACCTTGAAGAAGCCGGCCGGGAAATAATAGGGAAGCTTTGCAGGTCAGCATGATCAAGCTGGCCGAGAGTGACCGAGAAAGCAGCCCAAGAAAGAGGTTTTGCTTAAACAAACTTTGAATGAAATAAGGAGAGATGGAACATTGAAATAATAATAATCAAAGTTTCGAGAGATATCCTAGCACTAAGCAGATTTCACTGCCTGTAGCGTAAGAGACGAAGAATCCATATACGCTGACATCTAAGCACAAGTAAAATCCAGAAAAACAGGACTATTCATGCAAATGCCATTAAAAAGACTTATCACTCTCCAGCCCACGGACTAATCTGCTCCCACACAGCCTCATACTTCCCCTCCTCATCCACCTCCGCCATCAACATCATTTCCATCTTCTTAGCTAGTTCATCCCCCATCCCAAGAGAACATACCAGTCTCGCCGCAATCTTATTACCATCCTGTGCAAAGAACTCAAGGCTGGAAGTCCAGGTATGGCAATTCGCACGAAAGAAGGCAACTTTTCCCACCGCGCCTTCGAAATTTGTTTCGTCCCCTCCGGCCATGAAGCGGATGTAGTTGGGACTTATGGATGATTCGGCGAATGAGCGTGCCTCTGCAGGGTCTCCGGTGAAGATTTGATCGATGAAGGATTTGAAATCTTCCGGGGTTATTTTGGGAGAGGACATGTTTGGAGATGTTTGTGTTTGCAGGTGGTCCTGTGGGTAGTTGTGTCTTGTAGTAGAAGTGAGAGGCTGATACCTAACAATCATGGCTCTGTACGTGCTTTTATATTTGACAGAATGATGACAGCGGCTGAGGCCTGACGTACGCCATATAATTAGTGAGTGGTAATTATTCTGGAAGTGAAGGCCCTCAGATGGCCAAGGAAGTAAGCACTAGAAACGCCAATGCCGTTGGCTTGCCTCAGAATGTGGATGACGGAAGTGCTTTAGGTTAGGTTATCCCCAACTTCCAGTTACAACCGGCAGTCAACAGCCTTCCCCGCCGGTGGCTTGGTTGGTAGCTTCAGCTCGGCTGTCATTTCGTTGAGCCTTGCGCGTTTAGTGGCTGGGAGGGTTGGGGGCGGGTTTCGAGGGGTATTGCACTTGGCGGATAACTTGTTAACTTGAACATGTCTTTGGCGCCTCTTATTTGGATATCTTGGCTAATAACTTACATGAAGCCCGAAGGATTGGGACAAGCCCCCGGGGCTTGACAAATTCGTCTGATCACCCCCCAATATTTGAAACGAGCTGAATGCTCTCTTACACTGAAGGGCTACTCCAGTTAGAGTCAGAACTGAAGTGCATCATCCCATGAATCGTGTCCACTAATAAGTTCATGAATGGAACACGAGTGGTAAGGGTAAGGTTGTTCAAGATCTCTTCATAGTAGCCAATATGATGACCTTTATAAATGGTCGAGTTTCCGGTAACCGAAATCTCTATATCGCCTTCTTCCAATGCTTTTGTTTGGGTGGAGAGAAATTCGGAGCGATTCTCAAGCACGGTCCCGAGATCTATCCAGCCACTAACATTAACAGTGTTATTTCCTGGCTTTAGCACGAGGTCGTACGCGGTCGCTTGTCCAAGAATTAGGTCGGCACTCTGGATGTTCACAGTCACATTGCCCTGCAAGAGTTAGCGGGGTCCATTACCGAATACAAGTGGTAAGCCTGACCATGGCAATCGTGAAAACCGAGCGGTTGGGCAGAACTGCAGTTGCCTTGAAGTTTGTGCCATCATCCTGCTTAGGAATCAAATAGGCAGACGGAACAGAGATGCCGCTGAACTTGTCCAGGCCTAGGAAGCTACAGTTAGAGTAGACTTCGTGCCACCTAGAGAATTTGAATCGCCTACCGGTCAGTTCAACATCTTTGTCTAGGGCCAAAGACGCCTTGAGCGCCCCAATATGGCCAACTGTAGATCCCTTCACTGATATCACAAAACGGTCTTGATACACCGCCGTGGCTAAGATTTTCACAAACTGATGCTGGCTGAGGATTTTGTTGTCGCGCTGGGTCAAATTGATCATGTTTGTACCTCCCTTCAAGCTGAAAGTCGACAGCGCCGCAATAAAGTATGGCTCCATCGGTTTTTCATCTCGATTGAACAAACTCAGGTTGAGGGGGTCAGTTCGGATTTTAACAGCCAAAGGAATATCCAAGGAAGTATCAACAGTGAATGTGACTGTGTCTGGCTTGGGATCCAGGACCGAGGCGGAATACACCAGAAGTTTCGTATTGTCGACGATTCTCTGCGCTATGGCAGGAATAATAACTAGAAAGCTACATAAGGGTGAGAATGTTACAACCAAAATTTGGAAACAAATCCTTACAATATCGGGAGGAAAATTGCGAGAAATATGATCGATCCCACCAAGTAGCAGCACCAGAAGCGGCGCCAATGTCTCCGAAATTCCATCCAGGGTATGTCGGCTCTTCTCAAGAGCTCTTTTGATGAAGGTTCAAAATCCCCCTCTTCAGGAAATCCAATCTGTCTTTCTCTGCTTTTGGCTTATTTGATGTACTAGGAAGCTTTCTGTTCGCTTCATGGACACGGCTCACATTGGTGCCGTTCGCCGCTATAACGAGGATTTCGGGGGACAAAAAAACCTAAGGTGACTAATGAAAAGAGACAGAAAAATTAAGATTCATACAGAAAATCTACATATCGCACTTTTATAGAGATTTAAATTTTGTTAATACATAAGTGGCAGACCTGATGTTACGCACCTCCTGCATAAGTTCCAATAGTCTCCTCCAAAGATAGGACCACCTCCACCATTCTACACACGCACGATATCACCAGGGCTAAGATTTACATAGTTAGGGGTTTTCCTGCACCCGGTTTATACACACACATGCGTACCAAAATCTTTGAATTTGATGTATCGAGACATCCTCATTCCTTGTACAGCAGGGACTGAATCGTGAATACGAGGGACTCAGCTCGCCACCACACTGTGGTAGATAAATATTCCATTGAAAAAGGCTAATACCATGCTGATCTACCAATTTTTTTGTTGTACGAGTTTAGTTGTTTTCTTTTTTCTTGTCTTTTCTCCCCTTTCCACCCCAAGATAAATGTGGCGCTCAATAGCACTAGCTAGGTTTGGAATATCGTCCAAAGCGCAAGTATCTTTCAGTAAAGAGAAAAAGCGACGAGGTGCGGTCCAGTTTTCAATCATTGAAAGTCTACCCCACGCCAAGAGCAGCGTAGGCAGGCACATATGCTAGAAGCCATAACCATTGGTCTCCTTCTTTCAACTACACAATCTCACTCCTCAGCCAGCCCGAACTCAGATCCCATCTACCTTTAACATCGCGGCCACATTAGTGCTAGAGTATTGAACACGTACTTGTTCCAAACCGCCCAAGGTCTAAGCTAGTAACAAGTCCATTGCCGCTAGACTACACACTCTCCCCCAGCATTAAATCAGCGCATTCTACGAAGTAATTACTTTATAATACTTGAAAAATGAAGAGCAGCAGAGTGGTGCTGAAATGCTATGACAATCACCCTGGATTTGATTGTACCTGGGCCGGAAATCTGCCTTTCAATATCTATGGAAATATATGGTATCATGAACCAGAATGAATCTTTTAGGCAAACCAAAATGCAAGTTAATCCACAACGCAAGTCACCAAAAAATGGCATAAGATCATTCAAGGGTTTGAAGCAGGTTGTGTCTCCGTCTCCTTCGACTGGGGAATATCACCATTCAAACCATGCCTCGGGTCCGAAAAGTCCACCATCCCCACACCCGTCAAAAGCACCGTACTAGACATGGGCTTGGCCGGCTCATTTTCATCATCAACACCAATCTCCGGAGGAACAGTACCGTGACCAAACACAATCTCTTCACTTTCGGGAACAGGAGCCCAGTCGGGAACCTCACGAGGCCCCTCCGATCCAGGAGGTGGGAGACCCCAAGAGGGCATTGGACTGCGGTACCCCCAGTTACCGTTACGATCGGTGTAGGCCACGGCGTGTAGGAAGATACCGAGCTCGTGGGGACCGGGGTCGGTATATAACTCTGTTCCGCAGACGTCGCAGAATTTGCCGGATAGACGCTCGCCCTTGCGCTTCTCGTACTCGTCCGAGGCGGCTTGTTGCTCTCGGGACATGATCTCTGCCAGAATGGCGGGGTCGGTGCCTGGGGGCACATTCGGCGCAGCGGTCAAATGAGTGCGGTATGAGACTGTGTCGGCAACTTCAGTCTTGCCCATGCGATGGAGTCGCTCCATGATTTCATCGTCACGGTCACCACTTGTTTCGTTACGGCCGAGCTCTGGTCCGAAGACGCGACGGTTGGAGTAGATAGGGTCGTTGGTGATCGGATGACCCAAGAACTGGAGGTGCACTCGGATCTGGTGCGTGCGGCCAGTCAAGGGGAAACAGTGAACAATACTGTACCCCTCATCCTCATTGGCGAGAACGGGCGGAGGAGTCTCCGCGCGATCGCCATGGGCATCGTGCTGCTCTGCAGATGCAACCGCCGCCTGAGGAGGATAATAGGCGAGACGACGGAACTTTGTCGTGGCAGACTTGCCTGTAGCGCGCACACGATTGAGACCCAGCTTCGGACTCACTTGCATAATGGGCTGGTCGCAGACCACCACGCCGTCGGGGAACTTGCCCTTGACGCGAGCGACGTACTCCTTCTGCACGGTTCGCGCCATCAAGGCACCGGCCATTTTCTCCGCGCCCTTGGGATGTTTTCCAATAAACATCAGTCCTGAGGTGAGTCGGTCCAGCCGATTGCACGGTCTAGGAACCCAGCCATGGCCTCGCTCGGCGCGGAGAATCTCAACGACGGAATTGTAGTGGTATCGACCCGCAGCGTGGACGGGCACACCGGCCGGCTTGTCAATGACAATTAGATCATCGTCTTCGTGGATAATACCGATCGGAGCGCTGGTCACGGCAGGTTCGTGGCGGTGGGTGGTATGCGAGACAACCTGGCCGTTCTTGATGATAGTATCTCGGCCGGCGGGCTTGCCGTTGACGCAGATCAAGCCGTTATCGAGTGCGGCCCTCTAATAGATATCTTGTTAGCATTGACTGCAAGATCATGAGCCTCTCAATGCGCCCGATTTAATCATACATAGTAATCCGGTGCCCGGTCACGGAACTCAGACGTAAAAATATCCTCCAACCTTTTACCCCGCCATCTCTCCTTGCAGTTCGTGTTATAAGTGTAATGATACGGACGAACACGACGCAATCCCCGTTCCATATAATACGGCGCAGGCCATGGATCGCAAGGGGTGACAATCACATCGGGAGTTTTTTCGACAGGGTCTTGAGGAGGCACCTGCAAAGAGGTGTCGACGTTGACGAGGGCCATGCAGGGCGGTGCGGGCAGGGGGTATTTGCCTCGCCGCAGCAGATAGGCCGTGATTCGAGCTGAAGGAGCCAGCGAGGACGGCGATTGTCAAAATAAGGCAGTCAAACTTTCGCTCGGGACGTGAGTTTTTTCGGCGCGTGTTGAATGTGTTGCGGTGTTGAGAGTGGCGGATAACAAAGTTTGGGCGGAAGAAAAAAATTGCGATTAGCGTTTGATAAGGTCAGGAACGTTAAACCTTCCAGTTGACTATGGGAGTGAGGAGTAAACAATATTTACTACTAGTAGTTGACGTGTGGGCTTGGCTATAGTATGGGATATCCTTCCTGAGAAACACTATAATTACTATTTTGACGTTTTCGACTATAGATTATCTACACCCTAGATAGATTATTTTGTATCTGCATTTGCTCATATCTGTGCCCTCCATGATATTGCGGCCCACCCACCGCTTCCGCTTATGGGTGCGCCCTAAATCCCCGTCACCCCTAAATCCCCGTCACATTTTTACCATGCGTCTAAAAAAACCATCAAATTAGATAACTAGCCTAAATAAAAAAGATCTCCTCGCTCCAGGGCTACTCTAGCCGATTCGGTAGACCTATCAATATCCTCCTGGGGCCTCTTTGGCATATCCAAACCAGTAGCCTGCTTATACTGCTTCGCAAGCTTCCTCTCCTCCGCAGCAGCCTCTTTCTCCTTTCTAGTCTTGATTGACCGATTCGCATCGCGAACGCTTAGTATACCAGTTTGGCTAAGCGGTTTAACCTGGCGCTTGGTAATTGGGCGCCTCAAGGGCTCCTGAGCGGCCCTAATTCGCGAAACAGTCGCTTCCGCCATCATAAGCCGCTCGTAGATTATCCTGTGGTGATTGTGAAGCATTGCAATATCTCGCTGAACCTTCGGGTCAAAGGTAGCCACCTTCTTTGATATCTTCTTCTGATTCTTCTCTAGCGCTTCAATTGACTTCGGAGGGGTATTCTCCACGCTTGATGATAGTAAATTTGTAGGCTCCGGTGATGGAGTTCGGGGTTCTCCATGAGCGCGAAGATCAGGTGCGTGAAGAGGAGTAAATTCTAGCTGGCTAGCTAGTTTATCTACTATATTTTGGCCGTTGACTGGCCAAATACCACGATCTTTGAAGGATTGCCGAATAATTCGTTGGTTAAATGCCTTCGCTCGTACAGGCCCAATTACCCGTAGAAAATCCGGTTTACCACATAGCTGACCACCCCAGAAAGATAGCTTATTATTCATAAGCCGAAATTGCTGCTTATAGCTCAAAAATGGCTTACTATTAAGTGGCTGACAGAGATGTGTTGAATGAGGTATAAAGCCGAATAGTATAATATCAGCTAACTCGCATATCTCAAGGAATTCGAGGGTAAGATATACTCCGTGGCTATCAAAGAGTAGGAAGCGCTTTTCACCCTTTTTTAGACGGTCGGGTGTAGCAGTAGCTGAAATAAAATAATATAGCTATTCAGAAGCAATTTCATCAGAAATCCAGCCATTCGGTGAGGTAGCAGTAAGTGTGTTTAGAGGTAAATCCTCACTATTATAGAACCAGCTCTCTATAAAGACCCCGCCGCTTTTAAAGATAAATAGCGGATCCATTTGCCAGCCGTCAGCAGCAATACATTCGAGTGCAGTGATAGTTTCGCCTCGCTCAGCTTCAGCAAGGTCAGGGCAGTGCAATCTACCATTAATAACCTTACGAGACTGGCCCTGGCCAGGTTGGAAACCACACTCATCGAAGTTATAGACTAGCCTTGCAGGGATATCCTTTAGCAGGGTTGCAAGCTGATCATACCAGAAAGAGAGAGCCCCTGCATCTTCGGCTTAAATGCGCTTTGATTCCTTTAGATTCTGCTTCACTGGAGCGAGGGATAGGTGCTTTGGAAGGCGTGATATAAAGTAGTATGCCCAATTCTTGCCAACCGGCTGCCGACCCGCATCAGCGCGCGTAAGGGCCTGATTTGCCCACGCTTCTATAAGCTTTGCAGTAGGCGGTAGGTTCCAATCGCACATTTTGACTATCCAAGCAGTCAAAGCCTTCTCCTGATGTGATGTAAGCGCATTCTTGCGCGATTCAGTGGTAGAAAAGGGCGATCGGGCCTTCTTGACGCGATCGGCAAGGGTAGTTCGAGACACGCTAAATTCACGCGCAGTTTTAGCGATATTCGGCTTTTTTTGGTGTAGAACGGCTTTACAGGCCTTCTGCAGGCGATCCTCGTCAAAATTGGAGTATTTAGGCATATTGGGTGGTTGGGAAAGGGAGTTGAAATCGAATGGTAAAAATGTGACGGGGATTTAGGGGTGACGGGGATTTAGGGCGCACCCATAAGCGGAAGCGGTGGGTGGGCCGCAATATCATGGAGGGCACAGATATTAAATGTTGAAATTCAGATGAATGCCGCGCTGATCACCCGCTTACCTAATCTCCACCCGACCTCGGCCCAGTTTCCCCGAGGCTGCGGAGATGCTGTCGCATGGAGAACAATTACCCCAGCAGTCATTCTTCCTTTCGAAACCGCTGGACGGTATCAAGAGTTGAACATTCAATCAATTTATCCAATAAACCCCAATATCCACCCATACAACCATGGCAGCTTCAGACATCCAGGCCAAGAAGAGCCGCAAGCGCAGCGACTATGGCTACCACCAAGTCCACCAGACAAGATGGTAACCGCCGCCCTCTTCAACAATCCCCCACCCGATAATTATTATCACGAGTTCAAATCCAGCTAATATGATACGATACACAACTAGGTTCGACAACGACATGTACGCCCACCTAAACAATACCGTCTACACGGCCCTCTTCGACACAATCGCCAACGCCTATCTAATCGAGCACTGTGGTCGAAACCCCTTCAGCGTCAATAACCCCACACCCACACCCAGCATCCCCTCCTCCTCCACTGGGCAAGAATCCACCCTCAACATCGGCGACGACCAAATTGGTCTAATCGTCTCCACACACTGCGACTTCTTCGCCTCGGTCGCTTTCCCGGATATACTGGAGGTGGGGCTGCGCGTTGCCAAGTTAGGCTCATCGAGCGTTACCTGGGAGATTGGGGTTTTTCGGAAGGGGGAGGAGGATGTGAAGATGGTGGGGAGTTATACTCATGTTTTTGTTTTGAGGGAGACTATGCGCGTTGGGAAGGGGGGAATGGTGAAGCAGGTGAGGGAGGGATTGGAGAAGTTGCTGAATTCGCCGGGGGCGAAGCTGTGATGGGGACGGTAGGTCTGGTGAGGTGTGATGTGATAAGAATTGGATTGGGTGTACGGAGATATAATGTACATGTGCATGATTTCCGTATGCAGATAGTGCCATAGGGATATTCCGATTTTGAGATTAAGCAGTCTGGAACCTAAGATAAAGCTATAGCTTTCTAGGGCCTAGATGCGCCCATTGGGTTGCATATCTGCAGGCGTGTCGAGATACGGTGCAGGATAGATTATGCATAGAGCTGACCGGGACTGATGTGAGTAGATGGATTGTACAGGGAAAACTTTCAAGGAAATTAAGTTGATAACCGAAGCGAGGTATATTTTCCCACTTGTTTAATTCATAATTCATCATCACGTCAAGTCTATGGAATATGCGCCCCTCCGTATGGAATGGGATCGATCGAAGGCCTGGCCTCCCCGTCCATGATTGCAGATCACTTGAAGTGATCAATAAAAGCAAAGTCTAATCTAATAATTTCTATGACGACCGTGATAAACGTGAACCATCATTAGACTGACCCAAAGAGAACATAACTCAGACCGTTAAAATAGCAAGACCGTTAAAATAGCAAAACACTTTTATCTTAAACCGAAAACATTGACACGCTTGAACGCTTCCCGAAGCCATAAGGAAAAACAAGGAAAGCGCTAACAGGTAAGCGTCGGGAACCATGCCCCTTTCAGATAGTACATAATAGTTGTTGCTCGAACGTTCAGTCGAACTTGCCAGCGATGACACTGCTGCATCGGGACACATTGGCACTCGTGGGAGGAGAGGCGCCACGACGCATGGTCTCTCCATCCTCATCAATATACCACTTGGGGTAGGGACCAGGAATGAATCGACCCTGGGCATCCCAGCCAGCGACCCAGTGGACGCCGTCGTCGAGTTGGAAGAAACGGAGCTGCTCGGGTTGACCACCCTTGTGCAGCGGAGCCGAGAACCAGCGGCAGCGATCTTTGAGCTCGGTTTCGAACATGTAGCGGTGGAGGATGCGGCAGTACACCAAAGCAGCCGGGACTTTTTCATCGTAGTCGCATCCGTCACGGCGGACGAGATGCCAGCCCCGACCTGGGAGGAACTTGTATGTTCCCGGGACGGGGCTTTCCCAGTGCTGTTCGCGGTTCACATTGCCATCGATGCGTTCGCCCTTCTGGAACCAGTAGGACGGGCAACAGAGGGTGCGCAGGCAGAGGAAGAGGTTGGGGGCCATGATTGGAGATGGCGATAATTTTCAAGAAAGAGGAAGGCGGACGAAGCTGTGGGAAAGAGTCTCAATAGACTGCCCAAAAGTAATAGATATGGAAGAAGTCCGAGGGGGTATTGTGGACAAAAGCGCTGGAATGCAGAATGAATCGAGGGGACGAGACAGATGCTATAAGTGGACGTCCATGGTGACAAGTAATCGAGATCAATCAGTCGAAATCGAGTTTTTGAATAGGGATTTGGAAAGAGGGAATCCTTCGGCTTTCACAGAAGCTCAGTGAAGGTCCCTGGAAGGATGTGCTTTTTGGGGAAGCACAAAGAAAGTCGATTGGCGACTGCAGCAGGCACGGGCCGTGGTCCGAGGAAAGGACTGGCTGAGAAGGTCCAATGAGGCCGGGATTTGGGGAAAATATAAGAGAGATATGGAGTCGAGAAGTCGCGTTATCGTTGCGGTGAAGGACGACCCGACTTCCCCGGTTTGCGAATATGAAACAGCTTTGGCGGGTCGGGAAGGGCCGTGATAAGCTTGCAGCTAGTTTCGGGGGGAGCAGGGAACAGCTTTTTGATGCTGAGACGAGAAGGTGGAAGCTGGGGGAGGTGGATGGGGAAGAGAGCAGGAGAAGAGAGATCCGGGGCGAATCAAATTGGAGACAATTGAACTGGGGGGATGGGGCAGTTCAGAAGTCGGCGAGACGCAGACACAGTCGCGCAAGACAGCCGGTGTTAGAGGTCAGCGCAGGCGCATGGCACGAATGAAGCATTTGACTGGAGGAATGTCGACATGGCTGAGTTATATGGCTGGGGAGTTATAGGGGGTGTGGGAGTCGTAGTAAAAACAAGAATTGTGTGAGCGATATTCTTGACCCTATTAGGGCGGTCTGAAAAAGTCAACTTGCCACCGACCCAGTCAACTTTTCCGATTCGAGTCGTCTAGACTCCGCCAAAGCTATGGTGACGATGGAAAGCGTGGAAAATGTGGACAAAGTGGACACTCGTTAGGGGAGCCCCGTTTGGTTGTGTGATCGCTGATATTTTTTTCACTGTGGAGCCTCTTCCCGAGTCTTGGCATCTTTCAATGTGGTTCGTGGGTTTTGCAGGGTTTTTTTGGCTGTTTTTTGACTAGGCTGCTATATTTGACGGAATTGACTTCGTATTCTCTTCCTTTCTATGAATAATAGTGTGCCCTCTTTGGTCTAGTATATCCTCACTATCCTTCAAACTGCAATTGTGTACTATTCCAATTAGCAGGATCATCGGTCTCGCCCATCTTACACTTGCACTCCCAAGCCCTTGGCATAACGCCTCGGTAAGCCGTTTGTGGTGTGGCGCGGTCCTCGTGGGTGCTGCTTTTTTCAGCCTTATGCGTTGGTGGCTCAAGAAGAGTCAGAGCTCACTAAGCTCAGGCCTCAGACCCTCTGACGCATACTGCTATTTTTTGTTTGAACTCTCCCGAGCTGCTTCTTTGGGTTAATTTTCCATGCTTGTCGTTGTTTTCTTCTTTCCCTCTTGGACCTCCCATTCTTGGCGACCGGGCAAGATCGGAATACACTTGTCCTGCTGACTCCGGAATTCCCCTTGATCTCGTATACCTGATAGTACACTCAGCTTTTCTCAATCGAACCATGCATCTCTCAACGAGTACGGAGTATGTTCTCTGCATTGATAGCCCGCCAACGATACATGCCCACTTCAATTCAGGCTCTGCGCACAATCTAGACAACTGTATGCGACCGCTGTTATAGAGCTCGTATCAGCGATCGACTAGGGTTACACACCATCTGGAATCCCGATTCCGAATGACCAACAAGATTGACTCTTATATCTCTGATCCATGCTCTTTGCTGATACAACTTGGAAGGTCCTAGCGGTAGTAACACCGACTTGCTTTTTCGAAACTCACGCTTTGTCCAGCAATCTGATATCTTGCTATGACGGAGGCCGACCGATACAAGCGTGCAATGAAAAAAAAAATAAAGATCATAGAAAAATAAGCTGGAGATGAATCACTACTGTCCATCAGTTTAGATGTGTTGTCGAGTCGCACGCAAATGATTAGGAACGCCTTGAACCGCTTTCACTTATCTACATATCTCCAAGAAGCAAGCTCAATCACCAGACAGCTAACTAACACGAGAGAAAATTGGTGAACAAAGCCCCTTCGAGGACTATCGATATCTTTTGCTTGGCGAGATGCCAGGCATTATCTAACGGACACTTGATAAGTGTGCTGTAGTCTGCCTTGGATGGTTTGTTGAATCTTTGAGGCCTTTTATGTCTACGAGCTATACTCTTTCGGAAACCAAGACCTGCCTACAATCTACTGCTCGATCCAAGGCCAGTTCAGTTCAGCATGGAACCTGAACCTATCTAACCCCGTAATTCTGAGAATACGTTGTTGTGTAAACTATACTATTTTAACACTGACCGTCAACTCGACGATATGTCTTTGAAAATTTTACGGAACTAGGTTCGGTCGCTATATTGTTGCTTACCTTGTCGCATATTCCAACCTGAGAGCTAGAGGCTCATCAACCCAGGCAAAATACATCTTCGCTTCGACCGCACTTTATTGTTTAACTGGCCAAGGCGCATACCAACTGGCAACGAACCCCCTTTTTCCGTATGCCGCATGTCTTCGATTACAAACGCCGCTTTCAAGGGATCTACGTGGCGCGGGGAAGACCCGAAACCTTGCGTTTCAATACGAGGTTTGCACTCAATCGGACCTATCATCGATTCTGACGGCTCCTCAAGACTGAGTTCTGCAGAGCGCCCAACCGCAATCATCGCAGATCTACATACTACTGTAGCAACAACTCAAAAGACCTTGCTGCTGGGAATGAAGTCTCGTGATAGCACCGAAGTTGCTCAATGACCCCGATCTATAATCGGATGACTGGGAAAGAGCAACTTCTCTGCCAGAGATAGTACCGAAGACGCTGAAGTTTAACATCTTGCCCGGCCTGCGAAGAATCCAAAATCTCTGTCCCCATGGTTACTTTCCTTTTTCGTCGAACCCCTCAAGTTTAATGCGAGCTACAGAGTCGCATGTTCATGATGCGAAAGATTGTTGGCACATCTCCACAAACTGGTAGTGATCGACCGTCGATCAACTTTAGCCTCTGCCTTTATTGATCGATCCCGAGCCTCATTGGAAACTTTAACACAAACTCTTCGTATCCAATGGATGATCTCCAGATCAAAATGGATTGATACCGCGAACTCGAGGTGCCTCGCGATGGGAATCATCTATAAAGGATGCAATCGCTAACAGTCAACGGTGCGGATTCCTTATTCAACTAAATTACCTCTCATCCAGCCAACATGAAGGTCACTACCGTCTTCCTCCTCTGCTCTTCCGTTCTCGCCGGCGCTCTCGCCGAACCAATGCCCCTCAAGCTTGCTACGAAGCTGCCGGAGCTCATCCCCTCCGGACTGGAGAGCCCAAAGTTGGCAGAGCGAGACGTTTCTTGCCCGTCTAACTATCCTTGGCTTTGTGATGGCTTTTGCTGCCAGTACGATTATTGTTGTACGAGACAATGCTGTGCTCCTGGCACCGACTACTGCAGTAACGGTTATTGCTATCGCAGTGGCTAAACTTGCGTTATCTCCTGCCTGAGTAGGTGGTCTTCACGGGCATCATGGTTGAATATAGTTGACAAAGTTGCAGGCAAGAAGGGTTTGAGCCCAAGCTCATTGACAGAGAATGAGTTCGGTCGGAAATATAGTGGAGTTTTGTTGAAAATGATTTTATTTGTATTGAATTGTGTTAGCACTTGAGTGATAGCACAGAAACATCCAAGAATCAATGCTACCGGCCATAAATGCCATCATTTAGTGATTCCCTTTTCAAATTTAGTCCCTGAACTCCGTCACCACGGTAGCTGTTCAAAAACGAAAAGGAGAGTATGAACTGCCCTTTCTGGCTCTTGATTGCCGATAGTTTAGAAAGAAGAAAGCCCGCCTGTCATGATTTGAAAGAAACCGAACTTCTCCTGCCATGAATCAAACCCGATACCTTCTAGTTCCCTATATACTTCGCCCTGTTAGTGCATTGCCATCCACGGACACTGAAGAACATCACCAAATGCCAAGTCGATGCCGTATAGTATACACTCCCCCATTTCACCCCCTAATACCATTAAAAAGACTATTAAAGAATAAGAATTCGTAAAATACAAAGCTATAAGATATGTTTCTTCACTAGGAAAATAATGTTACAAAAAAACTCGAAAAAAATGTTCTCACCTCGGGGTGTGCCCGGCGGTCCGTGGAGCTTGAAGCGTCAACACTGGCCCAGTACTTTCTTCTTTTGTTTGCCCACTCCTCCAAGCCAAACCAATGGTTCACCAATTTATGGTGGCTACCAACTAGGCCATCGGAGGGGGGGGATCGTTTAACCTGGAAGATGATCATAACCTTTCGAATCTCAGATTTACAGAAAATTAGATGGCTAGACTGAGAAGACTGCATGATTGAGTATATCATGCCCTGCGAAGTCGACAACACACCCTCTGATCTAAAATCTACGCCAATATTGCTCATGCCAGCCTTTCACTCCGAAACCTCAACGACTAACTTCGCACAACTCACTCCCTGAAACAGCACATCCAACCCGCCATTAATAGCCCCCAAACCCTTTCCCACGACCCTCGGCTCTGGACTTGGCCTGATAGTCCCGTTGGTGAGGTTCTCCCTCCCCCACGTCCCTAACCAGTACTGAAACTGGGCCAATCTCTCCCCTTCCTCCCAGGATGGCATCACAAAGATGGTTTCCACCCCATCCACGTCCTCCACGTCTGGAGGGATGATCGGGGCAGACCCAATCTTTGCATTTCTTTCTTCCACCCCTTGGCCATCACCGAGGAAAGCCTTAAGCACAGCCTGACACAATGCCAGCTGACCCATGGCAAGGAAGCAGTACCGAATCACCAGGCCGTCCTTTCGCGCCGCCGAAACAATCGAATCCACAACACTCGGATCCTTGTAATCGAAGACACAATCCGCGCCTAGGGTGGCTACATACTTCTGATTCGCAGCACCAGCCGTGGCGTACACGGCGGCGAAAGAAGAATTGGGATCATCGCATAGCAGTCGGGCAGTTTGCACACCCATTGTGCCCACGCTAGAGGAAGCACCCCAGATCAGGAGGGCTTCTCTCTTCTGGCTTTGATGATCCTGAGTCTCTCCGTTGGTATCGGTGACAAATGCGCAAGATGAAGAGGCAGTTGCTTCTCCAATACGTGAAATCCCCATCATATCCCACGCACTGAGGGGGACCTGGATGGCGACAGGCAAAGTTGCTGCCTGATTCCACGAGATACCCTCATTTGAAAGAGGCATAGCTTGCTGCCAGGGGACGAGACATCGCTCCTGAAAGACCCCATAGTCAGGATCGCAGGACTTCCAAACGGAGGCAGAGTATGCGGCGACACGGGTGATGCCTGGTTGGAAAATTGGACCCATGCCTTCATCGACAGGGACGTTTTCGCCGACGTCGAGGACTAGCCCCGAGAAATCGAAGCCGATGATCGTCGGGTAGCTGGGTATGAAGAGGCCTTGATCACGCATGTGACAGTCTGCCGGGTTGAGGGCGACGGATTTGACCTCGATGAGGAGCTCGCCTGGGCCTGGCTTTGGCGTGGGCCGGGGTTGGAGCTTGAAGGGTTCGCCTTTTGCGAGGGAGATGGCAGCGAGATGGGTGGTCATTCTGGGTTGCTCTTGAGGTAGACTGAGTCGGTATTCAAGTTCAAGTTTTGTGGTTCAGATCTTATTCACGATAGGCTTTTTTCCCATGGAAGATCAAGGGATATACTTCCTTTTATACCTTGAACTTTCATTGCAAGTTTGATTCATTGGTAGTGACGCGATTTTCCAACGAGATCTATACAGAGTAAAACCCGTAGCCAATCAGAGGCTCGTGCTCCCGAGGAGCAGTTAGCGTGGAAAGTGGAGCATCCGAAAGTGAGTTAGCTTATGGGGGCGACGGAGTACTTAGTGGTCCACCTTTCAGATCTCTCCAGAACTGAACTCCCATTGCGCCCGGGAAGATATCCCTCACGACCAGCACATGCAAGGCATCGGATAATTGAATCAGAAATGGCTCTGACCTGTCCAACAGAGGTTCAGCAGGCCAGAACCCGGCGAAGGTCGAGGTTTGGCTGCCGGAATTGCAAGCTTCGAAAACTCAAGGTGAGTGGCTCTAGCCTCTCAATAATCCAGTACTTGTTGCTGACTGGGTTTGCTTGACCTGCCAAGTGCGACGAAAGCAAGCCAAATTGCAGGAGATGTAGTTCGTTCGGGGTATTATGCAACTTCACGTCTAATATACCGGACCTCCAGCCCGTCGCCGCGAATGCAGGACGGCCATTGGTGACTCGAGGAAAAGCAAAGCTTCAGCCTTCTCTCACAAATGCTGTCTGGACAGCTGATGCATCAACAACCTATCAATTGAACGCAAAATGTCAGGATTTTATCACACGGTATCTTGGACGAAGTCTGGTTACTCCGGATGACCCTAATATGATACAAGTTAATCGCAAGCTTCTGGAACTAGCCTTCCACGTAAGTTATCAAAAGAATTTCTCTCTCATCAGACGGGAGACAGCAGATTTAGCCTCATGGACCTGACCTCGGCTTACATGTTTTTTACAGTACCCATTCTTAATGCACGCCTCTCTAGCCGTCGCACTCACATATGATCGCCATCTAAACGGCTCCATAGACAGCCATCGCACTCTAGAAGAATGCTACCACTGGTCCCAAAGCACATCCCTCCTAAATAAACGACTGCGAGAACCAATTGAAACCAGCGACAAAGATCCAATATGGGGTACCGCAGCAGCACTGGTTATCTTAACCTTTTCATCCCCAGACGCAGATACACCAGAACAATCCTGGCCTCTTAGGGCCACCGGCTCCTCAGACTTGGACTGGATACGCATGGGCAAGGGCAAAATGTCACTATGGGACATGGTCAACCCGCTACGATCGGATAGCCTTTTCAGCGTCATGGCTGCGGCTTTTGCTCATATGAATTCCCCTTTACCAGAAGGAGGTATAGATGGAATACCAACGGCCTTGGCGGCTGTGTGTAACCTCCACGACTCATCTACGGCGGAAACGAATGCTTATTTCCATGCTGCACACACGGTATCACAAATCATGGAGCTCCCGGATAGCGATGTCGCAACGGGCCACGTTCAACTGTTTATGAGGAGTATCGAGGGCCCTTTTGAGGACTTGCTTCGGGGAAGGGATCCTGTCGCGCTATTGTTGCTTTATCTATGGTATCGCAAAGTAAGTCGCTGTATTTGGTGGATTGAACTTCGGGCGAGAGTGGAGTGTCCTTCGATTTTCTTGTATTTGCGACTGTATCATAAGGAGAATGGTGATATACTGGCGTTTCTTCCGGGTGGGACTCGGGCGGACAGGTGGAATTAGGCAGGTTTTCGAAGCGATTCGAACCACGCCTAGAAGGATTGACACGAAGCACTGCAACAGTGGTCCCTCCAATTTGCATTACCAAATACACTCAATCATAGGGGTTCTTTTCTGTTATATAAGTCTTGCACAGGAATACTAATGAGAATCACCATATTTTACTTGAAGTTCAGGGTATCTATTCACAGCAAAGAACTGCCGAGCCGACTAATTGAGATGAACCGAAAACCATGCCGCAATGCCAAATCACCCATCTGTGACGCTCGCCCAAGTACCCAAGATATCTTCATCTTCGTTTTCGTATGTAATCCAGAGTGCAAAAAGCTCTTTCAACTCAAAAATGGTTATGCACGCGTCAACCAGGTCAAAAATCGGTATCGTAAAGTCATGAAAAATGGTACAAAACGTGGTCGAAATCAGTTCTTTTCGTCCACAGCTGAAGTGCTGACCGGCTCCGGTGCAGCGCCATCATGTATCTCTTTGGAGTGGCGAGTTGTCTCGTCTCCCGCGTCGAGTGTGGTACTTGCAGGGCCAGGTGAGTTGCCCTCCGAGACGGCCGGGGTGCTATCTGGCACACTTTCAGCTTTATGGCCAGTTCCTACGGCACCCTCGGCGAACGGCGCGGACGGAAGGGCCTGTTTCTCTCGAACCCAAGGGAGGAGGTTGGGTAGAGCTTCTTGGACTGAAGCGAAGCGGGTGCGTGCAGTAGGCGCGGCAATGTCGTCAACGTAACGAATGCCGCCCTGTCCGCGATTCTCGGCCCAAGCTTGTTTTTCACGACGTAGGTCGCTTTGAACCCAGGGGATGGTGATCAATGTCCATACACCTGCCCAAGCAAATGGCAAAGTCCAGCCCAGCTGTATGTCGTGTTAGTCGAGTGCTCTAGCAGCTAACCAATCATCTCAACACTTACTGTGAATGCAACGGGCTCCGACACGGTGAAGATAATTGCGGTAAAGACTGCGGCGAAGATGATAGATCCGCCGCTCCAGAAGCAATTCATTTCAAACAGCATCTTTCGGAAGTATGGACTTGATAGGTATCGGGTCCGGAGCGCATATCGATACATTTGACCTCCACCTCCATCAACAGCCACCACATCCTCAATCAGCGCGTATAGTGCAGTCGGCATAACGGAACCTTTCGGGGTGGAGGAGATTCGGAAGGGTGCTTTGTAACCCATCATGCGGAGGACATCGAGGGTAAGGTGGACGAAGCCGAAATAGAACATGACGGTCGGGAGAACCATAGCGACAAGGCGCACTAGAAAATGTCAGTTATGATTGCGAGCAAGGAAGTGCGAGGCGTTTGGGAGCTAACCATATGGTTCGGTAGGTACGGTTCCACTATACTTTGGTTAGTCTGTTTGCAATTGCACTTGAGCGCATCAGCTCCAACTTACACGATAAGCTCAACGGCCAGAATGAGCCAGACAATGGTAAAGTTGATGTGGAAGAAGTCCAGCTGGGCAAATTGTTAGCGCACTTCTATCGCCAATTTGCCTAACCTCAAAACAGAATACCTACCCATGATGCCTTAGCATTCAATGGCCGGGCGCGCGAACTCTTGCGACGTAAGTGGTACAATCGGTAGAAGTATTCAAAGACGGAGACACCGCCCAAACAAGCGGTGACGATGGAAAAGACTGCCGCACTGTATTAGAGATTGACCGCGTGAAATAACCTAACCTCAGGTTCAAGCTGCCCAACATCATCCAACATACCCAAATTATGCGAAAGATCGGTGCAGTACCATAATGTCCAGTACAAGATCACCGGCTGACCCAACGTATCAATGACGAAGATTGTCCAAAAGATCGCGATAGCCTTCTTCCGAGTATGCAACGAGTAGGGGAGAGGTGGTAGTTCGGAGGGCAATCCGGAGATGGTTCCTTCCTCCATCTGCGTGGCGATGGTGGCGGATCGCGCAAAGCTGGGGAGAGGTGGTTCAGGAGTCGGAGATGGATAGCACAACGGCCGGTTTGTTTATTGACGGAGCGCTCGTTAGGGTGGGAAGGTGTTGTAAGGTTAGAACATGGTGGGTTCGTTTGAGTAGGAGAGTTCTTTCGAACGAATGGTCGACAGGGAAGACAAAAATCGACCGTAGGATAAAGGTTCGTCTAAAAAGCGAGTTTTCAGTTTTGCGCCGGACCCGGAAACGACGGAGTAGAGCGTGAAACCCGTGGGTACTTCCGCGGCCACGTAAATTTGGCGGAGGAGTGAAGTACCTGACGTAAGGTGGTCGGGTGATGTCATCCAAACATGCACTTAAAATACTCCGTACTTACCAGCAAAAATGAGTATAATCAAGTATCCACACTGCTCAACTATACAAAAGGGTATGTTTCAAAGCACTCCGAACAAAATATGTCCAGAAACCTGCGTCCGCCAGGCAGGGTTCCCCCCGTCATATTAATATCCTCCAGTCTCGGCTGACGTTCAATTTTTCTTTCGACCTCCGTGTGCCAAGCACGCCCGCCCAGAGGCGTTTTCTACTCGCCACTACGGAGTACGACTGGCCACCCGGCCGTATCAGTTCGGCGCTCGCGGATTGGACTGCCTCCGAAAACAAACGATAGAACCCCATCAGCCCACGAATATCATGCACTAGTTGCAGATCGAGACCATGACAGAGATATGACGGTCGATTTGTCAACACGCCCGCCGGAGTAACTAATTCACGAACTGTCTCTGCCACTACATATATTTCATTTTATTTCATTGTCTCATCTGCACCAAAAACAGGAGATGGCATCGCGAATGGAAATCGGGATTCGTCTCAGGTGGCCGCCGATCATATCCATCCCGATCCCTGGGTCCAGCCCAACTTTACCTCTGTTCATAACTTTGCATAAGTACTCCGTAGTCTGGCAACAGATGAAGAAGACCCCGAAGGTCCTTGGGCTAAAGGTTTGATATCTGATTCCCCCTCTACACTACTGCTAACTACTCGGATTCTATGCTATAGCTCTTTTTCTTAGAAATTCTTGCTGGAACGCCCTATACATTCGTGCAATAATTGATTGCCTACACTCCGTATCCCCGTATTTCGACCCAAATTTGGATCCTGACTGCCGGTCGCACCCTGGTCTGCCGGGGTTCCCGATCGGGAGTCGGCGTTTTGAATCGCCGTGAGTCGGTCTTTGTGGAAGATTCCTGTATGGCCGATTCACGAATTCGGATGGCTTCGGAGGCTGCAAATACTCCGTAAGCCGCTTAGAAAGGCATCGAGGATAACTCAATTAAACACTAGTGCAAGAACTAATCGCGATCATATATGCTGCAAGTTGATAGCAAAATATATGGCCGACATAGGGAGGGGCTACTGCGCCTGGCCGACCATACTATATTTTCCTTCTTAAGGGAGTCATAACGCTAGGCGACCCTGCCGATAATAAGAGTCACGAAGGCGCCTACTGCTTCTACTTAAAAGCATGGAGCTCTATGCTCCCACATCAAGCAATCCCTCCTTTTGGTATTCTCCTCAATCGAATCATAGGCCACTTGGTAATGCCAATGAAATCACCCCACACCCGTTGTTGAGGCGTGCCATTCAACGAAAGCTGCTTCGCTGTTCTATGATCTTGTGGTCTTACTCCGGACTGATTGCCAGTAGTAGTAGACTTACTGTCTATCACACGAGGCGTCAATGCTTTCTTTCCCTTGTCTTGGCCAGCACACCGCCCCCCAATGCTACTAACAAGTAACATGTCACGTTCGGAAAGTGAGAAAGTTTGTGAAGCATTGCCTCAGAGTGGAGAAGCCAAGATATAAGACGCATCAAGTTTCGGATTACTGACTTCTCTGGAGGAGCAGTTTTAGTTTTATCTGCATGTCGCGCAAGACTAGCTTTTTTGGGTGTTACGCAGCGAAAAAAGCGTTCAGCTGGTAGTATGGGGGCCAAATTAAAGTGATTGCCTGACGAATCGCATCTCCTGATTGGATAATGAGTTTCTATGAAGCCGCACCTCCAGCATCCAGGTATACACTAGCCTCGATATGGGTGGACTGCCAAGTTTAAACCAACATGCGAGGAGCATCAGAGCATCCATGGTAAAATATGGTAAGCAGAAGTATGCCTTGTCGGGGTGGGCAGAAGAATGCACTGACATTTAGTATTCCCAGAACTTATAAAAGCAGGCAAGAACTCCCAGGAACTGGACTAAATACTACTCACACTCCCGCAAACCATACACAATCTCTTCGCATATATTATCTCCATGTATTGCCAATCACTTATTCCAAGGTGCTTGGCACTCCTTCTTGCCTCGTGTACCCATGCATGCTCTCCTCGATCAGACTCGGGAGACCCCAACAACCCTATAGTCGTTGGAAACGATGGTCCTGCTCCCGCAGCAACTCTGGGATACGCAATTAACCACTTCGGCCTTCTCACGACCAATCTCGAGGCCATGAAATATTTTTACGGCAACATACTTGGTATGCGACTTCTCTTCGACGCCCATGTCACACCCGAATATACCGTGACGTACATGGGCTACGCTCAGGGTGGTCGCAACGGCACTGGCTTCCAGAGCGGCTCCGAGCTTTCCCGCGACAAGAACAATTTGTACGGACTTCTCGAGCTCGTCCAATTCAACGTTTCAGATGATCATCTCGTGGCATCGACCAAGCGGACCAATACGTTCAGCCATGTCGGGCTTATTGTTCCTGATATAGCTAAGGCACAAACATATCTGCAAAAGAACGGTGTTAAAATCCTGAAGGAGTTTGGTAAACCTGTCACGGAGATGACTGGCCCGCTGCAGAACGCCTTTGGGATAGGCGAGTACGCGGGGGCGCACATCGTTGCGAAACAGGCCTTGATCAAGGCGCAGGGTTTGATTGGATTAGAGTACTTGGTGATGGTTGAGGATCCTGATGGCAATATGGTGGAAATTCAGCAGCAAGAGCCTCCCAGCAGCTCAAATTTGTAGCTATGATTCTGCTACGCAGGACTTCGCTGTGATGGATAATGTTTTCCGTGTTCCAGATGTTAATTTGTTTGGTACACAAGACGTTTGGAGTATGAGCCAATAATCTGATCCATACGTGACATGTCCGTGAAAATTTATATTGTAGGAAGCTGGCACCTGGCTGATTGATCCATTTTGTAAATCATGCTGTTCACTGTGAGTTATCGAAGATTTAGTTTGTCCCACATGTTGCTTAAATAGTGAGATGTTTGATATTTAGTTAGGCGTAACGTTGATGTTTGTTGACGTGTATCTTGCTGCCTCAGTATACAGGCAGCAACAGCCGTCCTCGTCTGATCACGTGATGAAAAGGCAGGCAATCCGCCGAATTCCATCGACCCGCGTTCGAATCACACTTTTCGCTCCCGAAATTTTCATCCCTCTTCAACCCTTTTCCTCTTCCTTTCCCAGTCCCCCCTAGTTCTATCATTATTTCCTCCCAAAAAGTTATGGTACCACCATGGCTCCCAGCTTGCAAGAGCTAATCGACTTTCTGCTGAACGAGGTCGCCCTTTGTGGTAGTCAAGGTGAGTATAGCTCGAAACCTGCCCTCAGACCCACTTTACTCGGCACGATGTATACAGCTGTGCCTCATATGCGCCTGCGGAACGTGCATGTTTCTCAATAATGTATATCTGAACTCGTGCTGAGCTGTTCCTACTCCCTTGATCCCTTGTGTCTTATCTCTTCTGCTATTGTTTTTGGTGACAGCTGCACACACAAAGTGAACTGGACACTGAGCTGACCTGCATCTAGGCGCGACCTTGTCTGGAATTCTTGAAGCAATCGAGGATTTCTACCAAAATGCACATCAAGAAACAAGCCAGCGAAGCCAGACTGTAGATCGCCGCTTTAAAGCCAAGGTCTGGTCATGGCTCATGCGCCAACCAGAGGTGTCTGTCAGACCGGATGATGAATGGCGGCGCCTCAGTCTGGACGAGGCAGAACAAAAAAATCGTGAACTTGAAGAAGCAGGCAGCCACCAGGACCCTGACGCAGATGGAGATCAAGATGAAGTACCACCCACCCCATCGTCGATTCGCATCTTCGTTTCGAAAGAGCGGATGTGGTACGCTCTCACTGGGCATGAGCCTGATGAAACAAAAGTCCCGGCTAGCGAATTCATGCTACTTTCTATCATTGCTTCGCGCAAGTCCGCGGGTATCGCCCAAACCGACTTGGTGAGAATCAGTAACCAAGACAAGCGCTCCGTTCCCAAACGAACAGATGCTCTAGCTCACAAGGGCTATGTCGAAAAACGCCCCATCCAAGTCAGATCAGCTCGCACCAGTCTCGTTACTTTTCGACGATTCGTGAAACCCGCTACTGCCGTGGAGACAGCTGTTGAAGGCCCCTCTGGAGGTATCTCCGAACGTCCCATTATCAACTTTGACGCGTTCAATGCCAAATTGTTCGGCATTCTGAAAGAATTCGGCATCATTTCGCGGAATGATCTCAAGAGGCGGCTAGGATTTGAAGATCGCTGGCGCTGGAGAATCCTGTCGCGTGCGCTTCGCAAATTCGAAAGGATTGGAGTCTTGAAGCGAGTCAGAGCAAAATCACAATACGATAAGATTCATCCCTGTGTGATGCTTGTTCGCGAGCCCACCGAGACCGATCTTGCCAAGTTCAATGCCGTTAGTGGCGAGTTGAACCGGACTGTAGATGATCAGGCGGATGACGACGATGATATCGATGATACTGCGGGGAACGAGCCTGCTGGTGCAGATGAAGGTGCCCTTGAAATGGCAAAGGACAAGCCTGTCCTCGAAGCCGGACGCACCGTGCCATCATGGACTCCAGATCGCTCCGTGGCAAACCAGATTTTCGACATTGTGAATAATTCTGGCACCGCTGGAATCACCAATCATGTACGATCCCCCAGCTTAAGCCCGACCCGGAAATTTTGTCTAACGTCTCTTTCTACTTAGGAAATCAATCGCATCTGCTTTGGCAGTATCTACCGTCGACCTTCCGAAAGTGCGCTGCATCGTCTTACTGATTGTTGGCAACTTTCCCAGCCACCTCACCTCCGACACCTTGGCATTGTTCGGGATACAGCAATCGAGAAAACAACTTTCTTCTACGTACATTACTCGGTGAAAAATTTTGCAAAGATGGTGGAGAGTGGCAAGACATCGTGGGAGGCCGTGGAGTTCCCACCACAAAAGGCCAAGGCGGCCAAGTGCGTTCTTCCCGCAGTGGATGTTACTGTACAGCGTGACAAATACGGCTTCCATGAATCAAGTGCTGTGAAAGATCTGTTGAAGAATGGCAATGCGAGCTTATTCGAGGCGCTCGCAGTCTGCAAGCCACCCACCTACCTTCTGTCAAGCAGTGATCCCATGCCGGTCAAGCTTGCAAATGGTCATTTCAGTACGTTTCCAAAATTATTTCAGACTTGGCAGTGGGCTATTTACTAATGAATTGTAGTGGTTGATATGGGTAGATCGGCTGTCACTGGGACGGTCATACCATCGCCGATTAGTGCTCGCCGTCATGGCGGCCGTCCTAGGGGGCCGCGGTACAAAGGCTCTCAAAAACAGTCAAATTTGTCGAAAATGGAGAGGAGCTCCCCCGGAATTCCAGATCCCGATGACCCTGATGCGATGGAACTGGATAATATCCCGCATGCGGTTCCAGATCACCTAACATGGGGACAACCTTCTCGTCAGACGCCAAGGGCCGGTCACAAACGCGCGAAGCTGGAGGGTCTTTCGGAAAAAGAAATATTTGAAGCGCTAGGCATGGATGAAACTTGGACAGAGTACAACGTGCTTGTCAATGAATGCCCCAACCCTGGCGTCTATGTCACACCTCAAGGCAAGAGGCGACCAGCGGGTAGGAAACAAGGTCGTCCCGCAAGAAGCCGAATTGCAGTCTTCAGATCAGCGCGATTGGCATCCTTCTCTTGGTTCCCCAAACCAAATGGTGACAAGGGTGATGCGGCTATTGAAGAACAGGAAACCTCGGCCGAAGTTGGCGCTCTCGGAAACGGTGTGCCTATCTCGGTGCCCATTGCACCTGGCGCCGAAGGATTCACGACCTTCCGACCCGCGAGTAATGTGCAGACCACCACGAGAACTTCAACCAGGCGAAAGCGGGCCCAGGATGATTTGGATCACACTGATTCGCAGACTCCGGCGCTCACTGCCCTTGAAGAGCCCCAGCGTACCATGAGGCGACCCCGGAAACAAGCTCATCTTGAAGAGCCTCGAGAGGACGCCGACGAAGTGCTTGCAGAAGCCCCAGAAAGTCCAGCTCCAGAGGAGACTGTTCAGATACCCCATGAAGTTGAATCTGCCCCGGCTGTTACTCGTCAGAAGAGCCCGACGGTACACCCACTGAGCGACGATGAAGCTGAAGTGTCTACGCCTAAACGACGACGCATCGCATCTCCTGCTCAACCCGTCTCGCGTGAGATTACCCAAGCAGAAAGTTTAAAGGCTACTGCAAGCCCTGCCAGCCCTGCTAAGCGAGCCTCTGGTCCCAAGCGGAGAGGACCTCGGCCTTTCTCGAGAAACTGGCTCTCCAAAGCGATTCCTCCGACCCCCGCAGATGCACCGGGCGAGACCCCACAGCTGGTTCATGGCTCGGCGGACCGGGGTGGCTCCATTAGTCTTCTTCGGAGAAACATCATTATGGAGATTATTGAAAAGGCTGGTGGCGCATATCCCTCTGTTCCGGAGATCTGGTTCCCATTTGCAACCGTGTGGCTTAAGCGGAAGCAGAAAGAGCGGCCCGATAACCGTACAGTCAAGACGGCGATCAGAAACCTGGTTGACGCCGGCAAACTTCGACAACTGACATTCTGTGGCAAAGGTCCGAAAGGCGCAATGGTCACCAAGACCATTCTGACCAAGCCTGAAATTTCACCAGAAGAACCCTTCGTCAAGGAGATGCAACGCAAGCTCCTGGCTGCGACTGATCAGCGTCTTTCATACTCACCGAATATTGAGCTTGATCCCGAGCTTGTTAGGCACACTGGCCAAACTGGCGTACCCAAACTTGCCCTGCCCATGGTGTCAGGTGCTACTGTCCAGTTGCAACAAAAACCTGCCACTGTCATTGCAGAGGAGCAAAGAACCGAACGTCGGGTTCAAAAAGACTTGTTGAAGAGGCTGGAAGATCAGCTTGGTATTGGCAGCGATACTTCTGCTACTGGCAACAAGCGACTCATGAAGATTGGTCCTCGTGGACCTCGTCAACCAGGTCAAGTCTCTCTGATCGGTGCCCATCGGACATTGATTTCTCGACCAGGCGTTGGCAAGCCCGTCAGAAGGACCAAGGGTGAGATCGTCAAACCAATGTCTGCCATCAGCCCGCATGCCATGCTGATGCACCCAAAACAAGCCTTCCACTCGAGCTCTGGCACGTTTGGTACATTCGGCTTGGCGAGGAAACCACGCATAATGAAGAAGCCTGGTGGCGGTGATGCGGAGAGCTCTGTTCGCGAGCTTGCTAAGCTTGCATCTGCTCCGAATATTACCCAAACTGGCCGAGTTAAGACTTTCCACTCAAAGGCGGAAAGGATTCTCCGGTGGGAACTCGAACATGAGGAGATTTTCGACGAGGCTCATCACGGGACCGACACATACATTGAACAAACCGTTAGTGACGAGTTTGAAAATGTACCCATTGCAGGTGTGATTCGGTTCGATACCGAGCAGCCAGCTAGGCCAGCCCCCCAGCGGAGAAGTACGATGACAACCCGGGGCGCAGTGTACACAGGGCCGTTGCGCGAGATTCGACCTCGCCCTCCCCCAGAGGCTGCTCCTATTGCGATGCCTCCAGAATACCAACCGTTCCACAAAATTGCTCCTGGTCCCGCACGTCGTCGTATTGACGGGGTGGATACATCTATTCCTAATCGACATGGTGTACAGCCGGATGATGTCAGAATACAACGAACGCGCCGCCGAGTTGCTCTTCCACCGCTTGTCCAGATCCTGTATCGGAAGATCATGGTTGCCATCGTCGCCGTCAGAGTGTTGGCAGGCGGTTCGGAGGCCCGGAGCATCGACTGGGACCTTGTGTCTGCCGCATTCCCCAAGCAAGATCCAGCTTTTATCCAGGAGCATGCCAAGAACATCCTGGCCAAGAGCCGATTGCAGATTGCCGGCATGCAACGTGACTTCCAAGAGCAATATCTCGAAGCATACGCTCAGCAGAAGGTTCCCCCCATTGACTATGATCAGCTGGACCAATACAACTGGCCGGCTGTCGTTGAATGGGCAAATATTGAACTCGAGTTCTCGACATCTGAAAAGGCTCCAGTGTTACCTGCAACTCGGGAGGAGTTTGATAGCATCTTCGAGCTTCGACCTGAGACTGTTCCAGCCGCCGATGAACTGTACACTGTCACCTCGGGCATTACCCTCAACTACAAGCGCGGTTTGATGGCCCATGTTCCATTCGCAGTGCAAGTTGGCGCCGGCCAAGACCGCCCAGTCCAAGGACCACGCAAGAACGAGCTTGCTCGTCTCGACGTCGTCAAGACTTGGGTTCGTGCCAACGTCGCCGCATCAGATTCGACCTACGACCCGCCTAGGGCCGAGGAAGCTCTCAAACCATTCGGTACTCAGCTCATCAACTCAGCTGTGCAATCGCTCCTCACCGATCGGGTCATTAGCATGGGCAATAAGGGTCGTGTTGTACCAGGCCGCAACTACGATCTCACTGATCATCTCCTGGCCGCCCTTAGCCGCAAGCGCCTCATTGACTGCCCGATCCTGAAACGGGCTGCATACTTCAAGACAGCAATCCTGGACCCTCAGCTACAAAGCACGGGATCTTTCGATGTGCATTACCATGCTGAAGACGGCGACATTCTCGCTCTAATCAACCTCTTCAACCATGGCCAACTCACCCTCCACCCCCGTGGCCAGCCACGTAACAGATGGGGTCTCACTGAAGGCGGCTACCTTACCCGACAAATGGACAAGAACCTCCTACGCTTCGCCGTCGAAGTCCGCCCATCAGCTACATACGCCTACGGCAACCCTATCCAGACCCAGGCTACTTTGCCCGCACCACTACCACCCCCATCCAACGACCCCAACCTCCCTCCCAAATTGCCCCTCTGGTTCGATATCCATGGGTTCCTGATCCCGCAACTGTGGGAGATGGCTATTGCCTCGGTTCTAGGCTGCGTTTCCATGCGGCAGGGTCTCAGCCCGGAACGCATTTCGGGTATGATCAAGCCTGCGATGGGCGCGTGGGAGATCGAGTTGCTACTGAATTGGTTGAAGGAGGTCGGTGTGGTGGATCGACAGAGTCGTGATGAGAAGAACGGATGGATGGTTCGCCAGTGGTGGTGGATGGTTCTTACGGAGGAGGAGTCTGGTACGGTTGTGCCGGATCCTAAGGCTGTTGCTGATTTGGTTGCTGAATTAGTTGCTGAGCCAGTTTCGCACGTTGAGGAGCCGATGGCTTCTACTTGAGGAGGATATTGGCTGTTCGCATGATTGTATGTATGACTACAGATAAGATGATAATATTCAATTAATTGAATTTGTAAGATATACATGAACGCTCAATTTTGTTGTATGGTATCTAGCGCGGTTGGGAATAAGACAAAACAATAATCAGGGCCCGTGTCTCAAGTACCAGTACATGTTGTGGTCTAAACTGGTATATACAAAGCAAGACCAGCTTTCTTTGTAGATGGTTGATCAGGCCCGGTGGCAAGTGTGTAACTTACAGGTCGTCAACATTGACAACACGCTTTGTGATTAGGATAATCAAGGCAAAGACGATGCCGATAATAGCGCGGTCCAGCCAGGGACTGTTTGCGGGCTCGGATGGGGTAGCAGCTGCAGTTCTCGTGGCCATAGTAGGAGGTGCAACTGCAGGAGCAGGAGATGTTGGTGTTGGGCGAGGGCGGATATTGGACTGAGTTGATGGTGCTGAAGGGACGACTGTCGGAGTCGATGATGACCCTGAAGACACCGGGGCTGGGGGCTCTGAAGACACGGTCGAAGTTGAGACCTGAGGAGCTGGCGTAGACGCAGACTCATCAACAGGAGCAGTCCCGCTTTGCCCATCACCATCATCCTCCTTCTTCCCACCCTCCTCCTCTTCCTCTTCCATCTTCTCCTCCTTCGCAAAACCCTCACACCCCTCAACATCAACCTCAACCCCTCTCTCCCTACAAACCCCCCACCAAGCCTTCATAACCTCCTCATTACTCCCCCCACACTCCCTACAAACCCACCCACGACTCTCCCTCGCAAACTCCCTCCTAACAGCCTCACTCCCCTCCATCCCCCCAACCTGCCCGCGACTCTCCGCGCCGAAAATCTCGCTCCGAATCGCCAGCAGCGCCGTCCGCACCCCCCACGCCGGCTGCCACGTTTCCTCGTGGTGGCCCGAGATACTCAGGCATATCTCGCGATTTACCTCGAACCGGCCCGATGGTGTGAGGAAGCGGAAACTAGGGGGCCGGAGTGGGTATGTTGGTGGGAAGGTTATGCGGCCGTGGTAGAGGCCGTGCGCGTAGGGCGTTGGACTGGGGGGTCCTGTTAGGGTGAAGTGCCAGTCGTGCAGGTTGTTGTCGGAGGTTGGGGCGGCAGTGAAGTAGGGACTGGGGTTTTTGTGGATGTCTGTTGATTCTTTGAGGAGGCGGCGGGTTGACGGGGATGTCATTTTGGCTTTAAGTCTTTTTGTTGTGAACAGGATATGGTCGAAGTTGAGGATGTTAAGGTGGAGGTGGAGGTGGAAGTGGAGAGGATGACAGGATAAGAGGATAAGATCGACTTTAGCGTGATGATTGCCGATTAGATCATCAAGATAGCGGACTCAGGCACAAAGGCAGCCACAAGATATCAAGTGGCCGAGGATACAATGAGAACGTGGGAATGAATCAACAAAGACACTCATTCGCATTAAGAAGAAGAAAGAAAGAAAAGGAAAAGAGAATCAAATGTACAATAAAAGAGGCATTTCGCTCATTTGAGGACACGTCATTTTTCCCCACAATACACACGCAACAAGAAAATACCAACTTGGCCACTTCCACAAATGGAAACGCTTAATTTGTCACAGTCATCACCAAAACGCCAATTCATGCAAAAAAGCAAAAGCCGCTAGAATGTCTCCCCAGAATGCGTCCTATGAACAGCCCTTACCCCTGACGATTCTATTTCAATCATCCCAATCCCGCCATTCATCCGTATCTCTATTATGCCCGCCCTGTTTCACACCCTGACCTCTCCCGGCTTCAGGGTCAAGTAACCCGTTGCTCTCAGGCTCATCCTCGAAGTCACTATCTCCGGGTCTGGGCCGAGGGGAAGCCGGGGCAAGTGTTTGCATAGAAACACTCGTCGGCGGGCGTTCGGGTGCATCCTGTGGCCGGCGGTTGGAGATCCAGCTTGGTGATTGTTGCGATGCGTTTTCATTATTTACACCCCAGGCATGACTGTTGTTCATATTCCGCGAGTAAAGGTCGCGGTAGTACTGCTGCTCATTGCTAGCTTCCTGTTCGCGGTTGACTCTGATGCGCTCGCGCGCTTCGAGGAATTTCTGGCTTGGCTCCCAGCGCCAGCCATCACCGGTGGTTGTACAGATTGGTATAGGCCAAAGGAGAGGTCGGTCGCCGAAAAGGTGGGTCAGGTTACGCCGCCAGCCGTGGTCGAATGCACTGGGCATTTTCTCGCTGTCTTGGTCGTTGACCCATTCTTGGTATCGGTCGTGCTCGCGTTGGCGCTCCATCTCCGCGTAGGATCGAGTGAGGGCTTGTTGGGCGGGAGTCATTGGGTTGTGAGGGTTGACGTTTTCAAGGCTAGGTCCTTGACCAGGGGGGTAGGGTGCTGGGGAGAGACGTTCTTCGCCTTCTTCGGCGCGTGTCACGCCCGGAATCGCATTGGCGTGGGCGTCTAGTATTTGGTTGCCATAGCCTTGGAGTCGATGAGCCAAGCTTTCGTTATTTGGGTCCGTAGCATGGCCATTTCCTGCGCCGTTCTCGTTACGTTGTCGGTCTAGTGCCTTGCGCAGCGGTGAGACATATCTCGTCTTCTCGAGACACTCGATAGTCGTCACTCCCCGCACCGCCAAGCTGATATGCCACGCCGTAAACCCGGTCAAGACGAGACCGATAATTCCTCCCAAAATGGCCAGCAGCACCACGTTGACTGGCATAAAGGTATCCATATACCGGGTATCATTCAAAACCTCCGTCCACGTCCACACCGCAGAAACCGCAAAGCACACCCAGCAGAACAGCGATGTATAAATCAAAAATAGCAAGAATGCCTTGTAGTTGTACAGCCCGACACAAGTCGCCAACCAGGGACAGTGGTGGTCCATCTTCAACACGCACCGCTTACATGTCGAGCAGTGGTGCGCGCGGTCAGGCTTCGGACATTGACATTTTTTGCAATACCGCGATTCACCAGACGAACTAACGGTATACGACGTGAACTCGGGGTACTCGGAAACCGGCAGGGCGCTATACTCGTGTCGACCACCGCGGCGTGTTGTGAGGGGCGAGCCGGGGTCCGTAAACACGGCAACGGTATAACTAGCATTCAGGCAGAGATAGAGAATAACGCCAAGCAAGGTGCTCGGAAGACCTATAACCCAAACCGATTAGCACACCGAATCCATCCATTCACTCCGTGATGTTTATGTTCATACCAATCCAACTACTCCGATGCTCCTTAAACCCAATACTAACTTCCACATAAACCGCCCAAGTCGTCAACCCATAAACAAAAACAAGTGGGAAACAACTCGCCGCAGCACAACATAACCGCTCACAACGCAGCGCCCACGCGCGAGGACGTCGCTTCGGCCACGAGGGCGAGGTCGGGGGGCTCGAGGCCAGGGTGGCCATGGTAGATGGTTATCGCGCGCGGGAGATGTTCATCGGATGCAAGATGGAGGAAATTCAAATTCGAATTCGAATTCGGAATCGATTCAGACGAGAGGATGTTGTCAATAACAGGCCCGCATGGTGCGGTGATGCGGACGGGTGGTTAGAGAGAATTAACTGCTGGGGTACGGATCGCGTTGATTGCGGCGGCCTGCTGCGGAGCTGCGTAAGCCTGTCCCGACCAGGACCTTGCCTGGGGTCTTACTCAGCCACGCTGAGCGCTGCGCCACGCCTTTATTTTCGTTAGCGTGGGCTTATAGGGCGGAGGTGGGACTCTACCAAGAAATAAAGGTGGATAGATTCTAGGTTGCCGATATTTGGGCAGGATTGAGAAAAGGGGTTGAAGGTCTACTTTGACGACACATATTGTGTGATCGTGTGGATGAGTTCGCAGCGGGTGACCCAAAGAGGCTGCGTATATACAAGGTAACACGAGGTTGTATAATAGAATAGAGGGATGCGCCATGGCTATTTCGTAGATAATGGTTTACTAGAATGAGATTTATACGAGACATAACAAATTCAACAGGACAAGATGCAATACTAGTCGTTCATGGAGATGAATGGAGTATATTGCACGCAATTTTGCGTTCTATGTACAGATATTCCAATTCTTCAGAGAAGCCTCCAGTCAAATCCAGCAGTCAGCGGCTGAATAACACAAGAAAACAATAAACAATGCAAAATGCAGACCACTAATTGCTAGTGGTGGTGGTCTCGGAACTCTGCAGGGTATCCTGGTCGCACCAGCCGTTGACGGGCTAAAGAGAAGATTGATTAGCAGACATTCCAAAACAAAATGATGAAGAAAAGCAGAATTGACTCACCAGACAACTCAACCGATAGCACCAGGAGCAATTCGATGAAGGGTATTTGTAGAAATCAATAATCAACAGAATGAATCCAATGAGCACCGCGACCAGCGCACCGGCGCGCACCAGCCACCAGGCCCACCACAGAGGCTTGCGGCCCTTAAAGAAACCGAGAGGGCCCTTAGCTCCGCTCTCTCCACCAGTGGACGAGACCATGCTGCCCTTGCCCTTGAAAAAGTCCATAACGGAGGAGGTTTTCCGCTTGTCGGCGGGGTCGACCCCAGCACCGCCGCTCATGGCGACGTAGGGCTGGCGAGTGAGCCCGATCCGCTCGCGCAGGGCATTGGGCGAGCGCAGGAGAGACAAGCCCATGGCCAGACCCATAATGAAACCGCCAATATGGGAGAAATTGTCCAGGCCTGGGAGCAGGCCGAGCACAAATGAAACGGCTACCCCGAGAACCATGATAATCAATTCCACCCACGGCGATTCCCGCTGGGGCCAGTCGTACAACAGGTCCAGTAGGAAGAGGGCGAGGATACCGAATAGCGCACCAGAACACCCAGTACTTGGTTGGAGTTGCGAGGCATAGTTTCCACCAAAGACATAACCGAAGATCCCGCTGGCGAAATAAGTCAGGGTGTACCGCCAAATTCCGATCATGCGCTCCATGTCCGCGCCCATGGTTAGTTGCACCAACAGATTGAAACCAATGTGGATGAAGCCGCCGTGCAGAAAGATGGGGATGATGAACCGGTACCACTGGTTCGGGGCGGGCTTGTCATCGATCGAGCCACCAACCTTGGGGTTCGGCACGCCGCCAAATCCACATAAGTCTGAGAGGGTACAGTCCCCTGTGGTGGTAGTGGAATTGGGACAAGGCCAACCGATGGGGACACTTGAATTCTGGACACCGGGAATGTTCTTCATGCAGGGATCATAGCGGGCGCCCATGTAGATTTGGATATATGGTGATGGACCGATCATGGGGTTGAATGAGGGCTTGGTCTCGATTGGCGATCCGGTCAAAGTGCCTATAATCCGAGTGTTAGCCTGTCCCTGGCCGTAGATTCTACAATGATCTCCGAGTGGTTGACATCAACCCCGGAAATGCTCGGCACTTACCATTTTTCACCAATTCCACGATAAACACGATAACCTGCGCCAATGTCAAGGTCCAAGTCACCCACGCAGGCTTCTTCCGGAAAAAGCCTTTCTTATTCCGATCATCCCTCCGTCGCCGGTCCTCCAAAGCCCCTGGCGACGGAGGCGGATACTGTGTCTGTTGGTGCATCCATTCCGGGTTCTGTCCAAACTGCGTCTGCGCCTTTAGCGGGATATTCTCTGCGTAGTGGTCGCCGCCTGCGACTCTCCCGGCGGTCGGGTATGCTCCATTATCCGATTGTAGTGAATGTTGACTTTCGCGGTTGTGATAGGGGGTGGATGGGTCGTCGTGGTGGCTGATCTGGCTCACGGGACTGTGGCCTTGGAAGCCGTAGCCAGGGGTATTGGTGTTGAGATGGGATGTTTGTCCGCTGTGCCCACCCGTTACTTGATCGTAACTGGGTGGATTAGGGATGTTCGCATGGTAGTATTCGTTGGCAGCCATGATGGGCGCCTGCCGAGGATGCGGGATCAAAGAAATGGGGGGACGATCAGAGTCTGTTGGACGAGGATCGTGGAAGTCGTGGAAATGCCGACGCTAGCGGGGGGAATTCGAAGGCGCAAGGTAAATAAGACTAAGCCGGGTGGTGATTGATGGAAAGACAAAGATATAAAGACGCAAAGAGAGCGAAGTGGACCACAAAAAAGAAGATCCTGGCAGGCAGTCACATTATGTAACTGGGGTACAGTTATTTTTGGGGCCGATCGTCGTCAACGAAATCAACACAGCCGCGCGGCGCTTGGCTGGGCAGTTTGGGACGGTCGGGATCCGTTTGACTTTTGACCAGGATGGTGCGTGTCATTTAGATCGTACAGATCCACTACGACTCGTGTTGAATCGATTTTTACTTGACATTCGACCTCAGTCACTTGGCTGGCTATTCGCACGGTTGAGCGGCTTAAGTACCATGACGCATTTCCCTCAGCCTCAATGCCAAGCCTGCGCTGTCCAATGCCTGATCATACGGCATACGGCATGCTGGGCATCCATCAACACTGAAATAACTACTCTGTACGTCAAGTATCCAAGGTTGCATCTAGTAAACTAGACAGCATCAATTATTCTCAACTTCAAGATTATTTATTGACAGTGGCGGGCCTACCCCTGAGTCTCTTACATAATCTTGTTGATTTCCAGGTACGGCTCTAAGTACAGTAGGAAAGCTTAATTTTAAAAATAAGAAGATAATGTCAGGTTTGCCAGTACTGTGGTTCTATGGTAAAAGTCAAGCTAGAATCTGTATCAGTTCAATGGCTATTTGCGATTGTTATCCCTGTGGTGGTATCTTGAAGGTGTCGAAGCGTCGCCTGGGGCCCATCAATCCTGATAAGAAACCTCCTACTTGTCGCCTGGGCTTGATAGGAATGTGTTCATAGCAGACTATGCATTTGTAATCAAATCGAGTAACTACGATAACGGGACATATAGATCGGCTTAAAAAGTCTGCATTGAAACGAGGAAACACATACAGAAAGGTGTGAAGTTGCGTTAGCAATAAAGCCTACATTGTCTAGTGCAATCAACAGGATCCTAGTCGAAAAGCTAAGTATGCTGGTCAGCCCGCATTACTTACCAGAAAGCAGAAAGTGGCGAGGGGACGAGCCCTTAACAGGGTTAAGGCGGCGCCTTGGGCCGGCGCTAGCATGATGCGGCTGAGACAGACAATATACAAAATCTAACATAATAATAATTGCTGCTATAGACATTTAACACTAAGTATTACAGCGGATAGCAATAGAAAAAATACACAAGTATGTTCGTCCTCGAGATTTGCTGCGCTGGTAGCCCAATGCTACGGGTCGCGCGTCGGTTCGTGGTGCTCGTGTTTGTGTCGTTGACCGTCTAACTCTCCCAAGGCCAATGCCGGAGGAGTCATACGATGCGCATCATTAAGTCCTATAGGGCGGAGATATCGTATTCGCAGAAACGATAGTGGTATGCTCCTTTCACCCAGAGCGCCAAAGAAGAGAAAAGATCAGAAAGTGTACACGCTCTAATCGAGCGGAGACAACGCAAATGAAGCACGACAAGGAGAAAAGAAAACACCAAGCAAAGAAGCATCAAACCAACAAGATGCGACCAAGCGTATGCGAAAATGGGTCGCTCGAATAACAATCACGAAGAGTTGTATGTCCTCGAAGGATCACCCCAGGCATAGATCCAAAGCCACGGCAGAGATAAGTGGGGGGGGGGTTCTGGCATCTATACAAGGGGGCCGTGCCCAGATATCAACAAAGACACCAGGAGTCAATTATGAAGGGACGGCATGCTCTGCCATGGAAGCGGGCGAGATCGCGTTGCCGTTATTTTCCAAAATCCCCAATGCAGTTCCCACTTCCTGGCTACTGTGGCCCGTCAGCAACCATACGAGGCGGCCGAGCTTGTGGTATAGGAGCGACGGGAAGTATAGCAGCAAAGCCCATAGCAGTAGAGACAGGACCACGACCACAAAAGTATTGGCAACAAGCTTCTCGCTGGGTGTCATCACGTATAGGCCGAAGGTGACTTCATAGCGGTAATACTCTAGACGGACGCGGTCGAAGAATCGCTTGAAGGGGTAAAACGACCGTTGTGCGCGGAATGCTGCGGGAGCGCTGGCAGACGAGTACTTTCTGATGAGCTCATCCATCGCGGCCGGCGCGTGCGACATATCGGTGTTGGACGTGTAGAAGGACTGCATTTCGGTCGTCGTTAGGGGAAGGCTGGGGGTGGTTTGCTACGATCGCACCCGATCGCGTTCGAAAGGACGAGACAAAATGGCGGAGAACGAAGTATAAAAAAAACGAGTTTGGCTTGATTTGTGTTTTTCTTTTGTATATAGCGCGTATCCTCCAATGTTGACAAGGGAAAAAGATCTTCCAAGAGGGGAACAGTCCCCAGATGGTTGACAGGACAGGACTTCGGCTGCTGAGTTTGGTTTGAAATCACCCTGCGCTGGGCTGGGCTTTCCGGATGCAGGCGGAAGTAGTAAACAGGCCCGCAAGTTGATGATCGACGGAATTGAGTCGCAATGGGATTTAAACTATACTGCCACGAAGCGGGTCAAAAAGTAATAATGAAATGAGCTTGAGACTCGGGGATAGATTGCAGGGGAAAGAGAGTTAAAGTAGAAAAAGAAAGTAGAAAAGGCCTTGGTCAGGGAAACAAGGAAACTAAAGACGGAGATCGGATTAGTCGGCAAGGACTTAATCATTATTCACCTTTTCGGAGCATCCAGCCCATTTTAGCCCCCCTAGTGAGCTGCATGCCTTGGAAAGATGCGAAAAAGCCTCGGAAGGGGTGGGTCATGGCCTGGTGGACTGGTCTAATATGGATAGAGTATCGAGCATATCGGAGCATGTGAAGCGGATCTTCGGCTCCAACCACAGGTTCGTCAAAAAAGTTCGGAGTTCGGAAGTGATGAAGTATACAAAAATCCAAAATTTCGGGAGAACAGCCCGGTAAGGCGGAACCCCAGGCGAAATCAGGCAGGAATCAGGCACTAACCAGGCACAGAAACTCAAGTATAGAAGCATCACTTTATTATTGTTACAGTTGTACAGCGATAAACTCTCCAGATTTACTATACTAACTGCTTGTAATGCATCCATTTGTCACAAGGACTCACTAACTAATAGTCATGTTACGTATCGCATCGAAAAGTACCAGAATAATATGTAATTGATAATTGATCCTTATCCCCACCAGCCACCAGCCACTAATTCTTAGCTAATTCCCTAATTCCGGCCCATAGCTGGCCGGCCCGATGATGTCACCGCCTGCGTCCGGGCTCTTCCCCGCGTGGCTTTCACCCCTCAACCCATCCGCAACAACCCCCTCATCAACAAATCAACAAGTCATCAAACTAGAACTCGACTCGCCATGGACGGCGATGACCCACTGGTCCAGGCTTTGCCGCCAGCAACGGACTATCTTACCTATCTTACCCTGCTCGAATACCAGCTGACCCCCCAACGCTTACCCCTCTTGCACCGTCTACTACAAGATGAGAAGCTCACCACCAACATCGGCTGGGACCTGGTGAAGCTGCTCCTGCCCATGCTTCCTGCTTCGACGGAGTGTCTACAAGATGTATCTCGCCTAGGAAACCCACGAGAAGTCATTCTACGCGTGTGCGAGGCTCTGGAAAAATTGCAGCCGGAGGATAACGATGACGATGAGGACGAGGAGGAAGAAGCCAACGAGGCCGGCAAGCCGCTGCCAAAACACATCTTGCAATTCAACTGTCTACTGTCTATGCTCTCAACCCTGCATACCCGCCTCCAGGCAAAACGACCTAGTCAATTTATCGCGACCTCACTCAAAGCCGCCCTCGAAGCGTACGAGACAATGACCTGCGACGAGACCACCCTAGCCCTGCTCGAATTCTTCCGCGATTTGTCTCCCAACAAGCGGCCAGCACCACCACCCCGTGCGCCCAGCGAGTCCAGCGTTCTCCGGGTTTTGGAGGCATCTGCGCCTGACCCAGAGGCTGAAGTGCAGTCACCGTCGCTAGCCAAGGATAATGAGACACAACTGGTTGGCAAGCTCATTCAATTCGGTCTGCTCGAGATGCTCAAGCTGTATCTTTTGAGCTTTTCCAGTCCGATCGACCCGGGTATGGCATGGACGGTTCGGATGCAGGAGAAATTGCATCCTAATCTGCGGCTGCCGGCGCAGTCGCAGACAGACGCATATGCTAGCATCAAGGAGCTGAGGGAGCGCGATATGATCATGGGGAAGATTGTGGTACGTATTGAGCCCTTTTAATGAGGAAAGCTCTGAACTAATCTTCAAACTCTGTCTAGGCCCTTTCACGTGACGTGGGTATCGACAGCAACGATCTTCTCTCCATTATTTCCCGATCACCCGCAAACCAGGCTCTTCAATTGGACTTTGATGAGCTTCCTGAGACAGTAGATCAGATTCACCTCGAGCGGCACGGTTCTCTGCTACTTTTCGCAGCTCGAGCTGCTGGGGCCGTACTCTTCGCATCTTCGGCGCACCCCACCCCTTCATTGCCGGTCTTCCCAGACCTTGCCAAGATCTTTACCCACTTCCTTGGGAGTAGTGACAACTTGGAAGAAGTCGCCTTTGGGCAGCCACATGCACTTTTGGACTCACTGCTGGCATTGACTGTTCATGCAACACAGTCACCCATCGCTGCACCCTCTAGCGACGCCGAGTTTAAGGACTTTGTAATTACCCTGACCGCATGCACAGCGCGGCAGACTCACGGCATCGTTCGACAGATCCCAGCTAGCGTTGTGCACAGCCATCCATCTCCCACCACCCGGTTCAAGGTCATTCGTCATATTTTGGAGAATGATCGTCTTCTATCAGTTCGCGATAGTTCCATTTCCTGGCTCAAAGACGAGATCATCGGCACCAAGCCATCTGACTCGCCAGAGGACGTCTTCCACGATCACCTCTGGTTCTGGTCTATCTTCCCGCTACTCCTGCGGCCCGTTGACGTCGATGCCTCCTCTAAGAATCTCGTGGTGAGCTGGACTCGCCTTACACAAACCGAAGGCCCATCTCTACATTCCGCATTGAACCTGTATTTCCTTATCCTATCGTCCAATGACCTTCGCGATCGTCTGCATCTTGAAAAGACAGTCAAGTACTTCCGCAGCAAGGTACTTGGCCCCCTTCGACAACTTTTCCGTGCTTTCGAAGGTGATCTCGCCGCCAAGGGCGGTGATGGCCTCATTGAAGCCGCTGTTGGAGAGGAAATGTGCCAGGCTGGTATTGCCCGCTCTGTGGGGCTGATTGGACTCACTCTGGACCAGATTGAGGAGGTGATCAACGAGCACTTTGGGACTGATGATGCGGATCTGAAGGAGTACTCGAGTGAGGAGGATTCTCTGGTTGCGGAGATTCGGGAGAAGACTGAAGGGCTTGGTTTGAATTAGGGAGATCTAAGGAATGATAGTGCTTGAAATGTGCTTTGTATTTATGTAAATTTGATTTGTTGATATTGCGGGCTGGCCCATTGAATTGCACATATTTTCTTTTTATGATGTATTACATTAGGATAGATCGCTAAGACTATTTTCAGCTTAGAATTTGTTCCCCGAGTTTTCCGGGGTCACTGTTCAGGTGTTTACATCTAGATTATAATGGGCTCTGCAGTACTGACATCGAAGGGTCCGATGTGTTTGTTGAATTCTGTAATTCTAGATCAGAATAGATCCTCCGAGGATTGGGCATCCCGAGCACGCACCTTGAATTTGAGCCATGGTTGTTTTTACTGAAGTGAGCCTTGCAATGAAGAGTGGAAAAGTAAGCTTGGAATCTCTTGAACCGTGGGTAAGTAGGAGCCTTTTACATGCTCTCCTGGGCTCCATAGAAGGCCACACATTATCTAATTTAATCAGATCTATCGAAGTATCCAATTTTGCTTACATGAGATATGTAGAGCTGAAAGATGTAGCTCACCTAGGAGTTCTCCGAATGCATCTGGAGATTTGAGTGGTCAAATCTACTGCGGATACTACTAGCTGATGTCAATGGGCAGAAGAGTTCATGCACGATCAGAAGCAGGGTTACAAGATTTGATGTCATTTTTGTTATTTACATAGACCAATATGGCTCGGTCGATCTCGGTTTTGGTGGGGTGAGGAATGCAGAAAGATGGTCGACACCCTGAACCCCAGATCGGGTATCGTCGGTAACACAGATATTGGGTGGTTAGCAGTGCTCCCGGTTCTTATTGGGGCTGGTATTGCTTTTCATGCGTCGAATTACTGTATATATTCCGAAATAGGTGTGCGTTGTTCATGTTGTGCAACATCCTTTTTCATGCATGGTCGACGAAGGAAGTTCAATTCTAAGATGGACACTGGATTCTTATCCACCTATTCTGCATTTCTTACCACATCAAGACCGAGATCGACCGAGCCACATCTGTCTGCCTCCACCTACTTACTTCCTATTCACGATCACCCCCAAAATCGCACTACGTTTTCGCCATTCCTTCCAGGCTACCGAGGTCCGTCTCGCTCTTCTCTGTTTGTCCCCTCCTGAGCGATCCGCCGTCTTTGTTCTAGTGCAGTGTTTTACCATGCCGACTTTGATTTCTAGCACTTGTCGTCTTTTCAAGGAAGATTCAGCCCACCTCACCAGCTCTTCTGATAACTAGCTTCAGTTACCTGGACTTATCAGGCTCTACCTACTCCGTGACCATTAGAAGTCATTCGGCAGATGATGGAAGACAGAGCTCGGATCACTGACGGGATATTTTTAAGCGCCAAGGTGGAGGTTTCACCACCAAGGACCTTCCGTGGTGGAGTACTTGGTTCACCAATTTCGCCTTGCTCCGCTTTCAGCTTGCCACATTTGCTGCGGGCTTCGCCCCTCTACGTAGAAAATGTTACAGTACCTGGCAGTACCTAACGCACCGATCTTCTCACACAGATCAATTGATTTTGACGGTCACGAGATTCTGTGATGACAAGATGTCCTTGATGGCAGGGCTTGTAGATTTTCAAATCGGACAAGCTAGCGCTTCGGCCCGTGATCCCGCAGCACAACCTAATGCGAATAATGGAGTCAATCTGACCTCAAATTAGTGGGGGTAGAGTCTTTTATTTAACTGCTCATCGGAAGGACTTGAGTATGCTACAAATTTGGGTTAAGAATAAAGTCTACAAAAGAGGACGACAAGACTCGGGGGCCAGAATTGCATTCCTAGCAGCCACTCATGATCAACCAATAAGGAAAAGAAATATCCCGAACCACAGACACACCCAGCGCCCCAGACAACAAAGTCATTGGAACCCACACCCCATCTCCCAACGAAGCAAATCACCAACAGGTATTTGTAAATTTTGTGCTCTCTCAAAAAATGCAGCTGAAAGGAACAGATCTCAAAATCAAAACCCCCTTTCTACATAACACCCCAATGTTCCCAAGTCCACGAAGAAGGCAGCGAGAACCAGGTCCTAAGGTCATCCAAGCTTTGAACAGTCCGGCAAGCTGTCTCAATTCTCTGTTGGAGACAGAAGTAGAAGTATCTTGCAAGCAGACAGGCGAAGAGTTGAAGGAAGAAGGAAGGCATTGAGTGAATCAAGAAGAGAACTTGAAACATCGCCGCAAAAAGAATGAACTGGACAGAAAACGACGAAAGGCAAAGAGTTGTTGATCATGTCTTTGAGAGAGATGTTTTCGAAAGTTGGCGGTCAATTCGTAAGGATTGAAGAGTGGGTTGGTGGAGAAAGTATTGTGCATTTTGTTGTCGGCCATTGCTCCATACCAGCGATTAGGTTAGGGCATCATGGTGGTGCGCGAGGCAGGCGGTTCGGGGGCGCTCATGTAAGGAGCTTACATAATGACGCAACCACCACCGGGAGCAGCTACAGAAGAAGAGTATGTGTTAGCAGGATGTTCAAGTTGGTGATAATGAAGAGGAATTGGTTGGAAGTTGCTTACCCTTGACAACAACGGTGTTCTGGACGGGAGCCATTGCGATAGATTTGGAGCTTTGGAAAAGCGGAAAGATTGTTGTAGCGATGTTGGATTGAGAATGACGCGGATAATGGAGAAAAGAAGGTCTTCTGGAGGGTGTGGATGGATGTATTAATAATTGAGAAGCTTTGGGAATGGGCCGGAGTACAGCAGGCTAGGGATAGCCTTGGGGACGAGATAGAACAATCTCAGTCGGAGATGAACAATGGGGAGGAAGTGTTCAATGTAGCCTGATGCCGTTTTGGGTAAGAGATGAGTCGCCGAATGCCCAAATTTGGGATTGTTCTTCGGTGTGGTGGCGGGGCTTGATATTGTTCTTGACATCGTGAATCGACGTGGCTGCCCCGAGCCAGTTTGGAATTTCATTCAAACACGTGGGAGCTGAGATTAGATGGAAGCTCATGACTCGAGGTAGACCTTATCTTAAAATAATGTGTGCGGGGCTCGGAGGGTCAGATCTTGGATGTTTGCGAGGGGTTTGATATTGTTCTCCGCGGAACAATATTAAGAACAATCTCAAGAAAGATCCAAGGCGACAGGGGGCATTCTCCACTTTCGTGTTCCCCAGACAACTTCCTTTGTGAGGTAAACAACACTACCGCTGGTGATGTGGATGGCCCCGGGGGTGGCGGATACACTGTATGGACTGAGTGACCCGATATCAATCGAGAACAATATCAAGGTACCTCGAAAGTGGAGCAGCTTTAAGGTTGCAACAAATTTAATTGATTGGTTAGCTGGCCACGAGCAAGACCCACAGAGCTTGGAACGGCATGTGATTGGCGCATCAAACCGACTGTGGAGACCTGTGGACAAAGAAACTCGACCCCACCGATTGTTCTTGCGGAGGACAATCTGTTCCTGTCTTGGCAAAAACAGTGAGCTTGCATGGATTCCAGCCCGCCAAGTCGAGTGCTTCTGGAATTTTTTGCGCGGCCAGACTCATGCTACACGTGCGTATCGCCGTTGATCATTGGAGGTCATTACAAACCGATGATGACTTGACAATCACCATGCACCGATCATTCTTTTGTAAAATACTTTTTGTGATTGGCCTGAATGACTCCAAACCCGATATAACGTTTCTTTGCTAAGAGGGATGTATATGAATACTCGAGCATTACCCAATCACGAGGGTGTTGCTGCCCCGCGATCAGCATAGTTCCAAAGGGACATTTTTACCCAAAGATTGAACCTTATTAGTTCAAGATAAGCACAAATAAGATTCATAGTACTCCATCACATAGGAGTGCATATCTGACTCCACAATAACACGCCGTCAAGACACTGGGAGACCACTCAGAGAGAATGTGACAATCAAAATACGGCCCTTAGCGGTACCAAGAGCCACAGATGGACCGTGTCTCGTGTCTAGCCCATACCGTTGGTCGGTACTCTGGAGGTAGCCAGACAATGTTTTGATTCTTGTAGGTTATCCAAGTACCATTTTCATTTACCCCATAATGCGGTGGCTGGGTATAAATATCAACAGGAGACAACCTCACTGTCGTAATGTCTCTCACGTCATAGGTGTCCTGATAGGTGTGCAGATAGTAAGGAATAATTGGAACAAACTCCAGGTAGTCAGGGGAATCAACGTGTTGAATTCGCATGTGTCGACCGGAAACGAAGTCCCAGACATTGACGGTATGCTCTGTGGATGAGGATGCTAGTTGGTGTCCATCTGGTGACCACACAATTGGCCCAATAGTGGGCCATTCATCACCTTGAAAGCATCCTTTCAAGGTGTATAAACAAGATCTGGTGGTCAGATCCCAAACATTGATGGAGTAATCGCTCGATCTCGATGCCAGCCGGAATACGGACTCAGTTGGAGACCATGCGATTGCATCAACTGGCGCAGTATTTCCCTCCACAAAAGACAGTCGCTTCCCAGTGATTGAATCCAAGATAAGGATCCTGTAACTTTGTCGATCTGAAGTGGCTGAATTGCTACTGTTTGGCCGGTCACTCATCATTGGCTGTGGTGTTGGCGGGCTTTGTTTTGGCTCGATTAAGACTGACGCCAGGTATCTGTTGTCCCTGGACCAGGCGATGGGTCCTAGCTCACCTTCAAGCTGGAGAGTCAAGAGACATTGACTATTCTTTGCATCCAAAACTCTGATCTTGCCCCAACATGATCCAGTAACAAGCCTGCTTCCATCCCATGACCACACAATAGAATTTATATGCCCGCAAACTTCTGGATCGTCTCTCCCTGACGGTAAAGGTTCCGAATGTGTGGAAAATGGGCCCCAGAGCTTGATAGTGCCATCCAATGAACCCGAAGTCAGCCGATGGCCATCGGTAGACTAACTGATCGAGGTAACAGTCTCGGTATTTCCTTGGAAAAATAAAAGAATAGGGAACGAGGAATCAAAAACCGCGGGTTGTTGTGTGGGCTCTGGGCCCCAGATTCCGATTTTCTGATCGTTAACAAACGTCAATGCAAGTCGACCTCCATCTGGTGACCATACAGATTGGCAAAAGGAACCCCCGTTGAGTGTTGCCCTATCGAGTGTGGAGAGGCGCTGGCCGGTGGACACCTGCCAGATGTGCATCAAGTCATCATCCCGTCCACAGAGGTGGTACCCATCCGGTGACCAGGATAGAAACTTAACGGATAGCATGTGGTCTTTGATTATCGATAGACACTGCGTGGTAGTTGTGTCCCAGACCCTGACTGTGTGATCTGCCGATCCCGAGGCAAGTCGAGTCCCATCTTTTGACCAAGCAGTCGTATTTATGTGCTTTGTGTGACCTTTGAGAACGAATAAAAGTTCTTGGGTTTCTAAATTCTGAACCTCAATTGTGCGTTTCTTGGTTAATGCTGCAAGTCGGCTTTGATTTGGACCGCCGGTGAAGATCGTGCATCCCCTTCCATGCCAAGTAGATACACACTGTCCGGTGATTACATCCCATACCTCGAGGCTTGATACCTTCCATCTGATACACAGCTTGTTGTGATTATCTCCATCCCGTCTTGCAACCACACAAGGGAACAAAAATGATCATTGTGTCCCCATATGGTTGATGTGCATTGTCCGACAACTGTATCCCAGATTTGATTGAACAGTCGGTTGAGCTTGATGCAAGTTGAGTTCCATCTGGAGACCAAGCCATGGCACCGATCGAGCTAGAATGTCCCTGGAGAGTCGACATACACTGGCCAGTGATTGGGTTCCAGATCTTGACGGTGCTATCATCAGACCCCGATGCAAGCTGGCTGTTATCCGGTGACCAAACAACCGAATCAATGCCTTTGCTATGCCCTTCAAGAGTTTGAAGGCAAGGGCTCCACCAGTCTTTAACATCAGGCTCCAGCAGGATCCAGTCTGGTTCATTGACGTGATAAAATTTCCTTATGATACTCCGCTTTGGGCTGAAAATGAGTGCTGAGCAGTAAACCTGGAGAGGGCTGCTCTCGATTGCCAGGGTGGTTAGTGCCACGGGTAATGGGACTCTATCGCTTACATCGCTTACCATGACTGAATAATTACTCTGTAAGCTCGTCTTCTATCCAAACGGGCTGCCCGGGTATATTCATCGCTAGTAGCCACCAGCTCCAGCCCACTGATGTGATAAACTACCTGGCCCCTCAGTCACTATTGGCCTTGAGGCAGCGGTAGTCCGGCGAATGCTTGCCACAAAGTGATCCTGATTTTCAATTAAGAAAGTCAACACCATCCCGCTCAACTTGTTCCGTTCGAGCACGGTATCGTGTGAGGGATGAGCCAATAGCGCGGGTTGAAAGATGACCACAAGATGAGCTGTTGACATGCCAGTTTGCTCTGATTTGGCAGCAAAGACAGCAAGAAGATCAAGCATGTATGCAAGCAGCTGCTTGTGGTTACGAGGAAGCTCTTCGACCAGGCTTTGATAGGCACCGAGAGCCCCCTCATAAACAGCGGGATCCACTAGTAGCGCCTCAATGTCGTCTTCGTCCTGCCCTAACATTTCAAATGGGGCTCGAAATTTGTGGTAAAACGCCAATGGGATAACCGGCTCAGGGAGTTGAATCAGGTACCGAGTGAGAAGATTCGCGGCATCGTGCACACTGTAGCCTGACCAATCTAGGCCCTTCCCGTATCTTGGCGGGGAATCAAAACTCAATTCGAGTTCTCTTATTTTCTCGGATGACCCGTTGACTGCAAAGATGTCCTTGACGTCGGTGGCTAGTAGGAGGAATTAGCGATAATTGAAAAAGTTGTAAGGACAGCGGATCGATACAGACCCTTTGCCTTGAGGAACACGCCGCACTTGGCGATGATTATTGGCACATATCCGGTAATCATGCTATCACCTTCCTCGCTGATCAATGAGAGTGCGACATTGGCGTATTTAATGCTAACATCTAACGGTACACCAAAAACGCCTTGGGAGGGTTCTTCTGCGATAGGGGTCAGCCAACATGAACAACGAACTATAAGCGAGACTTAAACAGGCTGACCCAACCGGGTTCCTATTCAGCATGACTATGAAGTCACCTTTTATTTCGGCTTTTCGGGCATTTGCTTTGAACCCTTTCCACCATGATGATAGGCTTTGCTTCGATGGTGACGACTTAGGGGATACGCGGACCTTGGCGTTAGTGCTTCCAGGTGAATTCCTAGGTTCGCCACGAGGAATGACACTTTCGTCCTTCGACGGGATTGGCGGAGGTGTGGGACTTTTATCAGCGGCCACAGGCTTTCTTGAGATGGTGTGGTTGTCGGAGATAGTAACAGTCTGGCCGAAATTGTTCTGAGACCCGTCCAAAGCAGTGCTGCTTCTTGAGGTGTTTTGACTGTAACTCATGGCGTCGTTGTATGCGGTGTTGGAGTTCAAAGCAGTGCTACTTTTGGGCGTAGTCTTGTTGTAGCCCAGCAAGACCGTGATGTCATTATCTGGCTTGCGAGGTTGAATCTTCTTTTGTGTCAGCTCTTCTGTGTCCCACGAGGCAAACTCTTCGGTCATTGCTTCGACAGATGATGAGTTCAGATCAGGTACAGGAGTAGTGCCATACGTGTCCCCTACACTGGATACTCGGGAATCAGAGTCTTCCAAAGTTGGGGATGGAATTGTTGCCAGCCATTGATTAGATAGAGCCGCCTTGGCTGTGGGACGATCTTTCGGTTGAGCCTTCATCAGCGAGGACACAAAATCGACACCCTCCTGACTGACACCAGCAGTGACAAGCCGGTCTGATGGGAACATTTGTTTGTTTGCGTAAATTGAAAGCAAACCAAGGTGTGCAAATACTTGTCTCTTGACAAGTATTTCGAACAAGATCTCCCCAGTAGCCCAGATGTCAGTCGCATATACACTGCCTCGCTCGATAAATCCCCAGATCTCGGGGGCAACATATCCAGGAGTACCGCGCAGAGTAGAGGTCTGGCCATGGCCGTCTTCGATGCGTTTACTGATACCAAAATCTGCAATTTTGATCCACCATTCGTCTGGAGGTCTTGCTTTGATAAGAATGTTCTAAGACACGCTGTTAGAGTGAGACGCGGTGTGAATCCTTGAACTGCATAGAGCTTACTCTCGGCTTTAGGTCTCGGTGAGCGAAATCATTTTCATGCATCATTTCCAAGCCTTCTAGTATTTGAAAGGCTATCTCTTTTGCTTCAAGTTCTGGAAGTGCTGGCTTGTCGTGTAAATATTGATACAGATCACCGAGTTCGAGATATTCCATAGCAATGAATAGCTGGTCGGGGCCTTCGTACCACCCAAATGACCGTACAAAGCATCGCACATACTAAAAAGATCAGTCAAGCTTCTTCAAATCATAACGCTGCTTCTCCTTAGACATACTCGAGCATGCGAGAATTTAGCAATAGCTTCTAGCTCGCGGTTATAATCGATAGGACCAAATCGCGAATCCACATCAATCTGCTTAACGGCTCGAAGTGATTGTAGATTGCACTGATGACTGTCTTTGATACATTTTTCCAACCAGACACTTCCATAAGCACCACCTCCAATTTTAGAAAGTCGTTTCCAATGTTCAGATCTAGCAACAACGCGCCTGCGCAAAGAAAGGTCCGATTCTCGGTAAGTATGGACTGTTTCCACACTACAATCGGGAAGAAAAAAGGTCTCTAGCCTCGAGTCCCGGATAAGATCTGAGACTCGTGCCATTGCGACACTGTTGCGAATAAATCACAAATGATGCTGGTCGGGGGTTTGTTGTCAGCTGAGTCTAAACAGCCCCCGCAAAACGGGCCTACGGATATTCCGAAACGTGGGGGCTAAAACGCACCATTTGCAGCCTGGGAAATCAGGCAAAGAGTACACATGTAATTCATGGAATACTTCTTTACATTTGGCCCACTTGTTTTATCAAAGATTTATTACCCAATTCAATCCTATTGAATGCTGTCATTAATTAGATGATACCTACGAAAGCTGGAAAATAATAAGTTGAACTGGGTGTCTGCTTGACAAAATAGCGAGGATATATATCCGCTCCAAAATCAAGGACTCTATGTGAATGGAGGCAATCCATCTGATCCGATCGTAACGACAAGACAAAAGACACATGATGAGGAGGAGTTGAAAATGCCCCAGTGGCAAGAATATATTAGAAGCGCAGTGTATTTCGTGCGCGATTGTTTGCCGGCCACCAATACGATAGCGATTGAACCAGCTAGGCTAAGACGAAATATCTTTAGAGCTCGAGCTAGAGCCCACCATCGCTTTCTTGAACTTTCTTGTTGGGGTCGTTTGAGCAAAAATCTCATCAAGTTCAGCAAAAGTGCGATCCTTGAGCTCGGGAACCTCAAACCAAGCCCAAATCAGACTCACGAAAGAGAGAGCCATCCATACAAACGCAGCCTTGCCTCCGAGGTTGGCTAGAAGCAATCTTTATCAGTATGCGAGATAATAGGAAAGGGCCGGATTGGAACTTACCCTCATCGGTGTTAATCAGGTAAGGAGCAATGAAGTTCATGGCCCAGCTGACCAACGCGTTGGTTCCAATTGCCAGACTTTGTGTTTTGGCTCGAACATTTACCGAGCTCACCTCTGCGCTGATGGTCCAACTTACAGCTCCAACGGTGGGAGCATAAAAGATTTGGGCAAAGTTCATCACATAACCGATATAGTAAAGGGCAGCCATGGTGGTGAAACATCCAGCAACACCGACGGACATCAGACACAGACCGTTCAGTAAAATGCCGGTCAAAAGGAGAGGTCGACGCCCTATACATCAAACGTGAGCTTCCGAGCACATTGAACCAATAAAAGACAATGGCTTACCAACATAATTCATGATGAACCATGAGATGATGTTTCCAAGCATGGCTACACCAAAGCCTCCTAGCGCGAGCTGGAAAGTAAGAGCGGTCGGTAGACTAGAAATTCCTAAGAAGTACAAGGCCTGTGAATAGAATGCGATACCAGTAAACTGCTGCACCGCAAACATTCCGCAAGAAATGCGAGTCCTGCGCCAATTAGTGCCTCGGAAGCAGTCCCAGTACGAAGTATCCTTTTGAATGTCTGCAATCGTATTTTCAGCAGCGATGGAGGCTTGGATTTCTTCCAGAATCGCGGCCGTATCAGTTGCCTTCAGATGTAGTCTCTGCAGACTCTTCTTTGCCTGCTCGACTTGACCCTTACGGAGGAGATACCAAGGGCTTTCGGGCATGAACATGGCCAGTAAAGCGATAAAACAAGGAAACGCCCATTGCGCCGCAAAAATAACCTTATAGGATGACGGTAGCATTATAGCGAAGCGAGTGTTACCGATGCCGATAGCCGTGAGCTGACCGGCATTGATGAAAAGGTTGACCGCAGCAGTTAGAGAAGGACGCAAGGCAGTTGGTGCGATCTCGGAGGCATATGTGGAACCTAGGGCCAGGAAGAAACCCAGAGCTAGACCGTTGATCTAAAGGTGAGGTCAGAAGCCTGTGCAAAGGGGCCAAAGTAAGGTGAAAACTTACGATCTTGCCGGCAAGAAGCATGCCAGGTTCTTTGGCAGCATATTCCAGGCCGACACCGAGCAAAGAAATGGCCGAACCCATTCCAAATCCAAGTCGTCGACCGCCGCGATCCGACACCCAACCACAAATGATGCTGCCTTCAATGAAGTCAGTTGAGAACTATTATGAATAATCCAAAAATTTGGTAGTAGCTCACCTATCAACATTCCAAGCGATGTCATCGCAGTCCACAGGGCATTCCACGTGGCTGAGATCAAGAGCTCGCCCTCATATTCGTACCCAAAGACCATTTTAAATGCAGGCAATGCCACACTTATGGAATTGACGCCTGCTCATAGCAATTGAAGAGTTAGTATTCAGCTCACTGACTCAATAGAGTGGAACGTTCTCACCAATGTCAAAACCCCAAAGCATCGAGCTCACGCAAGCAGCGATGCTGTAGAGAATGACTTTGGGGTTCTTCTTCGCTGAAGCCCAAGCGCCTTCCTCGACACCTTCATGAACCTGAGAGACCGTCTCAACCATCTCTGCCCCGGCATTATCATTCTTCTCATCCTCGAGGGGATTTGAATGAGCAGATGGGCTGCGATGCATAGAAGCCATTGCAGGACGACCACACGGGATCGAAGCAGAATTTGATATGGAAAACCAGGGTTGAGCTAGGCGAAGACAATTGTGAACCTCGAAAGACGAGCAATGCCGATCCTAGGCTCATGCATATATAAACAAATTGTCTCCCCACATTCTCGGACACAACGGGTTTGGAGAAACTGGGGAAAATCGGACAAGCCGAAGTACGGGGGTTCTTGTGACAGTTCGGGTGAAAACTACGAAAGTGGAGGGTGGAGGATGTGGAGTGGACGGTGGACGGCGGACGGTCGAGGTGGAGGCGGAGGTATGTGATCTAAGTCCCTCAATTAACGTTACAAACCAATCCATGCCAAAAGTGCCCAGTAAGTTTTCTATAATCCCAAATTCATATTATCCATGACCCTTGATTTCGGAATTGTGCGATGGAGTTGTCTATAGGACTTTTGGAACCTGATCACCCGAAGGCTAGACGACGGGACCCGCAAAGGAATTTTGAAGTAAATAAAAGTCAATTCCCAAATGAAATGGCAAATGCTCCGATTTAAAATCTAGTCTTGGAAGTAAAAGAGTTGGTCTATTTCTGGGTTGATGTATTGAACTGATTTCAAAGGCCATTCCAAGTTCCCATGTCTACGATTTGCAGATTAACTGCACAGCCCCCGTAGCAATCTTGTAACTGCCATTGAGAGACCGCCAGCATTTAGCCGCGCTATCCCAATAGCCGCTAATGTCTCGCTGAGACACTGAGAGGCCGATCCGTCTAGTTTCTCCCGGCTCAAGCCATGCTTTAGTGAACGCGATCAGCTCAGACTGAGGTCTCCAGACCATGGAATGGAGCGGAGGCTGGCTGTAAACCTGAATGACCTCATATCCAGCCTTATCGCTCGTGTTTTGAACGTCCACGGCGATATTGACTGTCTTGCTGGAGCTCTTGAGAGGCGAATCACGGCTCATGGATTCATAAACAATGACCTCTAAGCTTTTGTACTCAAAGGTAGAGTATGATAAGCCATATCCGAAGGGCCAGCGGATAGAAGACGCCCTGTTGGGAGATCTGTAGCCCATTTGCAAACCCTCGCGATATCGAATGACCGGTCCATTGCCATAGTCCCGAGCTGGGAAGTTTCCAAATGACGGAACAGAGCTCTCATCCAGCCGTATGGGCCACGTGGTAGCCAATTTTCCGCTAGGATTTGTCTTTCCGGCGATGATATCGACGATGGCTTGTGCTCCTTCTTGTCCCGGGAAATGAGCTGCCAGGACTCCGTCGACGTCATCAATAAAGTCAGAGACATCGATAGGATTTCCGCAGTGCATAACAAAGATTGTTTTCTTGGATACACTAGCAACTGCTTTTATCATCCGGACTTGGTTCTCGGGCAGTGTCAGGGTACGAAGGTCGAAACCTTCAGACTCGTGTTCGTGTGTGCGACCTCCGAAGATAACGCTGACGTCTGAGCGAGCAGCTACGGTGACTGCCTCAGCGATGGCGACGCGATCGTTGTGCTCCTCTATGAAACACAATTTTGCCGAATGAGGAGATAGCTCCCCATCGGCCGAAGGGACATCGCGAGAATGAGTTTTCAATGTGACTTTATAAGGCTTATGAGCTTCCATTTGGAACCCAATGGCACTCTCCAATTTCTTCGGCTCAAATAAGAAATCTTCGACAGACATGACTGGGGCGGGTTTTGAGAGTATCTATAAATAGGATTTAGACAAGCGTATTTTGGAGAGGAGTAATCAGATTTCGGGATGCTTACCTCAATTCCATCCACACATAATGTGAATTCACCAGTAGCTTGCACAGCTAACGTGTGTTTGCCACGTTCATTTGCGGTGATAGTTGTTTCCATGATATAATGGAACCCAGTTTGAGTCAGACCTGGTTTCAACCTTCCAAGCATCACCACGACAGGCTGCTCGGAATGCTCAGAATAAACAGGCGTGTCAGAACTATCCAAGTAATAGTCCACAGTCACACCAGGGAGACCATTTCGGGACTTCATCATGTTGACGGGCATCAGGGGTATGACATGATGAGCGTTGACACCATGCACAAAGGACACCTGCGTGGGATCTTTAGACGCATCTTGGAAGCAGCTCAAGGGAGTATGGACATATTGAGGCTTCGCGCATGCGCTCCCCCACCAGTAATAGATGGATTGACAGCAGCAGCTCCAATAAGAGCGACTTTCAAATCACCGGTCAGGTCAAGTGGGAGAATGTTGTGTTCGTTCTTCAGTAGTACGATTCCCTCTGATGCCGTTTTCAATGCCATGGCGCTGGTTGAATCGCAGATCAACGATTCTTCTTCCTTGTCGCTGTGGCTAGGGCTAGTCCGATCGACCATTAATAAAACATTTGCCACGGCAGCATTGAGTGCTTCCTCGGAGACCTCTTTGCGCTTGATTGCGTCCAATAGTTTCGAGCCACGGTAGACAGATGGCCCAGGCATCTCGAGGTCGAGGCCAACCTCCAGAGCTTCGCTCGTACTCTTAGTCCCATACCAGTCGGACATGATACAACCATCGAATTTCCAATCATCCCGGAGCAATGACTTGATAAGAGGAGTCTGGCTACAGAAATGGCCGTCGAGTGCATTGTACCTGGTAAAAGGATTGATCAGCTTATTTTCACATAAAAGATAGTGAACAACACTCACGCTGTCATTATTGCAACAGGGTTGGCCCGACGTAACAAATGTTGAAATGTGCGCAAGTATAATTCTCGCATTGTCCTGCTATCGCCGGGCTCATCAACATTGTAGCGTCGGCGGCCTGTCTCGCTTTCGTTGGCGACGAAGTGCTTCACACAGGCACCCACTCCCTGAGACTGAATTCCATCAACGATAGCAGCGGCCAGCTCGCCGGTGACAAGAGGATCTTCGCTAAATGCTTCAAAATTGCGACCGGCTCGTGGATCTCGATGAATATTGATGTTGGGGCCGAGCACAACTTGTACTGATTTCGATTTGGCTTGTATGGCAACCTCTTTGCCAAATTCTCTCATAAGACTGGTGTTCCATGTTGAGGCAAGGCAGGTCGAGCTCGGAAAACAAGCTGTACCAGTGTCCTCGAGATGTGATTGGGAACCACGAACACCGTTGATCGAGTCGCTGACCTACATGTATAGATTAGCCCACGATGCATCTTTGAGTATTGTATGTGTATACTAACCTTCAAGGAAGGTATACCTAGTCGGGCTATTCCAGCAGTGCTTGTGAAACTGACACCAGAAAGTAGAGAAACCTTTTCCTCTAGTGACAGATAAGATAACCGATCTCTGTAATGAGACTCAGGACTCGAGCCATTGGCAGACGCGAAAGCGTGAATATCCGGCATATCCAAAAAGCCCTCACGAGCAGAATCAACAAATCACTACCAGGAAGAAAAGAAAGATATCAGAAAAGGATTTGGGATTGGGCTTGAACACGAAAGTTACTTTTTGTAAATATTATTGTACAGTAGATGTACTTGGACCCTCGGGACCTCCAACCGAACACGTGCCGTCCACCTCCACCTCCACTTTCATCTCCACCAACATCCACCAGTTTCCTGCAGTCCGCACCAACGTCCACCCCTCCCTCCCCATCCCTGCTTAGCTCCAACAATCCATACTCCACTTGAGTTTGGTGGTTGTTCCGATCCAATGGAGAAGCATTCGACCCCAACAACGCACAGCTGCACGCAGTGTCCAAAGTCCTATTCGCGTCGCGAGAATCTTGTGAGACATCAGCGATCAGCCCGTAAGATTCACTCTCAGCCAATCAAGGAAGTTGTAGTCCTATTCTGGTGCTGACATGCTCATTGGTGTGATATGATAGACGATAGGAATAGCAAGCCATATGCCTGTTCACAATGTCCCAGTCGATTTACGAGAAGGTAAGAGTTGACAACCGAAGCGTTTTTGTTAAAAAGACCTAACTAACATCTTCGACTTGTTAGCGATCTTTTGTCCAGACATAGAAAGGTTCACCAAAACGGCGCAGCTACCCCTCAGAGTGGGACAGGGAGAATCCGTTTCGACTCAAATCAAAGCGAGAATGCTTCAGGGGCCTATTCCTGTCGACAGACCTCGCAGAATGATATCACCAAACACAGAGATCAAATGGTGGAGACTCCCACCAGGGTGAATCCTCCAACAAATCTGCGAGGAAATACTCATCAGCCAGTCTCAACCCCCGTGGATATGTCACACAGCGAATCTGGCCACCTACTTGCCTCTTCCGACCAGACGCAATTACTAGACTGGGATGTGCAGTGGCCCTTCTACGGCGAAGGTCTGCCAGATGTAAACCTTGGTTGGACCTTGGACTTCCTATCCAACGACGCATCTACGCATAGCCCTTTGGACTTCATGCACGACCACGACGAAACAAACGCCTCAATCCAGCTGGATGACTCAACTCTTAACCTCGGCGGAAATGAGGATTTACGTGGCATTGGGCGGGCTGAAACAAACGATGATGAACCTGGAGGGCGGCAGCCCCGAATACAGCCACGGGAAAATTCCGGGTCGGCTGCGTACCTTGACCCTGATGAGATTGATAATGCGTTTTTCACAAACCCAGCGCGTTTGAACCCAAATGTTTCGCTTTCACGCGAAAGTCATATGTCCATGATGGAGACTGTTACCGCGCCTCTTCTCGAGGCCTTTTGCAGTGATAAGGGAAAGTGCGCACAATCATTTCCACCATTGCCCGTCATTTCCTACTTCCTACAGCTTTTTTTTGTGCATGTCCAACCTCGGTTCCCGGTACTACACATCCCTACATTCAACCCAAATAACTGTTCACCAAGCCTCTTGCTAGCCATGGCAATTGTGGGATCCACTTACTCGGAATCGAATCAATGCAAATTTGCCCTGACATACCTTGCAAGAGCGAGAACGTCAATTAAGTTGATGCAGGAGAGGGACCAAAGCTATGTGCGATAAAACACTTTCTACGTATGCATGTCATTGAAGCTAATAGTCCTTCTTCCAAAGTTGTGTTCGCCAGAGAACCTATTTGCATTCTTGCTGGCCACCTTTTCGGCGATGTGGATGGGCCAAAAGGCAGCATATGAGCGTGCTGAGTGTGACCGCGGTGACCTGGCAGTTTATTGCCGACGGGGTCAGATGCTAGACTGCCGAATGAAACCCAACAACTCTCCTCAGCTTCCACCGAGATCAAAGCGAAACCGACTCGAAGAGGCATGGGCGAAGTGGATTAATGTTGAACAAAAGAAACGTCTCGGGCTGTGTATTTATGTAAGTCTCATCAGTGCCAGACCAGAAGACCAACATATCGAGCACTGTCTGACGGGATCTATCTTTAGCTGCTGGACTGTCAAATGGCTGCCGTATTCCAACGTCAGCCATACATCAGCAAGGCTGAGACCGTCAATGCCTCACTACCATGTTCAGAAACATTCTGGAATGCACCAACGGCCTGGGCGTGGAAGGCTCTACTTGGACCGGCCGAAATTCCACCAAGCACGTACTTTCTCACCACATTGACCACTATTCTCTTACACCATGAAATTCCGGTAGTCCTGCCATTCCCTGCATTGGATGGGTTTTGCAAGACTCTCTACGCCTATGTCCTGCATACACACGTCTTCGAGTGGCGGCAGACTATCTGTATGCTCAATCCAACCGGACTACTCACGTCCCCTATCTCCCTGGCACCGGAGAATATTGGAAGCTCATTACAGGAGCGGCGGAACTGGCTAGAGTGCTGCCTCAAGAATTGGGCCACCTGGTACGGAGATGGCGACCAAGTCGAGCCTACCGATCATAATTCGAAGAGCTCATCGGGAATTCTCCTCTATCACCTCGCAAGTCTGGCACTTCATCTCAATTTCTCAGACCTACATATTGTCGCTGGTAGATCTGGCTCAGATGCGGATATCGGTCTGGCTGTACAGTCGTTGCGCAATTGGCTCCAAGGGCAGAGAGTTCAGAGGATATTTGCTTGCAATAGCCAAATGCTGAATGCAGCGCACGAAGCAATTGCTGCTGGCGATGCGCAGAAGAGTGGGTTCGAATTAGCGATCTCTTTGTTCATGGGTGGTCTCACCAGCTGGGCCATATCTCGATTCGGAAATCACGATTTGATGACTGCCCATCTGAGCGCTCCTCAGACCTCAGGAGTCTCCCGAACGGAACCTGACAGTGATGAAAATCGCGACCAGCTAAGTGCAGAGGAGTCCCCGCAAGCTGTAAACTTGCTTTTCGACCAAGTCGCAGGTGCCCGTGATGGGCTACACGCCGTTAGATGTGTTCGCCTTGCAGTATCTTTTGGAGAGATTCTTGATGGACTTCTTACTGAGCCAATGGATTAGTGAGTCCATATTTGGCTCGGTAAACTTGTGAACCACTAAACATGGTAAATCCATCTTTGCCAAGCCGAGCCCGTCCACCTCCACCTCCACATGAAACTCACTCCACTCCGTCTTCCCATTTTGCCCCACCAATCCTTGCTTCAAATAGAACACGGATGGAAATAAACAAGTTACGACGACTGGAGGAGGTACACGCTCCTGTATTTCCCATTTATACAAAGGCAAAGATTACGGAGTCATTACGATATACTAGATTTGCGGCCTCACGATGTCTTCCAGCGGGGCCTTCAACAACCCCATCATCCCTGGGTTCAACCCTGACCCTTCAATCTGTCGGGTAAACGACGATTACTTCCTGGTGACCTCGACATTTGAGTACTATCCTGGTCTTCCGGTCTACCACAGCAAGGATCCTCTACAATGGGAACTTATTGGTCATGTCATCACGAGACATTCGCAAATTAATATGCGAACGACCGAACCCTCGGGTGGACTTTGGGCGCCTACAATTCGTTACCACGAAGGGCGTTTCTATGTCTCTGTGGGATGCACACATCGCTTTCGTCCGAAAGAATGGGTGGGTTGTTCTCAAAATCCCCTAGGATTTGCTGGGGGAGAAGATTGACAAGTTCGCAGGATATCGTTATCCCCCGTGGATTCTTCGTATCCACCACAGATATCTGGGACTCGTCTTCCTGGTCTGATCCAACCTTTTTCGACATCCCTGGAATTGACCAAGATGTAAGTATCCAGCGCTCGCACTATCAAGTGACATTCTGACCCGTTGCAAAGCTTTTCTTCGATGACGACGGCAAGGTATATTTTTCTGCCGTCAACATGATCACAGACCCAAGAGTGAAAAAGTACGGCCTTGGATTGGCAACTTTCACTGCGGAAGTAGATCTCGCCACTGGTCGATGCCTTGGGCCTGCGAAGTGGAATCGATTATCGAACTTCGGTCTTGGAATTGCCGAGGGACCTCACATCTTCAAAAAGGATGGCTACTACTATCTGAGTACGGCTGAAGGTGGCACTGATGAAGGTCACCAGCAGTGGATTTTCCGCAGTGCCACTGGTCCATTTGGACCGTGGGAGGAAGGTCCCCAGGGGACCGTTAATCCTGTAATTTTCAATGGCGATGATCTCTCGATTCGCAACACGGGACATTTGGATTTCATCGAAACGCCGAATGGGAAGTGGTTCGCTGTGTTCTTGGGAGTTCGACCTCAAGGCGAAAAATCGGAACTGCTCTCTCAACTTGGTCGTGAAACATTCATGAGCCCCGTTGAATGGATTGATGGATGGCCCATTGTCAATGGTCGTCAACCTATCGGCCTCCAAATGCAGGCGGAGGGCATGCAGCTGCTCGCACAGCCAGAGGTTTGGAGAGACGATTTCCAGGATTCAACACTCCAGCTTGGATGGTACCACCTACGAACACCGTTGAAGAAAGACTACTCTTTGTCAGAACGGCCGGGATCATTGAGTCTGTACGGAAATGCGTATCGTATCGAGGATTCTGAATGTCCGTCTATGCTGTTGCAGAAGCAAACGGGGTTCTCCGGTGACTGGAGGGTCAAGTTCAACTTTGCACCAACAGAGGCTGGCCATGAAGCCGGAACAGCCATTTGGTGGTCCCAATTTGCATACGCTTCGATCGGACTCCGAAAGCCATTTGATGAGTACAACTCCGGACTGGAGATCGTATCCCGTTGTTACGATGAGACTGAAGATCAGTTCAAGGTATGTTTTATCAAATTCAGACTTGAAGTGCCCATATGCCAGTAACCTAACTAAATGAATCAGGAACTCACCCACCAATTGCCTCTGGAATGTGGTGACATTGAACTTATCATCCGTGCCCGCCCTACACGATACGAGCTCTTCTTCTCAGCACAGCAGGGTGAACAATCTACTCCTTCCGAGCCCGTCAAATTAGGCGAAATATCCAGCAAGGCATTGACGCACCGCCGATCTGGGAAGGAATCTCCCAACACTGGGTCTCATTTTGCAATTTATGCACAGGGTGCTTATGGCAAGCCGTGCTTCGAGCCCGCGCGCTTTGAGTTTGTAGAGTGGAAAGTTGCCTCTGGAACGGACTGAACAGGTAGTACACAGAAATGGTGCCATCAAGAAGAATAATTCCAAAGACATCTGGAAAGACCTTTAAAAAGACATTCAGAGAGATCTTTCAGATGAGAGTGATTGAAGCATATCTGGTTGGTCCGTTTCTCTGGTTTCTAAACTCGGACTTTTGGACCCGATATGCCACTGAATATTGAGGGTATGCTTCAGGCAAAATTAAAAACCAACAGTCGGTAGAATACGACCACTACATGTTGCTAGAGGTAGATATTTCATGACTGAAAATCCCTTCAATAGATCTGCACTTGGAATTGGCAATTTCTCATATACAAAAAACAAGCAAGAACAAAGTCCAGGCTAATAAAACACTCGCCAAATGCAAAAATCATCAACCACCCTAGGTATAAAGCGGCTGCGTCAACTCATTCAACGTAATCCCTTCCTTAGCAATATCCTCCTCAATCAAAAACATCAACGGCATCTCCACTAGTGTCCCCTTAACCTGGCTAAGCAACTCCTTAACCTGCTTCGCGCCCTCGGCACCAGGCGCAAAGTCATCACGAACAACATGACCCCACTGGAACCTTGGAGGCCGACTAGACCCATCCTTACCCTCAGCCTCCTTATCCGCCTTGTGGAAGTAATACTCATAGAACTCCTTGTAAGTAGCCCAGTTACGCACTACATCGTCGGGGACAGCGTGGAAGACCTTGCGGAAGACCTCGGTGTTGGTGTGTGCGCGTGAGTTCCACAGGCTTTGGAGGGTGTCTGCGAGTGGGTCGGCGACGACTTTGCTTTCCGGGCATTCGAGGTCGAAGTGGTCAGGTACACCGGGGGGTTCGAAGCTGGAGTTGGGACGCCTGTAGTCTTGCGGTGGGAGAAGGCCGAGGTGTTTGCGGAAGAGTTCGCGGCGGAGCGAGGCGGCGAAGCGGCTGGCCATCCAGGGTTGACCGTTCATGGTGGATTGGAGAGGGGTGAAGTCCTCGATGACGACGGCGATTTCGGAGTCGTGGTCGCCGAGCTGGGAGCGATCGTTGAGGTTGGCGGAGCCGCAGATTACCACGCGGTCGTCGGCGATCATCACCTGTTTGCTGTTAGAGAAGTGCTATTTAATCTATTTTGAACGTGGGTTAAGGCTTACCTTGGAGTGGACGTAGAGTTCCTCGCTCACAAACGCGTCAATTTCGGCATCTGGGTGTCCGTCCCAGGGCACATTGCGAATATCCTGTCCATTCAGCATGTAGCAAGAGCTGACACTGTCCCATTGAGCCGATCCAGCAGGCTTGGCGCCCTGGTTGTGATGCTGGGCTGCTTGCTGGTACTGTTGGAAGGGCGCAGAGGTATCGAATGCGCTGCGAGCAGCACCAGGTCCAGGAGGAGGGGTAGCATAGCCAGCGGAGCCAACGGTCTGCTGATCGTACTGTCTGCGAGCATCCTCGTAGTGAACGCCACTCTCCCGCTCAACTGCAGAGAGAAGACCAGCATTGTTGATGCGATCGTAGTTTCGCAGATTGTAGAAACGGATGTACTCCATTGGGTTGAATCCTTCCTTGGCAATGAGCTCCATGATACTGTTTCCACCACGGTTGATAGAGTTATACTGGAACTCCATGATAGCACGAGTACCAAGAGTCTCGTCATCACGAAGGTCACCAGCAAAGCAAGGCACTGAGGGAATAACCACGATGATCTTGTACTTCTGGCCAGCACGAGCGGCTCGCAGAATACGCTCGACAATAGCAGCACCGATCTTGTTTTTGACTGGCTTCTGCGAGTCGCCTGTAGCTGTGATGAAGAACTGGTTCTCGATGTACACGAAATGCTGACTGTTCTTGATGATGGAAGCATAGGCATCCGCGATGGAGTGCTCGAGCGGGCTACCGTTGCTCCATTTAGCACAGCTGCGAACAATCTGGCAGGACATGTTGCCACGACCCTGCGACTGCGGACGCCCGTAGGTGGTCAGGCGATCCTGGTACTGGTGGATCTGACCGGCGAGTTGACCACGAAGCTGATTGCCGTATTGAGTGATGTCCTCACGGAAGCGCTTCGGCGCGAAACCCCGGCTCTGATCAGCTCCATATTGGTAGTCATCCATTCCACGAGTAGCGGAATGAGAAGATTCCTGGCCTGGTGGAGGTGGGTAGTAGGGAGTCTGGCTCTGCTGGGCAGAACCAGTAGATCCCTGCGTTGGTGGCGGAGCATAGTAGGGCGCTTGAGTCTGCTGCTGTTGAGGCTGATAGGAGTGGCTTGCCGGAGACTGGCTTGGTGGCGGTCCCGGGGGAGGCGGAGGGAAAGATTCGCCCGCGTAGCTGTACTGGTGGGAAGCCTGGCTTGGCGATGGCTGATTGGGGGTCAATGACTGGCCCGCGCCGGATTGGTAGCCTTGGGTGTTATCAGAGTGATATGCCTGATAGGATGGAGCAGGGCTGTGCGCCTGCTGCTGCTGGTGAGTCTGATCCGACGAGTATTGTCCTGGCGGGGGCGGATAGCTCGGCGTGTTACCAGACTGATACGATAAAGTGGTATCGTGCTGCTGCTGATATTGTGGCGGCTGAGAGCTCGATGATGTCTGGGTAGGAGGCGGTGGGTAGCTTGGTGTCCCTGTGGATTGCTGGGCTTGCCACTGAGGGGCTGATCCCTGCTGTTGCTGGCTTGTAGCACCGGGCTGCTGGCTCTGCCATTGAGGGGCCGATCCCTGCGGCTGTCCCTGCTGCGGCTGCGACTGATGAGGAGCTCCCGGCTGTTGTTGGCCTGGCTGTGCGGCACCAGCTTGCGGTCCAGACGACGAAGTAGGCCTTCCAAAGAGCACAAGACGGGTATACCTAGTATCCTTACGAACCAGGTACTTTGCATCATAGATAAAGTTCCAGCGCTCCACGAAATGGCGTCGAAGATCCTCGACAACTGGACCCCGCAGACCGATAGAAACATCGGACCATCCCATGCGAGACATGGTCGTTCGATCGAGCTGATTCTTCTCCCACTCCCAGACATTTTGGAAGTCGAGGACGCGGGAGTTGTTGTAGTCCTGGCCTGGGAAGACGGTATCGTTGATGTTGGATGGGTGCAGATCGGAGAGTGCGTGCTGATGGGTGTCCCACCGACCGAAGCACATATCCAGGCCACCCATGAAAGCGATCTGGCCGTCAATCAGGCATAATTTCTCGTGGTGAGCCCAGTATAAAATAACGTCGTCGTTCATGCCATACAAGCCCTTAAGAGTGTCCTTGGACATCTTAGAGAGACTGGCGGAGGTGAGCGACAGGTTCTGGAAAGAGTGTGCGATATCAGATACCAGCTCCTGGCGATCAGGCAGATGGTCGGGGTGGCGGAAGACAGCAATGTTGGGGTGAAGGTTCTCCAGGGCATGCTTGGTGTGCGCTGAAGACAGCGTCAAGGCCTGGGTTACTTCCTTGTAAACGATAATATTCACACGCACGCCGCGAACAGCAGCATCCTTCAGCATTCGATCCAGTCGGTATTTCTCATTCTCGGCCGGGGGCCTTCTCAAGTAGAGCTCGGGAGACAACCACCCTAGTAGATTATTAGCTTACAGTTACGATGTATTTATCCGGATGATCCGCAACTTACAGTCCAGAATCCAGATGGACTCGCGCGCATTCTCCAGCGCGATGGAAACTGCCCAGAAATAGGAGCATCCATCGACGTACGGCTTCACCTCATTGTGTTCTCTGGGAGGAGCGAAGCTACCAAAACGGTGCTCTGTCGTGGGCTTGGTAGCTCCATACTCGGCGTAGGCCTGGGGATCGATAGTGGTCCCCAGTTTGGTGGCCAATTCGGAACCGAGATCGGTGACGGTACCTTGGATCTTGCCCAAGAATCCGGAGAGTTTGTCTTCTTTCTGGGGTTTTCCTTGGTACTGCAGGGGCTGACCCGAGTAATATTGCTGCTGGCTCTGTTGGCCCGGTTGGCCTTGCTGGCCTTGCTGACTGTGGCTATATCCGAATGGTCCTTGACTCTGGTCCTGGTAATTCTGTTGCGACGACTGAATCCGTTAGTGAAGCCCTGCACCTATTGTGGCAATTGTAATTACCCCCTGAGCACCACCCTGGTTATATCCCTGACCGGACGGCTTGGAGTGACTTTTGTAGGTGTCCTTGAACTTCTTGAAGGTGTCACTCAGTCCTCTCGAGCCATCGCCCGATCCGCGCTCCGAGTCGTAATAGCGGCCATAGGCCAGGTCATCATTCTGCGACATGGCAGCAGACGAGTATGAGGAGAGGAAAAACAAACCAAAAATGCAAAGAAAATCAGCGGAAAGTCAGTTGCCTGGGGCGGGGGATTTGTTTTAAGAGCTTCCTGGATGCCCCGCTGCCCAGCCACGATGGGGACGGGAGACGTGGCTGTGTTGGACAATGGTGGACCAGTCACTAGGCTCCGCGATTCTGGGACATTTGGTTGATGTGGAGCTGGGCTGAGCTGAGCTGACCTACGGAGGACTAGTACTAGAAGTGCTATGACCTGGAGAGTCTTAACATAGACACTAATCCCAGGGTTAATATGTACCGATGTGGTGCTGTTTACTTCTCCAGACTTGTCACAGAATGTACCTTTGCTTGTGCCGAGTGGGGCCGATGCAACGTGGCCGTGGATCGCCTGACGGGCGCATTTTCAGTACGGCCGAGAACAATTATAACGAGATGAATCCCATATCCTGGATACTTGAATTATCATCAACATGTAGAGTAATCACTGAGTATGTCTAAGGTTGCGAGATTCGGGTGGTCCACCATATCTGCGTCCACTGTCCAGTTAGTTCCATGGCCTTAGCCCTACGAAACCAGTCTCCATAAACACGCTGGCTATTATGAATCAAGTCATATCCATAGGGTCAAGGACTGGTTTAAATTAATATCCTTGAGCTTGTTTAAGACTATTTTCTCTTATGGTACTGAGTGCCAGTTCACACAATGCATGACACTATCTCTGGAGACACTACCGCATAGGGACCTTGGGGGGGGGGGTTTCTAATATACTTCCATAGACAGGCTTTAGACGCCTTCTGTGAGAATTTACCAAAGGTTAGTTATCTGGGGATATTCACTCTTATCAGATCTAGGGCTCTGATTTTACTAATCATGACCGCGATAGCACAAGTTTCTCCTGCTTGTAACGATAATCCAAGCAAGTCCTCCGCGGAGAATTCCCCGCACGTCATCGCAGCATCAACGAGGTTCTTATCTGCCCCGCATCAGTGGCAACCCATCAGACAAGTGATAACTTGATAACAATACCTACCAAGCACCCCTCATCTTTCTCTCTTCGTAACTTCTTTGATTTCACTCTGCTACATATCTACATTGTTCTCTACTCAATTTTCAACCATCATGTCTCTCGCCACTCTCGATGTACACCATCCTTCCAAACAAACACAACATCTATACTAACAACCATCTCCAGACCTCCCAACACCCCAACCTCCCCGCCTCCTCAGCAACCCTCTTCGCAGCCAAGGCCAGCAAGAAGCTCAGCTTTGAGCAAATCGCCCAGCACATCGGCCGTAATGAAGTAGCCGTTGCTGCCCTCTTCTATGGTCAAGCCAAAGCCTCCCCGGAGGATATCGTGAAGCTATCCGAGCTTTTCGGCATCGACCATGCTCTTTTAGAAGACCAGCTCACTGGTTTCCCCGATCGTGGCAAGTCAGTTGAGATGCCACCCAAGGAACCGCTGATTTATCGGCTGTATGAGATTGTGCAGAATTATGGGTATGCGTATAAGGCGGTGCTGAATGAGAAGTTTGGGGATGGGATTATGAGTGCGATTTCTTTTTCGACGAAGGTCGAGAAGGAGACTGATGCGGATGGGAATAATTGGGCTGTTATTACTTTGCGGGGAAAGTGGTATGTATTCAGTCGTGCATGGAGATTGAAAAAGGGAGTTTGTTGCTGACGAGCTTTTGTAGGTTGCCTTTCTCGCGATTCTAGGATCTGGATTCGGTTTAGTGAGCAGGTGGAAGCCATGATTGGAAGTAAGGCTTTCCTTCAAATGGCAATCAGATAGTCATCTATATCAGAGAAATATATGAGCTTCTTAGGAAAACCTCCTGGTTCAAAAAGTCAGTAGAATTGCTCGGCTGAAGGGTATTCTCGGGACAGCATCGACCCTATTCCACGTGCCAGACGCATACGCTATCCGCGCAAGGAAAGAAAAAAAAAAGGCACAGCGAAATCAAAGGCATCCAAGAAGAAAGCACAATCATGATATTAGCGGAGCATCTCAAATTGCAAAGAGGTATTATGCGCGAAAACAGGGACTGAAAGATTGAAAATGAGCAAACCCAGCTCTACCAACGCATGAACCAGTCCCAATACTAGCCATAGCCTTGACTAGATGGCCCAGCGATAGTGATGCCGGCGGGCTTATCGAAGGCGCGGGAGGAGGGAATGTTCATTTACATCCAATTTGTCGAGTATCATGCCTGCCGTTTAGCAGCAGTCCTCGCAGCACTCGAAGCAGAGGAGACCGGCGCAGCTGTGGTATGTTATGTCAGTATATATTCGGGTATACGCAATGACCTCAGGTGCGCCTGCATTGTGCATGATGCATTCCGTGGGTTGCAAACTGTATTTGACAGACACCCGGACCGAACCGCAAGGGATAAAAGATCTGATAACGGGGACGACTTACACGCCGCAGCAGACATCGCCGGCACCACCACCACGGAGCTTCATCATGTTCTCCTGGGAGTTCTATAGTCGCAACACGAGGTGGGATTAGCAAACCCAGGGCGGGAAAGGTAGGAGAGATATGAGATTTTGATAACGAAGCTACTCACAGGCTGCTCAGCAGCGACGCGCTCGGTGGAGGGCGCCTCGGGGCTAGTGGGCTGCTGGTTCTGGACGGAGGTGGTGGTTGCGTCCCAGGTAGCGCCGTTGGTGGGCTCCTGCTTGGAGGAGGAGAACCAGTTGAGAACGTTGCCGAACATTTTGAAGTTATTTGGAGTTGAGAGATTGGTGGGATAGATTTGAGTATGGGGGCGTATTGAGGTGGCTTATCTGGAGTAAGTAGATCGAGGGCAGGGAGAAACGAGAGGATGAGGGGGTATGGGGTGGTTTTATATGAATCGACTTGGGGGATAAGCATTCCCTAATCCTGCAGGATTATTACTGGTATAGAAATTAGTGGAAAAAGGGGGGTGCTGTGGCTGAATCTTGAGACTGTCGGTCTAGCTATCCAGTATCATCTACAAGATTCCCTACAATCCTTCTATAGTGACTGGCCCAGGTCCAGGATCCACTTAATCTACACCTACCAGATTTCGGTTAAGCCGGAGGCCCTGGCGTCGTAATAATGACCGTAATCTTGCATGGAAACTCTCAGTAGGCCAGAGGCTGGTGATACATCCTTGTACCATGCACCCGATGTGATAGGAAGCAAATCGATCCGACCGACCGGTCCAGGACATCAGTGGCTGGCGGAGGATGACCTCCACTGAACGGTTAAAGCTTCGCCGCGTTGTCCCGCGATGATCGCCGGAGAGATGAGATCATTCCGCGCGCATGGCATACGCTAGGAGCTAATCTGGAGAATGGATGGAGGGTTGGAGCATGACCTAGGGAAATGGTGAGGGTTCCATCGACAGAGCTCTAGACATACCACTGACTTGCTGAATACCCATTTTTCAGAGGTACAGGAGCGTTAGCCCCTGTACAAGATCTCTGAGAGTCCGAAACTCATTTGGACCCTCGAATGATGGATGCCTAAGGGTCCCGAGGAACTGGAGTGCGGGAATTTGTGCATCTTGCAGTGGAAATAATGCAGTGAAACCTTCCGATGGCCAGCCTGCTGCTGGACAAATCTCGCATGGACAAAACAAGTGTCTCCACTACTTCTCCACTCGGGCCATTCCACAGGCTCAGGAGTCAGCGCTAAGCTTCGTCAAGCTTCGTCATTCGTGCACATCCCGTTATTTTTAGGCCCGTTTCTTGTGGCTCGGCTGCCGCGGACGAGCGATGTGCAGGTTGTACAAGAACTTGTACGGCATTTCATAGCCTGGAGTATGTATACTCTGTGGTTGCCTTCATTATGCCCGACCGCTCTGGAACTGTGGCTGAAGAAGCTTCATCAGCTGAAAAACACTGGGATCGGATTCCAGCCATGGAGCAGGGTCGAGGAACGTCTGGCTTTTTTTAGCCTTCAAAAGAAAACAAAGGAAAATGAATGTGGCTGAACCATATCAAGAGTTGTTATCATTCGAATCACTCGAATGAATGGAATCGCTCCAGGAACGTGGGCCAACATACAAAGGAACAGACAAGATCACATGACTTGCACACCTGGCATGTAGTGTCCGCCGTAAATTTTCTCCGAGACGCGCGCATCCAAAATTGAACAAATCAACGCCCATCAGATATCTCAATTGAAATCATCCAATATAGCCTCAACGAAGACTCACATACCGTGAACCTTCCCAAAATGGCGACCCCAACCCCACAACAACCACCAAACCCACAAGCCCCCCGCGAAGCAGACTACGAACGCTTCAAAAACTACGCCGCAATCACCTTCCTAATCGCCTCGCCCGTGCTAATCGCCCTCCCACCCCGCAAATTTGACCATCTCACCGTCCTCCTCGCCAGCGCATTCGCCGTCTCCGCAAACCACATCACCCGCGAGCGGACGGGGCGCAGTATCGTCGAGCGGATCGAGGCCCGGATAGCCCGGCCACCGACTATTATGCGGGAATTGCCCAGTGAGCGCGCAGAGGAGATCCAGGCCCGACTACGCGCTGCGCGGGATGCACAGATTCGTGAGGCGGAGGCTCAAGTTCAGGCTGCCTCTGTCAGTGGGGAGTTGGAGAAGTTGAAGGCGAGGCAGATGCAGGAGAAGGGTGTTGCGCAGAGGGTTTGGATGGGTGGGGAGGAGGAGGGGGTGGATGGAGAAACGGTTGAGGAAGGAGAAGGAGGCGCTTGAGGAGGGGAAGGGGTATGGTGATTTGATTTATGAGCATATTTGGGAGGTTTGGAATTGGGGGAAGAAGGTGGATGAGGATGAGGATGAATAAAGCCTCCAGGCTTGGATCCTTGATACTCGATATTCGATATACACCATGCTCCGCGATTGCTTCCACCATCTTCGACTTCGACTTCGGCTTTCTGCGGCTTTCTCCAATTTTCGCGGCACATACTTTGGATTTGTCGACTCTTGTCTCTGTACCAATATCTCGTTCGATTCAGCATTGGGAAGGGCGTTCGGTTGTTTACCTAGACTCATGCAATGATTATCCTCCCCTCTTGGGGCCTGTGGGTTTCGTGTTTTACTCAAGACTCTGTACAATGAATGTTTAATATTTCTAAAACTGGAAAAGCATCAACTACAAATTCCCACTTTCAATCACCGGTGCAGATATTCGATCTCAACATACATCTATCTTCTGAAACATTCGAGGTCTGATACGAATCAAACCTAAAGATAATCTAAGCCTGGTAGCTACAATACTTACGTTAGAAATTTCTAAGGAAAGTGAAAATGAAGTGAAAATGTCTTTGTTGCAAATTCAGCTTGAGAAACCACATATTGTCCTCCACATTCTACCAACATTCATCTTGACATTAGGGAAGCAACATAGACAAGATGATTCGCTCAATGTAAATTAAAGTTCACATCTCGACGGGAATAGTGCCCGTGCGAACAAAGTATTCAATTCGGGAAAGCAAAGCGTTGGCAGCAGCAATTCCCTCAGCAACGATAAGATTTTGCTGGTAACATTCTAATGGAGGCGCATCCGGCATATCAATGTCGGTATCGAGATCAAAAGTATTTACATTGTCGACCATCTCGATATCATGGACCGCATTGTAGAGATTCTCCTGTTAAAAAAAGTTAGCGAGTGCTGGAGAGATGGCGTTTCATTAGTTGGTACTTACTTCAAATTGGCGATTACGCCGTCTGCGGTTCTTAGGACCGCGTGGGAGAGGTGGGTGCAGTTGGTCTTGGAACCCATTGTGGGATGGAACCTAGAGATTATGATTAGTTATTGCTTCGAAACTATCAATAAGAGGCGTACTTACTGGGTTCTCGCAACTGACGTCGTGGAAATTTTGGCCATGATTAGGACCATTGAAGCCACCACCTTGCCGGTTTTGGAAATTCCGGTTCTGTCGATGGTGGGGATTATATTGGCGGAAGTTCACCTTTTGTGGGTGAACCTGCAAGGATAGTCAGCATCAATCAATCAGTCTCGATTCTCAAAGGGGTGACTTACTTGTGATTGACCGCCAAAGTTGTTATGATGATGGGGATTGAAGTTGTGAGAGCGGTTATTGTGGTATTGATTTTGATACCGCACGTTGGAGTGACCATGTCCGTTCCATCCATTGTTCCGTGATCCTGAGCCGTTGGTGGGTGGTCGAAGAGACCCGGCTTCTTGATGGTAAGCAGGACCGTTCTTGCCTCCGCCGTATGATGGGCCGGTTTGACGTCGGACAGCCATCGTGGATGTTTGACGGGGTTCGATTTGGCCTCAGCCTTGACCCCCGGAATGATCACACAAGAGGGGTGCTATTGTCTCCTCCCAAGAGCCGGATTTCCACTTCAGGTCTTTACCCGCTTTGCTGTTTTTGGGATATGATTGAAAAAGAAAAGGATTTAAAACGATTTGCTTAAACGATTTGTGTAACGATTTTGCTTTGAACGATTTTTTGCACGCAGTGAAATCCCTCAAGTTTTAGTAGTTGAAGCCTGAAGTCCGACCACTTAGATTCGACCTAGTGACCCTGACACACTTGATATGATATTCCCAGGGAGGAATGAGGTGGCCTCTTCTGTGTTGGATGTTGGAATGGAATAGATGTAGTTCACAACGTTTGGGGAATGATCCCGAGGAAAGTAGAAGAGATGAGAAGGGAAGGAAGAAAGGAGCAGGGCAAAGAGAGAGGAGAGGACTTTTGTGTAGAACCTGAAGCAATCTACTAGCCCTGTTTGGAGATACAGGTCTATCAGAAATCGAATCAGGATTAGCAGTGGACGATATAGGTAAAGTATGTTCCTGTCGGTGCCTCTTTTGATCGTATAGATCCGTGGATATAAAATGTTGGGAGAGAGGAATTAGGGCTAGTTCTATTACCCCAGACCGGATCCCAGATCTGCTTCTCAACTTAATTTCAAACTCAAATAGTTGCCAAGGGAGCCGTGGATTGCAGAAAGTACTAGTCCATAGTGAGTTTTGTTTTGACTTGTTTCGGAAAGGCGAGTTCCAAAACGGGTAGCGGAAGACACGGCGAGGATAGACACTCGAGTAGCACAGAGGCAGGTGTTATAGCAGATGAAGGTAAAGGATTCTGATACCAGTTGTATGTGATGTGAAGCTATGCCTCAGACTGGGAGAGCAAAACATCATATATAGCTGCATCCGCTGGGGTAGATCAAAGAGGGGAAAATTTGTAGGAAGTTTCATCTTTTTGTTCCATTTTCAAGAGGAAGGCATTTCATGATACGTCGTGAAAGAAATAAAGATAGTAACGGGTGACTAGACAATAGCTTTCTGACGAAACGCACCACCTGATTCGACAAAGGCCAGCCAGGGGTAAAGATACAATGAGCGGGCCATCAGCGCTGACTTTTATTTTAGGCCCTCAAACACAAAAACGACAAAGTCCGCTTTGTCAATAACAATAGAAGTTGAATATTTGTACAAAACAAGGTGAACAAGGTGGAACCAATGATTGACTCGATCGACCATCCCCAGACAAGCATCACCCCTTCTGGGATTGGCCGGTTAATTCCAAGTATGAGTTTTCCTCAATCGCTTTGTCTTCGCGTCTGCTTCTTTGTCCGCAAGTGTATCACCATCCCTCTTCAGATCGCTACTCGTTCGCCGCGCACGCTTCTTCCTGTGAGTCGCTCCTCCAGTCGATGCGCCATCATTTGATGCAAGACTATCGCGCTTGCGCTTTTCTGGCTTGGCGTTCTCTTTTTTCCGTCGCCTCTCTTCTCTGATCCTGAGGCGGCGCTGAACTTCCGCAGAGATATCCTCTGTCTCCGGTGAACCGGGCGAGGCATAGGGCGCACTTGTAGTATCTCCCTCGGTGGGGTCACGACGTCGTTTGGAAGCTCGGGGAACATCTTCCGGGGTTGGGGGACGATTCTGCGTAGTCGTGTCCGCCGTCTCGGCTCTGGATCTCTTCTTCCGGCCGCTGGTATCTGTATCGGTGAATTGCGGGGTAGAGGTAGAATCTGTGCTCATCTTGGATGCGGAGGATGAGCGGGGCGTGTTGAATGCGTTGTCAGACGCTTTTCCTGTAGCGATCGCGATATCGTTATCCATGCTGCACTTTCACATGTGGAGGGAAATGGCGGCATTGAAATGTGTAGAATCCGAGGACGCTGGCAGAACATACGGTTGAGCTAGAGACGAGTCAGTCAGTCGCATATTCCCAGATTGAAGTCCTGACCAGTTTACCCACCATTTGCTTTCGAGCCACTCTAGACTGATTGATCGCTTGCATCGTTTTGGTCACCATGAAGGAGACTGTGCGGAACGCTTCACCGTTCGGCGCGATTTGACTCTTCACTGAATCGAGCATTTCGAGATGCGAGGCGAGGATGGCCTCATGCCGAGAAAAAATCTGTAAAAAGATGCAACATAAGCCGAGATGCATGAATAGAGCGGAACGCAGACAAAGATAAAAGAATAGTTATGGCTCTGTTGTCTGCAGGTCTTGGTGCATCGCTTTGTTTGTGCCACTTCGGGAAAATTGGGATGACGACATACCTCTGCCCATGGAATCGGCGCGCCATTTGTTTGGAAATCGAAGGGGGCTTGAGCCTGGCCGTGTCTGAACATACTTTCTGCGGCGTTCATGACTGCGTCTGTGTCTGACCAGAGGTCGGGGGAACTGTCGTGTAAGAGTTGAGAGGAAAGAAACTCGCAGGGATCGGCGGAGAAGATGGAGCTTCTCCGCGCCAAGACTTGCAACAAACCGCAGGGGCGATCGGACTAGACTGACTGCCTGACAGCTGGTGCCGTTTTATAGTAAACTACTAGAAATAGGCAGCGATTACACTTGAATGTCTACCAATCCATACGAGAAAGTGATGATTTGGAAAATCTCAATGGGATTCTTCTGCTGCATTAAACTGTGTACAAAATAACCCCCTAACGCCATCCATGAAATACGCCCAAGATCCGCCTTGCACCACGAGACATCAGATGCTCCTTCCCAGGTAAAAATCATACAGAATCGAAAAGTTAAGGCTCACCAGGCACCGGCATCGAAGTCAAATCGAGCCAGCTCCTTCTGGGAGTCCTCCACGTCCTTCTTTGCCTTCATGCGCATGTAGAAGATGGGGCAATCGCGTGATGAGCAAATGACTTCGCAGTGAAGACTGCCCTGGCATCGCTGGCACTGGGTCCACAGACGTCCGAAACGGACCTCCAGGTCAGACACCTTGGTGAGGGCCTTGGTGTACAGCTCGCCGATGCGAGGGCGGCAGTTCTCACACACAGCACCAGCCATTTCCTCTTTGCCGGACAGAGGCTTCTTGCAGCCCATGCAGGTCTGAGTACGCTTGGTGAACTTCATGAGTCCACCCAAGCTGGGCGCAGCAACCGAGATAGACCGTGTGTGTTCACCGGTCAACAGCTGGTTGGCCTTCTTCTCACCCAGGATAGGCTCGAAGATACGACCTAGTGGATTGGCAAGCTGGTTATCCAGGTAATACTTGGTATCGATTGGAATGTTGTTCTCCAGTACGAAGATGGGATCCTCGGCACGCTCGTAGCCCTTTGAGTTGGCCGCTCCCTTGATCATGACGTAGGCCACACGATCTCCCAGAGCTGGGGCGGATCCAGCATCACGTTTGGCCATGCGCTTGGCAAGCTCGACGTGAGCCTGTTTGGCAGCATATTCCTTCTGCGACAAGGCCTTCGTAATCACCAGTTTGGACATATCCACCTTGTTCTGTAGAAGATCCGAAATGGTCGATTTCACGTAGCTGTATTCTGGATTAGCTTCGATCTTCGGGACAATTTTCAGGACATCACCACTTACTCTTGCGCACTGTCGATATCTCGATCGATAAGGATCTTGTTCAGGACAGTCTCAATGACATTCTGCACCAGCAGGCAGTTGTCACGTCGAACAGTCTCAATACCCTTGGTGTCCATCTTGTCGTGTTTCTTGGTGTTGGTCCAGTAAAGACCGGCGTAACGCTTCTTGTTGATGAGCAGATAGGGGAAGTACACCTTCTCGAACTCGAGCTTGATGGGCTTGATGAACTTGGAAGAAACGAAATCTGCGGCTTCCTCGCCAAGTTTCATGGCCTCTTCCAACTCAGGAACGCCGAATTTGACCATGACCGAATCGGTATCACCGTAGATAACTTGCGCATCGTGAGAGTACCCATTAGCAATAGTATAACGCGCTTCCACTTCCGCCTTGGTCTTCTCGATCATTTGACGACCGTAACTGGTAGTACTACTGGCAATCGGAAGACAGGGCAGCTTGCCGACCGTGGCACCAGTCAGGCCGTAGACACTGTTCGCGCTAATTTTCAGAGCAAGCTGACGACCGTTCAGGACAGCTTTTTTGAATGGATCGGTCTCGCTTGCCAACTCCTTCTTCGCACGCTTTCTTGCACCCAGCAGTTCCTCGAGAATCTGCGACAGGAGACCTTTGCGGACTTTGGCGGTGCAGAACATGTCTCCGTTTGGCGTCACAATGTAATCTTCATCCTTTTTGAGACCAAGTTTCTCAATGCTGTTCTTGTTGAGCAAGGTGGTGTAGCAGAGGTTGTGTGCCTGGATAATGGACGGATACAGTGATGCGAAATCAAGGGTGGCGATGGGAACACCATAGTAACCACGTTTTGGTTCAATGACGGTAGCACCTTCGTAATCCTGTTCATCCTGGGATTTGGAATTGGGAATGACAAGCTGTTGTTCGAGAGCCTTTCGGAACAGTTGACTGATGAACTTGACTTGCTGTCCTCGGGAAAGGAGGTAGTTGAAGGGCACACCCGTGACTCTTGCCATCTCTGTGTAGTTGACCAAACACATCAGCTTGTCCATCAACCTCTGTGGTAGATAGGCGTCCTTCAGACAGTACACCGCTAATCGACGTCGAGAATCGGGTGTGCCGTTGAAAAGTTCTGTGATCATGGTGTGATGGACATCTTCCTTCTGCTCCCCAAGGAATTCATAGGATACAGAATTGAGGGTGTAGCTTCGCAATTGGTGATCTCTTTGTACCAGCTGGAGCAAATCCAATTGAATTCTGCCGTTTGTGTTGGTCGCTTTGGTCTCTCTGTTGCCCATCTGCTTGCTCGAGAAACTGGCCTCCTTGGCCTCAGTCCTACAATTCCTCACTCTGGTCCAATACGGAAATTGGCCGCACTTCAGATGTTTGGCACGATCCAGCAGGTATGGGAAATCGAAGTTGGCGATGTTGTAGCCGATGATGACATCAGGATCGACCTTCTCCAGGAAGTCGCGCCAGGCCATCAGCATCCTTTCTTCTTTCTCGAATTCCAAGATTTGCGTATTGACAATGAGACTGCACGTATCAAGGCAGAATACATTTCGAATGAAAGGCTTCGACTCTCCATACCGAGTAACGACGTTGGCGATCTGAATCACCGGGTCCACGTTGGGTTCTGGGAAGATGCCTTGACGACCAGCACACTCAATATCAAAAGACAGGATACGGAGTGGGGCCATCTTGGCCCATTCACCGTTGGGGGCGTGTGCGATCATGTCACGATAGTCCATGATAGCCTCGATCTGGCAGTTGGATTGCCTTTCGTGGTCTGGCAGAAGGCGATATTTGCCAGCTTTGGCTTCAACCCAGGACATGCCGTGTAGACCCGTGTCGATCATGAATCGCAACAGATACTGAATGCTGTCGAATGTAAGAATGCCCGAGTCGGAACTGCTCCATAAGCCTTTGTAGTTCATCGAACCACTGCCGGTTTCAAGCGCGCTTCGCAGCCTGGCGATGAACTTCGGATCTGTCACGGTGATCTTGAGATACCAGCTCTTTTGATTCCCTTGGAACCCATAAATATTCTCTCGTAGTGTAACTTCCACAGATTGAATGACAGGGGCCATTTGGGCAAGTTTGGTCTCGAGGAAGGCACGGTAAGGGTCGCAGTCCTCTTTTGTGAAGCCCACCGGAGCAGCGATGTAGAGATAGTGTTGGAAGCCAGTCACATGCAGCATGACTGATTGACCGAGCTGATGGAAATTGTCAGAACGCTTTGCATTAGAAGCATCACGACCAAGGAAAGTCAATCTTTACCTCAGTGACACCAAAGAGGCGAACCGCCATCTTGTCCGCTCCAAACCGACCCTCTTCAGCATCAATCTGCTGGAAACAGATATTCTCCTTGGTCGGGTCAAAATCGCCGAGAGGCGGCCGTTCCCACTGCTGGTCCTTCTCCGCATTGTTTCCTTTCAAATCTCCAATGTCCTGTGTCAATTTCTCAAGAACTTCCTCCTCGAACTGACTCTTCTGTGGTTGACTTGAGCCAAACCCTTTGCGTTGCCCATTCTGTGCAGGTGGTTTCAATTGGGAGGAGGGCTGGATATCGAGCTTGCGCTTCTTGAGCGCCGCGGGGATACGGCATTGCCGCGTGGATTGTTGGTTGTATCGGTCAAAGCCCGTTTATGGGGTGGAACTGCTTCAGGCATGGTGATGATGCATTCGAAGGTGAAGTTGTATACCTTCAGTGGCCCTGTTCAAACGGATCTAAGGTTGGAGTTGAGCAGAATGGGTTGGGTGGGCAACACTCCGAAAGTCCGGGAGTCGTGTCGCAGTCGCGCCTTAGACGTGACGCTCTTTACGCGTGAGCAGTCCGGTCACATGCTGATAAGATAAGAGGACCAACCAAATAGTTCAGCCCACCAGTTGATGAACTGAGCCACGTAAGCCATATCACAATGTTATGATTATGGGAAGTGGGAGATTCTATTAGATTATTCGTTATTTCCTCATTTCTTCGGATTATCACCCTTCTGTCAATACTTTCCTTATTCCGTCATTGTTGGGCTGTCTACAAAGTCAATATCTTTGCGGCTCTATCCCGCGCCGTTCTCCGCCGGCAGAAAATGACTGGAATGAGACCTTCCGTTTGACCTCTTGGTGACTTTGTATCAGCTAGCCTTTGACTCAAAACACAATCAGATCGTCATCAGGAAGCCATCTCTGATAATAGTTGATTGCTTGGTCTAAAATCTTCCATGACACGATAGACGTGACATTGTCACTCGCCAAACAGTGACTTCTACACCGCCCGCATGACACGCCCTATGGGAGACATTTAGAATCCAATGGAAGCCTAAGTCGACTCATTGCGGTTGTGGATCAGGGCATGTTTGTGTCTGGTCCGTGTTGAGTAAAATACAGCGTGTCATCTTGAGCCAACACCTCGAGACTTTGGCATCCTGTCCATTCGGACACTGCACTTCACGCCACCATTCACACCTGGCTAGTGTCACGACCTTTGTTCTGGCCCACCCCACCAAAGATATATCAACCATCACGCCGCGCCAGGAGCATTGTCAACACCTCTGGCAATTACCATTCTGGTCAGCATAGATACCTTTTGGCCCCGTGTGATCGCGACTGCCCATCTCGGATCTCAATGGATCAAGTTTGGTCCTCCTTGGCGTAGTCATCTCTTGCGTTCTGGATAACAATCCCTCCTCACCCGACGACGACCAGCATGTCCATGTTCAGATCTGCAGCAGATATTTCATCATCCGATCCGGAGTCTGACTCGGATGAGGGCGAGTCCAGTGGTCATCAAACCCCGAATCCCAACAACGAGGGGACCACTGGCCCTCGAAACACCAGCAAGGGCAAGGCATCTGCGAACCTATCAAGCAGCCTTGATTCAGGCAGCGAAGTAGACTCCTCAATATCACGAGATGATTTCTCCGCCTTGTCACAGGATGCCCTGGGCTCGAATGTGCAGCGCCATGCGAACTTCATGACAGCCGCTCTGCTTGAGTTCTACTGCCAAAGTCGAGCGGCAGACATTCTCAATGCGCAGAAGGGCTCTGGCAAAAGGTTCACTCGACATTGTCCAGAGGCACAATATTTGGGCAAGAAGCTTTACAAATACAAATCCCAATTTCTCGCATCACATGGGGTTTTAGCAGATGGCGTTGACAAAGAAGAATTGGAGGGAACAAGACAGACATATCGTGACAATTTGGATTTGCTGGGTCTCTCTGCGCTGGATGACTTAAACTTGAACGAAACTCGACCGCCAACACCGATTGAAGGCAGCGAAGAACTTGCTCTGGTGTCGCAAAATTTCTGGGCCCAGCAAGGGGTCAAGGTGACCGATAGCAATGCTCATTTCTGGAAAGTGCCAGGTGATGATGCGCCGTTTCGTAAGGAAGCACCTCCAACCAGCAATTTCAACGTTCTTGAAGGTATTCCCATCAGTGCGCCCAGCCTGCCTGCCCCATCGAGACCATTGTTTGGAAGCTCGCCCGTGAGCATGCCTTTGTTCAATGGACCCGCCATGCCGCCATACAACCACACGTCACGCTATTCAGTCGAGTTCACCGAACTCAAGATTCTTGGTCGTGGATCTTTTGGGGAGGTGTACCATGTCACCAATCATATTGACGGACAAGATTATGCGGTCAAAAAGATTCCTCTTAGCCAGAGGCGCCTCGATCAACTGCAGTATGGCGGTCAGAACCAGTTGGAAACCATTATGAAAGAGATCCGGACACTGGCTCGACTTGAGCACACAAATATTGTTCGGTATTACGGTGCCTGGGTCGAACAGGCGCATGTCTCGCGTCGTAGCCCCTTCGAGCAACAAGCACACACTAGATACGAACCGCCGCATATTGATATCCCAAGTCAGGGTGCCACAAATGAGCCCAGCTTGGGGATTGTGTTCGAGCATTCCGAGAGCTCGGCAGTGGAGTCGCATGCTAGTAGCTCTTTACCCGATGAACATGGATTCTCTACCCGTATTTCGCGCTGGGACAGCCATGCCACGTCATCTTCCCGTCGTTCAAAGAAGAGCTCGGGGACAGGAAATGAGGATGACGATGATATTGAGTCCATCCCTCGAGACTTTGACAATCCAACCTATGGCCAGACCTCCACATTTGGAGAGACGGACGACATCTTCACCGATGGCTTGAGCCAGGATCAGTCGAGATTCCAGGTTCAACGACAAAATCGGGCTGGTCAACCAGCGCCAGCTGTCATCCTCCACATCCAGATGTCTCTTCACCCCATCTCTCTCAGCTCCTATCTAAATTCACAATCAGCCGATAAAGCCAACACCGGCGATGGCTCTCCGTCTCGCCGTCATTGTTTTCATTTGATGCCCTCATTGAGACTGATGCTGGACATTATCTCGGGTGTTGAGTATCTACATTCTAAGGGCATCGTCCACCGGGACTTGAAGCCGGCGAACATTTTCCTGTGTGCACCTGAGAGTACCACCCTGGATATCTGCGTTTCCTGCAACCATGATCCTACTTCACCGACCCATTTCTGTCGTCCGCGCATTGGGGACTTCGGCCTGGTCGCGGATATCTCACACTTGAATGAGCTTTCCGCAGAGAGCGGCGCCATTACGCCCTATCGCGAAGGTCCCAAGATACAGCGGGTTGTAGGGACTGAGTTCTACCGACCTCCTGCCGGCTCAGGCACGTCAGATTCTTCCTGTTATTTTGATGAGTACAAGATTGATGAGAAACTTGATGTGTATGCTTTGGGCGTGATATTGTTTGAGCTTCTCTATCGCTTTAACACCAAAATGGAACGGCAGATGGTGTTGAATGATTTGACCGGACGAGCGACTACTTTCCCAAGTGACTTTGCGGTCAAGATCGACCGTTGTGAGACGCAACTTCCGACGGGCCTCACTGTCGCGGAGACCATCATGAATTGCATCAGAGGGATGTTGGATCCCCAGTCACGGCGACGATGGGGGCTACGAGAAGTCAAAGAGCACCTGCGCCCGATCTACAAGTGTATCAAACACCTGTAAGTGGAGCGTGGAATGAATAGGGCGGCAAGGTGGAGCATTTTCGGACATAATCATAAAACATCGCATGTAGTAATACCCCAAGCATAAAGCAATGAATTTCTCCTCTCGTTTTTCAATATGCACGATATAGGCTATATGTATCATTAAAATATGGGGGATGATCGACGCCACACAAGTCGGGCCTCGGCCTGGTGGACCGTGGACCCTGGACCCTACCTCCTTCACAGGCAGTAGTGTACCGAGCTCTCCTCCTCCTCCTCTCCTCCTTCCCCGCATTATTCAAATACGCCGCAACTATCACCGAACAATGTAGATCCAAGTTCTAGAAAAGGCCAAACATCATCCTTCCACACTTCAATACACCAAACACCAACATGGCACGTAATCTCCGCCCTGCAACCGCTCCCTACAGCGAGCCCCTTCTCCCGCAACTCGACGTCCGCAATCCATACTACACCGACCTACACTATAACCTACGCGCCTGGATCCGCGAATACGTAGAGACTTCCATCGCCCCGTACGCCCAGGAATGGGAAACTGCCGGACAAGTCCCTGAGGAGGTGCGGCGACGTCATTGCGAACTCGGCTTCGGTATCGTGCACCCTCTCACGACGGAGGAACACTCGGCTGGTCTGGCACTGCCGGGAAATGTCCCCCGCGATAAGTGGGATACCTGGTGCACTTTGATTGTTGGGGATGAGTTGACCCGTGTGGGATTTGTGGGTGTTATTTGGGGGGCTTGGTGGTGGGAATGGGATTGGGTGTCCGCCTATTGCGAGATTTGGGACGCCTGAGCAGCAGAGGCGTTGGCTTCCGGGTGTTGCGAGGGGGGATCTTCGTTTCTGCTTGGGGATTACGGAGCCAGATGGTAAGATTTAGAATGGACGATGCATTTTGTTTATGCAAGGTGCTAACGTTGTTGGAAACATATAGCTGGCTCTGATGTCGCCAATATCAAGACCACTGCCAAGCGTGAGGGCGACTACTACATCGTCAATGGAGCGAAGAAATGGATTACCAATGGTATCTGGGCCGACTATTGCACGGCTGCAGTGCGCACTGGTGGCCCTGGGCGATCGGGTATCAGCTTGCTTGTTATCCCCTTGAAGGCTGAGGGAGTGACTCGCAGGAAAATGTTCAACTCGGGTGTTAATGCTAGCGGTATGCCTGGACGACAGTGATTCTTGTTTTAAGAGAAGTTTGACTAAAATCGCATAGGCTCAACATTCATCGAGCTGGACGATGTTCGTGTTCCAGTTGATCATCTGATTGGCGAGGAGAACAAGGGATTCCCCCTCATCATGTCGAGTAAGTTCTAAGAATCTTCTAATCTCGAGGCGATGGCTGACAATACAACCCAGACTTCAACCCAGAGCGTCTCGCACTCGCATGCGCTTCCCTACGACTCGCCCGTGTCTGCGCCGAAGATGCTTTCAACTACGCCATCCAACGTGAGACATTCGGCTCCCCTTTGATCCAGAAACAAGCCATCCAAGCAAAGATCTTCAAGTTCGGCTTGATGATTGAGCCTGCCTATGCCTTCATGGAACAGCTCGTCAACATCCTGGAGCTCACCAAGGGCCGATCCGTCGACGACGTCAAGATAGGCGGTATGACCGCCTTACTAAAGGTCATGTCCACGAGAGCTTTGGAGAAGAGTGTTCGTGAGGCACAGCAGATCCTTGGCGGCGCTGGGTATAACAAGGCTGGCAAGGGTGCTAGAATCGAACAGATTAGTCGTGATGCTCGGGTGCATGTCGTCGGTGGTGGGAGTGAGGAAATTATGATGGGTTTGGCGTTGCAGGAGGAGACTAAGGCGTTGCGGACGCGGAGGAAGGCGCTTGAGAAGAGACAGTCAAAAGTGTAGGAGTGCTTGTGTGGAGATAGCTCTTGTTTGTTTAGATTCGAAGTTGCTATGTAATACTCTTGTTTGCTTCCTAGAATTTCCTCTGCTCGATTCTTCACTTGACCTACTGAGGGATAGCTTCCCAGAGCGACTCTACTCTTCCACTTCCTCCATCTCTCAACTCTCTCAAGCCTCCCTTCTGCTTCCTCCAAGCTCACATCTTCTCCTCACATCACTCTCCAGAAGGTCTGGGTCTTCTTAGCCACCGTTTCCTGCTCTTGCAACCCTTCGTTTCGCTCATGCCACCTTTTTCACGATACTCGGCAGGTACCGCGACCTTTTATTCCATCCCCATCTGTCCGATGTCCGAATCATCAGAATCCGCGGCCGAAAAGGAGCCAACGCTCTTCCAACTTCCACCAGAGCTACTGCATATGATCTACTAGATGCTACTGGAGGCCTCACAGGGCTGCTTGGCTCTCACTTGCAAAACCTACTTCACGCAATTCAAATCGGTTTTTCGTGACCACTTCTTCGATCTGGAAGGTGTTGGGGTCGACTGGTCCGCTTTCACAGAAATGAACCCAGACGCGGCGCGGGCTCTTCGGAAAAGGATAGAAAAAGATAGACTTCTTTTTCTGACTCAAGTCAAAACCCCACAATTGCGTTATTGCGCGACCTGTTGCGTACTTCACTCCCTTAATGAGTTTGATGAGCAAGGACTCGAGTCGAAGATACTCAAATCATGCAAATGGCCGGAATTGTATTCACGGGCTGCTATCTAGAAGGCAATATACTAGTGACAGATTATCTTGCCACTCTCGATCAGAAGCTTCCCTGGCACTACGAATACAGTCGCCCTGGTTCTTGCTCCCTGGACTTGACCTTGGAACGAGACGAAAATCACTCCATTATCGCGACCTCAAAGTATGGGTTCTTTCATGAGAAAGGCGATTTCGCTCTTAATACGGTGACATGTCCCCATATCGCGCTGGAGGAACTGCTCGTCACTTTTGACACAGAATACCAAATCCAAGAATTTGACTGCTCACACTGCGGAGCTCAAATATCGACCAGGATGCAATCGATGCCTCCTTCGTTAGGAGCAGCTTTTGGAAGACCATGGTGCTATTGGGTCACGGTTATCGGGAATCTCGGTCGATCTACGTCATCTGGAAAGGATCTATGGTGGAGGTACGCTCTATACAGCATGCAAAAAGATCAAATGCTTTCGGAATAGAAACGTGAAATTGGGTTTGAAAATGTCGGCCGTGCTGCATATCTGAACGTTTCGGTGAGAGACTTCGACAAGGACAGGCCATACCTAGTGGTCTCAGAAGCAGGTCAGTCATGGCCTACATCCACATTCTCAAAAGATATCGACGACATAGCAGCAACAGCAAATTCAAATGACAATTAGTTTGTCTATTCATTATCACGTATGTCTGCGTAGCAATTTCCAAACATATAATGATGCACACTTAGTGAATCTGGAGTCCATCCTTCAGTCACCATCGGAGTTCAGTCCGAAGATTTCATTTAGGAAAAGCTTTCAGCATGACATGCTCACTAGCACAACACACTAAGTTTCTGTGGTTGTTGATTGGGATGGACTATGCATGTCTGGCGTGCTCATTCAAACAAAGTTTCATGCAATACAAGAAAACGATTCATGGATGAGGTGACTGTATGGAAACATATGCTCGGTAGCACCTTCCTTCTCCAGCTCAGGCACTTGTGATTCTGCATGCCCCAACTGAATCTAACATTCACTGCGAAGCGATCTCCTGGCAGAGTTCCGACAGTTTCATATCGCGACTCTACCTTGACCATATCATCCTTCACTTCATCGTCTGTAAGCTCACGCGTGCTCCACGTCCTACTCCAGGCAGTGTCTTAATCTACCGGTTTCCATATCTCTGCCGTCGCAAGAGCCCACCCCCGTTCACGTCGACCCTACCCCATCTCTGCCACTACCGCAATCTTTTGCTCCATCCTTCCCGGATTCCATGCACACGTCAGCAGACCCTCTAACGCCGTCGTCAGACTCTCCGACCAAAATGCCGCCAACTCTCTTCCAACTTCATGCAGAGTTATTGTTCATGATTTGTTCGGTGCTGCCGGTGGGCTCACAAAACTGTTTGGCTCTTACCTGCATGACCTACTACACACAATCTAAATTTGTCTTTCTTGACAAATTCTTCAACTCTCCTCACCCCGCGTCTGAGCCCTCAGGGCCCTGTGAAGACAATAAATCTGACCCCGATTGGGAGTGGTTTACGAAATTCATGGCAGAGAGAGAACTTGAGCGAGAGCTTTTTCTTACTCGAGCCCAAACCAAATATTGGCGTTTCTGTTCGAGTTGTCGCAAACTCCACCCCGAATACGAATTCGAGGAAAAGGCTCTCAATGAAAAGGATGAGAACCGACATTGAAAATAGCCCGGGATTGTCATGGTTTACTCTCAAATACAACCCATCAGGCCAATAACAAATGTCCTCCGTGATATAGATCGTTCTCTTCCCTGGAAATGCTATTGTTTTTTGCCCGAGTTGGGACTCGAGCATACTCCATGGTTAGCGGTGACGCTGCAGCGCGATAAGCACCACCGCATTATTGCGACATCTTTCTATATTTTTACTGTCCCTCGTGATTTCCATGCCAGTTCTCCAATGATATGTCCACACTTTGCGCTATTGGGAGTCCTGCCCTCGGAAGTGTGTTCGTTGCGGGTCTCATTTCTCGAAAGATATTAATACCATGGGGGTTATGCTCAATAGAAAGGTTCCGTCATGCTTCATGCTTCCGCATCACCTAGCGAACAAGTGCCCAAGTACATGATGCCTCCAGAGTATCCTTTCAGTCATGTTTTCTATTCAGCAGAATCCTTCCATTAAACATCAAGATCTTCGGGTCAAATGTGGAGTTCTACTACATATGTAAAGTGAAATATGTTGATTCCTCAGGCACCAATAAAATAGCAGCCCGACGACGTCACGTTTGTGGGGAAAGCTTCCCGCTGCGCCCTCACAAGCACCACACGCCAACTGTCTCTGGGATCGGTTTCTCGCTCGGAGCGATGGAGAGCTTCGACGACGTGACACTGATAGGACCCGTGTCTGACCCTTCTATTCTTGACGATCACCTTCCAACGACCAGCAACGATGGCAAGCCTAGGAAATCCACTGAAGTGGAACCGGTCGAACCAGGCACTCCCACCTCCGATCGCTCGATAAACGGGGCCCGCGCCCAGATCCAAACAGCTACAAACGAGCTAGCCGGAGAGCCTGCAATCTCGTCTGACTTTCCCCCCGAAGAAGAAGATGAAGAGCCTCGTGTTGCCACATCTTTCGAGCGGGAGTCCAGCCCGACTTTCGCGCAGAAACACCGATCTGGGGTGGATGCAGAGGATGAGGGGATCAACCGCATGCACAAGTTCACACTCTATGAGACTGCGACTCGGTTTTACATGGTTGGCATAAACCTTTCGGAGACGCGCTTTAGGATTCTCAAGATTGATCGCACCTCCGAGTCGGGCGAGTTGAGCATCACCGAAGATGACATGGTCTACACGAAAAGAGAGATGGTCCAGCTGCTGGATGCGATTGACGACGGGAATAAAAGCTCTGGTGGATTGAAGCAGAAATGCAGCGCATGGGCACTGCTTGGCTTTGTTTGCTTTACAGGCGCATACTATATGCTCCTGGTTACCAAGAGGAGTCAAGTAGCTGTCTTAGGTGGTCACAATGTCTACCAGATCGATGAAACAGAATTGGTATCCTTGACGCCTGCCGAGTCATCGCGACTGAAACCGGAAAAACAGTCGGAAGAGGAGAGATACAGGGCAATTCTGAGTAACCTCGACCTGACTAGATCGTTTTACTTCAGTTACTCGTATGATATCACGCGCTCTCTTCAGCATAACATCTGTCGCGAACGAAACGCCCGTCATGAAGATGGACTCGGATCCATCTCCCGAGACTACAATACTATGTTCATTTGGAATCATCATCTCCTTGCACCGGCGGTCAGTGCCCTGAAGAATCCCTACGAATGGTGTCTTCCGATCATTCATGGCTACGTGGACCAGTCCAAGATGAGTGTCTATGGGAGGGTGGTATATGTATCGATCATTGCCCGTCGGTCTCGCTTTTTTGCTGGAGCGCGCTTTCTCAAGCGCGGTGCAAATGACCTGGGCTTTGTTGCCAACGATGTCGAGACAGAGCAAATTGTCTCCGAACAGACCACCACGTCCTTCCACTCCGCTGGCCCTGAGCTGCATGCAAATTCCAATTATACCTCGTACATTCAACATCGTGGCAGCATTCCTCTATACTGGACGCAAGAGAACACAGGCGTGTCACCTAAACCGGCTATCGAGTTGAATCTTGTTGACCCATTCTATTCGGCTGCCGCGTTGCATTTCGACAACTTGTTTGAGCGATACGGAGCTCCGATCTACATCTTGAACCTTGTCAAATCTAGAGAGCGCACGCCCAGAGAATCAAAGCTCCTTCACGAGTTCACAAATGCGGTGACCTACCTTAACCAATTCCTACCCGAGGACAAGAAACTTATCTACAAGGCATGGGATATGAGTCGTGCAGCGAAGAGCCGCGATCAAGACGTTATCCAGACCTTGGAGGACATTGCCGGTGATATCATACCGAAAACGGGATTCTTCAAGAATGCACAAGATGTGGAATCCGGGCTGCGACTGCAAAATGGTGTCGCACGGACGAATTGTATCGACTGCCTTGACCGAACCAATGCCGCGCAATTCGTCATCGGCAAAAGAGCACTTGGGTACCAGCTGCATGCCCTCGGAGTCATCGATGAAACAACAGTCGAGTACGATACTGACGCTGTCAACCTGTTCACCAACATGTGGCATGATCACGGAGACACAATCGCCATCCAATACGGAGGATCTCATTTGGTCAATACCATGGCCACGTACCGTAAGATCAACCAGTGGAGTAGTCATTCGCGCGATATGGTCGAAAGCTTCAAGCGATACTACAACAATTCCTTCCTTGATGCCCAGAGACAAGAAGCCTATAATCTTTTCCTGGGCAACTACATTTTTGCTCAAGGTGCACCAATGCTCTGGGACCTTGCCACCGATTACTACCTACACCACGCCGATCCCAGATCCTACCTCCAGAAGAAGCGTCCGAATTACATCTCTTGGTACACACCTGAATACCTGAAAGAAAGAGAATTCCCACCTCTTCCAATCCGGCCCAAAGAGCCTCTTTCCCACTTCGACGATTACTGGCTTGAATACTACCGGCCCCTGGCTGTCTCGACAATGTCCAAAATCTTCTCCTACAAAATGAACTCGACCCTTCGATACCTTCCTCCCTTCCGCCCTGGGCATCCCGCTCCTGATCTCAGTCCCTTCGTACCGCGTATTCCTCCAGATCAACTTCAACGTGACCGTCCACCGCAACGAACCGTGAGGATTCAAGAGCCTACTGATACAAATTCGCAATACTCAACCACCACACCGCCTATTCCGGACGCTCCCGATACTTGGAAACATCAACCTCCATCATCATCCAAGCAAGCCCCGTCCACAGGGATCATCAGAGAGCCCACATTCGAAATCAACCGAGGTTCTCATATCCCACCAATCAATCCTCCAGACACACCAACAACTCCCAGCAAAGCACAAATTGCCCAGTGGACCTTGGGTCAGCTGGTCAGCGATTCTTTGAACCCATCAGTCACTTCTGCAGAGGCAGAGGAATACGAGAGATACATCAATCATCCGCTGAAGGTTCCCCTGGTCGTCACGTCCGAGGACGAGATGACTGCTGCATCTCTTCGAGAACACGGTCCTAACCTCGACCTAGTGGAGTATGTGAACAAGTGCAATGTTGAAGAAGCTGCTCTGGAAGCTAATGCCGAGGAGAATATGTCTGACTATGCTGAGTTCTTGAATATCTCGGAGGACGGATTGACTGTTGTCGGCGAAGATTATCAGAAGAAGCGGTACAAGCGTTATCGGCAGTGGCTGCGTGGGAAGAGCTTGTTTAAGCAACGAGTTGATGTATAATCGTCCTTCGAGTGTCTTTTCTTTCGCCCTTTTAGCGTGTGCAATTTGGAAATGATACCCTTATGCATTGTGGAATAGTTGTGACTGAAGCCAAATTGAACGATCTTGAATGTTTATCAAAGCAAATGAACACCCGTTCAAGTAGGGAGCTAAACAAATCCCGAAAGAGTTCTTGTAAGAAGCAGTGTCTCAGCAAAGAGCACCTGTGCACTTATTGTAATCCAACCCCACTAATCTAGAACATCACGATTTGACATCAGCAAAGAGTAGACCCTCCAGCTCACTATCCGCTTCAGCCAACGTCTGCAATTCCTGTTGCATCGCTTCCTTCGCAGCCAGTTGATTCGCATCAGGTTGACCATTGACAACTGCAACGGGATTCTGCAAAGTATGCTTCAAGACATACACCGCGCCCTGCAATTCTCTCGTAATCTTCACGAGCTCAGTCACCGACGGCCCTCCCTTATCCCCCTTCTGTTTCTCTCGATCTTCTTTCTCGCCGACGATAAGGAGCCAGCATGCACACAAAGCTCCCAGGATCTCACCCCGCCATCTCCAGATACGGGGGTGCGCATTCAGAATCACGAACTTGGTGGCTGATACCGCTGCGAAGAGGAGAGGGGGGTGAGCGGTTCCGAAGGGATTGGAGAGTGTCGTGTAAAGTACGGGGACGATTTCCTGGAGATATTTTGTTGTGTTGATGCCGAGTTCCTTAACAAATGTGGTTATCCATTCTAGGAGGAAAGTTGACAGACGAGGATGCGGGAAAGAAGCAGATGTAGAGATGGCAGTGGGTGTCGAGGAACCGATGTGGTGAAAGGAGGAAATGAGATTCGAGCGTAGAATTTTCGAGACCTTGGCCGCATAGGTCTCTCTATCTTTTTCGTTTTGGTCGTTCGATTTTTTGGGTGATGGGGTTTTGTAGACTGTCTTGAAAAGGGAGAGAGGAGGGCTGGGTATGCTGCGCCGAGTAGCTGGATCGAGCTATCCTCTGCTGTAATCGTTGGCAAGGAGAGAAGACAGGGTGTGATAGCGTCCTCGAACACAGAGGTCAGGTTTGTGCGAACTAGAATGTCGGAGCCGCTCTGGTGGATGGGCTGTAGGATCTTGCTTAAGAGTTCACAGCCCGTTCGCTTGAATGTGAGATTGTTATCATCGATCAAAGCCAGGATTGCAGGCACGAGAAGAGGGAAGTGTGCTTCCAGATGGGCTTTATCGGTAGGCTATAGTGGAGTTAGTTGGCTGAAAATTAAAGGATCAGGGAACTGGTCGCATACTTTATACCGCGAGATAATCCATTCAAGCACTCTTGTAGCATAGACATCTCTAACCTTCCAGGGCTTCATCTCATCGTCAAGAACACTTCCATCAAACCGAGTCAAAGGCACAGGATGGAAATTCTTGCGACCTTCGCTGGTGATAGCGGGGTTCTTGGCCTTAGTGAACAACGGCCTGATCTTCTCCTTGAGTAGACGTGCGATGAGATCCCAATTGCCATCTCGCATAGTCACGTCAAGGTACATGGAAGCCTCCTCGTAGCTATCCTCCGTCGTCCAAGGGTCATTCTGTTCGGTGAAACAGGCGGCGGCCAAGACGACATCGGGCGAGCTGGCTATCGAGCGATCTGCTAGACCCGCAGGAGCTTTCGCGGATAGCTGTAGAACGAGTTGAATGGCCAGTGCAGATCTGAGTCGGCTTTCTTCCTGCGCTTTCTTGATATCTACACGATGTTAGTGCATGCTAGAAGCCGGGGTCCGTGACCAGGAGGAGTAGCCGGAGTTCTTGCCTTTTGTGATCTCAACATGCTCGTCGAAGGCTGCTGCAAATGCAGATGATGGCAGTGCCAGTTGGCTGGCCCATTGGAACAGGTTCTTGACGGCCTCGGTCTCATCCCTGTTCAGCCGCCTGGCACCTCCGTCATTCGGCAGCAACGGGTCCCAGCTATCGACGAAGCAAAACGCCACGTAAAGATTCTCGTGGACCTAGTGAGATTATTAGTCTATTACCGCAAGTCTAGCAGGGCAAGTCATATACGTACATCCAGATGGGCCGTGCTATTGTGGGATGACAGGTCCTGCCACAGCTCGGGCAGTCCATTTCTTGCTGTCGCCGTAACTGCCGCCTGCAAGTAAGGCGGTCGATTCCAAGCATCGCGCTGGAGAGCCTCTCGGGCCTCTTTACGCAACTGATCCATACTGAGTGTGGGATTGACTGTTCTACAAGGATTGTAAAAGAGGAGAAGATGTGGTTCTCAGAACCGGTGGAATTGGATTTTTAAAAATTTCCCCGCCTTCATTCACAACCCCAACTCTGCCCGGCGTGCCGAAATCTCCTCCAGCACCACCGATTTGTCGGTGATTTCAGGATGCAACAGCTGCCATTCCAGCACAAGACTGGTCGCTCTGCTCATCCAGGGTCCCTTTTTCGCTCCCAGATGCTGCATGATTTCACCACCATTTACTATGGGCTTGAGTTCGCAGACATTATCTAAGTCTTTCTCTACTACGTATGCTAGGAATTGGTCATATTCTTGGGCCACTATAAACACGGTCAGTATACTTTCAGGCAATTTAAGGGTCAAGATATCTTACCGTCAGTGAGATCGCGTCCTCCCATGACCTCTTGAAGTATGGCCAAAACGACACAGAGTCTCCATTCCTTGCCCCAGGATCGAATCCGGAGCCCGATCTGTTGCCGGATTTCGGCAGGAGTTGCCTGGATAGTGTTTCCAAGCAATGAGTTCTTACACTCGATGATGTCCCGGAAATGCAGGGTTGCATCACGGAGTATGAACAGGGTTTTATTATCGGCTTTAAGACTGTCCCTGCCAACTTCGACGGGGCGTGTGGGCGGAGGTCTCTTTTCAGTACTTGTCCCTCGAGCAGGTACTGAAGTCCACGGGGCGAATGCCGCAATCATCCAGGCATTGTAATGGCAAGACTTGTCACGCAAGAGGATGTTGCGAACACGCTCCAAGGCAGCCTCGTTGGATTCGGGTTGCAACAATCGCGCCAGCGCATTGTAGGCGAGAGGCCAAGTTGATGTATCGGCGGTGACTTTGTCTTGGTGGTTGGCAAAGATTGTGGGGTATAGGCCGAGTCGATCGATGAATTGCAAAGCTCCATGCGGATCAGGACCTATGAGGACGTCGTCAGTAAAGCTGCTCCTTTCGGGTCTGCGTAGTAGATTCACCGTGGAGCATCTTCTCCAGCTCTGCCAATACCCGCTCTTTGCTAATCTTGAGTTTCAGCGCAACGCTGATGTCCTCGTTCTGCATCGCCGATTCCGTTTCTGGGTCGATTTGGTACCCCAGCCTACTCGCGAACCGAATTAACCGCAGTACGCGGAGCGGGTCATCCTTGAAGGTTTGGTATGGTTCAAGCGGGGTTCGAATAATGTGCTTCTTCATATCATCCAGCCCGCGCTTGGTGAGATCTTCCAGTTTCGACTCATTCAGGTTGTAGAAAAGAGCATTTATGGTGGCATCTCGTCGCAAAGCATCCTCTTCAGCGGTGCCAAACTCCATTTGTGGGTTGCGGCTATCCTCCGAGTATGTTTCTTTGCGCAGGTTGACCAAATCAATATCCAAGCCGAAAATCTTCGTGGTGACGGTCTCCAGGTGCTTCGACTTCTCCGGGTTGGCGTCGATCTTGTGCAGGCTGACAATTGCGTCGCTCATTTCTTCACTAGGAAGACTCTTCTTGTACTTCTCCAAGTTCTCGGGGACATCCAAGTAATCCTTCAGGGCCATTCCGAACTGGTACCCCGTCATGCTACTGATCCCCACATCAATGTCATGGCTGTCCACACCGAGCAGCTTGTCGCGCACCCAGCCGCCTGTGAATCGCAGGACGGTCTCCGGATGCTTCTTCACATTGCTGCCTTCTTCGGTAATGCCCTCCTGTTGAATGTATGTTGCGACATCGAGAAGGAGGGTTCGCAGGGTGCTTTCGAGAGGTGTAAGGTGGATGGTGGGGTTTGAGAGATCCATTAGTTCGTCAAAAACCTCTCTTTCGAGAGAGGTGGAAATGCGCCGTCTTTTAGTCGCTCGCTCTGGTGAGTGAGAATCTGTTTCGCGCCCGCGCATGGGCAGGAAGCTGCTTGGATAAAGATGGAGGGGAAGGTTGGAGAAGCTCCGCGGGCGTGTGTCTGGTGTCGGTGTTGAAAGAAATCGGGCAAGTGGAGTATTGGGGTGTGATAGGCGACCGGCCTTAAGTAAGGACCGTAATGCGCGCAGGCTAGGCATCAAATGTAGCCATTGAGTCACAGCTGAAAGAGAGTGCAGCTACAAAGAATAAAAAAGTCGAAGTGACTCAAATGCTGATCTCCGATAAGATGCGGCCTCACGTGGTTGCATCACCACCCGCGATCTGCCAATGCGCCCGAGCCACGAAAGCTTACAAGTATCTCGGCCCAAAGTACATCGCTAATCTCGCAGTCGGAGCATATCTCGGACATACCAAATATCCCTTGGGCACGCGCTTCGGTTGTCTCTCCCTGTGATCCTCGGCTCGAATCTATCGACTTGGCCATCTTCCCCTCCCCAACAACAACAATTACCCTCCGAGCCAGAGCTTCACCACCTCCCCGCCGTCGCCTTGTTGTCCGGCTTCGAACATTACCTAGTTTCACCTCCCCGGTCGATGGGGCTCGCCGATTCTTCATTCTAGTTTCAGATCTGCAGAGCGCAACAGGTGTCCATGACATCGCCTGGAGATGCCACTCCGGTGAAACCTCCGCCGTCCTTCTCCCCCGGCGTAGGGCGCAACGCATCCAAGTCCCGATACCCGGATGAGCACGAGTCCACAGTATCTATAGATGCCGAGTTGGCAGAGACTCGCTCGGTCTCATCGCCAACGCCTCCCCTATCAGCTACAACTGCAGAACTGCCAATTCGGTCAGCGTCACCGCAAGCCCGCTCTATTAGATCGTCCACCCCGCAATTAGCTCGATCATCGTTCGGATCACCTTTAGATGGACGATTCGATGGGTCAGAGGATATCAGATCATTGATCATCCGAGGGTTCTCTCCAACTGTCGCTGTCTATGCTTCCGAGGACACGGATGAGCTTGTGAAGAATAAGGGGTTCAAAGGGGGCTTCTGGGAACTGCTGCGGCCGTTCGGGGAGACCGTCACGGGGAAGGTGATCATCCGGGACAGCATTGGGTCGAGTCGTGCTTGGGAAGACTATGGAGTGCGTTTCGTGGATCTGAAAGCGTTGGGTCGGGCACCCGCCAGTCGGGACTCTGGGCGGGATTCGCCGCTGGCGCAGATAGAGGAGGTTTTGGGGCAGCAATTAGGGTCTGCGGAGGGGTCGTTGGGTGCCTCTTTGCCGCCTAAGGATGTCCTGGGCTTTCCCGCGACGACATCTCTATCCAAGCTGTTCTTGAGGCAACTCTTATCCTCTACGCCTGCGGCCCCCCACGAGACATTCGGGCACCCGGTAGCCAGTGTGATTGCGATCAGCTCCCGCAACAAAGCCCCACTGGAGACCCTCCGACAGCTTTACGGTGAAACCAACACGGGCGACAAGCGGCTGCCAGATTGGGTGCACCAAGAATATCTACGATACTATGTCCTGGTTCACGATGAAGAGCGAGATGACATCACCGAGTCTACCAAACTATATGATCAGATGAAGCGCCATTTCGGTCTACATTGTCACCTCTTGAGACTCCGAAGCAGCCAGTGCGTTGTGACTGATGACGATAGCGTTCAAGTGCCACATTGCGAGTGGCTATCTCCGCAAGAACACTTGTCGGGAGCGGGGGAAGCTGGTAAGTTTCCTTAGCATTCAGATCTACGGCTCATCTAACCTCATTTCAGAGACACTAGTGGATCTTGGTACGGACGGTACACCCTATCTCTTTGACTCCGATGTGTCGGCAATCAAATCCTTCATTCGGGAACTTACTGTGCAATCTGTGATTCCCTTCATGGAGAACCGAGTCGCAGTTTGGAATGATCAAGTTGCATCTCGTAGACGCGGTATCAGTGGCCGGTTCATGTCAATGTCGAAGCGGTGGGCTGGGTTTGGCTCCAGCTCACGATCTGGACTTGGCGGTTCCGGGGGTGGAAACAATGGTAATTACGACACGGAGCACAATTTCTACCGTCAAGACACGCCTGAGGCGATCTTGCGCAAGATGGCTGACTTTGCTTTCATGCTCCGTGACTGGAAACTTGCTTCATCTACATACGAGATGATTCGCTCGGACTTTGGCAACGACAAGGCCTGGAAATACCATGCGGGTGCTCATGAGATGTGTGCTGTCAGCATGCTGTTGAACCCTCTAGCCATGTCAGCGAAGATCAAGCTTGAGAGCGTCGACCAGATGTTTGAGACTGCTTGCTATTCGTATCTCACTCGATGTTCTGACGCGACACATGCTCTCCGATGTTTGGCTTTGGCCGTTGAACTTCTCAAGTCCCGCGGTGGGTCGGCAACGGAGAGTGCAGCCAGATGGGCCATGCGGGTCATGGACTTTGGTTTGGTCGGATCGGTTGGCCAGATTCTTTTCATGGAGCGAGTGGCCGCTTGTTATGCTTCAAAGACGCCTGTGGGCGGAGCTAAATGGGGCGCGCGTCGGAGGAAAGCTGGCATGTGGAGAATCTTTGCTGCCGATCAGTGGCTCAAGGCCGGCAAACCTACTCTTGCGTCTGCCTGTCTTGAAGAAGCCGAACGTCTCTATGCCGACGTTCTCGAGGCTGATGGTGTGTTCCCGATGCCGGAGATGCAGAGCTTCATCGACAACTTGCGTCACGCCGTGAAAGTCGAGTATCTTCAGGCCCGGGGATTTGACGCTAATGATGAACCGGTCGCTGAAGACCCTGTTGGCACTGAAGAGATCAGTGAGAAATTGGATAAGCGGAATCACCGTCGTTCGTTGATGGGGCTTCCGGCGCAACTGGATGCTGGAACTCTAATGAGCGCAGGCCCGATGGACCCTGAGGACCAACCGAATGATGACTTTGAACGAGCTTAGGCCATGACCTTAATACCTATTTGATCATAGCATATAAGAATAGACTACATTTCCGGCGGTTTATACCTACAAGCCTTGTTCTGCGACTCATGTTCTTCACTACGAAGCAGGCGTCGCTTTAAATGTCCGTGTCTGCGTAAGGAGCGATCCATATGGGTGATGGACAATCAGAAAGGCGGGCGTACAAGTACTCGTTCCCAATAATTATCTTGTCTTTTAGGATGCCCATGACATCTAGACCGGTTTCTTGCTACTTCAAAATGAACCCCTTGACTCTGTAATGTCTAACCTGTTATTGACGTCGTCATCATAGGTGCAGCTGATAAGATCACGTGTGCTTATCGATAAAGCTGCCCTCTATGTGGGCACGACAGTGTTGACAGCATCTCCCGTAACCGCGGCACTTCACAACTTGAAAGCAACCAAACGAAATTCTCCTCTTGGAGGCAGACACGTCCTTGGCTTGACACGCCGAACAAAACTACCTCCCTTGATCTTAATCTCAGGCCGTCTATATACCGACTCAAAATGAGTGATCTCCTGAACTACATCCTCAACAATGAGGATGCATTTCGAAGGTACGATTTCCAGTCTATGATGCCCAGCAACAGTACAAATTGGTGAATCAACAGAAGTCTGGCGCAAGGAAGCTAACTTATGACCAGAAACCGCCTCCCCTCACTCTACTCCGACTTCACCCTCCAAAGGAAGACCAACCCCGATGGCTATGCCGTCAACATAGCCGCCTGGGAGCAAGCATTGAACCGAGCCGCCAAGCGTGGATATACGTCCTCGAGAGGTGTGCGCGTACGATCGGGATCTATTGGATCACCCAAGAATACAGACGAGAACAAGAAGAAGACCGATCACCTCATTCTCCGAACGGATGAGTCGCTTTTGCGAGACTTGGAGTTGCCAGAGTGGGGTAGGCCAGTGGCACTGGGTGCTGTGTTTGTATGTTTATCATGCGTCTGAGTTGTGGATGTGTTGGAACAAACAGTACTAATTCATCAATTCCTAGGACGAGGCGATGCGCAAACATACTATGATTCCCTTGCAAGTGTACAAGACTAGCGGAGCGAGTCTACAAAAGGCTCAGTGGAGACTTATCGATCCCGGTGCGCTGAGTCCGTGGAACGTGATGAGCTGGGGCGTGCGGCAGCTGAAAGGCTTCGTTGTGGGCTCTGATGGCGAATCTGCGCCAAAGCTACAGGTACAGGAATTGGTATTGGTGGAGAACTTGCAGGTGTGTATATCAGATGGGGTACTTATCAGACGGGACTTTATCTCTGACTCTAATATTCACTTGATAGGAAGCGGCAGATTTGATTGTGAAGAAGGCCACTGCTAGTAATTCATCCAAGCTGGATCTGATCTACTCTAAAGATAGCTTCATTGAGGAATTCGCCTCCATATTGCATGATGCCACTGAATTGTCAGATTCCGATTTTGACATCCTTTTGCTTTATTTGTCCCGCGATAGTAGTGCTATCGCATATGATGGCAAGGTATGCACGAGCTATATACAAGGCTGAGTTCTATCGATGCTAACTGAAATTATTAGACCGTGAAGTTCAAGTCAAAGGACGAACCAGCACAGATCACGCAGCAAGATAACACGATTGCCTCGATTAAGACACTCTTGTCAACGCTTTCGAAGCAGGTGAAGAACCTTGAAGATAAAGTTGCCGAACTGACTGCATCTGCGAAAACGGCGCTGGCCAATAAGAATCGCATCTCCGCACTGGCAGCCGTCAAGTCCAAGAAAATGGTCGAGCATAACCTCCAGCAACGGCTGAACACACTTGTCCAGCTCGAGGAAGTTTATGCCAAGATCGAACAGGCTGCAGGACAGGTGGAGATTGTGCAGGTCATGGAGGCCAGCACTGGTGTCCTTCGTGGGTTACATGCACAAATCGGCGGAGCTGAGCGTGTCGAGGATGTGATTGAGGAGTTGCGTGAAGAGATGTCTAAGGTGGACGAGGTCGGAAGCATTATGAACGAGGCTGGACCTGTCTTCGATGAGGGTGAAATTGACGAGGAGCTCGAGGCCCTGGAGAAGGTTGATCGGGAGGCAAAGGAAGAGAAAGAAGCTGAAGCCACTCGCAAGAAGCTTGCCGAGCTGGACAGTCTCAAGCAAGCCTCAGACGAAGCCGCGCACCAGGCGCAGGCAGAAAAAGATGTGGAAAGCCAGCTTGCACAGAGCATCGACCGGCTTTCTCACATGACGGTCGACGATCGCCCATTGCCCGCCAACTAGGGGACTAATAGGCGACTGGATGGTATGTTTGAAACCGCTGCTGTGACACAAGGGGTTCATCTACAGCGGAGGGTCTTCAACCATGAAAAAAAAAAATCACCGAGAAATGTCCCCTGGAGCTGGGGAGTCTGAATTGATCTCGATCGGAGCGCTCCTTTCAACCCCGCTCGCTGGCTGAGCGGAATTGTCTACCCCCGCGGTATTCGACACGGAGCTCTGCGCAGCGCCTGGAATGGTTGATCTCACCTGGTCATCACTCTTCTTACGAGCATTTGCAATCAAACGCTTGAAGTCAGTCTCATGGTTTACAGACCATTGAGCTGCGTCAAAGTCCTTGGCCATCACTGTGTTGGTCGGCATAAGTGATGACTGAGTGGGTGCAAATCCACCTTGTGTCCTTTCCCAGATATCAAGCTCACGCAGCAAATCTTTCTTGGTTTTGGGGAACGTGGAATCGCAGTTTGCATTCCATAAGTTCATCCACTCAGTGTGACGCCTCTGCAAGAGCTGCCGCGGGCCCCAGTCAGGAATACCCAGGTCTCGGAATTTCTTGCGCAGTTGAATATCTTTCAGGAGAGAGTAGTTCATCGCAGGGAGTCTGTCGAGTGGCTTCGAAGGGGATATTGGGGGTTGGCGCGATTGGACTTGTAGTAATCTAGAATAACTCGAATTAGACTTGAACCCTCGAATCGCCGTGGGATTTAACATACCCGAATGACGATTGCTTTGCCGGAACTGGATTTTTAGCTGGTCTTGTAGCTGGTCCTGGGTCACCAGTGCACTTATCAAGATGCGCAAAGACAGCCTCGTTCTTCATCCTGCGATTACAAATGGGACAAGCTACCATGCCGTCATCTATAACAATAGCCAAGGTTAGACTAAGGGGTGACTAGAGATGATCAATGTGCGACCTGCCTGGAATAAAATCCTCGTCCTGACTGTCTTCAATCACCTCTTGGAACGACGAGGGCCGGCTGCGATCTTGTCCATCGGTTTGCGCTTGCGCCTGGGCCATTTGCGACCTTGACCTTGTACGGACGCGTTGCGGACTGCCCTGGACTATATCGGTCGCCTCAGTATTGTCCACCTGGCTAACCTTCCGCTTCTTCGGAACAGTTTCTGGAGCTCCATTGTCTCCAGCAGCGATCCGCGCCGCCTCCTTCTTCGCAAGTGTGAGCGCGCTCTCCCTCGCATTCTTGAACGCCTCGAGGATTTCCTGCACAAGCCAGTTGCGGCGAAGCTTGAGCTCCTGGTCACCCGAACGACACGTAGGGCATTTGCCCTCAGTGCTAAGGCAGCGGCGAATACATAGTGAGCAAAATGTATGACTGCACGACGTGATCACTGGTGTGTCGAAGAAGTCCTTGCACACTTGACAGCGGAGTGAGGACTCTAGAGGCGCTAGTAGGGAAAGTGGCGTGCCCAGCCAGTCGGTGGAATCGGGGAGGTCGAATGACTGCTCCATCGGAAAACTGAAGCCGTCTGGAGCCTGCGCAGAAGCCGGGTCGTAGAACTGGACCGACTCTTGTGGCGTTGCTTGAAGAGGAAGACGCCAAAAGGTGGAGGCATCGAACGCCAAGACCGGCTGACTGATACGCGTAAAGTGGTTTGGCACGCGTCAAGCAACTTGATCAACTTCAAAGCTTCAGAGCTTCGAAAGCTGCAAACACCATGGATGCCACGAGGTTTCTGGCGGAAAATGTGCTCAATGAGCGGCGTACGGTAAGGCTCATAGACCTCAGCGCTCTTGATCTCCCGCAACTGATCGTTTTTAGGTCACTTATCGCTCATTGAGCCGTGCGCTCAAGGTTCACGCGCACCGAGCCAAGCAGTAAGTTTTGAGCTTGATTTTGCGATTGCTGTGTCGTTGACATGAATATCCTAGGATACTTTTCGAATTCCACCGAATCGAAAATGCGAAGAAGCCACAGAGCGTCCACGCGACCTATCTCATCTCCGGCATCCAGAACCCCCCCGAGCCCCCAGCGACAAATGGCCATGCCAACGATGAGGACGCGATCATGCAGAGCAGCCCATATCTACCTAGCTCTATGCCAAACCAGGAGGTTACATCCGACCAAGTCCGCATCGCATCAGTCATAATAGCTCGTGAGGAAGATTTGGAAGGTGCGCTTGTCCGTCGGAAAGCTGGTGGACTACCTTACTGACGGCTGGCGCGTTGGAATAGATGCGAAGGCAACCTTCCAATCGATATCGATGATCCATGTCTACAGTGTACAACCTTCTACGCTTCAGGATCTCAATACCTTGACGGATGTGTGTAGGGAAATGGCGACCGCACATGCGCAAGATGACCCGCTGGAGTGCGGACCACAATGGGGCATGATCCAAAATCGCAACGTCAAGGTGGGTGGACTTGATATCTTGTCAAAGATTCAGGAGCTGATATCGTTTCTAGCGGAGAACCGGAGCACGTCCACCACCTGCACGTGCAGCTGCCCCGGCACCAAAGGCTAAGCTCGAGTCTACGGTACCGGCTAAACGAACTCTACCAACGAAAGCAGCTCCGGCAAAATTAGAAAGCAAGCCCGAAGATTCTCAGCCCGCCAGTGACTCTCAGTCTTCAGTCAAATCTACGGGCAAGCCTGCAGCTCCCAAGCGGGAGAAGAGCAATCTCTTCAGCTCGTTCGCAAAGACCAAGCCACCGAAGCCCAAGCCAACAGAATCGGTTCGTGACATGATATGGCCCCGTGAATTGTAACGTGAATGTGTTTATTAACATCTCAATATAGGCTACACAGAGTGCTGCAGAAGATGGTCAGTTGTCCTCAACCCAAACCGCAGACGTGAGCTTACAATCCACAGTGATGCTGGATGATGCTTCTGAGGAGGAACAAGAAGAACTCTTCCCCGACAGCGGCGACAAAGTCCCATCAGCCGTCCGGGAAGGTAAAAAGGAGCGGGAGGAGAAACTCAAGAAAATGATGGAAGATGACGATGCTGATGGTATGGGTCTCGGCGCAAATGCAATGACTTTATATTAGCCGCTAACTCCGTTCCAGATGAGGAAATGGCCGATGCCGACGAGGAGCTCCAGAGAGAGCCTACGCCAGAGGAACAACCGCCACCACCTCCACCCAAGCCGGCGGAGCTAAAGGAGGAGGTTACCGTGCAGGACGGACGTCGGCGCGGCAAGCGGCAGGTGATGAAGAAACGGACGGTCAAGGATGCGGAGGGATACTTGGGTAAGTACCGATCATTAACATACCTTGTGGACGCCACGATATTGACGCATGTCTATAGTGACTCGAGAAGAAGCAACTTGGGAGTCATTCTCTGAAGATGAACCCGCGCCGCCCAAGAAGAAACCTGCGGTGAATGTCGCGAAGGCCAAGACAGGCAAGCCTGGAGGCCAGGGCAGCATCATGTCGTTCTTTGGGAAAAAGTAGTTACCAAGTCTAGTTTGCTGTACACGAATATCCAGATTCCGACTTGCACTGTATTCGTCGAGAAATCGAGGCTGTTGTACTGAATACTTGATATTAGGATGCTTATCTTAGTAGATGTATTCCATTCCTACCAATTAGACCAAGCTCCTTCGATCTAAATTTGTCATGGGGGGAAACTAAAAGGTGGCTCCACGCCACCACAAGTGGGAAGGCCCACAGGCTCAAGCTGCGTGAGAGATAGGCCTTCAACGCCACTCTCTTTGATCTTCTGGATCAACGCTCTTCTTGTTTTCAAACCTTCAATCCTATAGCAATCGTCCTCGTATACTTTCCAGAGGTAGAAGACACCGCCAGATTGTGCTATATACAGTCTCTGGTCTGGCACCGTGCACATTACTGGTTTGGGGTTCTTGACCCAGTGCATTGCGCTGGAAAGTTTGTCTCTGCCCGGGACAGTACTGCAGAAAAATTCATCAACTTCTAGGTCGTCGGCATAGTCTGACCATCCCTCCGGAACGGTATCGAGCTGGCCGATTTCTTTAGCTTGTGCTGAAAGAGTACCATCGGATTAATAGCACTTACAGATGAGCTTCGGGGCATCTATAGGCTCTGGCGAAGGATTGGTGACTATGATGGTTGGTTGCTAAGCTAGGCACAATCAGCAGGTGTCGGTACAGGGTTAAGGTGGATACGACTCGTAATAGTCCTCTTACCGCGATGAATGCCAAGCTGTTGTTCAAAAGGGAAGGAGAGAACATTCAGACTGCTTGTGCTAAGTAAGGAGGATCCGAAAAAATCTGGTCCTAGCTATGAAGGGGCAAAGACGTCGCGTGTTTTGGTTACATCTTTCAGTACAGCTTGTTTCTGGAGAACATATATGAGATGCGCTAATCTACTTCTGGTTACTGATTTTTACCTTCGGAGAGCGGAAATGGCTGTGGATAACCCGATTGGTTGTTGTTCTTATTCCCCAGTGGTATCCGTTACAGGGACTGTGTACTATCTCCGCATTTCTATCGCATAGAACCGCGTAGGACCGACTTGAAAAGTGGCTTTGATCGAATTCTTCACACGAAACAGTCTTAGATAATTTCAGATGAGGGTCAAAAATCGTTGAGAAGAGGATAAGGGCTGCGAAGAGAAAGAAAAAACGCCTCTTGTACGAGGATAGCCACCGTGTATCGACCATCGTAGGTCAGGGCTTGTTGCAAGACAAGCTATCCCCAAATATGCTTCAACCTTCTGTTTTTCAAAAGGGCCTTCTAAGTGAATTTTGAATCACCGTTGTTAATGGCAGAGGTTACATCTTAGCCTATCGTTCTAGCTCATGACAGGTAAGATATTTTCGAAAGCGTGTCGGAATTTTGAACTTATAGAGCCCTGCTGCAAGAGTCTAGCATATAATATGATGTAAAAAGTCAATCTTCACTCTCGTCGCTCTATAGAAAATAAGGGTACACTTCGTGATATTTTACAGTGTTATTTTTTAGCGCGCGTCCACTACTAGAGGCGTACCTTCCTATTCTAGATCGAAGAGGTCTATAAGTGGCAGTCACGAGAGCCTCTAGATACGTTCCTTCCACTCCCGAATTTTTCCCTTCCTCTACCACCTTCTCTCACTCTTACTTCACGCACTTTCTACAATCATCCTTGCCCTCGATCGATCACAGTATCTCTTCTGTCAAAACACCGACTTCGTGCTTTTCCCTACTCCCCTATTTCGCCTCGCCTCATTTCCGCCGTCCCTATTCCCCTCGTAGCCCAGTTGTACCCCGACACCAGCTCTCTCGGAGAGTGTGGTCTGCCCTTTTTCTCCATGTTTCTTCCCTCAACCCTCTTGGAGAGCTTCATCATTCCTCTCCCCCTTCTGTTGCTGGTGAAACTTGTTCCCAGCATCCAAATCATCGGCAATATGGCGAAAGAAGAAATTCAGCAAGCTTAAAGGATCTAAACCGAGGTTACCAGTGCTGACTTCATAATAGGCTATAATAGGCTAAGGAGGTTAAATGCCCCTATATTTGTATGCGGCACCGCTGTAGCTGTATCTATCCGAAATCATAGTGGCCGAACGTCACAGTGGACTATCTGGAGACAAACTAAGCCCATTTCGATAACACCGATCTATGACTCACGGCGTTTGGCCCTTCGAGTAAACTCACCCTACTCCAGGTCTTTTTACTGTTCACAGTCTTCTGTTTTTCCTCCTTTTGTCACATTTCCCGACATATTTGACGAAACAACCCTTCTCTGTGTGCAAGATGAGACCTTTGTCCCTTCAGCTTGAAGATCGCTACCACGGCCTGAAAAACATTCGGCGATCACTTTGGGCCCTAGAAGGCGAAGTCTTCACTCAATATCGATTTTCACCCGATAGATATTGATACCGGCGCCACAACCGACTCAGTGACTCCTTGCTTTCTTCCACGCTCCTCATTTCCCAGTTGTTGTGGAATGAGTGGGGATCTCGAGGACGAGATGCTCGCCGCAGGCCAGGCCCGGAAAGAGCCAATGTCTTATTGATTCTTTCTACCACCTCTACACTTAACATATGCTTATTACGCTACTAGGATGAGCGAAGCTCTACACACGGACATTTTAATATCGAAGTAAGTCAATCGGTATCTCTATAGTCGTCTAAGATCGCTATTGAATCATAGCGGGTGGATAAATAATTTATCTTTCCAGAACCACGTTCTATAGTTGGTTAAGAGACAGGTGAGACTCTGTCACTATACGCTTCAAAACAAATAATAAAAACTAGTCCAGAAACTTTGGAATCGAAACTATAGCCCCGACCCGTCACTAGTTCAGGCGCGAAAGGAGACATGCGACTGATATTTCGGTCCTTGAAGAGGATATTCAGAGCCATAACAACTAAATCACTTGCGCTGGCCTGTATCCTAATATCGCTGCAAGTCACAGTATCACAGATATTGTACTCGACACTTGCTATAAAGGCCTACCTTCAATCAGTGAAGTAGTAGCGGTTAGGGAAGAAATTCGGGATGCAATAAAGGCGCAAAGGAATAATCTAAAAAGAATGACTCAAAACTAAAGTCTAACGAATTTCCATTATATATTACCGGTAAGTAGTTCTTTTGACCGTTCGACAAACAAGATGACTCGTTACAGGACTTAGAGAATAGTTCGCTTATGGGGCATCCGTAGGCATTGTGGCCTGCTGTATCCTTAACTATAACGGTATTAGGCTGAAGGTCCAGTATACCGAGGTCCTAAATTTTACCCCGTTCGCTGTTGAATGTCCGCGAAAGAAGAAATACGTGGATGTTATCGACTTGTCCAAATACTATGACACGATGGACAAGCTTCTGAAATAGGCGTGACCAATTGTACAAGGAGACACTAGTACAAAAGCACTTCAGAATGGAAACCAGTGACGATTTGGAATCCAGAATTATACATTCGAGGCCAGGCTTCTGGACATTGTTATCATCCTTGCTTGTTTGTCAGTCCTGTATCGATGTGTCCTATATCAGTTCGAATGGTGCTTGGAACCGTGAATACTATAATTTGAATTCACCCTTGAGACAAGTTAACTTTTCAAATTTAATGAATAAGATAATTCGAAGTCTGGTCGGAATTTCAAATCTGCAGAATCCTGCTGATTGTAGTTTTGTGTTAACCAAATGGGGGATTGCTGTAAACAACCGCCGATTACGCGCCGATGCCGATCGCTTCTCCGCATTTTGGAGTGGAGACGGTGCGGTGCAACCATCCACAGGACGAATGTCACCTCGCCCGCAATTTCCCCGAGACTTGGATATCATGGGCCTCCAGTGCATCTGCAACTGTAGATCTCATTTTACAGTGTTATGATCCTGGTCAATATGGTCCCATGTCGGCAATCAATATGTATTGGATTTGTCCGAAGTACTGGGGGAGGAATGCACCCTCCCTGTCTGGTTGGGATCGGCATGAGCGACGGACCTTTCCTCTTCCTTTTATCTACCCCCCACGGTCCCTCCTGAGCTGAGGTGCAGACGTGTTTCTTTCTGTTCCGACCGCATATAATGCCACTCTCAACACTTCTACTGGGTGGGCTATTAGCCCTACAGGCACATGCCCTGCCTGGACGCGACAACCCCGCGATCCTTCGACGAGCGTGTCCTGACTACACTTCGTACGCCTCGACGCCGCAGTATGTACACCTCGTCCCCATCTATGCAATAAACTGGCCAGTTTGGATGGACTAACGCCTCTGAAGTGGTCCTTATAGTGGCGGTCCCTTGAATCTCCCCTACCAGCGCCCCGCCGAAGCTTGTCGCACCTTCTCGTCCCCGTCTGTAGAGAAGGTTATCGAGGACGTGACTTCGCGTCTGGTTGACAAGGACCTTGCGCAGCTGTTCCGCAACGCGTTCCCAAACACCCTGGATACGACCATCAGGTGGCATCAAAACGGTACCACAGCAGCATCCAAACGTCAAAGCAGGCGTGACACGGCTCAGTGGACCGGCGCGCAGACCTTTATTGTCACGGGTGACATTAACGCGGAGTGGTTGCGTGACTCGACCAACCAGCTTACCAACTATCAGGCGCTAGCCAAGAAGGACAAGAGCTTGTATAATTTGATTCTAGGTGCAATCAATACTCAGGCGGAGTTTGTCATTCAGTCGCCCTACTGCAATGCTTTCCAGCCACCTTCTGCCAGTGGCATCCCGCCAGAAAACAGCACTCAGGTGGATACCGTCCACCCGGCGTACGAGAAGTCATTTGTTTTCGAGTGCAAATATGAGCTTGACTCTCTTGCTCACTTCCTGCTGCTCGGCACCGAATTTTATGAGAACACAGGTTCGACCGAGTTCTTGACCGATCGCTGGTTCAAAGCGCTGCAAACCGTTCTCGACGTGATCGATGCGCAGTCACAGCCTACTTTCAACTCGAAGAATCAGTTTGTCACCAATCAGTACACCTTCCAGCGTGAGACCACCATCGGTACCGAGACGCTGAACTTGCAAGGTGTTGGTAACCCACTCAACAGCGGTACGGGTCTCATTCGCAGCGCCTTCCGCCCAAGTGACGATGCCACAATCCTAGGTTACTTTATCCCTCCCAATGCAATGATGTCTGTTCAGCTGCGGAAGGTTGCCAAGGTTATCAACGCTGCCGGCGGCCACGACGACTTGGTCAATGAGCTGGAACAGCGCGGCAAGAATCTGGAAAATGCCGTCAAGGAGCACGCTATCGTCAACCACCCCAAGTATGGCGATGTCTACGCCTTTGAGATCGACGGATATGGCTCTCGCATCCTTATGGATGACGCCAATATTCCATCCCTACTGTCTCTGCCATACCTTGGTTTCCTCGATAAGAGCGACAAGGTCTACCAGAACACCCGCAAGATGATCACCGAAAAAGCCGGCAATCCATACTACCTGGAGGGTCCTGCTTTCCATGGTATCGGCGGTCCACATAGTAAGTCACCACATACCTCTCCCTTGCTCGATCTCCTACTCACCATGTTGTAGTCGGCCTCGAGAATGCCTGGCCCATGTCTCTGCTGATGCAAGCTCTGACCTCCGACGATGACACCGAGATCTTGGATTCCATCAACCTGGTGCGCGACTCTAGTCTGCTGGGCCTGGTCCATGAGTCTATCAACGTTACCAAAATCAAGACGTACACTCGCCCCTGGTTCGCGTGGGCCAATTCGGTGTTTGCACAGACGATTCTTCAGGTTGCAGAAGAGCGGCCCCATTTGATTTTCGGAGACAATGCCAAGCCTTATACTGTTAATTAAATGCCCGAGAGGCTGCAGATGCTCCAGCTCTTATTAAGAGTCTATGAATAAAGTTGGTTATCGTTTAAGGTCTTGAAGTAGTTTTTCATACTTTTTTTTCCTTTTCGAGCAGGGTAAAGGTCTTGGAAAAATCTTCATGTTGACATTCTGTCGATGTATTCGGCGGTGTTAAGAGGAACGAGGAACGAGCAACCTCATTACTATATGACAAAATGGAGCCGGCAGAATTCCCAACAAACCGGAGTTCTAACAAAGACAAGCGGATTCTGCCAGCAGGATTAGTATTAAAGCTTCTTCTCTCCTCTCTTTTCTTCTTGTTCCTTTGCTCTAGTTGCCTCGTCGAATGGTCCAGCATGTTTTTCAAACAATTCAAATCCTTGCTTCTGACCTCGTACCAGTTAAAAGGAACGCTTGCATTGCGCCCTCTGTCATTGAACCCATATATACCGTCAACTCTCTCATCACCTCGATATCTCTTCATCTACTCTGCCTACCTTACCTAAACCTCACCTCACTTTCTCCGTATAGGCCGTCCGATGACTAACTCACTACGCATTATTAGCATTTACGTATATATTCCTGGTCTTCTTGTGTTTTCCACATAACTTGTACTATTTCATCGCGCGAGAAACTCGAATCACACCGTCAGAGCTATCTGGATCTCTGTCAAATGGCCATTTCCACATGGGTGCGAGATGCGCTAGACATAAACCTAGAATGTCGGGATAGGAATTGTATCGACTCGACAAGGTGTTATCCACGCCGGTGATATACGGTCCGATGGTGTAGTACTCGCTGAGTGCTACAAGTTATTGCCAGTCGTGCTGCAAACTCCATCCGCCCTCGGAATTCGCGCAAACCGAGATCCAGAAAGCCACTGTTAACAATCATTGCCAATGGCTAGGGCTGGTCATTTATCGCCAGAATCACCTTTCTGTTGAGAATCGCTATTCACAATACCAGCATCTTCCAGACTTACCGGCATGCTTTTCTGGAGCATTCGACTCATTGTGTTGCCAGCCAACGCAGAGGACCCACGCGAAGTCCTAGTGAATGTCGATTACGTCTTCTGCCTTTCCAAGGAGAATTTTGTGCCAAATCCACAGATCGACATTCGGATCTGTCCTCGCCTCTCGCTTTTCGGTCTTAGTTTTCCGGGACCCCGTCATGGAAGAGAAGGAGGTTGAATCGTCAGTTCAATGCGAACAATGCATCGCCACCGCTAAAGTCACCCCTGAACGCCTAGGAGCCGATGCCATTCAGTATCGGGTGACAACATCTCGCAAGCTTCGGCCAAGCCTTTCCACACAGTTGAGCTACCGTAGATCTCTCAAGGCTCAACCCGAGCACTGAGATCGGGTACTTTCTGAGGTCGATTGCTAGCTGGCGGAACCAGCGTGGTTACCGAACCAGCTCTTGCCTGAAAGCCGCCTTTGAGCGAGACTGGCATTGAACTTCTGTATCTGATTATTCTCTCGTTTTCATGTGCTTCAAAAGTCGGTTTTTCCATTAAATTGACATTAAATTGAAGAATTATTTTGGGCCTTTCGCATGGGTAATCTTTTCGGGATTTGAGATAATTTGCTACGATAAATCACTTCCAAGATGCTCTTTTGGCTCTAATCAGTACTTTTGGTCTAGGATAAAGCCTACTCTGGAAGGTTCAGCCAGTCCAATCAAAATCCTTATAACTTCGATTAAATTTTAGCTTGCTATAGTGTCTACGCGTATAAAGCCCATTACCACAGTATTTTCCGTACTTCCGAGGGCTTAGGCCTCTTCTGCAATCCCTTCGTTCTTCCCTTTCGACTGTCCCATCTGATCACTCCCTAGTTTCATGTTATCATCTTTCAAGTTCGGTTTCCGCCGGCCCAAAGAACGGCCCACTCTGAACCATGACCAATGGGAAATTCGTTTGAATGGAAATCGCGCTTCCGAAGATAGACGTGACCAAATGACTGGTATCTTCTTGCAGTAGCTCAAGGTCCTTATTTTTCCCGTTGCAACCTTCAATGCAGATACTCCGTGCTTCCTGCCGTTCCGACCCTTGGGGCTCATGCGCCCTAGACCCACGCCCGAGCGTTCTTCCATATGGAGCTTGAAGGTCCGATGTCACTTGTGGAGTTTCAAAGGACAATCATAGTATTTGCGCTCTGATAGGTGCATGCTAGTCCTCTCCGGGACGATCATTGGACGTTCCGCCGCCCTGTGGTCGATCACTGCCTAGCTCTTAAGGCCAGAAGCTCGAATCTAGCGGCGGCAACGCGTATCACAGATCCCCGAGGGACCAATTCCAGGTCACTGGTATGCCTGCAGATTCCTTGGTAGTACTTTCCTTTGCATAGGCCATTAGCCAAGACAGCTTGCTGTTCAGCAATATATGAGCTTTGAATTGGCATGTGAATTTCTCGAGTCATACTTATACATTCTTGCCAGGGCAGAAAGTGTGGCCGGTAATCGAGCTTCTGAAACACAGCTTGCACGAATCTTAAATAAACAAGAACTGGAAAACTAGCATGTAAAATGACCTATCCAATGGTGGATGATTCTTCCACGCTCGGCCATGCCAACCTACATCATACATGGTGGGCCTGGCTAGTTTCGGCACATTGCCCAAGCTCCAGGCACTTGAAAGACCTTATTTTCCTTTAATTCTGGGATACGCATGCTGTAATTGGCGATCTCTCAGCCTCATATGATTCAAACAGCTCCACCTGTACCCACATCCCTGGACTGTGCGCGCCTCAGGTCGCTCTAGGCTACGAGGGCTGATTCCCATTGGCTTGAATCCGAACCCCCTTCCTTCTCCCCGACTCACGGGGGTCGTATGCAATTTGGTTTCTCCGCGCTGTACTGGTGTATTTTTATCGCTGGGTAAGTGTTCGAGTCGTGAAGATTTCTTCTTTATAAGGAGGCTCTTATCCTGGTTAGAATCTTCCGCAATCCCTGTCTCATCGAACCTTCCATTCATTGAGCTCTCCCACGTGATAACAACTCGACCATGGCGGCTCCCTACAGTAGCCGCCGGGAGTACCAGGGGGAACAGGCCAATCAAAATGGCTGGGAATACCCTTGGACACCTTCCAACAGTACATCGCCTGTGTTCTCGAACCCAGGACAAAGCGTTTCACCTTCCCTTCGTAGGGCAGTGCCTGCCCAGGCTCCGTCCACTCCGCTCAGATCTATCGGTCCAATTCTTTATTCAGCAGCCTACGAAGCTGTTCCTACACCTTGGAGCGTGAATGCTACCCCAGTAGCTTGTCCCAATCCCACAATCAGCTCCCAGACTGTCCCGTGGGCAGACTGGGGTCATTCGTCCCAGTGTGATCCCCCATCACAGGGTGTTCTCCAACCGGCTATTTCTTTCAATTCTGTAGCGGCACTGTCCAATGCTGGAGTCGAAGACCGAACTCCCGTGGAAGGTGAAGATGGCCATACATGCGGCCATACTAGTAACGCTGAGTATGGTTGTGTCGATCAAACGTTGTACCCCTCACGTTCTGACTGAGCTATAGACCGCACCGGCCTAGCAAGATCAAGTGCGGATGGGCTGGCTGCACGTACGCTGGAGCCTTCACTAGAGAGTCATGTCTATGGCGGCACATCAGATCCACACATGTTTCTCCAGGCATGTACAAATGCTCAGAGCCTCAATGCAACAAAGCGTTCGGTCGGATGGACAAACTTCAAGCCCATGTGCAAAAAGCACATATGAAATCTGACGGACTTTGCCCTTCCTGCCATCATTAATGATTTGGTCTTTATTTTGCTGGCAGCTTCGTATTCGGCGCGGGTCGCGGATCGCAGTCTTTTTTTTAATATTGTGAAAACCATACTCAATAATTTCGGGCGCTGGCTTTCTGGGGGGTAATGGAAAGATGACGAATTCTTGGCGTTTGTGAGTTTAGATACTCTCCATAATCGAATTATCATTGCGTTCCAAGTCAAATAAGTCAATAGGGAGAGAAAAAGAATCATGACTCCATCAACAGCAAATTTCGCAACAGATTCTTAGGCGCCTTATGCGCGTTCATCAATTGGTTAGTCACGTACAAAGATGGCATGCTGAAAGTATGTACTTTCTGCTTCCCAAAACAAGCCGAAGCTTTAGCTAGAAGCCCCACTTTAGCTCTCCACTTATCCTGGGGTAGTGATGGTGGCACTAACCTCTTCCATACCTGGAGATTGAAGGCCCAAGTCAAGGCTGTAGCCCAAAATGGGCAGGAATCTGAGTCTCTTTTAGTCAGCGTTTCATTAACGGAAGGATGCCGGATTTGGAGGGCTGTGCATCAAGGCAGAGTTCAGGCAGGTGTCCTTGACTTGATGTCGGGCAGATAAATCGCCGAAACTAACCCTTCTAAACTAGATCGGGCGCCGACACAGACACGTTCTTAACCGTTCTTAACTTACAGGAATAGCCCACGAACAAACAATATCATGTTTTAATTCATGAGGAAATATGCGACGCTCATCCTATACCGGCCATTCGTTTTACTGACCGATGCAGTACCCTCTTTCGCTATGCTCACCTCCCATGTACAAATTGCCCACGTTTATGTCCGTAGGTAGGAGCTTGCGTTTCCGGAATTCGCACTCTCTCCACCCCAGATTTCCTAGTCTAGTCCACAAATCATTCAAAGTGACAGAGTTATCTCCTGTCTTTCTTCAAAGAAATCAATATTGTCTAGTTCGGCCATGATACAGCGTCACAGTCACTCAAGCGCATGGACCATGGCATCCTTGTACCATCTTCAGTTAGCACTCATCAAACGGATCCACTAGATATGGATGCACTATTGCAAGAAGAGACAGGGTTCACACTCGATGCGTGATAAGGGTAAATCGCGGATTACATGAGGCTCCCAGCTGGCGATGGATTGAACCCGTCCCAGTAAATTGGGGGAAGTGGGCAGAGAGCCCAATCACGATGTTTATACGGAGTCAGCAGCCCCCACTACAACCCGGGTGCTATTGCTGGCGCCGTTTCCTCTGAGCTCCGACTCTTTAGGCTCGATTGCATGCATGCGACCAGTGGTTGACCAAACCAACTGCGCCAACTTCGTCTATCAAAAAGGAGTTAGGTAGATTGTGATTGGGTCCACTAACCAGAGAAACTGTCCGGTCGGGAAATGATTAGACAGTCCGTTGAACCCTCTTGCTTTTAGGCGAAGGTTGAACGGGGATTATGTCCCATTTTCATCCTTCGGTCGGGTCGCAATGCAAGATCATCTGAGGCGTTTTAGTCCATTTGTTGGAGCGACTTGGAGTTTGCTCCGTCTGCCTTGTTTGGCCAACGGCTCTCAACGAGCGTGATATATATGCCGCCAGGTCCCCCCAGCTGCCTAAATTTTTGTCCTGCTCCATACTCGCTTGACGAAACCCGCCTTATCAATCACTCTCGTCCTGTATCGAAAGGCTTTGCGCCAGTCATTAACCTACGGAACCTTTTCATCAACAGTACCGTTGCCCTCAATGATGCAGAATACTGCTGTCCACCGGACATCAAATGAGACAAGCCAGCCGAGGACCTGGATGAATCCCCCCAATTACCACCAAAGCTTGGCCAACTCCATGTCGGACCCAGAGGATTCCTCCATTCTCACCCTGGATTTGCATTGTTTTTCACAACCCGGATTCGATCAAACACAAATAACCCGAAATGATGCAAGGATTCACGCTATCCCGGAATGGACTTCCCAGATTCCAGATTCGCGACAAGACCGTGGACACCACTGGAGACAGATTGACCACAATGTAGGCATACCACTGGACCTTTCCACGCGGACCCAGGCCCCGAGCTTCTACTGGATGGAAAACGGTGCCGTGAACCCCTACTCTGCCAATTTACACGGAACTGTTATCCTAGGATCAATAACAAATGAGTATCTAACTATGTTTGAAAATCAGCTCGACCAGATGTCGTCGAAACCTATTTCGAAGCCTCCGACGAAACCGGTTGATGGGATGCGGGGTTCTACTGATGGCAGGTGTACTCAACCTGGCCATCAGGGGACAGAGCCAGAGTATGTTGAATCAAAATGAACTGACAATTCGGTATCTTTCATGCCCATCTCTGACGAAAGCATCAATGTCAATAGGACGAAAGAACGGAGATGCCAATGGAAAGGCTGTACATATACTGGTCGATTCTCCTGTGAATCCGCACTCATGCGACACCTAAAGGCAACCCATGTGTCTCCTAAATCGTTTGACTGCCCTCACTTTCGATGTGACAGGGCGTTCGGTCGTAAGGATAAGCTTCAAGAGCATCTCCGAGCTGCACACAAGAGCACAGTTCAACATCATGGGAGCAAGTGCTCCTGTCTAGATGGGTAGTCATCATGAGGCCAAAACTGTTGGCCCTGGGATGACATGTTTAGTGTACACCGTATGCGGGCAGGAAGATAATTGATTTTGGAGTTGATGGTGGGCACGGTCAATTGTTGACAGGCAATAAAGACGGCCGTGACATTTACAACCTGGTATGAGAGGGCCTATATGCCCTGATCCTTTCCTTATCCTTTTCTTTTATGTTCAACTCTAATCATGATGCTTGATCGTTTTGTTTGATTATGTTAAATTAGCTAGCGGGATAGTTTTAATGTAAACGGAATCCCAGTGTGCAGATTATTCGTATATTCGATGAGTCTGAACAACTAGGTGGAAGCAGAGACAACCCGGCGTGAAATAGAGAACCATATGGCTCCGCTTCGGATAAATTTAGGCTTTCTCCATTCCCTACGAACCGGGAAATTTCTCAAGGATTGACCTGGTGCCCGCGCAGTACTCAAAAGTCTCGTGACTGTCACATTGGCTCTGTACGAGCAACGAATGGGAATTGAGGCGACGGAGACTCCTCACGGGCGTTCCTTAGGGCAAAGCGCGCTAGAGACTCGACACTCACGCGGTCCCTGGGAACAAAATGACAGTCTTAGAATTGATCGAGATTGAAGGAGCTGAAAGATTAGGTCGGATTCATGGTCTGAAATCATTATAAAACGACGTCTATGCTGGCTAGTTCATGACAGCTTGGTGTGTTTACCAGTGATGAGTACACTGTTATATGGTACTGCAATGTCCACAAAATTGTCCAATCCCAATACAGAACGTCAACGCGTCCTTAGCTGGCAGGCGCAGATAATTGTTCATCCAGCACTAACAGCTCGGTCATTCGTTATTACTCTACCTCAAGATGCCTGCCTGATACAACGTAGCCGTATTCGTAATGATGCAAAACTCTTGGTCAAACCCTCCCAAGAAACTCTCCCTCTGGTGCCGAAGCAAATACCTAGCCTTTAAGGCTCATTCATGACTAAGATGGTGTTATTGAAACAGGTTTGCCTCGGGAACTTCTCGCTCGACCTTGTGCGTTCAAACCCCCCCCTTGAAAGGAACGACTCGGAAACAGCTATGGAAAAGCAGCCCCAAGCGAATCATTCACATATTTCAATTGGGACCAACTCACCCCAAGCAATACCCTTGAGAGATTACCCTTTCGCTAGCCATCGCTAAGACCTTCTATTAAGGCACATATCTACACAACACACAATCCTTCTAAATTTCTCAGCGGGCGCAACGGTCATCACAGACAGCCGTGATGAGCAAGCGAAACTCGTGAGATCCCAGTCATCCCAAGCACCTAGATAGCACTAGAAGGTTAAATTTCAAGATCAAAATCGTTCCGCCTCTAGTACTAGCGACCGTGAGATTCAACATGGTTAATTCGGCGCTGTGCTATATTTTTGAGCCAGGCCACAAGACTCCCATAGCAGATGTTGGAAATATAGCCATGCAGTCTGGAATCAATCCTAACTCGCCCCGTTCTGTAGGAGAAATGCCCTTTCTTTCTCTTTTTCATTTTGCCATTCTGGCCGGTGAAGTGGGTCGGTAGGGCTTAGAATACCCGACTGGTGTCACCTTACTAGCGTACTCCTTCGTCTCTCATGGTTGTCAGGATTGCTGCTAATCTGTGCAACAGCGCTGAGTGGTCCTCTAACCGCCCACCCCTCATAGGGAAACACCCCTTGACCCATGCTTCATGCTATCTCATTAGGGGTGGCATGGACCTACGAGTGCTGATTCGTTCCTTTCTAATGCATTGAACCCAATCCCACGGCTTACTGTCGACTTGGACCGACTTGACTTGATAAGGAAAAGCTTCCATACGTGGGCCATACTCAAAGTTCATCGCCATACCAGACCACCCGCATTGCCATTTCAATTTGCAAAATAATCCACAACCCCCCGGCTATCATGGTTACATTGTGACGTTCTCATTGATACGTCTGGATATGATCTTTGCAATTCATCTCACAACCTAGAAATCAATCAAATGTCACTTGGCCAACCATAATATTGATATGTTGGAATAAGGAAGCTGATTTTCCATTCGTCATCCAGAGCGTGACTCCCATAGAACAAAGAATGTAATCGATCTTTAACTCAATTCCATTGTTAATCCATCCGCAGATATATCCACTGACTGAGATCTGAGCCCCGGACCGGGACATGATTCGGCAAGGTGAGATTTATTCTTTCCCAGCAAAGCCCTGTGGCGGGGCCTAACCCTAGGTCTCAGGAGCATTGAATATAGATCTCGTATCTCAATTACGTCCAAACTTCAAATTGACCGTTGGAATGTTGCACCCGCGCGGACCCGTAGTGTGTTGGTACGTTTCTTCAACCCGGTCTTAGGCTGTTCTGCTAGGCATCAACCTTTTTGACAACCCCTTTCAGAGATACAATCTTCTGCGTAAGCGCTCCTGAATACGCGGTAACTCGTTTCATATCTGTCTAATAAACCACGGTCATTTTAGTGAGTCCGGCCCAGAGTTCCGCTGCCACTGAGATGGGTGTACATACTCAAAATCCTTTTCTTGCGCATTCACTCTGAATCGCCACCTTCAGGACCAACACGACAAACCCAAACGATACAAATATCCTGAGTCCGATTGCTACAGAGCATTCGGCCGCGAAGATAAGTTCAAGAAGCACTCTGGGGTGCATTCGAAACAACCTAAGGCATGATAACCTTGGCCCCCCCCGGGTGCCATATGCAATTTGAAGACTCCATGACTTCTCTCGAGACTGTTCATCTTATCCTTTTTTCTGTTCTTAGATGAGAATCCTTTCTTACAAAACATGAAGAATGTACTATAAACTGAGCACTGTAACGAGGGGTAGCATTAAGGTTCCCAGAAATAGGCGCTAAGAATTGGCCCGGGGCGGGGGCGGTTAGTCCCGAGTCGCACCCATGGGTCACTGGTGGACCCCTATCGCTTGTGGTGCTGTGGGGTCTATCTTCCTATGCTTGAACTTTGGTTCGGTGAATAACTGGCAATGTCCGACTTTTCTTTCTACTGTAGTGTCATGGACCATTTGGAGCCGCTGCAAACCCACTCAGCACTGAATTTGTGGGAAAATGACGTAATTTATTTGAATGACTATGGCCTAGCTATATCTAGCCTTGTGGCCGGGGTGATTCAAAAATCCGGATCAAGAGACCAGAGAAACCGCTCAACCGATATGTTTCAGCTTCTTAGTTTGAAGGTTTTCGAACAGTCATTTAAATAGTCTTTCTTGATAGCTTAGGTATCACTAGTTACTTAACTTAGTCTATCATTCAACTTGTGACTAATCAGATGATTCTGAACACCTTTGCTAAACTTATGGAGCCTCACTGTACTCCTGTGTTTGAAACCTCCGTCCTAGTTCTCTATCAGACTGTAGGTTTAGGTGTCAGTGACACTTCAGCATTCATTATGTGACCTTTTAAATACCAATAACGCAATTAGCGCCCTGTCATGGCCGCATAATATTGATGAGGCAATAGCTCCGAAGCTCTTGGGCGACTTTTATGATCAAGCCTTGGCATGGCATTAACTGCAAACGAGAGTGTAACGAGCGCTGCCACATGGCAAGCATTCTAAACAGTTTATCATGATCCTTTGCAACTGAGGATTTGGTGTCAAAACCTCTCAGTTTAATAATAATCTGTATTCCCTCGCGAAGACAGACAATCGAAAACCGCCTTGTCGGTGGCTAGGATCACCTCCACATTTGTCGTACTTCTGCACGACACACCTATCTATACTCCTGACTTGAATTAAATTAGAAAATGTACAAGAAGCTCTGGAGCGGAGGGTAAAATATTGTTGCTAGTAAATTCACGAGTCAAATTAAGTGCCAAAGGATTCTATTGCTACCAAGCAAGCTGACAGCATCAGTCTCGCCATGACGGTTCTATTGAGCCTCGCATCTAGACAAGAAGGATTGGTAGTCGGGGGGTGGGATTCCCAAACACAGATGCAACGGCATCCATCCATGCCCGGCTCGGGGGAAGGCCGTCAGCGACGTAGGTGGCTTTAAAATGAGGGATAGCTAGTGATTGGTCTACATTTTTGTTAGGTCAGATATTAATGCATGAATTATTAGGGGCTGTGTATGAACACAAATACGGTGGCATTCAAGGCGTCGACGCTAGTTGGGCGTTACCAGGCCGAATCACATTGTAGGCAACTATTTTTTAGCGAGTAAGACTGAGAAGCATAGCTCTATATCTCGGGAACTATTTTATTGGGCTAGAGCTCATAAAATGCTGGCCCAATGCTAGTCTAGATATATCTGAGCAATGATCTAAGCAGGTGCGAGTGTCCAATAATGGTGGTCCAGTTGCCAAGCCTAAGCACCCAACGTGGGAGATCCGTTCTACAAGCTCTTAACTGCCTTGTTATGATCGGAGACATTCCGAAATAGGTTCATTCTACGCAGCTTCATCTTCGGCTGCAATCGACACCGCCCCGAAAGATAGCTGGGACAAGTTTGACTGCCAACGCATTGAGGGAACTGTCATGTGGTCCTCAGCCTGCTCTAGTGTAGTATGTATGCCTCCTGGCTTCTTAAATACCCCCTAGGGCCTATGTCCTGGAGTTGAGATTTCCCCCAGATCTCAAATTCTCCAGAGCTGCAGGCCCATCATTCTGCGGGCTATTTTATTATTTTGTTCAAGCCTTCTCTCAAGTTCACAGCTCCGCAGGGGATCTTTAAGACATGTCTTCAAATTCCCAGCCTCGAGCTATTCCCGACCGGGGCCTCCAGACCCGCCGACAAGCTCTGGGGTCCTACAACATGGCCCATCTCTTTTCAACTTATTCTCCACAAGCACCACGCCTGGAGCTTTCCAATCATGACACATCGACTGCCGTTCTCGATCAGGGACCGCACACACCCGATGCAGATACACCATATGGATCAATATCGCCACTGCTTTCCTCATCGGTGCCTTCCAGACCTTCTCTGCTTGAAGCTTATTGGAATCAGTTTGGCCGAATCCGCACGAGCTATCGCACAAACCATGCTCTTCAATCTTTCCTTGGCGTAGGAGAGGGTGTTGCTGCGACCGCAGATCACGCGCCTTACACACCGAGCAGTACTGGACCTCAGTCAACATCCTTCATGTCTCTGGATGGAGATACTCCCCAACTGTATGTTGGCAGCGACTTGGCCGTCAGTGGCTCTACGCAACCAGGCCATCGTCCACCTCCTGAAATTGAGTATGTTAACAGCAAAATATTTGTTCACTGCTCATCTATTCTATTCTGCATTTCTGACAATCAGTACCAGATATGATTCTAATATTTTGATGTGTGATTGGAATGGCTGCTCCTCCACCAGCACATTTTCCCGCAGGACAAGCCTCTGGCGTCACATCCAGGACCGGCATCTTCCGCCAGAGATCATATGCCCCATGTGCTTTGAACCCTTTAGACGCAGAGACAAATACAACACGCACCTTCGACGCGCTCACAGTGATAACAGGTTGAGATAAGGACGAGATTCTCCCCATACCCTGTAAGCTCCCCCTGCTCCTTTTCTGCCAGACATTGACCTTGACATTCCAGCTAATTTGATCCTGATTTTTAGGACCGGTTTTTTTATTGTATCTCGTGAAGGATTTTGAGCGTTGGAGTTATTAAAGGATCTACGCTGTGACACACCCCGGGGTATGGGAACAGGAATGGAGTATTAGTTGGGCTTTGAATACTTTCTTTTCATTGGCCGCTGTCGTTTCTATATTAATCAGACTGGTACTTTATCTAATCAATTTTGTCTTACTGAAACTACTTCGTGGTACCTAGCACTTGGTTTGAACTCAAGGAAAAGGGACGGGTGCAAAATGAGGCTCAAGCTTGTCGACCGTGGGACCCCATCACATGGGAGCAATTAAACCTGGTTTGGCCCATTACGATCGTACCTCGGGCAATTCAGGTCTTCATAGTAAGCCTTGCCTATATCCAGGCCACATTTAAATTCCGTCCGACATCGCTTGAGACGTCTTACGCACAACTAGATCTTGACTTGCGGAGGACACTGGCCCTACAGCCTAAGTAATGCGTTTGACTGCAAGTTGCCAGTAGGTTGACCGCAGCAAGATGATGTCAGTTATCCCTCGGGGTGTTATTACCTGTGAGTTGGCAACCAACCCTAGGTGGCCTTTGTTATATCGATATGGGGATGTACTTTTTTTAAGAAAGCCCGCTGGATGCGCCTCCAGTGACTACAGAGCTACAGAGTGGGCCCACTGCTGAGCTCCCCTCGGCTTCGTGGCGTGTCGAAACCACGTGAATGAAATACGACTTTCATGGTTCGCCAGAGCATAGGGTAGTCACTGTTGGTACACGTCGACATAGGGTGTCTTCAGCGACTAACAGGTAAGAGCAATAACGCCCAATGTACGGAATGATCTCACAGCTCGGGGATCTCCGCAACGGTTTACCCCACAACCCGGGTTGGAGCTTTCACATTTATGCAGGATCAATCAGTTCCTTGTAGGCTGGGACAAACTGCGAATCAGAATGAGCCGAAAATTTTTGAGCTTGGTTTTTTTGGGGGGGAGATCATTATCAAAAGAACTAGCAAATGGGTTCATCGCTGGGAAATCTAAATATTTGCTATCCCTAGTAAGCCCTTCGTGAATAAGATAGAATATAGAGACTGGAGACTGCTTAAGGACAGAGGTGATCAATGGCGATGATCCTACTGACGCCTGCTAAACACCTTTCTCAGTTCACCCGTGGCTCCGGCGTATCACGATAGGCTGGAGGAAGAATACCAGCCAGAGCAGCCTTGATTTGAAGTGCCAGGGTGCGCGAGTGCCATCGGTGCTGCTGTGTATAGCCACCCATAACCCAGAAGTTGTCGAGTTTTGGGTGCCGCTTCCACATACCACGAACCTCCCTCTCCATCAATACCCCATGTTCCCTCCAGGCGTTCCGCAATTTCCTGGGCACCAAGCACGGATCGTGCCTGTCGTGTGGAGCCATTGTCCCTCTGAAGGTTGCCGCCTAGGATTTGAACAGCAGTCTCACGTACGTTAGAATCAGCGAAACCCGTGCACCACACAACTGCATCAGCATCGAGGGTAATGCCGTCAGAGAAGCGCAGTCCAGTAGTCGTGTACGCAACGGGCTTAGCCCCAGCCTTGATTCCAACCTTGCCCTCTGCGATAAGCTTGGTGCCACCCACATCGACATAGTGACCGCCGGCTCGCTCGAGTAGGTTGTGCATCAGAGACTGGGTTGGGTCACTGCTGTATTCGCCGAGCTGATTATAATAACAGACTGTTCATCTGGTTAGCAGCGCGTCTTTCTCGTTGGTGGAATGAATCTAGTAGAAGTACTTACATTGGCCCCTTTCTCCTTTAGCACTTGTGCGTTCTTATATTGTGCAGAATGCAGACTCATACCCTGATATAAGTTTCTGTATCCGATGTCCGGAAGATTTGGCTTCTGTGAGCCAATACCAGTTGCCAACACCAGCTGTTTCGAGACAGCCGTATGTAGGCCAGCAGGGGACTGGAACTTGATCTCCCATCTTCACACAATGGGTCATATTTCGTCGACTTGATTCCGCCGAACTGATCATATTCAGGTTGAAGCTTGCCACGTATCGGCGGACCTGTGCCGCAAGCTCATCCTTTGACAGAAGGTGTGGAGTCTGTAGCTCCTTGTCATAGCCTGATATCCCAGAGTATTATTACTGACGATACATAGCATCGTTTTGCAAGAGCTATAAACTCACACATCTGTCTCGAAATCAATAAGGTCCTCTAACTGTCTTCCGGGTGATTGAAGAAGGTCTTCATTCTCAGTTTGGACATCCAGACTCACGACTCTGGTACTCAGAATCCATATCTTCCACTGAATAGCGCTACTCTCATTCTTCGGGTCTACTTGGGCCGGCAGAAGAAGCATTTTTCCCTTGCAGGTAGCAGCGGGTAATTCAGTTCGGAGGGATATTGGGCAGTCAATGAATTGCTACGCAACTCGGTAAGCTTTTGCCATTTTTGTTTCTAGCAAAGTTTCCACTTTAGTCGTGCACTCACTAACACTGGCGTTGCAGGTAAGAACATTGCTGCTCCGTCAACCGTGATCAGTTCCTTTATATTCCTCAAAGCCTTCGTTTCCAAAAGGCTTGCTGCAATAACGCCGGCGCTCTTGAATGTGCGCAAGTGATATGTCAAAGCCAATTGATCTTTCCAGTACGCCTGGCCTTCGAAGAAACAACTCGCCAGCAATTCATAATTGTTCGCTGCGGCGGCAGAATTGAAAGTGCTCAGCACCAACTGTGCCTGTTTGGTTGCCGCATCGCCCGTCATAGATGCCGGGTCTATAAGGCCAGGAGCAAGCATGGGTAGCGAATTTTGGTCCATCATCTCGCGCAGATCCCCTCGCGGAGGGTATCCGTCCTTTGAAGGAGATGCATCATTGCCTATCGGAGGGTGTCAGTATTTGCCATTCGACATCACCATAACTGTCACTTAAACTCACCGATAGCCATGCTTCGTACTGTTCAAGACACCTGAACATAATCCTGGAAACTCCAATGCGGGGCTTGAGTACCGGGAGAAACCCCTCTCGCAGTTCACGGATCGTGAACAACGGAAATAGTGGATCGAGCGTGCTCCTGGCCTTGTCCTTAATAAATGGTGTTTACCGGTTTACATACCTGTGGCGACTGAAAACCCAGGCTGGCCAGCTCCAGATCCCAACTTTCCACCAAATGAATCACTACAGTGGGCATTGAGAACATCCAAGGAGCTTTCCGACTACAAGACCCAAGCTATATTACTCGAAGAGCTCATCTGTCGCGTTGAAGATCCCCGCCCGTTGTTCAACGAGTTGGACCAGCTGTATGGACATGCTAAGGGTGATCTCATCCAATTTTACGAGTCCTTGACCTCACAGTACTTACTCGCTACTGATGAGGATTCATGTTGGGAGCTTCTCCAAAGACTAGAAGCCGCCGCTTCTGAATTCAAGCCCACTCCTAAAGACGATGTTTGTGCCGCAACCCGCTGGAATGGCCTTGGGGTGCAGAATGCCCTGGCTCGCTCAATCTCCGAAGAAGAAGAGCTCCTTGAACAAAATTCCGAGCTAGCAAAAACACTCTCCGAGGCCCTCCCATATTCTCAAAAGGCAATCGACAAGTTTGCTAAGCCTAGCGTTGACGAGAATAAACCCGCCAATGTAAACGTGAACGGCAATGATTCTGCAGATCATAGCAAGGAAACAGGACCTTTTGCTCGGGCGAATCCATCAGAACACAAACCCAAATAGTTTGACGAGGTAGAATATTTTCTTGACAGTCCCCGTTGGCCAGATCCTCACGAAGCTCGCGGGCAGGTGAATGACAGGTTCAAGGAAGACATTTCCCACCGACTCCACAAGTTAGAGCTTGAACTCTTGAAATACAAGCGACAAGCTCTAGAGAAGGAGCTTCACGACGTCAGATCACGCCTCGAACTCGAAAAGTTCGAGAATGAGGAAAAACCGAGGGCCAAAAAAGAGGAAATACCCAAGCCACGGGAGGACACCTCAGGCCGCGGTCTAGGCTTTTTAGTTCAAAGACCTTCGAGTTCTCCAGAGATCTCATACAATCGAAAGGATGATCCGACTGGGGAACAAGATAAACAGGATGGTCACAAGGTCAAATTGAGACAACCAGAGGATGATGCTGTAGAGGATACAATCCCTTTAACACATGAGCCTGAGGAAATCAACTATGATACTTCTGCACATGAGAACAAAGAGCATCAGACATCTGAAAAGCCATACCGCTATGCATCTGTCGCAGAGCCTCAAGATGAGCCCACAACGCTCGATGAATCTGGACAGGATCCAGCCGAGCCTAGTCGATCAGAGGTCAGGGGCCGTCAAACGACAGAGCTTCAACCCGAGACGGCACAGCCTCAAGTAACCTCCGAACTAGCTGAGGATGTCATTGTTGAGGAGAGTATTGGTGAAGAGAGTGTACATTCGGCAGACGGGTCTGAAGAAATGCTCGCTCATGTGCGAGAGGAAGTTCCTTCAGAGGACGAGAGACCATCAAGGCCTCCTAGCTCTCTGGGACGGTCGTCTAAACGTGACTCTCAGGATTTGGAGAATCGGAGCATTCGGATGATTGGGTATTCTGAGGAGATTCTTGATTGAGCATTTACTTGCCAATACTATCGCAACTGTGTCGAAAAAGATTTTATGAAAATTGTTGTCACAATACATGTCTATAAGGACCACATATTCATCCTTGTTGATAACGTATGAGATACCTACTCCTTACGGATACAGTATAATGTAGAGGAAATTTGTGTAGTTAGAAAGTATAGGTAGGTTAGGTATATACAACATCACTCAAATCAACACTCTCCGGAGGCCATCAGTTCCACCGAGAACTCTCCTCCCTGTGACAGGGCATCTTCCCTTGCCGCTCTCCCACTTGCCACCACGCTTTCGAGAGCTCTTGTCATCAGAATCTTGGCCGTCGGATGATTTCTTCGTTATCTCATCATCTCCAGTGATCTCCTCTTCCCAAGGAGCACCTGCACCTTCACCATTCATGAAATCCAGCTGTCGCTGGTGCTCGCCATTGAGCCAGTGGAAAATACACACGTAGCAGAACACGTACCCCGTCTGGCAGGCTGTTGGGTTGACGAGCGTATTCAAACAGACAGGGCAGGTGTTTGCACTTGAGGTTTCAGCTGGCGGTAGTGGCACTGTGAAAATAGGGAGATATGAGGTTGCGGAAATAGGTGGTTGATGGCGGCGAGGCGATTTCAATGCAGACTTCAGGTCACCGGAGGCCTTCTTCTCTTGCTCTGCCTGCTTCTTTTCCTTCTCCTCCTGTCCAGACTTGCGTCGCTCCGCTGGGCTGGTCAAACCGGAAACCACAGGAGCTGGCAAGTCCAAAACTTCCGTCGCTTTGCGAGCCAATTGGCGCGAAAAGTCACTAGCATGCCACCATTCCAAAAACTTCAACGCAAAAATCGATGCTGGAAGGAAGTAGCGCAGAGATGTGAGTAGTTGAGGGTACATGTTTTGCGGGCTCAAGAGACCCATCAATCCCGAGCCAGGTCGCTGGGAGCGGTTTCCGCCAGGTGCAGGCTTGGGGTCCAGCACAGCGGCAATAGCACGGTGATCGGCGGCTCCCAGACGGCGAATGCGCGTACCAATCAACCAAAGGAAGGGAGAGGAGTATTTAGTATTGTCAAAAAGGTAGGCAAGATTGAATGCCAAGATGGAGAAATAATACGCCGCATTGACGGACGGGTATACACTGCGCAAGAACCACTTATAATAGTGGAAGATGCGCTGGCGAATGGTTGGGTTGTGTGGGAGGTCATCGCTGGGGTTGTATCGCGGCCCGCCGCCCATCACCAGGGATGCCTGCGGCGCAGCATGGATATCGTATCCCTCATCGAGCTTTCGTTTCAAGTACGGGATACCAACCATGATGAGCAGATTCTTCCACACATCTGCTGAGCGCAGCTTGAGGGCGTCGCGCACGGGGTCGCCCGCGCCAACCTGGGCGCGTGGGATCTCGCCATTCTTCGTGCGGAGAACACGCTCACGCTTGAGTGAATAGAAGTTCTCGGTGAATGATCCACCGAATGTGCGGAGGTAGTAGCGCTCGACGACTAGGGAGAGAAGGGCGTAAACCTCATCGTAGGAGTTCAGAATACGGAGGAGATACCGCGGGTGGCGATGTGTTGCGACTGCGAGGAGGTAGCGGATGGAGGGCGGAAGAAGGTCAGAGAGCTGTTGTTCAGCGAGGAGTTCTAGTAAGCAGCAATTCCTGAGTTAGCGATTTGGAATCATAGTCATGACTCTGGGAGATGATGGAAGTTCCCCGGATTCCGGTGAGTGACTCCATTCCCCGGCAAGAAAGCCATTAAGGATAAACGTCAGGGCTCACCGAAGAGCGATGGCTTGTGCTCATCGAACTCCTGTTGAAGACTAGGTAGGTACTCCATGATTTGGAGCACCAGTCATCCTCAAGCAGTCGCAGTTGGATGGTAGACGGAGAATGCGGTCGGTCGAGAAGGAGGGAAGTGCCCGGTGCCGGATTGAGGATCGGCTGCAGCCGAGGCTCAAAGTTGGCCGAGCGGGTCACGGTCCACGGACTCCAACTGCGCCTACACTAGTTACTCTACCACCATTCTGTGCTGTCATGGTACTTGAAGGAGGGTATTCTCGGTGTTGGTACAATATGTGCTAGATTATAATACAGAATGACTTTTTTTTCAAAGGCTGGGACGTGCCAGCGCCTCCTGGCATCGTCGCCACAGTCCCAAGAAAAAGCTGGGAGACCCATCCTCGACTCGGTTCTGGATATTGGGGTCTGCCACCAGCAGGCAATGCATGACAGAAGTCACGATGGGGCCCTTCAACTCAATAGCCGGAGACTCTCGTTCCATCATGGGCACCCACATCGAGAGACAGTCTCTCGCGCGGCCTTCTTCCCCGAGATCTGCGTGCAGCTGGAACAGATTCCGGTAATCATCTTGTGTACGCCCAGTTCCCTTCAAGGGGATCTGTCGCCAGATACGCCAGAAACCATCGTAGTCCTCGCATCGGAACTGGGTCACCATCAGCTGGCGTGCCTCTTCTTCGTCAAAGGCAACTTCGGCCGCGGAGACTAGCTTCGATAAACGGTTTAGCATCAGTCGCTGGGACTTGGTCCACTCTTTACCGCTCGTGGCCAGGATGGGCTGTTCCGAATCCGGTAAATATCCTAGTGAAGACTCATTGGGGGGCTTCATAGGCGTGTCAACCACTCGATAGAGCATGTTAAAGACTTTGAAGTTAAGGATCGGAACACCACGCAGGCTGAGACGGTTGAGAACCTCCAAGGCAAGCTCAATGTCTTCTTGCGGGAGATAGTCCACAGACTCATTGTTATGGTCACGGACGGAGCGCGGGGCCAAAAGCGCAGCAACGGTATCGAAAGCAAGGTCGTCCTCCAGCTCGTAGCCATCACGAAGGAGGTCGGTGAAGGCCTTGAAAAGAGCATCCTTGCTATATGCTGGGTGTTGCCGGGAAACGGCGATCGAGTACAGCTTCATCCGAAGGACCGCAATATCTCGTGCAGACATGTCGTCGGTGAGACTGGCGTAGAGGAGCTGCAAGAAAACAGTAGAATTGTAATCATCAGGACCAGATCCAAGCTCGGCCCGGGCATTCTCGTGAGGAAGCGACAGCAGCATACGAAGCAGGGAATCAGTGCTCATGCCGAGACCAGGGGGTTCTGATGTGGTTGATTTTCCAGCCAAAGCAGCAAACAGTCCAGATCTCTCAGAATCGGTGGTACGTCGAACGGTGTGCATGCTCCTCCTCTGGCCATTGGAGTTGCCAATGCCTCTGAATGAGGAATGACTGGTTGTGGAGTGTTCGACGCCGGACTCTAATTCAGGCACTTCTCGAAGTCGGTTTCGTTCGGCTCGTTCCAAGGTCTTCTGCCAAAGCCCGTCCAGGTCAAGGTCGGCTCGTTTCTCCTCTGTGAAAATCTGGACCACCACGTTTGTGCCGAGTTCCAGCTGCCCAAAGCCTTCGAATCCGGCATCTTTGAGGTCTGTCTTTGGCGCACCTTTATCCACCACACCTGCATTCACGCAAATCCAGCCTGTTGTAATTCCGTCGTCTTTCTCGTCGATCGTGGTACCGGCATGGCTGGCAGCACGCGCCCGTTTAGCCTTGCGACGGAGTTTGATCTTCAGCTCATTGCGTCCCAGCAAGCCATCGGCATATGGAGATAGCTTGTATTTGCTTCGAAGCCACCGGCAGAGACGATCAGCAGAGACATTTAGATGCTTCACACTGCGTGCGGTTCCAACGATCATAATCACATTGGCACCCAACGCCGCAGGTACCTCCAACCCTCGCAGGTCGAAAAGCTTCAGCTGGTCCAAACCAAGGTCTTTGTATGTGTACTCGAGGAGAATTGGAAGCATTTCAGGGGAATTTTCAGGGAGTTCGGGGATATGGTCGCCTGGTATGGGGCGCTCCTCGGTGGTTTGCCCTTCCTCCTGCAAATACCATGGGACACGAGACGTAGGATGGGCAGTTGGTTTCTCTTCGCCATTATTTTCTTCCAATTTGGTCTCTTCCACGGGAGAATAATTGATATCTGGTGGATTCGAGATAGGGGGCCGATCTGAGCGTAAAGAGTGTACCGCGGAGAAAGCTCTGGAGTTGAAGCTGGGACGAACTGCGGGAGCGAATCGGGGAATCGGAACTCCTGAGACGGCCAGGAATGATCGGAGGATTTCATGGCGACATGACTGGCATGCAGCCCCTCGTAGTAAAGCCCTACTCATTGCGGCGCGATGATGTTGAGCTGATGAGCACACGAGCGCAGCTTTGCTTGTCGGAGAATCCATCGGGGCGGCCGCTATCGCCGAATGCAAAGGGTGCAAACAGCTGAGTCATCAACAAAAAAAGATTCCTAACTATCGAGGCGGGGCAAAAGTTACAAATCGATCTTTTCGAGATTCTGATCTTTTCCCAAATTATTCTGTCGGTACTCTATTTCCACCATGTCGATGGATCTGGATGCCCCCGTTCCGATGACGGGACTGCAAGATCAGCCCGTCATCACCGCGACGTGAGTTACTTTGCGATTTTTGGTTGCGCAAACTTAAACTAATCGGTTATAGTATTCTCTGTTGTAACTGTGGTGCTCCTATCGATGGAACGGCCTCAGCTGGTGCTCTTTGCTCTGGTAAGAACTCGAGTCTTTCTTTCTGGATTTTAAGATACTAATATATTATCACAGAGTGTCTTCGCAACACGGTTGATGTCTCTCAGGGTATTCAAAGAGAGGGAACCTTGCAGTAGGTCTTTTGGTCTCTAGACTCGCCTGAAGCACTGATATTAACGTATTTTCTAGCTGCTGCCGAGACTGCGAGCGTTGGTTGCAACCCCCCAACAGCTGGGTCGTTGCGAACCCCGAATCCAAGGAGTTGTTGGCCGTCTGTCTGCGTCGTCTCCGTGGTCTGAACAAAGGTAAGCCCTGTTTGGAACGATATGCTCATAAGCGAACCTATGCTCATCGATTCTCTCTATTCCAGTCCGAATTATCGATGCCAGCTTCATCTGGACAGAACCCCACTCTCGTCGTATTAAAGTGAAGATCACCATTCAGCAAGAGGCCTTCCAGGGCACCATCGTTCAGCAAACATTCGAGGTGGAATACGTGGTTGCATCCCAGCAGTGCGATGACTGCAAGAAGAGTTATACACACAACACCTGGAGAGCCTCGGTCCAAGTTCGGCAGAAGGTCCCGCACAAGCGGACGTTCCTGTACCTGGAGCAGTTGATTCTGAAGGCCGGCGCCCACAAGGATACAGTCAATATTAAGGAAGCAAAGGATGGTCTGGATTTCTACTTTGCTCAGCGAAATCACGCCGAGAAGGTGGGTCACTTGACTATCAAATTATTTGATGAGGAATACTAACCTGTGTAGATGGTCGACTTCCTGCAGTCCACGATTCCCTGCAAGATGAAGAAGTCCCAGGAGCTGATCTCCATGGATATTCACACCTCCACTAAGTCTTACAAAGTATGTCATACCGGACACCTGAATATCGTTATACAAGCATCAACTAACCCGTTGCCAGTTCTCCTACTCTGTTGAACTCATTCCCATTTGCAAGGATGATTTGGTCGCCATGCCTATCAAGCTTGCTCGCCAGCTCGGCAACGTCTCACCCTTGACCCTCTGCCACCGAGTCGGAACTAGCATCAACCTTCTTGACCCTCTCACCCTCCAAACAGCCGATGTCACCAGCGGCACCTACTGGCGCTCGCCATTCCGGAACTTGGCCGACGTCAATGAGCTGAAGGAGTTCATCATTATGGATATCGAGCCCCTCGGCCACTCCAACGGCCGTTATCATCTATCCGAGGCCACCGTCGCCCGGGCATCTGATCTGGGCAGCAATGACAAGACCTACTACACCCGAACTCACCTTGGCGGTATTCTGCACGTCGGTGACTCCGTGCTCGGCTACCACCTGACTGGCACCATCTTCAACGACGATAACTTCGAAGCCATCGAGGCCAGCAGTCAGTATGGCTCCACGATCCCAGACGTTGTCCTCGTCAAGAAGCACTATGCCCGCAAGAAGAAGCCCAAGAACCGTGCTTGGCGCCTCAAGCGCATGGCTCGCGAGTACGAGGAGGAAGCCCTCGCCAGCCAACAGACCCGCAAGCAGGAGCAAGAGCAGGACCGCCTCGAGCAAGACTTTGAAATGTTCTTGCGCGATGTCGAGGAAGATCAGGAGCTCCGTCAAACTCTGGATCTGTACAAGGCTCGTCGTAAGCCTGAGCAGGATCATGAGATGGACGAGGACAGTGGTAGCGATGATGAAGTTCCCAAGATCGACGTGGATGAGCTGCTTGATGACTTCGACGAGCTGAACATGAACGACGCATGAGAATGAGATTGGGAATGAAACTGGGAATGAAGCTTTTTATGCAAGTGATATCCTTGATGATCATGGCTGGCGTTTTTTTGTTTATATTCCTCATACTTCTTTTTTCTTATGTCTTTTACAAGGGGGATGGTACAGAAACAAAAGTTATGCAAAATATAGATAGCATGCGAATGTATGCAAGTTCCCGTCAGATGACTAAATTGATGTCTAAAATCGAGTATCTCAAACAATAATCGAGTAGCTGCCCCTTTAAGAAGTCCCAAAATCTCTAAAAGAAAGTCCTCTTTATGACAACTCGAACCCCCGACCTCTAGTTTCTCACATAAACCCTCCACAACGTACGGCTTCCGTCTCACGACGCCGAATAACCTCATAACCTCATCCCAGTTTCACCCCAAAAGGTACAATACCCCTACAACCACCACCACTACCCTTTAAAATGCTTTGGTAAAGACTCTAATAGACTCTACTAATCTTGTAGATTACAATGATATCAAAATTGTATCTCAAAACGTACAAAAGTTTTGGGATAGCTCTATATCGAGTCAACATGCAAAAAATTGTCCTCACTCCACTGTCCAGCAGAGTCCACACAAGTTTCGTCCTCGTTCCTTCCAGCCAGATATCCACCGTATGATGATCTCGATGCTCCAGGGCCATCTAGACCGCTAGACCACCGGCGAGGACGGTTGCCAATTTGAGTTTCAAAACAAATATTGCCTATCTTTTATACCAAATTTGTCCTGTTTCGCTCTATCTTCATGATTAATGGATCCACTGGGATGTATGAAGGTTCGTTCTTTATACGCTGAATAGTAGAGTACTAAGTACTTGAATCAAAACATTAGAAAATTTTCCCAAGTACCCTCTTAGCCTCATTCCCAATAGCCTTCTCGTCCCTATCAGCCGCAGTAACGACATTGTTCTGGACGAAACGTCTCCGCACGGCTGCGGGCATCTTTGGCTCGGCGTCCACGCCTTCGGTTTTGCCCTCGGCTTCGGCCTTGCGCTTCCTCTTCTCTTCGTTCTTCTGGGTGATGCCGTCCAAACGTCGACCTGCCTCGACACCCGCCAAGAAGACCTTCTCTTCCTTCTTCGCTCGGATATCCGCCATGCGCTGTTTGCTTTCTCTTTCGGATCTCTCGCGCTGGACAGTTTCCATCAACTAGAAGAAATGGATTAGTGGGTTTTCCAAAAAGAAAGGACATATGCAAGAAAATCGAGGTATGAAGTATGTTCAGATCGGTGAAACAGGGGAAATGAAAGCTTACATCAGCCCATTTGAACCCAGATCTAGCGCAAAATCAATCAGTATACGTCCACACATTCAAATCAACCCGTAATGGAAAACTCACAGATACCGCATGTTTATAACATCATCACGATAATACATCCCCTTAGGCCCACCAAGCGGACGAGCATTCATAGCCTCCGCCGCCAACCGCGCAGTCTTCTTGGACTCGAATTCAATCCAACCCTCCGAGTAAAGTTTGCGCTTATTACTGCGTCGCGGGATCGAGGAGTTCGTAGGAAGGAGTGGAGCGAAGAAGACCTTTCGGATCGGACCGAATCCACGCTTTTCCATGATATTCTTGAGCGCGAATCTAACGATAAGGGTCAGTATTGATGGCAAGATCAGATCAGATCATATCCAGCGCGGCAACTAACGGTTTGAGGTATGGTGGCAGTGATGAGAGGTAGACAACGCCGCTCTTGTCCTTCTTGGGCTTTTTGAGGAGCTTTGTGGATAGGATTTTTGAGCGCTTCTTTTCGTCGGATGCGGTGTCGAGGTATGCGCCTCCATCTTCGTCCTCCTCGTGCTCGTCATTTTCGGCTTCGATTTCCTCGCCCTCCTCCAAGGCGGAATCTCGCTTCGTAGACTTTGATTGTTTGCGGCCCTTGCCTTTGACTACCCCAGATTCCTCCTCCTCTTGCTCATCTGCGGATTCATCCTCGTCTGACCCTAGACCGAAGAAGTCTTGTGTATCGGTTCGGCGCTTCTTCACGGCCCGGCCTTTCGACTCGGCTACATTCTCCTCGGAGTCATAGCCACGGACACTGGCCTCGTCATCGTCACTGGGCGCACCCAGGAACTCGTTGTGCTTTCGGGTCGTCATCTTGCAAATGTGTGGTGATAAAGTAGGAATGAAGAGATTCGGACCGCGCAAGAAAGTTGAAGTCTCCAACTTTTTTTCGCCGCGGATCAAGTGGTCCGTGCGTTGCTCCGCTACTCCGCGACTTTGCGTCAAAGTACAACCCAGGATCGACAACTACAAGAGTAAGCATACAAGGCCAATTACTATAGGATATCATGAGTAAATCTGAATAAACGAAATTTATATGCGGTTCGAAATAGTGTATCTCCCCTTGAGCTTTTCCAGGCTCATCTAATGCTAAAGAAGAAAAAGAAGCCCCATCAAATATCCACAACGCCAACATTGGGAATCAAAAAACAATGCCAATGGCTGTCTCTGAAGTAAAAATCATGTGTTCTATCGCAAACCCGCATTTGGTGTCTGCAAGAAGAGAAGAAGAGGTCAATGCGATAAGCATTTGAAACCCTCAAAAAATGGAAAGTCCAAGGGATGCGGTCTAAATCCCCAAGGACCACTTCAACCGCTCATAGACAAAGAAGGCGGTTGCGGCCATGGGCACGACCTTAATATATCCAATCGTCAAACCAACCCAGAAACCACGGAAACCTCGTTCAAGCCAGATTTTGCGGCCAGTCTCGATGATGCCGAGTCTTTGGCCGCCACCAACTGCGCCGCCGACCTGCATCCGCCGCCGGATCACTTCAAGCGGGTATGAAGAAGTTTGTGAGACAACACCGGCCACTGCGCCCGAGAAGAGCTCAGCAGCGGCAGTCAGTTGGGGCTGGCGAGATCCTTTCTTCGGTTTGGATTCTGAGGCTGGAATTGTCGTGTACTGTGCTACAGCGGGACTGCGGAGCCAGTCGCCTACTGTGTCGTGGGTGAGGAAGGACACGCCGGCGTAGGGCAGCATGCCAAGAATTGTTGGGCCAAAGCCGCGGTAGAAGTTAGCGACGCCTGAGCGAGGCACTGCCTGGTTGACGGTCGACGCGACCGTCTCCGCCGTAGCGGCGGTTGCCGAAGCTGTGCTGGTCGCAGCGCCTGTCGTGGGTGGCAAAACACGCTCGTTATAGATTTGACGACAGATGTCGGTCAAGGAGGAGCGAGACGACTGTTTCGTTTCGAATGCTAATCGTACTCGCACGAGTTCGAGGGGATATGTGAAAAACACCGAGGTGATGCCTGCCAAACTGCCCGAAATCAGGCGGCGGATCGCGGTCTCTTTATCGTGGGAGGGAATCATAAAGGCACGAATCTGTTCATAGGCGAGGAACTTGATAGCGGCATAGGGGAAGATACGGAGTAGAGTTGCGGAATGGCCTTTGAACAGGCCGCGGGCGCCTTCATAGCGCTTAATGTCACGAATGGCAGCAGCAAGGCCAGTCCAACTGCCGGTATATTTGGCAAACTGCGGATTTGAGGCTTGGAAGAGGATTTTTACTCGATCGAGGGGAGCCACGACGGTTTTGGCCTAGATGTGAACGCGCGCAATCAGTATACAAGGTTGCCTCGGCCCGTTTGTTGAATTTTGTATTCACTTACCGCACAGCCCGCTAACCCTCCAGCGAGACCGCTTCGCAAGATGTAGTCGACACTCCTCGTCTTCACGGCCCCGCCGCTTTTTTGTGAGTCGACCCCAGCATTGTATGTGATCTGGCTACTGGCGCCGCCAGCAATGGACGATTTCGTCTGAGCGATTCCACTCATCGGAGAGATGGGCTGCGGAGCGGACTCCGGGCTGTGAGAATGTTGGCGTGGCTGCGTGGGAAAGACAGAATCGAGCTGCGCATGGTCTGAAATCCCAGTCGACATAGGAAGAAAAAGAGTGGGAGGTGAAGGGCGATCTTGTGCGGCCGAGGCGCAACTGGGGAAAGAGGGTCTGGGGTGGAATTACGGTTGTTTCTGCGCCCCTCGTGATCACTCGGCGATATTTTGGCAGAAAAGTTTCGGGCTACCGGAGGCTTGTCGGGACCCTCTCCGGGCCATGCAGATAGTATTCGGGATGTATGTGACAGGTATTTGCGATGTTCGCGGTAGATATTTCTCAGAGTTAAGAGGGATTGTGAGGAGTAAAAGAGACCACAAGGCAAGAAGTTGAATGTTTGAAAGTCGAACCTCGCTGACGTCGGTTTGCCATTGCGGGTTCGGCGTAAAGATTGACATGCCGATACCAGCCGCTGCCCGTGAGTAACCGTTGAAATACCGTACCGTTACCAAGTCCACCCCGGGACCCGAGTGGCGGGTCACGAAAACTGCCCAAACTACCAAAACTGCCAGTCCCGAGAAGCCGAATTGTCAGCGATCAGGAGTCAGTCATCGTTATGTAAGTATTCACGGGTTTTATAGATGGAGATAGAGTAAGCCCGGTCTATGTGCTCCCATTCTTCTATCTGACTATGGATTGGCAACCCACCATAGAAAAACAAGCAAAAAAAACACCACCCCATAAAACACACCACCCCCACGACTCCCCAGAAGATGCTTAGAACTGTACACAAGATCCCCCCGTTCCTAAGAATAGTACACTAATAACGAATTCGTAGGTCGCGTGAGCAGGTAGACAAGAAACTCTTTCAAGGAACAAAAAGGAAAACAGAAATTAGAGAGACACCCGATCAACGTTCAAACAATCAACCCCCGCGCCGTGAGCCCCGTCGGGTCAACGTCTTTCCCCGCGTTCCTCGGCTGCCTCGCGTATCATCGGCGTTCCGCTTCTGCCGCTTGGCGGGCCGCTCAGGATCGACGTGCAGATGGCCATTCTCACTCAAAGACGTGCCGTTGTGCCACCGGAGACAGCGGAGGCGGTGCTCGTTGACATCCAGATACGTCTTCTTGCGCGTAGTCACACGCTTCGTAGGCAGTTCCTCCGACTCGGCTCGTTCGGCGCTGACAGTCAGGTACTCCTGGCGGTTCTTCATGTACTTCGCAATAGTGTATCGTTGCAAATGAAGTTCCTTCAGCAACTTGCACTCCCGGTTGCCTCGCGCATCCAGCCATTGAATCAGTTGCTCAACAGACTCGGGGTCATCGTAGTAGCCCCATTCACGGGCAGTCGACACGTGCGTAGGTCCCTCTTCGTGCTTCTTGCGCTCAGCCGGGGTGGTGTGGAAATGCTTCTGGTATTGTTTGCGTTGCTCATCAGTCAGGTCGATAAAGCCGGCACGCTCCATCTCATCAGGGCCTTGCACCCAAAGACGACCGTTGGCATAGTTGGCTTCCGCTGTAGAACTGTCGGGCATTCCAGCGGGAGGCATCGCGTTGCGCTCAAACCACCAGTACCGATTGCAGAAACGGTCCAGGCCCAGGCATTTCGTACGGGGGCAGTCAGCCTCGCGGAGGTTGTTGTCCACCGATTCGATCTTCTCCTCGATCTTGGCGATCTTGGCCTTTTGATCCTCAATCTTCTTGAGCACACGCTGATACTGCTTGGATCCTTTAGGCTGCTTGGCCAGTTGCTCCTTTCGTTCGCGCTCCTCGTCTTGCTTGCGCTTGCGTTCGGCCGCGCGATCTGCACCGCCTCGGAGCGAGCGCGGTCGGGGAGTGTCTTCGTCATCTGTATCCATGGGAATCTCAGAATCACCCTCCAAACCGGTCATCTTCGAGTCGTCTAGCCCGTCAAGCTCTGGCACGGGGGTCGGCGATTTCTCGGTGGTCTTTTCGGGTTCTGGCTGAAGTGCCTTTCGCTCTTGGTGCAATTGTCGCAAGTCTTGGAGTCTGTAGAGCAAAAATTAATTAGTAAATTGTAGCTTGATATCCTTTTCAAGAACGAACTGAACTTACGCAGCTTTGCGAGCCTTTTGATGCTCGATCTTCACCTTGCGGAACTCGGTCATCTGAACACTGCATTCCTCCATGTAATTGCGGATGGCCTTTGTCTCCAAGCTCAGCATGCAGATGATCTGGAGAGCCTTGACTCGAAGATTAATATCCAGGGTACGGTATTGCTCCCGTGCAGTCTTCTGGGTGGCGGGCTCTTCGAGCGGCGCCAGGTGTTTGAGAATTTCATTGCAGGTCTGCTCGAGACGAGGTCGAACAGACAGCTGGTGCAGAAGACCAATCATCACCAATTCCCATCCACCATTGCGGAAGTCTCGTCGGCGCAGCCGATCAATCCAGCTGTAGTTGCCGAACATCTCCGCAGCACGATGGATCCGTTCATCCTCTTCGGGCTCCTCGAGCTGTGCCTTCAGGCTCTCGGCCTCTTTCTTTGCCAAGCTGCCACGAGTAGTCATTCTCCTAGCTGGGCCTGACTCTTCTTCTTCCTCTTCGCTTTCTTCATTCTCATCGTCTTCATCTGAGTTCTCAGAGTCGTCCGAGTCTTCAGAAGGGAAATCCGGAAGAGAGATCTGGGCGGCACCGCCGTTACCCTCGGAATTGACCAGCTTCTTGAGGAGGGCACAGTGAATCTCGACGAGGAGCTCACAGTCCATTTCCTCAGAAGAGAAGCGCATGGCCTGAACGAAGTCGTCGAAGGTGAATGAATCCAGTTGGAACACCTCACAATAAACATTGAGGGTATCCCAGGTTTCCAAAAGGAGTCCGACTGACTCGGGTTCCACGTCGTCAGGTAGCAAGTCCTCGGCCCCATCATCGTCAGTATCGCCCACCATCAGGAATTTCAAAGTCGGGCGGTGAGTCTTGTCTTTGGTAGGAGCCAGCTCAAGATCCTCCATGGGGTACTTGATCGGAGGTGGTGATGGTGGCCGAGACTCATCTTTGATGACAACTGAGGGATGTGGCATTTTCTTGTCACCGACCAGCGGCGGCTTGCTTGGGCGAAGTGGGTTGTTTGGAGGAAGGAAGGTTGGATTTCCGTTGAGAGATCGTTGATACTCCAGGTATTGGGCTTCGCGTGATTTGGCGTGGTCGTGTGCGGTCATCTTGGATTTGGCTCCTTTGACTGCTGGCTTCAGTTCAGGCAGCTGCTGAGACGAAAAGAACCCAAAGAAGCCTTCCTGGTCTGCCTTCTTCATTGCTTTCTTCTCTGCTACCTTGGCGCCATACTGTAAATGCTTAGGCACCTCTGTGGAAATCTTGTACTCCTCGGCGACCGACGGTTTCACCAGCCACGGAGCACCAGTCCAGGACTCTCGAGTAACATTATTTTTGATAAAGCCACGCAGCATCAACTTCGTGAACGACTTTCGATCACGAGTGATATGATCCTGATCCAACAAGGCCTCCTCATTAGGGCGATCGGAAATCTTGACCAGATACCTGGCATACGCCGGGGTCTTGATGGTGCCGTCCGCGTACAATTGCTCGGCAAAGTTGGCCTTGTCTCTGATGGTGCCGTGAAGTCTGCTGTTGTCTTCTAGTAGGATAAGGACCGGCTCTCCGGGGTAAAAGTCTGACTTGAATTCCTGTTGAGTCGTTGTTAGTAAGAGGATCAGATATTCCATGCAAAGTCGTTCAAGATAGTCAATCTCACTTCATATATTTCGTCCACTGCCGAAATGATCCAACAGTTAGTACAATGTCCTTAGACAATTCGCAATGATTAAAAAGACATACCCAGGTTGTCAACTCTTGAGGTCGTCGAAAATTGAATGCGACGGAGAATTGGCTCCTTCAGTGCTTCCGGGAAGCTGTTGTTGACCTCGCGCGATTCCTCCAGCTGCTCCCAAATGATCAGCACACGTCCGTGCAGCCACCTTGTATTTCCACCTACCTCGCTCCGAAGCGCTTCAAAAAAGGTCATTCCCGAATGGCCCGTGATTTCGCAAATAAATCGGCGCGATTTGTAAAAGTCCATCCGCTGGAGGTACGGCTCATAGCTCGTGAAGACCTCGTTGGTCTCCGGGATCACCCAGACCTAACAAAAGAAACGGGAAGTGTCAACCGGCAATTCCCCCTGCGTCACAGCTATTAGATAGCATACCTCGGAGCTATCATCTTCGATCACGGGTCGCGGAAGGTATTGGACCGGTTTGCGTTTGTAAAGGACCTAGATGACAGTGAGTTTGCGCCTCTCGATTATTGCACTGTTCCACCGCCAGTGACCTCATAGTCCGTCTCGGCCAGGAACGAGGAAAATCGCGTACCATGATCCTTTGTAAGGTGGGCGGACACACGCCAGTCTACCGGAGACTAACGCGGGTGTCCTCGAACATAAGACTAAAAAAGCACGCGACTCGTCAGCGACTGCATCGGATCAGATCGAAGTATAAATCGCAGAACCGCGTCAGATAAGGATAGTGTGTGCACGGGGATATATTCCAGCAAGGACCTCGGCGCCGGCCACCGGAGATCCTGAGACGGCACTTCGCGGAGGTTGCGGTCGAAGCGACACAGACCGGAGCGCGGAGAAGCGAGACATGGAAATAGGAAATGGCGGACATACCGGGCGAAACGCGTCGCAGATGGCACAAAGTCCCAGACAATTGCCTAGAGATGAGACTGATAGTTTGGGGACGGAGATGGTGGAGGAACGCGCAAAGCGAAGAGGATTGAAGGGGAAAGAAAGCAAAGCAGAAGAAGAAGCACCAAAAGAGGAGCGGTCGATCAACCGCGCCCCGGATGGAAGGTGCTGATTGGCGGAGAGGAGGAGCAGCGGGAGCCAAAGGCAGAAAACCGCCTTCCTCGGCGGTGCTTCCTGCGGGACCCTCTCCCTTTTTCCTTCTTTGCTGTCTTGTCCGTCTGCTGCCCGCCGTGAGCCATCCACTTCGCTTTTTCCACCCCAACTATCCGCTTATTTATACTCATTCGACTCGCTGGTCACTGTAGAATTTAATGAAAATAACAATTATTATTCTAACTAGAAAACTATCCTTTCCACCCCAACTATCAAATACCTCTCTTAGACCTTCTATCAGTGACTAGGATGAAGTCTAAAAAACAGCTACTAGATACCTCCAGAAATACATTCTTTGTCCACCCCTGTCTTTGTTTATATTCAAGAGAACTTAACTTAGCAAATTTAATCTTATTCTATCGTGCCAAAATCTTATTCATCATTTCTTAACAAATTTCCTATTCAGGTAAGTAGATCCGTCATCTACGCTATGAGAATGACACATTTTGTACGCCTTCTATCCTTGAGAGCCCAATAATGGCTGAGATCATATTTGTTAAATCCGTGCTGCTATGTGATTTTACTCGATATCTTGTGAATTTTTACACTGCAATTCAGCCCTCTTCGTTTGATAGCAAACTATCGGCCTGCATCTTCGAATGGAAGCAGCTGAACCACCAAGCTATTGCATGAAAGTTATCATCCACTCTGTTTGGGAAGGTTTTCTTTACCTAGGCAAGCTGATATCAGTGCGTAATTTCCCTACGTATATGCTATTTTGTCTGGGTTCATACCTATTCACCGGTTTTGCCTGTGAAGTTTGGCCGGGTAGTATGACTTTCGGACAATGAACCAGGCCATGAGTAGTATTATTCTGAAGGTTTGATCACTTGGACACTTTCTGAGATTCTATATTCATTCTGCTCTCATTATCAATGGTTGATCAAAAATACTTGGGCATTTTCATTTACTGCATCAACAAGCTGGCCGTTTGGACTAAACTTTAGGACAGTGTTTCATACCGTTTCATCTTCTTACCTAGGCTAGACATCAACAGATTTATTGTTTGATATACAGGAAGTACAATCAATTCGAGAGCATAACTACCTACTTAGCAGACCATACTAGGTTCTACGTTTATGACATACCGCAGCGTCCTCCCCGCACTTAGTTTGCTAAGCCCATTCATCTCTGTTTGAATAGAATCATATTATTCGTGGGAGTTCTTTCAAGGATAATACAGAATATACTAGTTTCTTAACTTTATCTCGAATAGTCTTGTCGTAGACTTGATCATGACGCGTCAAGGAACCTTCAGTGCGCACCTTAATTATGACATACTCGGCGTGCTTGATATAAAACTCATAGTTCTGATTGTCTCCTTATTATGACCTCCTTGATGTCTATTATTGAGTACCTGCTCATAAAATAATGACCTCTGTTGCTAGTTTTAATGAGCCTTTTCTTGTGCACAGGAAGAGCTTCTACTTAACCAAGTGTGCTGACTGATACCGTACTTCCATCGGATATATATTGTGCACGATCGGAACTGCCACATTCTCTTAAAAAAATGCCGACAAAACTCCTCTATATACCCAAAATCCACATCGAGGGTTACAACTTACCATTCAGAGCAAACAATCTGAATTTGACAGGGTGATGTTACAACCCCCAATTTGTATCCCGCCTGCATCTCGCTGACGGCGTGGTGCATGGATTCACGGGGCGGGACTAACCTCTTTTGGCGAGGTGCAGAATAGACTCCGTGGTAGAGTGGGTCTGAGCCCACGTGGTCAGCCAAACAGTGCAAACACCATGAAGTATACGTCACCCCTGCCGAAATGGACCTGCAGCTGCATTAAAAGGGACGAGAGAATTTTTGATCATTAAAAAAGAGTCTACTATTTCATTTTTGGGGTAATTGCTATCTAGAAATACACTCATGTAGTGAAGTATACTACCATAAATCCAACCCAGCTCCCTACCACCCCAAGTGCAGAATAACTACTCATAACCATCAAGGGGAGGAACTGCAGCCGCTGCGATCCGAAGATCAAGTGATGAAGCAGCGAGCTGTACAGGACCACAGGAATCGACAATGTCAAGAATAGTGAGGAGAAGCGGTCGAAGAGGAAAACCCGTGGCCGCTCAGGGACTGGCGCGATGCGGTCGAAAATGAATAGGAACAGGATGAGCCAGAAGATTGTATAAACCGTCTTTAGAGGAAACTCGGCGGGTGTAAAGAGCAACGGGAAGAGCGAGACATGTCCTGCAACTGCAAGTGGGCGGAAGGCAGAGAAGTGGCGGCGATCCTTTAGAGCAATCAAGCTGAAAGGAATGATGATCAAGAGGACGGCCTTTTCGTGGACGTGCCAGCCAAAGAGGAACGAGGCGTAGCCACAGAGAGTAATTGCCCCGATGAAAGTATTCCAGTCTGGTTGAAGCCAGAGCTTGACCAAGGGAACAAGCTGGAAGACGAAGGTTAGGAGGAACGTCTGCTCCTTGGTCACCTCGGGAAGAATAGCAAAAGAGGTATCTCCAACGAGGCCTCGTGTAACACTACTGAGGGCGTCACGGTTGACCGGCAGACCAAGACGAGGAGCCACTATAAAAATGTCAATGGTGACCAGACAACAACGTCCGATAAAAAAAAGAACTTACATGGAATCAAGGCGCGGTCTGCGAATGAGTACATCGCCCAGAAATTCGGCGCCCAGTACGCATGGCACAGTCCTCTCGAGAACGGGAAAAGCCGATCCTTCAACTGGAGAATCTGATCGGCAAATGGTCCAAAAGCAATGGCGAAGACGCCCACAACGCAGACCCCCAACTTGATGACATTCAGGAATAGTGGGCGGAACTTAGGGTCCAAGCAGTAGGCGCGGAGGAGGTAGACGAAGTAGGCCAGCGAAAGGTATAGATAGATATGCTTGAAGCAGAGCAGAGCGGCAAATATAAAGCCGCTGGCAAGAAGTTGTTTGCGAGCCAGAACAAGCGAGAGGATCAAGATGCCGTACATAAATCCATTGTACTGGAAGTGGATGTGGTCGATAATCAAAAGGCCCGGGGAGAGGAGGATTGAAAGGCTAGCCACGTGAGCCGCTTGCTTGTTCGCCAGAGGAGCGGACTTGATGAATCTGAGGAAGGATAGGAGATTAGCATGGCGCTAGCTTGATTATGCGCCAGAGATATAGTTTCTTACCTGCTCAGCGCATAGACGAGAACTAGTTCCGTCAAGATCACAGTAGTTCTTTGGAAGTAGACTGTCTCCAAGGAATCATATCCCAAGTTCTTCACAACCAGCATAGCAGGGTCCACAAGTGCAGCAGCTTGCGACATCAGCCATTCGAAAGCCGCAAAGAACGGGGGGTAATCGAGGGTCCATTCGGAGGTTTTCTAGATAAAATTAGGGGCCATAAATTGTAGTTGTTGCTATTATATGCGAACCTCATAGTACCATTCTTTGACCGGGAGAGAATGTGTAATGGCCAGCCAGTTGCGATGCACCTCGAAATCAGTCGATTTGCTAGAATCACGACTGAAATTAGCTATTGCGGCCGGTCGCGCCGGGGTTTCTGGAGAGATCTCACTATGCCGGGAACAGCAGCACCTTAAAGGCTGCAGCCACAATGGCGCACTGCGCCAATGACGGATAAAGCTCAGCCATGGCCGTAGCACCTAATTCTGTTGGCGATCTCGAAGGAAGCAATCCAGGGAAGCGGGCGGAATGCGGACGTGTGAAGCTCCTCCGCAGTCACGTGGGGGCGCCATGCGGAGATCCATTCAGGAGTTGCGCCCTGAACAACGCTAGGGCGCTTGAGGCCAGCGTATCAACAGCCAATTTCTCCGCATGGACTTCTCGGACGTCGGCGTGCGCCATACCATTCTCAACAGTATCCAGCTGCAACACTTCATTGACGTCTCTCCCTCTGCCGCTGTTATTGCTAAGGAGGTCCGACTTTGCGTGATTGCCGTTGTGGTTGGGTGGATTACTACTCGTGTTGTCGCTAGCCTATGCGAGTCCGATAAATCGTGCCATTGTGACCGCGGCAAAGCTTCCAATCGCTCAAAGTGCTCCGATTCCGAATAAACAACGTCTGGAACTTTGGAATTGAGATCCGTGTGAAAGTGCTTGGACATATTTGACTTGCGCTCAAGGGTTCTTTGTTTAGCCCTTGCGCACACCGACGAAGACGAACCCTTCTGCTTCGCTCACCTCCCTCCCACGCCATAATGAAGACATTTACTACGATTGCTCTGCTCGCCATTGGAGCTACTGCTCAGGTTATTGAGAGTGCTAGCTTTGGTTATGGAAAAACGTACGCTACGTGATTGGTCGTGTGTTCATCAAATCTAACTGTGATCGGCAGGATTTCGCCAAGTCGAGACTCAATCCCCGGATGGAACATTGGTGGAGAGGGCCATGAGCCATCTCTCGTATGTCACTCGTTGAATCCACGGTGTGATATCACTCTAACCTTCAATATAGCTCTCCGATAAGCTCATCTTGACCCCACCATACCCTGGCAACACTCGAGGATCTGCTTGGGGCCAGAGTCCGTACGTTATACCCCGAAGCTTCTCCAACTGAATTTGTGTTAACTCTCGCGCAGAGTCATCCAACAAGAATGGTCAGCCGAGTTCCAATTCCGTGCCAGCGGGCCTGAACGAGCGGGTGGTATCCTCCAATTATGGTATACGAAGGATGGACAAGCCCGGGTTGGCACCTCTAGCATCTATACTGTCGGCCAATTCGATGGATTTGCGCTTGTCGTTGATACACATGGCGGTCGGGTATGTCTTGCGTCCCACCGGGATTCAGTTTCAAAAGCACACTCACTCACTGAATTAATAGGGTGGAAGCATCCGTGGATTCCTGAACGACGGCTCAACAGATTACAAGAGTCACCGCAGCGTCGACAGCCTTGCTTTCGGCCACTGTGATTATGCCTACCGCAACTTGGGCCGACCCACTGTCGTGAAGATCAAGCACACCAACTCGATCTTCGAGGTTACTGTCGATGACAAGGCTTGTTTCTCAACCGGCAAGGTATGTGGTATCCGAAACTCTCTCTACACGCATTCTATCTGACTTTGAGAAGGTCAACTTGCCCGTCGGAAACACCTTCGGCATTACAGCTGCCACCCCCGAAAACCCCGACTCCTTCGAGATCTTCAAGTTCATCCTGTCACCTGCCACTGGACAGGGACAGACCGCTCCTTCTTACCAGGGTGGTGCCCAGCAGCAACAGCAACAGCCAATCGCCGACCAGAACCAGCCTCCCGTTGTTCGTGATACTGGCAACCCCGTCGTGGACGCGGGCATTGGTGCTCAATTCGTAGATCTCCAGGGCCGCATCCAGCTCCAGAACAAGGCCACCAACACCATCATCCAGGACATCAAGGCCCAGGGTGGTAAGAGCGATGCCCGCCACACTGAGCTCATGCAAAAGCTTGCTTCCAAGGAGCAGGTTGCTGCCCTTGACGCGCGACTCCAGCGCATCGAGTCCCTCCTCCAGAACATCCAGCGTGACCTGGAGGGCAAGGACTACAGCAGCCGCTTCAACCAGCTCCAGGATACTCTGCGTTCATCGCATCTCAGTCTCACTGAAAACCTCCAAAGCCACTTCTTGAGTGGTAAGTCCCGGTACCCCATGATCTTGTCCTAAAATTCAAGCAGCTAACACCATTCCTAGCTATCACTGCCTCTTCTCCCCGCATGGGCTTCTTCATCTTCCTGGTCATCGCCTTCCAAGTCCTCCTCGCCACCTCATACATCATCTACAAGCGTCGTCGTGCAAACATGCCCAAGAAATTCCTCTAGGTTTATCCCTCCCATTTTCGGGTGTTCTTTCCAGCGAGATGATACTATACTATTCTTGCGTGTTGTTGATTACAAGCTCTGGTTCTTTTCTTCTACGAAGGTGCTGGGTCTATCTGTATGTTGTTCCGAATTTGGCATGTAGAGTACGAATTTCCATTGAATAAAGGCCGAGGCTACTCGCACGCCAACTTGTGCTTTCGCAAGACAGAGTATTCCACTTTCGGATGAAGTGAAGAATAGGTACACTGGATCCTTGGTATCTAGACTGGAGAAACGTTTTTACAATGTGAATAGATATGCTTTAAGTTTACCTTTTAAGCAAGATATTTCTACATGTCTTTTGTCCTGTCTTTTTGAATAGCTGAAAAGGCTTAGTAGTTGTACCACACTACTTTTACGACATTACAAGATGGAAGACGATGAAGATGGAAATTATCCATTGGGTCTATGCTATCGTACACTAGAATGCGCCGCCCTATGCCCATCGCAATTTTGCAAGACCAGAGACCAGACACCAGAAACCAGAAACCCGAGAAGGAGGGGCGGAAAGAGAAGCAGAAAGAAAAGACCAGCAGAAAGACCAGCAGAAAGACCAGCAGAAAGACCAGCAGAAAGACCAGCAGAAAGATCAGCAGAATGACCAGCAGAATGACCAGCAGAATGACCAGCAGAAAGAGGAGAAAGAGGAGGAGAAAGAGGAGGAGAAAAAAAATCCCCAGGGGAAATCACTCCGCAGAGGTTGAATCGCCTTTGGCAAATCCAACAAGAGTAAGGGCAGCATCATACTGGTCCTTGGTCGACTTGCCACTTTGCAGGTTCTCGATTGCCTCGTTGATAGCCGGGGCGATTGCTGCGGTGGCTTCATCAGCAGATGAGGCGCTGTTCCGCGCAAGATGCTCTTCAACCATGTTCTTAGTAAGGTTGAGGCATGTATCGGTGAGACCAGCAAAGAAATTCTTCTGTCGACGAGCAGAGTCATCTTGAACGGCGGAGATAAAGTCCAGGATGACATCCCCTGCCTCACGGAGCTGACGCTTCTCACGGAAGTCATCATCGAAAGTGCTCTCATTGACATCGTCGTAAGGAATAATGTCGAAGTCAACGGAAGTGACAGTGTGCTTGGGACGGCGCGGACGGCGCTCTTGCAGACGACCATCAACCATTTTGGTTATGACAAGGTCCTCAGGTCGAACATGCTTGGGGCACATCCACCCAGCGCGAGGGTTAGGGGGGATCGCAAGGGGAGGATCAAGACAGTCCAGGTGGAAGTAAGAAGGGCAGTAGTCGCAGCGGATGATCGGGCGCACGTTATCTGTGCACCGCCCACAAATGTTGCAGAGGATTGCTCGCTTAATGTCGGTGTCGAACATCCTCAGGAAGCTCTCATCCTCGTAGGCAGGAGTGGCAGTTTTGGTCCTCGGCGGCTTAGTCAGACGGGGTATGTGGGGAACCGTCTTGTAGAAACGCCGATTCCTGAGGTTCTTGGGCTCGGCAGAGTCCAACTGCAGACCTTCCGTGACGCCGATGAAGTAGTCCTTGATGTCGGTAGGAGGGGTGTACTCGGTCTTGCGCTTTTTGTGGCGGCCATGCGCAATCCAGGTGGTGAGGGGGTTGCGGACTCCACAGCTTGGGCAGTACCACTCACCCTGCGGCGGGTTGTTGGGATCCGCGGGAGGACGTAGGCATTCGAAATGGAATGCGTTTTCACAGGTGTCGCAGCAAAGGAGATTGCCCACCTGGTCGCATTCATAACAGTTGTCACTGTTATCAGGCGGTTCGCTGTAGAAACGAAATTAGCAAAGAGTCTTTCATTGATCATCTCACTCAAGAAGAAACAAAGGTCAACACGTACATTGAATTCGGCATCTGGCGCCGATCGTACTCGCCGTGCCAGTCGTTCTCCCGATCGGAGTAGCACTCGTTGGACATTTCCGACTCGGCAGAGACGGTGGTGTCGAGTGACCACTCTCGACGGCGCTTCCCAAGAACCTGGGCGGGGGCGGCAGCAGGAGCGGAAGCCGAAGGAGCGGCGGCAGCAGCAGCAGTCTCTGGCTGCTGGCTTCCAGAAGACTGCGCGGCTCTAGCCCGACCTCCTCGGCCCCGTCCGCCACGGCCACCACGCCCACGTCCTCGGCCACCTCGTTGCGCGGGTGCAGGGGGGTTGGGTCTGAAGTGACCTCCACTGACTGAGCGATCGCTTCCCTGTCAGTGGTGTCAGGGAACTGAGTGGGAGGGGGATGGTCGACGGTGGCACTCCGGCCCTTTCTCGGGCGAAGTGAGCTGAGCGAAACCATCGCTTCCTCAGGTTCTGGTTCGGTGTCCCTGAGGAGGCGAGCACGTTTTGCTCGCAGGGTCTGATCAAGTGAGGGGTCAGATTCCCACTCACGACGGCGCTTGAACGATTTTTCGTTCACCGGGCAAGGCTTCTTAGGCCGTTTCAACGGAGCAGTGTTGGATTTGCCGGTGTTGAAAAGATCTTCGAGGCGGGGGCCGGAGGTATCGCGGTAGATGTCTGCGACTTTAAATGTTTGCCCCCCTGGGGCTCCTCCAGGGACTGGGCAGACGAGAGGCTGGAGTCGCTGCCTGAGTTGCGACGATCCAAGGCAACAGGGCAACTTGCGATGTACGCCTGGTACCACTCCGAGGCATCCTCCATCGACTGGCGCAACATGGTCTTCAGGACGGCTTCCAGGATGTGGTCAATCTCCTTCAGACCCATGTTGTAGATCAGGGACAGCTTGAAATCATCGTCCGAGATCCCGGACCAGTAGTGAAGTAGACTCATGGCCACTTCATCATTCCCGGCCTCGCAAGCGTAAGAGATCGAGGTTGCGACGACTTGCTTCAGCTGAGCCACATCGTACTTGTTGGACTGAGGAACGGGGAGAGAGCTCAGGACGGCGATGAGATCGCGGTCCACGGGCTTTTCAATTTCGGAGGCCATGGTATCCATGACTTCCAGAGGCGTTGTGATGAGAGGAGTTGTGATAAGAGGTGAGTGTGCTTGTAGGGGTTTTTCTTGCGTGTCGAGGGTAGTAGTGTGAAGTGTATCAGGAGCAGTCAGAAGAGGGTTGGTAAAGAGTTCTTCTGCGAGGGTGTCGACTGGTGTTTCGAGAGGAGAGAGAGATGTCTGTGTGGTCTGAAGTCCGATTGCTTCAGAGGTTGGGGTGGCCAGGCTACTGCCCCGAACCTCACCTACGTCCGCATCTCTCACCAGGTCCCCCACCACAGCTGCCTCGACAGCTGCCTTGTTTGCTACCTCGTCTGCTGCCTCAACCGAGCCCTTCACGGTCCCCAAATCCTTGCCTACGCCCAAGGCACCCTCATCAGCCTTGACCAGCGTGTCGTCCGAAACGAGTCCATCATCTGCCACAGGCGTGATTGGCGTCGGAGCATCGGTGATAATGGCATCCACGCCCTCGTCAGTCGCGCGCACCGTGAACTTGAACGCGCGCTTGATTGCGTTCTTCGTCGGAGGCGTCAGTCCAACGCTCTTGTAGTCGCCCGCGGTCGGGTACTGCCCAATCGGCCGCATGGTTTTGAGGATGGCGTTCACTCGCGGCGTGAAAATGGAATCGGGATCAGCCCAGGACGGGCGCGCGCGTGCTTGGAGCGGATCTACCCATTCAGTCTCTGGACACTGCGTGTCGGTCTCGATCACAGGCGCATTGCCTGGCGTGGTCGATTCGGCGCGTGTCTGACGCGGGTTCTTCTTTTGAAGCTTGTTAGGCTTCGGTTTTGCGGGTGCCGCGGGTTGAGGATCAGCTCGGCGGCTGCGAGCCCGAGTTAAGACGCCCATCGCGGTAAGCGGAACCGCCCTGCCGAGGAATTAGCGCCAAGCTTCCATAACCAGCCCTAACTGCTCATGCTTCGTCTTTCTTGCTTTCTTTGGCCTATCAATTCCATCAAGTAATGTAGATTCAGAAGTGAAAAAAAGATGAGATAGGTCCACTCACGCAATGGGATGTTCGAAGGTGATTTTTTTCGGTGTGTTCTGTGTGACAGCGAGTTATTAGTACTTCTCTTCTGATAGCAATATGATGGGTATCAGAGCAAAGTAGTGAGATCAAGAGTCATTAAATGGCTCTGAGATATAGAGAGGTAGTGGGGATCGAGTATGTATTCACGTACACCTCGATCGAATCGTCTGCCTGGACACGTACCTTTTGGAAGATCTTGAAGAAGATCTTCGAAGTTCGTGAGTGGTTGTTGGCGTGAAGAAGGAAGAAGGGAAAAAGAGAAGAGAAGAGAGAGGAGCAGAGCAGAGGTGGAAGCAATCGGCTAGCAGTCTGCGTGGGCAGCGTACTATTCAGAGCCTCTGATTCCACAGTTGGCTGTGAGAGTACTATCTAGACTGAGCAGGCAACTAGAAGAAAATTAAGAGACAGTCTTACGCTGCACCCAATAGCTATCTCCCACTTTATGTCTTGATATAGGTAATCAAGGTGTTGAAATGGACTGCATCCCATTATACGGATCCCTAATATCAAGTCGGCTAGAGAACACAGGCTTTAAAACGCCCTGTCTTGACAAGACCACCGGTCTATAGACCCCATCCACACTGGAAGAAGGCCCAGATATGGGACATCGGGAATGATTGATCAATAATAGCTGTAGCGAATGTCCTGGGGTGATTATTACAGCTTACAGCATGATCACCGCAGAGAAAAAAACTACATTCTAGTGGACCGCGGTGAACCTTTTGAGAGAAATGGCAACATCTTCATTTGGATTAAACTCTCTCACTTGCTGGTAATTAATGACATAAGTGCCAAATAGTTTCCAGACTCCTGTGCATATCGTGAGATCGATTCACCTCATCTCGAAGTTATTGTCCATGAGTGGATATTGCCAAGATCTCTTCATGTAGATCTGGTTTCGTTTAGAAAGGTTTCTTTAGATGGCAGGAAATTCATATAGCCTGCAAAGGGATGATTCGTCATTGGATATCTTTTTAGTTTTTGAGATTTTGCATGCTCGAATGTGGAGCGGTGGCCAACATTGAATATAGACGTAGGTCACAATGGAACCCGACGATCATAATCGTGTCAGGTGCATTTACTCCTCACCACCGGCGGTCTTCTTCTTCTTGCTCTTGCTCTTCTTGTTGCCGGTGGAACGGGCCAGGGGCTGCTCAAGGATCTTCAAGATCTCCTCATCCTCGATCTTCTTGTCGGACTTGAACTGCTCCAGGTCAATGGTGGGAGCAGCAAGCTTGGTGAGACCGTTCTTGGTAATGGCTGTATGAAACAATTAGCAAATTTATATCTCTATGGGGCAGTCTATTAGAGAAGGCATTGAAGACATACCAATGGTAGACAGGAGACGAGAGACGGCGGCGCCCTCGGCGTCGCCAGCGGGCTCGTACTGGCGCAGGACACCGTTACGGACACACTCGACAACACCGACCTTGGCGGCCTTCTCGTCTTCAAGCTGGCGCAAGCTGAAGGGGAAAGTGCCAAACTTCTTGACAACCTCGGACAGAGTCTGGCGGGAGCTGGGGCGCTTCAGGATGTAGGTGGTAGTGGTACGGCGGTGCAGGGTAGCACGGTGGTCGAGGTTCTTGACCTTGCCGGAACCCAAGCTGAGACCGATCTCAACACCCCAGACCTCACCGACCTCGGGGACACCATCGCCACGGACACCGTCGCCGGGGGCCAGGATAATCTTCTTGGTGCCTTCGATCTCGTTGCGGTCAAACAGCCAGCTGGTGGTGTTCTCGACAAGCTTGCAGTCGTAGGCCTTGGCGACCTTCTCCAGGAGAGAGGAGATGTGAGCCTGGGTAGGGGGCGCTGAGCGGTGGCCTTGGCCTTCTCCTCGTCGGTACCCTGGGCAAGCAGACCCTGGGGAATCATCAGGCGCAGGAGGAGCTCGTTGGCGTAGTGGGTTGCGAGGATGAGGTCAGCCTCGCGGCCGGTGACAACTTCCTTGGCGGAGTCCTTCTTGGCAACGACGAGCATGTCGCAGACAATGGTACCGAATCCATCGATCTGAGCACCCAGCTGGATCTTGACGATCTCACCAGCCTTCAGGGTGGTCTCGGCCTCGGCGGCATCGGACACCAGAGGAGTGTAGGGAGTCACATAGGAGTTGGGAGAGACGGTAGTGGGGTGAGAGATACCTTTTGCATGAATTAGCATTGGCATATTTGACTCATTCCTGTTCCGAGGCAACAAGGCTTACCCTTGGCGATCTTCTTGCCCTTGTAGACCTTGGCGATTTCCTCATCGAGGAGCTGGTCACCCTTCTGGCAGATCTCGACAATCTTCTCGCCCTCGAGACACAGAGCTATATATCCAGCGTTAGATCAGACCAAACGAATTGGGAGGAATGGTGAAAAAAGTACGCACCAGTGACGGCCTCGAGCACCTTGTGCGAAATCTGAGCAGCGGTCTTGTACTTGGTCAAGGTGTCAGGGTTGTTGAGGGTGTAGTCTAAATCAAACAGAAGGCGCAATTAGTTTTCTGAATATAATAAACGGTATCTTGTCCAAGATAGCAGTTTCATTTGGGGCTAGGCCTCGGCGAAGCTCTGAATGAAGGTCCGCCAACCGACACCCACAAAACGTTAGAGCTTTCGTGGGAGCACCTCGAGCATGTTTTCACATACCAACCTCGGGCGCTTGAGTAGTATCCGCCATTGTGAAATAGTTTGAGCTCACGAGAGGAGAAGGGAAAGTAATGCAAGTAGTTTCAGGAAGCGAATGCTTAATCCGCGGAGAGCTGAGGAGAAATGGAGATCAAGAGTAAGTCGTGTGCAGCGAACGAGAGAGCGTTTAGCGGTGGTGGGGGTAAATTCCAGCCTGACGATTCAGGCCGTCAACGTCTAGGGTTACGGCCGGCGAAGACGTCATGGCTCAGCCGCTGAGGGGACTACTGACGCCTCCAGCAGAAGCCATTGTTGCATTGAAACCCCGCATAAACTATGCTGGAGGGCAATTCGAGCCCGCTGGCTCGTACACAATTCGTTTTTGAGGTCTCGTGAGCTCTGCGCCTGCAGGGATCATCCGGTATGCCTCTCCAATCACCCCTCCTTTCCCCTTCGAACTTCTCCTCTTTGGTCTCGGCATCTCTTTCCCCTCATCTTATTTCGTGGATTCAAGCTCTCGCTTGCTAAACTATAGTGTGACTTTCGTTTCCACTATTTATCGCAGCCGTGGTCTAGGATGAGATGCACCCCAGAGCTTCCAGTCCGTGTGTTGACCCATAACATCCGATATGCCACCAGCTCTCCATTCAAGGGGGAAGTTCCCTGGGAACAGCGCAAGCAACTTTTGCTGAACGAGCTCGGGTATCACACTCGCCATGTCAGTGGCACGTTCATCTGCCTCCAGGAAGTGCTTCATAGACAGCTGGAAGATATCCTGGTGGGACTAAATCCTCGGACGGCATCCTCGGCCCCAGACTGGGCATACATCGGGGTCGGTCGAGACGACGGGCATCAGGCTGGCGAATACTCACCCATCTTCTATCGACCATCGGTATGGAAGCTATTGCATTGGGAAACCGTTTGGTTATCGAAGACCCCCTCAAAGCCATCTAAAAGCTGGGATGCGGCCTCCATTCGAATTGTCACCATCGGTGTTTTTACTCACTGTGAAAGCGGCAATACCGTCCTTGCCATGAGCACACATCTAGACGACCAGGGATCTCAGTCTCGCTTAGAGGCTGCGCGCATCATTCGGGCGAAGATCCATGGGTACCGACAGGGCGAGTTTGGGACCTTGATTGGTGGCGCGTTCCTGGCGGGCGATTTGAACAGCCAAGAAGACCAAGAAGCCTATTCGGACTTGACAGGGTCTGGGGATCTAGAAGATACCTTTAAATTGGTTGATTCTTCTCGGCGATATGGGAGTCACAATACCTTTACTGGGTTTGGGTATGAAAATGAGCCACCATCGCGTATTGACTATGTCCTCCTCGCTTCTGGAGGCAACCAGGCCTGGAAAGTGGACGGTTATTCTGTGATGGCCAACAGGTTCGATGACGGGGTATTTAATTCAGATCATTGTGCAGTCATTGCCGATCTTAGGCTTGTAGGCTAAAACCTAGATGGTGTGAAATACAGTCATTGCATCTCAATCTTCCTACATATTCCGTCTATCTATTTAGCAAGTACCTGAAGCTTCCAAAATACACCGGGGACTCGCGTTGCAATTACTAATACCAAGCGACAAAAGTAACTATCTGAGAGTGTGATATCATCAGTCAGGAATACACTTTACTCGGTGTGTATTCCAGATATCAACTGACTCCTTCATATTATTCGATGCAAAGCATATCTGATCCATAGATTTCGAAGCCAAGACTTTATTTCAGGCCTCACAAATAAGGCACCAACAACCAGCCCCGTAGCGGAATCACATGACCCCACATGCCTTTAAGCCAAACCTGGCGCAGCGCCCTAACCAGCATAAAACAACAGACTAGAAAGTTTATGATAATCGAGGAACTCTTCTAGTGGTATCTGATAGCTTAAGCCTGTAATTTCTGTCTGTGGTGGCCGTGATAGAGGGTCACCGAGGCTTTCCCCCTGCCTTTGCTCGGGAGCGGATATCTCGTAATCCTCCTTCTCCTTTGAACTTCTCTCACCACCCGCGCGCTCCAAGGTACCGCCAACCCCAAGCCTATCAGCGCCAACCGACCCCCGTGGGAAAGGCCACCTAATATTGTCTCTGAGCTCCAAGTTGTGGGTTGTCCGACCGGTTCCCTAGTCCAATCCAGTCCTCGTTGGAGTCTGGTAGGTCGCTGGCGTGACCCGTGAACAGAGCGCAATCTGCCTCCCCAAACCTCCTTCGGCTGCGGTACGTGGATTCCCTACCCATTGATTGATTCTAGCCCTGGTCGCCTGCTATCAATCCCCTTCCTCCGATATCTCATCAATTACGCGCCGTTCCTGCTCGTCATCCCGGTGATTGTCCTGGGGACATGCGCCCGTCGCGACACGTCCATCGATCGGCATCACACATGACGAGCGTGGCTGCGTGGTCGTTTATGATGGAGATAGAAACATAGATCATGTGTATGGGATCATTGAACTGACGCAGATGCAATCGCAATCCAGATATCGCTCAATGATGCTGCCTTAATCGTGTTGGCCCTTATCCCTATCGCGTCGAGTGCCACTCCCTAATCGATCACCGTCGCGAGCGACTACACAACGTTCGAATCAATTCACTCGGTTGTCGGCCATGCCCTCACCTGAACTGGCCACTGGTTCAAACCCGTCTCCCGTTGGATCTCAGTCGGGCATGCAAAACAGCTCCGGCGCATCTGACCTGGGAGCGGGAGGGTTTGACTCCTTGGATAACGGAGCGGCCCAGTCCCTCAACGGACCTCCATCTGATAGCATCGCAGAAGGAAAACAGAACGCGCAAGCTAAGATGGGCGCATCGGGCGGAGAGTCTACGAATGAGACCAATGGCACTCACCAGTCGAACGGCACAAATGGCTCTGCACAAAGTAGGAAGCGATCGCGTGATGGATCCGTCATTCATGCTAGCGATGTTTCGGGAACAATGGCTGTTCGCACGCGTGAAACGCCTGTCGAGAAGATTTTGCTAGACCATTATGTTAACCGCGAATTCCAATATTCGGCGGCGGTCGCCTGGGAGAACCCAGCCCAAGAGCTGGAACAACAGAAGCGAGCAGAACGGGATTTCTACCTGGCCGTCCGTCGCGAAACCCAAGGCAACCCAGCCGCGTTGTTTGGGGTGGGCTACGAAGGATTTGGAAACCCGCGGACCGATCTACGAACTCAACACACTCAAAGCCTACCGATATTGTACCCGGCTCATAGACGTCGGCCTGGGAACCGCAAAACCCGCGAATTACGGGTTTCAAGGCGGGATATGAAGATACAAAACGAGCAGATTGAAGATCTCGTTCCTATCCGACTTGATATTGATTGGGAAAAGGTCAAGATTCGAGATACTTTCACCTGGAACCTCCATGACCGTGTCGTGTCGCCGGATCTGTTTGCTGAAAAATTGGTTGAGGATCTGGGATTGTCTTTGGAATCGTCCGCTCCGTTGATACGGACGATTTCGCAGAGCATCCAGGAGCAGATCATGGATTACTATCCCCAGATCTACATGCAAGAAGAACCTCTTGACCCCCAACTACCTTACACAGCGCATCGGAACGATGAGATGCGAATTTTGATCAAACTGAATATCACTATCGGTCAACACACCCTCATCGATCAATTCGAATGGGACATCAACGATCCCGAAAATTCACCGGAGGAGTTTGCCCTTCGTTTGACGGACGATCTGTCCCTTTCGGGAGAATTTACCACCGCCATTGCCCATTCCATTCGTGAGCAATCTCAATTGTTCACCAAGTCTCTTTATATCGTCAGCCACCCCTTCGACGGCCGTCCTATCGAGGATCCCGATCTCAGCACATCCTTCCTCCCAACTCCCGTATCCTCCGCATTCCGCCCCTTCCAAGCAGCCAAGGAGCACACGCCATACCTTTACGAACTCAACGAGGCCGATCTCGAGCGCACCGAAATCTCGATTTCCCGCGAACAACGTCGCCAGAAGCGATCTATCAATCGTCGTGGTGGTCCAGCTCTACCAGATCTCAAGGACCGGCAACGTACTATTCGCACGCTCATCGTTTCTTCTGTTATTCCCAACTCCGCAGAATCCTTCGAGGAGAGCAATGTCATTAAGCGTTCCGGGTCTAGCCGCCGTCGTGGATTGATAGGAACCCGTGGTGACGAAGAGTCCGATGACTTCGAAAGTGACGACTCGGACGAAGGGTCACCGGCCATTGGCCCACATCTTTCTCAAGGCACTGCTCGCACAAGAGGCATGAGAGGCGCGGCCACAGCAGCCCACGCAGCTTTGCGCGCTAGCTTGGGGCAGTCGGCCACCCCAGAGCCCATGTTGCAGGAGCCCACCCGAGTGTCGTCACGGCGTCAGCAGCAATTGCGAGAAGAAAGTTTCGAAGAGCCGGAAAAGCTAGTTGTGAGACTCAAGATTTCACGGGATAAATTGGCAGATCTCCGAAGTGGAAAACGGATTTTCGACCCAGCGGTGCAAGCTGGCGCCATGGCACCTCCCTCCGACAAACAGAACCGACAACACCATCCCCCACGGCCTCAGCAGACCGGAGCCGTTGATGCACCGAACCCGCCCCAGCAAGGGGTCCCAGGAGTGAGTAGATTCTGATCGTTGTTGGAAATTTTTCGTGGGCTTTGGCTGACTCTCCTATGCGCTTTCAGCCCCCTCCGCCTAGCTGGCTCCAGGCTGGCCTGACAAAGCTAAAGCAATCTCATCCTAATGACTCATTTGAAGGAGTGATGCGCTATTCTGCTGTGGATACGGAAACCCTCGCGCCTGTCTCCAACCCAAGCGTCCTTCAAGCTGGTCAGAAGATCAAATATCAATACCTGCCCCGTATCCGCTGCCATGACTGCCCTGGGAAGCTATACACCCCAGGTCCTGGCATGACAGTGGACAACTTCGAAGTTCATCTGCGTAACCGTCAACACAAGGAGCGCGTTGAAGAACGAATCAACAAGACTGGCGGCAGTGCACCCGCCACCCCTGACGTGGGTGGTAGTGCCAATGCCAGCCCAGCACCTGGTGCCGCGACCTCTGCCAGCGCCAGCCCAGCCTTGGGTGTTGCCCCAATCCCTGGAGTCTCTCCTGCCCCTGTCCCTGGGCCACAGCCATAAGTCATATGTTTTTCTTGATGAAGTCATGACAAACGGCGTCTTCTGTGTATGGTGCTCTCTTCTAAACTGGACTCTTCTGACTTCGAATGGCCTGTATTCTTTCCTCTTGTTTTGTGGTCATCTCACTTGATGTGCCTACCCTCATCCCTTCGAATGTTTCCAACTGGTTTAAAGAACATTGTCTGCCAGCCTTTTCTCTCATCCGTCTTTTTTTTTCTTGAGTTGTATAGGATCTTATTTTTGAGTCTGCAGCGGCAGAGCGAATTGACTGATGGTTTTCTTCTCGTTTTGATGGCGCTAGATGCCCTCTGCATTGTGCTTGTGTTGTTCTTCTCTTGGCCCTTTGCGTTATGCGGCCCAGTAGTATCATCCGTAAATATAGCCCATTTTCTTCAACTGCTCAATTGAGTTTCGCTGAGCAGATTAGTTGCGCTGTTGAACATCACGTTCCCCTCATCTGCAACTCTGTGCCCTCACTAGACCCAAATTGGCACCTCACGTCAGCCGCAGCTGAACGAGCAAAGTCCCCTCATGTGGACCAACTGCCCAATAGGTTGTGGAGGGCTCTTGGCGGGCTGTTGTTTATAATTATAGGAGTCCTCTCAGGGGATGAGTCGTATTTGAAATAATCATTCCATACTGGATCGCATAACCGTGCAAGATGGGTGAAAAGGAGAACCCGACATCCGTTACGGAGGCTTGGGAAATCGCACGGCGCGAGTTCGAGCGATTGACGGGTAAACAACTCCAGCCGACTTCGGCCGCTGCGTTACAAGGTATTCGTGACCAGATCGAAGCCGGCCGTTCCTCGAAGGACCCGGATGTTCAGAAGGCAAAGCAAGCTGGTCTACGAATTATAAAATGTATCCAGCTCTTGGGTGGAGTGGCCTCCCAGGCTGCGTCGCTGGTAAGAAGGTCCCCTTTCACGTATGCATAGATGGAGATGGATAGCTAAGCCTCTTGTACCAGGTCTTTCCTCCGTCAGGCGTCTGCTTTAGTGCGCTGTCTTTCCTTCTCGATATTCCTCCGAAGCTCCATGGCTTCCATGCCGCTGTTGATGGCATCTTCCTCGAGGTTGAGCCGACGCTAGTGCAGTTCGAGATGTACCGAGACATTGAGAGCAAGGATGCCGTTCATCCCGACATGGTCTTGGCCATCAACAAGGTCATGGTCAGTTTCGTGACTCTCTGTGCCAAGTGCATCAATTTCAGAGATGGCGGCTTCTGGATGCGCCTCAAGGCCAACCTGAAGAAGGCCATGTTTGACGAGGCGGCCATTCAAGACGAGCTGCAACATTTTAAGAGCTTGATTCAAACACAGAAGATTATCGAGGGTACATGGACTATTCAACAGGTTATCGAGACCAAGCGATCACTTCTTTTGGTCAAAGATGATACCGAGAAGATAATTAAGACCACGGATGACATTAAAGACAAGGTTGGGACTTTATCCGCGGAACAACAGAAGCGTCGAACCGAACAGACGACCAAGAACCACCTGGAGAAGATTCGAAATACCCTGGGAATCTCGGAAAACGAAGTCACAAGCGCAATCAATGTTTGCGACAGTCTGTGGAAAAGTACCGTCAAGGGGAGTGGAGAATGGTTGAATCAAGTGGACGTATATGTCAATTGGGTCAAGAGAGATCCCCCGGAGACAAGTCCTGTGCTTCTCTTGACTGGCGACGGTGGGTGTGGAAAGTCAGTGCTTGCATCAGTTGTCTACAAAAATCTTGATAAACGATCATCCTCTTTGGCTCCGGAGACCGAACGGACGCTGGTTCAAAACGAAGGACGGACGCTTGTCGCTTACTATGCCTTCTCTCCCACAGGAAAGATTGACGACGACAAAACTCCTGCCGAGACAGCATTGAAGTGTCTGTGTGTTCAACTTGCTCTGCAAGACGCCGCGTATGCAAAGTGGCTAGCAGAGAGCTTCAAGGATAGCGCAGATGGAGCTAAGGATGGATCAGATGTTCCCAAAGACCTCACGAAAGATGCGAAGTACTTCCGGGATGCAGACTGTCAACAGCTTTGGACCGACCTGAGACTTGGAGCCCCCACACAGACTGCAACCCACTTTTTGTTGCTTGATGGGATGGACAATCTGCCAGCAAACAAGCTACAGGAGCTTGGAAGAGTCTTCCAAGGGATCCATGAAGCTCAAGGCTCTAACCCTCGCAAGAAAACACGCAGCGGAGCTAGAGTGCTTGTGTGTGGCAGCATACAGAAGCTAGAGAACCTGGGGGAAGCGCCTGCTGAACCATTAGCGTTCCCTGGGATTGACGTTGGATCATGCAATGGAGATGACATCGACAAATACATCGAGCGCGAGCTGCAAAACTCGGATCTATTCCAAGCAGCCAATGCGCAGAATCGACGACTCAAAGAAGAAGTCCAGGCCGGACTCAAGACACGCGCGGAGGGCTCTTTCACTCAAGTGCGAAGCGACATCGGCATGGTCAAGGGTATTGTAGAGTCTGAGATGACGGAGGACGATCTGAAAAAGGCTCTGAGCGCAACCAAGAAGAATGCCAAGGCCACGGTCACCGACGATATCGCATCTCTCGAAGCCTTGCCCAACAACCAGAATCTCGTCGAGGAGGTGAATGAACTGCTCCTCTGGGCCTATCTTGGACCTTACTATTACAGCGTTGAAGAGCTCGAAGGAATCCTCTTCCTTCGCTTTGAAGCGACATCCCTCAAGTCTCTACGAGAAAAGCTCCAGGGAACATACTCGAAGCTTTTCGTTATTGACTCGGACGGAGACGTCCTGCTGCAGGAACATGTCTGGGATACTGTTACGCTGGAGGACCGCGCGCAGAAAAGAGCTTCCAATGAACGCACAATCAGCATCAATATTACAATCACCAATGCCGACACGGAAAGCATCCAGCGCTTCTTCTGGGATTTGGGCCGGTTTGGCGCCATCGATCAGTTCAAATTCGCTCCAACTGGCATCACCGCCGATTCGTCCGGCTTCAGTCCCACCCAGAAGAAACGTATCGGGATCAACGATATCGACTCCCACATGACTATGCTCAAAACTGTATTCTCACTCCTCTTCAACGCACCGAATGAAACGACAGAGCTTGTCGGACCGAAACTTTTGGCCGGTCTCACATCGCACTTGGATAAATTGCGCACCGCAACGGAGGCTGATGAGCTGAGTGCCGATGAGAGACGTTTCATCGCGAGGAACCTCCTTGATGTCTTCCATAACCCTGAACACCTGGAGAAGCATTGGAAGAGCACTGAGCTGCTTGGCTGGACGGAGAATCAATCCGAAATGGACTATATTTGGGGCTGGCTGAAGGATCCGGTAGCTATCAGCAAGCTTGAATCATCCAAGGCAGAGTGGCTCGCTGCTGCGACTGATGATTGGAATCCAACGAGAAAGTTGTTGACCCCGTTCATGAAAATGCTTGCCCGTCGATGGTTGCAAGACAGGGAATGGCAGCCACTTCGGCCCTGCGCTACAATTTTGAATGCACTGATAATGGTATGTTTGATCTCAGATATCTGGCTTTAGGTATATGGGGTATTTGAGCTTACTTTCTCCATAATATAGACTTCAGACGACAACCGAGGTATTTCCGATGCAGTAAACGTGGAGAACGACGCGTATATGTCTATCAAACGCGACGAACTCGACCAAATTCGGCCCTTCCTGATCGAGAAAGCGTCCAACTGGAGCAAAATTGCTCTTGAGATCGAGGAGACGGATTTCGTCTGGCATGTAAGACTTGGAGAGACCTACAATGGATGCCAGCAACCAGAGAAAGCCCGTGAAGAATATGGCAAGGTAAGATCGCTTTGTATAGCACTTCGATAAACACAGATACTGGACTCAATCAGTGCTGATGTGATATCAGGCCGCGAAAATCCTTCAGGATGACGAAGCATCCGGAAAAGAAATTGACAAGAAAGAACTTCGCGATATCTTCCTTCAAATGGGAAGACTGTCTGCGGGTGAAGAAGAGCTTGAGTACTATGAAAAGGCCCGTGAACTCGACCCTGAACACATTGAAACTCGGTATCGCATTCTCAAGAACCGTATTTCCAACTGTACGGTTGAGGGCCAGGCAGCCGTTGTCCGGGAGGCACTCACCACTGAAGATGGACTGCACCCGGGCCTCTTGGAACCTATCCTGGAGCTAGTCATTGACGACTACAAAGCCGAAGTTAACAGTGACTTGGCTATATTCACCACATTCAACGCAGTCATTTCCGGTGCATCGCTCATCCCGGAATGCTGGCCCGAGCTGCTTCAATGTATGGATAAAGCAATTGAAAGCGCCGAGAGTGAAAGTCGTCCCGAAGACCTTGCAATTCTCCATCTACACAAGGGTATTGCGGCTTCCCTCTGTGGTGAGGATCACACATCGACAAAATCTGAAGTGGAGCACTGGCAAAAGTGCTGGACAGTTGCGCGGGAGAATAACTCTGTGAAAGCGGCTAACAGCGCCACGGCACTTTTGATCGGCGAGAACAGCGATGCTAGAAGTCTTTCCAGTTGTCTCTTGATTCTCGTCGGCGATATACTTAGCAAGTATCACTTTGATCAAACTCGCCTCTTATCCGACGGAGATGAACAATCCATTCAGAACCAGATCAAAGAACTGGAGAGGATTGCCACGGATCAATTACCGGACGGAATGTCAGGTTGGACAAGAGCCAAATGCTATCTCGCTTCTCAATACGTGCTGCGTAACCAGGTCACCCAGGCCCAGGCTCTCTTCCGGTGGGACATGGCAGTCGCCCTCACCATCCTCACCGATGATGACTCCGGAAATGACTGGGTAGGCTATAGCAAGCTTGCCCATCTCCTGACCCACGTGGGTGATTACGAGAATGCCGGCGTAGCATACAAGCTCATCCCAAGCGCCTTCCTGAACCAAGAGATTCTAGCAGAACTATTGAACATTGGTGACGAAGCAGCAGCCACAGCCGCAACAAAGGTCATCACGGACTTCTATGCCTCAAACTGCTCGGAAGATGAAACCCCCCTAATCCAGGTCATCACACTTCAGAGCGAAGTTGCCCGACTCGCCGAAAAAGCGACGGAAGAAGAATCCCCGCACTGGAAAGAACTCGCCAGAATCCTGAAGGGATTCAACGACGTCCTCATGCTGGAGTGGTTCATCCAATGCGACGGCTGTGAAGTCCACTGCGGATTCGACGAGACCTTCTGGGCCTGCGGGTTCTGCTTCTGCACGCATTTCTGCGAGAGCTGTCACCAGAGAATAACTTCAAAGGAGAATATTTCTCAGGGACGGCCTAAGCTGCTTGTTTGTAGCGAGTCGCACGATTGGTTCCGTCTGCCTGTTTGGGATGCGAAGAGATTTGCGTGGGCTTGTCGCGGACGAGTTCCGGCTATTGAAACGGATGGGCAGCTTGTGATTTCTGCGGAGGGTGAGGCTATTCCTGTGCGGAAGTGGTTGGGATATTTGTGTGGGAAATGGGAATTGAATAAGGAGGATTGGAAACTTGAATGATGTTGGTTATGATTTCTGACTAGAATTGTTGATAGCTATTGGAATATCAAGTGTCCTTCTGTGAAGGGAATCGAGACTATATGGATACCTCCACTTAATGAAAAGGAGCACCGTTTGAAGGCCACAACACAACATTTATATTGAGAGGCTGTGGGGTTTCACAATCATTTCACAAATGATTATCTAGACTAGTCTTCTACCAATTTCAGGATGTCCCTTTCGCGGGCGGATGGCGCTGGCGAAGCGGTACTCTTCGGAGCACCAGCCAACTTATTCGTCCCCTCTTTTTTTGCCGCGGTTGTCGGATCGTTCCTCGAACATATCGTTCTTTTTGCGCATCAATCGTCTTTGCTCTATTTGTATGGCAGTTTGTTACAGGCAAACAAATATAGATATCGACAACAGTCTTACCTCTACTAGTCCAAACTACATGTAAGTGACACGTTGATATCCGAGCTAGATACAGAAATATTGATGATATTGACTGTAATAGTAAATAGGCAGAAGCACGAACTCATGAAAGAACAGGAGGCTGATGAAGAAAAAAAAAGCATCAAAGGCAGATTGGGTATACATCTCGAATTGTCATCGACTGTAAGAAAAAGCAACGCAAGACAGATGTAACAATAGAAAAGGGTGACAGAGGCGTCTTTTTGCAAGGAGTAGTAGAACAATAAGAAGATACCGCCGTGAAAAGATCAAAAAAAGGCAGATGTCCCCACGCGACTCGGAATTGGAAGGAAAAAGAATCTAGATCATCCTCGACGGGAGGATCGACGAGTCGGCAATGTTGTTGTAGTTGGTTGCTTTGCACGAGTATTGCCCCTTGACCCGGATGCCTTCGCCTTCGGCTTTGGACCACGCTTTGCCGGGACTGGAGGAGAATTCTCTTTCTCGCTGGAGTCCTCGGCATTTTCTTCCTCTTGGTCATTGTTCTCGTCATCCTCGTCCTGCATCTCCTCGTCCGAGTCTTGGACTTCCTCTTCCTCGTCATCGTCATCATCATCCTGGTCCTCAGCTTCTTGGACCTCCTCCCACTTCTCCATCTCCTGGTCGTCCTCATCGCTGTCCTTGTCGGCATAGCTGACACCCTGCTTGCTGGTGCCGCGGCTACTACGTCGACGGGCAGAGCTAGACTTGGGCTTGTCATCGTCAGAGCCCACATCGGACGGCCATTCGTCATCTCCTGTGCGCTTGCGCCGGGGCTTGCTGACACCAACAGAGGATGTGGACTTGCGAGGCGGCCGGCCAGGTTTCTCCTTGCGGGGCTTCTTCGACGCGGACGAGTTACCGTTCGCATCAGCAGACTCGGGCTTGCGCTTCTTCACATATCCGCTTTGTGCGCTGTGAGAAGAGCTCTTGGGCTTCATGGCAGCCCGCACCACGCGGTCGAGACGATCGTCAATCTCATCAGGGAGGAAGTTCTTGTCTGCAACGTCCTGGGCCTCGCGGTGGCTGGTCATCGAGGAGAAAAGAGAGCTGGGAACACCCATTTTTCCAGGATATGTCTGGAGAAGGTTCGTAGCACCGCTGCTACCACCACCAAACTTGTGTTGTTGGGAGTAAATATCAGCAAAGCGTCGGATCGTAGCTTGCGCGAGGTCGGAAAGAGTGTGAAGGCGAGTGGAGATCTCATCGGACTTGGTGATACCGTCGCGGAATTGCTTGACGCGCTGGGCAACGTGGAAGATCAGGGACATGTTATGCTCATTGGCCACGGCAGAAAGATAGTAGATAATATACTGCGCAAAGTCACTCAAATCGCCCAGCCTCGTGGACTCGTCAAGCTCATCGGATGGGTAGTCGGGGTGGTAGGCAAGTAGGGACAAGAGACGGGAGAAGATCAACTCCATCACCATCGTCTGTTCAGTCCTCTTTCCACTTGCTTGGGCCTGTTGAGAGTAGAAGGCGGCACGGGATCGCAGCCAGGTAAGCGTACTCTCCTTCAAGGTCTTGCTGGGCTCGAAAGCGAGAAGACAGGGAATGATGTACCAGCGATGGCTTAAGTGTGTCCGCTGCACGAGCTTCTTCTTGAGGTGATTGATGAACGCACTGCGCACCGGAAGAAGTCGATCTTGTGCCATCAGCGCGATCGAGTTGAAGTTCGCCGGAGTAAGGAGTTGGTCGCACAGTGCTCCAGTAGAACACAGCTTGACGAGGGACTTTGCAGCAAGAAGGCGGAGGCGCGACTTTTGAGTCGCCGGAGTATCCTTTTTCTTGGACAATTCACCCTCGCCTGCGACCAACTTGTTCAGAGTGTCGTAAACAGGCTCGGCATGTGCACGGAAATCATCATCACCGTCTGATCCATCCTTAGCCCGAAGACGATTCACAATGATCTTGAGTGCCCATTCCTTAGCCTGCGTCTCCTCATCCGCGGTCTCAGACCAGCTGTACTCGGGATCATTCTCAGGAGCGCGGTTAGTCAGGAGGACTTGGTTGATAGCGATGGAAATAATAGCGTCGCTCTCCTCATCAGCCTCCCTCGGTGCGAGAAGGTTCAGTTGCGATAAGGCGGCGAGACGAGTAAGGAAGTGGTCAGAACCATAGGACCACTTCTTAACACACTTTTGAACGAGGTCCTTGGCGTACATCTCCTTACGATCGGCCGTGGCCATGAGAATAGAGACGGCATGCTTGGCAGAAGCGGGCGAGGTGCTGTACAACGCGTAGTTGGTAAGAGCTTGGAAAAACTTGCGCTCCTTTGGAAGCTTGGCTGGGAGCTTCTTAGCGAAACCAGCGCAAGCCTTGAGGATCTCTTCGGTGCTAGCATCACCGGGCGAGTTTGCCTTTGGAGCATGTGCTTCGAGATCCTTGCACATTTCTTGGACCTGTGCCTCCAAGACCTCTGGGTTCTGCGAGGAAATTTGCTTGAGCATCTCCTGCGCGGCATTTGCCAAGCCATTCTCGTCGGTCCGAGAGAGGCTCATGATAGCCGGGATGTGACTCCGGTTGAAGATGAGCGAGCTGGAGCGGTATAAGAGAGGTGTGATGGTCTCGAGGAGGGGGGTATTGTTGGCACTTTGTGCACGTCGTTGCAGCTCTCTGATGGCCTTGATCACGGTACGATAATCGCTAACGGCTGCCATGGCAAAGCGAATCAGCTGATAGCTGCGACGGTCATGGACCTTGGCAAACTTCCACAGGTCCGCAGAGGCACGCGACGTATCTGGGAAGGTCTTGGACAACGATTCAATGATCCGTGAAAGCTGGGCCTTGACCTGCTCTTCATCCTTATCGACAACACCGCCCTGAACACAGCCATGTCAGTAACCATATTGAAATTGATAGACAGAAGATTTTAAATACTCACGTTGTACTTCTCACAGGCTTCCAGGTAGAGCGTCATCGCTGACCTCATAGACAGTTGACGTGCAAGCATGACAAAGAACACTCTTCGGGCCTTCTCATCCAGACCTCGAAGTAGCGTAAGAATTCGACGAACACGAATCTTATCGACATCGTTTTCCTGCTCGGGCTCAGAGGCCTGGCTATCTTTTTGCTTCTGCGACTGGTTCGATGCGGATCGAGAAAGTTTCGTCTTGATAGGGGGGTAATTGAGGGGGAGGAGGGTTTCGAAAAGGACTCGGTCAATCAGAATATGGATCTCCTGATCGTTGGTGTAGAACGCATCAAAGATTTTGGATGGCGCATCCTTCAACAGAGACACCGCGGGTTCAGTGTTCTGCTCAATCTCACCAGCTGCAACCGCCCACATGCGTGCAAGGATTTTCATCGCATGCTCACGGACTTGAGGCTTCCGATCCTTGACTCGCTCTGCGAGAATTGCAAGAACGGAGTTTTCGGTAGAGCACCCGCCTTTCATTCCCAACTTGTGAACAACATGGGACAGCCCGAACTGCCCAACGGTATCAACTGCAGCAACACGGACCTTCTCATCGGCATCACGAAGCATGTCGGCGAGACTCTCGACAAGTGATTGTTCCTCATGGTCACTCAAACCAGAGCCGCCGGCAGAAGTCAACAGAATCCGGCCCACAACGGTGGCCCATGCAGCGCGCACTGAAGGGGTCTTGTCGAGTCTTCGGCTCAAGAAGGCCTCGTAAGCTGAGGCGTGAACTTGCGAGAAAGGCTTTGGGGAGACTGGCGTCAAAAGAACACTGGTCTGAGTGACAATTTGCGACAATTCCTCCAATGTGACAGGCGGGTATGCTGCGGGATCCATAGCCGGAGGCGGAGGTGGACCTGCAACACCAATGCCCGCCGCAAGATCACCAATAGTCTGGGTGGCCAGCAACCGCAGAGCAACTGATTCCGCAGACAATTCAGCTTCCACTTGCGGGATAACATTTTGCAAGACTTCCGGACAGGCGCGCCATAGCTCTCGAATCAAACGATGCGCCTTGCTCAGTTCCTTAATATCCTCACCCTCCTCATCCGAGTCATCGAGGTTCGGTTTGCGACTGCCCTTAGCTCCATTTGCTTGGTTGGAGCCACCAGAGGCATCGATGATGACATTGTTGAAATACTGGCTGATATGGCTGGTCATTCGCTCTGGGCAAGCCTGGCAAATCGCCTTGGCCATGTTGTAGGCTGGGGGATAATCCTTCAATAGGAGGGTATCTTGCTTGGCGTCCAAGGGTGCGTCGGTCCGCTTGCCTTTCTTGGGGTTGTCCAGCACTCGAGGGTCAACCCGCAGGAACTGCGCCACGATGGTGTCGACGACTTCTGCAGCCAAAACTGGTGTCTCATCGATGACAGTAACCAAAAGTCGAGTCATGTCGAACTCAACACCCTTGGCAACTTCCTCACCGGTGGAGGCCTTGGATGATCCCGAGACAATATCGAAGCAGGCGGTGAAAAGGGGGACAATGAGCGAATCCGGGTGATCAAGATCCGTCATGAGAACGATACTCTTGACCTCGGCGAGTGAGCCCAAGACGTAAATATGCTGCGCATTGTAGGCGTTGGATGGATCGGCGAGTGCGGGGATGATGGAGGTGACCACGCAAGTGAAGATATCCTAAGGGCGAGAATCCAATGTCAGCTCCACATACAAACCATCAGAATAGCTTCTGCATTCCCATCCTCAATTGCCTGATTGAGCGCGCACCTTGAGCTGATTCCTGGTAAAGGGCGCGTCCGGCGCGCAAAGTCGCAAGACATCGACAATGCAGCAGGTGGCCCAGGCCCGGACACCCCTATCCTTATGCGCTAGCAAATGAGCACTGGCGAGCTCTTGGGAGACCTTGGTCAGAGATTCCTTGTCAATTTCTTCCTGTTCGAGTTTGCGAAGTTCCTGGCCGAGGGTCTGCAGGCGTTCGAGGAGATCGGCAATGGGGATGGCGGAGCGCCCCACGCGCCAGGAGAGCGGCTGATTGAAGGACAGGCTGCGAAGGCCAGTCTCTTCTTCAGGCTCATCAGCAGGACCTTGGCGAGTGCGCGAAGGCATGATGACGGTAACCGCGCTCACATGGGACTAGTGAGGGAGGTGGGAGAGTTGACGCGGTGCAAAAAGGGTGGAGAGAGTCAAGGTTGACCGCCCGGGGGACGCGTCGCACGGGATCGCGTCGGCCCTACAAAAAAAGGTGGGCCGATAAAGTTGAAGGAGAGCTTTTTGATCACTTTGGAAGACCAATTAGGAAGAACTTGTTTGAACATTTTATGCAGGATACTTTGAAATGCTCTCCATGTAGTGTTACAGTGATTCTGTCTATTGCTTGACTGCAGCAGGTGGAAACAGAGCCATTGTATCCGTTTGTAGCTGCCTGTACATGCATATAAACACATAAATGTGCACTTCACACACTCATTCGGTGTCTATAGGTATCAACAGACTAAAGACTGATCACTCCCTAGTTAAAGAACAGTCCGGTGGTCAGAATTCTCAATCCATAACCATAAATAAACCCACTTTTGGTAGATGGTCCTAATCTTTGAGGTCTCTCTTCTCCATATCCCTCCTATGTTGTATCTCTTTGTTTCGACTGCTTTTTGAGTTATTCAGCGGGATGATGCAATGCGCAAACTATCCTCTGTTCAATAATCTGCTAAACTAGAATAGCTCATACGTGCCACTTAGCATTGAGATTAGTAAGGTTAGAACAGGTACCTACTGTAGGTACCCAACAGGCAAAAGAGAACCTATAAGCAGGTATGCCGGTACCATACATAGTTAATGCCGCGAGCCTTACCAGGCAGGGTCTTTGTCTGACACAAAGAATGCAAAATGAGATGCATCATCTATCCTACCTGGGATGGAATTAACGTGAGGACCTTCCAAGTAGGAAGACAAGATGAGTAATCTAGAATATAGATTCGTCATTCTTTGCTGTATAACATCACTGATCATGCAAGCAATATCGCAAGAGCCTGATTACATATTCCAATAATATTAGGCTTCCACGGTTCCGGAGAGTAAGAGAAGAGCTTAGCTTTAACCCCGCGACATGGACCCCTACTCCTCAGTATTGTAAGTAAGTATAGACAAGAGGGGCCCGAACCTGTATCCATCGGGCACATGTATGGACGGACATAAGTGACATGAGTCACGGAGTGTCCCGTGCATCTTGAAGGATTAGAGAATATGTACTAAGAATGTTGTATAGCATAGCATAATGTACAGTACAGTAGTATCAGATCTGGTTTAACGTTACAGCCTTTGAGCCTAGGCTGTTAAGTAATCGGAAGTCGCCAGAATAACATCTGCCGAGTGGATCCACTCGGCCTTTCGGGCCCACCGAAGACCGACCCCGAAGCCTTGAGACCGAATCTTGGAATCAGAATATCAACCAATCACCATCCAGTTTGTGCTCTTTTTTACTTCTTTTTCCTTTCCCCTGTGGCAACTACGTAATCCAACAGTCTTCACTATGCAAACCATCTCTCTCATACGATCTGACCACTAACTGACTAAAATCCCATTTCCAGACTAGCACTACGCCTCTCAAGCCCGCCTTTTCTTAGCTCACAACGTGCAGACGGACCAGATCTTAGCCACCCCCAATGTATCAAACCGAAGACCGGGAAACCGGCACAAGGATACTGCTGCAATACTAGTCACCCTCGCACCTCGCTCTATCGCGTCTTCGGACTTAGTCCCAGACGGAGTCCATCAACGGATATAGCCAGTAAAGTGGATCTTTGCGTGATGGTTCCAGGCTTTCTAATCCACTTGATGGGTCCCCGCGAGGTTTTCTGTGTGTCTCCGTTTCTCTTAGCTCCGGACTATGTCGTTCTGGAAGATCCACGAGGTGAAAAAGGGCAGTCGTAATGGCGCTTAAAGACTGTCCCATGCCCCCCGTGGATAAGGGGTTCTCTTTTCTTCAGATCATTTTATAATCAACTACAGTGGGTTGAGAGCTGTGTTGAGAAAGTGTGTTTGATATAGCGCCTACTACAGAATCAACAGTTGCTTGCCAACAACCTCCCGTTCTATACTCCTGTGTCATAGCCTACAAGGCTTGCACCATAATGACTACCAGTCAAGCATTTGATTCAACGACAACGACACCTCGTCTCAGCATGGAGCACCGCGAGCCTCTAAACGAGCCCTATGTGGCTGCCGATGCCACTACCAAGGAGACATCCCAAGCACCCCTAGAGGAAAACGACCACGACCACGACACCGATGTCGAGAGCGCACAGAACCAACCACTACCCGAGAAACCCACCGAGAAAGATCCCAATCTCGTGGAATGGGATGGCCCCGACGACCCCGAGAACCCTCAGAACTTCTCCCGTCGACGCAAGTGGATCATCACCGTGGTCATGTCCTCGATGACCATGTGGATCACATTTGCAAGCAGTGTCTTCTCAACAGCCACCGTGGTGACCGCAAAGGAATTCAACGTCTCCACCGAAGTGATGACTCTAGGAACGAGTTTGACCGTCTTCGGTTTCGCCTTAGGCCCTCTCTTCTGGGCGCCAGTCAGCGAGCTCTACGGACGCCGTCTCCCACTCTTCTCAGGCTATGCCATCTTCGCCATCTTCCAGATCCCCGTCGCCGTAGCGCAGAACCTCCAATCAATCATGATCTTCCGCTTCCTCATCGGCGTCTTCGGCTGTTCCCCCCTCGCCGTCGTCGGCGGTGCAATGGCTGATATCTGGGACCCTGTCGACCGCGCCGTCGCCATCGCAATCTTCTCCTCAGCAACTTTCCTAGGACCCGTCCTCGGCCCCATCATCGGCGGTTTCATCACAGACTCCTACCTAGGCTGGCGCTGGACCGCCTGGATCACACTCATCACATCCTCCTCCTTCGGCCTGCTCGCCCTCATCGTCGTACCGGAAACCTACGCCCCCAAACTCCTCCAACAACGAGCAGCCCGTCTCCGCCGCGAAACAAAGAACTGGGCTCTCCACTCCTTCCTAGACGAACACGAGCCCACGCTCGCCGAAATCGGCCAGAAGTACCTCCTCCGCCCAATCCAGATGCTCATCATGGAACCAATCCTCATCTGCATGACCATCTACCTCGCCCTCGTCTACGGGATCCTCTACCTCTTCTTCGAAGCCTACCCAATCTCCTTCAACGAAGTCCGCGGCTGGAAGAGCCTCGGCGTCGCAGCCCTTCCCTTCATCGGAATCATGATCGGTGTCCTCTGCGGCGCGGGCCTTATCATTTACACAACCAAGACCCGTTTCGCACGTAAACTGGCCAAGCATGGCAAGGTCGTTCCGGAGGAACGTCTCGTGCCGATGATGGTCGCTTCGGTCTTGTTGCCTATCGGCCTGTTCTGGTTTGGTTGGACCTCCGACCCGAACATCCACTGGGCACCGCAGGTTATCGCCGGTATCCCTATTGGATTGGGTATTCTGGTGATTTTCATGCAGGGTCTCAACTACATTATTGATGTGTATATGATGTTTGCCAATTCGGCTATTGCGGCGAATACGCTTATTCGTTCCGCGCTGGGTGGTGCGTTCCCGCTCTTTGCGACGCAGATGTATACCAACCTTGGTGTGGATTGGGCATCGAGTGTGTTGGGTTTCATTACTATTGCGATGATTCCCATTCCTATTCTGTTCTTCTTCTATGGCGCTAAGATTCGCGCTATGAGTCGATTCACTCCCAAGTTCTAAAAGTGTGTGATTCCTGCTTTTGGAGCATCCGAGCATCAACATGTGTTGATGTTCGCCATCTACTTGCACAGTTGGCGTTGGTTTTGTTTTTATTCTTGATTTTTGGCGCTGCATTCTAATGACCTAGAGCTTACGGGCATACTATAGACATAATGGACTACTTACATACGATATTGGAATAATCATTGTAACCCGAGAAAGCTAGGATGTACGGTAGTCCCACTAGGAGGTCACCCCAATTAAACACTTGTAATGCTTCTAAGACTGTCTCGAAGTCATGACTAGAGATGACAGGATGTTGGCAAGCCAAACCACGAATTGTCAACATTTGTCCATGTCTGCCGCGACCAGGGTATTGGACCTAGTTGTAGAGACAGTCATGTGGTTGGTGATGGTGGAATTCGTATGACGCCTCCAGATGGATATTGCACTACAATGAAAGAATTTCTACTGTCAAAATCTACGAGGCAAATCCTGTTCAACATAAAGATTTCTCTTGTATGAGTATTATGACACACTGTATGAGGGCAAGGGCGAGAAAAAACAAATGAAAGAAAAGGATCTAGTTCCCCCCTCAAAGCAAAATCCCCCCTGCCATCAACAAAGCACGATCTACTCATGATGAATCTTTGGCGCAAGGGGAAAGACCCCGGCCAAGAACGTTCTGATCGGCCTATTAGGGAAAAGGAAAAACGCAAATCGTCAACTTGAGTGCAGGATATCAAGAACCCATTTAGTCGTAGAGGCTGTCATCATTACCGGCGTCACCGAAGGTGTCATTGTTTTGAATCTCACCGGCAGACGGGAAGCGGAAGAAGCTGCTACCACCAGAGTTCTTCAGGCTCTGGGCGAAGGCCTCGTAACGGCGGATCTCAACATCGCTGACAGAGCGACGAGCGGTCTTCATGGCCTCCTCGAAGTGAGCGCGGGTCAGCTCGGGGACAAGGTCCTCCTCCTCAACATCGCCCTCTCCCATGGTGACATCCTCACCAGCGGCCTCGCGGGCACGGGTGCGCTCGATGTCCAGGGAGATGGCCTCCTTGATGGCGAGCTTGACGGCACGCTGGGTCACGAAGCCAAGATCGGCACCGGAGAAGCCGTGGGTCTTGCTGGCGATGAAGGCCATGTCGACGTCGGAAGCGACAGGGGTCTTGCGCAGCTGAGCCTTGAGAATAGACTCGCGGGACTCCTGGTCGGGCAGAGGAACGTAGACCAATGTGTCAAGACGACCAGGGCGGACCAGGGCAGCGTCCAATTGCTCGGGACGGTTGGTAGCACCAATGACGAAAACGTTCTTCTTGGAGGTCATACCATCCATCTCTGTAGATAAATTATTAGTAGGAGCTCGGAGACCTCATTCACAGTTTAGCATTTGAGTAAAACTTACCAGTCAGAAGCTGGTTGACAACACGGTCGGAAGCACCGCCGGCATCACCCTGAGAACCACCACGAGACTTGGCAATGGAATCCAACTCGTCCAGGAAGACAACGCAAGGAGCAGCAGCGCGAGCCTTGTCGAAGATGTCACGGATGTTGCTCTCAGACTCACCGAACCACATGCTCAAAAGCTCGGGACCCTTGATGGAGATGAAGTTGGCAGCGCACTCGTTGGCGACAGCCTTGGCCAACAGGGTCTTACCAGTACCAGGAGGACCATAGAACAGAACACCACGAGAAGGCGAGAGACCGAACTTCTGGAACTTCTCGGGGTGGTCCACGGGGTACTGGACGGACTCGATAAGCTCGCGCTTGACCTCCTCGAGACCACCAATGTCGTCCCAGCGGACGTTGGGGACCTCGACAACGGCAACCTCACGGAGAGCGGAGGGGTTGGAGACGCCGAGGGCGTAGCGGAAGTTCTCCATGGTAACACCCAGGGAGTCGAGAACCTCGGCATCAATGGTGTCCTCATCAAGATCGATCAGATCCATCTTCTCACGGATCTGCTGCATGGCAGCCTCGGAGCACAGGGAGGCCAGATCGGAACCAACGTAGCCGTGGGTCTCGGCAGCAATGGTCTCCAAGTCAACATCCTCACCCAGCTTCATGTTCTTGGTGTGGATCTGCATGATCTCCAGACGGCCAGTGGGGTCGGGAATGCCGATGTCGACCTCGCGATCGAAACGGCCGAAACGACGAAGGGCAGGGTCAATGGAGTTGGGACGGTTGGTGGCGGCCATGACGACCACGTTGGAACGGGCCTTCATGCCGTCCATGAGGGTCAACAGCTGGGAGACGACACGGCGCTCGACCTCACCGTTGGTCTTGTCACGCTTGGGGGCGATAGAGTCGATCTCATCGATGAAGATGATGGCAGGGGAGTTCTTCTCGGCCTCCTCAAATGCCTTGCGAAGATTGGACTCGGACTCACCGGCCATCTTGGACATGATCTCGGGGCCGTTGATGAGGAAGAAGAAAGCACCGGTCTCGTTGGCGACGGCACGGGCCATCAAGGTCTTACCAGTACCGGGGGGACCGTACATGAGGATACCACGAGGGGGCTTGATACCGATAGACTTGAAGAGTTGAGGGTGACGGAGAGGCAGCTCGACCAATTCACGGATCTGAGCCATCTGTTTCCGGCAGCCACCAATATCATCGTAGCCAACCTCGTTCAAGTTGCCCTCCTCATCCTCTCGTTGGATGGGCTCACCCTCGCAATGAATAACTGTGTCCTGCGCAACGATACCATACTCTGGGGGATCAACCTCCACCACCTTGAACTCCACCTGTCGCATACCACCACGGACAGTGAATGTATCGCCAATTCGCAGGGGGCGGTAGGCTTCGCGGAAGTAAGGTGCAAGGTAGACATCGAAGAGAGAGCCGGTCAGGCCCTCGATGGTATCGGCTATTGGGAGCACAGCGATGCGCTTAGCCTAAATGGCCGAACAAAGGATGTTAGTGTGATTCCACTGCCCAAGATCAGCCCTTCCCAAACTGGGACTATACGTACATATTTAATATCGGGGCAAGGGTGAACGGTGATGATATCGCCGTGCTTGACGCGGAGGTTGTGGCGCACAACACGGTTGATGCGGGCACTGCCGTCATCGAGATCATCGTCGGCCAAGACAATCAGCACAGTGTCCTTGCGCTTCTTGCCCTTGACCAAAACTGTGTCACCACGGAAGAGCTGGAGGGTCTCCATGGTGTTGTTGGAGAGAGCAATAACGGAGTTGTCATCGTTGACGGAATCGGTCACACTGTATTGAATGAGCTCTTAGCTTCTTCTTCTTCTTCTTCTTCTTCTTCTTCTTCTTCTTCTTCTTCTTCTCATCAAGAGGACACGGGCTCCAACTGGGGGCATCCTTACATCAACGAGTTGGGCTTCTTCTTCTTCTTAAGGATAGCAGTAGAAGTGTCGAGCTCCTGTTGACGCTGGGTTAGCTATTTGCCGCCTGCGAGAGATGGGCTGTTGGCAATTGGGGATTCAACTGACTTCCTTCTTCTCAGCGCCGGAGGCGTCCCTGCAAGTTCAAGAGTTAGCCACGAGCCATGTATCACAGAATGCGGCACAATGAACGTACTGGAGGTTGACCCTCTTCTTCTCATGGGTGTGATCCGGCTCCGCAGACATGATGAAGGATCTGAGGCTGTGACGTTGGATGGGGAACGGAGCTGGGGAACGGGAAGGGTTTAGGTGTCCACAACCAAGCAGATCAGCTCGAGTGGATGAAATCGAGAAATGAAAACGGAGAGAACGATGATAGAGATGGAGAAAGGGATAACCGGCAGATCAGCGAGCGAACCTGACGGTGGATGAGATGTGAGAGGTAAGGTGTTGAGCTTCGCAGGTACCCGGAGAGGCAGTGAGTGACGATATGTGCTGAGCTAAGCCGCTCATATTATGTCAGCTGCCCGACCGCCACGGGAATTGTTACACACACAGCAGCTTTTGCTAGCCGCACAGCAATTATGTAATATCCCGCATCACATAATCAATTTTGCCAAGAATCCTTACCATACATTACCACAGCAACTGCATTACTTACCACTACAGCAACTACATTCTATCTACTACTACTACTATAAGGGCTTTTCTTTCACTGATTCCATCTCTCTTCATTCAATTGATCTCTCTTCATTCAATTGATCTCTCTTCATTAAATCATGAACCCGCCAGCTGAGCAAGTCTTCGAGAGTAAAGAGAAGCTCCTTGCTTCTATCCAACAGCATGCTCTTGCTCATGGATATGCGATAACTACTGTCTCATCAAGTAGAGATAGAAATATCACTCTTGGATGTGATAGAGGAGGTTACTATCACGATCAGGTCAATGCTCCAGATAGGGCGAAGCGCCGGAAAACTAGTACAAAACGAATTGGCTGCCCTTTTCGCCTCTATGCGAAAAAGCTTGGAAGCGATCAGTGGGAAATTCAGGTTAGAAATCCAAACCATAATCATGAAGCTGACGATAATATGATAGCACATCCAATAGCACGACGTCGCCAGTTTACCGAAGACCAAAACCAAACTATTCAGCATCTAATTGATGTCGGCTCAAAGCCACAGTCTATCTTAAGACTTATGCGAAAGGATACTGATATCTTGATTAAACCAAGAGATATCTATAATATTCGAGTCGAATCAACCCGCAAGAAACTTGGAAATAATACACCGCTTGAATTTCTAAGAGAGTCACTTCAAAATAACGATTGGAGATATGCATTTAAGCAGGATACTGAAGGCCATATCCTTTTCTTTATGTTTGCTCACCCTAAATCAATAGAATATGCTAATCAATATAATAAGGTCTTTTTATTAGATTGCACTTATAAAACAAATCGCTATAAGATGCCGCTTCTTCATATTATCGGTCTATCGCCATCGAATTCGTTATATAGTATTGCTTTCTGCTTTATGCAAAATGAGCAGGAAGAAAGCTATAAGTGGACTCTACAGACCTTCTTTTCATGGCTTAATCCTTTACCCTTTCCCCCAGTTCTTTGCACTGATAGAGATCTTGCTTTATTAGGTGCAATTAAATCGATCTATCCAAAAAGCCTACATTTACTATGCGTCTGGCATATTAATAAGAATGTGCTTGCAAAGACGAAGCAATATTTCTCTTCGAATGAGGAATTTGAAGCTTTTATACAATCGTGGAAAAGCCTTATTAATTCAACTACTACTATTGAATATCAAGATCAACTAGCTAAGTTTGAGACTAGATTTAGTCTTACTCCTGCTGCTCTTCGATATGTGAAACAAACCTGGCTAACCTATAAAGAGATGTTTATCAGGGCGTGGGTAGGGCAATATCTTCATTTTGGAAATTGGGCAACCTCACGGGTAGAAGGCTCTCATGCTATTTTAAAAAAGTATATAGGGACATCAACAGGTGATATCCTCTTTGTTTTCGAACGAATTAATAATTCTTTGGAAGCTCAGCACTATACCCTTTTGTCTGATCTTGCAGAAAATCGGATTAAAACGCTAAACTTTTGCTCACACTTTCTCTATTCGAATATTACAAAGAGAACATCACAATACTCGCTTCGCCAGATCTATAAGCAAGCTTCTATAGCTAAGAGAGCTACCCCCGAAGCCCCTTTATCAAATTGTACTAATATATTCTCTAGGACAATGGGCCTTCCATGTGCCCACCGAATTGCTAGCTTATTATCAACACAGCAGCCAATTCCACTAAGCGATATCCATCAATTTTGGAGGCTTGGCCTTGGTAATGAGCTATCAGAGTATCTGCCAATACTCAATCCTCTATTACCACTGCCGCCACCAAGGAAATCAGCCCAAGACATATCATTTCAAATCAACAAAACATCAGACGAAAGGGTTATCAAAAAGAAAGGGCCATCAAAGTGCTCAAATTGTGGAGAAATTGGCCATACAATTCGATCATGTAGGGTATAATAGGATATGTAAATAATATGAAATGGAATCAGTGAAAGAAAAGCTCTTATAGTAAAGTAGTAGTAGTAGATAGAATGTAGTTGCTGTAGTGGTAAGTAATGCAGTTGCTGTGGTAATGTATGGTAAGGATTCTTGGCAAAATTGATTATGTGATGCGGGATATTACATAATTGCTGTGCGGCTAGCAAAAGCTGCTGTGTGTGTAACAATTCCCGACCGCCACCGGCGAATCTGATGGAAGTTGGTCGATCGGAGTGATGCCTGGGTGCCTTACCGCCTGAGTGCCTGGTGTATCCGTCGGGGTGCTCAAGTGGGTTTAGTAGCGGAGATCACCTGGGCGACAAAGAGGCTCAACTGAAGCTAGTGTGACAGCCTCATACTTCGTAGTAATAGAGTACAATCAACAAAGTACTTCAACCCGGGTGACTTCCTGTGGTTGCCTTGCCCATGGAAGGAGCCATGACGACCACTCGGTCTGCGGTATTTGCCTTAGCATACTCTTCCATCGCAGGTCCTTCTCTATACTACAATGTTTTCTTGGGTAATCTCAATTTATTTTTGCACTTACCTTGATCTACGAATAGATCTTCAGCTCATTTATGTCTCGACTTGACATCAACTCTTACGCTTACTCTCCAGCTTTCTCACGTATACTTTACACATTACATCATGCTCACCTCCCAGTTGAAATCGAGACGAATGGCACACTGCCCTCGAAAACCAAGGTGAACTCATTCCCATCGCTATCATCTATTTAGTCGACGCCCCATTTGAATACTCGAATGACCACCTTGGCTGGCTTGAACATATTCCAGTTCATAACGCACGACTACACTTCTTTGGACCATTGTGCCCCAACTATTGAGACCACCTGAGCTCATCCGAGCGGCGATTCCTCAAGAAAGAGCAGTTTCAGACTGATCAGATGTAACTCCCAAGAGACTACTACACAGCACGAACCAACATCTTCTCCGATACGCTAGTGGACTCCTTCGTCCGAGAACATGGCACATCACCCCGTTTCGTCTACGGACCTCTGGTTCTTCCGACAGTGCTGAAATTCTCCACCGGCTCTTCCAAGACATACCCCATGGAGAAGTACATGACCAAAGCCGTTCTATATGGCTACGAGCTATACCAGTCCGGTGACAAGATCATTCCCGTGATAGCTCGATCTCGTAATCCCAAGGCTGTGGTCGAGGGTATGTTGGTGTTCAACCTCGAAGAAAGCAAACGAAATGCTATCTTTGAGCTTGAATCTGGGCTTGGACATTTGGAGGTCGTTCAAGCGGAGATTGGGTGCAAGCCATCGGGAAAAAGATTCATTGACGCAGCGGCCTTTCTTAGAGCGGGATCTCTCGATGGACTGATTCCCATAAAGTCCACCTTCTGGGATCCTACCGCATTTGTCAACAGCTCCTTCTACCACAATATTGAACAGTCGGTCCATCGATCAGCAGAGGATATCTCTGGTTCTTGGTTCCATGCCTAGAGATTTGGGGAGTCAAATTACGCGGAACCTCGTCGGTTTTTTCATTATACTAATGCCACTTCTGATCTCGGGAGACCGTCACTTGATTTGACGAACCAGCAAAATTACAATGGTCTCAGCAGGTGAATGATACATACCGAAGCTAGAAGGCAATGCTCCGATAGGAATAGCATGTCGTGAGCTGCCTCTCGAGCAAGTCTCCAAGACCGAAATCAGAAAGCTTTCAAGTTTGGCACCATCATCAAGTCCATACAACGGCCCGCTCAATAGAAGAAAGTACTCTCTGTCTATAAAGCACTTCCATAGATGAGATAGGTATCCTTAGAATGTTGTGTATAACTGGTGCAATTTAATCTTATCAGAAGGCAAAAGTAAAGCTAGAGACTTACCTTTTTATACCGACTTCTAAGTAGGTTAAAACAGACAATACTACATGTGTCATTTATTCATTTCTTGATTTCTCAAGTATTGAGCGAATGACGGAAATAAAAATTTCAAGCATGCTAGTGCTCTATTATGATTGGTCAACGCAAAGCCCATGAATGTATTGCTGCCAATGACTGGCAGATGGACCCGCTGTTCATATTCCCGAGGAGCGAGATACTGTATGATGGAGGTCTGATTTGACGGATGCGAAAATTTACGACCAGATACAACGATCGGGATATCTGAGGATCTGACTACTCGATAGGTAGATCATTTTATTGGGTTGATTTGCGATCGTACGAAAAGGGGTGAGAAGCGTTGTCTTGATCTTCGACGGCCACAGTGCGTCGCTGGTCCCTTGCGATTCTCGTGCCTGCTGTTTAGGGTGCTCGACAATGCAGACTGCGGTGGCTGCGAGTCCTGAGTTTGAGGGAACAGTACACCCTTGGCGAGATGCTTCTCTCTCTTGAGAGCACCAGGCCTGCCATTCATCTTCGAATGCAATGAACTTGCAGAGGAAAGGCTTTGTTACTATGCTTCTATTGTATGTAACTTCCTGGATGAAAAAAAAATAAGGATCTAGCAAAGTACTTCAAAAAATGATGGCACTGGAATATTCGTTGGCCATGTGCTGGTCGCCTTTTGAAGACGAGTCCCTTGTCTGGATATCTTCCTTCTGTGCAGTTTTACATTCACTGATTCATTTCTGTCTCCCAGATATTGTCTTGTCCAGCATATCCTAGGTCATGTCAAAAAGAGCATCATCCAAGCAAATAACAAGAAAAGAAAAGGCTAGCGAATGCAATTTTAAATAGGAAATAGTATTCCCCAATCAAGTGGCGGCTGTGTGATCTGGATGTGAGGCTATTCTGACTGGAAATTTTGGAGTACCAGACTGTCCAATGTGTCATCTGGCTTGTTTGATAGCCCATACTCAAACCTTTGACCCGCAGAGTCTGGGCGCCATTTTCCCGAATGGTACCTCAACGAGGCCAAGCGCACAAATGACTAACCACAGCCTGCCTCGAGGCACACAAGCTTGTGTCCTGCTCGAAGCACACAGTGCCGACGACGGTCATGCGAGAGTGTGGGATGCATTCGGACATGGTGCCGGCTCAGGTTTCTCCAGTCTCGAAAATCCAGCCCACAGTTGGCGCATTCGTACATTTAGCCCTGAATCTCATCCATGTCAATAATCTCCACTCCCAGATAAATCGATGTCTGCTTCCCATGCGCCTTGATATAACGGTCGTACCAGCTCTTGTACCCAGAGTACCGTTTGGGGCACTGGCCACAGAAATGAATTTCTGGAGCATCGTGTCCTCGTTTAGAGGTCAGCGCAAAGTCCCTATCGGACTTGATGGAACAATGGCGCGGGGAACTGGGGCGAGGGTTGAATGAGCATGGGCCAGACTATAGTAATCCTCGAAGGCCTCTTTGGTGGCAAATTCTCGTGGGACACTGGGGACATTCCAGAAGGACATATACCGTATCAGTGCCCATGTTGGGGTCTGAAGGCATTACCGGGCGTCTATTAACAAACCTTAGTTAATAGTAAAGATACCTTCTTATATAGGTAAACATACCTTTGGGCCGATGCGGTTTCGGTTTCCTACAGACCTAAGCTGAAGCTCACTCTGTACTTCAGAGATTTGACGGCGGCGATCACTGACTCGATCAAGATATTCCGCAAATTGTAGAATATCTTGGGGCAGTGAAGGCTAAGCTAGTGGCTCTGCCATGTACTCCAGAGATGTAAATTGTGAACCGCCAATCCGTCCCATTGAAATACTCCAGAAACCCGCGGAAATAGTCCTTGTCCGTATGGAGGCCATCGCGACCAGCGACAACCAACTCCACAAGCTTAGTATCACGATGGTTGTTCAGGAAATCAGAGATGGATTTCCGGTACTTGTTCTTCAATTTCTTGATCGCACACTGGACGGCTACAACGTGGTGCGTTGGGCCATTGAACCCTCCAAACTGAGCCACCAAGTGGGAGTGGAGTTCCACACAAAACTTTGCCAACCACGCTTCCTGATCGGGGACAGAGCGCCGGTGGTGAACCAGCGAGGAACGAACGAAAAAGAGTGCCGCAGTAGGTCCGGCCAAAGGAGTGTCCAAAGCGACTGGTAGAAGTGGAAAGCTATTTCCTCGTCCTGGCTTGGCAAGGACACGAGGCCGTCGTAGTCGAGTGGGTGTTAAGCCCAATCTATGAGGTTGTAAAGAGCTTCAGAAATGAAGCTCGAATGGAATTTCGCCGGTTGCCAAGTTTCTCAATGCGCTTTTTGTAGATTCGCATCTTCTGTTCTGAGACCTTGGTTTACTCGAAAATTCGCTGAGCTTCAGGGTTGTCACTCCATTGTGTTTTGTGGACGTACGCGATCCTGCAGTTGGCATCATTCCCTGGATAGTTATTTGATTATATTACTTGGAGGCTTCGCTTATACTCGTGGAGTATATCATATCTGTGGCGTACAGTGATGGTTCAAAAACCCGAATCTAGAGACCAGACAAACCGCCCAAGAAATATGCTTCCACTTCTTGTTTTTTGAAAAGTCTTTCTTGATAGCATAGGTATCATTTTTCAGTCTATCATTCAACTTATGGCTCATGAGGTGATTTTGGACAGTTTCAAACTTATGAAACCCTACTCACAATCATTTGACACAAATAATGGACCATATCTCATTACCGTTCCACAGTATAATCAAGTCGAAGAAAAAGGCTGAAGTATCTGATATGTAATGACCATAAGCAACTACGGTTCACCTACCTTCCTTAGTGACTTCCTTCATCAAACTCATCGACCTGCCTTATCGCGTCAATATACCCGATTCAACCGCCACTCTCCACACCCGCTAGTAACTAACCTAGTGCAGGTAATCCCCACTACGATAACGCGGGACGCCCCGGATCCAATTTCCTGCCGCCCACCGTGTTTATCTGTGAATTAAGCGACTTTAGTCAAGTCCTCGCGAGCGATGGTCGAGATCTGCTTGTTCGCGTCTATAGTAGTCCACATTGTATGTGCTCTGGGCTTCTGGCAGAAGGTCAAGGTCTCCACAATCGTGCACGTCTAACGCTACGACAAGATTTGTTATGTAAACTGCGAAGATCTCGTTGAGAAAGAGGACGCGATCTTGTAGGTAGACGTCCAAGGGACATCAATAACTTGGTAGTATTACAAAGTCCATCCCGCTACGTGCATCATCGGATTGGCCCCAAATTTGCCCTCGTTGAGATATTAAAAAAACAGAATGGTATATCCGAATCCAAGGGAAAAAAAGCTGGTCTAAACAAGATCAAGAAAAGAAACATTCAAATCGCCTTCGCCGTAGCAGTCCACTGATCATGTAGACTCCAAGCCCCAGCCATGAAACTAATCAATCCCGTCAAACTCTCCGGAATCCCAATCCCCTTCTCAAGACACCAATGCAAGCACAACGGAGCCCAGATAGTATTGTTAACGAGACTCTTGCGCCACGAACGAATTTCCAACCGGAGCGCCTCTTTCTCCTCTGCTTTAATCTCCTCCTTGGTCTCGGTGTTGCCGGCGGCTTCGCGCTGCGCCGCGAGACGTCTCTTCCGGAGGATGTGTTGGCGCCACAGGACGAAGAATTCGAAGAAGATATGTCCGAACCAGCCCCGTGTACTCCAGATGTACCATTTATCGATTCCGCCGTATTTGTCGACGAATTTCTTGGATAGAACGTTCTTCGAGGCGAGGTAGGCTACGTTCTCGAGGAGTTGGTAAATGACGTTCGAGACCACCTGGAGCATTGTTAGGGAGTAAATGATGGGGTCTGTCGGTGGGTTTTTGAGTGTCTCAGAGCCCCATATCCATAGTGGGAGGAGTCCGAATAGGCGGAGGTTGTATCGCGTTTCCGAGGCGAGGGAGGATAGGGCTGCCCATTTTGAGCCGGACGGGGCCGATTTGCCAGGTGTTGGGGCGCTGCGAGCTTTGATTCGGGCGAGGAGGAGGAGTCGTGTTTGGAGGGTTTTGTACAGTGTTGAGCCGCAGACGTGGTGGAGGATGGATGCGACGTAGTTGACTGTCGCTAGGACTCTCTCTTGCCCGGTGGCAGTGGACAGGAGACTGCGGAACTTGTTAGTTGGCGATATTCAAATCACGACCGAGTCGGAATGGCAGATGTTGCGCGAAACGGCCAGTCTTGCGCATGCGGATAGATTTACTTACAGATCTAACCGCCGGATAGTCACATCTGTCGCCGTCAACGCGGACAGCAGTTGTTGCTGTGTGGCTGCTTTCCCCGCGGTTATCGCACTCTTCCCCACATGCTGAACGTGATCCGCTGCTCCGTTGGGAGTGTCAGGAGGGTGCGCGGGGTCTGACATTGTTGGGAGAATATGCGACGGGCGTGGGAATGTAAAGGAGCGACTTTTTTTTTTTTTTTTTGAATCGAAACGATATCAGGAGACGAAACCCAAATTATGTTGCTGGCAGCTGCACAGGTCGGAACCTGTGTTGGTCGCGCGGAAAAGGACCGAGGCTCCGAGGCTCCGCCCGGCCTCACGAGGTGAAGGTTGGGACTGCCTCGTTCGGCCGGGTCCACTTGCTGTTCATTACCCGCCGGGCATTTCTCGTCGGAGGTTTGGGTCGTGTCGTTGTGTGCCACATCCTGATGCTATTGGCTGACTTTGCTGGCGTACTCGTTTGAGGATGTACAGTGCTTTTCATCTCATTATGTACTCTGTACTTGTCTCAGCGCGCGCGGGCGACAGTGATGTTCGTAATGGCATCTGTCCCTTTGCAGCCACATCTCCACACCTCCACATCTCCATATCTTCATAGCTTTTCCTCCTTCTGCTGATCGGGTTAAAGATCTTTGTACTCCCGCCAGTTGTGCGCGAGGGTGATACACCTTCTCTCTTCTACCTCAGGTCTTCAAAATCGAGGGATCATCGGCTATGGCATCCACTGCGCGCAAATGGCCAGTCACTCGAACCATGCGAACCATGCTCTTGAAGCAGCGCATCACCCAGGGTGCCAGGTTCTGATCAATGAAGTCGACGATCTATTACCAAATATCCATTACCAAATCGTCAATCCCAACGAGCTAACCCAGCGAACAACTTTCGATTAAGTCTGATTCTCTGTCTCCTCCCCCAAGGGCTGGGATTCCGACTCCACAACCGGGCTTAACTGAGCGGATGGGGGAAAGTACACGCCGGCGCTTAGAAACGGGGCGAGCCGCGCAAACGCCTGTGGGTTTAACCAGTAGAGGCAATGACACATCTCCCAGTGCGACATGCGATGGCGGAGCACGATCTGGGCTACAAAATTGAGGAAATCCGGCTGGTTAGCCCCGATCATCTCGGCCATCAAAAGCAAAGGGAGGAGATCGTACCCGCCAATGAACCGAACCTTTTCCCACCACTGCTGGAAATCAGGACTCCAGTTCCAATTTCTACAATGCTCGTGCATTGAACGCAGCGCGGCGGCATTGGAGATTGGTCGGTCCAGGTATTCTGGGATCTGAGGCGGTGCTTCGTATGGCGTATTGACGATGGCGTTGATACAGCCCCAGGCCTGTTCGATGTATCGGGGCCTGCATTTTATGCAGACGCGTAATCTGCAGATTACGGCCTCGCTGAGTGTTATTTGAGGACTGGGGGTGTTGACTTCATCCGAGGCACTGTCGTTGTCTTTGGCAACTTTCTGTCGGTTGACGATTGCTTCTACAAGCGATGCAGCCGCTGCCTCTGGACTTTCAGCAGGCTTTTTGTCCTCTTGCTGGGCGACTCGGCGTCGTTCGGAGGCTGCCAACTCCAGCACCTTGACCTTCTGATCCAACAGCTTCTCTAGCTGGGCTTCGGTGTATTCACCCCGGGCGATGGCCTGCTGCGTCCACAATGGGAGAATACTGATATCGCGGCTGATTGGCTCGGGATTGGGGACAAAAGGCGAGTGATCTGGCGTGTCTGCCGTACATGTCCAAAAACATCGAGCAGCCCTTCCACAGTCCTGGCACTTGGGGGAGGAGGCAGCCGAAGCCCAGCTGCGCAGGATGGTCTCGTGGCCGCACCATGGCCCTGCACGTGGAGTGTAGCGCTTCTCTCGGGTATGCTCTGGGCTGCCTGGTGTGAAGACCGTTCGTTGAGGGAGGCGGGTTGGTCCATCAGGTTCGGTGAAATCTGAAATGTCGTCCAAGTCTGAGCTTTCGTTGAGCAAATCTTCGATGAGTTCGGTGATGTTGTCCTCAAAACCAAAGTCGAAGGTGCCTGGAGGCCAGTCCTCGTCGCCCAGGTCGATTTCTAGGCCGTGACCCATCATCTCTGACTGCGGTTTATGCTCCTGGAGTCGATCAGCCACTTTTGATGAAGTGTGACTGTGACTGTGACTGTGACCTGGTGTCCGAGGTGAGGAAATGAGTCGTTGTAGGTACGGGCAAGGCCAATCAGGTACAGGGAGAAGAAGAGGGTGATACGAAAGAGAGAGACTTGCGGGAATGAGAAGGGAGAGTAATGAAGTCGACAGCTACTTTGTTTGTCATTGTGTTGCTATCTGGACACTCTCTTACAACGCGTTGAGACCTAGGCGCATGCCCTTCCCTGCCCCGTTGCCATTGTTTGTTTGTGCATTAATCTTTCTTTTCCTTCTAGTACTTCTCATTGTACTTCCCTCTCCCTGTCTCTCTCTTTTCACCCGACTTATTGACCTTGAGACTATCCATTATTCTCCAGCCGTATCTTGGTCCTGACAACTGAGGCTGCTCTTTTTCCTAATGTATAGCAGATCCCTCTAACCGACTCCTTTTAGAAGTAAATGGAGTCCTTTGCCAGTGTTGCTCAGTGGAGCCAAAACTATCCATATTTGAAGGAGCTTCAGATGTAAGGCCAGCTATCATACTGCAGATATTAACTAGTACACTATGATTACATCTGCAGAAGCTTACCGGGCAGGTCATGTGATGATATTCTATTTGATGTTTTATGACTGCATAAAAGCCTATAGTATAATTTGATAGAGTCACGTCAGGGGTTTATTCCTGGTAGGATTATCGGCTCAGTGGCTCGGAGTCTCTTGCCGAATTGACCTCGGCCGAGAAGGAGGAATGGACGGGAGCAATACTGTAAGCTATGAGTAGAATTTGTAGTAATGGGGAATGAGTATCCAACTTAATAAAGTGAAGTATTAACAAGGGATGTTTGGATCTCCAAACCAGGGCTAGAATTCATAACTCCTTTCCTTTATCTGCTGTCTAATGTGGGGAACCCCGTTGAAAAAAATGAAGATTGCGGAGAACCAAGAACCAAGAACCACTGATACATAAGACTGGCCAGTTGGTTCGCCGGGTATTGCCCAGTATAGTTGCAGGATGGCCAGTTTTGTATTTCTTTTCCTGCAGCTATAATATTATTTCTACAAGCATTGCGGGGTATAGTTAAGGGGGTCAATCCACTAATTACTTGGCTGTATGATGATACTTCATATTGCTCAAGTATATCCCTCTCCTAATCAGTGTTGAGTGGAAATCTGTACCGTTGAAGTCGCGGGAGTCGGAGGGTTCCGACGAGCTCCGCCAATGGAACGATGGATCTCGCCGGGGATAAGCCCCAATTTATTTCACTTCTCCCTCCATCCTCCATTTGCCATTTGCCGACTCTCGAGACCGCTTCTCTTAATATACGGCCAGCATCCTTCCCCCGTTCTCTTCTAGACCTTCTGGACATTTGTTGCACTTGGGTTCATCCGGTGTTTTAACTTGGTGTCTTCCATCATCTGGGATTATTAATCTGTGATACACTTTTATACCAGGTACGTTGCCCCGGGGCCTCGGTTGTCCCCTTGTCCCTCTCTCCCGTTCAGCCCAGCCCAGCCTCTCGAACTCTCCAAACTCTCCTCCCCCCTCGGGCCCCCAAATTTCATAAACAAACATCCTCCCTCCCCCCATCCATTCCCCATCTCCCCCTACTCCCCCCACTCTCCACCGACTTTTTCCACGCGATATCTCCGGTGTTTTTGTCGCGATCCTCTTGTCATCTTGAGTCGCCATTGAATTGACTCGATTTCTCCCACCCCGCTCGCAGGCGTTCCCGGGATTACTCCATCACTACTCGCCTCCCAACCTCTCGGCCCGACCATTCCACATCCATCATGTCTGTCAAGTTCCAAGAGGAGACCGTCCGCACCGTCACGGGCGGCAAGCCCGAAGACCTGGCGCACCGCGTCGGTGAGCGATTGACTGGTGGAAAGACCCAGACCGGTTATCTCCAGGTATGTATATGCCAGAAAGGCCGATCGCGCGATCGGAATCGACTTCTAGCGGAGCATTGTTCCAATCGCTAATCCCGAGGAATGGATCGTCACAGGCCTACCTCAAGCAGCTGCAGCACAACCCGCTGCGCACCAAGATGCTCACCTCCGGTGTGCTCTCTGGTCTGCAGGAGCTGCTGGCCTCGTGGCTCGCCCATGATGTCGGCAAGCACGGCCACTACTTCAGCTCGCGCATCCCCAAGATGTCGCTGTACGGCATGTTCATCTCCGCGCCCCTGGGTCACGTCCTCATCGGCATCCTCCAGAAGATCTTCGCTGGTCGCACCAGCTTGAAGGCTAAGATCCTCCAGATCCTCGTCAGCAACTTGATCGTACGTGTTCACCATTGCATTGCCCTCCTCCCGACTGGGAAACTTGCCTCGGCGCATTGCTAACCTTTACACTTTCGCGTCGCAGATCTCCCCCATCCAGAACAGCGTCTACCTGAGCTCGATGGCTATCATTGCTGGCGCGCGCACCTTCCACCAGGTTCGCGCCACCGTCAAGGCTGGCTTCCTACCCGTCATGAAGGTCAGCTGGGTCACCTCCCCCTCTGGCCCTGGCCTTTGCCCAGAAGTTCCTGCCCGAGCACACCTGGGTACCCTTCTTCAACATCGTCGGTTTCTTCATCGGAACCTATGTCAACACCCACACCAAGAAGAAGCGCCTCGAAGCCCTGCGCAAGGTATGTACCCGCGAAATCGCATTGAGCCAGCACGACATATACTAACAACAATCTCCAGCGCTATGACCAGCGCCGCGGCCCCGGCGGCGAGTACGAGAAGCGCGACTACCCTTAAATGGGACCGAGTCTGCGACCTACAGATGGGCGGGAATTGGGAAAGAGCCGAGGACTCCAACGATAAACTACGCGTCGAGAAACGCACGAACCCCCTCCGTCCACGACCCGCCATGACGATCACATCTGTAGGAGATTTACCTGATAACTCTCACTGTCTTTTGTCTCACCCATTTTACCTGTGATCCTCCCCTCGGTGTTTTGTTGATCTTGACATTGAAATCCCCCTCCATGTACACACCCGATATCTATATCTTTCTTCCTCGATGTTTATTTTTTCTCTCAATCTTATGACGAATGCCCTGCCCCCCCCCCTTGCCATATACAAAGAAGACAAGACTTGTTTCTCTAATCTTTCGGAGACGAGGTATATATGCTGGAATTCTTAGAAGACGTGCATACCATCTGGTCTCTTTTCTCTCAACTTAGACCTCGGGATCTACAGTAGAATACAGATCTTTCAATTTCTTCGGCAGTTCATAATATGTAGAATTTCTCGCCTAGCTACATGACCCCTCTCCACCTCCCATACAGTGGAAAAGAGCGCATCGTGTTACCTGGCGAGCACCTCCAGCCGATCAACCTAAAGCTCCATCTCACTCCCATCCCCTCTCTTCCCCTGCACAAAAGCCACAAAATCATCCAACGCCCCAGGCCAAGCCCCATCAACACTCCACCACCCAAACGCCTCATCCTCCCTCGTCTTCCGCATGAAAACCTCCACCTGTTCCCACAGATCCTTATTAACGGGCTTCTTGCCCCGGCTCTCCAGGAACTCGAGCCACCACTCCAGCCAGGGGGTCATCGCCGTGCTCCAGGGGATACCGCCGCGGTCGGCGGTGAAGAAGAGCCGCCATTGTTCGGCGGCGAGGTCGAAGGGGAGGTTGCGTTGGCCCGGCATGCGGGAGATTGGGTAGGCGTAGCGGTAGATGCGGCGGTAGAGGTCGGGGTCTGTGGGGATTGTGGTGCGGATGGTTTTGGCGTGGGAAGTCATTTTGGGGATTGAGTCGCATCTGAGTTGGTTAGGTTGGGCGTTTTGTGAGATTTGGTCCTTGGGGGAATGGGATGGGTATTGGATTGGCAATGGGATTGTGGGTTGGTTGTAGGGTGTTAGATCAAAGGTGTTAGTGTTACTTACGATAGCTCTCTCCAGCCGGCGATGAACTCATTGCGGTTGAATTCACCCATTGCTGGGCACTTGCATAGCTCCATGACTCCGATACAGGCGACTTCGTCCAGTTGGACGTTGATGTCATTGAAGAATTTCATGGCTCCTTCGATACCGATGGTATCAGGGCTGTCCTTGGGGTGCTCTAGAGTAATATTAGTATGCTGATGTATCAAAGGATGGGATGGACTGTACCTCGATAGCCATCGAAGATGAGGCTTATGGTCTGCATCATTGATTGCCCGGCACTGTTTGGCTGAGGACTGGCATAGTATCTGGATATAAGAAGAGCTGTTAGAGAGGTTCATCAGACTTGTTGATATCAGTGTGGTATTGTATGCTTTGAATCTTGGTCGAGCATCTGCTGTGCTTTTGGGGATTTTTGTAGGAGCTCCGTTGATCCGTGAATAGCACATCCAGACAAGTACTGGAGTTTGCAGATGATATGATGACCATGAAGTCCCAATTACTTCCGAAAAGTCGCGATGCTGCCAGACGGACCCACCCGCAGACCAAAGCAGGAACAACGACACACTCAATGTATAAAAGGGCCGCAGAATTGTCATAACAGCAAATCAGGTAGAAACTCACGCGTCAACAGCCCTCTCGAGGTTCCATTGCGCTCCCTTCAGGAACTATAACCAATCGTCAGTCAGAGCTCACGCGACAAATAACCAGCCGCATATCTCGTCTCGAGCACCCCCTCACGGAAGATCTCAGACCCGCGGGTGAAAGACACATACCTTGGCAGCCACACTGTCCCTGGTATCAGTCAGGGCGTTAAATTGTTGGATAGCCTGCTTCTGCGCAGCCGTGTAGGGTGGCATGGTGGGGGTTGTGATATTGGGCCCCGCTTCGTGAGCTAGGCCGGTGTGGTGGGTATAGGTGACAAGTCGGTGGACTGTATGTTTAAGAGAGTAGGAGGATTTAGGGAGAACAGGAAACTCTTTGAGAGGGAGCGGTCTTTTGAGCGGTAAGTATTCCCAAGGTTGTAACGGCAGGCAACTTGATGGCGGCTACCTGCCTTATCGCGATTGCGCCGCGGACAGGAAATTTGATGACTCAGCACTTATGCCTGAGGCGCACATCGTTGTTCTATGCCTCTGATTATTGAGCCTAAGGATATTGGGCCTGAGGATTTGGGTGAATGATTCTGGTGTATTGAAATTTCAATGACAATAATGTAACAAAGCATAGTATCTATAGAGAGATGATAGGAGCCAAATCTTATTGAGTATTGTAGGATCAGAAGAATTGTCCCAAGATAATTTTGTCTGGTCATACTAGTAGCATACTAGTAGCTAATACCTACAGTAGTACCTCATATACCACGTCGTGCGCATTCTTTGTTTATAACCTTCTGATATCACAAGTACGGAAAGGGACGAGTATTGTGCCTAAGATTCTTAGTATAGTAGATTACTGCAGGGGAACCTATCTCATTAAGCAACAGGCTACTACAAGCATGAAAGTGGACATTCACTGTATGGACATGTATTGTAATAATAGTATTCATCAAATGATCTAACCGAGTCCAGGTATAAACCCCAAAGTCGAGGCAGACAAAGAACTTTTCACAAGACAGAATTGACTCCATAAACTCCAGTCCCAGATTTTCCACATCGAGTATGCCAATATCAACATGCAAGATTCGAGTCGTCGAACGTTCTTCTTAAGCGGTGAACAGGGAATCCTCCTATTAGACATTAGCAACCGCCCATAATCAATGCAGCGCGAATTCGACTTCAGGATCGGGTGTGTTCTTACCTCTCTCAGGTACTCGCCAGCATCGGCCTGGCGGAAGACCACAATACCGGTAGGCTCGAGCTTCTTAGCCTCAGCAGTAGAGCGCGCAGTCACACCGAAACCGAGGGGCTCATCGTTCATGCTGTAAACAACGACACCGCTGTGCTCGGGGCAATCCTCGCTCCAGCGAGCGGCATGAGCCTTCAAGACACTAATTTGACATTAGCAATTGCATAACAATTGACGGAGTATGTAAACTCACTTTCCACCGTACAAGAACGGCATCTCGCCGTTCGCCTTGATCCAGACCTTGTACCGACTGTGAGGGGCGATGACGGAGAGCGCGGTAATGTGGAGTCTGAACTTCATCGTCTTGGTGAATTTACCCTGCTAGTTGTTAGTACACCGTACAGAAAGAAGCAAATTTTGCAAATAGCGGCGACTCACAATAATGGTACCTGCGGAAAGCAGGTTTGCGCGGGGAATGCTCGTGGCATAGTTGGCCAACCGCAGAGGAAGGTAGTACACCTGCTCAATTATTAGATTTTCCGTCGATAAGAGACATTCCTTCCGATCTTCGTGGGACGTACGCGAGAACCCTGGAGACGGAAAACGTGGCGCTCGGTCTGTTCGCCCTCGGGAGGCGCAATCAGATTGTTCAAGGATCGGCCAGTGTAGTTGGCGAGCTTGGAGAAAAGCCTAGACGCAGTTTGTTAGCTGGACTGGTACTGGTGCAAAGGGTGAGCTACCAGCCCCAGGCAGATGAACTCACACTTTGGCTTCTTCCTCTGTCAATTCACGCATCTTGAATGGTTATAGAGTGTTCTTGGGGGAAAGATTCGACTTGACCACGAACAAGACTTGCGGAGGTGGTTCCTGATCTCCATCAGGAAAAAAAGATAGGCGGTGTAGAAAATGTCCGGCAGAGAAATGCTTGGCGCGAAATTTTGTGGTTGGGTCCGCCTTCCGCCCGCAAGTCTTTCGAGTCTTCAACAGCGACCAAACACACCATAAAACCAACAAAATGGCCCGTGGACCGAGTGCGAAAAGGAGACGTTTGAGCCCTCCTGGCGACAAGGAGGCTACTGCGTCTCGGGACGCTGAGTTGTACAGCGGTGCCGACGAATGGGACGCTGAACAAGACTACGAGCGTCGCCCGCGCAAAACGAACAAGAAAGATAATGAGCGCACCCGATTGCCCATCAAGACCTCCGAGGGATTCGTCCACGCCGTCAATGAGCCCGAGGATGCAGGCGAGGAAACCGACAGCTTTTTGGGGACCGACGATGACGAGGATGGCTCGGGAGAAGGCGAGGATAGCGAGGAGGAAGTGATCGAGGAGAAGAAGCCCAAGATTCCTGTCAAGGTTCAAATCCTGCAAGCGAAGGAAGACCTGGCTCGTATCGCTACTCTGATCAACGAGGACCCCGAGGAGAACATTGCGCTTTTCAAGACAATGGCCGATATGGTGGACAACCCCGACTCGCCTGTTACGGTCAAAAAGCTGGCCTTGGCGGCGCAGGCTGCGGTCTTCAAGGATGTCATTCCAGGATATCGAATTCGTCCTCTCACTGAGGAAGACATGCAAGGGAAGCATTCGAAGGAAGTGCGCAAGCTGCGCAGCTTCGAGCAGGGCCTTGTTTCAGGATACAAGAACTACGTTCAAAAGCTGGGTGCTCTGGCGAAGCCTGGCCGGTTCAATGCAGCAACCGACCCCGGCTTGAAGAGCCTCGCCATCAATTGCGCCTGCACAATGCTTCAGGCTGTCCCGCATTTCAACTTCCGTAGCGAATTGATCAAGATTCTGGTCAACCGCCTCGCAAGGAAGCAGGTCGATGCTGACTTTATTAAGTGTCGGGAAACCATGGAGGAAATCTTCGCTAAGGACAATGACGGAGTTGTTTCTCTCGAGGCAATTCGCATGATGGCAAAGATGATGAAGGCACGGGACTTCAATATCAACGAAAGCGTTTTGGATACTTTCCTCCATCTGCGCCTCCTTGGTGAATTCGCTAGAAAGGCATCGCGTGATCGAGTAGACCGCAACGAGCCCGAGGAAGACAGCACTTTCGGCAAAAAGCAGAAGCAGAAGCGTGAGTTCCGGACAAAGCGAGAGCGGAAGGTCATGAAGGAGCGCAGGGTTGTCGAGAAGGATATGAAGGTCGCAGACGCCCTTGTCTCCCACGAGGAAAGAGACAAGAATCAAGCTGAGACCTTGAAATTGGTCTTTGGTGTATACTTCCGCATCCTGAAGCAGCGCATCCCCAACCTTATGGGACCTGTGCTTGAGGGTCTGGCGAAGTATGCCCATCTTATCAACCAAGACTTCTTTGGTGACCTTCTGGAGGCTATGAAGGATCTTATCGGCCACGCCGAGCGTGACGAGCTCGACCAAGCTGGTGAAGATGCTTCCGAGGAAGAGGACGAAGAAGAGGAACACCACGAGGTATCCGAAAGCACAAAACGAGATGCTCGCCGCGAGACTCTTCTCTGCACGATCACCGCGTTTGCCCTGCTCGAAGGCCAAGAGGTTAGCAAAGCCGCCAGCACTCTTCACCTGGATCTGAGCTTCTTCATCAAGCACCTCTACCGCTCCCTCTACGCCCTCTCCATCAACCCAGACGTCGAGTTCAACCCCAACACCTCCCTGCGTCTCCCCGACCCCAACACCGCCGAAGAATATGCCGCTTTCCGCTTCAAGCCAAAGAACAAGGTTAACTTCCAGACCCCGATGGTCCTGCTGCTCCGCTGCCTCCAGTCAACCCTGATATCCCGTGTTCACGGCACCCCTCCCCCAGTCCGTCTGGCCACGTTTGCGAAGCGTCTGATGACGACCTCCCTCCAGCTTCCTGAAAAATCAGCCATTGCGACTCTGGCGTTGATGAACCAGGTCTCCAAGAACCATGCCCGCCGCATCTCACCGTTGTGGCACTCGGATGAGCGCAAGGGAGATGGCGTGTTCAATCCATATGCCACCGATATCGAAGCTACAAATGTGTATGCGGGATCTGTTTGGGAAGGGGAGTTGTTGCGTCAGCACTACTGCCCCCAGGTCCGGGAGTCGGTGCTTGATATTGAGAAGATGATGACTGGCACTGGTAACGGCAAAAAATAGATGCGAGTTGTGTACATAGACGTGGAGCGTGATGTTTCTATTTGAGAACTTTGAGAACCCCATTTTGTTTGAGAATAGAAAAGGCGATAATCGTTTCTTGATTCAAGAACTACCTAGGCACAAAATGTGAAATGAATAGGCCCTTCCATGAATCGAACCGGAAGCCTTCTCCTCCCTTATACTTCGTCCTGTTAGTGCATCGCCGTCCCAGGATACCGAAGGATATCTATCACCATATGCCCCCCTATGCCGCACCTCTGACAGCACCTCCTCTACACCCTCCTAACACCACCAAAAGAGGCTCTATGAGGGTCAAAATAATATTCTAGAGTTTTAAGCTCAATAAAAATAATTCTATCAAAAAATTCGCAAAAACTTGTGCCGCGGGGAGGTGGCAGCCACCTCCCCGTCTCCCACCCACCCACTCCCCCCCGCCTAGGGGTGTGCCCGGCCGTCCGTGGAGCACGGCGGCCATAACACTTTTGATTTTTTTTCTCGGGGGCACCCAGAGGTTCACCGCGTGTAGTGACCAACTAGGCCAATCCGAGGGGGGGGAGTGATTGTTTGACTTGGAATCCGGTGATAACCTTGACTAGTGTCTAGACTTGCCATATTGAGTTTTTTGTTTCTAATGCGATATCCGTATAATTATGGTTATTACGGGAAACCTGCTAGAAAGGAAGAGGGTGATTATGGAACATTTGATATTTTACAAGTATTGTACATTTCGAGGGTCTAGATATGTCTGAGAACTATCAAACCCTCTAAGATCGTAGACTCATCTGAATCATGTGTGTACACGGCAAATAACCATCAGATCTCCTGAATCGCCTTCCACAGAGAAACAATGCTGTGAAACGATTTCCTCTGCAACACCAATGCTCTTAACACCAGATACAATAGATCGCAAATGTATCACGTTCCATATGCCAGACAGATGAAAAGCAATGTGTATCACATCCCCAACAACACCAAAATAAGCCAGACCTTCGTAGAATCCCGTATGGACAAATCGTAAAACTTGAAAAGTGAGAAATGTCCGAATCTACCGCAGTGACGCTGTAGACTTGACCTCGTGCAAAGAGCAATGATCCCATTCATGGTGCTCCTCCTCCCCACAGTAGAGAAGGGGACGGCGCATATCCTCAATCGAACGAATAGCCATAGGACTCTTTGGGCTGTGATTGAATGACTCCGGGGTCCGCTTGTGCAGACCGGGAGACAGCAGCTCCCTACTTGCACCCCGGTGTTCGTGAGAGGAAGCCAGACTAGGAGCGACAGATGCAGTGATGACCCCCATGTGCTGGGTATCGGTGCAAGCAATCTGGCTGCCCATCCGCGCGGGCATAGGTGCAATGGGAGTACTCGGGGTACTCGGGGAACTCAGGGACTCATCCTGCATGACGGTTTGCTGGATCATGTTTCTGAATGCAGGATGGACTTGGCTCGCTGCGTGGATGTTATTCTCAATGTTCTGGAGAATTTTTCGTGGGACTGGCGGAGGGGGAGTCACTGAACGCGAGCTACCATTGTCAGAGGCCCGTCCATCCCTGGAGCGACGAGAAGGCAGCCAGCCGAATTTGTTCGAACCATTGTTGTTCGAGTTGGTGCTCTCGTTGCTGGTACCACGGCGACGGAAGCCGAAGATGTTCCACTTCTTTGATTCGTCGTTACTGCCAACCCTTTTATGAGGCTTGCTTTGGGCGTCGGAATCGCTGGTGACGATATCAGCAAGACCCTTCTTGATGGACAGGCTGCGCTTGAAGGAGGAATCATTCTTGTCTTTTGCCTTAGTGGCCTCTCTATGGCGGGGCGGGATGGCCGTCACTGAACGTGGCAGTGGGGAGACTCGCACCGGTGGGAGTGGTGGCTCTGGAGGCTTGATCAAAGGCTCAGTGCTTGTCGGAGTGGTAGAACCCCCGATGGATGCCCGGGAAAACTCCGGAGAGCGTGGTAGCTTGATCGAAGGCTCAGTGCTTGTCGAAGTGGCAGACTCGCTGAAGGATGGCCGGGCTAGCCTCGGAGAGCGCGGTATTTTGGTTGGAGATGGCTGTGATGTAATTCGATTCGCCTGTCTCTTGACGAGTTCCCCGAGCTCATCCTCCATCTCTTTGATCTTCGCCTGTTGCTCTTCCGCCATCTTTGCAGCTTTATCCGACTGGGCGGAGAACCTTTCGATGGCTTCTTCAGTTTTCTGGGTCATTTCCTGGATAGAAAGAGCCAGACTTGTGATCTCCGTCTCCATCTCGTCCAGAAGTTTGCTTTCGACGACGCTCATGCGCCTATCCATCACGCTCATCTCTATGTGGATATCCAGATTGAACTTTCTGAGCTCTGAAGAAATTGCGATCTGCTGGCAGTGAAGTTCTTTGCTCGTGCGTTCAAGGTCGCTGACACTTGCAATCTTGGTCTTGAGCTGATCATTAAGCCACTGTTCCAGGTCATCAAGTTTCTGATTCAGACCGGTGATCCCCAAGTCAGTTCGTCGCTGGAAAGCTCGAAGCATGTCAAGGACATCTTTCGCATGGCTGTCAATACTGAGATTCTTGATTCCTGGCGGGGTTGGCTTGTCGAGCGAAAGGCCAATCTTCTCGAGACGCTCCTCGAGTCCTGGCATGAAGTTTGGGAGCTGATCCGAGCTTGGCCCACTCTCTGGATACGGGGTTGGCCCTGGACGAGTGGACTTGACAGTTGGCGAGGGTGTCGAGGGAGTGGAGGTCTCAAGCCAGCCCCTTGGGAGATACTTCACCTTGCCCGAGCCCTCTGTGAGATCCCTCAGTGTTGGAGGCGAGTCACCGGTAGGGGGATAGTCAAGTGCCGGTGACGTTGGCAGTGAACGCTTTGTAGCAGAGGCTCCAGGGTTGGGGCGAGCTCCCAATACATTGGGACTATGCTTTCCCACTGGGACAGGGACACTCCGCTGTGTGGCAGCAGCCGGGGTTTCCTTGGATTCCACACACTCAGTAGCAGTCTTCACCCGCCCCCAGCTATCGACTCGTTGACTAGTCGAGGCCTTCGATGGAGTCATTGATCCATGCGCGTGGGTGTATGTTCCCGAGGGAGCAAGTGGAAGTCGACTGGGTGCGGTGTTGTGCTGCGTTGCAGAGGCGGGAGATGTCATAGGAACGGCGGAGGAGTTTGCCATCAGCGTCTGCTTAGACCTAGCTTGGAAGTTGTAAATGCTAGGCGAGAATGCCATAGTTCCACTGCCACTCGCGGAACGCTGGGATGCATTCTGCTTATCGAAAGTGGGCATACGGGGAACCGCAGGGATTCTACCATCATCCTTGGAGGCTTCTTTGCGAAGATCTTTGAAGCTCAGCTTTGACTTGATTGCTTCAAGTCGGGACTTTTTCTTCCCATCTAAAGACGTGCCTGGGTCAGCAGTGGCCCTCGCATGAGTCGTGTCTGGCATGGACTTCTTCTTCTGGAGGCGAGGATGAGAGCGCGGCTGTGGATCCTCTGCACCCTTCTTGGGATTCTCGTCAATAGGAGGTTCACGCCGAGGGCGCGGTTTCGGCATAGGGAGTGCCAGTTCCTCATCGTAGTTCAGGCCTGAACGCTTTCGGGTGATACTTGGCTTGGACTCATCGACAGGACTTGCAGGATCAGAGTTCCCTAGATGGAAGCATCATTAGTATTTGCTTGTGCAAGATAGAGAGAACCTTTGTTCACTACGAGAAAGGAATCTCAGACGCGTTTGAGTTGATTTACTGACCGTCGCTCCTAAGAGGAAGAGGCAGTTTGCTGAGGTCCTCGCCTCGTGCTCTCATCACGGAAAACGCGTTACCATGACGGATGAATGGGTTGAACCGGTCCGACCCAGCGAGAGAGGGAGAAGCTGTGGCCACAGATGGTCGAGTCCCAGGTCCCTCTTCATCAACACCAGGGGAACTAATATGATGAGGATCGTGTAACGGAGTTGCGACTCGCGAGCCGGGTTTCTTGGACCCACGCGGGTCACCTTGATCGTCCATTTCTGGATGAGGCTGAGGGAAGTGCGAATATGATCAGGGAAAGGGATGTGAGGTGTCACGAAATAGTACGGACAGGAAAGGAAAGCGGGGCATGAGAGTGAAGAGGAGGGTGGTGAGGAAAGAGAAGGAAGCGAAGTTGGGATGAAGATGGGATACGACGCGCGAAGGTAAACAAACTGCAGGAGGATGGTAACGTTCGCTCACCTACAAAGCACGGTTAAAGAACAAACAAATTTTAACTGATCATATCCATTCATTAGGTTCATAAGAAAAGGCCTCATTAGATACACACTGGCGACAGGCAATCTCGAAGACTTAATTGATCTCAAGCATCGACCTTGTTCACCAATATGAGAGACAAAAGAAATTCATCACAAAAGACAACACAAAGACAACAAATCCGAGATAACACACAAATAGGAAAATCGTAAACAATACAGGGGAATCAATAGTGGAGAAAAATCAACACATTCTGACAACTTTTGTCAATGGAACTCGATTGACATCGGCTCACCCGATGCCAGTGAGCATTAGCCAGGAAAGGCTCTCAAAAAGCCAGACCATGGTACAACACGATTGCAAGAATAGGCAGCACAGCAATGGTAAGCCAAGATGGGGGCCTGATCGAAGCAATGTTAGTAGACTGCATCATGTTGGAGAGATCACGCCAAGGAAATCCCGGATAGCCTCTCCCCCCAGGTGCAGATCAAAGAGACGAGGGCAAGTATATGGATGGATAAAGGCTCTCGTCTGCTCCAGCACGACCTTATTTGGCAGACTTGCCACGGCGGCGGAAGGGGGAGAAGATAGTGCCAAAGAAGCCCACAAACACAGTGCGCAAGAACGCCTTGAGCCAGTTGTCCGACGCACTATTCAGAGAAACAGCTGTCACTGACCGGTTCTGGCTCACGGGACGAGCATCTTCCTCGTTCGAGTTGCTGGTCGCAGCATTCTCGGGGCTGAGCTGGTCAGTAGCCTTCTGACTAGACTCGGCGGTGGGCTCGGCTTCGATCTCAACGCGAGCCTGCTTGTCGTCGTTGGTGGGTTGAGTGAGGGTGGTCAACTGGTCCGTGGATGGCTGGTTGAGTTTGTGGAGTAGGGCTTCACGATCGCCTGCGAGGGCTGTGAGAACCGGATCAGCTTCGAAAGACGGCACGGACATGTTGTGCGAGGTAGAGAATGGCGTCGGCTTACAGTCTTCGGTCTGTTGTTCCGCGGCAGGGGCCTTGTTATCGGTCTTGTCATCGATCGCAACTTCGGTAGTGGCGGTGACAGGCTCATCCTTGGGCTCCTTGTGCAGTAGAGATGACACGCCAACAGCAGCAATGCCTGCAGCGGCAGCGGCAGCAGCACCGGCGCCGAGAATCTCAGGAGTGAGAATGCTCTCCTTGGCAGATTCTTCAGCCTTCTCTTCTTGAGGAGCAGAGGTCTCCTCCACCGGCTCCTCAGTATGAACAGGAGCAGAGGGAACCTCCTCAGCTGCAGCAGGCTGCTCAGAAGTCTCATCCTGCTCGTTCACAGGCTCAGACTCCTTTGCAGTCTCCTCGACCGGGGCGGCCTCCCCAGTCTGAGCAGCAGTCTCGGTCTCTGCCACAGCGGGAGTGGGCACAGGCTCGGCAGATTCAGTTGATGTCTGATCAACAGCCTGGGCGGGCTCATCAACAGCAGGGGCAGACTCCTCGGGAACGAGTGCCTCCTTAGCAGTCTCCTGAACGGATTCCTCCACAGGGGGTTCCGGGGCAGCCTCGACATGCTCGGTTGCGGTAGGAGCCTCGGGCTCGGCAACCGGCTCGACCAACTCTCGTGCAGTGGTATCCTCCGGGGCAGTAGTAATCTCCTCTGCAACAGCGGCGCCTGCAACAGCAACGCCTGCAAGAGCAACGCCTGCAGTAGCAACAGCAGGAATAGATTTCTCCACAGCAGCCGGTTCAGGAGTGGCCTCCTCAAGGACCACAGCGGTCTGCTCTGTCTCAACAGCAGGAGTTTCGGGCTCCGCTTCGGTCAAAGCAGGCTCTTCGACAGCGACGGGCTCCGCAGCAGATACAGCTTCAACTTCCTTCTCTTCCTCGTTGACCTCGTCCTTAGCAGCAGGAATCTCAGCGGCAACCTCCTCAGTCTCGATAGCCTTGGCCACAGGGGAAGACTCCTCAGCAGCAACAACTTCAGGAACCTCCTCGACGGGAGCGGCAATGGACTCCTCGACAACAGGCTCGGAAGTCTCCTCAACGGCAGGCTCAGTAGACTGCTCAATAGATTCGACCACCTTCTCCTCGGAAGGCTCAGGAACTTTCTCTTCGGCGGTGGGCTCGATAGCCTCCTGGACGGGCTGCTCAATGGGCTCCGCAACCTTCTCCTCGGCAGATTCGATAGGAGTAGGAGTCTCGACAACAGGTTCGGCCTCAGCGATAGGTTCTTCGACCTTCTGCTCCTCGACAATAGGGGCTTCCGGCTCCTGAACAGGGGTCTCCTCCGCAGCAGTACTCTCAACTTCGGCCACCTTTTCCTCGACAACAGGCTCAGCAGCCTTCTCTTCGACGACAGGTTCGGGAGTCTCCTCAACGACAGGCTCAGAAGTCTGCTCGATGGGCTCAGCCACCTTGTCCACGACAGGCTCGACAACCTTTTCTTCGACTGCGGGCGCAAGAGTCTCCTCAGCCAGAGGCTCGGCAACCTTCTCCTCTACGGGCTCGGAAACATTCACCTCAGTGGTTTCAACAGGAGCAGGGGTGGCTTCCTCAGCCGCTTCGACAGTCTCAGTCTCAGCAGCCTTGTTGTCCTCCTCGATGGGAGTGGAATCCACAACAGCAGGTTTGCTAGTAGCTAGGGCCTCGACGACAGGTTCTTCGGCCTTCTGCTCCTCAACGACGGGGGCTTCGGGCTCCTGAACAGGGGTTTCCTCGGCAGAAACAGGTTCGGCGACCACAGGTTCGGAAGCAGCAGTCTCAACTTCGGCCACCTCCTCAGTGGGCTCGGGGGCGGTCTCCTTCACCGGCTCCTCGAGAGACTTCTCGGCAGTCTCGACAGGGGTCTCGACAGGAGTTTCAGAGACAGTCTCCTTAGCAGGCTCGTCAGCGGGGGTCTCGTCGACAGCGGCGGTTTCAACGACAGGCTCGACAGCAGCAGCGGGGGCGACCTCTTCTTCAGCGGGCTTCTCAGCAGCTTCGTCAACGGCGAGGGCCTTGGCGGACTCTTCGGTCTTTTCTTCGACCTTAGGTTCCTCCTGAGCGGGCTCCTCAACCTTGGCTTCCTCAACGGGAACTTCCTCGGAGGCGGCTGTCTTGACTGGCTCGGCGATGGTGGCCTCTTCGGTGGCTGCGGGCTCGATGGTCTCGACGTTAGGCGCAGGAATCTCCTCAGTCTTAGATGCAGACTCTCCGGTAGCGGCGGGTTCAGTAGAAGAGGGCTCGGCAACTGGCTCTTCGACCTTGGATTCTTCCTTGGGCTCCTCGACCGGGGCAGCCTGCTCAGTGACGGGATCCTCGACCACGGGCTGCTCAACAGCAACTGCCTCAGCGACAGCAGGCTCCTCGGTCTTCTCCTCGGCATGGGAAACTTCAGTTGGCTCCTGAACGGCCTCGGAGGCGACTTCGGTGACTGGCTCCTTGACTTTGGGCTCCTCCACGGCGGCGGTTTCGGTGGTAGTAGAATCCTCGACCCTCTCGGCCTCAGGATTCTCCTCCACGACTGGGGTCTCGGTTGACTCCTGAGTGGCCTCGGGGATCTGTTCCTCGGTAGCGGTCTCTTCAACCTTCTCTTCAGCTGCAGGGATTTCAGTCGATTCCTTAGGAGCTTCCTCGGTCACAACCTGTTCAGCAGCAGGCTGCTCAACGACAGTCTCGGCCGGGGTAGACTCCTCAACCTCGGCTGCTTCCACCTTCTCCTCGACGGCAGGAGCTTCGGCCGATTCCTTGGCGATCTCAGAGGCTTCCACGGGGGCAGTCTCAGCAGGAGCAGGCTCTTCATCTTCAACAACCTTCTCCTCGACAGCGGGAGTAGTCTCTTCCGCAGCAGGTTGCTCAACAACAGAAGCCTCGGCAGGAGTAGGCTCTTGGACCTGGGCAGTCTCAAACTTCTCCTCGGCGGCGGGAGTCTCTTCGGAAGTAGGCTGCTCAACAGCGGCGGTCTCGATCTTCTTCTCTGTGACCGGGGCTTCAGTCAATTCCTTGGCGGTCTCAACAACTTCCTCAGGGCCAGTCTCTTCGGCGGTGGGTTGCCCGACAACAGCGGCCTCGACGGGAGCAGACTCTCCAACCTCTGTGGTCTCGACCTTCTCCTCGGCGGCGGCAGCTTCAGTCACCTCCTCCGGGGCAGTCTCTTCCGCGGCAGGCGGCTCAACAGCAGCAGTCGCAGCGGGAGTAGGCTCTTCAACAACCTTCTCCTCAACGGCGAGAGTCTCGATCGACTCCTGGGCGGGCTCAGATACTTCTTCGGGGGCGGTCTCCTTGGCGGTAGGCTCTGCAACAGCGACGGTCTCAGCGGCGGGAGTCTCGATCGACTCCTGAGCAGCCTCGGAAGCTTCTTCGGGGGCGGTCTCTTCAGCAGTAGGTTGCTCGACAGCGGTTGTCTCGACGGTGACAGGCTCGTCCACCCTCGTAGCTTCAGTCTTTTTCTCAGCAGCGGGAGCTTCCTCCTTAATCGTCTCGGGGGCAGTCTCTTCGGTGGTAGGCTGCTCTGTTTTGACGGTCTCGGCGGTAGAAGGCTCCTCAACCTGTGTTGTCTCAACCTTCTCCTCCGCGGCGGGGGCTTCGGACGACTCCTGGACGGCCTCAGAGACTTCCTCGGGAGTAGTCTCTTCGACAGTGGGTTGCTCAACAGCAGTCTCGGCGGGGGTATGTTCTTCAACCTCTGCGGTCTCAACCTTCTCCTCAGCAGCAGGAGCTTCGGTCACCTCCTTAACGGCTTCGGAAGCTTCTTCGGGGGTAACCTCCTTGGCTGTAGACTCTTCAACTGACTCCTTCGCGGTGGAGATCTCAGGAGTCTCCTCAACAGTAGGCTTCTCCTCGGATACCTCCGTAGGCACTTCGACAGGCTCTGCCTTGGCGGATTCCTCCACAATGGCTTCCTCCTTGGCGGGCTCCTCGACGGCGGTTTCTTCAGTGGGAATCTCCTCGGTGGTCTCTGGAATGACCTCTTCCACCTTTGACTCTTCGGCGGCCTTAGGCTCCTCTGCGACGGGCTTGGGTGTGGACTCTTCGGCAGCTGCTGGAGCTGGAGTCTCCTCTTCAGCTGAACGAGCTTCAACAGGGGCCTCCTTCTCAGAAACATCAGCAGAAACAGAGCTGATGCTCTCCTGTTTCTTCTGCTGCTTCTTCTTGTTCTTCTTGGCCTTCTTCTTTTGTGCCGCGGTCAGAGGAACCTCGGGCTCGGCAGGTGTAGTTGTAGAGTCGGCAGTAGAGTCGCCATTAGTCGCGGACTTCTCGTCAATAGCGATTGGGGTAGCCGCAAGAACAGGCTCCACCGAAACGGGATCTTTGGGCAGATGCTCCTCCGACACTACCGAACCATTAGTAACTGCGGCCATACTGCCCCGAAAAAAATTGAAATGAAAACTTACCACTCTGAGTCGCAGCAGTCGCCATGGTTGTAGGTCGTTAAAATTCGTAACGGTCGTGAAAGTAATGAGGGGGAATCAATGAACAATGAAAAACAGATTCGCAAATTTGACCAGCAAAGCAGACGCAGGATTCAATGGACGAGCTGTACAGAGGATGCTCTCAGAGCAGTGATTTTAGAGGTGGAGGATGAGCGAGGTAAGGGAGATTGAGAGAGGAATAGTAGTAGTAACAGAGTGTATGATTAGAGAAGATGAAGGAGGAGAGGAAGAGGGAAGAGGGGAAGAGAAAAAAAAAAAGGCAGAAGCTAGGGCCACATGGAATAACAACAATGACACCCGCTCGTACGGAACTATGGCTATGACTTACCACGGACACCCGAGCCCTGCGGAGTACCTTACGAGAATGGAGTAACTGATAGGACTAACTATTAGCTAGAACAAAGTAAATATTATTTACAAAGCATAAAAAAAGGAGGAGACCAGATAACAACCTTTTATGCCCAACCTAAGGCCATCACAGCAGGTGTTTCTTTGTACTCTTGTACTCTTGTACTCCAGTACTTCCTTGCACCAGGATTTTCTGTACAACAGCAGCCCAGCATCCATATGACTGACGAAGAGGAAAACAGAGAAACGGAGTGAGTGGTGGGGCCAGTTGTCACAGTGACCAGCTCATACTAGCCTCCAATGGCCATTTATTTAGTCCTGCTAGCTCTGTTAGTCTCTTTCGTCGTGCTCCCGTTGGGCCAGCAGTGGTTAGGTGTGAACGAAAAAACATTTCAGATGCCCAATCGCCGCTGGGCAGTTGGGCCCACCGAACGGTGTCCAACATGCGGTGAAGCTGCCTGCCGCCGAGGTTCCCTTGGTTCACGTTCTTTGACCGTTCAGGTCCTTGAATTGAGTGCGTTCAGGACTTTAGTCCAGTGCAGGAGTTCCCGGGCATCCAATTGACAATGGATCCAGTTGCAATGCATGGCTGATCCTCGCGTTTAGGCTTTTTTTCTTCTTCGCTCTGAATTTTGGAGGGGGGGCACCAAGCACACCTTCAGAAGTAGTTAGTACTGTAGCTCCTGCGGGACCCCTGGAGCCTTTCTCGGAGTCTAAAAAGTCAGGACGGAGGATGGCGTGCGACAGAACTGGTCGTGCTTCGCTGTGGTACTCTGGTCTTGAAGTACAGAGTAGGGAGTAGTACTGCTGGATGATCCAATCTCACCATGCACTACTCAAAGAACAGTACAACTGCTCATCTGCCCGGTCGCACGACCACTCCCGTCCAAACCCGCAATATCGTCATGGCCGAGGAAAGAAGAAAAAAATGGAGGCCCACTGGAAAAAGGGCGCTAGTGACTAGCGGATTGTAGACCGCAGCAGTAGCTAATCAGGAGCCAATAGGGGCCGGCGGTGCAGGGGTTCTCCTCTCCACCTGTCAACTGATCACCTGCGAGGACCAGGATGGGGCGGCATGCTGAAAACAATAGGAAGTGTATCGCAAAGAGCCAGAGAATTCGAAGGGCTTCGTATCTCCAACATTGGGACGAAGTATGGAGAGGTAATGGCAATCAAACTTGGTTCAGGTTCAGGTTCAGGGACCAAACGGTTGGAGCCGAAAAGTTCCAACGGCCCTGGTCAAGCGAGTCAGTCCCATGGAACCAGGACAGGACAATTGGGGACGATTGGATGGCACGACACATTGAATACTTCCCACAGATGCCCGAGGTTCGGGTTTCAGATCGAGTCATCAAGATGGAGGTAAAAACAAGAATTGAAAAAAATCTGCGCGAAATAATTCAATGTGACCTGCACAAAATAACCAAAATGATGTCGAAACGGAATCCCGCTGCACGGATCTGCAGGTCATGTGACCTTGATGGATGCCCGACAGAAGAGGCATGATTTCCTAAAGCGGTAATGGAACAACTGGCAGTGTCAGCAATGACTCATTCCCAGATTGATATTGCCCCTGTTCATGATGACTTGTTCATGGCGATTCCATTGGCTCATGTTAATTGTCATGACAAATCATCCCATTTCTGCCTAACCTGAATGCTGCCACGAGGCAATACGAATGCCCAGCAGGCTGTTCAGCAGGATCGGAGAGATACCACCCAGTCCACGGCATGGGAGTGACGTCCAGGAAAACAATGAACTGGGTCCCGAAAACAAACAGTGCAGGATAATAGTCAGGGGACTTATTGGGCCTATATGGTGATAGCACTGATGCACCCACTAAATAGCCTCGCATCTCTAGCAAGATTCATGCCCATCATACAAATTGCATTGCATTCTTGAACAAGATATCAACGGTGAAAAACAAATGGCAATCTGTTTCTTACCCCGAACAACTTGCCTCAATTTGAACCACCTCAGACTGGGCACTACCCCAGCCTTGAACAGCTTTGACCAAAGTATAGTTACTAGTTGTTTGAAGTCGAATCTCCGTCTCGAAGCCATTATATACCGCAGTTGTCGCTTTTTGTAGCTTGTTCTTCTCATTTCCAAGGTAAACCTCCCAGGACTGTACGTCAGTCGCTCCATTCCAACTGGCATACACCCGTAGCTGTTGAATGCCAGTATTAGATTTCGCAACACAAGCATAAACACTTGGCTTCGTAGTCGGTTTCCCACTCCACGCTCCTCGAAAGGCGCGATATGACATAAGGATATTGTCGTAGCCAAATCGTGCCCGCATCACCACGCCTCCAGCGTCGTCGTATTCTTCCAATTTTGGAACAGAGCCATGGCCCAACAAAACATGACCATTGGTGAGATTCTGATAGCTACCCTGGCTCGTAGCATAGACCACTTCATCGGCATCCCATAGATGACGATTCAAACTCGCGGTTTTCGCATCGAAATCCAAGTCTAGCAGAAGTCCTGTTGTGGCTGCCATTCCTTTAGAAAAAGGCGCGTTATCGTTGTTGTGCATGCGGAGTGTAATTGGTTTGTTCGTCTGCGACTCGATCCTCACGTCGTGTTGGAAGCAGAAATTTGTACCAGGGCCTAATTTGAAATCACCGCCCGTTCGCCCCTGTGAAGAAGTTCTTATTAGATATTGAGTGATTAAAGCGAAGAACGTCAGACATGCATCGAGAGTCCACTTGATGTTTCCTTTCGAATCAATTGCATAGACACTGCAATATCCATGAGCTGAAAGAGCATAGTTCTCTCCATATCTCATGACCGAGTTGAGATGCGCAAAGTCCCAGGGATTGCTCTGGTTATGTCCAGCTCCAGCAAGAGGTACCGCAGAATGAGAAAGATTCAAGTGATCCAACGCACTCCAACTGAAAAGCACTTTGTTGCTAGCGATTTCAATTTCATAGAATTGACTATCATGGACCCAGCCATCTTTAGGCCCTCCGACACTGCGCAGATCGGCTCTTGTCACATTATACGCAGTAACCATCACCGAGCCTCGATTTGTGATCGCATCTTCGTGAACATCAATGTACGAGGGGAATCGAGGTCCGAGAGCGGATTTGAAATTGAGATTGTCATCCGATAGTGTGACTCGATGGATCTCCTCGTATGATTGATTCAAGAAGTGGATTGATCCATATCCAAATCCCAACATACTGACAGTGCCGTTCCAATACGTCAGGACAGGCTCGCCGTTCAGTGTCTGGGACTGAAATCCAGTAATATGCCCCGATTGGCCCTGCCAGACGATCTCGCCATCGTCAGTGTATATAGTAGGAGAACCATGGCCTTTGAGCATGTCGGTAGGAGACAAGAAGATATACCCTGGCTCTGTCTTGCCATTCTTTGTCACATTCATCACGGGGGGTTGGAGTGGAGAGCTTTTGAAGGATTGGAGGGGCCATTGTCGAGAAGTTGAAGTGGTTGCAGATGCGAGAACTCCTGCAGCCAAATATATAACAAAGTAGACATAGTATTTCCACATTCTCAATGTCATTCAAGTTTGATCTTTAGAAGTGAAGACAACTTGGATGAAAGAAATGGGCTCACATCTGCAAGACATCGAAAGTCGCCCTCCTTATAACCATATCCGGGCAGTTTGTTGAGACTTGACAGCTATTGTATGCAAGCGAGCTTTCTTTGTCCTTGAGATTAGCTTCACATCACATCACATTACTCAAAGAATTTAGCTTTGCCGTTCCCGGAAATGCCAATCGACGAGTACGCACCGGGTGGAGAAACTACTGTACATACTACACGTTAGAAATTCAGCCCTGGAATTTCCCAGGGCTGAAATTCAACGGAAGTTACTGCTCAAATTAAACCTATCATGAGAATGAGAATGATCAAAATAATTTGCGTGGCCTCTTACATCCCTACAATCTCTACCGAAGGCTTGGGTCGATCCTGGGGTTGGAATGTGGGGAAATCGGTTTCTGCGTGGCGCATTCTTTGTTTGCTCGGACATCCCACGGTTCTCTTCGCTTCAACAGTTCAAAGACTGGAAACTTTGTTTCTTTGTTTCTGATGATTCCTACCTGAGCTCGGACTGGATATTGTAATTCTTGCATCTAGAATACAGAGACCCATAGAATCCATGCTGAAATGACAACCTCTGGCGGTTGAAACGGCCAACTTTTACCTGCAGCTAGGATGCAAGTACTAGTGGTGCAATATCTCTTGTAGATGAATTGGGTTTGTAGATCTACCGGAATTAGGACTCCTTGGCGCCAGTCAGCCAGTGATGGCCATACAAACAATACTGAGTAATAATAAGCTCAGGATAATCGCACGATAACTTGTGCTTTCGCACGACAGACGATACCATTAGGAGATACACACGCTGATTGGCTGGGCCCCACTAACCACATAAAAACGTTTCCGAATCTCGTTAGCGCAATCAATAACGAACAAGGCTGATTGGTCTGCTCAATCTATTAAGATTATGACCAAGATAATCGACAAGATAACCAACAAGCCTATGTCGTGGATGGCTGTAGACTCAACTCCCAAGATTCCCCAACTAGCTTGATTCCAAATGCCTCATGCTCCTCTTCCTGAACACATCGATATCCTTCAGACGTATACAGTCGACGCGCAGGTAGCAATACTTGATTCGTCCACAACACGATTCGCTCGTAACCGACCTCCTCGGCGAATGTTCTGCACTGGCGCACTAGAGCTCGAGCAACACCTAGACCACGCGCACTCGGCTCTACTAATAGTAGGCGAAGTTTGGCGGTGTTATCGCTCGATCGGTCTTTGACGAGCATGATGCAGCCCAGTGGGTTGCCGTCTTTTTCTGCAATCCAACAGCGCTCGGATAGGGGGTCGTATTGATTGATGAACTCTGCCGCGATACCGGCGACAAGGGCTTCAAATCGCTCATCCCAGCCGTATTCTTGGTTGTAAAGGACGCCGTGTCTGTGAATAATCCATCCTATGTCGCCGGGTCGGTGGGTACGGAGGACAAACTGACGATTGGAGGTTTGATCGGCGCTACCCATTGTACTGTCCGATCATAGAAGAATTTATTCAGAGATCTTTCAGAATAGAATAGTGCTCAATTTAGCTCCTAAATAATTTCTAGCTAACATTTCTGAAGCCATGGGACTATCAAAATAATAACAAGGTGCTGCGAATCCTTCCAGCCCATTCCATGTCATCCGAAGGGCGTAAGCTTAATTCTGACTGCGCGGGGAAAACAACCCCGGAAAGCCGAAGCCGAGCAGCAAATCAGCCAAGAGGGTCGAACAAACAGGCCTTATATCAACGAATTTATCAGATTTTCAGCAACCATTTCAACACTGGTTCACCCGAGCAACATTCGCCGCTAGCTTGCCTCTACCCGCACGATGATGTTCAATAGGTCTTCGTCAGTATTCTCAATATACCAACACCGGCATGTCTCGCGTAATTCTTTGTGATGAGCCGCAAGAACACAACGGTAAATGGTATCTTTGAACGGGTTCATCCAAATAGAACTCGATCTTGATGGTGGCTGGAATCCAAGCGCCTGCTGGATGGCGTCGGAGTGATATAACCTTGTTCCAAGTACCCGTTGGCACTGGACCAAGATGGTATTTGCGTCGACACTAAGAATGATTTTCTCCAAAACCTCAAATGGCAGTCGGCTAATTACCTCTACTGGCGCATTCTTGTCCTTCGGGTGCAAGTGCTGCATCATGTGAGACTTCCGGAATGTATGTTTGCGCAAGGAAGCCGCCGGAGAGACGAATGGCTTCCAATGTTGCCAGCTCCGCAAGGTGCGACGCCTAGCAAAATGCTGGCCGCGAGTTGTAGAGACCATCTTAATATTTGAGAAGTGAGATTGTTGTTGAGCTTGAATGATTGAGGAGTAATGAGGTGCCTCAACGTTTGACGAACACTCGGAAGTGATATTACAGCCTGATGCAAGGAATTCCCTTGAAAGGCAAAGTACTGAAGGAAAGAAACCTGAAGAGAGAATTGGAAAGGGAGAATGCCCATCTCCGCGATCTGTTTAAATATCGGTAGAAGGGTATGACGACTTCAAATCAAGCGGAGCTCCGACCATGGGTTCAGCTAGGCAAGCCGACAACAACGATGGAACAGCCGAAGCTGCCTAAAGCGACGTTGGTATAATCTTCAGATCTAGATCAATTAAAGCTGCAACTACAAATTCTTACCTAAAGAAGTAAATAGCACCGACTCATCCGCTAAGTTTCTACAGATTATTCTTCCGGAAAGCTTCGGGATGGTATGATCTGTATAGGGAATAGTATTTGGCTCATCTTGAATAGCATGGTATTCTCCAAGAACAGATAAAAAATCAATGATTCTATCGTATCAAAAGCCTAGTCTCTCGGCTTCCTTTGATCTAGTTGAATCTATACTTCTCCTCTCGGTCCTGCATGTCTGGTGATTAGCGTTCACTCCTCGAAGAATGTTCAGAGATACGTACCCAGTACTTGTTGAAACCAACACCCTCGCAGACCTCATCGTAGGTAAGAATCATTGGTGGTGCTCCGACCGTCATACTTCTCTTCAATCCGTCCAAAGCCTCTCGAACGCTCTTTAGGTGAGCAGCAACCAATGTCCAGGGATACGCGACGGCGCTGTATCCGAGCTCAGCAAGTTCTTTCGCCGAAATGTTTTCTGTTTTGCCTCCCTCTATAATATTGGCAAAGACAGGGCAGCTGATTTCCTTAACGCAACGCTTCATCGCTTCTCGATCAGGTAGAGCCTCGACAAAGATCGCATCCACACCGATGCGCATGAATTCCTTCGCGCGGGTCATAGCTTCGTCCCAGCCGTACATCAGCGCATCGGTTCGAGCAAGAATAAAAATATCTCTCCCTTCATTACGGGCGTCGACAGCAGCCTTGATACGGGCATATGCCTCCTCACGGGAAACAACGTCCTTGCCCTTGGTATGTCCACATCCTATCAAAGTTAATTATCAATTTCTTGGAGTTGGAGTGTATGGGAAGAGCAGGGAAAATCATACTCTTTGGCCAGCGCTGGTCCTCGATCATAACACCAGCTGCACCCGCCGCAGCAAAGCTTTCAACCGTTCTCTTGACGTTCATCGGACTTCCGTATCCAGTATCCCCATCCGCCATAACAGGAACCGAGACTTGACGAACAGCCTCCTGAATCTTGTCACACATCTCTGCCATAGCGATGTATCCAGTGTCAGGTAGACCGTATGAGCTTGCCACAGCATAACCTGCAAGGAAAACCATGGGAAAGCCCGCTTCCTCCACAAGGCGAGAGGACAGGCCATCGTACGTGCAGGCATGGGCCAGGATCTTGGTGGGGTCATCGCGAGCCTCCAACATCATTGTTCTGAGGCGTGCAGCCTGGAGAGAAGGAATCTTTCCGCGGGTATTCTTGATCCTGATATCGATGTTGGCGATGGTTCCGTCTTGAGGCCCGGTGGGTGCAGCGGAGTCGAACTGGAATGGGTAGGGAACGGTGTTGACGGACATTTCGAAGGATGGTTCAAACTGGATTATCTGGTTATAATGGTTCTTGGAAATTTTCAAGAGCTACATCGCCTTTTATATAGTGATAATGCATGCGATATCGGCATCAAGTCGTCTGCAATTGACAAGAGCTATGAATTCCCGCGCGCGGATATTCGATCGCGGATAATTGGCAACAGCCGTCGCGGAAATTCACTCCTCGCGCCACTCCGAGTGCCCAAGAACTGGTCGCAACGCAAATGAGAGGTCACCTAGCCTATCAACGAATTGATATTGGAACAGAGGCCGGGACTAATGATGTCCAGATGTGGGGATGCCGGCAATTGTAGCGCCCGCGCGGAACCTTGATACCCCACGGGGCCCCAGGTTTACAAGCTAATCGGTGATGAGTGGGCTCTAGTCCAAGGCAAACTTTATTTTGGGAAACTATTTGTACCGACACAATTTCCTCTTACCACCTCTGTGAAATCCATGGTCTTTGTTCACTGAGAAAACACCACCTTCTTCTACACAATCCTGGGCTTCGTATTGAGCAGGCCACCATGGCGAAACCTATGGACGTGGAGCAGCTCCCAAGCAGTCATCACGTTGAGGGTGATGTTGCTTCCAAGTCGGAGCTTCAAGTGAATGTCCCCGAAGCACGGCAATCTTTGATTCGAAAGAAGGTAGGCCTCCAAATGCCTGAAATGGAATGTTGTACGGATAATAACTCCTTCCAGTTTGATGGCAGAGTTCTACCTATTGTCTGTACACTCTACGTTTTGTCTTATCTGGACAGAAGTAAGTATAGCCTTACCACCAACTTTGCTAGACTGTACTGATTGTCGGAATTCATAATAGGCAATATTGGTAATGCAAAGACAGCTGGTCTCGAGAAAGACCTCCACTTGAGCAATTATCAATGGTCCTGGGTCTTATACTCCTTTTACATTTGCTACATTCTTTTCGAATGGACTACAGTTCTTTGGAAAATCTTCCCTGCACACATCTACGTTGCTGTGCTGTGTATCTGGTAAGTGCACCAAGCCCCACTGTCTAGGCCTGATCACCGCTGAGCCATGAAATTTAGCTGGGGTGCAGCTGCCATGTCTGCTGGTGCTGTCAACAATCTTTCACAGCTTCTTGCCTGTAGATGTCTTCTTGGCATCTTTGAATCTATATTTGGCGCTGGAGCACCTTACTTCCTCTCACTCTTCTATCAGAGGAAAGAGCTCGGGTTCAGAGTCTCGTTGCTTCTAGGAATGTCTCCTGTGGCAAATTGCTTCGCCTCGGCCCTTGCATACGGTATCACGCAGATCAAGGGTTCTCTCAAACCATGGCGATACCTGTTCATCATAGGCAAGTGTACTTCTTCTACATGGATGACTCTAGTACTGACGATTCGCAGAGGGCGCACCCACGGTTCTGTTTGCCATCGTGGTCTTTCTATGTCTTCCTGATTCTCCGGGAAGTGCAAAATTCCTGGATGAGACTGAGCAGACTGAGGCTGTGGAACGTCTGCAGACAATTGATCGGACGGCAAAAAACAAATTGCAATGGAAGCAAGTGACTAGTGGCCTGAAGGACTACAAGAACTATGTCCACATGACGATCCATTTCTGTTGCAACTTCTCCTTCTCCGGCCTATCCAATTTTCTGCCGACAATTATACAGACTATGGGATATACTTCAGTCAACGCTCAAGGCCTAGCAGCACCCCCTTATTTTGCTTCATTTCTCTGTTGCATCATTGCTGCGATAGTATCCGACCGTTGGGGAAATCGTGGCTTTGTGGTTACGTTCTTTGCTGTCCTAGGCACAATTGGATATCTTATACTGACGTGTGTCACGGATGAATCGAAGACTGGGGCACGGTATACGGGAATCTGGTTTGCAACATGTGGAATCTTCCCCGCGTTGTCGATCAACATCACCTGGCTATTGAACAATCAGGGAGGTGATAGCAAAAAAGGTGCAGGAATGGCCATGCTCGCTATTTTTGGACAGTGCTCGAGTCTGATTAGCAGTTCGGTCTTTCCAAACAAGGACGCGCCGTTCTATACGAAGGGATGTGCTCTTGGCTGCGCATTTACTGGCTTGATCGCTATCTTAGCCATAGGACTGCATGTCTCGTTGACTCTGGAAAACCGCAGACGGGATCGATTATACGGAGAAGTCAGCGAGCATCACCGCGTCGATGTTACCGACGGTGGAGACCAGAACCCGGGCTTCCGTTACTTGACTTGAAGTCTGACGAGTCTAGAGGATGAACGATACCTATCAAGAGAGTTAAGGAATCATAGCTGAATACTTATGTACGGCTTCTTCAACTGCAAATGCACCAATCTCAATGATTTATTCTCTATCTTCTTCTCTATCTTCTTCTCTATCTTCTCTTGAAAAGTAGCCGATTGATTGACGTCCAACTTTGAAACTCCTCCTTGGAAGGTTAGAACGGATATTAATATCCATTCTAAGGTATTCTCATAATTACAACTTTAATAAACTGTTGAGAAAAGTGAGATGGGAGATCAAGTGATTCAAACTTGATTTGATTGTTGGTTTAAGGAGAAATATCCGCTCCTCTAGAACGATCGATGACCACCATGCTAAGCTCGTAGCATGCTAATCGCCCCAGTGGTTTTACTCCGCTTGAGACCATCCTCTAGCTACTAAGTATTTGTGATTAAACTCCATGCCCCCGCTATCATTGACCACTACCGAGTCGCCTATTTGTCTGCCTCGGAAGGAAGCCGACCGCGGATATTTCGCAAAACCCGCACCCCCGCTTCCAAATATCCGCGGTCTTCCAACTTCCATCATCACCAACTCAACATGACTGAGAACAAGAGGCCCCCAAGAAGTCGAGAGCTTCGTGACCATGAGTTCCAAAGGGTTTATAAAGCATGTATTCCTTGTGCACGGCGGAAAGTGAAATGTCAATTCGTTGATGGCCGCAAATGTGCACGATGCAGCAGGCAACGACTCGAATGCACCTTTACAACAAAAAAGCCTTGGTCGCGGGAACCGAAGCGAGCAAGTACTCGCCAAAATGCGACTACCATTGGTACTGAGAGTATAAAAGAAAGGTTTGCTCCCTATCTGTTTTGCTCTAGACTGGTCTGACTCTGCCAATCAGGCCACAACGAGAATCTCAACAAGCCGAGGCCAAGCAGGGGGGACTTCCCACATCGATGCTGCAGAAAGTCGTTTCAAGCAACAATGATGCTATGAATATCCTCTATGAAGCAGCAATTCGTGAGGAAGGTCAAAATGTGATGGATGAGAGGCCCGCGGACTCAGCTTTATGCATTCCTCGTAGCTTGAACGAGACGGACGCACTTCGCATCTGGAATGCTTGCCGCTTCGTGAAAATGGGCTGGTTCTCATCGCATGAAGCTATCACATTAGTCGATCAGTAAGTCTTTCAATGGGGCTGAAGGTGCTTGATTCTAACTGGGACAGATTCTTCGCAAACATGAGCCCCCTTTCTCCGGTTTTGACGGACTTTTTTGCCTCACATAAAAATCAGTTCTACTTGGTGACACAAGAGCCGATGTTATGCTGTACTATCCTCATGATTTCTTCACGGCATCATATCCTGCCTGGAGTTGGAGGTCGCTCCCGGGCATTTTTCATCCATCAACGCATGTGGCAGCATTGCCAGCATCTACTGATGCGGCTGACTCTCGGCCAAGAGAAAATATCCAAAGCAAAGACGCGTAACATTGGAAGTATTGAAGCTTTGCTGCTAATGTCTGAGTGGTTTCCACGACACCTACAGTTCCCTCCCGAGACGGACGGCTGGGACTCTGATTTCATCATGACGAATTTGGATGCACGCGATCCTCCCTTGCCAGTTGAAGAGATACCTGTCTCTGATACATGGAAACAAGATGTTGTCGAACCTACAAAACGATTCGAGCATATGTCATGGATGGTCTTGAGTCTTGCTTTCGCGCTTGCCCATGAACTAGGTGCCTTTGACCCTAATGCGCGGATGCTGAAAGCTGGTGACCTGCTTGGTTTCGATGCTGAGATGTACCTTCAACACCTTGAACTAAGGAGACAGCGTCTTCCAAGTCTACTTTTTGTGTTTATCAATGCATTATCATCTAGACTCGGGTGCACATCCCCGATGCCTTCGGATGTTGGCCTTATGACACCAGACCCGGCATTGCTTCAACTGGACAAAAGGGGTAACGAGTGGCTGTCATTCATGAAGTCATGGAGAGAACTGAGCAAACTGACCTCGTCAATTATGCAAACATTATTTCCATTGATGGGTACGTCTTTGGCAACGGGATCAGCGGAAGCGTTTTTCTCCATCTTAGAACAAAAGCAGACCTTATTGGCGAACTGGCGGCAAAGGAACTTGAGCATCGCTGGTATGAATTGTTCTATGAACTCTTTTCTCCTTAGTCTCCGCTAACTCATGCAGTCCCTGGGTCATCTTACACTGATATACTTTTTGTCGAACATCAGCATCTCCGTGTACTCATTAATTCGATCGGAATGCAGGTCGTGGTGCAGCGAGTTTTGTCGAAGACCACCTATGCCGAGTCAACAATTGATAATTCCTTCATAGAAAGAGCACGTCAGCTGAACATGACTGCTCGGGAGTACGGGTTCATCGAGGAAGTAATCGATGGCTGCTGTCAGACACTTGAGAAAGTGGCTACCCTTGGCAATGCAGGCTCACTGTACTTCTCCCCTATGAGGTTGCTCTTCCGGACAATAAGCTCTTCAATATTTTTAATGAAAGCTCTTGCTCTAGGCGTGCGCAACAGCAAACTTCAGGAAGCCTTGCAAATTCTTGATCGAGCTATAGAGTCTCTGCAAGACAATAAAGAGGATGACAACCACATGAAACTACGATATGCGACCCTTTTGAATACACAGGCTGCTAGACTACGGAGAAGTCTGATTTCTTCGGTTCCAACACTTGAAGCTCCCACTGTCGATTCTGGTCTTCTTCACAGGCCTTTACAATCACTGGAAATTTATCCGTCAATGACTTCTGCCCTCAATAATGATCACGAGGGATTATCCAACTTATCTGGTTTTGATCCAGAAGATCCCCTTGATTTTGATGTCAACGACTGGCTATCTTTACCCTTCGAGCCGTCTATGGTTCCATTCGGACCGGGTGAAGGGGATAGTTGGGCTAGGCTAGACGGTGTTGACTTGAATCTGGAGTTTCTTTGGCAATTGCCCGCATAATCGAACCAAACTCGTGAAAGACACAATATCTGTCTTATTAATGAAATGCTCCGATGGCTTTTCGTTTTTTTCCAACTCGAATTTTCTTGGAATTTTGCTAATAAAAATGTAGTAAGAGCAGTATGACGAGATGAACCCTCATTCAGCACATAAATGTCAAGCAAAAGTGAAGAGTAGCCTGCATATTTCATGTGAATGCAATCCCAATATCAACTTTCCAATCTCTCTCAGTAAATGTAGAACTTGGCGACCCAATATCTCCAGGCTCTCAGCGCAATTTTTTTCGTTTATAATTGAAGGTGGCTGTCGCTTCGGAGATTTCGAGGGTTGCAGGTGGGTTCACGATCAGGTTCGTTGGACATTGTCCTTCCGAGCCCGATCCTGGGAATTTCTGGTTGGAGCCCTCATCTGCAGCAAGGCAGGATTATTTGTCGATGGTTGTTGCTCGTTTCTTTGTCGTAGCTTTGCGATTGATAATGCTGTGTAACCAATGGACTTCCAGCCAGAGACACGGGACCCGTTGGGTTCAAAAAGTTTGTCTCGGGAACTCCGCGAGGTTCAACAGCATCGGTATATTGATGACCCTGGCCAACAAAGCGCTGGGGTTTCCTAGTTGTGTGTGATGAGGCCACTGGGTCAGTTCAGTAAACTTCCTTCCTGGATACGCTGAGATTGCCGAAAACAGGGTCCTGCAACAGGGAGTTGACAGCCGAGACTCGCTCGTAGGACTGCCAGCAAAGTCCATTCAACCACTGATTGTAGTGATTGATATATTATTGTAAATCACAGAGCATATTCAATTCGCATTACATGTCCCAAAGCTTCTTGCAGATTTCGTGAAGACCGGTTGAATTCTGAGCTCGAAGTATGGCCGCTTTGTCTCTCATGGCTTCCAACCTCCAGTAGCGGTCCTGCAGTCCACGGTGAGTGGTGGCTTCAAGATTGCGAAGTATGCGGGGGAGACCAAGTTTCGTTTCTTTGAGTAATTCCCGGATCTTCTTTAGCTCTTGTAGGCATGCGCTTAGAGGCGAGGGTGCCCCTGGGGGGTTGAAAGTGTCGGTCAAGTTGGACATTATGGCTCAGAGTTTCGGTTGTTGTGTTGCAGATTTTGAGAGGGAAGTTTCCGGTGAACAAGGAAATGTGATCTTATAGAGCTCCTTGCGAGGTTGGAAAGAATGTAGAAAGAAGTATCCCAGGAAGAAATCGAGGTGGGGAGTCACAAGAGAGAGAGAAAGATCTTCCAGGCAGGGATCAGGTTGGATAAGGCTTGCAAGAGAGGAGAAAGAAATCTTGGAGAAGCCCTTTGAGGTGAAGATAGGACAAGGAGAGAGATCTCCGAGGCAGATATTATATTGGATGAAGTTGGAAGAGAGTAGGAAAGAATATTTAAGAGAGAATTAGTGAAGGAGAAATTTAAACGGAGAAAGAAGACATCTCTTAAGTGGAGGCCTATAAATATCATACAAGAAAGGAGGGAGAGGAAATTTTCCGGTGGGATATTTGTTAAAACGAGTTTAGACGGAGGAAGTAGGAATGGTATAGAAAGAGAGTAGAGAGGAAACTGCTAGAAAATAACAATGAATCATAATCTAGTAGAATGAAAAGTGAGGCTAGAATGAAAGGAGGAAGAGGGAATCCTCCAGGAGGATATTAATTGAGTTCACATTAGAAAATATAGGAGTAGATATTCGAGGAAAGTATCGGTTAATATAAGATCAAAAAGGAAAAGGAAGAGATCCCTAGCACAAAGGAGGCTATATCATCCTGAAAACTTGACTTTATTGAGCAAAATTCCTTATACGGCCTGAAGTCTCTCTGTAAGATGATCGCAATTCTCTATACAAAAATTATGTTATATCTAATGAAGTAATGATGCATTATCAATCTTGTGACCTTTAGGATATTCAAGACTAGACTTCAGAGCGGCGCTAGGGCTCGGTGGCTTTGAGCTTTTTCTCGCACTTTACGCAGATTATCGTTGTTTGGATATGGCTGGGATCGTACTGGCTGAGGCTAGGAGTTGAAGGTATTGGGGGTCGAAATGTCGGGGATGATGTTATCCGCCACTGCCTGAGGTTGTTGCCAAGACTTTGATGGAGGCGAGGATGGTGAGGGAGGTGGTGATATTTCGGAAGATTTTAATGTGATGGCTTTTTTGATAGCTGGGTAGGAAGGTGAATTGTCTATGCTTGGAGGAACATAGGCTGAAGTCCCGAGGTTTTAGCTGGGCTGGGAATCTTGCCATGGCTACAAAGCAGTTCTGCCACGGTTCTTAGCTCTATGGAAAACTCAAGGGCAACAACCAGATATAAACACAGGGGTCTCAATTATTGTAACTTGGGTATAGACATCAAGAAAAGGGTATTTCGTGTAGACAAGATTTGAAGCACAGCAACACATAAACATTGTCCGCAAATCAAATCACAAAATGATGGAACGATATCCATCAGAGCCTGGCGAGATCCACCAGCCCCATTATTAGAATCATAATCATAGTATCAAAAGTCGAATTCAAGACAGCCGGAGCTCTCCGTAACACTCATGCACCATTTCGCTCCTCACAGAGAATCTAGTTCTCCGCTCGTTGCTGCTCAGGCTGGTGAGTGTGGTGAGGCACAGGCTCCGGATAAGTCTCATGAGGCTGCTGCTGGTAGTACTGAGGCGCGTACGGCGCGCGCATCTGCGTCGGGTTTTGTTGCTGATAAGCCTGGTAGGTCTGGTACTGGCCAGGAGGGTAGGGGTATTGCGCCGCCACGTTCTTGTCCTCGCGATCATCCACGCTGCGCCACTTCATGCAGGCAAGGAGAATTCCGACAAAGGTGCCCACGATGAAGAAGAACTGAAGGACAGACTGAAGGCAGGCGAGGTAGTTTGGTTGGATGACGTTTTCGAGAGAGAAACGGATATAAATGACAGCGTATGCCAGGTTCAGTGCCATCCAGGCGATGCTACCGCCGAGGAGGGTGAAGATGGGGAACTAAGTGCGTAGATGTGAGTAGAGGCTTCGCGACAAGTATGAAAAGCGATTGGCTTACCTTCGAAGCGAATCGGTGCGATCCAGCCTTGACAACGATGAAAATGAACCAAGCAACAATCTCCAGCGACAGAATCCACCATATGATAGCGCGCGCAGCTTCCAAGTTGTTGTACTGCTTCGCAATGGGCGAGTAGTAGTAGTTCTGAACATTCTGCACCTGGAAGCCAACGTACAAGCCGAAGGTCGCGAGCGAGACGACAGACACCAAGCCAAGAATGACCCAGTGAACGATTGCCACGACGGCGTACGGTTTGCCCGCATCAGTGAGGCGATTCAAAATGCTATGAATGAGGTGATAGAAAACAAAGAAGATGAGACAGCCAGCGGCCAGGCCAAAGAACTCGTTCAGCATCAGGTCGATAACATAGTACATCTGGACAGTGGCATTTGCGAAGAAAAGGATCTCGTACACCAAGATCGTGATCATCGATCTAAGTAATCTCGAGTTAGCAGTCTATCTTCAACTTCGAGAGAGGCCATACGTACACCAAGTATGCGAGCAGCGCCCATAGAACGCCCTTCAACTGGCCTCTGCCATTGTGGATCAGACAGGTCCAAACAAGGAAGCCGATCAGCGCGATAATGGTGAGCACATCAAACGCAAAGCCCGCGATGAAGAGAGTCTTAGATCTCAGCATGTCCAAGGAGAACTCGATCTCCTGAGACCACGGGTTATTGCTAGAGTAGCTGCTGTAGCTACTAGAGCTTCCGCCCCCGCTGCGTCGTGGAGCCATCTTGCTTCAGGGGGTAGACAGGTCAATCTGGTGCCCGTCGAAGATCAGAGAATTCTCTTGATGCGTATTCGGATTGTTCTAGCTCTAAAGACTAGCTAGCTAGTATTTGAAGCGGTTGTTGGTTGAAGAAAAGCGCGTCAACGGGCAAACAAAAGGAAAAGGAGAAAGCAGCAGCAACAACAAGAGATTTCTCCCAGCCCATCGTGGGGTCATCACAACTTTAAAAAAGCCCTCCATGTTGCAAATCGACATTGCTAGACCCTGAATACGAGGCTGAGCCCCCCTGCGGCGAAGAAGGAGGCCGTTCATTGGTCGGGAAGCGTTTAGGGCAGAGACGCTGGCGCCAGACGATACGAACGAGTCGAAAGCCAAATCTCTTGGCTGCTAACTGGTCCAAGTATTGAGTTGGCCCGGTCCTAGGGGCTGAAAAGGGTCTTAGAGGGCTGGCTATGCTGCTTTAGAGAATCTTGTTTTTCTTCCAGCGATCCGGTCCCCCTTTTCGCCCGCTCATCGTACATGTTGCTCTTTTGGCCCCCAAAACCCAGGGCAAATTCAAAAAGTATCGGCGGTTCACCCTGCTATTTTTAGTGCTCTCCATGCCTGCTTGAGCCTCGAGTAGCAGAGTCATCAAGTTAGCGGCTATCAGTCCTCATCCATTAATTTGGAGTGTATAGCCTTCGTCATCGATCAGGTAGGGACCACGATTTATCGTGACTGAGGAGTTTCCTTTGTCAGACATTGGGGATTTGGCAACTCGTAAAGATGAGAGAATGACCTGGTCGCTTAGGCCTGTAGGCGCCCCGTGCCGTGCCAACTCATCACTCCTCGTGAAAGAGTGACGGTGCTGCAAGGACAGGGTCAACAGTGGCTCTCCATAGATGGAAAGTATGTGATTATGGCATTCACGGAGATGCCGTAAGTCCAAGATTGAAGTGTGGGGAAATAATCGGCTTTTATGAAATTCGAGTGCAACTACTACTTGGGGCTCTCGCATTTACAGGGCCTCCAGTGTGCTCTAATAATGCCAAGGAGCAAACTACTCCGTGCAGGGTGAGCTGAAGTCTGTCGTCTTAATTGACATCGCCACTGGGATTTCCCAAGTCAGTCGGCATCTCCGATACAAGTAGTCGTCTCAATCCTTTTATCCACAATCGATTACTTTCTTCAGCTCAGTGCAGTGGTGGAGTGCAACAACACTCGTGGCTGCAGTGGCTGGAGTGGCTGAGTCGGCCTCCACCGCCACCCGACTCCAGCTCCAGCTGAGACGCGTCTGTTCGCGATCCTTTCGCGAGTCCCAAAGGTGCCAAGTCCCATGTTCTACTCCCCAGAACCGAGGTCAGACGAGTCCAGTGGATCAACACACGAACTGTCAGGGATTCCCCAGCCCAGCTGTCAGATCACATCTAGATCACATCTACTGATCAGGGAATAACCCAGTCCTGGTTCCAGCGCACACAGAAGACCATGAAGGACACAAGGTGATCATCTCCATCCAACCCAACTAACCGAGAAAACAACAAAGAACGGAAAAACACACTAGCATCAACTAGCAACATGTTGACCATGCATTGACCCAACCGATCGTCTGGGAACAGGTCCAGATCCAGATCCCAAAAGTATACTCTGTACTAATATGAGCTCGCCGCCCGTGGCGAACCTCTCAACGTCGCACTAACCTGCACTAACTACTCCATATCAAGGGTAATTCAACCGAGTCGATCTCCGACAACATCGCCCTCAGCTCCCCGCTGTCACCAACTCCAGGGTGTCTCGCTCTTCTCCGAGCTCCTCTTTTCTCCTACTGGACCCAGCGACAACTGACAAGCCCTACTGTCTTAGAGAGAATGGGTCCCCAAACCCTATGTATTCACCCATCGCCTTACCCTTATAGCTTCGAATCCACACTTGCCCCTAGATCCCCGAGATCACCCAGATCCTCGAGATCGAGCGTCACAACGTGATTGATTCCCCGGAGATGCATGGTGACCCGCCACTTGCGAACTGGTCCGCAGGACCGAACCGCATCTGGCACCGAAGCGATCAAGCACCGACAGATTCCAGCTTACCATGTACATACAGAACTCCGTGTCTGGCATGGCGATAGTGAATTACTAGAATACTGGAGTAAACCAGTCTCCATATTTTTAATCGCCTCGGTGGCATCACTCGCGTTTTGTTCGGTTGTCCGCGGTTCTCCGTTGGTGGATTCAGATTGAGGTGATCCGGGCTCAGCCAGTGGGCCACCGGCCAGCCTTTCTCCTTTGATCTCCCCTGAATCCTGAATGGACCTTTTTTTGAGATTACCAGGGGTGTGTTGAAAGAGGCGATTTCCATATAAATAGTTAAATAGTCACGATGCAATAATAGGTTCAATTCCCCTTTTGCTTCTTTGTTCCTCTATTTTGGATGGTTGATCATTATGATTTCTTGACTTCATGGATGTACTTCCTGAATCATTCATCCTTATAAACTTCGGGAATTTTAATCTACACTTGACATTTCTTTTTACTTGACAGACTAGTTGCCCTATTTTTACGTCTTTGTTTTCTTTTCTTTTTGGGCCGTGTTCCCTGGATACACTACTCCGTACCCTCTGCCGGATTCGGTGTCATCCGCAGAGTCCCGCACGTCCACGGTACTTCTCAACTGCATTTCTTGCGTTTCTGAGATCATATCCCAACATTTCGCCCTCGAGGCTTGCAGCAGTTATTTCGATCTTGGACTATATTATCTTATCCTCATCCGTGGCCGAGTCAACTACCTCCATATCTATATCGCGCTACCACGACCCGCCTCTGCGCCTTGACACTCGGCCCGTCCGTCTATGATCTGCAGAACATCAAAGCTCAACTAGGTGGTGGACTGGAATCTGGCTCGATCTCTCCATTGACAACATACATCTTTAATCCGTTTTTTGATCGATTCGATCCCGATCTTTCACCGATAGAAAGCCATCAATCGGATACCCAGTTCTCATCTGAAGACACAAAGGAGAAACGGCCCACTACTGTACCGAGATCGTGGACCCTCTCATCTAATCTCCAATAAAAGGAGACTTAACCATATCAAGATGCCCCCAGATGGCTCCTCCTTCACAACCCTAAACCTCCCACCAACATTCACCCTCCCACAATGCATGGAATACTTCGAACTCACAGCGGGCCCAAACACGGATCTATGGCGCAAGCCACCTAACGGCGACACCTCCACCGCCCCAATCGTCTTCACATCCCTCCGCCACCCCTTCGTCGTAGCCGAAGTGACCGTCAGCGCAGATTGGGAAATGGAATGGGACCAGGGCGGCCTAGTCATTTTCGCCGGTGCAGAACCCCAATCGTTCTCCTCAGATACAACACCGGGAGGTGATCTCCCCTCGACACGTCGATCCTCTGCCCCACCCCCATGTAAATGGGTGAAAGCCGGAATGGAATTTTCTTCGGGCACGGTGAATGCGTCGTCCGTGAGTGCCACGGCCGATGGGGCGGATTGGTGTTTATCGCCGTTGGTGCAGAGTGTGACTGGGCCGGCGATTCAGTCATTGCGTATTAAGCTTGAGAGGGTGGGTCATGCGCTTTGGATTTGGTATCAGGTTCCTTCTGCGGTGCCATATGCGTTGAGTCCTGGTGCGGTGGGGAGTACGTGGAAGAAGTTGAGGGAAGTGACTTGGTTTTTTTATGGGGTTGAGGATAAGTTTGTTCATGTTGGTTGTTATGCGAGTCGGCCGACGAATATTTCGCGGGGGCAGACGATGTGGGATGCTATGCATGGGATGAGCTTGGAGAATAATCTGGCGGCTGGGACGTCGGATGGGTTAGTTGTTGAGTTTGAAGATCTGGAAATCTTCTAGTCTGGGGACATTCCTTTTCATTGACTTGATCCCCTTCTTCTTTTATTGACTTATATTCCCTGCACTCTTTTCTTTGATGTCATTTTGTTTCTTTTTGTGAACCCGCGGACTCTTTTCTTTCTTTTCCCGTCTGTCCCTAATGCTTTGATACCTTTCGTCCCTTCAGCGTTTGAGCAAGCGAGTCTTGTGGCATGATCGGAGTCGACATTGACTTGGATCTTCTATTCGTGTGATTAAGCTTGGATATTCCTGGGTAGTGGATAGTGCATCTATAATGTTAAGCTGTTTTTGAAAGAATCAATTTACTCTGATGCTAATTACAGTAGTACCTAACTCGGAGTTCCCGTAGGTGCACTATTGCGCTGGCCCAATTGAGGACAACGACCAAATCATGATGAAGTGAGGAGCTAGATACATTTAAAGAGAGTTCTAGTCCTAAACACTACCTCAAGTTTATCGGATTGTGCAGACTACAAGGCAACAACTTCAGATCATGAGACTTCGACCCGTCGGGATTTGGCAGGTGCATCACAAGCCATGAACATATAGCTCAACAAGACAATAGAGCCTGATGTGTAAGACCTTCCACGAAATCGGAATATTGATGTCACTTAGTCGCATCCATAGGTATCACATTTATTTTTTAAGTAAAATCATTGCGGCGTAAAGTACTACACATTTTGCCTACGGAGCCTGCTTGGCATCTGCAAGATATAAACCTCCACAGTACCCGCACTAGGAACACCAGCTAGTTACAGTGACATCCACATCCAACACCGGACCAAGCACTCAAACGGAACATTCACCCCGGATCCATATAATCAAACCCAGCAGATTTCTCCCCTCCAAATAAGCTCTATACCAGAATGAGCCCGTTCGATAGGTTTAAGTTACAATACTTAGTTACTGTATCCTCGACCGAATCCGTCGTTGATGTCATGCGGCTGAGTCAGCCGGACGCGGCGGCAGGCGCTTCCCCGAGGTCCCGGGAGCTAGTGCGAGTTTTGCGCAGGGGGTTGCCGAGGGCGTTGAGCTGGGCGTGTACCACGATGAGGCGTGATATAGGGATAAAAAAGTAGGGCAATTGATCGAGAAGGATCTGAGTAATGTCATACTCAAGCATTGACCTCCAATGCCTCGTTGTTGGTGGGTGGTCGTCGCCGAAAGTTCACACGTTTCAGTTGCGGTTCCGTAGGGCCGGAAGCAGCAGCCAAAACCTGGAGAGACAGGGGGAAGCCGGGAAGGGAGATCGATGTCCAACCCCAACATAGCATGAAGCTGGAGCTTGGGGAGAAGGAGCTCTGAGAGGAAGGGAGTGCTCGGTCTAGAAGCATCGAATGGTATCGATTTTGATACTATTTACTGGCTTACTGACACAGGTTGCGAATTCGAAGTCTAGAAGGACAAAAGAGAGTCGTAGATAGCTCCAACAAAGCAACCAAGACAGTAGTACAGCAAAGTTAGGTAGGGAGGGAGAATTTGGTGGTGATACACAGCCGGAGAGCGAGACTCTCAACACACAGAGTTTTGGTTTGGCTCTTTGGAAGTTGGGATGGGTGGGCCATATAAAGACTCTATATGTACATAAAGAAAAAAGGTGTTGTAGATGACGCTGAAAAGTAGTACATGGTAATACATCACGACCAAATACCCTCCCCGGCAAAAAAAGAGAAAGAACAAAGGAAAGGGGTCCAAGGAAAAAGATGAAAAAAAAGTCTATAGTGAGGATTTTCTTTTTGTCTTTTCCCCGATAATTTCTCTTTGATACAAACCTCCCCCCTTTCAGAGTATCAAGCCTCTTCAGAGGAGAGGCATAATTTGCCTGTTCCGATTTTCAAACGCTTAGACGTACTTGCACATCATGGCAACCATGAGATCGAAGAGACCCATGGCCTCGACGAAGGCGAAACCCAGAATGGCGTAGGAGAAGAGCTGGCCACGCAGAGCAGGGTTGCGGGAGACACTCATGAGGAGAGCGGCGAAGACGAGACCGATACCGATACCGGCACCACCGAGACCGATGGCAGCGGAACCCATACCCAGGTTCTTGGAGACCTCAACCATGGCGGAGGCGACCTCGGAGGAGTACTGGCGGCGGGCAGCAGTCTGGAAGGCCTGGCGGGCGTTGGCCTGGAGGAGGGTGGGAGAGGCGCGCTTGGGGGTAGCAGCGAAGGTGGCAACGGGGGCCTTCTGGGAGGTGAAGGTGCGCTTGGTGGCAGCGTTGAGCTGGAAGCGAGCAGCGGGGCGGGCGACCTTGGAGGTCTGGGCCATGGTGGAAGCCAGGCGCTGGGCGAAGACACGAGAAGCGGCCATTGTGATGGTTTGAGGTTGGGTTGGTATATAGGAGGGGAGGTGGTTGATGGATGGAAAGGGAACTTTTCAGGGAGGAAAAAGCTGGGAAACTATGGAAGAAGGCCTGCCCAGGACATAAATACTCTACGGGCAAATTTTCGCCCGTCCGCCCTCCCAGTCGAGGCTAGTGCGCGTGAAAAAAAGCCCTACTCTGTGCGGAAGACGGAGTATTTCACCAGGTGATGACTTGTTCGTACTGTATGGATACTGGGGTATATGGAATGTTGGGATGGGGGTATGGATCTGGTTTTTCCAGTTATTTCATTTCTTACAGAACGGATAATACAGGAGATATACAATAGCAACAAACTGCTTGTGTTAACTGTCGGGTTCATTCGGGTCTTCATTGGGGAGGAAGCAGGATGATGGTCCACCTCAGGATGGAGCTGTTATCTTGTTTTCCAATAATTACAGATATGGAGACATATCCACTTCATCTCTCTCTCCCTGACCCAGTCTCAATTCCCCCTGCATGAATGTTTCTCAAGTATCCATCCCATCTATCACAAAACACACCAGTCTATTCATTGAACTAAGCAAACAAAACCTCCTAGGAAACCCGAAGGCCGCAAGTCCATCAGCTTAGAATAATCTTTTTTTTTCTTCTCTCCCTTCCCTGCAGTGGATCATCCCAGTCCCAATTGGGTGGGTCGATCCACCCGATCCATCAAACTGAGTCAACCAATCATAACTCCTAAGTAATCCACTCCGTTTCTGGATTTCTTCCCGGCGTCGCCCAATTCGGGCCGAGTCGGATTCCTGGTCCACCAGCGCCAGTTTCACTGGGCAACCACCGGCTGAATGGCTGGCTCCGGTGGATTCCCTTGAATCCCTGTTCCTCGGGACCTCACCCACCCTCACCGAGTCATCTGTTTTGGTGCCACGTAATTTTCAATGACTCCGGATCCGGCACAAGGAAGAGGAAAGAGGAAAGAATGGTAAATTACGGATGCCATTGGCATGGATGCATCTTCTACGATCGGATTCTCTTCCCTGAAACCCACATTATATGCCTGTCTGCCAGAAGTACTCCGTACAACCTCCCGCATGAACCCGCAGATATTGGGGGGAGATCTCGGGCGGCTTTTATACCTGTCGCAGAACGAATTTACACTCCCGAGGAAGACGTAAGTGGAAAGGCTGAAAAAAGGTAAAAAAAAAGGAAAAACAGGAGCAGAAAACAAATAGGGCAAAATTACGCTGTTCAGTCTATCCTCGCTTCCCTCGGTCTCCACCGGAAAGGATTTCCGACCCGCCAGAACCCGATTTTCACACGCGCAAAAAAACACTCCTAGACCCCCTTCGTCCGGTTCACCCCAGACCAGCAACCGCGGGCCCCAAACCCGGTGTATAGAAATCAGTGCGTTGCGCTGAATCATTCAATATACATATATCCAGGTCGGAGCCCAGCATTGCTGGTCAGCACATGGCTGATGGCTGGGATAATAGGCTGAAAAGGGGTCCGGAGGCTCTGCGGTCATTCCGTGGGAAAATCTGCGCCGGCTGCAGGCGCGGCGGGATCGAAAGGAGCTTGGCGGGGACCCACACAAGCTCGATTTTTTTCTTCTCTTGCAGGGATAGCCGCATAGGCGTGGGCAGGGTTTTTTGCCGGGAACCGTTGGGCGAACAGGGCCCTTGCAGAGAGAGAGCTTGGCCTTAGAAGAGCTGTGAAGGATGGGGATGGAGACAAGTATTTATATTCTAGTGGTGTGGAAGGAATTAGGTATTAGTCGATGCAATTGAATTTGGGTAAAATATTGTACAGAATAATAATATACAGAATATTGTAGAGAATATGGAGTTCAGAATTACGGCTGATACGGGGATCCGTAGTGAAGCTATTCGTGGAAAGGGAAAAGGGGACCCTCGGGTGTTTACGGGTACGCGTATTACACGATACACGTAAGACGACACATCGAGGCATCATCGACCCGCCGTGAGGTCATGCGAATGGGAAAATATGGAAATATGGGAAAACATGGGAATTGGTCTTGGCCCAAGATGGTCTGCTGAGGCCAGCTGGCATCCACTCATCCACTCATCCACTCATCCCCCCCTTAAGTTCCCGTTCACTGTCCGGTCAATGGGACACCTTGCTCAGTCCCTTCAGAGATGACAGGAAAATAAGCAACAAATCCATATCTATGCAGGCTGACTCTATGAGCAAAAGTACCTACCACACCTCTACATATCTACACAGTCCTCCGTATATCCAGGGTCAGACGACTCTCGCTCCCTACCAGCCTCCGACTACGGAGCTAGCTTGGCTTCACCTGTCTCAAGGAGGATGGGGGTGACGACCGAATCCACTTGGATGGAGACAAGAGTGGACCGGTGGGACCTGTATACATACACTGATACACAGTTCACTCACTCCATCTTCACCGTACACTGTACCAGTAGGGATGTATCAGTTCCGTTCTCAGGTACGAGAACTCCGGAAATTCACCAGACACACTGGTCCAAAACGGTCGTGATTCTGGATAGATTTCACTCATCCGCGCGGTATCTGGGTTGAATCGGCTGTTTCTTTGGAAACCGGGTCCCTTATCTTATACGAAGTTACTCAGTAATGTACCCAGAGTCTGTACGCCGTACGGACTCTACAGACCTTACTCAGTAGTCAGTGCATAGACGATTGTAATGTACGGAGTACACTGGAGGCTGGATGTTGGATGCTTTGGTTGGATATCCACGCCTTGAAGAATGGAGTTTCCGCGCTTCCCGATTTTATAGGCGAATCATCATCAGATGGACTTCCACGAGGCGCTCCGAGCCACCGCAGATCTAAGGAATGTCGGGAATGTGAAATCGAGAACTTGTAAATATGCATGGCAGACACAGTATGCTATGCAGGATCATATCTCCTGTCTCAGGTACCAGGGCCAAGACCAAGGCTATCAGCACGGTAGGGATGAATGGACATGCCTTGAAAGATGCCATTTCTGCAGGAACGCATGTACAGTTCCAAGTTATATCGTACAGGATGCATTCTAGGGCATATGCACCAGCGAAAGATCGATCTTGTGGCCAGGACTGGACACAGACGTAGAAATGATACAAGCCTTAGTCTTGAGCTTTGCTTTCTGGCTTCTGCATTCTCCATACGAATCGGAGTCCTGGACCCATCCGTACCTGGAAGCTGGGGCAAATCTCCTGCCACCGCCGTGCCCTTTGCAAGTTAGCCCTAACCTCAAAGCCACAACGGGGTTTGTCTGTCCAGCCCGAGCACGAATTTCGTCTAGCACCGGACCACCAGCTGTAAGAGTGCCACTATTAGTCTGGAGAATTGAGCTTTCCCCAGATCTTGTTTTCTTAAATCGAGATCCACCTCCAGATTTTTTCCTCCTGCTAGACTTAATGGGTGTAGCGTGCTTTGGAAAGATTTTTCTTGGGGTTATCTTGCTTGTATGGTTTACTCGCGGGTTGGCCAATGAGTGAGGGTGTTTCTGGCCTGTGGACCTGCGAGGTAGTCGTTTTACTCTAGATGATTGCTATCTTGTCTTGAGTGTTAGTTGGCTGTCTTTGAGATTGGTTTTCTCTGTAGGAGAAATCGCTATTAGTTAGCCAGTCAAGCTTAATCAAAGTACATGTTCACTACCAACTCTTATGGAGACCTTTTGATGAAATAAGAGCATTTTGACACCATGAGCAAGATCAGCACAATCCATACCTTGAAGGGGTCATAGACCATCAAACATTACTGTTCTTCATATACTTTTCTTCACCAGACTTCATCCTGGAAACTCGATAACCAAGTCAAGCCTATCCTATTTCTTGTTTGGCAACTTTTCTACCGAAGACATCTAATAAATACGACTAAAGTCCTTATCATTCTACCTCAATGCTTTATACTGCCTCAGCACCGCTTTGAATCCTAGTTTTGTCGTAAAGATCACAAGATTAACAATTCATCACTATTTTACCAGAGCTACAAGATTCTCTGTATAGCGCATTGCTATGCTCAGAGAGATTAGGACTGTATGGTGTGCTTTACGCAATGAACTCCATGATTCAGAATGATGCTGCTAGGTAAAGTGCTTGAAGAGCGAGCTACTGTATTACTCGAGGAGCTGGAGCTCTCCACCTGTTCACATGTCTTATCGAAAAAGGTTTTCTCTCGAGTGGCCTGGCATTTACTCGAAGATGAAAAGCATCTATTCAATAGGAGCATCTTGTACATACCAGACAGTGAATATGGATTCTTTGCCAGGGAGAAGTTGAGAAAGGTTTTACGGTCTCGATGACATTCGGTGCTCTAAGGTCTGCGTTACCATTTTGTTTCCTCTCAAACACGATGATATTGCAGCCATAATCAGCGCTCGTGATTTTACGTGTCTTGGAAAGGTCCTCCATGTCCAGGACCCGTTTCTAGAAATCTATGGAGTCGAGAAATAGTTACCAACAGACTTAAAGCCCTTTGAATGTTGCGTCTAATTGTTAAAAATAAGGAGATTTGTTGACTTTCCACCAGCTACGAGGTCTAAGCATTCACCAAGAGAGCTATTTGCCAGCATTTTTCCTGGCCTTTCGGGATTACAGGGATGCTAATCTTGAATTTGTGCTCTTTGTACAAATATTTGTGCAGCGCTTATACTTTTAGTAAAGATCCTACGAAGTCGAATAAGCCGTTAAGGACTCTCAAGTGGGATATAGTGGGGAAGTGGATTCGCATACAAGAAAATGAAGTCGAGAAGCCATTCTGCTTGATAATCAATCTCAATTAGGTCTTCGATACCAGAGAGCTGGAAAGTACAAAAGAGCGCACACCCAATCAACCCTATACATTCAAATTATTTTCTAACTCCTCACAACGAAGAAAGTCGAGATCAGAACCAAGATGCCGCTCACTCGACAAACCGTGCTCCTGGTGTGTAAACATCCACAGCCACCAAAAATGGTTAAACTAACACATCATATAGACTGGAGCATCAATGGGAATCGGCGAGGCAATCGAAAAGCCCTGGCTTAGGAAGGTGCAAACTTGATCCTTCTCTCTCGCTCAGAAGTATGCACCACAAAACCCGCCAACTATTACATACAGCAAACTAACGTCCTATCCCAGGACAAACTAGCCAAGCTCAAAGACGCGCTCCTCCAACAATACCCCAACATCAAAGTCACCTATCGATCCGCAGACGTAGGAAACCACGAAGAAGTCGACACCGCCTTTCCCCGGAGAGGCAGTTTATCATTCCAATAAAGCTGCTCAGGAAGCTTTTACGAAGGCGCTGCGGAATGAGTTGGTGGGGACTAATATCAAGGTTCTTGCGCTGAGGCCGGGGCGTGTGGCGACGAATTTCCATTCGCAGAGGGTTGGGCATGATAGGGAGATGCATGAGGAGTTTTTTGAGGGTTATGAGTGAGTTTTTAATGGTGGTACGGTGTATGGGTATTGTTGGAGAAAGCTGATTTTATGTTTACGACAGGCCGTTGGTGTCTGAGGACATTGCCGAGGCTGCGGTTTACATGCTGAATCAACCTCTTAAGGTTTCTATTAAGGCATTGGATGTTGTTTCATCAGGTATGTGATCCATATCCAGACTAAAATAAACGGTTGATGTAAACTGACACTTCCAAGCTCAACGATCCCTTAATGTGTTTGATCGCAAGTGGAATGAGCGGCTCGGCAAATAAGCACCATCCGCTGCACACCCTGCTCGACGCCTTAAGGTTGTGCTCGAGAAATTGATCCAACAGAAAGCATTTCCCCACGGCAACGCCTGTGGAGAATCTGGTATTTGATGGTAAAGTACATGAATAGACAAGAGAATCACAGTCGAAGGAAATATATATGCGGCATCAAGCTCCCCAATGCCGACGAGGGCGTATCCATATCAGAGAACAAAATGTACACGATAGGTTATGTTAAAGGCAGGACAAGAATGAGAAAAAAAGATCACATCTCGTGTCAATATCTCAGATATAGCTCACTTTCACACCCATTCCAACGGTACCCTTAACCTTCTGCCACGCCGAGCCCGTGATCCGTCGAACTCGTTCGCGCACGTCCTGCCGGCTCATAGCCATTAGGATACCAAGTACAAAGAGCAAGGTACGTGCTATTGAAAGCGGGTTGCCAGACACGCTTTGAATAATCTTCTTGAACAGATTGCGCAGCATGGTCGCCGCAGCCCGCGTTTGGCTTCGAGATTCGGGTTTGACCTGCTTCTTTGAGCCTTTGGAGTTTGACGAGGAGAGGGCTGTCCGGGAGCTAGATTTGCCGCTCGGCGTTGGCTTGTCTGACGGTTTAGACCCCTTGGCCTTGCTGCGTGGGCTACCTTTCTCAATCCCGTAGTCCACTTCACTCGTATTGCGCTTGTGGCCATTTGTTTGGGCGGCTGCTGCTTTCGCGGCTTCTTCCTCGGCTTGCCGACGCTCGTCATCACGCTGGCGCTCAAGTTCTGCATCTTTCTGGCGTTGAAGCTCGGCCGCACGCATTTCACCTCGTTCCTTTTCTTCCTTCAAGCCCTCTAGTGTTTGGAGGAAGAGCTCTTTCCGCTCCTCATCCAAAACCTCGCTCAGATTGATGAATTCTTGTGCATACTCCCACTCTTCGTTCCGAGGCAGCACGTGCAGAGTGAACAACTCGATGATCCGTACTCGGGCAGCCAGATCCTTCGGAGTGTCGGTTCCATTGCCAGTGGGTATGCGGTGCTGCTGAATCCCATCTGATGCATCCTGAAGACGATCTGCGAGATCTAGGTTGGGTTGCCCATAGGATGACAGGTAGGTCTCGAGACGTTGTTGGTTGAGTGACTGGGAGGAAGAGTGGTTCAGAATAAGAGTGGCCCTGGAGAATACAGTTAGCGGGCGATGATTCCGCAGCACTTTGCGGGTCGTTTGGGATCATCACTAACAAGTTGTAGACAACCTCGGCGTCCACGGAGCCTTCCCGGCTCCGGTATCCGACCTGCACAACGGTTTCCCAGATGCCACCTTCGCGTACTTGTGTCGCGATCGCTTTCCACTCTTTCTGACCAAATTGGGTCTTTCCCTCCTCTGCACCGAGATCTACAATTGCGCTGAGGAGCGTAATGTAGAGATTCCAGACCTTAATCCTCCACGTGCTGGGGGCGGTGGCGATCGGCGCAACCGCGGCGGAATGATCGCCATTGGTGAGATGTTCATCTTGGGATGCCGGGACGGTGATGATCGGTTGCAGTGAAGCAAGCGACTCCGGTAGACGTCGCGTGAGGTAGAGTTGGGAAGCTTTCTTGTAGGTCTTGGAGCAGAGCTTCGCGGGGGAGGCGGAGGCGGAGGAGGCGGAGGCGAGTTGGGTGTGAGAGGACGACATTCCGTCAGTCATTGCGATCCGGGATCGCGGGACAGAAAGCAATAGAGAATATAAAAGAGTCAAGGGGAGAAAATATGAGAGAAAAAGGCCATGAGCACGGGGAAGGAGAGATGGGAATGGGACTGGTGTTTCGGGAGAAGTGCCACAAGAGCCACTGGGGCCACTGCGATCGGCTGTCGTTTTCCCTCGGCTCGCCCAAGTCCGGGGTTGGTCACGGGATCGCCTTTCCCCGACGGGTTTCTCCATTATTCTTAACTTTGTTTTGGTCCTGGAAAGGGAAAGAGTATGATATTGAGATATGTGACAAATGACGGGTCATTTAATTGCAAATTTTATGTCAAGAACCTGCTCAATATTGATCTTTTTACTGCTCTTGAATTTTAGACTATATGCAGCATGCACTGCCTAGAGCCAAGTTGAACCCGTGGTAATGGAACATTTAGATGTCCTTGAATGCAAATTGTGATATATACGTAGATCAAGATCGATTTTAATGATATATACATGGATCAAGATTGATTTTTCATGACATACTGTTAAGTCATTCTACGGAAGTAAATCGTGCAAACGTTGAAAGAATTCTCGGACAACATCCAAATACGGATATCAGATGGTTTTAAAAGCAGCTTCCTTTCAGATTTCGCGTACCTCACGTCACTTCCCACTCGGCTAGCACTCTAGAAACGCCCATATCTCAGATGACAAATGACAATATGGTGGTCGCAGAATGTCCTTAGTATAAAGTCGCCAGCCTTTTTAACATCGTCTTTTCTTCTCTCATCCTACACTCAACACGCTGACTTTTGCCTTGCAAAACCACTAACTTACTTCCTACTATCTTCTCTTCTTCTTATATCCTACACTCAGCGTGCCTTGCATTTTATAAAGGGACCAAGCTACTTAGAGATCATTCTTCTTTCCCTCTCTCCTCTACACTCGACGCGACTTTCATCTGACAAGGCCATCAACCTGTCAACCTCATCAAGGTACGCCATGGTCTTTCTTCTCTCCCACTCCCATCCGATACTCATCAGGCACTTTCAAAAAGCATCAAGTTAGCTCGAGATCTGTCTCCTTTTCCTCACTCTTCTACACTCAACGTGACTTACAACTGATAAAGGTATCAGATTGCTTCGAGATCTTTCTTCTCTCCCATCCACACTGGACACGATTTTCGTCTGAAAGTGTCACAAACTCATCAAGGCACCAGCTTGCTTCAACATATAGATTCCTTTCTTCACTCACCCTCCTCACAAACACAGAAGCAACCACCCAGGCGACTAATCAAGGTCGCAACAACACAGACTTAGCTTTCGTCCCACCTTTCAACAACCTTCGACGCCATTTCTCCCTTCAAGCCATCCTCTCATCCGTTCTACCACACACAAGATCCATCAAAATGGATCTCACATCAGCAAACTTCGTCTCTGAGCTGCCCTGGATACTCAATGAAATCGCCTCAAGCTGCTTCGTTGCCATGGACCTCGAAATGTCTGGCATTCCCCTGTCCATCAAGCAACAGGGCCACAAATCTCTCCAAAATCACTACCAGGAAAACAAAGCGGCCGCAGAGAAGTACCAGATCCTGCAGGTTGGCTTGACGATTTGTCGCGAGGACAAAGAATCCGGTACTGTTGATTTCCTGGTCTACATTCTGTTTGTGTGTGAATTACTAACTCTAAATAGGTAGCTATCTGCTCAAACCCTACAACATCTTCCTGCATCCGTGCCTGGACCGCAATCTTAACGTTAACCGGGAGTGTACTTTCAATGGGTGGTGTATGCATGCTCCATTATTCTCCCCTTCATCACAAGACAAATTGACTAACTGGACCTAGCCATGGATTTCTTGATCGGGCACAGGTTTGATGTGGGAAAGGCATTCAGCAGCGGTGTCCGGTATCTATCCCGGCAGGAAGAGGTCACAACGCACGAGGTAGCCGCGCGAATTTGGGCTCCCAGTCCACCAACAGAGGTCGAACGCAAGCTCCCGGATGTGGAAGACATCCAATTTGTCCAGGATGTCCGATTCAAGATCAACACCTGGATAGCTGGAGGAAAGGTAAGTCCTTTCTACCCTTTAGCGGTGCCCTAAATACCCTCCATGAAGCTAACCGATAGATCAGACACGGGGGACGCCCTTGAATATCTATCTGCGCCTCGACAATGAAGGAAAGGCTCGCCAGGGTTTGCCCATCGAGGTAAGCGCCAAGCATAGATGGGCCGTTCATACCTTGGTCAAGGACGAGTACCCAAGCCTAAAGGCACGGGGCATGCCAGATTGCGTCCAGATTGAGAAGCGCAATGGCGGTGCTATGCGCTACGGCCAAAGAATGGAAGAGAGCAGCAAGCGCATTCGAAGGCATGTTGGATTCCGTTGGATCGTGGAGGCTCTGGTCGGTGGTGATGTGAACCTCGAGCCGTCGACCTTCGAACCCCTTCTGCCAGAAGTCCGGGATCCGCTCATTGATGCAAAAGCACTCACGGAGAGGTTAAAGAGCCGCCTGAAAGAGAACCGGCCCATTATCGTAGGGCACAATTGTTTTACCGACATGATCTATTTCTATCAATGCTTCCTTGGCCCCCTTCCAGACAAGGTCGACGAGTTCATCTCCTTGATCCATGAGACCTTTCCCATTGTGATTGATACCAAGTACCTGGCGGATCAGGATTGGGACGCCGTGAATTCGTCCACCGCACTAGAGGAGCTCACCAAGAAGCTGGCCAAGATTCGTACCCCCAGAATTGGTATGTATTTCTTCTTCTCTGGAGGTTGACAGGCTGCTAATATCTCCGTAGCGATCGAGCACACGTTCTCCAAGTACTTGCGCAAGAGAAACGTCCACGAAGCAGGCTACGACAGCATGTTGACCGCAATTGCGTTCCTGAAGACGGCGACTCATATTGAGGAGGGAGGGAAGCTCCCAAAGGGAATGCGGGGACATATTGAGCACATGTCACTTAGACTTGCTTCTGCATTGACCAATCCAGTGCAGGATCTTTTCCCGAGCAAGGGTCCAATTCGCCGGAGGGGTCCATTTTACGACTTCTTTGACATAGAAGATGAAGAACAAGGACCACAGGCCGAAGAGCCTGTGCTGCAGACATCACCGCTTGCCCTCGCCGACACCGGATCGAAGGAAATCACCGAGAAGGTTCAGAACAAGTTGTTTATTCCACGCTTGGGCAGCGAATTCTGGCACACTTATGGGAATAGACTGTGTGCCTTCGCGGCTTTCGAAAGAACGGTGTATCTTGGACCGACCGAGAAGCCTGTCAACGTGATGAAGAAGACGGAGCCCAATGACGTGAACCGTGAAGCCAATCACGAGAAGGTGGTGAAGACAGGCGTGTTGATCCGCTTGGATTAGCCTGCTGGCTAACCATTTCCGTTTTTCATTTTTCATTTTTCATTTTGCATGCAAGTCCTGATTTCGCCGTTGATGGCATTATGCTATTGCAAACAAGGAGTTTGATAGAAGAGAAATTTATTTTTATTTGCTTTTACAGAATGATAACAAAGTGGTAGCAGAAGCAGTGGAATGATCTGGTACTCTCAAGCCGACTGGCTGGAATGGTGCTGAGATGTTTGCAGCAGCTATCTAACAGTACACCTTAGATATGTGAAGGTACCGCTAGCGAAAAATAGCCGCAATTCTTTCTAGACACCGCTTAATGATCGACTGGCCGTGAGGAAAATTCGAGGACAGTGACGATAAGGAAATGGGTGCCTGAAGAGAAGAAGAAGAGTTTGAGACGCGACGAACTTTTAAAGTGGCCCGTCTATACGCTAGTCCCGAATAGGTCAAGTGGGAACGTGACCACCGCTGGAACTTTTCTCGGAGACTCCAAAGGATCGCGGAAGGGAACAGAGATAATAGAGCAAGTCAATCGCCCATTGTCTCACACCGTGACAATGTCGACAGGATCCAATGGTGCCCGGCGCATGGTGTCGCTGATGCGTATGTGTTTCTACTTAGAAATGATGTTGAAAACCCTTGATACTGATGACCACGGGCACAACAGGACCATCCAAACTCGACTCTAGCGTATGCAGAAGCTGTCAAGAGTCCCTGGGTCGCCGCAACTATGCCTCTGCTGCTGCTGCTACCAGTGAAACAACGAGTACCTCCTCGCCAATCCCCTCCACTTCCTCTGCCACCAACCCTGTCTACACCATCAACGCCGGTGTGGTCCTCTCCCGCCCTCCCCAGATCACCCGCGACCTCGAGCCCTTCGAGAAAGCCTATCATTTCTACCAGAAGCGCCTGAACGAGCGTCTGGCCCTTCCTTTCACCAAATACTTCTATTTCAAGCGTGGCACACCAGCGGATGTTGACTGGAAGAACAAGATTAAGGAGCGCCGGACCCCGGCACGCGACATTGGCAAGTATAACGCGTACGACAGCGATGCATGGAACGATGAGCTGCTCCTTGGATCCAAGGAGGCTGAGCCTGAATACCAGGTGGAAGCGCTGGTTCAAGATGCCGAGTCCACGGCCAATGCCACCTCGCAGGATACCAGCAAGAAGGAGGAGATCCCGCGGCCATTCTCCCGGGTGACGGAGGCGGACAAGAAGGGTGATCACAAGAGCCTGAACCGATTGTTGTCTCGGACTTTGTACTTGCTGGTCCAGTCGAAGGAGGGTTACTGGAAGTTCCCCAGTTTGCCCATCGAGGGAGATGAGACTCTGCGCGAGGTGAGTGTCTACACTGGATGACAATTCAAGGGTTCCTCCAAGCTTTTGCTAACATGGGCTTCTGCTCTGATTAGGCTGCCGAACGCACCCTCTCCCAAACCGCTGGTGTCAATATGAACACCTGGATGGTCGGTTTCCACCCCGCCGGTCACCACGTCTACAACAACCGCAAGCCCCACGTCGACCAGGCCACTGGTGCCACGATCCACGGCGAGAAGACCTTCTTCATGAAGACTCGCATCATGGCCGGTCAGGCTGATCTCTCCGCAAGCAAGGAGCAGCTGAAGGATTTCAAGTGGCTGTCGAAGGATGAGCTCCCGCAATATGTGCTGCCCCAGTACTACAGCAACATTAAGAACATGCTGGCCGACCGGTAAACGGCTATTCAGAGGGCGTCCATCCAGTCCAACAAATTGTTACCAGCGCTGATCGTACGGACGTTGGTCAATCATTTTGAAAACGTGTATGAACAGCAGGGGAGCGAAAGCATCGCGCGAGGTCATCTCAGCCAGGATATGGTGATTTTTTACTTCCTGGCACGAAGCGTTATCAGCAACGCACTGCATATACTCTTACCGCGCATGCCATGTATAACTAGATATCTCTTTTCTTCTCATTGTACTGTCAATCGAATTCATTTCCTCGAAGAATCTCATCGAGTACTCCGTCCTAAACTCCAAGCGCCATGCGCCATGCCGTAGAAAACAATGCCCGATAAATCACACCAAGTCAACTCCCCATGAACTGATTACTTCAGATTGAACTTCTGTCCCTGCACGACAGGCTGGTCCTTGGCTGACTTGCCAGCCAAGTTCTTCCCACACATTGGACAAGCTAAAACGAAATTGGTCAACTCGATATATCCTTGAAAAGAACCGATTCGCATAACACGTACCATTCTTCTTATAAGCACAACGCTGACAAAACTTCCTCCCCTGCTCAGTCTTGGTCTTGCACTGCTCGCAAGACGAAGAATAAGCCGCATACGGATTCTTAGCCTTTGCGCTGAGAAGTTTACTCTAAAACAACACGTTAGTAGCAGCTCATAATCAAATCTCCCCACGGACAATCCAAAAGCCATAAGAGAAATACAAGCCATACCTTGCCCACACCCGTTGCGCCCAGCGTTGGCTTGCTTTTCCCTTTATCAGCCGAGGACCCGCCTAGCGTAGTCGCCGGCGAGCCGTAGTACATATCATTCTTGCGCTTGACGCCCGGCGTGGCGAGCTCGGTGGCTTTGAGTTTTTTCTGGCACTTTGCGCAGACCATGGTTGTTTGAGTCTGGTTGATGCTGGGAGTTGACGATATTGGGGGTTGAAATGTCGGAGATGATGTTATCCGCCACCGCCTGAGGTTGATGCCAAGACTTTGACGGAGGCGAGGATGGTGAGTGAGGGAGTGGATAATCTTTAGAACACTGGATACTTTCGCTTTTTATGCCTAGGTATGGAGGTGAATTGTCTATTGTCTTGGTTGGCTGACTTTATTAGAAGGATATACGCTGAGTACCGGCTAGTAGGAATCTTGTTATAGCTACTCAGCAATTCTACCGTGGTTCTTAGTTCTATAGCAAACTTTGGAATAACAACCAGATATAAACATGATATAAACACAGATTTAACTCAAAAGAGAAAGGAAGACTGGTTATCTTAATCCTGGATAGGAAACAGATTTCAAAATGAAGTCTCTCTTTCTGTCTCTTTCGACACCTGGGCGGAATCCATCTCCCGTGGAGGTAGGATCATGTCGTAGTCGATAATAGCCTTGCTAATATTTTTGGTCAAAGTCCGAACCAACTCTTCAGTGGCAACTGGACCACAAGGATCGTTCAAGGTCGAAAGGATTAACTCTCTCTGCCTCTCTCCAAGGACACCGAAATAATACTCATCCATTGCCTCAACTCGATCTGTCGCCAAGGCAGTCCCTGCTACAGTCGAACGTGTGTCCCCCTTGCCGTATGCGCCACACTGTGGTGGAATCGCATCTGAGACCTGAGGATTTCTTGTCGAAAGAAACCCTTTGCCTGGTTGGATGGTCTTATGATACAGACACAAAAGACACACTCCATGGATGGCGTCATAGGGGTTGACCTCGAAGGGTTTCTCTGACACCTTCAATGGAAAGAGCGAGGGAATTGCCTTCATCAGGCGACAAGCGTACCACATGCTGAAGAAGTTCGCTTGTTCACCGGCACCAAATGTTTTCGGATAGTCGGGACGGCTTTCCTTGGCCAGTATATCAAGGAACTTGCGTTTGTGGATTAGTTCTTAGATCTCCTTGCGGTTGATGATGGGAGCATCAAGATCCTCATCTTTCGCAATCCAGCCGTACTTGTCATTCTCGTGGAATTTGTAATATTCCATGGCGGGAAGAGGCGGGCAGTGATAAAGCCTGCACGGGTGTTGTGATGGGTGAAGTATAGTGAAAGGTAGCAGAGAGACCGTGTGAATTGAAGATGAAGTTTGTCAACTAGACAAGGTATTGACCTTGAGTTTTGTGAGATCCGTGCTTTAGTCCGTCTCCCTCTGAGACAGACCTGAGTTGTAAAGTGGGACCAAGGCCGTAAGAATACCTCTGATCCAAATTCCTGCTGTCATTATATCATCCCGAGCACCAATGGTTTGAAATGCCAATCATCAAGGCTGATCTCAAACCACACCACCATGACTCTCTGCCGGTCTTTGCATCATGCCAATTTCAACCTCGTCCGGTCGACTTCTCACATCCCCATCCCCATCAACCTCAACGTCCTCCTTCTCAGCAATCCGCGCATGCCACCGACGAAACAACTGCACAAAAAATTGCGCCACACAAATTTGCTCCGTGGTATAAAGCAGCACAGGTACTGAAGTTTTAGCCTTAGTATAAAAATCCACCGGTGCCCACATGGCATATAACAACGGCAGGCCCAGAGCAGTACTTTTCGCTGGAGAACAGAAACACACTGCGATCGTTTCTTCGGGGGGCATGCTCTTCAAGATGGGTTGGAACCAACGATGATTGAGGAGAAACTTGGGTGGTCGGGAGCTGAAGAAGGATATTACTGTGAGGGCGATGTAGAGGGCGATGTTGAAGAGGACCACGAAGATGATGCTTTGGGCGGAGAGGCTTTGGAGAGCGCCTGTTGCAAAGCAGGAGGAGAATGTTGTCCTGGGGTATTGTCAGTACAGACTGTAGAATGCCTGATAGGATTGGTAGTGACGGTACTTGCCACTTGGGATACTAACCAAATCAATAGCAACATACAAGCACTCGCCAGTTTCGGCAACTTCGTCTTCTGTATAAACCACGCCGTCCGTTCAGGCCAAGTCCACCGAATCAACTGTCCCACAAACAAAGGCAGTAACACACTCAACCCCAACTGCTGAAAAACATGTTTATACATAATCTCCAAACTCCCACCCCCATACCTCCAAGTATCAAACTCGGCCGATTTAGGCAAGAGAGTCACCGTCCACACAGCCGTCACGAACGGGCCCAGTACATTCGCCAGCACCACCTCCACCAACGCGGCGGCATCATCACCACCCGCCGCTCTCGTCATAACCACATTCGACGCGATCGTCGTCGGAATACAAGCCGTGAGAATATACCCCGCCAATACAGCCCGATCAATATGTCCCGCTGGATCAGCCGCGAGAATGATATGCACGACGGCAAGCACTAGCGCGGGGATGAGCAGGAAAGAAATCACCTGGACGAGGACGTGTAGTCGCCAATTCAGGAATTGTTTGAATAGTTTTTGCCGCGGGATGCTAAGGCCTGATATTAGGAAGATGATGGCTATTACACCGTAGAGAACGGTGTATTCGCTTCGGATTACACCGCCGTCTGTTTTGGCTATGTCTGGGAAAAGATATGCTAGGGCACAGGCAATGCCCATTCCGATTAGGAGCCATTGGCGGAGGATCATGATTGATATTTGTTTGAGGGCTGTGAGGAGGCGATCGCCGACTCGGCGGGGACTTGGATTGGGTGCTGCTATCGTGGAGTCCTCCATGATGATCTGGTCTGGGATTACATATCACTTCGGAGCCAAATATGTAGTGAAGGTGCTGTGAGCCTCTGGTGGCTTCAGTCGATGCTGGTCGAACTTGAAGTGGTGAAAAGCGAGCATCTTTGCAGGAATCGCGCGATCGGATTTGGTCCGAGTATCTGCGGAGATGGTAGCGGCGGTTCGTTCAGGCGTATCATTTTACATTCTACAGTCAACCAGAATCATAGGCATAGCCATTATCAGGTAGTATACTTGAAAAGAAGGAAACACTGTATTAGTTCTCTCCAGTTCGCAATATACTAACGATCAATATGTTAAATTCGAAACTCTACGGAGTATACTCGGACCGTCCTAAACGGGATTCCACGCCGAAATCGGGTACCCGACCTGAGGCCGACCGTCGGGGGGCGAGTCACGAGTGACCATGACCGGCATGTGAAGTGTTCAGCACATGCTGATGATGCAATGCGTCAAGCAGTGGCTTGTGAGAGGACAGGATACTGGAATGACTATGATGGATTGTTTCTAATTAATATTCTTGCTTTAAATTCGTTGTACAATTACTATTGACCAGCACAACTGCGCTCAACGGTTGACTATCCGTTGGAATTGTGGGTAAAACATTCAACCGCCAGAAGCTGCCGATGTTCGCTATGAATCTAAGTTCAAATACCAGCTACAAGTACTCCCCTCCGTCCCTCCGCGGAGGAGAATAATATCTCGTCAGATGACCTATACTTATTTTCCTAGAAACCATGATTTCTTCTGCCAGTGGCATCTGACTCAGAATGTATCCAATAGGATGACCTAGGCTTTAGAGAGGGGGAGTTAGTACTAAGACTGCCTGCCTGCCTACTTTACTGTTAAAGTGAACCTCGGCTGAGGGGAGCTGGGCGGCTAGTCCGAAATCTCCCGGGGCCCCAGAAGTGCTGTTGCTTCTTAGCGGAATTCGCTGCGATTTACGGACCTTTAGAACAATAGGCTAGGCAATTTAGGCGGGTGTTCCTATTATTGCACGATGGGTTGCGGGTACTACTGGGTGCTCCATAGTGTCAGTAGGTCCGGAGTAATTCAGCTCCCCCGAAACCGACCCCCCCTTAACGAAGACTGGGGAAAAGGGCAAGACCCGCGTATAAACGAGAAGAAATTTATACATGGGTAGTGTCTGTGTGAGAAGTCTAATATTCATCAATAGTGATGCACTTAACTATATACAGTAATATACTTGTTATCTATGTAATTTAAACATTCGAGGGTATGACGACACAGTCACCCAAATAGAGTCATGCATGTGAAGTTCAGATCATTTGAAGATCTGGGGGAAGGAAAAGAATGGGCGGTGCCGCCGTTCAGGGCCGTGGAGAGACAGTCATCCGCTCTTGTTCCCGAAGGCCTCGGGATTGGGGAAATTCCTCACTAAAGATCAATTGATGGACCAGATTACTCCGTATAAGAATTGCCGAATAAACCCTCGGCGGGTATTCTCGTCTTTAGTCTGATACTTTTCTTTTCCTTTACTTCTCTCTTCCTCTCCTCTCTTTTCTTTTTTATTTCTCTTTTCGTGGTACGGTAAAGGAATCCAGTTAAAAGTTCACTTCCGCTCGTCCAGCTCTTCTTCCTCCGCTTCCCCGTCATAGCTACCAGAAACCATCTTCCCCCACACAACGTTTCTTGGAACTCCGCCACTTCGACCGAGCTGCAATTCTCCTCGGTTCATTTAGAAACAAGAAGAGAAAGGAAGAAAGAGACAATCATCTCTTCAATCTCTTCAAATCGCATATTCACAACATCTTTGTTTTCTGTTGTGATTGTCCAGCTTCGGCTTCTATTCCGGCAACGGTATACTTCCGACTCCCTCCGCAGTGTCTCCGCGATTTTCGGCACTCGACTTTTTTGACGAAGCCCCGAATTGAAGACCAATTCGTGGTCTTGGGATTAGTCGCGCAAAAGAGAGTTTGAAGAACCTTTTGGGTGTATATATCATATACAATTCGTGATCGATTTACATCATGTCTGCCAAAACTGCAAATGGCAATAAGAGGGCCTCGCCCGCGGTCAACCTGATCGGTAGAGCTCCCCTTGATCAAGTCCCGGGAGATTGTGCGCAAATGCTAACAATTGTGTGCTATAGCTGGTGGTGCTGCTGGTATGATGGAGGCTCTCGTCTGCCATCCTCTGGACACGATCAAGGTCCGCATGCAGCTCTCGCGGAGAGCTACGGCCCCTGGTGTAAGTACCTCGAAACATTCAATTGCGCAATGCGATTTCTAACCATTATGTTTTCGCAATGAACAGGTCAAGCCCCGTGGTTTCGTGGCCACTGGTGCCGAGATTGTGCGCAAGGAGACCGGTCTGGGTCTGTACAAGGGACTGGGTGCCGTGTTGGGAGGTATCATTCCCAAGATGGCCATCCGATTCACCTCCTACGAGTCGTACAAGGCTGCTCTCGCCGATAAGGAGACTGGCGCGGTCACCAGCAAGGCCACCTTCCTTGGTAAGTCCAAAAGAAAGCCTTCCGAATAATCTGTGACCAATTAGCTCATTCTTCTCTCTCACATTATAGCTGGTCTCGCCGCTGGTGTGACCGAAGCCGTCGCCGTCGTCAACCCCATGGAAGTCGTCAAGATCCGTCTCCAAGCCCAACACCACAGTCTGGCCGACCCCCTCGATGCCCCCAAGTACCGCAGCGCCCCGCACGCTCTCTTCACCATCATCCGCGAAGAAGGTTTCAGCGTCTTGTACCGCGGTGTCTCCCTCACAGCCCTGCGCCAGGGAACCAACCAAGCCGCCAACTTCACCGCATACACCGAGCTCAAGGCTGCCCTGCAACGTGCCCAGCCTGAATTCGCCGACGCCCAGCTCCCCTCCTACCAGACCACCCTCATCGGTCTGATCTCCGGTGCCGTCGGTCCCTTCTCCAACGCCCCCATCGATACTATCAAGACCCGTCTGCAAAAAACTCGCGCCGAGCCCGGCCAGTCTGCTGTGACTCGTATTATGGTCATTGCTAAGGATATGTTCAAGACTGAGGGTGCGCGTGCTTTCTATAAGGGTATTACCCCTCGTGTGATGCGTGTGGCTCCTGGTCAGGCTGTCACGTTCACTGTGTATGAGTTCCTTAAGGGTAAATTGGAGAAGTCCAACTGGGCCTTTGTGGGTGGTTCATTTGAGGAGTAAGAAAGGAACTGTTGAAATGGACATTCAAGAAAGAGGTAGCCAAGGCTTGTTGGTTGTGGGAAGCTTGTGATACCATACCAAGCATGGTGGCGTTGCGTTGTTGATTTTGTCATTTTTTTTTGCCAGCGTGGGCTTTGGATACCCGCGAGAGACTGTGCTCTTTAGAGGCAGGCCAGTCGGAACATTTTCTGTATATATTCTGGTTTCCTTGAGTTTTGTGTATACCACAGTGTTGGATCAGTCTTTCTTCCGATTTGAGACCATCGAGTTGGTCACTCGTAGATGTTAAAAAGTAAAATGTACAGGGTCGAGAGTTTGTAAGTACTGAAACAAGTAATCAAGTCAGTCATCAAATGATAGCTTTGCTGGTGATCAAGGAATGTATTGTGCTTTGTGTTGAGGACCTCGAAAGGAGGAGAGGAGATCCCAAGGCCAATGCCACTGTCAGTACGACTGCCCGCCCCTCATCATTCACCGCTTCCCCTCTCTCCCTCCCCATAAACAACAACACCTCAACCAGGTCAAACCCCCAAGACTGCACGGCATCATGCAGTCAGGAATTACAGGTACACTGAGACACCCCCAATTGACATACCCCCCATATTCAAGACTAACCACATACTCCACCAGTCTCCTCGGAGCTCCACGATGCCTTCAACCACTTCACCACCGACCCCTCAACCTTCTGTCTCCCCGTAACCATCACAGGCGAAACCCTCACCCCCCTCACCCCAATCTCCTTCACCGGCTCCTCCACCAGCCCAGATGCATTCTACACTTCTCTTTCCCAGATCTCCTCGATCCTGCAGCCCAAGACCCCGATCTACCTGCTCCTGCGCCGCCCGCTCGGTTCCAAGACCACCCTCGTCGCATTGACCTATATCCCATCCAATGCGCCTGTCCGGCCAAAGATGCTCTTTGCTTCGACCCGGTCCACGCTGGTCCGGGAGCTAGGTACTGAGAAGTTTGATGATACGGTCTTTGCTACGGAGGAGGAGGAGATTGTGGGCCGGGAGGCGTGGTCGGAGCGGGATGGTGATAAGGCGGGTGTGGGGAGGGAGGCGCTTATGGGTGAGAAGGAGCGTGAGCTTGAGGCTGTGAGGCGCGCTGAGGCTGAGGCCAGAAGTGGCACGCCGCAGAGGGATATTGGTATTGGGGGGAACTTTTGGGCCTGGTACGGGTTCGGGTATGAGAGTGTCTATGCCGGTTGCTGAGGAGGCCAAGTCGGCTTTGAAGGAGCTTGGTGATGGAGGTCTGGTTCAATTGGTATGTTATTTCCCTTTTTCTACTATTTTCTACAAGTGCTGGGTGGAAAGGTGCAGGAGGTATGGTTCTATTTGCAAAGCTAACATTTGGTTTCTGATGCAGACTGTGGATATCCCCACGGAGACTATCACCCTTGCCGACAACCAGTCTGGGGTTCAACCGGACTCTGTTGCCACCCATATCTCCTCCACTTCGCCTCGGTATTCCTTCTATCACTATCCTGGCTCGGATGTGGTAGTGTTCATTTACACGTGCCCCACGGGATCGTCCATCAGGGAGCGCATGCTGCATGCCAGTTCGCGGAGGAATGCTATCACGGTCGCCGAAGGGGAGGGACTCAAGATCAACAAGAAGGTATGGAATGACTGTAGGCCTTGAAACTGCGGGGAAGGGCGCTAACTCATGGATAACAGATCGAGGCTTCGGGACCGGACGAGATCACTAGAGATCGGTTGAAGGAAGAGGTGCATCCGGCACAGGATTCGGGTCCTGCACGGGGCTTTGCACGCCCCAGACGTCCCGGCCGGTAGATCAGGACGTTGATGACAGGATCCTTTTGAGGAAACACACATTTTTTGTAGCGTTATATAGCCTGCCAACGCCAAGCATGGTAAATCCGAACGTCCTCCTCGTTCTCGAACGGAGATGTAATTGCCACCACGGCTTAGACATTCATACTGGCAAAATTCGCGCACACACCGCAAGGCACTGCGCGTACCTCCACTCCCCGCCGCCTCCCCCAAAAACAGAGAGAAGACACCTTTCCAGCCATGGAGGAAGGAAGCGCAGACCAAGATCATTGATTCCGGAAACTTTTCTTTTGATAGAACAAATCTGTCCTCGAACTTCCCAGATTGATAATCTTAGGACAACCGTCACGGTCCTTCTCCAAGCGCGTACACTCGAAGCAGTAAAAGGCGTCACTGATACCCTCGCCACCGCAGACAACACATTTATTCTGGTAGTTGCCGAAGGAGCATTCGTCACAGATTCGGACCAGTGTGGTTGGGCGCACGTAGGAGTCGCACACGGGGCATTTGCCGTCGCATTTGTCGCAGAGGCGGCCGATGGAGATGCCGGGTTGCTTGCGGCACATGACTAGATCGGGGTGATGGCGAGACATGATGTATGGAGAGGATGGAGGAAGGTGCGAGGTTGAGAGGTGAAGGTGGTATGTGTAGCTCGTAGCTTGAGGGAGAAGGGAGGAAGTTGATGAATTACAAAGCTGTCGAGGTCTCGAAGAGAGGAAAAGAAGCTAGCAGAAGTTGGGAAACGGCCCGTGCACGTGCCACCACCACACCCGCCTCCGAGCTGTTTGCGCGTGTCCACTGTTGGATCAAGTCGAGGTATCGGAGAATTCTGAACAGGTCTCCAGGCAAGAGGGACTGATTTGTGGTGCTGGAAGATTCTTTACGATTGTCAACTACTTTGTCCAAGATTTACCACTATCTATTGGCCCACCATGTCTGAAGGGTACGCCGATCCCTCCAACACATCGTCAACTGTCATCTGCGCTTGATCATTTACACTGACACGGAACCTCGTTTTCACTCGCAGTACCCTCGCATCAGCAGTCGCCGTACCAGAGCAAGATACACTACGCCAATCACCCGAGCTCTCAACGAAACGGAGACAATCCTCCGTATCAGAACACGAAACCAAGCGCCGCCGCCTCAGTTCCCAAGGCGATATCTCCCCAAATGCACGTCGCCAACAGCATTCGCCACAGGCTTCAGCACCAGATCGTCCCGCCGAACGGAGACCGAACCGCCAGGGTCGAGAGGAAGACCGTAAGCGCGGGCAGCGACTGTTCGGCGGGTTACTTGGCACGCTCTCGCAGAGCTCGACATCAGCGGCGCAGAAGCGGCGCGCGGATATTGAGAAGAAACAGCAGGATAAGCTAAAGTCGCAGGCTGATGAATATGATGAATTGAAGAAGAGGCGGAGGGAGCGGCGGGACGAGATTCGGAGAAAAGAGAAGCCGTTTTATGAACGGGAGGCTGTATGTTGGCCATGCCTGGCTGCACGAGGCCTAGCTTATATCCCCAGCATTGTGAGGAATGACTGACAGATTCTTTTGATAGATGCAAACTCGGCATTCGAACTTGATCGCCACGGCGCATTTCCTCAAGACGCGAACAGAACCAGTCTTGGTATGATAACCCTGGCCTATGATACGGCTGTATATTCAGTGACTAATTCATTTCTTGTGCAGTATTATAAGCCGTGGCAACTACGATCCGGCGGCGAAGCCATTATACGGGAACAAATCGAGGAAGCCGAAGCAACAGTCGCCCGAGAAGTCGCCGAGTTCGACGCCCGGTATCCGCCAGAAGCCTTTGTGTACGAGAAGCTTGAGCCAATATCTGCAGAGGCTGCTGGGCAACAGGGAGAGCCAGAAGCGCAACAGGAGGCGAAGCCGACTGCACAGCCAGTCTCCGAAGAAGCCCCAACTCCCAAACCCGAGGCTGAGGCCGATGCCCAGGAAGCCAAGGAGACATCAGACAAGAAAGATTCAGAGCCTAGCGAGGAGAAACCCTCCGAGCCCACCCCGACTAGCACAGTGCCTATGTCTATGGGTGTGGACGGAGCTGCAGATTCTAGGGATGCTCACCGTGCCGCTCACGACGACGATGGAGATGAAATGTTGGAAGATAATGAGGATACCGTGATTTATTAGCGATTTTGTCCGTCTATTTGTGCTATATTCAAAATTTCAGGATACCTATGTGTGACAATTACCAATCAGAGTCTTTCGCCTTTAAGGTTCTTACTCTATGCCTTGATCGGATGCGGAGTCGTTGGAGCTGTAGCTTAAAGGACTGGAGGCTCTTCAGCCGAGGCATACCAACCGATCGGTCGAGAGAGGGGCCCCTCGGCTTGCCATAGCACTTCCCCTCAATTCGAAGTCTATTGTGGAACCAGTTTAATCAAACTGTTTCAATTTTCCAATAACTACTAAATAAAGGTTTCCTATTATTCATCAGCCCGGTTATGAGTTAGGTAGTTTGTCCTTTCGACGTTGTATTTTGGTCTCATGTGATGACGCAGTGGGCTCTCAACTTGGATATATATCCGTTTCACTAAGCAACAGTACACCACACTTTATTCTTAATAACCTTGTTGATCCTTGATTCTGGGGTATTCTTGGTGAAAACAAACCGTGTCTTGACCCAGGATATTGGAAAAAAACACCACTATGCCTGTTGACAAGATCCGTGTCTCTGGTGATGCTCGCTTCGAGTACAAGTCGGCTACGGTGAATGGTCATAAGTACGGTGAGTATTCACGGGCAGCAACATGTCCATACGACTATCTTAAACCAAAAAATCACCAGGGATTTGCAAAATATTGTGCAGCATCTGATACTTAAACCTCAACAGGCTACCTCTTCAGTCAACCTCAGTCGGGCAAGTACCGAGCTACGATCTTCCTGGTGAGCCCCCTTGCCCCCTTAAAGCCATCGTATCAAAGTAGTTGAATTCTTACTTATCTTTCCAGATCCATGGCTTCCCAGACATCTCTATGGGATGGCGCTACCAAATCCCCATGCTCGTAGACATGGGTTTGCGAGTCGTCGCACCAGACTGCCTCGGCTACGGCCGAACGGTGAGCCCCCGTCATTGAAAGAAACCACACCAAACCCTCAATAAACATCTGCTCATAAAGACCCAGGACGCACCTGATGACTATACGCTTTACTCTCACAAACGCTGTGCCGACGATATCAAGGCTCTAGCCACTCATCTCGGCGAGTCAAAGATCATCTTGGGCGGCCATGACTGGTAAGACTGCAACCACCGCAAACCACCAAGTTCCAACATCCCAGCTAACAAAAACACAAGGGGCGCGGCACTTGCCTATCGAATTGCTCTCTGGCATCCAGAATTAATCAGCCACCTTTTCACTGTCTGCGTGCCTTACGCCCGGCCTACGCCGACGTATCTGTCACTCGAGGATTTGGTGAAGAATGCGGCTCCGAACTTGGCGTATCAGTTGCAGTTTGCCAGCGGAGACGTCGAAAAAGCTGTTCGATCTAAGAGTGAGATCAAGCAGTTCCTCAGTGCACTTTATGGTGCTCGGACGGCGAAGGGGGAGCTTGGATGTGATGTTAATCAGGGCGTGTTCTTGGATAAGTTGCCGGCGCTGAAGACTTCCCGTCTCTTGAGTGAAGAGGTGAGTTTTTTAATCGGTGTGGGCTATGAGACGCGATGGGGGACTGACAGTATAAGGAACTGGATTACTACGCGACCGAGTTCTCTAGGACTGGTGTCCACGGACCATGTATGTCATTCCATTGCATACCCGGTTCGATTGAAAGTACAGCTAATTTGAAATAGTGAACTGGTATCGAACCCGCAAGGTCAACTATGAAGAGGAACTGGCTATTATTGATCGAAAGATTTCTATTCCTACTCTTTTCATTCAGGCTCTGAGGGATCCGGCTCTCCCGCCTCATCTGGGTAACTCGATGGCGAAGCATATCCCCAACTTGACTTTGAAACAGGTGAATACTGCGCACTGGGCGATGTGGGAGAAACCCGAGGAGGTGAATAGTATTATTTCGACGTGGTTGAAGGATGTTGTCTTTGCGGACAGGCGTTCGGGGAAACTTTGATGGGGATCTATCTATTATTGTATATGTGTATTAGGTTGTGCTATGGATGGTTCTCATTCGATATGAATATCATTATCCTGTTTGAATACGTCATAAAAATGGATCTTCGGGATTCGTCAGAGCGTAGACAGAATACTTCGTCACAGTAAACAAAAGAAAAGTACATTAATAGACCCAGAGGAAGATGCCGATTTTCGCAATTCTCCCACCGAAGAACAACACATTAGCCTGCGTCTCCATTCACAGGCTAATACTGGAAAGTCTTCGTATCAATGCGGCACCCCACATTCTCAATACGATCAACAAACTCCTGACCCAAAGTAGCCGATGTCACGATACCACCACGAGAAACCTTCTTCACCTTCTCCTCCTCCTGGAGAATAGTCATCGCGGCCTCAGCCAGCAACAAGCCCGTCAAAACGTACATGCTCCCGTGATAAGTAAACTTGCCAAAGACGCGCTTAGGAGAGGGACCCTCCTGATCAGCCGTCGCCACAGCATGATACTCAAGACGATCATTCTTCGACGCCTCCATGGTTGGACCCTGTCCCGGCGCGAAAATGAATCTCCGAACCAGCGTGCGAACAGGCGGGATCATGAGCAGCGAGATACCAATCAGGAAACCGACGTGCACGGCGACGCCGATGAGTGAGTTGCGCACGTGCAGGAATTGGCGGAAGAAGAAGCGTTTGCCGTAGAGCTCGGGCATTAGCGTGCTGCTTCGGTGGACGATGGTGATGTCGGCGATGCCGGAGGGGGAGGTAGTCACCGTGCCTAGATCGCGGATCCAGCGTGCGCCGAAGAGCTTGTTGATGATGGAGTCGCGGGGGATGTCCTTGGGTGGAGTGGATGCTGCGAGAGCGAAGGGGGTCATTGATTTCATTAGCTCGGAGGATGGGAGCCAGTCGAAGATGCTGAGGACGGTGTTGAGAGTGCCGCCGCTGGCGCCGGAGGTCCTAGAGTATTTCGATTAGAAAACGGAAAGAGATGTGGATGTGATATTGCAAAAAGGAAGCTTACTTCATCTCCTTGATGCAGCAGTCAATCTCCCTAGTCTGGGATGCGAGTTCTTCTCGGACATGCTTGACTAGTGCCCAGGCTAGCATGTCTGCTGGGGCACTCTCGACGCCAACCGAGGGAATGATCTAACTTCAATCAGAACGTAAATCACTATGAGTATTGAGTTATGAATGCTCACAATCGCGCCGTTGCTCTTGGCCTTTTCGTGATATTTGTCGATGATCAGCTTGACCCACGGGGTCTCGCCAGTCCTGCAAGAGTCAATATACTTGCCCGTGCAAGTCAAGCAGTGGAATGACTTACGCATCAACATAGTGGGTGCCGTGCGCAGCACAGGCCTCAACCACCGGAGTCGAATACAGGTGGTAGGGGCCAATGCAATTGATGATGAGCCTAGTCTTCTGCGCCAGCTCGTTCAACTCGGTCGAGTTGAGCTGGACACCAAGGACATCTGTTCCAAGACTAAGATTAGAAACTATCCAAGATAGAAGAAGACGTGATAGAGTTATTGGGAAAGCTTGTTCTGTATCATACCAGGCTGAACGCGATCCGAGTTAAGCTTTTTGAGCTCGTCGGCGATAGGCTCGATCTTCTGTGGCGAACGACCTGCAATCGCCCATTTCAAATCGGTTGGGAGGTTCATGACGATGTGCTCTGAGCAGAAGCGACCCGTATAGCCAGTGGGGCCCAGGAGGACCAGGTCATATTGTCTGTTGGAAGCCATGTTGTGGAGACTGTAGCTTGCTGTTGGAGACGTATTGGTTTGGCAGGGGGAGCTCTCCAGTGGGTCACAAGCGCCTCGGTCCGCAGATTGTAGGGGGTTGATGAAGGCAAGATTGAGGAGCGTCAAGCAAGAATGTCAAAAACCAAATCGAGGCTGGGGAATTCGAGACCCTTATTAGAGATCCTTGTCAGGTTACACTGCAACGATAGCTTCCTGGCTAAGCTGGCAATGTCGTCAAGATGTTGTTTGTGCCGCGGAAGCTCTCACGTGACCGGATAGTTGAGTCTGGCCGACGGGCGGTTTGTGCTTGTTTGGGATGCGTGCCCACTTCATTGGACTGAAATTGGTGGCAGAAGAAGGTTCACTAGAGAAATATAGGAATAGATGATATTGATACATATGATAGAGAAGTACATGGTATATTGTCTCGATACGGAGGATGTACAATAATTCTATATTTGTCTCCATAATCTTCAGATATCTGACATGCAGGACCAGCAAATTGAAGGACCAGTGCAGCCTCAGGCACAAAGATCTGCCGCTGGACAACATAAGGTGGTCTGTGCTCGCCCGTGATGAATGACATAATCGTAGAATTTGCGCCCTGACAAAATGTCCCTCTCACCGCCTGCCACTTCCTCTTCCCTCCCTTTACATCACCCCAGTCAGGTGACCGCACTACGCCAAGGCCCCGAGCCCTAAGCGAGCCCACCCACAACCACTCTTCTAAAGCCTCTTTTCGACCACTTCGCTATCCATCTTCACGCTCAACAGCCGCCTTACAGCCAAGATGACCAAGCGCACCAAGAGTATGTCGAACCTCTCGAATTGACCGCTGCACTTCGTTCCCTTCGATTTCCAGTTGCTAACTTTTTTCTCAGAGGTCGGTATCACCGGCAAGTACGGTACCAGGTATGCTCAACACTCATGAACCCTCGCTCTCGCCTATATCCTCGAACCACCGTGATCACTTCGACCGCCCAAACGACTGTGAAATAACGAACGAGAATTGGCGACCCCGAATCAAAAGCACGCGATATTGACCAAGAACTCTTTTTCTCAACAGATACGGTGCCTCTCTGCGTAAGCAGGTCAAGAAGGCCGAAGTTTCGCAGCACGCCCGTTACATCTGCACCTTCTGCGGAAAGAACACCGTGAAGCGCAAGGCTGTTGGTATCTGGGAGTGCAAGGGCTGCAACAAGACCGTCGCCGGTGGTGCCTACACCGTCTCGTAAGTCGCACCACGACCTGAAGAAAAAAAAATCGAGTCAGACCGGGAAGAGGAGGAACATCAGATTGGATGCAAACCGGAATTCAACATCGACTCGAGGATTGCATGGGAACAATTGCTGACCAAATATCCCACCTACAGGACCCCCGCCGCTGCTGCCACCCGCTCCACCATCCGTCGTCTCCGTGAGATCGTTGAGATCTAAGCGTCATGAATGTGGTTTCCTTTCTCTTTACGGCTACGTCTTGAATACCAAAAATGAAAATTTCGGAATCATAAAGATTTTGCATCCCCTTCCCCACGGATCTCTGCGTAATATCTGGTTTTCCCGACCTATCCGGTGCTGGCCAACAGCCACCTGAATAGTCCTTGGCAGTCTTCTACTCCATCATTGCGAAACCGATTGCCCGACCGTCCTGATTTTGATCCTTCCGCCTGAGCCAAGGGCAGTTTACCCTGCAGAGTCGACATGGTGGCTCTTATACAACCCCATGCAGGACTCGGGCAATCACCGTAGAACCAAATTATCTCCCGGACACTCTACCATCATCTGCTAACTTAGTGACCTTTCCGACCGAGCATCCTACTTGAATCTACGCGTTATTCATCAACCTTGGCCTTCCCGAAATTTACACGAACTAGAGGCTGAGGACTCTCGCCTGGTCCTTGCATGGGCCCGATCTCACCGCGGGTGGCTTGGAGCGCCTGGACTATTTCCGGCCCCAACTTGCCCGGATGGATGCTCAGCTGCATGACTCAGACGATGCTGAACTAGCCCATGAGGTCCTCAGAAACGTGGCCGCTAGGAAACCTTGTAGATTCATGGTTGACCGCCAAAGGTTGACCAACTATCCGTGTAGAAAGTGGATGTTCAGGACGTGCCGCATCGGCGCCTTGCAGCAAGAGTGCAGACCACAACCAAGGGTTCAAGATCGGCAAGATTCCAAGATCTCACACCCTAGGAAAGATTACTGAATCATCTTGCAGGTATCAGGGCCACACTCAATTTCCGGGGCCTCTCATTCGCATGCGCCCGCTGGCGGGTGATTCGCCTCCGTCACGTTGGCGCCCTGTTTTGCGTTAGACTGGAAATCCCGGCCCACCTTCAAAAGGCCCGGCTGCCGCTTCTCCACTTTACACTCTCTCCTACACACATCCTCTCTCTCCCCCCTCGCGCGCTTTCGTTTCGATGCTTCATGCCGTCTCTCAACCGATCGATCCCTACCTTCTATACTGTCCATGTCCGACACCTGCATTGTCTGTTTAGGAGACCTTGGCGAAAGCGCCAGTGATCCCCTCGCCGTCGAGCCAGTGCCAAGACTCCATCTCCACGATGGTGCCGACCCAACGGCTAAGGCGCCTACGCTCGGTGACGAGGAGGGTTCTGGTGAAATAGCCCAGTTGTTGCCTTGTGGGCATATCCTGCACAATGTATGCCTGAAGCCATGGGTGGAACGAGCAAACAGTTGTCCAATATGTCGCCGGAGTTTCAATATGGTCGAGCTGAGTGACCGGCCGGGAGGTATGTACTTTGTTGCCCTTGTTACCGTTGGGACCTGTATTCCGTCCTACATTTGTGAAGAGGATTTTGTTACTAATCATATTGGTTTATCTTATAGGCCCTGTTACTTCATCATATGCTGTCCAAGACCGAGTTCAGGTCGCCGAGATCGACCCGTCGATGGTCATCGACTACGTGGAGGATGACTTCCTTGACTACCAACCTTGCACAATATGTGGTGAGAGTGATAACGAAGACGTTCTCCTTCTCTGCGATGGCTGTGATGCGCCTTCCCACGTATACTGCGTAGGCTTGGATGAAGTCCCATCAGGATCATGGTATTGCGAGCGTTGTGAGGTTCAACGTGCTCTAGAACCTACTACAGAGGCACCGGCTCGGCCGTCCCGTACAAATGAACGGCGGACCCGTCGCACTCGAGGCCAACAACGCCAGGCCCAAAGCAGGAATCAGATTAATTCTCTGCACTGGGCCCGCGTCTGGCAATCCGTATGGGACCATCTGAACATCGATCTGGACTTCCCCTTCGATGATGATCGATCGGCGCAACGGGTCTTGCAGCAGCGTCGTCGGGAGGAGGCTAACCAGCGTGAATTCCGTGCCTGGCAGCGTCGGTTCGAGGTTGCCGAGCGGCAGGGCGGCGGTAGTCGTTTTCGCGACAGTGCCTCTCTATTTGATATAGAACCCGCTCGGCCATCACGGCCTCGTGTGCCCAGGAACCCGACGCCTGAGCCCGAGTCTCTTGAAGAGATGCGGGCTTGGAACGCGTTTGAAAGGGCTCGCGAGATCGAGAACAATCCAAGTGCTGCTCGTAAACGCAAGGAACCGACGCTATCGCCATCGCCGGAACCCACAGAGCCACAGCGCAAACTCAAGCGGCCGCGAACACGGCGACCTCAAGAGCTCGCCGCGATGGCTCAACAAAATGGGGAGTCCTCTAGAGCGGCGAGTGCCAGTGCTAGCGGCAGCGGCACCAACTCGAACGTCTCTAACGTCAACCCGAACGCCAACGCTGGTGTGAACCTGAGTACGAACGCAAATGCTCGGGTCAACGGAGACGCTTCCGGTGAACCGAGCTTTTTGTCCTCTCTCTTAAAGGAGGTGGAAGATGCGTCCACCACCGAGCGCACAACACCACTTTTGCTCTCAGCTCCCACATCTATTGCTCCTACCGACCATGTCTCTCCGGGGCCTTCCTCTCCATCGATCTCCCCTGTATCGTCCAACCACTCCTCTCCTCGTCTATCCTCTACGACACCCCCTCCGTATTCTCGCAGTCGGCCTATATCTCCCTTTCAACTCTCCTCTCCCGTCGAACCTTCATCACCTCCATTTTCCCCCGAAGTGTCGTTCTCGGGGAGTCCGATCTCTCCAAGTGCAAACAGGGAGAAGCCAACAGCTCAGCGGGAGACTAATCGCCCACGATCTCGCATCCCGCGGCGAGTCGTTGAATCGTCGCATCCTCCGTCTGCAGACACATCGCCCACTCGTGCCGGCCCCTCTCTGGCCGTCAAAGTCGACATTCGGGGCATGGTCAGCATGGCCTTGAAGCCACACTACCGCTCCAAGACCATCTCTCGGGAAGAGTATACCGAGACTAACCGCACCATCTCTCGCGTGCTGTACGATCGCGTTGGAACCGTCGAAACGCTCAGTGCAGAGGCCCGCGCGGACTTGGAGAATACAGCCAACTTCGAGGTTCAAAAGACCGTGGGCGCGATACACAAGAATAATCAAGTAGACCGACAGAAGCAGAAGCAGAAGCAGAAACAGCCCATGGCGGCAGCAGACTCGGATGGCGATATACACTGATCTTACTGCTATGATATGACTTTTCCTCTCTACTTCGATGGCGTTTGGTGGCGTTTGTTGCGAAGAAGGATTTGTGGAGGGGCCTTTTTTTCCCTGGCCTTAGCGAAGCGATTGATTGCCTATACTGCTTATTTATTGAACTGGCGTTTGATGGCATTGGGTCGCATCTCATCAGAGGCGGAGTCCATATGGTCCTTGTTCTTTAGCGAGATAATGAGTTGGACTCACTGGGGGCTCCTTTTCTTTCTCATACCCATGACATAATGACAGCGACTTGAATGTTTCAGATTGTGTGTAAAAGTGTTTCAGAACAACGTAGTAGTTTTCAAAGAAAACAAAAGCCTCAAAAGAGAGGATATGAGGAAAGGAAGTTGGAAGTGTGAGAGACATGAAGACCATCGTGCTGCCTGACAGACCAGGCATCAACACATCTATGTGATCGGTCACTTTGAGAAGTTCAAAGTCAGAAAGTTTCCTGCACTTACTTCAAACATCTTGAACAAAGTCTCGCGCAACACTTTTCCTTGTCTAGAAAAATGTTTGTCCTCAAGTTTTATGGACCCGCAGGGAGTCGTGGTGCCTGTGTCGCAGTTGCCTACACAGCATCTCAGTTAGGCCTGCCTGGGTCATTACTTCAAAAATTGACCGACCGACTTGATTTCTGACCTGTTCCTGAACAAACCACTTCATGATTTTTCAAATCTCCGGAGCGCTCAAATCTTTCACTCATCTTCGATCGTACGAAGGAATGATCACCAGCTACCTCTGCAAGCCACAACCGCTCATCTCTTTGTTCTTTGTTGACCAAGCTCTGTACCCCTTTTCAGCGCCCAGCCAGATTGGGCAGTGACTTCACGAAAACTCTCACTGGCATCTTTAACCTTGAATTTTATCTTCCGAATCTCATTCAACCTCTCAGGCCTGTTCCACATCATGACGCGGCGCCATTCCGACTGTTGTGACTGCGAGCGGTGCCATCCCTCCGAGGAAGCACTGAAATTTCTGGCGAAATCGAAGACAAAGAAATTGAGTCCAGGTGCTCTATATTCTCGGCGCAAACAGCAAGAGCATCGTGTGGCCTCAGAATTGCGGGCACTATCAACCCAAGACTTCGCCTCGACGCCCCAGCGAGTCACTCGATCAGGGAGATCCGCAATAGTGACGGCTTCGGTCTCCCCTGAGACATTAACCGTGGTACAAAACATCATTCAACGATACAAAGAGAAGCATAGTGTGTTCTTCACTCATCTCGAAATCCAGATTATGTTTTTCTGGCACACGTACCAAGCTCTAACCGGGGAGCTTATGGACCCGGCGCTGCCCATGATGATTACGGGTGTCTTGACGCCTTATGCGACGGATATGGAGCTTCATAATCAAGCGACCGAGAAGCTTCGCAGTGAGCGGGATAGCACCGATCAAGCTCGAACTTCCGATCTTAATGAAATGGTGCGCCTGCTCGCTGCGAATGGCGCAGAATTGCGGATATGGGAAACCTTAACCCAGGGGACGATGTTCTACTTCAAGGCCTCAAATATCGCGGTTGCACAGATACCATCTACCTCAACATCGACATTTACTTCGCCAGTCACGGAAACGTCCAATGAAATTTCCATTCAGACTGCGCAGAGCCCAGCCGTCTGCGAAGAAGCGTCCCCTACTCCCGATATGATAGTGGTGGAGACCTCGCAAACGGAGACGCGGTTGGAGCAGCTTGAAGAAGAGAATTTTCTCCTAACAGAGAAAGTGTACTGCCTGGAAGATGAGCGCGCTCAGTTTCAAGAAGAATGGGAGAACATGGCGCGGAAACTCAAGGAGTCAGAGGCAGAGAACCAGCGCCTGAGGAGTGTATTGGAAGCGTCGTTGCAAATTTTCGCGGAACCATGGGAATCGCTCAAAGACAAATATGGAAATTGATACTGGTGAAGGTCTGCTGGATTCGGACTCGACCACAATAGGTGGAAGGCGCTTTGCACATTCTCATATCATAGCATGAGTCCAAGATGAACAAAATGTAAGAACTACATTAATACGCAGACAGAAAGCACAGGCTATTGGACCGTTCTTCAAGATCAAGAATGATTTTCTCCTCGAATAAGACCTAAAGCTACTTCTTGCATTGTTAGAATAGAACCTGCACCTTGTCGGCTGTAGTCGGCATCCTATCGGTATACTCTGTTGGGGTTGCCGAGTGACGGCAATCGGTTCATACGCGGGGTGCGAAAGTCCAGTGGGGCATAAAAGTACTCAATCGCATCGAACACGATATAATTAACATAGAGAGTAACACCGTTGAAGTGGAAATCTTGAACTTCCGAAGAACATCACCTGTAAAGCAAGATGCCGCAATTACCTCGATACGAGTATACTGGTCCGGTGGACTGCACAATTCCAACAAACCGAGAGGTCCTGAAAGGGAAGAGTGTTGTAGTTACTGGCGGTGTGCTATACAATACCTGGAATTCAAGGGCTATAATATTGACTTTATCTAGGAAAAAATCGCATGGGTGAGCCGACGGCCCGAGCTTTTGCCGCCGAAGGGTATGCTGTACCCCGGGCCGTATGCCCAAACATCTGGCTAATGGAAACTCTTTGTCAAATTTAGGGCATTCGTTGCAATTTCAGACCTTGACATTACCAAGGGTAATGGCGTTGCAGAGGAGCTTAGTCCGTCCGTGCCCCGTCTTCACACGGCAGGGGACTGAGTGTTCGATCGTTTGAGCTTTAGATTGACAGAGCTTTACAGAAACGCCCAGTTCGTCAAATGCGACACCACTTCCTGGGAAGATCAAGTCTCTATGTTTGAAGCTGCGATTGCGCACTCCCCGCATAAGAGCTGTGATATCGTCATTGCAAATGCGGGCATTAGTCGTGCTTCTGGTGATGATTTATGGCCGTTGGACGGTGTGATATATTTGCAACACGAAACTAAGGAATCAATTTGATCTAACGTCTTTGACAGATCCTGATTCTGCGCCGGTAAAACCGAAGCTGAATATCGTCAATGTCAATTTGATTGGTACAATGTATACATGGAAGTTGGCCGTGCACTACTTCCGGAAACAGCCTGATACGGAGGATTGGGATCGTTGTTTCATCATGACTGGAAGCATGACCGCGTGGATTGATTCGCCAGTACGTACTGAGACAAGAATCTAGCAGTGACTGAATGTTACTTTTAGTCTGACGCTTGAAACAGGCGAACTGGCAGTACACGAGCACTAAATATGCGCTGCAAGGGTTGATGAGAACTGCACGACGCAATTCGCATGAACAAGGGATTCGAATCAATTACGTTGCCCCTTGGTAAGTCCCTGACTAAGACAAAAGTCATCAGAACCTCTCTAACATACAAAAATAGCTACGTTAAAAGCGCCATCCGCTCAGCTGAGGACGAAGCACAAGCTGATATCTAAGGGAGTTGAATTTGCTCTCAGGAGGACGTTGCCACCTGCATGATGAGACTTGCGACAGATAGGACGATTAATGGTATGGTTTACCCAGTTTTCTCAGTACTCACAGAGACTAAGCATGATAGGCCACTCTTTGATGATTACGCCAAGATTGGTTGCGGAAGAGGGGTTTATGGATGTTGGTAAAGATGACCATACTGAGGAGGGTTACTTTAAACATACCCAGGAGGTTCAGCTCAGGATCATTGAGGATCAGTGAGTGCCCGGTTGGAGTAAGGGGAGAACTCCGGAGGGTGCTAAGAAATCATGAAATAGGAGGGTATGTGCATACAGCGTTCCGAATCAATGTCCCGTTCTCGACGGGCATGTTGGCTCGGTGAAACCTCAATCGACTCAGTAGCTTTGGAGAACAGCAGCCTTTTCAGGCCATATAGTGTCCCCAAGAACGTAAATCAAACAGGTACTAGCTCATATTTGATAGCCCGAAATTCTGAATTTGATATACGAATGCCGTCTTATCTGCCCCATACTTAATTGGCACTTACTGGGTTTATCCTCCTCTCGAGCCCTGGGAATTATTCTGCCTTGATCTCAAAAGGAGCAACTGCGGGATTGCTCAGAGCCCAAGTAATACCACCGCTCATGACCTCGTCCCACTTCTTACTGGAGGCGAGCTTGTCACCGTGCCGTCTAAATCCATGAGGTACACCAGGGAAAACATTAACATCAGTGGGAACCCTAAGAGCATCTTGATCAGCAACCTAAAGCATTCGTTATAGAGAAATGTAGTTGTACTTACCCATTCTCACTCAACAACTTCCCGAAAAGGAGACCCTCGTCACGAAGCGGATCATTACCGGCGATACCAAACGTTGTAGGGGGTAGATTCTTCACTTCCTCTGGAGTGGCATTGCCAGGATTCATCCGCAGATTGCGACCGGCATCTGGGAAGGTCTTCACCTTTAGCAAGCTCATGAAGAGCTCAATCCTTGAAACAGGCAAAATCGGCGCCTCGGCACATGTCACATAGCTGGACAGCTCTGGATTGAGCAGCATTTCTTTGCGAGGTGCATAATACTCTGCATTTACAAGGCAGGGAATCATGAGCACCTGTCCCCGAATCTTCGGACACGCCTTCAGACGCTCGTTGTCTCCGTACAATTGTGCAAGAGTCAAAGATGCGGTTAATTGAGCTCCGGCGGAAATGCCACCGACCACGACCTGGTCGGCAAGACCGCCGATTTCGGAAATATGTTCATGAACCCAGACGAAGGCATCTTCGACGTCGTCCCAGGCTGTGGGGAATTCGTATTCAGGGGTATGGCGGTAGTTCACATTGACGACAACGACTGGGGTGTCATTTTGCACCCGGGAGACAACAATTCGGGAGCAGATCGCGTCTTCTGAAGAGAGGGTTCCAAAGAGATAACCTCCACCGTGGAGATGAATGTACACGGGGAGTTTCTGAGAGGCTGGAATTTTAGATGGGCGATATGTTCGTACTTCTAGGGATGCACCGTCGCGAGACGTGACTGTATAGTCCTGGGTTTGGATCTGGGAGGCTACGGGAAGGAACATATCAGCTTGCCCCGAGAAGCGTGAGAGCCAATTGTCCCAGCCGTTGTGTATAGCTTTGGAATCAGAGTTTGGCATATTGGCCCCTACAAACATACCTATGCTTCTCATGCCATGAGCGGCAAGTTCCTCTCGCCCCTTATTGACTAGAGCCCTTAATTCCAGGATTGGCAGGTTAGGCATCGGAGGCAGCGTGGACTCCAGGGCGATCCAGTCTGCACTGGGGCCCGTGTACTGAGAGAAGTCCGCCATAGTGAATTTGGTGATGTTAATATTGAGTTTGTGATCTGTACAGGAGTCGATCTTGGTGGCAGTAAGCTGAGTTCCTGAGGGTGCCAATGCAAGAGGGGCATCTGTCTCACAAACGATCTGCGCCAACTTCCCCTATGCGCCTCGGCTCGGCTATCAATAATTGAGTACCCCGCATATTCAGCCCAAACGGGAATACCGGCGTTCGGCGTTCGGTTCTCTTCGGTAGGATCGCACGCCTGGAATGGGTGGCCTGGTGTTATAGGCAAAATATGAAAATGGTAGCATTTAGTTCTGACTCGCAAATCAACCCTCGGGCGAGACCTTATCATCAACCATGGATTCTGGCCCGCTATCAGAACCACCCTCACGGTCGCTAAAGGGCAAAGTTGCGATTGTTACTGGCGCAGGCTGCCTAGGTGATGGTATAGGCAATGGCCGAGCGATTTCAATCCTCCTGGCAGACGATGGCTGCGACGTGCTATGTGTTGATCTCAATTTGGGATGGGCCAACAAGACCGTGGAGATGATCACCGCGAACCCTAATCGCGGGCGTGCAATTTCTTTTCGCGCGGATGTAACCTCTGAAACCGATTGTGAGTCTGCAGTTCAGGCGGCGATTGAGAACTTCGGTCGACTCGATATCCTTGTCAACAATGTGGGAGTCGGAGGTGCGCCGGGGACAGCTGTCGATGTGGATATGGTGCAGTGGGCAAAGAGCATGGAGATCAATGTCGCGAGCATGGTGCAGATGAGCAAGTATGCAATTCCTGTGATGGCTCGGAATGAGGACGAGATCAAGGGGAGTATTGTCAATATGGGTAGTGTTGCTGGCTTGAAGGGCGGCACTCCGCATCTCCTGTATCCCACATCAAAAGGTGCCATCGTTAATCTGACGCGTGCGATGGCGGCTCATCATGCCGCGGAGGGTATTCGTGTGAATTGTGTCTGTCCAGGCGTAAGTTTCGATCTTTCACTTGTCAGGCCAGGTCCATAGCTGATCACTCCGTTGATAGATGCTTTATACCCCTATGATGTATGGGAAAGGAATGAGTGAAGAGGCTAGAGAGGCTCGCCGAAAGCGTAGTCTTTTGGGAACCGAGGGGAATGGATGGGACTGCGCTGGTGCTGTCGTGTTTCTTGCTGGTCCTCATGCTCGGTGGATGACAGGAGTCATTCTGCCTGTTGATGCAGGGACAACAGCGGCAGTAGGAATTGGAATGACAAAGAGCGCAAGTGTCAACGGTTAGAGAGAATTTCTATGACATGTATATTGAAATTATACAAGCAAGCAGTTAATGAATGTGAGCAATACCTTATGATTGAATGGGAAGCTCCTTTCCCTGAGAGACCACCTTGCTACTATGTACATCGATGGGATTTGCACATTCCTTCAAGCCACCAAGTCAGACACCAGAGCGATTCGGTCCTTGATCTTACCATCCTCCAGGTCATTCAAAACTTTTGGGAAGTCCCGCAACTTTCCAATTTCCACTTGAGGTTGGATGACCTTCTTCGCGATCAGGTCGAGTACCTCTATAAGATCGCGATACTGTCCACCATATGTGAAAATAATACTCAGCCCCGGAACAGTCACAGTGATATTCCCGATGGTTTAGCAGTGGAAATGATGGAGCTTACAGTAGTAGCTTGATGAATCAATTCTAAATGCCGCTCCGAATGACTCGGAGAAAAGGTCGATTTACGGGACCAAATCTAGTGAGCCTGCGGAGAATGCCAGCTTCCCCGCAATTTGGTATTTCGCCTGAAAGCAAACCTAGGCGGTTTCTCGGGCCTGTAGCTTGACGCTTAGTCAAATATCTCCTCGCATAGAGAGCTTTTCCCTGCAATTTTTCGGCAACAGTGTAGCACATTCTGCGGGTATCATGTCGGCTCCCTTATGGCTGCAATTTACCGGTCAGCAACCAAAACGCAAGCGGGCAGAGTTAGCCTGCGTTGCATGCCACAGCAAGAAAGCAAAACTGGCCCATTTCTCCGGTCGATCCATAATAGTAACGTGGACAGATCCGATGTGACCTTCAATCACGAGGGGTCCAGGGATAAAACAACTGTACTAAGTGTGCGACTACCGGGAAAGACTGCCGGTATGTATCTTTTTTGTTTTGTGTTATACTCCTGTCGGACGAGAAATGGCTATTGACTCGTTCTTGCAGAACTAGACCGTCTCGACGAGGTCGACCGTCAAGGCTCTCTGCCCCTCCCTTAACACCCCCTGACAGCAAATCTAGTGACCGGGCCAAGTCTGGGAAAAGGGATCAACCAACTTTAAATACAGCCAAAGACCTTGGTGTTCATGTTGCCAGCTCCAGCAACCTTGATTGCAATGAAGACATTGACCTGCTTGCATATTCCGGCGGCACACTGCCAAATCAAACTATATCTACACCCACACACAATGAACAAGTAACAGGTGACGACGTCGTCGAATGGACCGCGGTGAACAATCAGTTTCCAGCCGAGGCCATCAGAGGAGCAACCAGCAGGTCGTTGCTGGGAAGCACCCCTATGATTCACCTTGCACCCAACGAACAGAGGATCACTCAGAGCATAATGATAGTTATCCTGTCGGCCCTGTCTTTCTTCCGGAGCTTCAGACAACCGCAAGAGATCAAGAACGACAGGTCGTCGAAAGACTCCCCATTATACCGACTTTACCCGACCCTAATCTGCAGCAGTCCTTTGCCGAGACATATTTTGAATACTGCCATCCATGGTGCCCAGTTCTAGATCGGGATAGTCATGGTGAAGATTTGATGCGGTCTCCTCTGCTAGTGAACGCCCTAGCTTTGGTTGGAAGTCATGTCAACAACTCGGATTTCATCGCGAACCTCCTCTCGATCATCCACTCCGGCGGCAGATAGATCTCGGCATACGACGTCGCATTTGATGGACTGCATTCGCCCGCGAACGCCCTAACTGCCCTCTGCCAGAGTAAGCCGTGCGTTATTGATCCAGAAGACTGCACACTTTCTGAGCAAACACTAGAAGACCTTCCCAATCCACTGGAGAAGGAGAGTGGTGAGATCTTCATATACTGAATCGACTATGTGGCATTATTGGAAAGGTTGTGAAGTACTCCGTATATGGGGCGGACTTGCGACTCGACTTTTTCCACTTTCCCTGCACATTTAGCCCGTGAGCTGGATCCACTGGGTACAATCACTGCCTCAACACCTTCAATTACCAATTGGGTCAGATCGTACGACATCATTCAACAGGAATATCCACCAACTTCACCTACCATACCTTGCTGTTATAATCATTATTCACATCAAAAGATCCTCGTCAACACAGCCTCTCACTCATGCATATCCCCCGGCAATACTGGCAGCGACATGTATGGCTCGCGTGATGAAAGACATACTCTCGCGCGGTGGAACTAGATTCCTCATGGCCATCACAGGCTGGTATTGTGGGACAGCGTTTATTGCACTTCTCCAGGCGCTTCGCATAGAAGATCTCTCCAAGGGTGCTAACGAGGACCTCGACGTCTTAACTCTAGCTGTGGACCAGCTACGGAGGATGTGGCCTACAGCAGGCGTCTTCTACTCCGGATTTTGTCGAATAAGACCAAATTCAGTGGCTTCGGATATTGACTCCCAGCGAGCACCTGGTCCCGAACTAGGTATGGGCGACGGGACAGGCTATATGACAATGACCGATGGCATCGATTGGACTACTTATTTCCCATTTGCGACACCACAGACCAGTGCGATTGCGAGTCGGCTCCTGGTACCACATACAGAGGAGTTGTTCTTTGATGATGATATTTTCGCTGACACCAAGTTGCACATTCAGGATTTGTTTGAACCCTGTGATACACTGTCTGATCCTAATTTATTCGCTTTCTGAAGGCAACGAATGGCTCAGAATTTTTGAGGTTGTGGGGTGATTGAGAAAGATTCAGCCAACAATCGGATGAAGAAGCAAATCGCGCAGAAAAAAAGAAAGCAACTGAAGGTCACACTATGGCCATATTTATTCCATTTTCAGCCAACATGAAGCTACAAAGAGTCAGAATCGTTGAATCTACGGAATCTTTTGCCGAGGTGCGTTAGCGCGTTGAAAAGATCAGCGGCAAAATTACTACCTTGAGATTTAATAGTCTTGCTTAGACCGGTTTTTTTTGGACATGTCCAATGTTAATAATCTACAAGATCAACTTTTCAGTGGCTTATCCACTTGAACCGTCGGGACGTCTAATGGCTAAGTGGGGGCTGGCTGCAATGTCATTTTTCTTTCATTGGCTTCTTTGAGGTGATACCGGTGCGCCTCAAATCAATGTCTGCAGTTGGTGGCTGAAGGGTCATAGGGCCGTGAATATGGCAACACTATGGAGTACAAGAATCATTTATTTGCGCCTGACAAACTAAAAAACAATCGACACATTTTGACCAGCCGCTATCGGTTTCGGATTGGACCGTAACAACGCATTGCGAATGACGACGACTTGGCTCTGGCCTTCACAAATCCTTGTCATATTCTTTCTCATTGCGTCAGTGTTTCAAGAAAGACCCGCGGGCATGCAAATAATTATCGAGGTTGGGCGGAAAGATTAACCTGGTGGAGTTGACTGAACGTGGATGCAAGTTGGCCACGATAGTCATGGGCGGGGCGATAGGGGCTGGAATCTGGAAAGGATCTCATTTGTGGATCGAATCCAAACAACCTCGATCGCACAAGGCTTTCATCCAATCTTTTGTTCTAGACAGCGCCTATCACGCGTAGCTTTGAGACTATCTATCCACAGCATGGTGGGCATTAAGCTTTCTTCGTTCATATGTGGCCCGGGTACCTGGCTCAAATCCACTAGATGGATCAGGGGCAATTAATTTTCTTTGTGGATTTTTGTAGCTCAGGATCCCCGAGACAACGGTCATTTAATACATGTTCGATGTCGATTGTGCATAGCTAACTTCATCGCACCTCATTGCTGGCATACAATGCGACCGAATCTGACCGTTGCGCGGGTCATCAGCGCCAGTCTTGCGGTCGCTGTGCCTGTCGCATATGCATTGTCGCCACGTACAGAGATCTCCGATTCGTATGATTTCGTGATTGTCGGTGGAGGTCAGGCTGGTCTCGTGTTAGGCGCGCGACTGTCTGAAAATTCGAAACACACTGTCCTTGTCCTTGAGTCTGGCGGCAATGGAGATGAATATCGAGAACGTATAGGTGCGCGCAAACATGTACTGTCTCAGAGTACATTTCGCTCGATTCTAACAACCTTCAAGATACCCCAGCATATTCCTACTTTGACTCTCTGTGGACGACACCTTTGAACTGGGGCTACTATACCATTCCTCAGCCTAATGCAAATAATCGCGAAATCTACTGGCCTCGTGGCAAGGTACTTGGAGGTTCGTTGTCGCGCCTTCTCGATTAGACGTGTATTAACATTGAGCAATTTAGGCAGTTCCGCCATCAATGGGCTGTATTTGACCCGCCCGGGAGAAATTGAGATCAATGCCTGGAAAGATATGCTGGGAGACATGGATGGGGCCGAGAATTGGGCCTGGGATTCATTCTACGCCGCAATGAAGAAAAGTGAAAACTTCACGGCCCCATCCGAGAGCATCGCGCAAGAGGCAAACATCACCTGGAATACAGCAGACCATGGCACAGACGGACCAATCCACGCATCATATCCTGGCTTGTATGTTCAACGTTTCTTGTCGACAGCGGGACGGAATAAGCTGATCTTGATATAGCACGTTTGCTCAAGTTGGGCAGTGGGAAGAATCCTTGGTGAGTATGGGTATTGCGGCTTCCAAGGACATGTACGGTGGTCAGCCATGGGGTTCTGAGGTGTCCACATCATGCATCAATCCCACGAACTGGACGCGATCCTATAGTCGCACTGGATATCTTGACCCGCTCGCAGACGCGGGCAACTACGATGTGCTTGCTAATGCTCATGTCACTCGCATTATCTTCGACAACTCAACTTCGTCAGGAAATCTCACAGCGAACGCTGTTGAGTACACGACCAATAATGGGACGACAAAGCTCACGGTCAAAGTCGGCAAAGAAGTTATCCTAACAGCTGGTACTATCGGTAGTCCAGCTGTGCTGCTTCATAGTGGTGTCGGCCCCAAGGACGTTTTGTCTAACGCCGGGGTTGATCTTGTTTCTGAGCTTCCCGGTGTTGGACAGCATCTTCAAGATCACCTGGTGAGTAATGACTTTGGCATCTACATGAATTACACACTGACCTCAGCAGAGCGCTACTGTGAAATGGACCACGAATGTGGAAACGGCAGGATCGATCTTCTACGATAATGGCAGCGAGAGGGTAAGTCTCCTGAGATTAACCGAAAGGCTTGCGGAGTCCTAATAATCATATAGAACAACACTCTTTTCCTCACCTATATCGACTCAGCCGTCGCCTATGTGAACGCTACCGGAATGTATGGTAGTAAAGTCGATTCATTCAAGTCAACCATTCTCAGTCAAATTGACCAGTACAAACCAAACACGACTTACGATAACGGAGTTGTCGATGGATACACGGCAATTTGCAACACGACTGCGTCTACTATCTTCAGTAGCCCAATTGGCCAGATTGAACTACTCTTCATGAACAGCGACAGCAACGGCGACGTCGGCATCACTGCAGCTCTGCAGCATCCTTACAGCCATGGTCGTATCTATATCAACTCTTCCAACCCAATGGATTACCCGGTCATTGACCCGAATTATCTATACAACCCAGTTGGTACGTGACAATCTGGGTGTCTTCCGATGGTTCCAGAATCACTTTGCTGACTCGCTTCATAGATTATGAGATTCTCCGCGAAGGGCTGAAACTTGCACGTAAATTGGGCGAGACTGCTCCGGTCAGCAGCACACTCACCAATGAAACATCGCCCGGCTCATCTGTCCAAACCGATGATCAGTGGCTTGAGTGGATAATCGAGTCAGCTGGTACAGAGTACCACCCGTCGTCATCGTGCGCAATGCTTCCTCGTGATCAAGGTGGTGTAGTCGACGCGAACCTCCGCGTATACGGGCTTGCAAATGTCCGAGTCGCGGACGCGAGTGTTCCCCCCATTGCATTGTCCACACACTTGATGGCTTCGACGTACGGAGTGGCTGAGCAAGCAGGAATTATCATTCGGAAGTATTACGATGGGGCTCTGGCCACAACAGCTCCTTCTTTCAGCTCCACGTCCGCTAACACAACTAGCACCGCTAGTTCCAGCAAGCACGCCAATGGCAGTACTTCCAGCAGTAGATACCCTGTGTCAATCCTTGCATGGCTGCCGTTGGCAATTGCTGTAATTCTGTCTTTTGGAGGGCTGAACTGAAAATTTCAGGCCTAGGAGCAGCCTTAGACTCATCATGACAGCGACTGGATTTAGATAGTTACGCCCCAACATTCTTATTAATGACTTGACGCAGTGATAGACTCGAGAGATACCATAATTGAATTCAAACTGCAGACTAATGACACAAAATATGGCAAAAATAATCCACTTTCTTAGTAGGATCACCAGTCATACCAGTTTCAGATCTCCGAATTCTCGCATAGCCACTTCCTCGGCAAGCTTGCGGTAACCGGGAGCTGGGCCCTGGTATCTTGCGATGATGCGTTTTTGCTTGTGAGCCAGATTCTTGTTCACGCCGGTCATCCACGAGTCCACATCATTAGCAAGTAGACCATCTGCACAAGTATGCACATGCTCTGGCCAATCGAGAACTCTCTGGTGTGGTGTTTCCGCAAAGGTGATACCACTGTCCCGACAAAACTCAATGAACCGCGATACCCAGCCCACGGCATATTCAATGCTCCGTGGGATGTTCCCAAACATCTGATGGCGTCCCATAACCATCATCCTATTTGGGAAGCCTTCCACAAACAAACCAAGGAATGTGCGGGGCCCTTCAGCCCACCGATCTGCCAGCTTGACTCCATTGACTCCTTGGAAATCAATTGCCGTGAAGGATCTGGTAACGGAATCGAATCCCGTGGCTTAGATGATCATGTCAAAATCAAAGGATTCATCTCGGATGCGTATTCCAGTCTCAGTTATGGACTCAACAGGATTCGATTTGACATCGACCAGTCGCACGTTCGGCTGGTTGCCAGCCTCAAAGTAACCGGACTCGAGCGGTACTCGCTTCGTTCCGAATCGTTGGCGAAGTGACATTATGTTTGGTGGGAGAGGGGTATTATTTAACCAGCCATAAGTGACCATCTCCAGAATAAGACGATTCTGGACCGCCTTGGCTATCGCCTTTCTGTCTAGGTATTTGGTAGGGGTTTTATTTGTAATCCTTATATAAAAAGGGCCGGCGGCCCGAAAATGCCTAAGCGGGATGATTATTTAGCAACCCGTGTTGTAGATCGCTAAAGAGGGAGAGGAATAGTGGATGCTTTTCATCTGAAGGGATAGCTTTGAAAATATTTCAAAGAGAAGTCTGGTTACTCAAATCGACATAGCCCTCGTAAGTAAGCGAGGCCTAGGACTTAATAGTAACCGGAATATTAGGATAAAGCTTGTAAGTGGCTGTATTTTGATGGTGGTCAAGCTGAGAGCCGGGCTAAGTCAAGTATTCCAACATTAACATTGTATTTTCCCTATGTGTCGGTTATGACCGATTTATTTTGTCTTCCAGGAGACACCATAGACCGGCCAACTATATAGGGTTTTGCTTTCGCCCCCAAAGTTGACAAAGGCCTCTTGTTACATTGCCAAGCGGGCTTGCCACTGTATATATCGAGCCAAACGAATGGATACCGATCCTGTAGTATCGTAAAGATGTGAGGGATGTAACGGCTTGGTAAATAAGGACCACTCGATGTTTTGGAAGCTTACATGTATGATCTAGGGACGAAGAGGAGAGCAAACATTGCCAGATTCGGGATATAAGCATATCAGGGGACCCACGACGAGATAAACCGTTCTCTTCCTTCTCTCCTTTGACTTGATACCGGGCTTCTTTGAATGGTATATTATAGTCCAATATGCTCCTGAGCGTAACAGAAAATTGAAATACTAGACACTGCCGCGCTAAATGGATGCAACCTCATACATTCGCTTTGTTCCGAAGAACTGCGGGGAATACATAACTTGGAAGCCTAGCCTAGGCAGATGTCATGACCCTGGCAATTCTGTCCCGGTCTGTCAAATTTCGATAAATCAGCCTCTATTTCTTATGTTTCGGAGCAATTCTCGAGAATAATCCTTTTCAAAATTCTGTTGAAGTTCTCTAACATCGCTCAAATAGGCAAATCGAATGCAAAATGGTATCTGAACTGTGGTAAGCAAAGCTCGTTAATCTCGTGTACCTCGTTTTTAACCTTATCATTTCTCTCTTCGCACCTCTGTTGTTCTTCGCACAAAAATAATGAATTTTCCCTTAGTCCTGTTTACGCCGTGAGTTGTTCCCCCTCGTGGCTACTTCGAATATAACGATCCGAATATCAGCCATGGGTCATGCCCTTGGCCCACCAAACTTAAATTTGCTACCGCATTTGAAGTAGCTAACTTCTATATTACCAGCCATTCTTTGGCTCCATGGGCTGTGTTTGTGCAATTGTCTTCACTTGCTTCGGTGCCGCTTATGGAACTGCCAAGGCCGGCGTTGGTGTTTGCTCGATGGGTGTCCTGCGACCTGACTTGATTGTGAAGAGTATGTTACATCGGAATTTTGTGCAGACGGCGAATTTTTATCTCGATAATCCGGCATTGATTTAGAATATTTTAAACAGACATAGTTCCCGTTGTGATGGCTGGTATTATCGGGATCTATGGTTTAGTCGTTTCCGTTCTTGTCGCAAACGATCTGAAGCAGGATCTTCCTTTATATACAGGCTTGATTCAGCTTGGTGCAGGTCTTTCCGTCGGCCTCACTGGCTTAGCAGCTGGGTTAGTTGCGGAACTCGATTATAGTACGAGATGAAGCTAAGATAAATTCTCTCCAGTTTTGCTATCGGCGTTGTTGGTGACGCCGGGGTTCGTGGAACAGCGCAGCAGCCAAGGCTGTATGTTGGTATGATTCTGATACTCATCTTCGCTGAAGTCCTCGGTCAGTATACCACTACGTCTTCTGGAACGCACAGTGAGAAGCTAATATTTCGGTAAGGCCTGTACGGCCTGATCGTTGCCCTGCTTGTGAACTCACGCGCGAAACACGATGTTGAGCCTTGCAGATGAGAGTCCCATGCCTCGGACATGGTATCTGAAATCCGCGGGCTAGACGATGTAGATCGGGGACGCACGAGTTCTGAACTGTGGATGTGGATCGGACATATTGAAAGCGTTGGTGGGAGTGATTGGTGAGAGTGATTGGTGGGAGATGAAAGAAGTGGGATTTTGGACTGAGGAAAAGTACGTAGTGGGGTTGGGTTAGCTTAATCTGGCTTAGCGCGAAGTGAGCTACGCCGTCGTACCTACACTATGATCAACCATTATTCACCGCTATTTTCTGCCATGATTCTGCTACACCACAATAGGTAAATCCAGTCTGCTTTCCAACATACCACTACATCTCTTTCTAAACCTCTTTCTACACCTCTCTCCCCCTCTATATCTTTTCCTCTCTACAGTGTTCTCTCCCTATATCCTCATCTCTGCTTAAGTGTAACGCCCTAAATCCATCTTAGCTTAGTCGCTCCTGTAGTATTTATGTAGTGTTAAATAGGCTGACACTCTCTGACCTGTTCGCTAATCGAACTGTTTCCAGGGCTGTCCCTAGCTCTGTATAAACCCCCTTGTATTATCCGCGCTCAATCTCCCTTCATTAGTAATAGGAGGCTTTGTTGACGGTCTTTACGGCATAATGCCTAGAATCAGTCTGTATATCTGTCCCGGGCAGGTTTTGCTGATCCCAGATACTACTGGTCTCACGGCTTCTTAATTATCGCCTAATCAATGAATTAATCAATATATACAACACACCTGCGATGCGCCAAAGAATTTAGTACATTATCTTCCTCGCAGTTTAAACCTGGAAGTGATTCTGACCCCGTCGCCTTATCTCTTAAATACGTCGCGGTCTTCTTGAACAACGCATCTTATCATACACGGATTGGAAAGCTGGGGCCATCGATCAGTATATAAAGGAAGATCCTATCCTGCAACGTTTGTTACTAGAGGAGCGGGCGAAGAGCAGAAAAGAATAGAAATCCTTATGTTCGAGTAACTTCTACTAGTGCCGCCCGGAAGGTAAGGAACATACCATAGCAATTTGAATTCGTCAATCCATATTTTCGAGTCACTAAATTGCGCACTCCCAAAAGACTGCCCAGTCTCAGCATTATGGAGCATCTGGATCAGGATGATTCCCCCATTTACGAGACGTAATACCACTAACAGAACCCTCATTCCCTGTGGGCTCCAATGCAAGAACATCAATCTTGTTCCCAGTCTCTCTCAAATAGACCCCTGGAAGATACAACGTCTGCTGGGGCCCAATGATCCAATAGCGGCCTAGATTCACGCCATTCACCCAGACAGCCCCCTTGATCCATCCTGGAAGCTCAAGGAATGTATCCCCCACTGTATCCACGTCGAAAGTGCCGGTGTAGAAGATAGGGTCGGATCCAGCTGAAGGCCGTGAGGTCTTTGCATTTGATGATGTGGGAGTTGGCGGTGTATTTAATGGGAGGGGATAGATATCCCAATTAGCGAGAACATTTCCACCGACTGTGACGTTTCCGACAATTCCCTTGCGTTGGTCAATGATTCTTGGTCCGTAGTTGACTCGGCCCAGGTTTTCGATGAGTAAGTCCAGGACATCGTGTTTCTTCAGGTTTAGCTTGACGGTGCTCGGTGCAGGGTATGTATTGTCGATGACTCCAACTCGATGACCATTGACATAGACAAGGACTCGATCTCTGGGAGAGTCACCGGGTTGGAGAGTACCGTTCATGGCCGAATCAACGACATGTCGATATAAGATAAATCCTGTCGACTGACCAACAGCCTCCATGTTGACTGGATAATGTTTACTAACAGGCTTCGGCAGAGAATCAAATAGACTCATATATGGCGACAGCTTGATCGGGGGTATTTCAACCACTGGCTTGTCGACCGGAACAGGCGGGATACTATCTGCACCGACATGGGATCCGATAGTCTGGCGAATCGCATGATAAATATCATTAGATCTGCCACTCTCATCAAGAGGAGCACCGTAGTCATAGCTCGTAGTAATAGGCTCCAGAGCATCACCCCAGTCAGCTCCATTCTGGAAGCCCCAATTCGTTCCACCATGGAACATGTAGATACTAAACGAGCCATTCTGCTTCAGGATCCAGTCAAGATCAGACTGAACTTGCTGGATACTCGGAGCATCCCCTGAGTCCGTTGCAAAGCTCTTGTTGCTTGCCCACTGGTCTAGCCAGGTCACGTAGTATTCACCGTCGAGCTGTGGACCCAGACTGGTTGGATCGGTGACATACTGGTTGCGAGCACTAAATCCTGTCTTGGGATCACCGTCTGTCTCGGCGAGTGCGCCGTGAATCTGGCCGCCTTCGAGCATCGATTTTGCACCGCCGTCGTTGGTATAGAGTGGTAGGCCGAATGCGTTTTTGAACATGTCTCGCAATGCGCCGACGTACTGGTGGTCGGAGCCGTAGGAACCATATTCGTTTTCAACCTGAACCATCAATATAGGACCCCCCTTGTTAATTGAAAGGGCCTCCAGATCTTTCGCGAGATTATCGATATAAGATTGAGTGGCATCCAGGAAAGGTTTATTGTTCGCGCGAACCACCATCCCAGGAACCTCACTCAACCAAGCCGGGAATCCACCCCATTCATGCTCGCCACAAATATACGGACCAGGACGGAGAACTACATTCAACCCCTGCTCCTGCGCGGTCTTGAAGTACCGAGCAATGTCGTTATTCCCGCTGGACTCCCATGTGCCCTTCGAGGGCTCGAGTTGGTCCCAATACACATAGGAGAAGATAGTGTTCAGTCCCATTGCTCGTGCTTTCGAGAGGCGATCAGCCCAGAGCTCGTTTGGGATGCGCTGGGGGTCCATTTGACCTCCGATGATTTGGAAAGGTTTGCCATGAAGAAGGAAGGTCTCGTTGTTCCAGGTAAATGGGGCGGTTACTTTTGCTGTGGAAAATAGCCCGTAGGCAAGGAAGAGCAACTTGAGGATCATTGTCGCGTTATCTTTTCCACTTGGTAAAGTTGTATTTCCCAGTTCGTTGAAACATTTCAAGCTATTTATCTATCAGTCTAAAATTTTCAAAGACTTGCCCTACCGCAATCCTTGTTTGAAGATCCTGTATATCCCTTTGCAACATTCTCCTCTATGGTTCGCTACGTCTTGCATAGCTGGTTATTCCGGACTTTCAACCCCGCACGCGGGACTCCATGAAGAAGATGTTAATGTTACAGTGACATTGAAGAAGCGATTTGATCGGAAAATTAATTCGATATCAAGAGGAAATTTACCCGCTGATCTACCAGTCACTGTAGCATTTGATATGCTTGCTGCTCTAACTTCAATTGTAGATTGATCTTCATGTTTACTCGCGAGTCCTACAGTTGTACCAAAACGCGAAAAATATAGGAGTCCCGAGTGTACTCATGCACCTGCTGTACAATTGGGCAGTTCGGACTCCGGCAATAGAGTCATGCTTTGGTGGACTGTATTATTATTAGTAGAGATGAATCAATTCCGGCCTATGTCTCGGGATGTCTCCGGCCGAGATGTGTGGCAATTTTTTTGGCATACAACATACAAGCCGGGAAGCACAAAGGCGGCTAAGCAGCAAATTATTACACAAAATGCTTTATAAAGTGAGGAAATCAAATGTCTTGTTAAGGAACAATCAGTCCCAGCGCAATGCAATTGTCTATTCCGATGCGAGAGCGCCCACCATGCACGCAAACCCAGGGACCGTAGATGGGATACATGTCAGATCCAATGCCATAGCCAATCCCGAAACCAACTCAAAGACTCCACAAACACAGCAGAAGCGAATGGGAAATAGAAAGCAAATAGAGATATAGAAAAAGGGAATCGCCGCCATGCATAGGTTCATATCTTCAAAAGGAAACCCCTCATGCTAGCCTTCATTACTTCTTGTCGCCATTCGGGGTATTCTCGTCTTCCAAGTCGACCATCTCCCGCAATATGTCCTTCAAACCGCGCACGCCTTCGTCCACAATGGGTTCTGGAATGCGTACGTCCACCTCTTCAATATATTTCACCGGATCATATGGGGTGTCGGACTTGCTGCCACCCGAGGCGTGGCCCTTTTTGGTCCCGTTGGACTTTGCTTCTTTTGTCCCATTTGACGTCGCGTCACCGTTTTGTGCTGTGTTTTTGGATCCTAACGCTGGATGTGTTCTGCCTTCGGCGGATGCGACGATTGCTTCCATTACATCGTCAAAGGTCTCGCACCGGCCCGCGCGAAGAAGCTCGGTGGCGAGACTTGTGATCTTCTCGGTCCACCCCACGCGATGCAATGAGCTCAGTAGACTCTCTTGTAGATCTTCCAGCGCAGATGTGGCCGATAGCTTTGTAAGGAGGTCGGATTCGAGGGCATCGGGGGTGGCGGAGGCGCCGCCGGCGGGGGTTGAGGATGGCATGGTGTGGGGAAAGAGGGAGAGAGAGTCGGTGGTGTAGCAGGCTGCTGGGAGGCCTGCTGGAGGAAGATCGGTCTGTCGCGATGTGTAGAAGTAGATGATTATACGGTATCTCCGCGGGGTTATGTCCCCTAAGATTCGCGGGCTTTGTCTGGTCGTTCCGGGAATATCGAGTCCCAGGTTGCGGTGCGTCGCATGCGCCGATGGCTGTCAGGGAGAGGTTTCCGACGCGATTGAACCGGCAAAGGAAGAAAAGGGGGCCGGCCCCTGGTATGAAGAGTGATTTTGGATCAGAAGAAACAGATTAGGATTAACAGGCGGTTTCGGAGAGAGAAGCGGTTGCAACGCGCGAAAAAGTGGATATTGGAGAAATGACGATGGTTCCGCGGTCCGGACTGTCAATGCGGCGATCCCGATTAGCGCTGGAGATGAACAGGCCATGCGAGAGTAGGAATGGGGGTGACGAGGGGAGCGAAAGGTAGGATCCTATGAGCGATGTGCTGGAAGCGCATACTGACCTGATTGGCGTCGGAACAAGCGCTGAGTTGAGCCGCGTTGACCCAGGCGCAACCCGGATTACCCTATTGCGGAGACTGGGTTTGTAGTTGGAGCTCGGGTAAAAGAGAGAACACGGTCGGCCAGGAGAACAGACACTGGGTTAGAGATATGTACCCATTGCATACACAGAGACGAGGCAGCGTATGCAGAGAAGAGAAGCTCTTGCGACTGTCAATTGGCGATATGCAAAAGAAGGAAGATTCAATCTTCTTTCCCCGATCGGAGACCCGAACGAGGCCAATCGGCGTTGAGCAGAGGCAAAAGCGGGCGGTGAATCGTCAGTCTTGGGGGTCTCGGATGGCGCTTGGGGCTTGGTCAGTAGAAATCACACAATCGGTCATTCGGTCGGGCTGTCTGATTCAGGATGTGTGGATGTACAGAAGGTCCATAATTATCTTACTCAGTCATGAAGCCCCGGTCATTTTCAGCCTTGTTGCTTGCCTATATTGTGGGAATTCACTACACTTTTCAGTAGCTTAATAGCAGGTGGTATAAGGTTCTTTGCTGGACTTATACATTCAGTGCTGGGACTAATATTTGTCTCTTGAGAGGCACTGTTTTGGGGATATGGGAACGAATGTCTATCAGTATCTCTATAGCCTCGTCTTATACCATTTTTCCAGTCCGGTGTTCAATAAACTGGTCCTTTTGAGATTGGTTGTTGTCTATCATGAGTTCTTCCCTGATAAGCTAGGTCTAGATCCATAGGCACTCAAACTTTTTTGGAGTCACCTATTCAATCCACCGAAATTAGGAGCATGCCACAATGTGAGTTTTTGGCCAAGTTCTAGACCCAAGATGGACTGGAACCGTCAGAACTCGGGGCGTCTGCTAAGTTACGGGTGGGGACCTTCAAAGTGGCCAACACGTTCTACACTCTATTTTGATCCGCCGCAAGATCTAAGACACCATGGGCCCTATGTAGGGCAAGCGTAGAGTGGGATATAAATAAAGGATCAGTCTCACATCTTTGAACTTACTTAACCCTTCGTAGGGCTCAATGGTGCAATATGTCCAAGGACGACAGGACACAGCCCAGTCAATCAGCCGGGATGAGGTTCAGGCATGTCCGAGTCCAGGCCCAGTCACGTGCACACCATTGATTCGTCCCATTGACGATGCCATCGGCGTCGTCAACTCAGGATCCAGTTGGGTGAATCTTCCTCTCGCCGTTGTCCGCTTGTGCCTACCGTTGTGCCTAGATTTGAAGAGTCGACAAACGTTGCTCCCACCCTGTTACTCCTCTCCTCTCGCTGGTGTCGACAAGTTCATCCATCCGTACCTGAACCAGCTTCCCCGCTCTCCTTCCCGCGTCAACCTCCAGCTTCACCCACACCGGCGCCTACTGTCTTAAGGGGCACTGGGTGACAAGCCAAGAACATACGGAGACGCCGATACAACAGAATCCTTGTATCGCCCAACAAGCTCATTACTGGTTCATGTTCATTTGGCACCCCTGAGTCTTTCTTTTGGTTGTGGTTCTCGCCGTGCGCTCCTATGAGCCTGACCACCCATCGCATCGCGCCAACCTACATTTCTCTTCCGTGAGACTCGCCATCCCGCCTCTCCACCCGCTTGGGCGGCGGTGCTAGTGCACATCCTTCCTACCCGACCTTCGATGCACTTTGAAGTCTGAAGATCATCCACACCATGTCCCTCCAGACCTCTATGTACCACGCCGATTCCGACGCGGATGACGAGTATGAGCGCAGCGTGATTACGTCCCCGCACCTTCAAACGGACTCGGAAGCCTCTCCCACCGATTCCGACATCGCATCCTCTGAACATACGCCGACCAAGTTCGGAAGTGAGGGCCCGCGCACCCCTCGAACAGTCATCTCAGAATGGACAGCAGACGAGTGTGTGGACTTTTTGACGTCGCTTGGACTGCTTCAATACTGCGGTACCTTCCGAGGTTGGTCAGAGCATGCAATATGCAACGGGGATCTAGCTGACTCGAGAGTGTTTAGAAAACGGGATTGTAGGTGAAGCTCTTATCGCGCTGAAGCACGATGAGCTGAAGGAGATGGGAATCAATAGCGTGGGTCACCGGTTGACGATCTTGAAAAGCGTATACGAGATCAAGATTCGGCAGCATGTGCCTCTCGATGTCGACCATTATATCCCGCTCTGTATGTTTGAGCATCTCTCTCGTCACACTTCCACTCCTGCTAACCATATACAATAGCGGCGGATCAGAGCATGAACGAGAATGCCACGCAGGATGATATCGCTCGTTTGATTCAGTCAATCCAGCGCCGTGATGAGAAGATCATGATGGTCGAGGCTGAAATGCACCGCCTCGCAGAGGATTACAGAAGGTTAAGGGAAGAGATTCTGCCGGTCATCAAAATCGCCAAAGACCGATCTCAACCATTGCCTCCTCCATCCTCTCTGGGAACGTCCTCAGATAGCTACCACGACACCGCAACTCTCACTTCTCCTTCGCAACTTACATTGGTCGACAACTCCACGACTTCTAAACTCCATCGGGCCTTCTCCAAGCGCACCTACACCGGAGGTACCACGCCGAAGAATAACTCCCCAACACACATCCCACCCTCAATATATGAATCTCGAAATTACCATGACAATCAAAATCTCGATCCGTCTGCGGCGGCTGTGGCCGCATCATCACACCTCTCAGCATCGGTGAATGGAGGACTACAGCATTCCCCGGCCGTCCCGTCACCAACCTCTCCCAACGCACATACATCCCAACACCAAACACTTAACCCGCGCTCATACACCCAACCTAGCTCCGGTCGTAGCATGCACGACCACTCCGATGATATACCGCAGAGGACTGCATCCCGGGCTGACCGACTCACTCCAAGGGAGCAACCTTCCCGAACAGAAACACCATCCGGATCACGTGAATCATCAGCACCCCCAGGTCAACCATCGAGCGTGGAGATATTCAAGTCCTTCCGAGTATCCTGGGATGATCCCTGTTACAAAGTGCTTCCGGCCGCCCTGAAGAAATACAACATCCATTCCGACCCAAAACTTTATGCACTGTACATCGTGTACGGAGACCAGGAAAGGTGCTTGGCATTGGATGAGAAACCGCTCATCCTCTTCAAGCAGCTTGAAAAGGAAGGCCGCAAACCAATGTTCATGTTACGAAAGATCCACCCAGATAATCCCACCTACCCAATCCCCGGTTCCGCGCCTAACAGCGCAGGATTTGAAAGTGGACGGCCACAGGCACAAATAAACCTCCCAGGAGGGGTTCTGTGATTGGGCCTTCTGCTCCATACCCATGCATTTCTGTCTGTGGCTTGAAGATACCCGGTGACTTGTGGCTATGTCTTGGTTCTGTCCTTCTTATAGTTTGCATATTGTTCCATTCGGTTTCATTGGGAGTTTTTTATTCTTGATTCATCGCTTGTGTTGGTGTTTTATTGCCTACGGATCATCGGCATTCTACCGTAGTCTTATGTGGGCAAATCCGGCGTTTTAGACTTCTTCCATCTCTATGTAGACAGTGACTGTTGTGTGTCAACTCTGTCATCTTCATTGATTGTTTGACATCATGCATAAGCCTTGTTCTTTTCCTTCTTAGATATTATTTATTGCCCCAGGACTTACTCAACATTCAAGTTTTAACAATGCATACTCCGTGACATGTATAATCCTTATATCTGATTCTTCAAATTTCGAACCTGAGATTAAACAATGCAGCTAATTAGACTGCCTCTAGCTCAACCAGTTGTACAACATCCATTCCACTGTACAGTGGCTAGAGAGCAGAGAAACAGACCAACCAGGCACGCCTCAATCACTCTGATAAAGATCTTTCTAAATATCTTTCGACTCATCTTTCTTGATAGCACAGATATCCTTTCTTGGTTTATCGTTCAAATCCTGACTGCAAAGATGATTTTGAAAATTTGTCGGGGTTTCAAACTTATGGAACCCCATAGTAGATGCCTCCAATCCTTATCGTCACGTGGTCTCGTGTCTCTTTGGACGCGTCGATAAGCCCGGCGTCTCTTCTCACTGCCCATTCGCGACATCACGCCAAATGAGCTGGGATCGGGTCATCCAAGACTCTGACGAGGACGAGCCTCTCGGGGATGACGGGGTCGAGGCTGAGGCCTTGATTGATCCCCATCAAAGTCACGAGTCCCCGAGGCAACAACTGCCAGACAACTCGGCTTACCATGGCGATGAACAACAAGCAAACTACCCAACCGAGCACCAAGTAGCCCAAGAAGTCGGCACTGGATCGGACCTCGGCGTCAATTTTGACCAATTCTTGCAATCGCAGGAAATGTCGCAATCAGCAGTGACATTGTCACAGCAGCGCCGGGAGGAGCGGTGGATTCCCTCGACCGGCGACGGCGGGTGTGGATCAATTGGTGCGTTGGAATCACGACACGGCCGTCTCGCCGGATTGCTGGCCATTCACCCATGCATATGAATTCAAGCTAATTTCATGATACATAGGAGCAATGATGACTGAGATTGGACACGCACAGCGCCGACTACTCGACGACGACCCTTACAGCACTGGCCAGCATCTTCCTTCCACAATAACCCCTTACCCAAGTGAGATCTCGCAGCCTGGCTCGTTTCCATCAATTCCGAACTATCCGTATCAGCAAGTGGACGAGGTTGCCAACGATAATTACACGTATACCCGGCCAGTCGTCGAGGACTCATATGAAGTGACGCAGCTTGTCGCGCCAGCCCATGCCAACGGGTATGAGTACAGTACACCCGCAACATCGAACAATGTCGAGTCCCCTTCCGACCCGAATGATCGAGCGGCAACATTCTCTACATCTGTCCAACTAAATGACGGTGTTTACGCAAATCACCCGCCGAAGACAGTTCAGCGGTCCAGGTCAATGCAGTCGCAACCGTGGTCTCCGCATGATACCGAGCCATTGTCATCTGTCGTTTCTCCGGGGCTGAGCAGATCTAAAAGCGACAATGCCAGATCAGGGCTTATGTCACCGCAGCATTCTGAAGGCAGTGCGCACGACGAACTAGCTTTGCCAATGGTGGCTCCAACAACAGCCGCGGACGCTTCCACAGTGCTGAAGAAGCGTGGCCAACCCAAGAAGCAGTCCTTGCCAGAGGACGATGAAGAGGATGAACTTGCTGCGCCTCGAAATTACTTCAACTATGAGTTCAGCAAGGCAGGTCACAAGACGCGACGTGAACCTTCCCCCAAGAAACAAGCAGTGGAGATGGATGTCATCGAGATCAATGACGATGTAGACGAGCCACCTACTAATGAGGCCAGGCCTCATCATGTGCCAGGGCTCATGGTCGTTCTTCCCGTCGCGTTTGACGGTAAGTCCAAGCGCAACGATGCGAGCGGATCAAAGGAAGCTGAAAAGGCTACTACAAAGGCACCGAAGAAGAAGGTCAAGAGGAGCAAGACCGCTTCAGCTGTTCTCGACAAGTCCAATAGAGCTGATGTCGACGATGATGTTACATGGCTAGACTCCAACCCTCTCGAGGTGGCTGAGACCAAAACTACTGAGAAGACCGATGAGCCTCAACGAGCACAAGATGCGCCAGTGGAAGAAGTGCCCGGACCGAAGAAGCGAGGGCGCAAGCGAAAGAAGACTGCCGAGGCTGCCCCAGTGGTAGATAAGCAGCAACAACCACCTGAGACAGAGAACGCGGCATCACACAACGCTCCCCCGACCGAAGAATACACAGACCCGATTCCTGAGCCTCTCGATGAAACTACAGATCCTACCAAAGAGACTCCGCAACCTTCCAAGCAGCAGGAGTCCACCCCAACCCCAGACCTTCCACCCCAAACACCACACCGACCAGAAGGCAAAGAAAACGATCCCGCCACAGCTGAAGGTTCACACAAGGGACCAACGAAACATAGTCCAATCCTGTCTACGACAAAAGTGCCATATCGAGTTGGACTAAGCAAACGAGCTCGTATTGCGCCGCTTTTGAAGATTGTCCGGAAATGATGAATTTAATCGGGTATTGTGTTCATCATACTGTGATGCCTTGGGTGATTCTCGGTTGGGAAGGTGTTTTGAAATGATGTGTTTCTGTTCTTATTATTATACCCCCGTTTGTGTTGCATTGTGCTGGTGTTTTCTATTCTTTTGGTCTTATTACAAGGCAGGATTTTGTTTTTGATTGACCTTGTGTCTTTCCCGTTAACATTGGGTACTGTGCATTGTCAACTGCGTATGTCTATTGACTTATAATTGATAAGAATCTACCTGGTGAGAGCACCATGGCAGAGAGTTTACAACTCTATGTGAAAACCAGACTTCTTTGTCTTCGATAATGTTTCGCGAGACTCAATTTCAACAGCAAGTTTTAGTGTACACCAGACCCCATTCCAGGGCGAAGTCTCTAGCTAATCTCTCAGGTCGACAACCCGTAACCAAAGGGGACTGGAGAATGTAATGAGTGATGGCCATGTGGCCACGGTGCGTAAGTATAGACACAACCATAAAGATTCCCAGGCCGAGCTCGTACAAAAAATGAACACGCCTCTTTCCTCAACTGCCATTTCGCAGAATCTTCACATCCACATGGCCACGATCAAAGCTAGAACCAACGAGGTTGCAGCTGCAGTCCCAACGACTCGAACGTTGGAGTCCGCTTCGGATTTCGCGGCCTTGCCTCCAGGGGATACAGGGTCCCAGGCGTCACCATTTGGGGGAACATGAATGGCACAGTATCCAGCTTCCTTCTTGCAGCCATGGCCGCAGTGGGTAGTAGTGTTTCCACAGACATTATTGCTGCCGCAGCAGAGTCCGAAGCGCGACCCGAGACAAGTGTAGTTTGCACCGCAGGTACCATCGACGGAGACTTGTTGCGGCACATTTGACTTCTTTGGACCCTTCTTCGGAGTCTTTTTCTTGTTCTTTTGTCCGACCCAGGTGCTGTCGGCGCGGTACCAATTGTCGCGAGGGTCACGTAGACAATCACCGACAGTGACAGGCCGATACCCCAGTCTTTTACTTGTCTTCAGCATATGCTCGGTGAGATTGTGGACGGTCTGCTCATGGGCATCATGGGCAATGATCAGCCAGGAGTTTATCTTGGAATTTCCGGCATTCAAGAATCGGTCAAAAATGTCCTTGGAGAGTTGAATCAGGTTCGGACTGTCGTTCTTGTAATCGTCGGTATCGAAATCATACAAGACGATGTGATATCCGAAATCGCCAAGGTCCTCTCGACAGCCTGAACCGGGAAGGCAACTCGAGTAAGGTGGACGCATGTAGGTAGGGAAGCTGCCTAGAATGTTTCGAAGAGCGACCTCGTTCTTGAGCATCTGGTCGGCACGCTGCTCAGGTGTCACCTTGCTGAGATCCTCATGCGACCAAGTGTGACTGGCAACTTGATGGCCACTGATAATCATCCGCTCAATGAGTTCAGCCCAGGGCAGGCTCGGATCATCAATCGGACCCTTGCCGTTGTTGATGCCAGTAACGAAGAAAGTCGCTGGCGCATCGTACCGGTCAAGGAGGTCAAGGAGATCACCGGTGTAACGAGTTGGGCCGTCATCAAAAGTCAGAGCAATTGTTCCAGGGACAGTGCACGAGCGGATCTCCTGTGGACCATAGGGAACTCGGCCAATGTGAGGACGGGGAATTTCCTTTGTGGGTGGCCCCACGGGGGACTTGTCTGTGTCGCAGGTGCCAAAGTTAAGCATGCAGTCGGGAGAACGGCAGTGAGCAACGGAGGTCCCACAGAAGCCTGGTTTCCAGCACTATGTAAGCATTGGTTTGAATCAAGCATGGAGTATCACTCACCAGCACTGGAGCAGCAAGTGCCACTAGGGCATGACCCATAACTCGGACCACATTGGTAGTCAAGCTGCTTGGTCACACCTCGGAGTTTCAGACGAAGACTTTCGGACTGATCTTGGCTCGTAACGGGTTCCTCGATGGCGTTGTTGAGCTCAATCGGACCATGCAAGCTGTAAGCTAGACCCGCTAGGATAGCGAGGATGACCAGAATTTGATGCGGATGCATCTTGAAGTCACGAGGATAAGGGTAAGTTGAATAAAAGATGTATGGTAAGCTGTGTGTATGGACAGTGGGAATGGTGAAGAATGGTGAAGAGTCGAGAGGAGAGGATCAACAGACTGGACAAAATAAGGACGAACTGCATATAAACGGGAAAGAAGCAGGGAAGGGCATATTGTACGAGGAAGCTGCGAAGAGGAGCCGCGAGCAAAAGTGGAATTGGCGTAATCTAACATAGCTACTTCTGACGCCTCGCGGGGAAGGTGCGCCTGGAAGTTCAGGCGTCCGGATGTACTCCAATCAATGCAAAGGCTTTTTCTTCACCCTAAAGACGGAATAAATAATCATTTGGGTGGATGGAAACAGTCAACATGGGTATCGTTAAGAAGGATGGTCGTGCTGGACAACATCTGTTCCTCAGATCCTACAACCAGCCTATCCTTCCTCGAAGAAGTAATTTGTGGTCTGCAAGTCCGACCAGATGATATCTGTACAAGCCCGGAAATATGCATCGTAATTTGCTTGACTTCAACTGAGATGACGGGGATGACGACTCAGAAAATGGTTGCAAGGGCCACTCAGTTTGCTTGCACAAGGTTGTCCTCTCCCACGGCAGCGAAAACGAATGGCGCAAGGCTGTTGAGATGGGGACCAAGCTTAGCCGGGGCGCTGCGAGCAATGACACCAATGGCCGCAATCAAGTGCCGGTGATGGATAGTAGAGATATTTGGCGAAGACAACGTCTCGGTCAGGCGCTTCACGAAGGCATTAAGCTGGTTATCAGAGAAGTAGAGAACCAGGGCCGAGATGGCAGCCAAGGCACGCTTTGTGACCACAGTACCGGCAGTGTCATTATGAATAATGGCCATGACGGGTTCCTGCAGAGCAAGCAGCTCAGCCTCCGAAAGAAGGGGGCCGAAGCATGTCACAACCTTGATGAGCACATCAATGGCGTCGCTGCTGAAACCCTTGGATGGATCCTTCTCGAGCATTCCCCGCACGACGGAGCCTCGTCGACCCGACGCTGACTGAGTTGGGCCCGTGAGTCTTGGAATCAAGACCTTGGAGACAGCCTGATAGGCCGTGATAGCATTTTGTGGAGCGGGCTGGCCAGCTTGGGGGCGAGGAAGGGTATCAATGATGGTACGGATCGCGGTATTGGGGACTGAGGTATCGATCGTTTGCGATGCAGTGAGGTTGCTCAATTTCTCAAGCAGGGGAACAAGTGACTCGAAGGGAAGTCGGACAGCAAGAGGGCCGAGACTAATGTGGTCATGAAGGGTCAGTCAATGCGGCTCTGCTTTAGTGAAGTGGTGGTTGCATACCATTTTAGCGCCTGGTTTTGCACGTCGCCATGCTGGTCATCCAGAGCCTTGAGAAGACCTTCCGCCAGCTTGCTTGAGGAGCGGTTATCGTTGGACAGGAAGCTTGAGCTCGGACTGCTCAGGATGGTGAACAAGTCATTGAGGGACATGTATCGCAAATCGGCATCGGGGTCATCGAGCTTGGCGATATGACTAAGGATAGTCTGTTGGGTCATCTGCCGGTCTGCCATGGCTGTATCTGTTATTTGAGAGGGATACAATATCGGGAAGGAGGCGCAGGATGAGTGAGGGGGGAGCTTGACAGGGAGATGAAGTTGAGTTGCTATCGGCGATGAAAGGCGGACGGAATCACTGATAGCGGCGGGAAACGTGGGGTTTGTTGGCCTAAAAAATCAGGCAGCAATGACCAGCAGCTCTGAGTTACGGAGTACATGTGTGCCCAATGCCTGAGGCTGATGATCAACTAACATCCATTGAGGTTCAACTGAGCATGACAATTCCCACAATTGGACTGAACCAAAGGACTTGAAGTTTATATTTAACTGCATGATAGAAACTATTGAGCCAAAGTTATAAGATCTCGATCAAGTTGCACTTCTGTGGTTCAAGTATGCGTATATCAAGAGTGGGCCGATCTAATCAGATATGTGGGAGTATAACCCGTGTCTACGTGCCAGGAATTACTGTTCCAGCAAAAGCACTCATGCTCTCCAGCGTAAACTTAGACTCATTATCAATACGTGGAGCTGCCAGTAATAGTCCACTGCCCTTGAACGTTATTTCATCCTTTGCACCTGCTCGAGGTACCTGACCTTGCACCATGACATCACCGATGCAAGCCCGCACAGACCAGCGGAAGATGGCTGGGAAGCGCTCATACGACATCGGAGCAGCAAATGAGATGCGGAGTCTGATATTGCGTCGTCCAGGGGATGCCGGTGAGGGGAAGCTGCAACAAAACTGGGAAGCTCGGCACTGGTTCAGTGAGTAGCTGACTGGCACTTCGACACTAACGTTACTCTCCCTCCTTTCCTCTTACTCTTACCCTTTCACTTGCCTGATCCTCAATACCTCACATTTCAATTGCTCTACGATGGCTTTCGTGCGCCGCTCAGCTCTACGAGCTACAATTGCCGCCCAGTCCTTCTATGCTGCCCCAGTAGCCCGGCGCACGACTCAATTGCTGGGTCGCCGATTCTATGCCAGTGGAAAGGGACACGATGAGCACAAGACTAGCGATCTCCCATGGTGCGTGTCAACTCGGAGGATCAAGCTCGCTCTACTGCATGGTCATTTTACTAACGCACTATTTCGCATTACGACAGGCTTCTAGGATCGGTTGTAGTGACGGGCCCTATGGTCTTCTACCTTCTTAAATCAGGCCCTGAGAAGAAGCCCCATGGTGACGGCCACGGAGATGAGCAAAGCACTGAGCATGCGGGGCATAAAGAGAAGGATCAAGGCTCCGATCAAGCAGAAGAGGCCAAGCAGCCTGCCGAGTCAGAAACTGATGATGACAAGGAGCCTGACAATTCATCCGAGGAACCGGAGAAATCAGACAAATCCCAGGAAGAGGACGAGGAAGTCCAGGCCGCCAAGAAGAAGGACGGAGAAGAGAAGAAGGGTGAAAAGCCAGCGAAAAAAGATGCTGGAGCCGACGAGGTAAGGATTTTCCTGCCTTCGCGCGATTTATCCCCTGCTAATTGTTGACTTTACATTAGTCTTCTGGTGACAAGTCCGAAGGAAAATCCTCCGATCAAAAGGATAGTACCAAGGCCGATTCAAAGAACACCGACGACAAGGAATCCAACAAGAGTGACACCAGTGACGGGAACGACACTGCCAAGGGAAATGAATCTACCTCTTCTTAGAGAAGGCAGGAGTGATCAACCAAGAGCTCAAGAGATGATGGAGATTTTATTCGGTGTTACCTATCACTCTCGTGGCTAGCTTCATGTCGGAGAATTCAAATCACGCATTTCTACAGCATTCTATCATTAGCGTAGGCAGTTGCGCATAATTTAGTCCTTCTTGGCTTTTTCATTTGAAATGGCTTTGTATGTTGATTGGTCTTGTTAGATGTTTTAAGACTGAATGGAAGACCTTCCATTGGACCTGACTGATGCTAAATTTTGACACAAAAAGCGGCCCTAGAAATGAACAATGAAGTGTCAGCCACAACCCATGAAACATCAAACACAAATGAAACTGGAATCTGATCATCCAAACCTCACTATATATCCAAACTCCATTGTACTGGCCCCCCTCGAAGAGTCTCCCGAATTTCATTCACGACTTTCTTACCTGGGCTTTTACTCACTTTAGTCTGATCTTGCAAACAATCATAGGTACCCTACTTACGACGGACACTTCACCTGCGACAGTTAATCATCCTAAGACCATTTCAATCAATAGTCAAGACGAACAAAATGGCCATCAGTCAACCTTTGCCACCCGAAGAGGCTCGTAGCACATGCCGTTGCGCCATAAGATACGCCAACAATCGAAAAGATACGATGTCCCAACTCCGAGACTGTCGGCAAAACTTGATCAATGAGTGCATAGATCCCGGTACACTGAGAAGAGATATTCTTGCGATCGCGACCACCGAAACTCAATTGAACTACCGAAGAGATGCACCATCCGAGTTGGAAGAGCTATACGTACCAGCAACCCGAGAAGTTTTCCCCGATGCCGACGCCCACATGAGAGAAAAAGAAATATGGGAAAATAACGAGATACACGAGTGCTATTTGAGGACATGGCGCTGCATCAAAACTACCCTGCTCGATATTGATGAGAAGCTCAAATGTTATGGTTTTGTGTCGGCGGAGAAAGACAAGATGATAGCCATGCTGGAGATGCTGGTTGTGCAGATAGGGCGGCTCAGAGAGTCTTTAGTTGGGTTGATTGTTGTGGATAGGTTTGCGGATGAAATGGATGAGATTGCTAAAAGCAGAGGCAACAAATGGTCCAATAATCCTGAGCTCTGGGCCGTCTGGGCCCGATTCCAACGCAATATGAAGTGTGGATGCACTGCCTGCACTCCTCTCAACCCTGAGGATTGTGATGATCCTGTCTTTGAGATTCCATATCTACCATTGTCGGATTGAAATTATTTGCGATTATATTTCTTCTACCTAAATAAGATCAGAATGCCCTCTTGATACCTGATGCCTCCAATATGAACTGTGAAAGTTGATTGGACCTCAGCGAAAATGAGAAACAGATGAGATGGACGTAGATTATCCTGCTTTGCCAACGAAAGACCCGGGGATCAGGGTTTTCCGCCCTCAGATTATGGAAGTCTCTTGGGCGTAGGAACCGAGGGCTCTCTATGTCCTCCGAATAATCGTCCCTGGGTATTCGACTGTCAAAAATCAAACTGAAATGTTTCATTCATCAGAGCCTCCTATTGAGCACCCAGTCGGCTTAGCCTATACCTGAAAGCGCGCTTTGCCCCACAGTTCTGTTTATCTTCTAACCTACTTTTGGTGGGCCTTATTTTCACTGTGCCCCTCTTTTTCGAGGTACTCGACCCTCTAATCTCTTTCCTCTCTCAAAAAATAACGAATAGGGGCACGACGACTCAATAATGGAGGGCTTAGGCTTTCTGCTTGGCGCAAGCCTTCTCCGAGCTATACTCCTAGAATGGCTATAATAAGACCCTTCGCGAAATTCACTCTCTGCGCCTAGCAAGTAGCCCGTGAGACCCCGCCTCAGGATCCCCGTCCTATGCAGATGTCGCCCGTTCCCCCCTAACGAGTTATCCGAGCAACCTACGTGCCCTCTCATCGACGAATACGAGACCGACCAGCTTCACTAACACGTTATATTGCACGATGGACACCTCAAAGATGGTAGACAACGGAAATGAAGATTGTCCGCAGGTCCCAACCGTGCGGAATATATACGAGGGTCAACGATGAAGATAGAGGATTAGGATGAAAAGGAAGAAGAAAGTTATGGCGTAGCCGACAAGGTGAACCTCAAGATTTACGTCATATATATATCAGATAAAAAACGTTCTCAGCGTATTACAGATTGGAAAAGTAGTAAATCTTTGATATCCAACCCTAGTGCAATCCTTCCCCGCTGAAGACCATTCACTAAACTGTGTAACCCTTACCACCTTCGAGTGCCTATCAAAGTCGCTGTATAGGCGTGCCAAATCTGGGGTGTGCATAAGGCAAATGGCTATCTCCTCTCGCCAGGATATGCTGATCATTGGCACACTTTCCTCCATCCATCCTTTCCCAGCCACGGCCAATGTTCCATGGCACAACGCTTCTTGCGTCGCAGTAATGCGCGACAAAGGCACGCTGCGGTGTGGTACTGTTATTGGCGTGTGAACGGTGAATAATATTTCCCCGGAAAAAGACAACATCGCCAGGTTTTGCAGGACATGGAATCTCCGGATAACGTTCAGCGACCGGAGTTAGCTGGTTATCTGTGGGTTCCAGGACAGGTGCCGTGAAATTCTGGAAGACGCCGTCCAGTCCGTTAGCAGTCTGTGTGAATGAGTTCCCGGTGCATGGATAAGTCGGCTCGACTTGGGAGCCTCCGCGGAACAAGAGACAACCGTTTTCCTCGGTGGCATCTGAAACGGCGACCCACGCAGCGATTAGGCTGTTAGGCTGAGGGGGTATATTGTATGAGTCTTAATGGTACCTTTTGTGAAGACCGAAGCCGATCAATATACCAAAACTAGATTCGATCACCCAAGCAATATGAAAACTTACCTTTGTCCCGGCTGCCCAGGTTCCTTGAAGAAGACCATACTCTGCAGTGCCAGAATGTCCGGCCCCGAGAGATGCTCCACAACATCCAAAATGCGTGGGTGCTGAAGAAAACGTTCGTGCAGCGCATGGACGCGATGCGCACTATGTATCCGAGAGAATGCCGCAACACGCTGCGACGCAGAGAAAGATGGGTGGATTCTCGGGAATTCTCGTGCTGTTTCTTTTCCTGCCAGGACATCGTCCATGTGTTGAGACAGCTCACTGTGTCACATGGATGTTGCGATTCGCTTCATACCGCCACACTACAACGAAGTTTTGTCTAATTAGCCAAAATATTACGGGGAGAGCCGGCAACGTTAGGATATGCATGGGCTCTGGAAGGATTGGGCGCCGAGTTGCGGTCGCTGATGCGATCGATGCACTGGTTACATTCAGCCACATAACTCTACGGAATCTAAACATACACATTTTACTACGTTAGAACGACAAAGACCAATGACCATTAATTAATACTCCTTAATCAGACCTTTATGTACCACTTTATGTATTCATCTTAGATCATCTATGTTAAGTGTGATGTGAGATACGAGTTATCTGATCACAGCACCAAAGATACGGTTATTATTCGGCATTTTGAGATAAATAAACATAACCTTTACACTGTCCTTCTCAAAAAAACCTTTCAGGCCCTAGAAATATGTTGGGTCTATCAAGATCATCATTCTTTTGGCCAGGATAGGTTCAAAGCTATGGTTGCTGAATATTATCGATGTGAAAATCGTATTTCGTATGGTGTTGTGGCGGTCGGTGATAGGTTACGTTAATTAACCAATTTATTGGATAACAACAAGTTAGCTTTCAAAGTACCGACAGGAGATACTCAGTTAATTCAGTGGGACTGTGAGCTGAAAGCGAAGAGTAGCCCGCCTCTCAAACATTGGTTCCCATCTTGCGCTTACCGTTTTCATTCTGCTAATGTAGTCGAGTCAGTGGTCACTTCTCCGGCTTTACGCTGCTCCCCGCAATGGGTCATTGGGTCCGCCCCGCATGGAAAACAGACTAATACCGGGGACAGGCGGAGTTTGGACAGAAAGGGTCAGGGCTGTCACAGCGCGGACATAAACCCGTGCCAATTTGGTCAAGCTAAATCTTCGAATTTGCGACCGTGTCTTGGTGTTGGCTTCTAAGGCCAAGTTATATAGGTTCTGAATACGCGTGAGAGTGAATGCTCAGTATTTTCGAACCCATTTACCGAGGTTCAATTGATGGACATGAAACATCACCTTGGTGCGAATCACGCATAAGCAGGACCTGGCTATATCTTGCCAACATGACGAGAAAGACCATTCATGGTAAGAAAGAAATAAAGATAAGATTTACCTGGATATGATTTGACCTAACATATTTTTTTTCTCTAGTCAGTGTCGACGGGACAAGCTTCTCCCTCCACGGCAAAAATGTCTCCTACCGTTTCCATGTGGACAAAAGCAGTGGAGACCTGCGATCTGACCATTTCGGTCGCAGTATCACGGGCGCCATTCCAACTGATCCAGCGCCGGCGGTAGCCGATGTTTGGACTGAGACGCCGGACCGTGTGCGTCGCGAGTTCCCAGATCAAGGACGCGGGGATGTTCGGATACCTGCGATTCGACTTATCCAGTCAGATGGATATGCCATATCAGCCTTGGGTTATCAATCACACGTTGTTATGCAGGGAAAACCGGCCCTGCCTGGTTTGCCAGCTACGTTCGGCGACGCAGAAGATGTCGGCACTCTGGTGGTCCATCTGTTTGACGAGTACAGCGAGGTTGCCGCGGATCTGACCTACTCAATTTTCCCCAAGTACGACGCCATTGTGCGAAGTGTCAGCGTCACCAATAAAGGAAAGAGCAATATCTCAGTTGAGACACTGGCTAGTCTAAGCGTGGACTTGCCCTGCGAGGATTTAGAGATAGTGGGTCTCCGGGGCGATTGGGCGAGGGAGGCACAGCGTCAAAGGCGGAAGATTGAATATGGTGTGCAAAGGTATGTGCTCGAAATTATGTGACTTGCTCATTATCATTTTATTTACTCCCTCATCAAATAGCCTCGGGAGTGCAACGGGATTTTCGTCCCATTTACACAATCCTTTCCTCGCCTTGGTGCATCCCTCTACCACCGAGTCACAAGGAGAGGCTTGGGGTTTCTCCTTGGTATACACGGGTTCCTTCGCCGCACATATCGAAAAAGGCTCACAGGGTTTAATACGCACGACACTAGGGTTTCACTCGGATCACCTTTCATGGTCCCTAGCCCCTGGCGAGACTTTGACGTCTCCTGAATGTGTCTCTATCTACTCTAGCGATGGGTTAGGAGGCATGTCTCGTTCGCTCCATGGCCTATATCGTCACCACCTCATGAGAAGCAAGTTTGCCACCGAAGGTCGGCCAGTGTTATTAAATAGCTGGGAAGCGCTATACTTCAATATCGATCAGAACAGTATGCATCGCCTGGCAGAAGAGTCTGCAGCCCTCGGCGTGAAGTTGCTTGTCATGGATGATGGCTGGTTCGGGAAAGAGTACCCGCGCACGTCGGATGCAGCAGGATTGGGAGATTGGGAACCTAACCCTGTCAGATTCCCTGATGGTCTCGGTCCGATGGTCAGCAAAATAACGTCCCTGAATGTCGCCAACTCTTCAGCCAAGTTGCGCTTCGGAATCTGGATTGAGCCCGAGATGGTGAACCCACAGTCAACTCTATACCACAACCATCCTGATTGGGTGCTTCACGCAGGCAAATATCCACGCACTGAACAACGAAATCAGCTTGTGCTCAATCTCGCATTACCGGGTGTACAAGAGTTTATTGTAAACTCTATCACGGATCTTCTTCACAGCGCAAAAATCAGCTATGTGAAATGGGACCAAAACAGGATGATATCGGAGATTTCCTCTCCGAGCGGTACCCATGCATATATGTTGGGGTTGTACCGCGTTTTCGATGTCCTCACATCACGGTTTCCGGACGTGCTGTGGGAAGGCTGTGCTTCTGGTGGTGGACGATTCGACCCAGGGGTTTTACAGTTCTTCCCGCAAATCTGGGCGTCGGACAATACTGATCCGGTTGACCGTATCTTTATCCAGTTCGGTACCTCGCTTGTATACCCCGCTAGTTGTATGGGCGCACATGTTTCTGCGGTGCCAAATCATCAAACTGGACGCAAAACTCCTCTTACCTTCAGAGCCCATGTCGCTATGATGGGTGGTTCGTTTGGGCTTGAACTTGACCCAACTGACATGTCAGAGGACGAGAGAGAAGAGATTCCAAAATTGATTGAATTGGCAGAGAGATTAAATCCTATTGTAGTGACAGGGGATCTGTGGCGCCTGAACTTGCCAGAAGACTCCAATTGGCCATCGGCGCTCTTTGTAGCTGCGGACGGTTCTCAGGCAGTGATGTTCGTTTTCCAGCTTGCTCCGAGGGTAAATCATATCATTCCACGAGTCAAGCTGCAGGGCTTAGACCCACATGCTGAATATTGCGTTGACGGACATGGACCCTTTTCAGGCTCTGTGTTGATGAACGTTGGTTTAAAATTTTCTTTCAACACAGAATATGGGAGTAAGGTGGTCTTTTTGATGAAAAGATTGTCCTAGAGGTTACATAGAATCTAGAAAGGCGCGGCGCCATGCGAATGTTTTCTTCCTGTTTTTCCATAATATTATTCGGGGAATTTTGGATGACTTCCCCCTTCGCAAACTTTATTTAATCTAGAAAATAATTTCAAAGGGCCTCTTAGTTGGACACAAAAATTATGGCTCAATCACGTTCAATCTTGATGCATCGGTTTAGATTGTCGGCTACTCCTTATCAGTGCCTCAAGCTGTTGCTCTGGGCTTAGGACTAGTGTCACATAGAGTAACCGAATTCAGTAAGGTATAGATCCTAGAACAGCTCACTCATATAATAGTTACATGATTAAAACGAAAGATTATTTATTAAATTTCCAGAAATTGTATTTTCTTGATTACAGGACTATTCTGTGACAGAACTTGATCCCTTTTAGTCTTCATGCGAAGGAACACGAAGCGCTACAAGATTGGAAAGTGAAGGATTTCAAACTTGGACAAAATTAGCGGGTTATATTTACCGGTGTAAGGCTCGCATATTTGTCGTGTGCATAAGCAGCGTGCAATGCTTCCTGGACTCGCGGATGATGACCGCTGTGGGCCTAACCAGTACTGCTAGGAATTCGTACGACCACCTTAGTCTCTATGAGATTACGCCCTATTTTACCATCGACTCTATGTTGTCTGCATTCGACAGTCATTTAAGTTCTTCATCAATGGTAGCATGGCATAAGTAGTCCTGTCTGTTTTCGGCGATACCGTGGATGCACGTCTTGCCTGATAAATAATTGCTTGTTACTATTTTTCTATCGCGCTTCAAGTAGGGCAATACTGTGAATACTGGCGATGAGGACCATTGACCATGTTCTCGAGCAAGTTGGTGATGCCGATTTCAATATGATCCATTACCTGGCCACGAGGGAAACTAGCTAGCCAAATGCCGAGCTTCCATTGTATGGACAAGATAAGCGGCGTGGCTTTTGTTGTTAGCTCCCGACAGAAGCTATATATGTAGCTATCGAAAGTCATAGCATATTGACTTAGTATCTAGTCCGGCCGTCTTCAATCTAAAAAGATCATACAGCCTTCAGCCGCAGGAATCATAACAAAAAAGTGAAAATAATATAAAACCAAAATACAGAAAAACCGACCTTCCTAACCCTCATGCCCATATCTATCCCTTACGGCGTCACAGTCCCCAAATCCATCGTCCCCTGCCCAGCGGAACGGGATCACGAAGGTACGGCGAGACACGGGTACGATTGTTGGAAACTTCAAGCGACATGATCAACTCTAGGGAGGAGACGACGTGTCTTTAGGAAGGCAAGGCGAAGCGGATCCAATCATCGACCTCCTAGATAAATTTGCTCTTAGTAGTCTACTTAAACGAGGCACAAAGACATAGTACGGGGGAGGGCAGAGTAGCGACTGCGAGTCGACTATCGACCTTCCCAGTGCCGTCGCCTAGGCGGAGCCCCGGAACAATTTCCCAAGCGACGAAGAAGATGAACCCGCCAGGGACGAGTTCCGCGGGCTTCTGGGTCATCTTGCGGGACTCCAGCAGTTTTGGTGTGCACTTTGAGTGGTTCTGGCTCAGGGTGCGATATGCGTAGAGTTCATCGGGTTCGAAGGTCGTGTTGGCTTGCGCGGCGCGAGTTGGGGAATCCTCAAGGTCTGTGTTAATGAAGGGAACCTGAGCTTAAACTCCTAAGAAATCTTCTGTTGGGGGGGGGGGAATAGCTGACCTGTTGGCAGCGCAGTTTGAGGGTAGCATAGCTTGGCGCCCCCCGCCCGGTTGTCTGGAGATCCTCTTGCTTAAGGCGTTCAAGAATCTTCCACTGAGCTCGATTATCGGTAATGATGGTGCTTCCGCAAGCGAAACGACCGCGAAAAGGTCCCTGATCAAACCAGGATTTTGAGGTCGACATTTTTAATAAAGGTGAGATGGAGGGAAGTCACTCGCTGTGTTGATATCAACCTCACGTCACACAATCCGTACGTAGATCTCAAGTTAAACTTCCTTAGATCCTTTTGGGAGCGAACCAACTATAAATTAGCGTGACCCGGCACAGAACCTAATTAGGAAGGGTAGTCTCTATTGAGCTTAGTACAAATTTGGGCAAATGTCGCTGCTATTCTTAACTCTCTATCACTCTCTATAAAGAATCTGTTTGTCTCTTTTCCTACTACGCAGTACAACGGTTTGGTTCTATGCATGACCCGGGAAGGTCTAGCCAGATACGCTTTAATGCAGTATTCTAAGTCGTCTTTCTAGATATCTTTCGGACCATCTCTTGGGTTATCTTTCAAAGCAATACTACCTTTTGTACTCAATGCTGGTGTCAAATTTTTCAAATCCGATTACTATCTCTTTCTCAGTATAGTGTCAGCCATTTAGACCGTGAAAGGTGGAAAAATATCGCCTACACCAAGTTCTCTAAACGACAATGTCTAAATGGAAATCAACTAATTGGACCGTTCTTAATAGTAATACTATGTGCCCACATCTGTCCTAGACACATCTCACATCTTATGGTCATATTTAAGACGGGGAAATCTCAATCTCAACGAACAAGCCAGGTAAGAGCTCAACCCTGCCAGGCTTAGATCCGTAGAAAACTAGCTTAACGCCTCCTTCTCCGCCAGAGAGGGAAACTGTATGATCGGAGGACGTCGAGCCGGAATGAGCTCTATAGATCCAGGGCCCATCAAATATCACATCATAAACCTTCTTCAACTTCGAAGTCTCCTGATGCGGGACTTGTACGGACACGGAGCTGACACCTTGGATGCCGTTAGGGTGTTGTGTCAGATGCGGTTCCAACTCGTAAGGAACGCGCCTTTCCCGAGGCGTTCTGTCCAGGCACCAGAAAGGCATAGTTCCTGGGTTTACTGCATTGCCGTTGGCATTTCTTGGTGTGCATACTGCCCATTCCAAGATAGTGCCATCTGGTTTTGTACGGCCCCCAGGAATTGGATCCGTATAGGATGCACTGAGATCCGCGGTCTGGAATCGTTGCTGCACGGCACCAAAGTCGCTCTCTGAAGGTAAAGTGAAAGCCCAGTCGATGATTGTGCCTTCCTTCTCATTTCCCCAGCGATGTTTGCGACGTCTTTCCGGATCCACATCGTCGAAGAACGCAATGAACTCGAGGTAACATCCATCTGGGAGAAGAACCAATTTATTTGTCGTGAGTCCATCTGCGTGATTGCCGCCAGGTGCGAGAGTAAATTGGGCGTCTAGGTGCTGAGAGATTCCAAGCAGATCTGCATGGGAAACAAGGATGACGAAGTGGTCCAGGATAGGGAGCTGGGCTGATTCGGCAGGCATGATGGAGATGTTGATTATTGTCTTTTCCTCACAATGAAGATCAGTCAAAGCAATTCTTCGATAGAAAGAAAATACGAGATGAAGTATGTTTGGAGAACTATGACCCCGCAGCAAATTTCCCCGCTCGATGATACAATTTGGAGAACTTGGAGAACCCCCTCTATATGTATGGCCAAGGAAACGTTTAGGAGACATTATTCCAGCCAAGAGAGCAGGCCATTTTGGCAGTTGTTACGCTCGAGTCACTTTAATCGGGATGCAAGACATTATTTCACTGGATTGCTGTCATATTGGCGTTTATGATATACGCTTCCCCTCAAAATCTATATGTCGTTTAGTCACTTTCGGCACTCATGCCGACCGTACGAACTATACTCTTGTGGTCTCCATGCTTTTCTCTTCTTGGGGCTAATTATCATGTACTCGGATATTGTCATCTAGTCACAAACGGCAGATGATGGCCATCGGCCGTATGGCCCTTTCATCGACCTACCCCTCTCGTTTTTTTACTCCAGGCCACTCTCTAAAAATTACTTATTGGCTCATCAATCATTGTCACCTATTTGTCGATTATATAGAGCACGGGAAGTTGAACTGACTTTACAACGATTAATATGAGCTCCCTTCTCTAAGGATAGTCAAATAAAGCATCCGGAATAGAGTCGATTATCAAAATCCACCAAAAGTCAGTTCGGAGACGATACTTGGTCCACCAAGAAAATCCACATCTTCCGCGTCTGCTTTGCGATGGAATACTTTCACAGATACTTGTTCATCGCGTTGTTGATCATATTGTTGACACCCTCGTTGACAAAACTGTCTGATCCCGCAGGAGCGTATTGATCGACCTGCTTGTCGACGAACGAGTCAACAAAGTTATCCACGGAGGCATCTTGTTGGTTGTTGTTGTTGTTATTATTGTTATTGTTGTTGCTGTTTCCGCTGTTGTTGTTGGAGGCACTTGCTTGCTTGATGAATCCTGTAATGAAGCCCCAGTACGTTAGATATGGACCCTGAGGAATAGAGACAATCTGACATTTACTCACCCTCAGCTTGATTCAAAAGGCCCCCGAGGCCACTACCACTGGAGCTGCCCCCTTGGTTGCCACCAAAGTTGCCCGAGTTTCCGGAGGACTGATTCCCATAGTTATCGTTGCCTCCCTGGCCTCCGAAGCCACTGGACTGGCCGCTGTAGTTGTCATTTCCACCGCGGAATCCATCATTGCCGCCGTCCTGGTTTCTCTCAGAGCTAGAATTGTTGCCACGGCTATAATCGTCTTGGTTGGAGCCGTAGTCATGGTTGTCATCGTAGCCAGAGCCCCGGTTTCCACCATTGTAGTTGTCTGAATTGTTGTTGTAAGACATTGCGTCGGATTTATGATGGAATTTGAACAGAGGAGGTCTTTAAGCGAAGGATAGAAGGGGTTTGCCAAATTGAAATTGTACGACAAGTGGAGGGTATTTATGCTGCAGCCTAGGGCGAGGGAATGAGCTCGATAGCACCACCCCTCAACCCCTCCATGGTAATCACTAGATGGACTTTTTAGCGACCTTGAAGTGAGCCAATAATGTTGAACACGAGGGACCCTAGATCTAGCGTGGGAGCTAGTCGTTTGCTTGTCTAGCACTAAGCTTGCACTATCGAACTCTAATAAATGAGGCACGGACTTTGAGCCTGTCCTAGCTGAGTGGAGCGGCCCTGATTGGTGTGGCCTGGTAATATTTCCCGATAAAATTTGCGTAAATACTCCCCAGCAAGTGTATTATCGATGCTTCAATTGGCCGATCAGACTGATCTAGCACACAGGTTTCGCTTTCTTTCTTTCTTTCTTTCTTTCTTTCTTTCTTTCTTTCGTTCTTTCAGCCACGAACTAGACTTGAGAAACTTATCATGCCAGGGAGTTAGACAGGCAAGTCTCCGTCACGACCGAGAGGCTGGGGTCGGATTTGGGTTCGTGTTCAAGAAATGTAGACTGAATCGTGTTAAGATTCAAACCCTCAGAATAGACAGCTTGTAGAGATAGCCCTCTAGTCTTCGGCAGCTATCTGCCGGTTTACCCGATTTCTTCCTAAATTATTATTATCCCAAGCAGGGATCTTTGGTTACTCCATGCGGTTTTTGTTTCCAATTATCTTTCCAATCTTCCTCCTGTGATGATCTCTTTTTTAAGACTTATCTTTGTCAAGAAGAATGTCCTCGTCTTGGTCTTTCGGAAATCCGCAAAAACAATGCCCTTTATTTCCTTTGCGCATAGAATGAAGAATCGAGTATGAAAGGATGGGTAAAGGTGCACTTCTCCTTTATCTGATAATAGACAATCTATTCATATATACTGTCTTTCTTGTTCCCTTTGTTCATTGTCGTCTACACTTCGTTCACAACTCAGCATCCTTGGGGATCTCAACAATAGCCATTGTTGGCTTGAATGGGTTGTGCTCTTTGTTTATTCTTGGGAGACAAGGCAGGGATTGTAAAATAAGCTTCAAAATTCAACAGAAATATTTCAGCCATAATGCAGTAGCCAGGTATAAAAGCAGCCGTCAAGTCTTCTCAGGTTCATCCCACCACACTCAAGCATTATCTTGAAAAGCAACCTGCATTCCATCCTCACAATTACCTCTCCAATCCCCTCTCGAAAGAACGACCCTCCCACAGCAACCATGCCATCCGGAAGAACTCGCATCCCCGAATCCCACGAAGAAAGAATCGATCTCTTCATTAAGGAACGAGGCAACCTATTCATCGACATGATACAATGGCACGAACGCCTCCCATCAAACCCCACCCCAACCTGCAAGTCCGAACTCGCTAACTGGCTCCGAGATCTCCGCGATGACTTCTACCGTTTCTCTGTCCTAGTAAGAATAATTCGCAGCTCTCTCACCCTTTCCGAAGACGAACGTTCCGGATGGGAAGCATGTTGGAACTCCAAGGTCCGGATTATCCAGGATAATTTAAATAGATTGATAGCTCTTTTGCAGATGTCGCCATGTGACTGGAGTGATGATGGTCTTGCGACTTTTTTGCTGATAATTGCTGTTAATATTGGACGGCTTCATTATGAGAGACTCGATCTTTATGCTGGGTTAAGTGAGTTTATGGTTAAGGTTCATGAGTTGTCGAAGAGTCTTGAGACGGAGGAACATGTTCCTAAGCTTGAGGATGTTTGGATTGAGATGACTGAGGTTATTTTTTGTCGGTGCGAGTATTGTATGAAGTTTTAGCGTAGTTGTGGATTAGGACTAACCAGGTTTGAAAGTCTGTATCTTGGTGAGTGAATGTTTCCAGTCTTATCTTTAAAGTTAACATGGTTGTTTTTGTCAAAAGTTTCGACCTGGAAGGGAAGTCTCCCTTTTCTTACAGGCGTAGAGTTTAGGATGTTCGCTGTATGGGTCGTTGAATCAATCCTTCAAATTGTCAAGTCAAAGTATTCCATATTGAGAATCGTAGAGTAAAATCAAGCAAGGAAAATGGATGGGCAGGTAATACCAGCCAGAATAGAGCTCTTAAAATGGTGTCTTTTATAGGTTTCTAACATCAGACCTATCTGCAGCTAGCCGTCTTTTGATCCATTATCCGATGTGCATGGCCATTTACCCTGAAAGAAAGGAGATGAAATCTCATTTGCCGTGCGTCTTTCTCATCTATAATATCCGGATCAACGGCCCTACTTGCCAAAATCCAAAGATACTGGAGTCAAGTAGCCACACCAGCCTTCATAGCCGAGTAGCCTGACCATCAAGTCATACACCGGAGCCTTCTTTACACGGCCAGGAAGATATGACATAAAGATCATTGATATATTCGTCTCACCGCATAGCCCATTCAATCAATCCAGAACAAAACACCAACAACAGCTAAAACCACAAGAAAGAAAGAAAAAAGTGGTGATAAATACAGACAAGAACCAAAACCAAAAAACTAAGTCGACTGTGCATGAATCGAAACAAAAAGATCATACACATCCACTCAAACCATACCACATAACATTAGGCTCGTGGTACCCTTTGATTAAGCTTCCTCGGATCCGGGGATGATAATGGAGAAGGGAGCCAAGTCCGAACCTTCTCCAAATGCATCATGTCAGACGTGCAAGAACGGGAATTGAAACAGCATTCCTCATGCCTGATCCCGGATCATCCAAATTTGCCAGATGATCTCCCAATGAATATATTTCAATGCATAAATTATAAACAGGGAAGCGCCGTGCTGCCCGCGAAACCGGGCATATGTTGCAACCGATGAAGGCCAAAAAGTGAAACATGTCAAAGATATAGAAAAGCATGCATACCCGAGACAGCATCATATTAGGATGTGGATCCTGGTCTCATTATCGGGTCCTTGCATTGCTCTTCAAGCCTTGCGGCTACGTGTCCGGGGGCCGCGCTGCTCAGGCACAGGCTCTCCGTTGACTTGCACCTGAGGAGCGATGTTCTCCTTGGCGATGCCAGTGGCAATAGTAGCCTTGGACTCAGCCTCCTTCTCAATCTCCTCTTCGGACTCCTCATCGTCAGAGCGCTCATCCTTAGTGACGCTGTTGAAGATGTAGTTGGCCAGGATGCGCAGGATCAGGAAGAGCCAGAACAGGTTGACAGCTTGCAGACTGGCGAGCAGACCGAAGGTGATGTACTGACTGATCCAGCACTTGTACTGCTGTGTTTCCCAGTTGAGTTCGAAGGGTCCCACGGTGCGAAACTCGGTCAGGACGGCCCAGAGAATCTTGAGGTTCAGGAAGTGGCGGAGGTAGATCCAGATACCGACGAACATGCAGAAGTAGGGCGCAACGATGACGGAGTCGAGGTAATTGAAGGTTTTGGATGTCTGCATCGGCGGGGTTAGCTTCCTTGGTACGTCCTTCAATGGTAATCTACGACGTCGCACAAAGCACTTACAGCGAGGAAGAAGTCCGAAATATCGTGGGTGATATACACGGCCAGACCCATGTAGGTAAAGTGGAATCGGTAGCTCAGCGCAATCAAAGCCAGAGTGATGATGTGGTGGCCGACCAGCTCTTTAAAGTCCTTACGGGGCTTCTCCAGCTGCAACAAGAGCACAATGGCCTGCTGCGCCCAATAACTCGCCTCCAGCAAGTAATACGCCTTGAACAGACCCTCGTGTTCGCGGTGCGGGAATCCCTCGAACATGGCGGTCGTGTTGAAGTACCAGATATCGGTCCGGCTCATGACATACAATCCAAATGGTCCAAAGATACCAAAGTAGATCGCGGTATAGACTTGCTCCATGAAGCGGGCGGTCTTGCCCTTACCCCGGATTCCACACCGGACAGCCAGCGGGCGAATTATCTGCTGCATGATGAACTCGCGGGTGAACGACAGGACGATGGTGTAAAAGGCCACGAAAGCGATGTCCTTCTTGCCTTTGCCGTACATAATAGGTCCGCCGGGGGTCTTGGGGGGCTGAGGATAGGAGAGGAAGATGGCGCTGTGCATGGGATTGGAGGTCGTCGGGTTGACCGCGTACAGCGCCAGCAGGAAGGTCATGAGCAGTAGCGGGAGCAGCCATGTATACCGGAGACAGGTGTCGGCGAATCGATGGAGGAGGGAGCGACTGCGACGCTTCTTCGACTGTGTCTTTCCGGAGGACTTGTCCGCCATGCGATTCTCCAATTGCTATGCGCAAAGCGTGGTGGTTAGCTTTCGCCGGGTTCTGAGATGCCCGTCCTTCCATGTTCTGTACGAGGCAGGGGATCGCCGAGGTAGATACGCACCTTGCTCAAGTCCGGGGAAGTGGGTTCAATCGGGCTGACTTCATTCATGGTGGACATTGCGGGCGCGCTGGTGTCGCCGCGAATGTCCACGCCCAGTTGCGACCGACCGCGGGGGCGAACCATGGCAGGAGCAGTGGTCTGTTTGAAGCCGTTTCGGAGAGTATGTGCAGGAATTCGAGGGTGGGCGATTGAGAAGAACAGAAGACGTCACAGCGCGAGGTCGGAGAGAAGGCGGAACTCTCACGTGCAGACGGCGGATGGTCGCGAAGGGGGAAAAAGTGACGAAAGGGAAAAGACGAGGGCAGAACAGGAAGTGGTGGTCAGAAGAAGTCAAGGTGATCCTCCAAAGGTAAACGAACACGAAACGCCCGACGGTGGAGGTTCAATTCGCCCAATTCATCCAATAGTCTTTCTCTTGGCTTCTCTCTGTTAATTTTTTTTCTGAGCCAGGGGGTCAACCAGCTCCGCACTGCTCAATTTTCCCCTTAACAACCTCCACTCGGCAGCCCTCGTCCCATCCGCTCTCAGCCACTCACTGGCCACCGGGACTTCTTGGCGAGCATCACCTCGTTGGCCTTATGGTACAACAGATCATAGATTGTTTTTCTTTTTTTTCTGATCTGTGCTTCTCAAACCACCAGCTGCATTTGCAACCCCCCGTTTGTACGAGCTCATCCCGGCGGACAGAACTTAATTCATTGAGACTGTTCATGTCTTCGAGGTACACAGGCCAAGTCCGAGTAGGACCTTCCCAGGCTCCGATGGATGCACGGTGGGCTCGATATAGCCCCATCCATGATCCAGCTGGCTCCTCCACTTGTGCAATTCATCGGATGCGAACCGAGAGGCATAACTTTGTACTGTCTGTTCACTCACAGCCCTACAGTGACGTTGAAGCCTCCGTACACTCAAGCAAGCGAGATGAACTGAGAGTGTGTTGTGCGTGCCTGAGCTATCTCTCAAAACAATTGCCAATCTAGAGAAATAAAGCCAAACAACTGAACGAATTCCAAGCCCAATTTCAGTGGCTCTGAACTCAAAATCTCTAATCTGCCACTTGAAGAGTTACCGAACCCATGTCAACCGTACACCTGGGTATATAACCTGGTCCGGCCCGCGGCCCGTAGCGGACAATTAACGCGCTTCACCCGGAAACTAAATTTTAAGCATATCTCGCTCGCGCTTACCAAGTTACCAAGAGTAAGACATGGCGTCTGACTTAACAGTATTACATTCTTCTACATTCGGGTACCATAATTCTGAGACCCCAACAAGTTTTCAAAATCATCTGAGCACTTACTAGTTCAATGGTATCTGTGCTATCAAGAAAGATGCTTCGAAACACTTCTACAAAGACCTTTCAAAAAAGAGCGATTGAAGCACGTCTAGTTGGTCCGTTTCTCTGGTTTCTAAACCGAGACTTTTGAACAACCATAAGGATTTCCTAATAAGAAGAGAGCAATACAGTTATTGCGCTGAACCCTAAATGGGTGTGTATCGTGTGATTAGCAATCTTGTATCGTCATTTAAGCAATTCCCAAAACAGTACATCTGCTCTATATCCAGGTGTATCCCATTTCTTTCTATACGTGACATCATCCAAAATTGACATTTGTGTTCTTCACTCATAACTCAGTCTGAGGGAACCAAAAAAAGGGAATCTAACAATTAACAATCAAACAGCTTTGCTTCTCAACTTCTAAACTCTTTTCCTCCATCTACACACACTTCAGCCAGGCCCATTTAAACCGTAGTCTCATTGTGAGTAGCAGCAGTCTTCTCACCACCCGCCAACTTCTCCCCCAAAACCTCGACATCTCCACGCTCGGCAGCGATAGTCCGCTTAGTATCGTGAGAAGTCTTCCAGGCAGGGGTACCAATGTACGGAATACCATTGGGATCCTCAAAGATCTGCTCAGTCTCCTCGAGGGTCTTACCAGCAGTCTCGGGGAACAAGAAGAAAACGTGAATGAACATGGCTGTCAAGAACACACCAAAGATGATGTACGTCTGCCAGCGGATATTCGCGAACGCAACGGGGGTGAACAGACCCAGTGCGGTGTTGAAGGCCCAGTTGGCAGAAGTGGCCAGGGCGACGGCCTTACCACGGACACGCAGGGGGTACAGCTCGGGAGGGTAGACCCAGGATACAGGACCCCAGGTGGGTGCGTAGGAGGCGACGAAGAGATATGTGCAGGCAATCAGGCCCTTTGCTGGAGCACCGGAGAGACGCATCGATTCCTCGGGGACGCCGTCGATACCACCGATGACAACCTCGCCGTAGGTAGCCATGATACCGCCGTTGGCGTACATCCAGGTCATCATCAGAGCGGCACCGATGAGCAGAGTAGGACGACGGCCCCAGCGGTCAACCCAGATCAAAGCGGGGACGGTCATGACCACGTTGATGATGTATTGAATAGACGAAGCGAGCAGGGTAGCGTCACCAGAGTAGCCGGCCATGCTAAACACGTAGGTGATGTAGTACATCATGACGTTCATACCGGTCAACTGCGACCAGATCTGGGTCCAGATACCGATGAAAGTACGATGAATCATCTGAGGCTTGAATAGCTCCAGGTAAGACACGTCGGCGTTGCGGCGCTCAAATTCGCACATATCGCTGATCTCTTGCAATTCGGCCTGGACGAATGGGCTGGTGGGATCGCCCTTGCCGTGGACCAGGGTGAGGACTTCCTTGCACTCCTCCCAGCGGTCCTTGCGGGCCAGCCAGCGGGGGGACTCGGGGAGGAAGGTCATACCGCCGAAGAGCAGGATGGCTGGGACCATCTGGACACCCCAGGGGATACGGAAGACGGACTGGCTGTAGGTGGTGGCGGTATCGCCTCCGATGTAGGAGCAGCCGAAGGAGATGTAGTACATGATCAGGATACCCCAGGTGATAGCCCACTGCTGGGAACCGACGAGACGGCCACGCAGAGAGGGAGGAGAGATCTCGGAGATGTAGACGGGGACTTGAGCAGACTCGATACCGACAGATAGACCGTTGATCACACGGCCGGCAATCAACATGCCCATGTTTTGCGAAGCGCAGATAATCGCCGAACCGATAACCCTGGAAACAAGGAGATATACATGTTAGTACATGCCGTATACCCTAATCCTTCTACCTGTTGTCGCAAGATATAACATACCAGATAATACATCCCACCATAATCGCATACTTGCGACCCAGACGATCCGAAATGAAACCAGAAATCAAAGCACCAAGCCACGAACCAGCGGGCATAGCAGCAGTGACACCACCCTGAGCCAACGAGCTCAAACCAGAGCACTTCTCATTATCATTGAATGGGGGGCCCTCAGGGCCATGGTTGAAATAACACTTGTACGCAGTGGTGCCGAGAATAGCAGACATGGACGAGATATCAAAGCCAAACAGACCGCCTCCAATGACGGAGACGGCTGCAATCACGTAGATGTTCCCCACGGCGACCATGATGGGCGACTTGGTTCTTGAGATTTAGGTTAATCTCAGAGAACTAGTAGAGGGAGGAGGAAGGGGAGGAGAGAAGTCGGGGGGAAGGGGAGGTCCACACGCAAGGGCGACGCCGGAAGAGGGAGTGTTTAAGTAGTTGATTAGATCGATTGGATCTACGAGTTGGTTACTTGATTTTGATTTCCTTGATTCTTTTTTTTCTTTTGCTAGAGGAACAGCCTGACAGTGGAAGGGCTGGTCAACAAGCCTCTTACAAGTTACACCCCATGGAGTGGACCGAATACTGGGGCCGAAATCATTGCGAGACAGGAATCCACCTGGAAATGCTAGAAAATACTAGAAAATGTAACAAAAATCAACAAAAAGTCCGGTAGGGTTCATTTCGGGTAATAATAACTTCGAGCAGGCATTCTGGAAGATCCAGCGAGTGTATGGATACCATCGAGTAACAAGAAACTGCAAGTAAGGCGAGATGCAACGTTCCCAACCGAAGCCAAGACTCCGTTCGCGACCCCCGTGGGAAAACAGAAAAACAATTGGTGGACAAATAGTATTAGACTCCACTATAGTGTGTTTAGTGGATGTTGATTGGTGCAAGTCGAGCGATCGCTAGCAGGATCCGGGGAATCGGCCACGAGGGTGACAGTCTTTTCCCCGATGCAGTCTGGTGCGGTACGGAAATTCAGCAGGAATGTTCAGCAATGCCGTGTTCGGGGGGCGTTCGGGAGGCGTTCGGGGCCAGGCGGCTTCCCCTTGGCGCCGGGATGAGACTGTCAGACACGATGCCGTATTCAGTTGCCGAATATAAACACGGGATGGGAGTATACAGCTTTTTAAAGAGAAGTTATGTCAGGAGGGCTGGGTAATACAGGGGTAAGATGGGAGGGAGGTTAAAAAAGGGTCTTCCAGAAAAGAAAAAAAAAACTGGGTTTGACCACGAATCATGCCATTAAATTGAGTACTACTCACTACAATATAATGATAGTATCAACTAACTTGCCGACACCCGATCCAAGCAAACCTCTGGCCGTCATCAACCATTACTCTTGTCTAATTTCTCTTTTTGAATTCTACGTAACGGTATTGTATTCATCCAAACTAATCACGCTCATCACTGGTAAATTGCCAATAATTAACCGGGCCCAGCAGGTCAGAACCCACTTAGTCTGCACCACGAAAAAAAATCTCTGCCGAGTCTCTCAGTCTGGAGGCTAGTCCGGGGCCCCGAGTGCGGGCATTTACCCAGAACGAGACGGCCTGGCATCTCGTCGTTCGGCTTTGATTGTCCCTCACTAGCCGGCGCTCGCCGAGTGTGGGTCGTCGGGATTGACCATGCGAGACGCATTTCTCCTCTGGACGGCAGGGATGAATTGTTGACTTGGGCCTCTTCCGTGGTGAGCTGGAACACAGCCGTGATGGTTATGCAAAGCCGTGGTTTGAATTTGCATGCCGAAATTACAACGGAGTGCAATGACCAGATTGATTATGATAGGGTTCAAAGTCATACGGGAGGCGTTTGAGGCGCCGAAAGGTGGCTGTTGCCGGAATTGGCTGACGACAATGGCTTTTTTCTTTCTACTATCTTTGCGACTCAACAAGTCAAGTCTCTCTGCAAAACTTGGTTCCGCCGGCTGGAGCCGCCCTCTGCGTGGGGGGGTTTTTTTTATTTCTTTGCGTGGCCGATGTGGGCCCTCCCATTTATTTCGTTTCGCGCATGCAACCCGAAGACCAGAAAGGGGGGACAAGGCTGGGTTTCTTCTAGGGTTTAGTTTCCTACAGTAGGGTGATATCTTTCTCCTCGATTGTATCCCCGACATCTCCGCCTCCAGATACGTAAACCGGCTTCTCCGGAGTAGTCGGGGTTGTCCTTGGCCATATTCGTACACCGGAAGACCATTCCCCAGACCAAATCGTTTCTCCTCCACATGCATCAGGGCGGGGAAGTAAAAGGAAGTCCCTTGGATATGTATGGAAATTGAGGGCCTACGAGGCTATCATACATACTACAAACTCCCGTGCCTCTCCCAATAATAACCCACCCCTGGTCAGTAAACTTTGATACCCATCTGCACGGACTTCTTTCTTCTTAACTCCGTTCTTTACTCGGCAGTATGACTACTTGCCAATAACGCTGCATGATGCAATGGCTGACCGTGCTGGCGCAGATAAGCCTTTGGGGCAGGTGGAGCTTTTTTACGACATCTAGTTTGTGTCCGGTGAAAGCCCGAGACCTTCTCAATTGTCGATGTGACATTATTCAAGATCAACTCGGCGCAAGTACATGGCACTAGTGTGGAAGTCACGCCTCCGCGTCATCTCAGTGCACGGTGGCTTTGGAGGTATCCACTGTATATTGATGGGTTTCACTCTCGGGCCTTCAGGTCTTGGTCCTTATCAACTTCAAGGCCGAACCTTGGACAAAACCAATAGCTCACGTCTCTAGCCCTGTTTACAAACATCAAACGGATTATACAGTAATACTTAAGCTATCTAGATAGATGATTAATAAGATGCAGCTGAAGAACATATATATAGGTTCGCCTTTCCGAGCTCTATATTCAATATCTTGAATAGAACGTTTCGAGCGGTTTGAGCAGGTAAATTAGAACAGATTTGTACATAAACAAAGAGGCACGCGCTTATTAGGATCCTCTCAGCTCGAACTTAATAGCCTTTTGGTTCGATCTTAAAAGAAATCAAAGTATGTCTCAGTCACTAGCTACAAAGCAATGCAAGACGCTAGGCTATCAGCGAAGATAATTGTAAAGACCCAACTAAAAGAGTGAGTTTAGAGCATGTCTGATTAGCCTGATTGGGTCGTTACTCCGGTCATTACATTTCTACTCCTACACAGGCACGCCTCACTAGCCAAAATGCTATACCTGAGTAGTATCAGAAAGCAGCCGTGTCTCTTGTTTGAGAGCTAGCGACCGAGAGATTCATATTCAACCTGCATTTGAGTCTCCAGTCAATCACGACATGGAGTATCCGAATACCATTCCAGATCCTATCCGTCGCGACCTTGATATCCGCCAGCCTTTAACGCCCGAAGACGTTCAGTGCCTTAGGGCGGCATTTCCAAGCTCTATTGGAGTGTTCCTCAACTAGGTAGAGGGTGTGGTTATACTCTTTAGCTATCGGGATGATATGTTACGCACATGGAACATCGGCAGCCCTCCGACTGTTGGCAGGCTAGCGGTTGGGTATAACGTTTTGGAAATGCACCCATCGGCAGCAACAGCAGAACTGACCAGCAGCTCGCTCGCATGCCTAATGCGTAAGAGGTCTGTGGGGTATTAGGCCTTAAGCTCCGGCTTCCCGACGATACAGAGGCCATCAGCAACGGGTCCCTACCCACGCCTTTGTCAGACTTCCAGGGCCTCCGACGTTCTTTACCCGCATTGCCTCATTCTACAAGCGAGTCACCCAGTGGCTCACACGGCTTCAAATACGGGCCACTTCGGCATTAGAATCGGGATGTTGGAAGTCAGCACCACCACCCCTCTTTCCTCGAGTCCAATCGCTGATACGCCCATTCCCTACCTACGTTTGCTTGCTTCAATCACTCTATCATTCACGCCTGTAGGCGGTGAAATATCTCCAGTCGAATCAGATTAAATCAGGCTGACATGCGAATCAAACCCATCCCAATCCATTTCTATAACATTTCTATAACATTTCTACAAATGTACATTAAGGATCTCAGCTATAATTCCTAAATTGCGGGTCTCCTTCCATAACAGGCAGGATGGCGGAGTGGTCTATCGCGCTAGACTCAAGATCTTTGTTGTCTTACACTGAGTTGCACTTAGTGTTCTAGTCCTCGAACGAGGGCGGGGGTTCGAATCCCCCTCCTGTCAAAAAATTTTTTGGCTTACGGAGGGGAGAGACAAGCAAATAGGACAGTCGAATAAAGACTTTTAGGAATGAAATGTACATTATTCAACGCTTTCAGCCTGAGGAAAAGGAAAGTTCTAATGTTTTTTCTAATGTTCGCGTGATTGCATTACCCCTTTGTGTTTTAAGCTGTCTTTGTTTTGATTCATTGTAAGATATCCTCACGTAAAAAGTCAAGAGTGCTTTGACACTATCTGTACCTGGTCTTTATGCTGTATCGCACTTCTCACAGTATACGTGGAGACCAGATTGTTTTATGACATTATCCCAAAAGGCACTGGACTACGCGATGTAGATAGCACTCTCACTTTTCGTATTCAGAGTCCCATGGTGACTTGGTGTACTCGAGCTTAGAGAATTTTTTGATGAAAAATGAATTTATGGAGAAATAGGTTACCAGGACCCAGGATGGATACAATCTCTCATTCTTGTTCTCAATTACTCATGTACTGCCCCACGAGTATCGTCCTTGCTAACGCCAAAAAAGACCATGCAATAAGAGGTATCAAGCAAGCATTAAGTTATTCACCGTTCCAAAGTCCACTCTGCAATATACGCCCAAGACATCCCCACCCGGCCGACCTGCGATTGATATTCCTGGGCAGTAACACCTCGACAATCATGACGCTCACCAAGGGTCGTCAACACAGCAAGTTGCACCTTCTGACCCGGTGCACCCAATTCACGGGCATCTGCGACGTCGACGTACCACATCTCGCCGCCTCCGCCGGGCCCAGACCCCGGGACGTGCTGGAAAACGCGGCGATCTTCTTCGCGACCGTCGACACCGTGGATCATGAGGAGGAAGAGACCGGGTTTTTGGCGACTGTGTCGAGCAAGGGTCCAGTGCTCACAGCGTAGACCGAATTGGAAGCGGACTGGGCCTGGGGTGTTATAGATGGAGATGTTACCGCCGGCTGGGTAAAGGGTCTTGCGACCGATGGTATATTTGTCGGCGTCTGAGTAGATCTGGATAGGTTTGAGACCGGTTGGCGAGTCCGGGTCTGTAGTAATATATTCTTCCCAGGTGATCAGTCGTCCATCGCTGCGGAAGAAGTGATCCTTGTTGCCAGGGAAATGTTTTAAGCCGAATTCTTCGTTCGAGATGGTGAACATGTGTGGCTCGAAGCGCTGAATGTACGGCTGTCCAGGGCCGTTGACGGCTCCGGCTCCCCAGCACGGATCTATCAGCTTCCATTGGCCACCGTCAATCTTGACTGCATTCCAGGCATGGCCCGCATCGTACGGCGGGACGGGTTGGCCAGGGGCGAGAGGTGTGTGGCCGTACCCTTTGCCATGGCCTCCTATCACGATGGCTTCGAGTCCAGCCTTTGTCGCCAGAATTGCGAATAGCGCAGCATAACCTTCACACACAGCTAAGCCGCTAGCTAAAGTGCTCCCTGGCGTGGACGGCTTCACGGCATTATTAAAGAAGGCCACCACGTCGTATTTGATGTTGTGGTGCAGCCATGTGAAGATTACTCTTGCCTTGTCCGTCAAGGATGGGAAGGGAGCAGTCAGCTCATTTGCCAACCAGCCCAAATCGTGAGTCGGGAGTGATTCGCGGGGATACTGCGCTGCACGAGCATCTGGACCAGAGAAGTCTCGGCATACCAGACATTCCGTGCTAGTAATCCCGACAGGCGCAGTAGCCCCAGAGGTGGAACTATTAAAGCGCGGCTTGGTTGCATTCAGTTTTGCGAGATCTGGACGGGATCCGGTTGGCACTGGTGGAGGTACTCTACTGGCACCATTTCCCGTCGGTGTGCTCCTCGGCCTCAGAGGAATACCTGGGCTCTTATTCAATCCGCCAAGCCCTAGTTGTCGAGGATCTGGAAGATTATTCACGGCTGAAGGTGGCGGCAGTCGCCGGGCTGGCAGACTGGGCCTCACTTCCTCTTCGTCTGCTTCCCCATATGTGTCATTGGATTGTGTCTCTACCCCAGACGGCCGGCGCGGGGGAAGTCGAGGACCGGCAGGCGATGGATCTCTCGCCGATGGTCGTGAAGGCACACTGGGACGAGACGACGTAGAAGTGGAGGTGGAGGAAGATGAAGACCCAGGGATCTTCCCTCGCAGAGCAGATAGCTTCCCCGTCAATCCACTTTTACTAAACTTGGACTCAGAGCGCGGAGCCGGTGTCAGATCAATAGGGTCTTCCCTTGGCCGCCTAGGAGGAAGCACGGGCAGGACTGTCTCACCCCATGCCGGAGCTTTAATGCGGCCGTTCCCGTTGGAGTTGAGGGATGTCGTCGAAGCGCCGCGCCCAACGCTGGTAGCGGTTGTCGAGTGAGACGCGTCCGATAAGACAGATTCCTGCGACGGTCGGTGGGATAGCTGTGTAGGCCGACGCGGGGGCAAATTGGGACGGGATTCCTGTCGCGCTGGAAGTTGCGATCGCGATGGAGGCTCTGGTCGAGCTGGTGATTCTGAGCGTACAGGTGGAGGAGGGGGAGGCGGGCGATCTGATCGGCGCGTAGGCACTGGCGGCGGGGCCTTTTTGGGTTTCAACTCTGGCTTCGGCGACAGTGCTGGAGGTGGCCGTGGGGCCGATCTTTGTGTCTGTATACTTGCAGGTTCATTTCCAATGGAGGCATTGTCTATGACTGAACCGGTCACAGCGTAAGATGGAGGAATGTTGGCCGATTTGCTTCGCTCGGTGGGCGGGCGCAGGAATGGAGGCGGCTCAGGGCCATTCGATGACTGCGCCGCCTGAGACTGCTTGAGAGCAGCGATTCGCTGCTGGATAGAGCCCAGCCGCGGTTCTTCAGTCATGTTGCGCGTTCCTTCCCAAGCAGTAAGAATATAACTGCGAATGAAGGAAGAAATGAGTTGTTAAAAGAGAGGGGATCACTACTGTAACGACTGTCAAGTTCCAAGCACTACTGAGTGGCTTGGCGGGGGCCGAAGCGTAGCCTCTTTGGCGTTAGAATAGCCCGACTCGCCACGAAACCAGCAATGCAGTAGCCAGGAAAGATCAAATAGAATGGGAGAGAAATTGCAGCCCGCAGTCATGAGAGAAGTGAACGGCGGCTCAAGCAAGCGAGTTTGGGGCGAAGACTCCGCCTCGGGGCCCGTGGTTCACCATCAATGAGAGTAAATCGGGTTCAGGAACGGATTCAGGTACGATAAAAGTATACTCGAGTGGGATACCATATTAACCGGTTATATATGCCAAAGTCTTACAAAGGATAAGGATAAGATTTAAGCTTTGAATGCTATTTCCAGCATACCCTCTTCGACCACTTGGACTCCCAAACGCCGGAGGCGGCTGGTGGAGCCCCGTCTAGGGAAAAGACATGAACACAAAAAGAAGAGAAGAATAGGTACATCCAGACAAGGGATGGAGAATATGAAGCCCAGGAACAGGATAAGGAACAAGTCACACAAGGAAGAATAGTCAACGGCTGCGCAGCTAATCCGTCGATCGCTGGATGGGATCCAGTCAATCACGAGCCAACCACGAAGGATAGGCATGAAACACATGGAATACATCAAAAGGGAGAAAGGAAAGGGATTAACAAGAAAGAAGGCCCGAGGGCAGGATCCAGGAGTTGATCATCAAGGAGCATCACATCATCCCATGTACATAATCGGCAGGGCGACCGGCAAAGGTCTTTCAAGGCTCTTACACATTCTTGTAGAGTAGCAGCGGCTCGCCGACATTCTCAATCTCGGGAATTGTGCACTTGAGGTCGAATGCCTTGGCCAGAACAATCTTGAAGATCTGTAAGAGGTTAGCCAATGCCTAGATAGTAGCAGAGTTCAATGGAACAAACAAACCTTTTGCACGTTGATACTATGACTGGTACTGCTGAAGATCAAGCTAGCCTTCATCGCTTTGGCAAATCGCTTGGCCTGGAAGCGGTCAGTCAGAAAGCAATCACCAAGTGGATATTTTTTCGCAGCGATAAACATACCTGGAGTGAGATTTCTTCTTGGTCCTCACGAGGGAAGTTGACAAAATGATCGTACTTGGTGCCAACCAGGAACGGGATAGCTGTCTTGTTGAAGCCCCGACCTTGGCGATACCATTCCTTAATGGAATTCAAGGTACTCTTGCGGGTAAGATCGAACATGAACAGAATGGCCACGGCGTCGTTGCAAACGAGCGGCAGCATGTTGACGAACTCGCGTTGGCCACCAAGATCCCAAATCGAAAAGGTAATCTCAGTATTGCGAATGGAAATGGTCTTCTCCATGAAATTGACGCCTATAAACATGGTGAGAATAAGTTCAATTCATCTTTGTTCAAGATACATACCCAGTGTCTGGATGTAATCCTCATCCCAGCTGCCTTCCACGTATTTCACCATCAGACTAGTCTTGCCAATTTGCGCATCTCCAACCATGCCAACTTTGATGACCACGCTGTTCTTCGAGGACTGAGCAGCTTGTCGTTGGGCAGCTTCCGCAGGCTGTGGCTGTTGAGACAGGCCATGTCGCTCCGGGCCACTAGAGAACCCAGATCCAGGTCGGGAAAGATGCGGCTGAGGCTGCTGGCTAACTGATGGGGATGAGGTGAGGCGAGCTGCGGCGTCAGCATCTTGATGGGTGTATTCGGGAGCAGAGTGGTGAAAGTCGGTCGAACGCGAGTGATAGTGCGCCTTGGAGTCGCTGTTGTAGCCATTGTCAATGCCTACACGGCCAGTCGACTGATCGACCGGAACTGGATCTTCCACATTGACATTGACAGGCGCCAGCGCCGGGTCTTCGTGAGGCTGCTGTTCAGACGAGTGGACTTCCTGGGGTACGGGTGCCTCGGATACTCGGTCTTCCGCAGAGGGCTGCTGCGGCTCCGCAACAGCAGGGACCTCCGAGGCAGGGTGCTGCAGCGGATCCATGGTCGATGATCGGAGATTGAAGATTCAAGGCGATGGAGGAACAAAAAAGGGTTGCGGCTGAGGTTGAGGTGGAGGGTACAACCTATACCATGTAGCTCACTGTTAGCACTTGCGGGGAAAGGAGACCCTAGAGTGATATATCACTATCCAATTCCGTACCTCTTAGGCGTCACTGGGCCGTCCAGCCAGATCAGATCAACCACGGTACAAATTCCGGAGAATTTCCTTTCCTAGCAGAGGTGGTGGTCGCGGTAGGATGCGAGCGAAAGGATCGAGTCCGGCGTAAACAGTGCTCAGACGGGTAGCGAGATTGCGACGAGAGAAGGAGGGTGACAACAGCGTGAGAATGGCCAGCCACGGAGACAAAAGAGGGCAGGCAAACGCAGGTAGGCGAATGAGCGTCGCGACCGTTGCAGAGTAGACTAGACAAGAAAATCAGTCTCCAGTCGGTCTAGAAGTGTCAAGTCCAGTCCAGACGAGTCCCAGTCTCTCCATCCAGCCCAGTTGTTCAGCTCGCCTTCAACTTGCGGGAACTGCGGGATCTACACTAGTCCCCGATAGGCTTAGCGTCTCTCCAGCGGTTGCCCAAAATTTACTGAAAAAAGTTCTTATCGGCCGTCAATTACCCCCCATTCAGATATTTTCCCCTGCCACTGGCTCTTTCCTCATTCACAAATGTCCAAGAGAGCTGCGGATGCTGCCGACGAGCAGTCGGCCGCCCTCAAGGCCGGCGAGCGCCCAATGGTCGATGCTCCTGCCGACGAAGCGGGGGAATTCGAAGACGAATTCGAGGATGAGTTTGAGAGCGAGGATGAAATCCTCGAGGCTGGTGTGGACGGTCGCCCTGACGCTGAGCGTGAGGAGGAAGAGCGAGGTATGTCTTGCTTGCCCAATGCGCCTTGTATTGCCGGCAATGATCAGAAAACTAACTGTGACTATGGAATCGCACAGAGGCTATGGATGTTGACAAGCAGACTTTCATTCCTGGACGGACGAAATTGGCACCTGGAGAGACCTTATCCCCAGATCCCTCGACCTATGACATGCTGCACACTCTGAGCACACCTTGGCCTTGCCTGTCCTTCGATATTGTGCGCGATTCGCTCGGCGATAACCGAAAGACCTTCCCCGCAACCGTCTACGCCGTTGCTGGTACCCAGGCCGAGGGCTCACGGGCAAAGGATAACGAGCTGATGGTGCTCAAGATGAGCGGACTGAGCAAGATGGAGCGGGAAGGCGAGGACTCGGACGATGAGTCGGATTCGGATGACGATATGGGCGAGCCCATCCTTGAGCACAAGTCGATTCCTCTCGGCTCAACAACCAACCGCATTCGCTCCCACCAGACTCCCTCCCAGTCAGCAGATTACTCGAAACCTCCTCAGACGCTAACTGCGACTATGCTCGAGAACTCGCAAGTTCTGATCCACGACGTCACCGCCCACCTTGCCAGCTTCGATGTGCCTGGCACTGTCCTCCCTCCCTCCGCCTCCAAGCCTCTCTCTACTCTCCGCATGCACAAGTCCGAAGGTTATGCTCTGGACTGGTCTCCGCTTCAGCCTCTTGGCAAGCTCTTGACCGGTGATAATGACGGTCTCATCTATGTGACCACCCGCACCGAGGGCGGCGGCTGGGTGACCGACACTCGGCCTTTCACCGGCCACCAGTCCTCTGTAGAGGAGCTGCAATGGTCGCCGAATGAGAAGAATGTGTTTGCCTCTGCCAGCAGCGACGGCAGCGTCAAGGTCTGGGACGTGCGATCCAAGTCTCGCAAGCCGGCCGTGGATGTGCACATCTCTAACACCGACGTCAACGTCATGAGCTGGTCAAACCAGACCTTCCATCTTTTGGCAACCGGAGCGGATGACGGCCAGTGGGCCGTCTGGGATTTGCGCCACTGGAAGCCCAACGACGCCGGCCGCATCCGTGCCTCTCCCGTTGCGTCCTTTGATTTCCACAAGGAACCCATCACCAGCATTGAGTGGCACCCATCGGACGACAGTGTGATGGCCGTTGGCTCTGCTGACAACACTGTTACTCTGTGGGATTTGGCTGTTGAGCTGGACGACGAAGAGAGCCGCCAGGCGGGTATGGCCGACATTCCTCCTCAGCTGCTCTTCGTGCATTATATGGAGTCTGTCAAGGAGGTGCACTGGCAAGCGCAGATGCCAGGTACGCTGATGGCGACTGGTGGCAACGGATTCAGGTATGTATTTGGAACTCAAAACTTGTCCATTATGGTATTCAGTACTAATCATTCTTCCACAATAGTGTCTTCAAGACCATCAGTGTCTAGACGAGACCCGGTTCCCTTTGCACCATCCAACCAAAATACAAAAAAAGTCTTTATGTGTGATGTCCTGCTCATATACCATTCGAGTATCGCGGCGTGCGACTCGTCTACATCGGTTCTGGAGTTGAGGCCCTGTCATTGCGACGAACCCTGATGGCAGGGCGATGAACAAAATAGTTATTCCCGCAATTTTCCTGTCTGTTTGTGTCTACATTTGCGGGCGCCTAGTAGATAGACCTGCATATTTCAACGAGGTTTTTATGTCTATACTCTTGGTCTCTTACATCTCACGCTTCATTGTTCTTTCTACTATCTAGCACATTGCGGCTTGCTCATTGACTACAAAGAGCATGAAATAGGTAGCCATGTCCATCATTTGCCTGTCCAATGCTATGATCGCGGAACGCAAACCCCCATTAATTCCGCGCTCGCCCCTGGCCATCGGCCGAGGCGCAGTGATAACCAGGGGGCAGGGTTATCACAAGGAGGGGGAGGGGCAGTGAATAGCTCTAGCACCTAGCTGCAAATGCACATCATGTCTTGTACAGGGACAAAAGCTGATTGACAGACGGGAAGACTAGAGGTAAATCATCATCTTAATGCGTAACAGTCCTAGGACTATGTCGCTACCTGGTAGA